GTAATGCACTTTCAATTGATGCTGAAGAGATCATACTCTACTCTTTCCTGCCCTATCCTCATTCATCTAGTAAATATACATGCTGCTCTTATATCCCATTCCCACTTTACATCTAAATCATGAATGAAATCATCATTGCTAATAACACCCCCCTCATCACACTCCACCCACTCATCCTCAACCCTTCACTCGGTTTCACCTCTCCTGCATCATCTTCCTCTCCTGTCGTACACTTCGTAGGCTTACACCGCCTCGTCGAGGTGAGTGTTATTCTTGACGTAACTGTGGACGTAGTCGTAGAGGTGCTGGTGTGTGTCGACGTCTTTGTGACCCATGTGTCTGTCGTTTGCAGAGACTGGCACTCTGTTGCCTTTGCGTCTTTAATGGTAGTTGTGGTGGTGGTTGTGGTTGTAGTTGTTATGTTTTTAGTTACTATTTCGTGTGGTCTCACTTTTAGTGGCTCTAATGTTGAACATATTCCCTGTATCTTTTTACATGGATCCTCACAGTCACACTCTTTTTTGAAACCACAATTCTTCAGTGAATGATTACATATTTCTTTCAATTCTAGATAGAGATCAAATGCTCTTGCTACCAAATCAAATGCTGCTAATTCTTTTTCTGTTACATGCACTTTTGCATTTCTTCTTACAAGTTTAAATCCTGTTGTGCCTTTTCCTTCCTTAGGTGTATCAGATGAGTCTTTATTTACTGACTTATTATTATTATTATCAGGTCCTTTCGCTCTCGATAAAATAAGGTTTGCATCTTCCATGGCTTTTTCTGCTTCTTCTTTAATTTTTTTATACTTTTCTTCTTTCTTTTCTAAGACCTCTTTTACTTCTTCAAGCTCGTCCTTCAATTTTGAGCATTTTTCTTTTATACGTTTTATTAGCTTTTCACAGAGTTCTTCTCTAACTTTAATGTCACTCTTGGTGTTTTCTTTGCTTTTGCACAAAGTTTCCAACCCATTCTCTGCCTTTTTCAATTGTGTACAGTATATATTAAGTGTATTGTTACATTCTCCTACGTTTGATAAACTACCTTTCAATTCTTCTGCAACTTTGTTTTCTAAAGCTTCTTTTTTAAGGAATGACTCACATTTTTCATTGAGTTGTTTGCATTGCCCATCTTTCCCTCCATTTTCCTTAAGATCATCACAGTTCGGGACAAACTTTTGACAATATGGTGCCCATAATCCACATACTTCTTCCTCTTTATTCTCTATTTTGTCTACAATTTTCATAGTCTCCATATATCCTTTCAATATATTACATTTAGATTCAACATTTCTAATGATCTTTTTGCAAACAAGCTCCAAGTCAGAACATGCCGGAAAAAATTTACTATTTTCTCTTCTAAACCATTTTTCACATCGTTTCTTAGCTTCTTCTTTACAGCTATTTTCATCTTTTAGATATCCTTTATTTTCTTTTAGCAACTCCTCTTCTAACTGCTCTATGCTCTCCAGTCGATTGCAATGCTGTTTTAACGTATAACATGACCATTTAATTTCTTTTGAATCTTTTCCTAAGACCTCACATTTTTCTTCTAATTCTTTACAATCCTTTTCCGTTGGAAAATCTCGTTTCTCGTTCAAATGTTCTTGCAAAGCAAGTGCTCTCATTCGCAAATCTGTTGACACTTTAAGAGCTGTTTTTATTGGGTCCATACATAGTACAAATAACTGATCACTTTCTCTTTTCTTTTTTTCACAGACTTTTACCAAGTCTTTTCGAAGATTCTTAAGCCATGTTTCATTCAAACCTTGCAATTTTCCTCGCAATTTGTTTTGTAATGCTTCATTTGCTACTGCTTCAAGCCCTTTTTTATAACACGCTGCTTTTAGGTTATCACATTCTTTGTCAAGAGGACCTTGACCCTTAAAATAAAAACAGTCTGATAATAATCTTGTACAATCTCTTTCTGTAAGGAATGTTTTTAATTCATACCAGCCAATAATATTGTTTGGAGTACTCGTTAAGAGATGTTTTTTTATCTTTTTAGAAACTATTTGAGCGCTCTCTGATAATTCTTTTTCTAATTCCTTACAGATTTTGGTTCCATTTTCATTTGCCTTATCCCCATCACAAAGGCCTTTTAAAGTTTTATAATCTTTAAAACTCTTACAATTCTTTTTGAATACATCCTCGCATTTATCTTTACTGTTGCCAGAGTGTGTCGAATCTTGAATTAACAGTGCTAGCAGAGCAGTCTCGTCTCTTGCTGGTGGTTTTCCAATATGAATTCCCTTCATTGCTGCCTTTTCATAGAGATTTTTTAGATCTATTTTTTCAGTCAATGTGGTTTCAGGTTTTATAGGATCAAAATCAAGGTTAGGTGCTATGTAGGTGACATTTTTAGCTTTACAGTTCTTTATGAGCTTTTCGCAATCTGGTTTAGTTGATTTTTTACAATTCTCTCCATAAAAATGACATCGTTCAAGTAATGATGGACATTTTTCTTTCAATTTGGACTTTAATCCATCAATTTCTGTTTTTAAAGACTGACAGTTATTTTTTTCTTCTTTCTCTATCTTTTTGCATGTCTCATCCTGGTAAAGACAAAGCTTCAACAACTCATCGCTTTCTTCTCTCAACTCTATGCATGCTTTTTTAAGCTTTTCTTTGCACACATTCGTTTGAAAATTTCCATTAAGCACTCTTGAAAGAGCCTTTTCTGCTACTTTATTACGTTCCTTTTGATAACATAAATTTCTTAGCTTGTTACAATCTTCTGCAAGTGTAAGGCATGCTCCTTCTAAAAACACACATTTTTTCTCATTTGCACAATCACTGTCTTCTAATTTTGAGATACCTTTTTTGACTGCATCACTAAGAGGTGTTTTAAACGTGTCACATTCATTTTGAAGTTTACTTTTTAGATTTTGACACTTCTCTTGTGATTTTTTATTATCACATAAGTCTTTTAATTTCCCATGTATTTCTTCTGCATTTAGGTTTGCATCATTTAATTCATCACAGTGTTTTTTTAATCTTTCTTTGCATGCTTGTTGACTATTATAATCCTTTCCTACAATTAAAGCAAAAAGACGCACTTCTTCCTCATCTTGCGTTCCCTGTGGAGATGCAGCCCTCCGCTTAACCGCCCGCGCCACCGCCCGCACAAAGTCATGCTTGACAGAGATAGGTTTGCGTTATGCTGTGTGGTTTGAGTTTGAGTTTTTGTTAATGTGTTTTAATTGCACGTGAGATACTAGGGACTTGTTTTCATACTAAAATTAAGTATTGAATTCTTTGTTAATTTCAACATTCTTAAATTCTAAGGTGAATCTTGTGATAAAGTATAATGTGTTATATTTTTTGTGTCCAGTATCTTTATGTAATATTTAAATTTGTGTGGGGTAAATCCAGGGTAAATGTGGGGTAATCGTAAATCTTAACAAGTGAAAGGTATAGTATAAAAGGGTATAAACAAGAAATAAAGGCAATTAAAAAAATATAAGATAATTATCTAGGAAATTTTTATAATATTCTTCGGTTATATTATCACAAATATTAGAAAAATCAAAAAATTTTCGATAGAGTATGCATTGAATATGATAGTTGTAGTGGCTTTTTTTCAAATAAAATTCTTCATTCGATATACATGTGTTAATATTATTTAATAGATTTTCTAGTTCTATTAGAGCTAACTATAATTTCATTTTTAAGATTATCGTATTTTTCGTTTTCCTTGATTCAATATTTTTATGTAAATATTTTTATGTATAAAAAATATCGTTATTTTAGATTTTTTTATTCCAATTTTATTTTTTGTCTAAAACTATTTTACATATCTTTATTTTTTACTTATTTTTTGTATTTAGTTTTATCAAGTCAAAATCTAAATTTAAAATTATATAGTTCTTGTATTTTTTTATGCTTTTCTCTGTTTTTAGAATTTAAATTACAAAAATATTTTTCAATGATAATTATTTTTTAAAAAATATTGATGTTTTCAAATATTTCATTAGTTTTAGTTTTTGATTTTAAGATTTTTTTTTAGTTATTTATACATGTTTTTTGCATATTTTTTACACTAACAAATTTTATACAATTTGACTAGTTTTAAGAAATTCATTTTCAATTTAAATTTACGGCTTATAGTTTTATTTCTAAATTTGTGTATTCTTAAATTACTTTGTCTTAGAAATTTAGATATTTATTAAGCTTTTTAATTTTTTATATACTTTGAATTTTATATTAAATTCATGATATTTTTCAATTTCTTATTCTTATATTGATATTATCTTTTTAAGAGTGTTAAAGATATTCTGCTTTATTATACAAAATAGTTTTTTAGTATAGGAAAATGTTTATCTTTAAAATCTAAATTTTGATTGTCGAAAAGTTAGGTTAATTTACAAAAAGGATGCTTTTTAAAAGAGATAATAGTTTTAAAGAATAAATAAATAAATATATCCAATGTATTCAGTCGTATTTATATGTCCCATAGCTCTACCAGAGATGGATTGTAAAATGAAAAAATAGTCTTTTAAATTATGATTAACCATTAAATATTAATGCCCAAAATTATGATTCATTAGTTAGCCTGATACCCATAAAATAATAATTTCTATATTTTCCAAAAATATTTAAATAAATCTCATAAATAATCATTAGTTTTACATAATTATCGTCAAAAATGCTTCACATGAATATTAATAAATATGCATTGTTTTAATCTTAAATAATTATCCACAGTCCTAATATTATTCCCATAGTTGCCCAAATTAATTCTACTATCTGTAGTCTTTGTATTCTGATTCCATATCCTTTTCCTCGCCCACCACCAGGTGATATTGTTGGTCTAGGTCTTAAACGTGTAGATGTTGATGTACGTGCAGTTGATGTATGTGAAGATGTACGTGAAGATGTGTCTGTATCCAATGTAGTTGGTGGAGCTGCAGTTGATGAATCTGCAGTCGGTAAACTTGTAGTTAAGCTTGTAGTTGAATTTGTCGGTTTTGGTTTTGGCTTTGGTCTTGATGGATCTGGTTCTGATGGTTTTGGTGGCTCTGGTGGTGGCGGTAGTGGTTTTGGTGGCGATGGCGGCTGTGGTTGTGGCTTTGGTGGTGGAGGTTGTGGTTCTGGTGGCGATGGTGGTGGCGGTTGTGGTTTTGGTGGTTTTGGTGGTTTTGGTGGTTTTGGTGGTGGTTCTGGTGGTTCTGGTGGCTGTGGTTGTGGATGTGGTTGCGGCAGTGGTGGCGGCGGCGGTTGTGGTGGTTGTGGTGGTACTGGTGGTGGTGGCTGTGGTAACTTGCATTTAATAGCAAGCTTAGTGCATATATAAGAAACTCTACTGTTAACCCCAGTACAAGAAGACCCTATAGATGAACATAAAGATTCTAGTTTTTTACACTCCGTGCTAGAATGAGGTTTAGTATGATAATATAGAGATACTTTTAATGCGAGTGTATCACACATTTTTTCTAAATATGATATTAAAGCTTCACATTGAATAGAGCCGTCACATAGTTGCCTTTCCTTTTCGATTGCTGAATTTTTACATTTTTTCATTTTTTCTTCACATTCAGAAACATTAGATATTCCCCCAAGTACCTTAGCTAATGCATTAAAATTCTCACTTGCCTTTGATATACTACTACATATTATAGTAATATTACTACAGAGATCACGCAAATAAGGACAACCCCCTATATATAAAACACAATAATATTTGAAATGAAAACAACGATTATATGTAATATAAGATACTCCATTAAGAAGTGTTTTATAAGCATTCACATACTGTAATAATTTTTTGCAATCATCCTCAACACTTCTAAGTATTTCTTTACATATCTTTGATGCATTAGTACACCCATAAGTATAATGTGAGCTGTTTTTTAAACAATAGTCTGTAAGATAACCAAAACAAACAGTTTGACTTTGTAAAAAAACAGTATCATTTTTTAGTATTTTTAGTTTCAGATTTTCAAGTTCATCTTTATTTCTGCAATATGCTGTGAGGTTTTGACATAAACTTATAGTCTTTCCTGAGCATAATTTCAAACTATTGCATTCTTCTTTTTGCTTTCCACAAGAAGTGAGTGTAAAATTATTGTTTATATTTTTTAGAGTATTACGCAATTTATCGCACTTCTCCTGAACGAAGGATGCTAATTTTGTACACGTTTCTTGTAGATGCAGACATCTATATAATACATGATAATTGCTATACATAACTTCTTTACATACTACAGAAAGACGCTTTGTGCAATTCTTAGTTAGGTTAAAACTTGAAGACCAACGATCTCTTGAACTTATTTTTTCATTTAATTTCCTTATTAAAATCATATCAGCTTCCATTTCCAAATCTGCTTGATAACAGGCAAGTCGTATTGTTTTACATAAATCACTTTGGACCCAGACATCAAAATATTCGTTAAAAAAATAACATAATGGTAAATATTCTATACACTTTTCTTTTGAAAAAGATTTTTGTGAAATCGACAAATTATTATCACTGAATTCTTTTGAATAAGATCCAAAATGCTGCTTAGTTTTATCATATATGCTTCGACAAATATCATTTTTATTATTAGTTTTACTGCATATTTCTTTAAAAACATCTAAATATTCCGCTAAAGGACATTTTTCATTTAATTCTTTTTTACATTTAGAGATTTGTGTAGAAACATCTTGAATTAAAATGCTAGCAATTACTTCATTCGGAAGTGATGGCATTTTATCAACATAAATACCTAATTGACTTAACCTTTTATGGCTGTATTGAATTGTATCTTCATCAATATCGATAAACGGGCTTTCAAGAAGATTAAGATTATAATTACTGTCAAAATTGGAAAAAAAACCATTTTCTGCACAATTTGTTTGAAACAAACGGCACATATGATAAATATTTCGACAATTCAAAACGTTATAATAGCATTTTTTTAGCCAAACTATGCAGTTTTCTCGTGTTATTTCTTTATGTTTTGATAAAAACTGAATTTGAAAATTTTGACAGTTTGTTTTAGTTTCTGAAATAAATTTTTCACAAACATTGGAACCACTAATACACAAACTAAATAACTCTGGGCTTTGATGACTAAATAATAGACACTTTTCTTTGAATTTTTGTAAACAAGTGCTACTATGTGTCCCTTTTAAAAATCTATGCATAATTCCTTCCGCTACTTCCATACGGGCCTTATTATAACAATTTTCTTTTAGTTTATTGCAATTTGCAGAAAGATCTCCTGAACCATATTGTTCTAAGAAAAAACATTCAGTTTGCAGCCTGCTACAGTGATGATAATTTGTTTCTTTATTCAAATCATCTTTAGTTTTTTTTATCGCATTAGATATTTGAGTATTTAAAGAAGTACATACTAATTGAGGCTCATTACAAATATGATGAATATCACTATTCAGCATTTCTATATCATCATTGCAGACTTCTTTTAGTTTTGCTGTGCAATTGTTATTAAAATCGCTGAAAGTTAAAAAAGTAGCAAGGTAATATAAATATTCTTTACTATTTTTTAGTTCTTTAAGTTCTAAATTATGCAACCTTTTGTTTAATTGATGATGATATTCTTCATTAGTAACTTCATATGAAAGTAATGGATCCTCATCATGTAGAGGAGAAAATGTTTGAACAAGATCTAATAATTGGAATTAAATCAAAAAAAAAAAAAAGAATACCTAAAATTTCGTTATTATTTGAAAAAACCCTTTTTATGATGATAAAAATTAAAAAAATGCATGTTTTGGTAAATAACAGCATATGAAGGAAGGGGGAATATAAATCCCCCTTCGAATTAGTGATTTAAAATAGACAGAAAGGCTGAAACATTATAAAAAATGATTCGCAGAAATGATTCGCATAAATGATTCGCAGAAATATTAAAATAATCGATGTTTAATAATTAGATAATATTTTTATAGCGTAATAATTTAGTATAGTATAATTTAGTTATTTTTGGATTATTTATTAGATTAAATTTATTTTAAAACGCTAATTTCTAAATTATTTATAGTTTAAAAATATAATCATAAAATTCATAATAATTTGTTTTATTGAAGATATGATGATTAATAAAAATATTTTGTTTTTTTAATTATATTTTCTTTCGTTTTGAATTATCTCTCTTATACATTGAGAACTTATTTCTATACTTTAATTCTAAGAATTTGTAAGGTAGACTAAGTGCAGATTACTAAAATTTGAGATTTTTCTCCGATCTCTGTGATTTTCCGATTACTCATTTTAGTATTTTTATATTAAACTTATTGGGTTAAAACTGTATTTATAGTTTTAGCTTTTTCCTAAATTTGTACATTTAATTTTACGCTTTTCCGAATTTATACTTTTATTTATTTGGATTCGTTTGTTTTTGAAATTTAAATTATTTTTATTAGTTTTTACTAATTTTAAATTTTGGCTTATTTTTTAGATATTTAGATTATAGTAAGTTTTTTTGTATTGTTTATTCTATTTTATACAAAAGTATTATTAATGATTAAAATTTTTTATTAAATCACTTCTTTATGTAATACTTCTAATAAAGGTCAATATTTTATGTATAGTTCACTATTAAGAATATATTAATGAATTATTCAACTTCAAATTTGAACTTTTTATATTAGCACTAATTTTAAAATTAATGATGATAATTCTATCACTAAGCGTTTCAAAATGTTTTATTAGAGCTGTAAAAACTATTGATAGTATATTTTATGATTAAAAACAAGTTATGATTTTTTTTGAAAATATAAGTTTTTAGAAGAGAATATTTTGAAAAATATAACACAAAATCTATTTTTAAATTTAGATGAATTAATATAGTTAAAGTTTATATTTATTGATGAAATTAATATAGTACAGAATCTAATTCTAAATTTTAAATTGGTTTATATGTAAAATGTTTATATTTCTAAATAAGCAATAAAATTCTTTATTTAGTTGTTTAGAGGAATATTTGTTAAGAATTTTTGAGTTTTATTTGAATATTTTTTCTGGTTTATCTAAAAATACTATTTATAATTTTTTAAGTTTTAAAATATTTTTAAATTAATATTTACTTTAATGATACGTATATTCTTTTATGTAGATATTAGAATGTTATTGATGTAAATAGCATTATACTAATATTTATCGATATTTTAAGTGATCTAGATATTAACGCTAGAGGTTATATATATGTTGATGTTAGAACTTGCATATGCTTTGAAGTTCTCATTGTACTTATTTGTTTATATTTTTTGCTTGTTATCATTGTCTTTTTACTATGCATTCTGTTGTTTTTGTTGTTGACGTTATTGTTAACATAGATGTTACAATTAATGACATTATTTTTAAATAAGATTGTATTTTAGATAACTTTGCACTCTTGTATAAATTTTTACTTTCTTTAGAAATATTTTTCAATAATAACTTAATGTAAACTTAATATTATGCAGATAATTTTTTTTGGATTTCTTTTTAAAGTTTTTGCTTATTTTTTGTTTTGGTATAATTTAAATTATAAAAATGTTTCTTAAATAATGAATATTTCTTTTGAAATTTATCGGTACATTGAAATAGTTTAATTTTCGATTTTAAGATTTTTATCCTTTAATATTTATTCAAATTCTTTGTATATTTTTAATAAACTTTAGCATGTTTTAATTTGAATTTTTTTCTTAATTTTTATTTTACATTTTTTTCTTTTAAAACTTTTACCTCTTCCAAAAAGAACTTTATATCGCTCATATTTTTTACAATGTTTAGTTAATTTTTTATAATTTTTATGATAATAATCTTTTAAAAAATTAATTAAAAAATTAATGTTTTTAGTTATTTTTTAGATATACTGTATAAAGGATTTGATATTTCTTATTGCTTTACCTTTGAATTGACAAATTCCTAAGTTTTTGTTTTAGAAATTTATATATTTTAATTTTTTATACACTTTCATTATATTTTACATTATTGAATCTATGATATTTTCCAAACTTTTCTCTTCTGATATTATATTTGCAAAGTCGTTGAATATATCTTTTTTGATTTAAAGTATTTTTTACACAAAAAGTTATCTTTAAAATTTGGATTTTGATTATTTTTAAAAAAATGATTCCAAAAAAATATTATTATATCTTTTAAAAAAAATTAATTATTTTTGATAATAGTCAAATGTATTTAATATATTTAGTTATATTTATATTTTTTATATCGTAATTGAAAAAAGATAATTCATTTTTTAAACTTATAACCATGGAATATTAACGTTTTAAAAATTGCAATTTATTAGTCATTCCAATGTTTACAATTCAATAATTTTCTGACTTATTTTCCAAAAATATCAAAATAATTCTCTCATTTTCATGAATGATCATTAGTTTTACATAACTTGCTAAAAATGTTTTATAAAAATATCAATAAATAAATATTCTGATCTTAAATAATTATCCATAATCCCAATATTATTCCCATAACTGACAAAATTAATTTCATTATTTGTAATTCTTATGTTTTGATTCTATAGGTTTTTCTATGATTATCAGGTGATACTGTTGATCTAGGCCTTAAATATGTAGATATTAATGAATTTGTGAATAACGAGTATGCAATTGATGTGCGTGTAATTGATATGTGTATAGTTGAATTCATAGTTGATAAATTTACAATTGATGAATTTACAGTCGGTAAACTTGGTGAACTCGTAGCTGATTCAGTTGTAGCTAAAGGTACTGATATTGGTGGAAGTAATTTGTTACATTTAGTATTAAACTTATAATACAATAATAATTTTATCGTTTAATTCCTTGGCAAAAGCCTGTAAATGAGCATAAAGATGATAATATTTGACATTCTATATTAGAATTAAAATTAGCAAATAAGAATTTAAAGATTTTTAATGCAATATGATTGCATATGTTTTTTAAATGTTATATTGTATACAAATTGTAATAATACGTACAAAGAAGTAATATAACTATTTTTTGTTCTATAGTAGAATTTTTACATGTTTCAGTTATTTTTTTTTTTTTACATTTATTATCGTTAAACGTTCCTTTGCCAAGTATTTTGATTAAAATATTAATTCTTTTATCATGAGCTGATGCATTAGTATATATTTCTTTGATTGCAGAATACAATTTATTTAAATAACTAGGACAAGTCCCTATAAATATTCTGCATTGATGGATAAAATAAAAATAAATTCTATAACTAATATACATTAAAAGATGATAGATATATCTATAATATTATATATGGTGGAACAGTTGACGACACTTGTTTTGCAGCATAAATTATCATGTGTATACACACCTTTTATCAATAGATGCATAACTTAAATTATTTTTTAAACAGTATACACCAATATAGTTGAAACAAATAACATTTAACAATAAAATAGTGTTGCTTTCTTTAAGTATATCTATTTCGAAATTTACTAAATTATTTATATCACAAGGCACCTTGCAAAAAGCAGATAATTCTAAAGTAAAACTGGAATATGATGTTAATCCAGTACATATTTCTTTGATCTTTATGTATGTATTATAATCAGGATTTCCTGCTTCTTTTCTTAAAAGAACCTTCTTCTTTATAAACTCTTTATTAACAGCATTTACTAAATTTTTACATGTTTTTTTTGGACAAAGATATTTATATAGTGCATGATAATTATAATACATAAAACCGCTGCATTTTTTCAAAAGAGCTTTACAAATATCACAATTTAAGCAATAATCGATATGTTTATCCATAAAATAATATACTAAAAGATATTCTAAACAGTGTGTTTCTGAGAGGATAATTTTGACCCCACCAAAAACTATTATAATATTTGAACTTTTCTCATAACGAATTGTAATATGTTTGAGTTTTCCTATATATTTCTTCATAGAGTATATCTACCATTTATACTTGCAAATATTTAGGATGTGCTTTAAATATTTTATAAAAGAACATTTTTGACTTTATCTTGTAATGATTTTCCTGTGAACCAGGTCATCCACTGTATAAAAGCTACAAATTTTATATCTGGAAGAATTCTTATTTGAGCAACAGAAATGCCTAAAGTATGTAGTCTTTTATAAGCATATTGAAGGCCATTTTCATTTATATAAATAAATGGTTTTTTATAAAAATTATAATTATAGTTCGGAGAATTATAAAAAAAGCCATCCGCAGATTTTATTCAAAATGCGCAATAAATAAAATGAATATTTGGACAATTTGGAATGCTATAACATTTTTAACCAAATTTCACAATTTTTTTCTGATACTATGTTTTGCTTTAATAAAAATAGATTTAAAAGATTCTGACATTCTTTAGATTTTAAAATAAACTCTTGATAAACATGAGCATCATTAGTATATAAACCGAATAACTTATGATTTTTCAAAGTAAAGGATTTACACTCTTTTTGGAGTTTTTAGACAAATATTTAGGTCATTTAAGTCCTTTGTTAAAAGATCATAAAGGATTATTTTCGCTGTTTTTAGGCGGATCTTTTTATGACAATGTTCTCTTAGTTCGGAATAGTCTATCAAGACTTATTGGATTATGAAATTCAAAGGACAATTATTTGGAATATTTATAATATGTATAATAGTAATTTTGGAAAATTCTAATTATATTTAATAAAATTCAGAATTGTATATAATATAAAAATTTGAAAAATCTAAATTATATTTAAATAATTCTTTTTTAAAAAATAAATGAATATTAATAAATTTATTACGGTTTTATCCCAAATCAAAAAACACATTATATATTTCCTCCTCTAGTAATTTATTTGTTTTTGTATTATGCTAATTTTTATAGCACATGTGCTTTAAATTTCTATATGCTATTATTATTTTTTAGACAATGTACTTTAAAAACATTTATTAATTTTATATTGTTTTTTATAAGTAACATTGTTAATCACTTCTAGATATAAAGAATTAATGAAATTATATTATCATTATTACAAAAGTCCTTTTTATAAAGCACTTTAAATTTTTATACTTTTCTAAGTAATTTATCATTATTTTGTACATATTTTTCTTATCGTTCTCACATAAAATTTTTTAGAACCTTTTTTAGACTTTTTAGAAAATCACACCTTTTTAATTTATCTTTACATTTCTCTTTATTTTTAAAAATTATATTAGAATCTTAAGAAAAAATTAATATTTTTCTCTAAATTTTTTAATAAAAATTCTATGAGATATTACTCTTTTCATAAAGTCTTTCAAGATTTATTTTTTTTCTATATTATAAACTTCTGCATTATATGATAAAAAGAATAATTATGAAGTATACACGCAACTTTCTGGTCTTTGTATTTTCTAATTTTAGCAGATTTTTTTCCTATTTCTTTAATATGGTTTGACTAGTAAAAATAAAATTATTCAAATAGTAAATAATATGTTATATTATTAAAGCTTTCTGATAGTTTTGTTTATTTTTTTAAGATTTTAACAATTATTTTTAACTACTTTTACAAATTTTTTATTAGTCTTTTTAATTGAAACATAATTTAATCAATTCATTATTTTCTTTAATCAAAAATAAATTGAAGATTTTTCTTAAATATTTTTCAAAGAATTTATTTTTCTAAATCATTTTATTTTTTTATAAAATCCATTTCTTGGAGTATTGAATGAAATAGTAATTTTGCTTCAAGGTACTACTTTTAAAAATAGACATTACTGTTTAATACATGTCACATCTATTATACATTATTAAACTATTTAATAGATTTTTAAGTATCAATTTATGTTTGGTATTTTTTTTATTTTTTTAATATTTTACACTTTGTTTCTTTTATACCATGGTAAATCTTTTTTAATTTTGAATTTAAATTATTTAATTCCAAGTATGCTTTATTTAAATCTTTGTAATATTTTCGTAAATCTTTTTTGTACTTTGATTTATTTAAATAATTCTTAAAATAAAAATCAAAAGATAGTTTCTACTAATATTATTTTTTCATTCTTTTATTTTTAATACTTGTTTTTTAACATCATTTTTAACTTTAAATTTTGTGTATCACTTAATTCTTTTTCCAATTTTTTTCGCCAGTTAATGATTTTATTTTTCTTAAATATACTAATTACCTTTACATCTAAATCATTTAAATTGTCTATATTATCCAATTCTTAATATAATGGTATGAATAATAATTAACGTCTATTATAAATTGTTTTTTATAAATAAAGAATAAAATTTAACTTTATTACAATTTTATTAAAATGCATATTTTTTTAATTATGCATATTTAACAACTAAGAATTTTTATATCTTATTTTTTCAATAACCCTTTTCTTATAGCACGTTTTAAGAATTAAACTACGTTAAACCAAAAAAATACTTTGAAATTAATATTTATTGAAAAAATATGAATTATACTAAAATGTAAAATATAAAGATTTTTATGAATTAAATGAAAACAAAAAAATATTATTAATAAATTTTTTAACATAAAAAATAGATAACATTCTTTAAAAAAATAATAAACAATTGATATATGAATAAATAAATAATACTTAATCTTTAATATTATTATCTATTTTAATATTGTTAATACATGCATATTTTGGTAAATTAATCTAAATTTTTATAAAAGGAAGTTTTTAAAAAGCTATTTAATTCTAAATTATTTAATTTTATTCAATATGATATTTTATAATTCATATATCTTAGTATAGAATCATATTAGTTTATATATTAGTAATTTTGTTTTTTTATGTATTTAAATATTATATTAGAAAAAAATATCTGGATTAAAATTAGACCTATATATAAAAATTAATCTTAAAACTCATTTTAATAAAAAATTAAATTTATACTATATATCTTGAGAAAATATATTATGTATTTTATTTACATAATTTACAATTTGATCTATATTACAATATGATGTTAATATATTAGCATGTACTATACTTATTGTTTTTATCTTTATAAAATGTGTAAATATGATAAATTTTTAACATTTATTCTATTTTAGACATATAATAAAATAATGAAAAGATGTATATAAAGTAGATAAACACTATCTTTAGTAACATATGAATGATTAAATTCTCATTTCTAATATTTAATTATATTTTTTTTCTTTTTGGTTTTTTTAATAATATTTAAAAATTCAAACATCATATTTTTTAATACTTTATTTTTTAAAAAAAACTCACTATTCTTTACAAGTAATTGTGCTTAATTTTTTTCTGTTATTTTTCACGTTTACATATTTATTTTGAATTACATTTTTATAATTTTTTCTTAAGCTCAATTTCTTTTAAATATATATATATATATATTTTTGCTTTTTAAGTTTTAGTCTTAATTTTAAGTATTTTTAATGTTATTAAATTCTAATTTTTTAGAAAATTATCATTTTTTGAATATTTAAAAATCAAATGTTTCTTATAAAACAATAATTATTTTATTATTTCTTTGTTTTTATTCCTCTTGTTTTTTTTTTTTTATTTAGAATGATATTAATGTTATTCTAGGTTATAAAATTGATTAGTTATTGTTATTTTTATATAAAAGTTTATGAACTTTTTATAGATTTTTTATTATATTATATATTATAATTAGTGTCATTAACACAATTGTTAAATTTGCAATTTATTACTGTTAGTAAAATCGTAATTATTATAATATAAATAATATAATTAACATTATTTAATAGATAGACAGTTTTAGAATTTTATACAACTATATATATTTCCTGTTTGTAAATTTTGTATTATAAATAATCTTATTTAAAAATATAAATTAAAAAAATCCCATATTATTTCCATATTCTACTTGCAATATTTATGCAATTCAATAAAAGATAATTACTTCAGTTCATTTTATGTAGATTGCTATGTTTTTTAGTAAAGACAAATTATAATATTTTGAAATAATGTTTTATTTTTTTTAGTTTTATTGATAATTATACTATTTTTATAGTATATTAGTTTAGAAATTAAAAAATAAGCTATTTTTATTACTCTTTTGTTACTTTTAAAGTATTTTAAAGGCTTGTTTTTTCTTTTCTAATTTTTCTATAATATCTTAATAATATTCTACAATTTATTTAAAAAACTTAATAATTCAAAACTAAGACTAGTGTTACTTTTAATAAAAAAATCATCAAATAATGTTTCAAGTACTGAATATTATTCTTGTGTAATAAATACATTGTTAAAATTTGTATCTATTTAATTTGAATATCTAGACCTTTTAATATTTAAATTAATTTATCGAAGATTTTCGTTTTAGAAAATAAATGCTTTTTTTTAACTTTTCAGAATTTATATTTTAACTATTTTACACTAGTTTTCTATATTAAGAGTTATTTTATAAATGGCGTTGTATGTAATATATATATATATTATTGTTATTTTTTTTAGATAGTTTATAACATTTTTTATTTAAACGCATAACATAATTTTTATAAAGATTAAACTATTTCATGATCTTTGAAAAAAATACATTTTAATTTACTACTGTTTACAGGATTAATAATTTTTAATATATTGTGTAATTTTAAAAGCTTATTATACTTTTTAAATTTTTTATATTTTGGTTTTGAGAATTCTTTGAAAAATTGTGTATATTGTCCAAGATACCTTGTAAAAATTATTTAAACTATTTATTTGGATATCATTTTTGAATAAACCGTTTTTTTTTGGTAAATGCATAGAATAAAATAATTGTATTTATTTTTTAATTTTTAGCGTTCGTTTATCAATTCTCAACATTTTTTGAGCATTTAATAAAATCGAATTCTAAAACGGCTATAGTTTATTTAATAATTTATTGTTTAATATATCAAATTCATTAATGCAGCATGTTTTAGATTTTCAAATACTTTTTCAGGATTTTTTCGAGAAGTTTTTTTTAGGTAAAATTAATTTTATTTTAAATGAATTGTCATTTGTCTTTTTGATAATTCTGAAAAATTACTAATGTTTTTTATCATAATTTTCTTTTAATCAAAAAAATGTTTTTAATAAAGTATTTTTTTTAAAATTGTGGCTTTTTATATTTAAATTTTCAAGTCCTTAAAATTTTTTATTTTATTATTTTAATAAATCAGAATTTTGCTTATTCAATTTTTTTCAATTTTTAAACATTTAGATTTATTAAATGCACTTTATTTCTCTTGATTTTAAGAATACCCTGGATCTTTAATGCTAGTATTTCAAGCATATTCCAAATGTAATATCCTAACAAGAAAATTATTGATTGTCTTTTTTTAAAAAAAATTAATTAAATTTATTTTCTCTAAAATTTTAACAAAGTGCTTAATTAAAAATAACTCTTTTAATACATACAATTCTCGTTAATTGATATTTCTTTTATAATATCTATAGTTAAAATTATCATTATATCATGGTTTGTAAAGATAGTATTCTTAAAATAGTAAAGAAAACATTTTATTGACAATGTTTCTAAATAATTTGTTTGTATTTTAAAAATAATATACCTTTAAATCTTTGTTTTCTATATTGGTAGCTTTTGTTTATACTATAGTGTTTTTACATATTTATTAAATTTTTACTAACTTATTGGATTTACTTGGATTTAAGAAAGTATTTCTTAACGTACTGTATTTTATATTTTTTTTTTATTTTCCAAATAGTTTTTTAAAACTAAAATATGTTTTATTTTAATAGTCTTTTATACTTCTTTTATTTTTCTTTTAATTATTTATGTCACTGATTATTCCAGATTTTAATTAACTCTTCAGCCTGCAGTAGTTCGAGGAAATAATATATTATATTAAAATAATTATATTTTTTAAAATATAATTTTTGTTATGTTTGTAAATATTTTAAGTCTATTTTTTTATGTAAACTATATGATTAAATAAAAAAATATTTAAATTTTTGTATTAATGTGTATATGAAATTTTAATTATCCTTTATATATCAATAAAACATTTGTAATAAATTAAAATTTTAAATATATAAAATAAGGTTGTGCAGTGCACGTCAAATTGATAATATATTAAAATTTAAATTTTAACTTTATTCTTTTATACATAAATATATACCTTTTCTAGTTTTATTATGAATTAGCTGTAAAGATATATTTTATTTTTTTAGAAAAATATATATTATTTTATAAAGTCAAAATAATAAAATTATTTTTAGGTTATAACTAACTACTAAACAATAGATTAATATCTTAAAGATAAAAACTTACTGAAAGCAATCCCTGTAAGATGCAAGTCTAGTTGCTTTTGAATATTTTGAGCTCATTATTTTTATGTATATATATATTAAAATATATTATAGTAAAATACGAAAAAAACAAATACTCCTCATATTTTAAAAGACTATATTTTTACAACCATTTCTATAATTAAAGAATATGCCAAAACTTTTTGAGATTCTACTAGAGCCTCATGTCCTTTTTCTATTTAGGCACTACTTTATCTTTTGATACTTTTGATACTGTTTCTATTGTTACAATTGTTTCTCCAAATCTGTTTTCCATTGCTAGAGTGTTTGTAATTTTATATTTTTTTATTATTTATAGTTGATGCATTTCTATCTGGCATTTTTGTAAAATTTGGGTTTAATCCGTCTTTAGATTTTACTAGCTCTAAACTAAATATTGAACTTAACTTTTATTTATTTCTAGATTTTATTGGCTTTGAGGTAAATTATGAACTTGATTTTAATTTCTCAGATTTCGTCAATTTTAAATTAGATGTCGCTATTAAATAAATAGTCATATTTGCTGTGAAAACACGATTTTCAAGATCTTTTGAATTACAATCAATTGTTTTAAATATTGTGTTTTTACGAGTAGAATAAACCGTTTCTGTTATATAAACCATTCCATCAATAATCATAGTATGAATATTCTAAAATATGCATATTTACTTTGCATTGTAAAAATTGTTTTATCTCGTAGAGTTTCGTTTGATTTTTCACAATTTTCTAGTTCTCCAGAGATAGTTACAAATTTATTTTTGCGTGTTTTTTTTTTAATATTTAGATACTAGTTTTCTTTTCCGGTATACATAATTTGTAAATTCGTTTATTCCTTCCAAAAATTCTCTGAGTTCTGTAAATACTTCTTCAAGATGCACCATCTTTTTATACGTTTCTAACAGATTATGATAAATAAAAAATAAACTTATTAAACTATTATCATTTTTCGCTAAGAATTCACATGTTGATAAAATTGGTCTAAAACGTGTATAAATTCAACTACAGTATAATTGTGATTGAAATATCTCGCAATTAATATTGTTAGTAATTGATAATTTTCTGATGTGAGGTAATTTTTTTAAGATAAACTATTATTCTTTTTGTGCAACTTCAAATTAGTTATACTACCTAAAACCGTGGAACCTTTATCCTTTATCTTTATTAATTAATGACAAGTCCTCATATTTTAAATTATGGTTTCAAAAGTAAATTTTATGCAACATATTTTGAATTTTGTCTAATTGTTTGATAATATACTCATTAAAATTCATCAATTTTTTCTGCTTTTTAAAAGATTTATATGAGTACGTATGACTAAATACTAATTTTTTTTATTAAAATATTTAAATTTCGAAATTTTTATTATCTTTTTAAAATGTTTTTTTTTTTTTTTTGTATTTATATAAATTTTTAATTTTTTTATTTCTATCTTCTAAATGTTTTAAAAGTATATTTTTTATAAATATATATAAATATAGTTATTTTATTATCTCAACAGAACATATTTAATAAGATATTTAACTATTGAACAGTTTTTTATTATATTTTTTTTCCTTATATTGTTTATTGCTTTGATTTTTAATCTTTAATTTTTCTTTAAATGTTTTTAATACTTTTGTAATATTAATAGCAAAAATAGTAAAATTCTATATATTAAGTATAAAGACTCACTGTCATATTGCTTAATTTTTATATTTAAAATTTAACTCTAATATGGGACATATTTCCATTTATTTCCATTTATATTTTTAAAAATATTTTTTTTTAACGCATTTTTCTTCAAAAAATAAAATATTAATATTAAAAAATCTATAAAAATTATAGCAATTTATAAAGCTGTTTTAAGAAATTCCGCTAAATATTTAATATATCTATAACTTGCAAAATTTAAACATAATACTACTTATTAACAATAAATGTAAATAAAAACATTCTACAAAATTTTATAAAAATCAAGTTCACTTAAAATTACAATAAATTTTAACTTATAAGAAACAAATAAAAATACTTATTAATATTAAAAAAATATAGCTAATGCTAAAAAATATAATTGATACCCAAAAAACATAACTACAACCCCAGTGCTACAAACATAACTATTCCAATTATCGAAAATATTATCCCTTTTGTTTTAACAGCCATAATCCTTTCTCCAATACTTTCCGCAATAGACTCTGTTCCTCTAATTTGTGTGCATCCAGGAACCAAAGGTGGTATATTACATAATTTTTTGAGGAATTCAGTAGCTTCTTTTTGAAGTGTAAAATTTGTATTAATACATGAATGAAGGTTATAATTAAAAGAGTGAGAATCACATAGACACGACAAATCTGTTGATTTGTGACAGTAGGAACTATTAGCCGAGCTCATCAAGCATTTTTTTGCTTGTTCTATATAGTATTATATAATGAAAAATATAACCAAAACTATATACCAGAAAGACCAGAATCTTTATAAGGATCATCGCAAGTAACTGTTGGAAAAGATGGATTAGAAATATTAAGACAACTTGGTTCTGGAATTTGGAATGCAAGGCATATTTTATGATAAAACGCGCCGAATAAAGGATCAAAATGTGAAAAATCTTTTATACCACTAGTACAATTCTTAACAACCATATTCATTTTATTAGAATCACATAAACAAGGTATATCCACTTCTGAACCACAGCGTGTATGATTCATACCTTCTAAAAAACACTTTTTGGTATATTCTATAATTATTAACATAAATACAACCCATATAGGATATACCTTCTGGATTGGTTCCATCAAAAATACTAATACAATCAGTAGGTGGATTTGGTTTTTTTTTTTTTGAAATTTTAGATGAATCTTGTACGGATTCATCAGGATTTTGATAATATTCAACTTTGTCAAATAGAAAATGGTCTAAAATATATAAGCAAACCAAGATTTGCAAAAACATATATAATTTACCATATACAGATGAATCTAAGTCATGTTCTTTAACTAAATTATGTTTAATAGAAAATATAAGAAATACTATGTAATACTTTCATAAGAATTATGTGTATTTAAAACAGATTCATCAGCACTAATTAATTTTAAAAATATAGATGTAATAAAAACCGCTAATATATTTCTCATTATTAAAATATTTGTTATATTATGTTAGTAGAACTAAATAGTGTTATTTGATAATTGTTGAAGATATGTTAATTGAATCTTTAAATAGTTAAAAATTTTAGACTAATTTTAAAATTAAAATATAAAAGATTCAACTATTAAAATATGAAAGATTCTAAGTATTAAAATATAAACGCTAGTATAAATATTAAACTTTATATAAATATAAAATTACTATTTTAAGAGTATAAAAACAAAAATATATTTAAGGGGAAATTTTGGCTTTAAACTAATATTAATTAATATTAAGTGAATTTACGCTTTAGGAATAGTGTTAAAATCTAAATTTGATAGCGGAGTTAACTATTTTTAAAATAAACTAAAAAAAAAAACATTAAATAAATTTAAGTATTAAACGAATTAATTTAGGAGTTAAAAACTAACGTCGCTTGTTTAATATTTGTTCTTTAAAAAAACTATTTTTAAATTAGTCCTTTATAAGATTATATACTAACTAAAATAGTAATAAATATATTAATAGTACATTTGTCATGTGAAAACAATATTTGTTTATATGAAAGAATTTAGTAAATAATTTTTATGTGTATGTTTTTATAAAGCTGTATAACTTTAATTAAAAATGTAAATAGTTGTCTTTTGCAATTAAAAATTATTTATAGAAAGCTGAGTTATATATGTTTTAAATTTATTAAAGTATTGACTGTTAATGTTTTAAATCAGTAAGCTTTCTATTAGTATTCATATTATACTTATATTTTATAATGCAATTATGACATAATTACAAGTCTTATAAAACTTCTAAGTAATTTTTATCGATTTTACTTGATATTTTAAATATTATTAAAACAAAATATCAAATATTATTTTTATATATTATAAAAATATGGTTATTTAAAAGATTGTTATGGGCTAGTTTTTCTTTAACATTTATTTTATCAAGTTTTATTTATGATATTAAAAATATTTGATTCTACAAAACAAATTTTTTAAATAATGAATGTAGCGATATATGTTTTCGATTTTGTACAATAAATTTTAATACGCATTAAAAGATTTATTATTTGATTTACATATTTAAAAAATACCTTGATAAGATTAAATTGTTCCTATTTTTATACAGTGGAATCATATGATAAAGTTAAGACATAGAGACATATTTTTGATATTTTGATATTTCTAAAAAGAAATCTATTTACTTTTAATACATATGGAACCATTAAAGACATTTTCTCTTGATCATGTAATTAAAGATTCTTTTAATGAAGTAGAAGTTGAATTAAAGGAATATGATACAGATGTTGATTAGGATATTTTAAATATTATTTCTAATTCTTTTCTAGAATTTTGGTTTTTTGTCTTTACAACGTAATGCCTATATACAATTGGCGGATGCTTCTGTAAATGAAATACCTAAATATAATTCATCTTTATTATCTATAGGAAATAAGAATGGTTATTATGTTTCTGGAATTCCGTTGGGTTTATAAAGACTTTCAAAAAAAAAAAAATATTGACTAATTTTTCTAGGATTTGTATTTGGAAGGACTGAATCTTTAAGAGAAAGCTTAAAAAGTAAAGCTGTTAAAGGAATAGTAGAACACAGACCATTGTTAACAATACATCTTGAGAAGAAAGTTTTAAATCTTTCTTTTTCTTCAGATGAACAATATTTAATTGTGGCCACAGAAGAAAATATAATTATGTTTTATAACACACAAAAATTGCTTCAAAAGGTATTTATTTATAATAGTTCTTACCTATACTTTAAATAATATAGAATAATTATCATCAACCTGAATTTGTGTTTCAAATTGAAAATATTAAAAATATTCTTCCTAACCCAGTAGATAATAATATAGTTGCAGTATTAACTTTTTTTGGCAACATTCATATGATCAATTTTTCACAAAGGAGTGTTTCAAAACCTTTGGCAAATAATATAACTTCATGCAAGTATATTTATCAAAACCTGATTCTGTTTAATTTAAAAAGGTTCATGGTCTCAAAAAGGCAAACAAATAGTATGTGGGACATCGGATGGAAAATTAATCCAATATACTCCAGATGGTTCTCTAAAAGCTGTTATCAACAAGCCCAAGTCACTGAATGATGCATATTATGGTAACTTTATTAAATATATAAATAATGGTTTTAAAAATTACAGTAAGTTCTATTTTATGGCTGGAAAACCATGTTTTTTTTGTTGTTTATAATGACTATAATTTATCAGAGAACTTGAGACATGATTATATAATTTTTATAATTACAAGAGAGCAAAATGGAACAATTGTTTATGGAAGACTTGTAGATCCTAGCCCGCCCTTTGGATTGACTAGTAGAATTGACCATCATTTTATAAAATATTTTAAAAATTGGTTTGTTTTGCATAATTATTTATATTTTTAACAAAATTTAGGGAGCCTAATTTAAAAGATTTTATTATTATTGCAGCAACAGCAAGTACTGATATTGGTATAGTTTGTCGTAATAAAGATGATTTAGTATGGAAAACATTAATTATATCTAATGAGACTTATAGAGCTTCTTTACCATATTCTCTTTTGAATGATTGTGATACTTCACCTATTGGTATTGCACTTGATTTTACATTATCTGAAAATATCCAAAAACCATTATTTCCAAATGATGAGCCAAAAGAAAGCCAGCCTCTTCCTATTTTATATCTTCTTAATAATGATTATTTTTTAACAGGATATTATGTTCTTTATATTGATGCAATAAAAGCAGGCAAAATATGTAGTTCTATGTGTTTAGCTAAAGAAAATATTCCTGATATAAGTATTAATATATTTTTTTTTTTTCAGAAATTTATTCTACTTAGATTTTAATCAAAATACAGCTGTAGCTACAAAAGAATGTAGTTTTGGTTTTACGCCATTACACATGCCAAACTTACCTACTTTGAATTCAAAATCTATGTCTGAAAAAACTTCTGATTCACATACATTTAGACAAATGATTAATAATTCAATCTCATTTGGAGTTTCTTCTTTTGGGGTTCCATCTTTTGGAATCCCTGTTTTTGGAAATACTTCTTTTGGATCATCTGCAAATACAGGTTTTGTTGTTATATGTAGATATCAAAAATCTAATTTTTAGGTACTGAGAATTTAGTATTTAAAAAAAAAGAATTTGGTAGTACATCACAAGGTATTAAATCGTCATTCGCATCATTTGCATCTATGACTAAATCGAATAATGATTCTCCTTTTGGAAATTTAATTCAAAATTCATCTCAAATGTATGGAAATAAGTCAGAAAATATTTTTAGTGAGTCAAAGTCCTCATTTTCATTTAATACATCAAGACCTGAAAATAAAGACGATGATATTGAAGATGATGAGTTACAAATAGAAAATGATAATGCTTTAGGAGATAGAATAGAGTGTATTTCAGATAAAGAACCAAAGATAATATCTGATTCCCCTTTTGGAGGAATTATGAATTTTTTTAATATTAATAACGAAAAAAAAGATTCTACAAATATTCAATCTCAACAATTTAATTCATCGGAATCCTCTGTGGAAACTTCTAATCTTTGTCTTTTTGAAAGAGAAAATAATCTTTCTGTAGATAATATGTCTGTGAAGTCTTCTAATTTGTCATTTTCGGCAATGCAAGATCAGAAGTCTTCTGATTTTTTTTTGATTCAAAAAAGTCAAATAAGAAATAACCTTGAAAATTCAAATATGAATATTCTTTCTTCTGATAACTCTAAAGTTTCCTGCTTATCTGGAATTAACGATATTATTAAAACGGAAGTAGGCTTTGTTTTTAGACTAAAATAATTTTTTAATATTTTTAGAAAGCATCTACAGATCTTTTAAAGAAAGAAGATAACAGCATTTCATTTAGTAATTTATCTTTTAATGGGACTGATGAATTGTCAGAAAAATTAAAAAAAATAAATAAAAATACTCAAATATCTTTTGATGAAGTAACTCCGCCGATTATTCTAAACAAGTCTCATAGAAATATTTTTGAAGCGAAAATTTATGATAAAACTGAACTTAATCGAGATTATGAAAGTAGGATATCTGATTATGACTTTGATTCTTTGAATAGTGAGAAGAAAAAGGAACTTTCTTCATTAGAACATTCTTGTCCAGAGATTACTCCTCTTTCCAAAGGAAACGTTTTAGGAAATAATTTAAATGTATCTTTAAATGAGTCTATTATTTGCGATTCTGTTGAAAAATCAGTATTTCAAAATGTTTTGAAATTTCATGAAAATCTACCTGTAAATGTTTCTAAAGTAAAGTCTAATGATTTACTACCATACATATCACCAGAAAGTGAAAATATTGGTTTTGAAGGTAATAATTATAATTGTTTCAATAAAAATATTAAAGGTGAATTAAAATATATAGAAAACGGACATTTGATATCACAAAATTCTAATATATTATCTAATATGCCTTTGATTTCTTCTCATAGTTTAAACGTTTTGGAACCTAAAAGTGATACTGAGGTTCTTAGCAATTTTTCCAAAATCGAAACACTAAACACTACTAATGAAATTTATAATCATGAAATCGAAAAGTCCATATTATTTAAAGAGCAGCATACAATGAAATTGATGCCACTGGTTTCTATGAGTGAAGTTTCTAAAGCTCAAAGTAAAGAAAAGGTAATCATTTTTCAAAAATAGAAAAATAATTATTAATTAAATAAGGGCCTTATTAAAGAAATCGATATAATATATATACAAATGGAAAGTGAATTGAATGTTGTAAGTGTAAATGTATTTGAATATCGTATAGTTTTTTATAAAATTTAGATTCAAGAGAATCTTTGGAGATTAAGTCAATTCATAGAAATTCAAAAAAATAATAATATACAAGATCATATAGATCTGTCTGTAAAACAAATTAAAAAATGGAAATTAAGTGAGATTTCTCAAATGGAAAAAAAGGCATGCATTTTACTAAGTGATGTTTCAAATTTTCAAAAAATAGAAAATATGAATCTTAATGTTATAAAATTTTTAAAAAAAACATTTATTAAATGTAATTATACTATTTTAATGTATATTTTTTAATTTGTGTATTTTTAGTAGAAGCGAAACATATAGAAGTATCTAGGTTTATCAGAGCACGTATTGATCATGAATTTACACAAATGATTAAAGTTCGGCAATTAGGATTTGAACATCTTGAAAGTCAAGCAAAACTTCGTAAAATATGTCAGGTATTAATTTTTAACTTAATATGTATAATTATTAATTTTATGTAGAATGTTGAGGATTATTTGTGGAAAGCTGAAGAAGATTTTGCATTATATAAAGCAAAACTTGCTGGAAGAACTAATGGTAATATAAAAATGCCTTCACTAGAATCAATTAAAAAAGCGTTGGGAAAAATTGGTTCTCTTATCCAACAAAGTATGAATGAAGTAAATAATTTAGAACTTCACTTTAAAGAATTGAAAACAGAGTCATTTATAAAAGCAAAAGATATAAAAGTTAGAACTAGTCGTAAAAATTTATTTTTTTCAGAAAATATATCATCAATTACTACAACAGATATATTACGGAAAGATAAGTTTTTGACTATTTTAAAAGAAATAATGAAAGAAAGATGTCCATTACATACAACTATTTGTGACTAAAATATAAAAATGTATATTACGATAGTTTATATTGTTAATTTTTGTATTTATTATAATTTTAAAAATTTTAAAATCTCAACTATAAAAATATGTTATTAATTTAGTAAATTTTAGAAATTATTTTAAAAAATAAAATTTTATTTAGAAAAGAATTGATTAGTATTTAAGAAATACTGATATTGTTAGTTTAAGTATTAATAATGTATTAATTAAAATAATAAAGTTATTAAATCTAAAATATTAAGTTTTAAAAAAATAAAATCTTTTAAAAAAATATATAATATAAAAATTTTAACATAGACTATTTAAGTAGTTAACAATAATAGATTTATTTGATCAATAAAACTTTTAATGTAGTAAAAAATATCCAAAAAGTAAAATTATAATTTTTTTGAAAATAAGTTTTATAATTAATAAAATTTAATTCTTTTTAATTATTTAAAAAGGTTTATTTAATAATACTATATATTAAGAATTATAAAATATAAATTTTTGCTTAATTTTATCACCATAATTATTTTAATGATTTCTATATTAATAAATATATTTTTTAATTATTAAAAATATCTTAATTAAAACTATTATAAAAATTATAATTATATATTTTAGTATCTGTTTAATATTCAAAGTACATAATTATTATATTAAGAACTCTTTATTTATAATTTTATAAAATCTTAAGTAATTAATATTTTTATGAAGTTTTTATAAATTTTATATATTAAAAACATTATTAATCGTTTCATTAATTTTTCAAAAATATTCATGTTTTTAGATATTTATTTTATAAATTTTCTTTATGATTTAATAATTTTTAAAAACAATTAATTAAAAAAATGACAACTCAGATATACGGAGGAGATGAAATTTCTGCAATTGTTTTGGATCCAGGATCACAATATACTCGTGCAGGATATGCAGGAGAAGATACTCCAAAATGTGTTATAGAAAGCAATTATGGCCTTTTAACAGAAGAGAATGAATCAAAAATAATAATAGGAGATAATTTTATATATGCACCACGATCTGGAATGGAAATTAGGAATCCTATGTCAGAGGGGATTGTTTGTGATTGGGATATTGCAACACAAATCTGGTCATATGCAATACGAACGTGCTTACGAGTTGATCCAGTAGAGCATCCTTTACTTGTAACTGAACCAAGCTGGAATCCTCCTAAAAATCGTGAAAAAACTATGGAAATTGTGTTTGAAAAATTTGGTTCTCCTGCATTCTATCTTGCAAAAAATGCAGTATGTGCGTCATTTGCTAATGGCAAATCTACTGCACTAATTCTTGATGTTGGTGCTCAAGTAGCATCTGTTACACCTATTTATGATGGTCTTGTTTTAAAAAGAGGTAAAAATAGTTTATTTTTTATTTGGATTATATATATATATATATACAGGTGTTATGAAACAAAACCTTGCTGGGAATTATTTATCTGCTCAAGCTCGTGCTTATTTTCATAGAGCTAATATTCCTATTGTTCCTCATTATATGGTTAAAAAGAAAATTCCCGTTAATGCAGGTGTACCTTCTAAGGCAGAGTTACGTACATTTTCAAATATTCATAATAGTTTTCATATTTTTCAACAAGATCGTGTTATGCAGGAGTTTAAAGAAAGTATATGTCAGGTTTTTGAAAGATCGTTAAGTGAATCGTAATATTTTATTTATACTCATTCAAATAATTGATTTTCTTAGAATACCTTCATCTCGACCAGCAAAAGCTTTTGAATTTCCTGATGGTTATAATCTTTTAATTGATATTGATCGATATAAAATTCCTGAGGTTTTATTTAATCCTTTATTTTTGGTTACTGTAAGTTTTAATTTTAGTTATTGACTTTTTTTTGAAAATTATCTAGGAATCTCCCGAAATAATGCCTCCAGAAAATTCTGTTTCTTTAGCTCAATTGCTTTATAACAGTGCAATGGCATGCGATACTGATATTCGGGCAACATTATTGGGAAATATTATTATAACAGGAGGGACATCTTTAATACAAGGATTTGGTGATCGAATTTTAACAGAACTTCAGATTTTAGGTAAAAATATCAATATTAGATATGTTTAATATATTATAGCACCAGGGAGTCGTATTAAAATCAATGCTTCGGGTAATACAGTCGAACGAAAATATGCGTCATGGTTAGGAGGTAGCATTTTAGCTAGTCTAGGAACATTTCATCAATTGTATTTTTTATTTGTTAAAATTAATATATGCTAAATGATTTTATAGATGGATATCTAAAAAAGAATATGATGAAGAAGGTGACCATGTTTTACTTATTGAAAAAAGATGCAAATAAAAAATAAACATATTTATTAAATAATAATTTTTATAATTAAACACGATGCTATATTTACATATTAAAATGAATTTATTAGTATTGTAAATAATTTCTTACCTTTTCATTTTCTAAGCGAGAATAAAGCATATACAAGGCCATTTGATTACATTCAGGTGTCCCTGTTATGGTTACTAATCTTTCAGCTGAGTTATCTGCAGGCTCATTGATCTTTATATGGGAACCAGAAAGCTGGCGAATTTCATTAATTTTTGTTCCTCCTTTGCCAATTATTGCCCCAACCTATAAATGATATAAATTAATTTATAAGTTTAGTGATATTTAAGGGTAATACCATATCATTTGGAATAAATATCTGCTGAGTAATTGGTTGTCCAGGAGCAGCTTGTGATGACTGTTGTGTTTGTTGTGTTTGCTGTGTTTGCTGTGTTTGTTGTTGTAGCTGCTGTGATTGTCCTTGTTTAGTAGTATGTGAGCTTGCTTGATTTTGCTGTTGGATATTATATGCTGCTACAGCTTGAGGGTCAGCAGGTGTATAACTAGACATTTGATAGTTTTGTTGTGTAATAGCATTTGGTGCAATTCCATATGGATTCGCTGGTGTTATCATGGTGTCATTAAGTGAAACTTTCTGAAAAGTTGCTGGATGACCATAACCTCCATGCATACTTAGTGGATTATACAAGCATGTTTGCAAGTTTGTTATATGATCAGCTTGTTGAATTAAAGTTATTGAAACATGAAAAATAGCAGTATATATAGCATCTTCAGTACCATATATAACTAATGTTCTTTCAGTACTTAATGGAAGAAGACTGTCTGAAGCAGTTATATGTGCTCTAGATATTTTTTGAATTTCATTAATACGGGAACCATGCTTCCCAATCAAAGGCTCTATAAAGATATGAGGAATAGCCAGTCTAACTCTTCGAGGTTTATCATTAGATATTAAAACAGAATCTAAATCTTCACTATGCAAAAGTCGGAGAACAAGTGAAAAAGCTTTGGCAACTGATTTTGGAGCCCCAATACATGTTAAAATTCTTTCAACAGATCCAAGAACATTCTCAGTTAAGAATATCCGAGCTCCTGTTTTTTCTTGCAAAAGAGTTATATTTTCTCCACTTTCTTCAACAATTGCCATAGCATCTCGCCCAGAAATGATTCCTCTTAAAGTCACAACTTGTGTTTCATCAGTAGATTCAGTTTTATCAAATACAGCTTGGCGTTTGGTTGACAATGAACTATATTTTAGTGTTTCGTCATCTAAAGGCGGATGCCTTTTCGAAGATTCTAAAGACATTCTAATATTGTTTAAATTTATTTAAAAATGAATATTATAAATTCTAATACTTTATATATTATATCCAAAAGAATATCAAAGAATATCCGAATGCTAAATTATGTTTTATAAAGATAGTTTTCAAATATTTAACGTTTTTCTAGTAAACGTATATTTTAGAATTTAGAAAAAAATAATTAAAAAATTATTTATGAAAATAAGTATTTAAATTTTATAATATTTATTTTACTTTTTTAATTTTATATATTTTTTTTAAAAAAGAATAAACATAGAATAAACATAAAAATATATTAAATTTAGAATATCAAAAATACAAATTAGGTAATTACAAAATGATAATTACAGAATTCAGAATAAAATTATTTAAATTGAAATTTTGTAGTTTTTACCAAAGTAAAAATATTGTTTTTTTATTATTTTAAGAATCAAAATTAATTATTGTATTTTTTGTAATATATTAAACAATTTCTTTTTTACTTTTTAATATAAATTTTGTATTTTGGCAACAGATAAGAAAATATTTATAATCTTTTATTTCAATGATTGGAAGATTTAATTATCATGTTATATTTTTCAATCTACAAGAAACATTTCTATTTTAAATTATGATGATAATTAATGTTTAATTTTTTAATTGTCTTTATGATATTTTTGTTGATGTTTAGAAAATTTTTTGAAACAATTTTTAGAATTTAGGATTTTTTATGTATTACAAAATTGTATGTATAAAAAAAATAAATTTTAGAATTAAAACTTTTTTATATTTTTGATTTTAATATACATTTTTTCATGATTCAGATTTTAAATGTATTTTTTTATATTTAAAAATATTCTAAATATAAAAATGTTTAAAAATTTATAATGACCATAAATCGTAAATTAAAGCATTAATTATTATATAATCCCAAAAATTTTAATACTGCGATATAAATAATCTTTAGTAAATATATTTTAGTAAAATAATTTTAAAATGATGACATAATAATCTTAAATAACAACCATAAATTAAAAACCTTATATGAATATTGACTTTGTATATTATGTAATAAATATTATCATGTATTGTAAATCATTTTGTAAATAATAGAAAATGAAAATAAATTATGATTCTGCTGAATTTGCAAAAGCAGATGAATACACAAGATACCATGCTAAAGAAGACCCGTTATCAAGATATTTCCTATCAAAACAACTTGAAAAGAAATCATATGATTCTTTTGGTTTTGAAATAGCCAGATTTGCGAAAAGAATTCCTTTCCAACCATCGTTAATAGTATTAATAATTGACGCTAATTTGTTATCCCATTCACTTTGAACGAATGATGGTGTTCGAATATATGCACTTATAGCCCTAAATAAATAAATTAAAGAAGTCAAAAATTTATAGAAAACATACGTTAATGGAAGCATATGTATCCCCTGAATGCATTCTAAACGTGGTGAAAAATATGTAGTATGATGTATCTAAATCAAATATTAATAAAACAAGAATGTAAAATTATAAGTAAAATACTTTATTCATAAACTTAATTCCTGAAACATAATTAGGAAGAAACACTCGAGGCATTATTGTATTTGATGATTCATATAGAAAGTATGAATGAAGTGATCGTTTTAAAATAGCTAATATTAAATTTGCTCTTGATACCATGGCATTATCACCGATTGTCATCCCAAAAAGCTTCATTGCAAAATAAAAATTATAATCTTCTGATGAAGATTCTTCGTCTTTTCCGTCAGGCGACTCAAATATACCTTTAGCCCAAGAATGTCCAGTAAACCAATCAAAGGAGCGAAAAGCAGGAAAATAAGAATCATGAACTGGATTTGCAACATCTCGTATTAAATCAAGGATCCAATCCTTGACTTTTTCAGCCCATGCTGGATCAATATAACTTATAATTGCTGCTGCAAATATCATATATCCGTAATGCTTTAAAAATGAGTGAATTATATCTTTATAATTGTTTTATTAATACTTACAAAATGATGATCATTATAATAAGATGCTCCAAAATCCGCGAGCGGTCCTTTTGTAAATCCTTGATCTGTAACAATACCATTCCATGTTGTATCATAAACTAGCTTATATTCATTTAAATTTTCTACAAATGGCATATATGAATGATTAAATTTTTTCAAACATTCCTCGGCGAGTGTTTTATTTTTAAGAATATTGTTAATAACTAAACATAATAATGCAAATTTTGAAAATACTTTTCCGGAAAAATATATAGTATTTTTATCTATTTGTGAATCAAAATCTTGAGAAAGTTCATACATGGCTGCTTCTTTGATAGCTTTTAAAGCTTCATCTGAATATTCTGGTTCTTTGCCTTGTGAATATGGAAAAAAATCAATATCAACTGGCAAATCATGTTCTATCATGTTCCAACATTCTCCAACATAAGCAACCATTAATCCATTGGTTGTACTTGGAAGAGAAACGTTAGTTCTTTTAGATGCTGTAATATTGTCAAATGAAGACATATGATGAGGCATAGCATAATGAAGTAGCGAATGTCCTTTATACTGGAAAATATCAAATGTATAAGTATAATTACCAGTTTTGCCATCAACTATTGCTGATAAAGTAATTTTTTTTGCATATGTACCAGCTGATGCATCAAGAATATTCTCTGCATCGGAATTATTAATAGGTACTTTTGTAACCTGTATGGTTCCATTAAATGCACCGCATGTAGCTTTTAATATATTATTTTGTATTTCAAGATTAAATAATGTTTTTTTTTCAGGAAAAGCGTATAAAAGCCAGCGTTTTTCATCATATAAAGTTATTATAAATTTAAAATAATTATAGTTTTTGATTTCTACTTTCTCGATTTTTTTAAACCCAACAACTGAAGTAAAAAGAGGCGTTAAATCCGAATAAATTGCTGTTATGTAAGCTGCTCCTCTAACAAGAGGAAGACTCATTTTTTTTTCTGTAGAGTTTTTGGGTGTTATTGTTACATTAACGGACATTTGATCGAGAGAACTTAGTGCTAGAATCCCATTATTCAATTCTTGAGCACTGAAAACTACTGAATAAATACCAAGAGGACTAAGAAAATAACTAGGAGGATTATCAGATGCAAATACCTAAAATTATTAGTCCTTTGTAATTAAAATATACAAGTTATAAACTTTTTGGTAATCATCTACATGACTAACAGTTATGCCACTGTAATTTCCAGGAACCCATGTAACAACATAAGGATCCAAATATGTGGGAAACTCCTGGGTACCAAGAAAAAAATTAGCATAGAATTTATTTGTATGAATAGGTTTCGTGAGATCTCCGTCAAAAATAGACTTTGGTTGCAATGGATGAGTTACATTCTCAAATATCGAAAGTGGTGGCCGTTCAGTAATGGGTTGAAAAACATTAATAGGTTTGTAAATATCTGGAGAAATAGTTGAACGCTTGTCTGGCACTGTTTTGGTAGGCGTTAATGTTTTTTCAGTAGATGATGTATTTGTATTATTAATTGTATTAGTAGAATTTGTTCTTAAAGTTATAGATCTGTCATGATCAAGTGTGTTATTTACTTGTGTTTCTTGTGCGATATTATGCTTATGAGACGTTAAGTTATAGGAATCGGATTCTTTTGACATGTATTTACTATCAAGAATTTCAAGAACTTTTTTTAACATATCAGCAATTAAAAGTAACAATGCAAGCGTATACGATGTCTAAAGGAGTTATAAACTAACACGTATAATTTAAGTTTATACTTTAGAGTGCGTGGTTATAATGTCTTGAGTGTTATGTGTATTATTATTAAAATGTGTATTATTATTAAAATTTATAGCAGGCAATGCCCATATATAGCTTATAAAAATGAGTGTAATTATTGTATATAGATGTAACCAAGTATGCCGAGTAAATGAAAGACAAAATTCCTTCATAAATATATCAATATTGAAATTAAATTCAAAAAATATGATTAATTAATATATAACAATATAATACCTAAAGCAATTAACAAACTATAATCTACTAAACATAATAATGACCTTAAATAAAATGCAGTTGTTTGATCTCAGTGTATGCTTTAAAAATTGTTGAAATTGTTTATTTTATCATTTGCTTTGTAGCTCTCACGTCTTTTTAAAAAAGTATTTAGTGCTTATTCCCGAGTATTCTAAAGTCCGGTAAGTTACAAGCTGCCCGCCTTATATTTTAAAAATACGTTAATATGGCCTAAATTTGTTCTAATTAAAAGATACGAAAACCTCGCATATATACCAGCCACAAAGCCTTAAATTAACTGATATTCTATTTTTCTTACTAAAAATAAGTCTAATTAGTATTTGAAGGCACTAATTGATGCAAAAACACTAATATTTGCTTTTATTTTCTACAATTTTGTCTTATTTCACTTGGAATACAATTCTAGAAAATCGTTCGTCGAATATGTGATTATTATCAGTTTTCAAATACTTAGCCATTTTAGGAAACATAAGTGAGTAAGCTGTTCAAGATATAGTTTTAAAATGACTGAATAGTTACAAAATTCATTTATTATCTATTGTTAGATAAATTTTTCGTAATTTTTTCTGTTTTACCAATGAGGACTAGTTATATTTTTACACTTATTTTTTAATACATATTTTTCATAAGCTATTTCTTAGAAGAGTTAAGATTTAAGGTATAGTGTAAGTTGTCTTTCAAAAAGAGGGACATGGCTTTTTTGAAAATACAAGCAACATATTATATTAACTAATAATTTATTCTTTATTTTTTTAATTTTTCTGCATTTAAAATTTGCAGTAGCTTTTTTAATATAGCATATTTTCTCTTCAGAATATAGTAAGTCATTAAAGGAATTGGGCTTATAAGCTTATAAAAGTGTAAAATATTACTCGAATAGTAAAATATTACTTGAATAGTAAAATATTTCCTGAAATAGAGTACTATCTATAAAGCGTAAATAAATTCCCTAAAATAAACATCGCATATATAAAAGGAAAAAATATTGCCTAAAAGGAACTAGATCGTCTAAACACCTAAGAATTAATGTATTAGGGTTGTGCCCTAAGACTAAAGGCAAAGGTCGATAGTTAAGTGTTTAACCTGTGTTTCACTAAGTACAGGAAACTATATTAGTATAAGGGTTTAGAGAAAAATATCAGTTTATTGAATGGAAAAATCATCGGAAAACCAAAAAAAAGTAGGTTTTGTTTATGTTTAAATGACGGATTAATTTATTATTAGCTTTCTATATATAATGAAATAGAGGATGCGCCGGTATTGGTTGAAGTTACTCCATTGGTCTTGCAATTAAAAATCGAGAAAGGTCGGAAACAATTTGAGAAAACGGTTAGAAATATATCGACAAAAATTGAAGAAGTAGTGGATAAATGGATTGGTATTGAAAATAAAATAGAAAGTGTTGCAAAAGAAATAGCACCATCAAATAAAGAGATTTCGTCTGGAGGAATATATGTAATAGTTTCTGGAATGGCTGGATTGATTTTAACACGAAAATGTATGTGATTTGTTATTTTAAAATAGATCAAATATTTTTAGGTACTTTTCCTATACGATTTGTGACTCCTGTAATTACATCATTTGCTGCATCTACATATTTTTTTCCTGAAACACATCAAAATATTAGAAATATGGCTTGGAGATATTACCAAGCTCGGTTCAAATCTTGAAATATAATAATGGTTGATATAAAGGACATTTGGACATATAAAAATGCATGAATAGACTGTTTTTAAAAATTGCTTTCTCCATTAAGTGAAATAAATACTAATATTTATATAACAATATAATAATATAATAAAAAAACAAAATATTCTGGTATATATTTCATAATTATATAATTCTTTCATAAAAAAAATTCATAAAACATGTATTAATTTTTTTCTTTTATTTTTCGTTATTCATATTCATACTATAATTATATATAGGAATATCTTTTCTGCGATAAGTGTAACCCTAGTTTTGTAAGATAAAATAATAAAATATTAAAAATATATACTTTAAATGCTAATTTCTCCCGAATTTGAAGAACTTCCTCACCATATACCTGTAAGATTAGTATAAATATAATACACTTGTTTTTTATTTTACCTTGTCTCTAAGAAGTAAGTCTCTTATTTTGTATTGTCCTATACCTGGAGCAGACTGCAATACTTCGTCTTTACTGAGTTCTTCAAAATATTTTGTATCTGTTAGATCTTTAATTTTTGGAACGAATGGGGGTGTCTGTTTATGTAAAGAATCCCAATCTATATTACGAAACCATGGATGCGCTTTTATTTCTTCCGCATCTGATGAATACTGATATATTTCAGAATTTGATTGTTTGGATATTGTATGCAATGGGTTAGAATAAAGGTGACAAAAAGAAGTAGAGCCTAAGCGATCTTTGTGATCACATATAAGCATCTTAATTAAATCTTGTGCTTCTTTAGAAACATGAGGGGTAGTAGGAAAATGCAAAGTTTGACGCCAATTAAGTATTTTTATCCTTGTTGCATGTTTAGTTTTTGAAACAAATGGAGGGAATCCGTAAAGACACTTTTAATTGTTAGAATATAAAAAAGTATAATTTAAATAGACCTCATAAAGAATAACACCAAGGGACCACCAATCACAGCTTTTTGTATATCCTTCACCTTTAATGATTTCTGGCGCCATATAACTATTAGTTCCAACAAGACTATATGCAAATTCTCGACGATTTTTATCTCTCCATGTAAGAATTCCATTGTTAGATAGTTTATTTTCATATAATTCTAACATAGCTAGCATATTAAAACTCTTTCTTTTACTAATGTTGTTATCTATATTAATTCCATTTTTTTTTAAAAGGCATATTCTCTGTTGTTCAAAATATGCAGAGTCATGTAGCCATGATAAATCTGTTGATAAACCAAAATCAGAAATCTTAATATGACCATACTGGTCAAATAAAAAGTTATCTGGCTAATATCATTAGCATTTTTTATTTCTAAACTCTAATTTTTACTTTAATATCTCTATGAATATATCCTAATTTATGTATTTCTTCTATACAAAGTACCATTTCTGCAATGTAAAATCGCGCAAAATCTTCTGGAAATATATCTTTAATGACAAGTAAATTTAACAAATCACCTCCTATAAAGTGGTAAGTATAATATTCGTTAATCGAGCATTGTCTACCGGGCATATACTCCATAACTAGATATCTTATATATTATTTTAGTTTTAAAGCATAATATTGTAAAACAACTTACAAATGTGTTGAATCTTGAAAAGAATAACACAATTTAACAATCCAATTTCCATTATCACTGGCTATAGCAAGTAGATCACGTTCGGCCCATACATGTCCTTCTTGACCTTTCTTCAACATATCTGCTTTTTTAAGAACTTTCATTGCATAAATCATGCCATTGTCTTTCTTTTTGACTAATTTTACAACACCAAAAGCTCCATGACCTATAGTCTTTAAAGCAATAAAACTCGATGTATCGACTCGTTGACGAAGAGATCTAAGATATTTTGTTTCTTGCTTGTTAAATTCAAGACGAAGATTTTGGCGGTCCTGGTCTGATAATTTGGTATTTTCTAATTGCATTTCAAGATTTTTTTGTCTTTCATCTCGTGGATTTGGCTTTTTAAGAATATTATGAAAGTAAGTTTCAAGAAAGATTTTTGTAGCTGCAGATTTTTCGATAGTACTTAAGGATGGTTGGCGAAAGAGTACATCTTTCATATAAAATGATTTTTTGTCGTTATTATGTCTATAAACTATTGTACTTTCAGACGGTATGATAAATGTTTTGAGAGTTGTATTAATAATAGATGTTTGGTCAACTTTCAGAGGTGGATGTAGCTTATTCAATGCTACTAAATTCGAATTGATTGATGTAACGATACTTGTATTTGTTTTAGATTCTAAATGTAAATATTAGAAAAGAGTAAATGTTATGAGAGTTTTACTATAGAAATATTCATATGTATTAAATGATGATTCTTGGCAAAGAGCAATGGCTTCTTTTTTGTTGTTTGCATGAGCAAGATGCCTTTAAGAAAAATCAATCAATCTAGAAATAATTCTTGAAAAACTTTACCGGAAATCTATTGGCAAAGAAATACATATTGTTTTGTCCGAACCTAGATTCTGTCAGTATAAACCGCATACAATTGTTGTATTAGTACCACAATTCTGTTTGGGTGTAAAAAGAGATAACAATTCTAGGAAAAAAGGACTAAATAATTTGTCTTTTTTTATACGAAGGCCATTTGATTCGATCTCTTTCTTTTTGCTTGAATTCATTGGTGTGTTTTGCTGTTTTTATAATGTGTTTTTCCTCAAATTCTACAAAAATACTTCAATTGCATATTCATAAAGCTGATAAACTATTATATGGTTACATTAAGCCATTATACAGTATATATGCGCAGTTAAATACCTTTTATGATTACTGTAATGTGTTTTTATTATCAATAATATTGGATCGTTGTTAGTTTGAAGATAAATCTTCGGAGAATTATAAATATTTCTAAATTAAGAATTGTATAATAAGTTTTATATAAGATTGCATATATGTGTTTGAATAGAAGAAAGGAATGTAAATAATTGTAATAAGTGATTTTTTTTGAAGAATAATAAAATTTCTGCAAGAAAAATTCTTTTTTTTTGTTAGTCGAGCTTTGATTTGAAAAATAATTAACGTAGAGTTAACGCAGCGTTAAAAATTGTCAGATATGACACTTTGGAGAATGAAATGGACATTGAATAGGAGTCAAAATATAGTAGATATTGCCCGTTGTTTAAGGACTTCAAGATGTTTATTTGTCTATAAAAATATACGATTATATGCGGACACTAAAGCACCGCATGCTTTGAAAGATATTAGCCAACCACTTGTAGGTAAGGTAGATAGTATATAAAGCATTTTTTAAAAATGCAGTTAGTTCTTTTCGTGGAGGATTTCTTGGTTTTTTTATTGGGACAAGTTTTGCCACTGCAGCTGGATATTATTTTTTAATAAATGAATATCAGCATGCATCAAATACTTTTCTTTTATCTATAGAAGAATTACAGCGTATAACAGATTCTATTATTGAATCAGTAAAACAGATAGAAGAAATGGAAAAAAATGTAAAAAAATTGCAGAATAATGTTGTAACAAAAAGCGATATTCAAGACGTTCGTACTGATACAAAAAAAATGATCGAAAGTTTAAATTTAGCTGATTTAGAAGTAAACGAACGACTTTCTGAATTAGGTAAGAATAAATGTTAGATATTTGGTTAATATTGTTAATAATAAATATAGAAATGGATGTAGCAAAATTATCACGCTACGCACATACTATTATGTAATTTCTAATTTTGTAATATTTTTTAAAAAAAAAATAAATTTTATACTTTAAGCATTTCTTGGGTTTCTGGTCTTTTATCTGTTTTTTTAATATGTATTTTCTTTACTAATACTCTTTGTACACTTTTTTTTTTTAAGTTTTCTTCAACGGTTTTCGTTATGGATGCAATTTCTTCCATATTTTTAGCATTGTTTAATTCATTAATTGCGTCATTAAGCCAAACTGCTTCTTCAGAAAATTTTATTTTTTCAATTCGTTTTTTATGTAAATCTTTCATAATTTGTATTTCAGTATTAGATAGTTTTTCTTTTAAAGCATCAATTGTAAAATCTGGGGAGTTAGGAAAAAGTGGTGAAGATAAGATGTCATCTTGAAAAATTAGAAAATTAGTTTTACTTGAAATTACTCTACCTATCTTAAAAGTACTATTAAATATTTCTTCTATCCAGTCATGATGTCTCATATATCGTGCTATAGATATATCACGAGGTGTTAAGAAATCTAATTCATCACCTTGTGGTTCTTCTGTTTCAGGTGCTGCTTTCGATTGAGTTGATAGAGAGTTTTCTGTATTTGATGATCCATAGTCTATAGATGTTGAAGAATTTGTTTTTTGTTTTTTTCTTGAATCATAAGATACGTTTGATTGTATTGTATATGTAGAATTAGAATGCAATTCTCCGGATTGATTAGAATATTGATTTTTTTGAAAATTCTGACTTCCTTTAGTAGAAGGGGAATTGTTATAATACATCATAGGTCTTGTAAGAACATTAGATGAAGAACTATAGGAACGAGATGTCTGTATAGCATTCTCATATAACATGAATGGTTTATTTTGGATATACGGGAGAGGATAGCTCCTTGGAGGTTGTGGTATAGCAGTTTGACTATTTGCAAGTAATCGATCTAAGAACTGTAAACTTGTGTTTAAACTATAAAATATAGAAAATTACCATTTTCATTTGACCTTAAATAATAAATCAGCCATAATTGATCATTCCCACCCTTAATAAGCCTAAAACGCCGTCTAATTCGTGATGTATGGGATTCTGTTGCTGGATGAAATCCATATTTATGTTCAAAAATTTCTACTGTCTAAATAATTGAGTTGGAATAAAAATAAAAAAAAAATACATTTCCCCCAATATCAACACGATAGCAGTTTTCAGAATCCATATACTGAAGTCCATCTGAAGGAGGATTCATATTTGACTCTGGAGAAAGCCATACTAAAAAGATCTGACCATCCACTGGCTTATCAATAAAATTCCAAACAAAAGGAACCTATCTATTATAAATTTATATGAAAATAGACAAAAATTACTTGTTGTGCAACTCCAGGTGCTTTAATCAGCATATCTGTAATAGATTCAATAGATAAATGTGGATTTACAGGATAGCTTTTAATATATTTAATAAATGTCAGAATTATATATAATAATTACCTTAATGTTGATTTACACCATACTTGAGATATCCAGTCGGCGCTTGGAACGCTACTTAGCAAAAATTGCTGAGCTATTTCAATCATAACGGGCTATCTTTTCGAGATTTTTAAAGTTTACCGTTTCAAGATCGGTATTTCCACAGACGGTATTCGCAATGAGATAAAAAATTATGGAAAAAAATAACAAAATTGTTCAAAAAACTTATCTTATTTTAGTTTTTTTGTGAGAGTTTTATTTGGTTTCTTTGTTAATTTCAGTATTTTTTGGACTAAACTGCTTTTTTAATTATAAAAAATATTTAAAAAATGAATATTTTTCCTAATGTATTTGAAGAAATAGATAAAATAGAGGCACGAGATGAAGATAATGTGCCATATCCTCGGTTTGGATGTCTTTTAGATACTGATTCTATTGTTTTTTTGCAGAATAATTCTTTTGAGCAGCAGTTATTACAACTTATATCATTACTGTCTATTCCTCGATCAAAGTTATTAAAAAAAGATATTTCTGAGCAATCTTTTAAGGATTATTCTAATATTCTTGTTGAAGTGTCAGTATATTTTCTGTATTGGGTTGAAACTGCTGTGTTTATATTTAGAGCCTTGGATTTTGATGATGATATTGAATGGGCTTATCATGCAAAAGATCTATTTAATGAAGTAGAGAAAGAGGTTATAAATGCGTCTTCTATTTTTAGTAATTTTATTGAAAAAGCTTCTGATTCTATTTTTCAAGAATCTTCTGATTCTAATTCTATAAATTTAAAATCTCAGGAAATATCTCAAGGCTGGACGTTTGTTAAAAAATTTCTTGGATTTATAAAATACCAAATAGAGATTTCAAAAGAATGGGTAGATTGTATTGAGATATTGAATCAAATAAATCAAGAACTTAAGAAATGTGATGTACTTGTTTTTGAAATTAAAGAACGAACTCTTGATATTCCTTCTATTTCCCATCAATTTATGGAATTTATATCTTTGGAATCATTTGTTAAAGATGTTTTTGATGATGAAAAAATAGGGACATTGGAGGAAATAAATTCAACTGACATTTTGAATAAATGGAATAGGAATTGTCAAAATTTTATATTTCAAGTTTACGAGAAAATAAAACCACTTGAAACATCTCTTATTTTTTTTAAGCTCCGAATTGAGTATTTTAAGGAGAAAGCTCTGGAATTGTTTCCTACTGCTATTCATGATATAGAACAAAGAAGACATAGTTTGGAAATTAAATGTAAAAAATTACAAGACAATTTTTCTTCTGTAAAAAGAAAATTTCAAGAAGATAAATGGATACTTGTTTTTTCATATGTTAATAAACAGGTAAGATTTATGATATATTTATTTACATATATTAATTTATAAATTTTTTATAGGCAACAGATATTATGGACTCATTAGAATTAGAAATACAGAAATTTAATACTTCTTCGCCTATAACTAAAAAAGTTACTGAGTCGTATAAGACATATAAAGTGAAAAGAGACAGTTACGGTATGTATTTTATTTAAAAAAGTATAAATTCAATTAAATATTGACAAACTGTAGCTATAATACGGATTATTACCCTTATAGAATGGGGAGTATGGAATAAACTAACGAATAGTAGCCAAGTTATTGAAGGTTATAATACTTTATATGAAAGATGGAAAAATTTAAATAAAAATATTATAAAAATTGACAATATAGTTTTAGAAAATGATACCTCTTCTAAAGATTCAGAAAAAAATACTGAGTCTGTTGTTAATGATTCAGAATCAGTGATATCTAAATCAGTTAAGTCGTGTACAATTCCAAAAACTCCACAATTTCCGATAAAATATTGTTCTCTGATTCCAGTATCTAAAAATAAGCGTCGGCCTTTATTATATGATATGCTTAAAGTTAAATCTAAAATTCAATCTACACCCAGAAATTTACATTATCCTAGCTATGTTTATAGCACATGTTTTACGAATCATTCTGACAATATTAATTTATCTAAAAAATCTAGCATATCTTCATTTACTGAAGATACACCTATACAGCTTTCTAAGCTCAAGATATTTCCTGCTATAATGGAACAAACTAGAATGAGCAATAAAGTTACTTCTCATTTAAGTTTAAAATTAACACCTACAAAAAACACACCTAGTTCAAAAAATAATCCTAATTCAAAAAATAGTCCTAATTTAAAAAATAGTCCTAATTCAAAAAATAGTCCTAGTTCAAAATCCAAAATATTGATTTCTGGATTGGGCGTTTCTCGTGCTTCTCCTTTACAACATACGGTTTCTACTGAACAAATATCATCTCGAAATTCCAATATAAAACTAACGAAGTATAAAGAAAATAATTCTTCGTTTTCTAATATACCACGCCCATCATTTCAAAAGATATCATGTTTTTCTGTTTTAGGGAATCAGAATTCTTCTATAAAAATGGTATCCACACAAAAAAATATCTTTGCCTAAGGAGTTAATTCATATAATTAAAAAAAAATATATATTTAATATTGTGTAGAATTTTTAAATTTTTAATATTTTGGGGCATTTTGATTATTATTTTTATAGGATATATTTTAAAATTTTAATTTATAGTTTTTTTTTGGATATTTCATGCTATAGATAACATTTTAAAGAGTTATTTAGATATTTTGGTTTATATTTATGTATATATTTATAATGGGTTATTGTTTTTTTAGTCTATATTGACCAGAGATAAACTCTAGGTGTTCCTCTTTTACCATTAAAGCTAAAAATTCACGTAATTCGTCTATAGAACGATTATAAATATTTGGAGGGGGCACGAACATTTGCAATGTTGAATGGATCCTTTCTAGAGTCAATGGTCCCAGATTAGTAAGCATACCATTTATAAAAGACCTATAAATTAGAAAATGTTTTTATAAAAAAAAATAATTACCAATATATTATCATTTCTTCAGAAGCATGCTCTTCCATGGCTTGAACATTTGAAATTAACTCTTCTAATGCTGAAAGAGCTAATATAATTAGTAATTATAAATAAATAATAAAATTTTAAACTTTTATTAGACGGTTCTAGTTCAGTATATTCTAGAACTTTAAAGGTGTCTTTTGTAACTTCTTTAAGTACACCATGTTTTACCCAAAAAAGTGTATTTCTTCTACAATCTGTATAATCTTGTCCTATAGCTGTCATTAAATTTTTTATAGTTTGCTCATCTAAAATTTTTAAGTAAATATATAGACATAATAATATTGTTAACTCTTTTCTTGAAAAAGCATAATAATAGAAGCTTGTGCGGGTCTAACATTCATGTTTAAAGTCCTGTCTTCTAGTATTATTTCAATTTGTACGTGGCCTAAATTGGGTATCCAGTGTAATTTTCTTGAAGCTTTTAGTTTTTCGAAATCTTCAGCATAACTATCCATATAACTGTTTTTTTATTTTTTTAGATTTTAAAGTATTATTTATATACTACCTTTGAATTTCTTTCGAAAGACATAGTGCTTCACCTTTAAAATTTGGCCAGAAAAGTCGAGAAAGTATACTCGCATGTATTGGTGTCTTCTAATGTTAAATTTATATAAAATGAATAACTGTTAATGATAAAACCGTATTATTAAGTTCTTTATGTAAATTTGTATCAATTCTTTTAGATTCAGCAATATCGTGAAGCATTACATCACACATTTGTAAACTATTTTCACTAAAGCGTAACTTTAAAAGTTCTAAATTTCGTAACTTAAGAATATTAAAAAATGTTTGGTTTCAAAATAATACCTTACCTCTTTATCGGTTTCATAATTCATTGCAGTAAGAAGTCTATCTGCTAGAAGATTTTGAAGTTCTCTTATAAAAATATCTTTATTTTCATAAATACTAACAAGACTTTTAATGATATCATTATTGTTCATTTTCCGGAAGTCTGAATAATAAATAGCATAATAGTATGACTTTATATTTTATTACCTGGTGCAGCATCAATAGGATCAGGTGTCCAATTAAGATTATCAAAGTCATCGTCATCATCGTCTGCTTGAAGAGATGATGGATCTGCTTGACCAAGTTCTTCGCTTAATTCACTTGTTTCATCCCCGACAAGTCCTATCATAATACATTTAATAGTGTCGTTTCGATTCCTACAAAATATTAACTAAAAAAAGATAGATTTTCCAAATATATTACTTTAAATGTTTCCTGATAGGTTTTGCTACTTTATCTAAAAGTACTCCAGGAGGATCTAGAATAAGAAAACATTTAATAGTTGATATATACTGAGAAATTATATCTTGTGTATCTGCTCCCGGATGCAAAAGTCTTGTTTTACATCTAAAATATGTTAAAAATGCATTAAATGTTTTTTTTTACGATTGTTGAAATGAATTAACTAAATAATCTCTAAGAGGAGAAAATTTCATAGATTGCTAGAGATGTTATAATTTAAAAAGAATTGATTTTTTAATACTCTTAGATCCCCTAGTGCAACGGACGAATATGGATAGTCTACTATAATATCAAATAGTTCATCAATTCTAAACAGTTAACATTTGAAAATATATAGGTTTTTTATAATACCTTAGCATAGCTAAAAAGTGACAAGCAAGAGTTTCAAGTTGTAAATTTAAGTCTTCTTTTTTTATGTCAATTTTTAAAACAAGGGATATAAGTTTTCCTAATTTATTGATAGTCCATTCGACAATTTCTTCTTGAATGCTTCTATCCCATTTTTTAGAGTATTTTTCTCTTATGTATTTATTTAGTCTTTGAGATATACTTTCTGCAAACGCTCTTTCTAAGTGTTTTTGTAATCCAACTAATTCCATATTTTTACATGTTGAAAGAAAACAAGTAACTTGAGGACTTGATTCATTTTCCTCCCAAAATGCCATATTTTCTAATAACCATCCTAAAAAAATCGGATAGACTTTGTCTTCTGAAATATAATTGTTAACTAATGCGTGAAACGTTTGTCTGAATGATTTAGATGTACTGTTTTTATTACAGAAAGGTTATATATATAAGAGTATTTACTTAAAATGACTTAATATTAATGGTTGTTCATAAATATGATATGCTTCTGTAAGTTTTTCAATAAACTCCGTTAAATTGGAATGTGTGATCTATATATTATAAATATATTCATAGAGACTATAAAAGGGTAATGACATTATATGTCTGTAAAATAGGCAAAAACTTTTCAGTAAAATGAATTCTTATCGCATCTTATTGTTTGTTAATTTGGAATATAGACCATAAGGATGAAGATACGTTCATAATTTTCTTGTAATCGCTCTTTTAATCCATGATGACAAAGAATATTAATTGCTGTTTTAATATTGGGTGAAATTTCTATAAAACATATGATTCTTTATAAGAGAAAATATCCACAAACTACCTTTGTAAGTGCATTCAGGAGAAAAGAAATGATTTGCTAATTTCCATGCTGTTGCAACATTTTGAGTACATTGACTGGGAGGACCAATGCCTAAATTTTCACCAAAAATATAGTTAAAAATTGCTCTTCTGGATGTATCATTCATAGCTTAAAATAACATAGTGATATTATTGATTTTTTTTAAATATATTAAGATTTATTTTAAATTTAAAATAAGTTGTTTTATCGTTAGTTTTGAGATTTCAATAATTTCTATATCGATCAATGTTAAAAATAAAAAATTACAAAAACATGTAAATGATTGTCTTTTTTCGCAGAAAGTGTCTTTGAATTTACATATGGGCTTATGTCTGTGTTTATATCTCTTTATCGGTGTATTCTTCGGGCGCATAGAAAATATCTTCCACCGGATGCACGTTTTCTTGGAAATAAATATGTTCAACAAGAGTTTCGTTTGCATAGAAATATCAAAAACCCACTTCATTTGATTGGGTTTATAGATTCTTGGAAGGATTATTTAAAAGGTATTGAAAATTATGCCTGGAAAGAATATAAAATTGAGTCCGTTAAAGGTAAATCATTTAATTTTTTATTTTTAGATTTTAAATGGTATTTTAGTAGGCAAAATGTCAGATGAACAGCTTTATCAGGTACTTTAATGAAGCTATGTTGAAATATATTAATTATATAGCTTTATGAATTAATGCAAGCTATTGAAGAAAGAAAAATAGAAAGAAATAAGTCTTTAAACGATGATAGATAAAGACAATGCAAATATTATGCCATATGTTGCAATATGATCTTTTTGTTGACGATAATGTAACTTTTATACAATAAATTACTGTTATTATTGATTTACATTTAGTTTTAATTTAACATTCATGGAAGCAAGTTCGGTTGCAAGGTACTTGAATACATATGGTAATGCAATAACAGCAATATTGTCACCACCTTTAAATTTTCTACCAGTACTGTCTTGCCATATGTCACTATCGTTTTCGAATCCTGTAGCTTCTAATGCACAAAGATAGCATCTTACATTCGAGTTGAATGTATTTCCTGTGCCTATTGTAGTTATAGAGGATATAAGGGAAAGAATAGATCCGCAAATTTTGCATATCCAAGATTGTGTATAATCACTGCAATTCATTAAACGATCTTGTAAAATATATGCCGTTCCATGTGCGATTATACTATCACGCTCCATTTCACCGAAACGAATACCTATGTGTATTGAAAAAATATGTTTTTTGGAAAGGAATGGTTACCTCCTGCCCGTTTTCGTCCTTTAACAGGTTGATGTGTAAGACTATGGACTGGTCCAGTTGTTCGTACTTGAAATTTATCTGATACCATATGTCTAAGACGTTGATAATAAACTATTCCAACAAATATTTCCACTTCCATGATATCTCCTGTGATCCCAGAATAAAATGTTTCATTACCATTATATGCATAACCAGCTTTTATTAGTTGTTTTCCAAAATAATCAGCAGCAGTATTTTCTTCATTAAAGATAAATGGTGTAGAATCTTCTATTAGTCCATGTAATGCACCTGCTTTGCCTGCCATACTTTCTATAAACATCCCTGTAATCTTCAACATATAAACTAGGTTTATTTACAATCTTACCTATAGTCATACGACTAGGAAATCTAAATAAAGTTAACATTATAAAAAATATATATGAATATACGCATGAGGATTAATAATGATGTCGGGCTGAATTCCACTTTCACTAAATGGCATGTCTGCTGCGGGCCATTTTTGAGAACATACACCTTTTTGTCCATGTCTGGAAGAAAATTTATCACCAATAGTAATAGGACGAGCTATTCGAAGTTTTATATGAATGCATTGACACTCCATGTCACCTGAATCATTTCCTAATTTAATCAGTTGTTAATACTTTAAATATATTGGAAAAAAGGACCAAGTAATCTAACTTCTTCTACAAAAACATCTTCTGTTCCATGGTATTCTTGGATTATTGTTTTTCCCGTTGTTTCATTGAAATAAGCAGCTAAAGGGTCTCCTTCTTCCAGTTTTACGCCAATCATTGGCAGTCCATCTGCATCTAATTTTTCTAACCATTTTGGGTGAAGTTTATCATTTCCAAAACCAAAATGATATATAATTTGCTCTCCTTTTTTCCGTTTTTGCCCCAGATCTACTTTTTCGCTTTTATAAATTGTAGCATAAGCAAACCCTCTTTCATATGATGATTTATTAATAACTAATGCATCTTCCATGTCATATCCTGTATAGGAGATTACTGCTACAATAGCATTTGTTCCATTAGGGAAGTTATCAAGTCCGTAAAGATCATATGTTTTAGAACGAACGATAGGTGTTTGTCCTGTTTGTAACAGATAGAGCTTATTATCAGTTCTATATCTCAACGATGATGCAGGAGTTCCCATAGTTTGCTTTAAAGATTAGACCGCTTTATGCCGATTACAACAATACACATACCTTTGCCATTTGACATTGGTACATATTTCTTGGAGACTGATTAAAATCCGAGAATGGTGTTAAAGAAGCAAGAATTGAAAACATATTAGATGTATTTATTTCTGAATGTGAATATTGTGTATCTACACCTTTCGAAAAGTGAGAACCAAGACTTATATTTAAGTACACTTGCTCAAATGATCCAACAAAATCTTCTTTATTCAACGGAAGATACTTAACAGGACGAATCATTCGAGATTTTGATGAAAAAATATATAATCCATGGTATTGACCTCCCTCTGATTTTGGAATTAGTCCTATTTCGAGTTCTAAAGGAATATTATGAGATTTTTCTGTTTTCCAATAACGAAGTAAGTGAGCAATACGAGAAGCCACTTCATGCATACAATAACCAATAATTTTTCCATTAAGTTGTACAGTTGAGTATTCGGTGCCTAACATATTTGATGTTGGGTCTACTCCGAGTTTTACAAGTAAGTATGGAATAGAATCTACGTTGATATTTGATGTAACAATTTTGCATTTGCTTGTTAAATGATTTAATAAACCACAAGGTGCTCCATCTGGTGTATGGACAGGACAAATAAATCCTTATATAATCAATTCATATAAATTAAATTGAATAACAAAAATATACCCCATGCTTCTGGAAGAAGTTTACGAACCGTTACACTTTTAACATCTGCAAAAAATGCACCTCTGTGAACTGTTCTAAAATGACTTAAATAACGATAAAAGTTGAGTTTTTCTGCAATTATAGTAAAACCTGTTGTTTGTTGTAGATCTAAACCAGTAGAACTAACTAAATTGCCTGTGCTTAAAAAATATTGTAATTTTGAACCAATATCATTAGGAACTCTTTGAAACAATTTAGAAATATATTTTTTATCAAAAAAGTTTACTGAATTATTTGGTTTTCGAAGATCTTGTATAACAGTATTTCTTAGAGAAAGCAAGTAATCTTCTATTTTTTCTTTAATAATCATACCATACAGAAATCCTCCAAGAAGTATTTCTTGATTTTGAGCTGAATCCGGGTTATCTGGACAGCATTGACCAAAAACTAGGCTATAAAGTTTTCGTATCATAAATCTAGAAAGTTAAAGAAATATATAAAAAATAAGAAAATATACATTAACATGCGAAATTTATCGTAGTTGTCGTCTAAATGAACTAGAACAATTTTTTTTAGTAATTCTTGACCAACTCTTTCATGTGTAAGATCCTCATCCACATTTAACACTACTCGGAATTTTTCCCCTAAGTATTGTAAGGTCTGTTTTTGATTGTAAAGTTCGTAATTTTTATATGTTCTAAGAAGAATTTCAACATGGTCTACCAAAATTGTGTCTTTTTTGTCCTTTCCGACAATAGAATCAAATATTTCTTTATCATTAGTATTTATAAGTGCTTTAAGAATCATGACCACGGGAACTAAGTACTCATTTTTTCTCCATGAAAATCGAAAAATGCAATTCCCATCACTAAGATAATGCAACGTATTTGTATGCGACGTCTCATCTGGTCTTACACAGCGAATTTGTGTTCCAAACTTTGTATAATGTGTGCCTTTATTTAAAAAAGAAGACCGCACTAGTGCCATCACGTAATTCCTTCTTGGAATAATAAGCATACGTATAATTTTTTCGTTTCCATTGACAATAAAGTATCCACCAAGCTCTTCTGACTCTTCTCTAGACTTAATTAAATCTGCTGGTGATAACTTTTCAATATGACACCGATTCGACTAGATTATTAATAAAGGAAAAAATAATGCTATATCTTTATATACTTTAACCATGATAGGGATTTGCCCAAATTCTTTTATATCTGTGATTTCTTGTTCACCATTCACGCTCCATGCAACCTTTAAAAGAAGGCGGGCTTTGTAAGTACAAAAGCGCTCACGACACTAAAAGATTAAGCAAAAAAAAACATTTCCCCATTCAACGAGTCTCCATACTTCTGAAGGCAGTATTTTCCTGTTAACACATGTACGTTCACGGGTTGGAAGAGTCGGTTTAGCAATCTGGACTTCTTCAATACGAACTATAATATGAATAAGTTAATCATTGCATGAAATTTAAAAATTAGGGCTCATACATGATAATTTGTTCCCTAATCCAGCTTTTTTTCTATCAAAAACTGATTTCTTCCCGATGTCTTTGACTGCAAGATTTAATAATTGATCATCTGTTAAAGCATTAAAAGACTTGATATGAGGTTCAGTAATCGCTAGAAGATCCGGATAAGCACTTTTCTTCTTGCTTGGATTCCTGAATAATGCATTTTTTTCTAATGTATTAAAGTTTTTAATGCCCATTGGGCTTAACTTGTTTTTTTGCCGTTAAAAATCCATTGGGGTTTATTTGATAGAATCGATAGTGTGGCAAATTCGGGCTTAGAAATAAAGTGCTCATTAAATATTGATATTTAATATAAAGATATTGATAAATAAAAGCCATTTTTCTTTTTTAAAAAAACAAAACATGCTTTTATGAATCCCAAAGAATCGTTAAAAAACAGATGGTTTATGAGTAGATTGATTCCTGTAAAAATAAAAGGAAATGGAATCGATTGCCATCAATGAAATGAAAATGCTATCTAAAACAATGGATGCCCTGTCTATTTTGCTATGAATATTATGTTTAAAAACGCCATGCACGAATAATAATCTAAAAATCGACAAAATGCTCTGATATTACGCTAAAGATACTGTTTTTTCCATTTCTTCTGATATATCCTGCTTGATAATTGCAACTGCCGACATCTCGGGTTTCGAAAAGCTATCTTGGCTGCGTTCAGACACTAAATTTGGGTCTGATGCATGTTCTCTCTCGTACGACAACTGCCCAGGACGCCACGATTGCAAGGCTTCTTCTGCCTCCAAAAGAAGTTCTTTTGCCTCCTTTTCCGATTCATATGCTATACGTATATCCCCCGGGATCACCGGATTATCGTCCAGCAAGTCCAACAGTTTCCGGCCATAGTATGACAAAAGACATTGCTTTTCTGCCCGTTCCTGGACCGACAAAAAGTACATGTTGTATGCTTCTTTCAGTTTCTGCCGTGAAACATGTGTCAATTGTGCTTCTGCAACCAAATTCTCTGCTTCTAGCCGAACCAATCTCTGTTCCTGCTCAACTAGCTTAGACGACTCTGGATCCTTGTGTTTTAACATTGCAATTTGATCCGTTAGCTTCTGCTTTGCATCCCTCAGTGGCTGAACCGAGTTTTCAATATTACGTATCGTCTTGAGTACTCTCCGTGAATCGTCAATCTGGGTTGCATGGTTCTCCTCAAGATCTCCTATTTCCGACAAAATAACTGCCACTTTGTCACTCAAGTCTCCAATTGCATCGTCTCCTGTTTCCTCTCCTGTTTTCCACTAGTTATTTCTGTATTTTTCTCCCAATTCTCCCAATTTTACCCCATTGCGATAACTGCGATGCCACAGCTTGCTGCTCCCTTCCTGCCGCCTCATACGCTGCAATTAGCCCGTTTTCCGTCTTGATAAGCTTTGGAAGGCTTGTGTGTGTTGCGTTTCCGCGCAAACTTAGAAATGTAAACCCTTTGTCGGTAAATGCTAAATATACGCAACTCTGCGTCAAAACTTACGGTGTCCTCCCAACCGGGACGATCTTGATGTTGGTCGGCTGTGCCGGAGCGAGTGTGACCGGTTCATCGTGTTTTTTCCTAACTCTGTCCAATTCTCCCGCACTCTCCTCAGCTCTGTCTGGGTGCCTCTTATCGCTTGCCGTTCCCCCGGCAACCCCTCTGCGTCCGCCACCACTACCCCATCCATCGCCACCACCAGCCGCCAGACTTGTGTGTGCCATACCAATATTATGTATTACACTATACTGCGCTATACTATATATACCACACTATGCTAACACTATATGTTAACATTGTGCTAACACTATGCCATACTGTATATACTGTACACTACAACTAATACTATACTGTACTATACTATATACTATACTATATACTATACTGTATATACTATACTATATACTATACTGTATATGTTATACTGTATATGTTATACTGTATATACATACTATACATACTGTACTACATACTATACTATACATGCCGTACTGTGCATGCTATATGCCATATTCACTGCATACCCGACACACTGCATACACCGTAGTATGCACAGCACACACTGCAGTACGGTATGCACGAGGACGTCGGCGCTGGGAATCGGTCACGTGACCTCCCGCGCCGGCCTCGGCGTGGACTCGGCGCGGAAATACACTCTGTCGCGCCTATGCAAGCACAGTGCCACACTATGCATACCTTGTACACTGCACTGCACTACACTGCACTGTAATTATATGCATTATAACTGTACACACACAGTGCACACTATGCACCACACACTATACAATATACTATACATATACACTATAACCATACACTATATATACTGTGTATGCCATATATACCATATATACTATAGATACGATACAGTACATTCATATACACTATATGCTATAACTATATATGCTATATACATTTATATACGCTATATATGCTATATATGCTATATGCTATGCGCGCAGTATGCGTTGTATGCATTGTGCATGCACTGTATGTGTCCGTGCATAGGCTGCTCACTATACGGCGCATATGCTGCAGCATTGCGGGTACGTTGCGTATACACAATGCATACAAAGCATACAAAGCATAGTATATACATGGTATATATACTGTATATAAGTGTATATAACATGTAGCATACATAACATACATAGTGTATACAGCGTGTACAGCGTGTACAGCGTATACAGCGATATAGCTGTATAGTATAGATGGCGTGTACAGCATAGACATGGCGTATACAGCATAGACAGTATACACAGTGTATACAGTGCACACAATGTAGTGTATATAGTATGTACTGTATATATAGTGTAGTGTATAGTGTATGATGTGTATATATAGTGGTATATAGTATATGTAGTGTGTATAGTCTATATAGTTATAGCGTATACAGTGTATATGAATGTATAGTGTATGGCTATAGTGTATATCTGTAGTATATGGTATAGTGTGGTATATAGTGTATAGTGCATGGCATGTACTATATAGTGTATAGTATACAGTGTGTATCAGTATATAGTATACACAGTACATATAGTGCATATAGTGCATATAGTGCATATAGTGCATATGGTATTTATAGTATCTATAATATATAGTATATAGTATATAATATATAGTATATAACATATAGTATATAACATATAGTATATAATATATAGTATATAACATATAGTATATATGGTATATAGTGTATGGTTATGTATACACAGTGTACACAAGTGTATATAGCATACATAGCATGTATAGCACATATAGCGTGTAGCACACACAGCGTGCAGCATATACTGCAGAGCACATGTGCAACGGACATTATGCGCAGCGTGCAGCCGTAGTACATACACCGTGCATACACCGTGTATAGTGGACCACTGGCACTGTGCACCGTATGCATTGACGCACACTGCGACGTATACAATGTATGCATGCACTGCATATATACATATACACACAGATACACACGCATACACACGCATATATGCACATACACACAGCAGCCATATGACTTGTACACTTGTGTACCAACGCTGTGCGCTGTGTATATATGCACTGTATGTATACACCTGTACGTTATTATGCACACTACACTATACATATACACTGCACATGCCATGCACTATACATATTGTACACACTATATACTGTCTATGCTATACATACTATATATATGCTATACGCTGCACGTTATATACACATATATATACTATATATACTATATATGCTATATGTTATGTATGCAGTATGCTTTGTGTATGCGTATTTGCAATATATACAGTGTATCAGCGATGTTGCAGCGTATACGTTGTAATATGTGTCTATAGTGCACGCACTGCTATACACTATGGTGTATGCGCTGTAGAGTATACATGTATTGTATGCGTGTGCATACGCTGCATCCCGGTGAGCATTTGTGCGTGTGTATGCGTGTATATATGTATGTATGCGTGTATCAGTGTATATATGAGTATATGTACAGTGCATTGCCTGTCAGCAGTCTTCCATACGTGTATATGCGCTGTACATGTATAGTGTATGCGCTATATTTGCTCTATACATATCTTGCACGGTATGCACAGATTATGCTGTATGCACCGCGTGCACTGCATACACTTGTACAACACCCGCGCCGCTGCCTGTGCACTGCGCATACACTCACTATACACACAGATACATACATGTAGACATATATACACAGACATACATGTATATGCACGCATATACTCATATATACACTGTACATACCATGCATGTACGCACCGCACACACTGAGCACACTGCGCACACTGCACTGTATGCGCTATGCATGCAACGACGCTGCACTGCATGCACTGCGTGCACTGTGTACGCTAACCACATGCCTACCATATACCATATATTATATACTGTATGCACTGCAACTGTACATACCACTGCCGCACACACTGTACCGTATACACTGTACCGTATACACTGTACTATATGCACTGGTACTATACACACCGCATACACCCACATACACTGTATACGCTGCATACACTGCATACGCCATCTGGGGGGGGCAGTCTAGCTGCTCATTGCCGTCACTGCCTCGCTGCATGCACTGCCCGTGCTGCAGACTCGGTGCCGCCCATGTGCACGCATGCTGCCCACCCGCTCGAGCGCAGAACGCCATGGCAGACGCTGCGATCACATGCGACAAGCTTGAGGCGCAGCTGGCACACTCGAGCCAAGCATGTAGCAGCGCAGCGCCCGCAACGCGGTGGACAGAGATCCGGCGGCTCCTCCGCGAGCCGCTAGCCGAGTTCCTGGCGTGTCTTGTCGTAAGTATACCCGCACAGCAGAAGCAGGGTAAAGACGAGACAGATGATTCTGTTCGGAGATGGCGTCGTCGCACAGGTGGTGCTGTCGGGCGGCACAAAGGGCAACTACCAGTCCATTAACTGGGGATGGGGAGTCGGCGTGATGTTTGGTAGGTACAGATAGAGAGGCAAAGGCTGAGGAAAAGGGGTGTACATTAGCGGAGGGGTCTCGGGAGGGCACCTAAATCCGTGTGTGACGTTGGCAAACTGCGTTTTCCGGGGGTTTCCGCTGCGCAAGCTTGCAGTCTACACAGTGGCACAGGTAGCGGGGTGCTTCTTTGGAGCATTGATTGTGTATGCAAACTACTATTCGGCGCTGAATGCGTATGAGGGAGGGACGCGGACGGTGGCGGGGCCGAGGGCGACGGCGGGCGTATTTAGTACGTATCCGGTGGTGTTTTTGTCGAGAACGGGGCAGTTCTTTTCAGAGGTCGTGGGGTCGGCGGCTTTAATGGTGTGTATTTTTGCCATCTGCGACCAGTATAATCATCCGGCGAACGACAAAGGGCCGTTGGTTATACTGTTTCTTGTATTTGGGATTGGGGCGTGCTTGGGGTGGCAAACGGGGTATGCAATCAATATGGCGCGGGACTTTGGAACACGGCTCCTGTCGTATGCAGTGGGGTATGGGAATGAGGTGTGGACGGCGGGACACTACTACTTTTGGGTGCCGATGTTGGCGCCGTTTGCAGGATGTTTGCTGGGGGGGTTTATATATGACGTGTTTGTGTATACGGGGGCGGAGTCGCCGGTGAATGCGCCGTACTTTGGGCTGAGGCGTGTGAGGCGGGAGTAGGGTGAGTGGTGAAGGTGGCGGTGAGGCATTTGGTATTTGCAGTGTGTGTTTGTGTGTTTGCTTGTAGACAGAATGGCGTAGTGCATTATACATGTTTTGGTGGGGATATGGACGGCAACAGTAGCAGATAGATGGGCAGTGTGCGGGACGGAAGTCACTAATAAGTGTTTAAGGGAGGGTGTGGGGGCGGCACGTATGATGTAGTGGTTATCATATTCGCTTCACACGCGAGAGGTCCTCGGTTCGATCCCGAGTACGTGCAGCGTGTTCTTTTGGTGCAGATGGTGGAGGTGAGGAGTAAGGCTATTTGTGGGAGGAAGGAGGAAGGGGATGTGTCAGATGTCTGTGTCAGATGTCCTGTTGAAGTACTTGTATGTATAAAGTGTAAGATGCACAGATGATGCCGGGTGCCTGTGGCACCGGCAGTGCTGACGTTGGAAACAGTCTTAGAGTCAGCGGTGCTGAGGAAAAATCAGTTTGCTGTGGGTGCAAGTAAGCTGGTTGCTGCAGCCAAAGCAGTGGGCTGTGGTGTGGTGAGTACTCTAGGCCCGTGTGAGCAGATCCATGTAAGCAGATCCATGTATCCGGCTAGGCGAGGGCTAGCAAAGACTGGCCAGTGTTCAGTGTTGTCTGTGGTGGCTGCAATGCCTTATTGTAAAAGCTGTAAAAGCTGTAAAAGGGTTCCCGTCGTAGTTTCCGCGTGTTTTTTCAAGAGATAGCTATATTTTTGCATTAAAAGCAGTGTCTAGCCAGCGTTTATTGTTTTGCGAATGTTTTCTAGGGCGCTTGTTAAATGCTGAGGAGTGCAAAACAGCCTGTTCTGCACAAAACTGGCTGCTCTGCAGGACCAGAATCCCCATCAAGATAAGTGCTAGCACGACTTGCGACACTGCTAAAATTTGCAGTGTATCAAGCTTACTGAGTGGAGTGTAGTTGTGTTGGAAAATTGCTTGAAGACCTGCTAGTTGTAAAAATGGGTTTTTGTGCACATGTAGCATACCTTGTACAAGATAGACCATATAAATGATGACACCAGCGACATAAAGAATTAGACTTCCGCTGTCGAACAATAAGTTGCTCTGATTGCCTCCATATAATTTTATTGCATGTGCCACAAGGCCAAAGCAAATTACAGCATGCAAAACAGCTCTGTGGATAGGCGGTGCCTTGTATAGTAGCTGGTAATATGTTTCTGCATTTAAAAGTGCTTGGTCTGTTACTGGATTTACCCAAAGTGTAAAATGATCGACCATCCACTGTTGTTATTAGTTTGTATGTTTGTTGGTGAGAGATATACATTATTAAAGAGAATTCCAAGAAAAAATGAGCTGCTACAAACAATCAAATAACTGGCGAGTGTTTTTTTCATTTTCTTCGTGTTCTTGCGGAAATTGACGTTGCGTCGATCGTCATTCTAGTGTTCGGAAGGATTATTAAAAAGAGGAATTAAATAAAAACATTATCTTTAGAGCTGTTGATCTAAGCTGAACAATTTATTTACAATATTGTTTTTTCTCTTATTTTAAACGGCTTATTTCCGAGTAACATGTCTTAAAAAATTTGTTTTAAACGACTTGCTTAATGTTGTTCTTTAAATAGCTTATAATGAATCATTGCGTTGGACTGTTTTTATCTTATTCGCACTTCGTTTCACATAGCTTAGCATTGTTCTGTTATTTTTGTTAAAGGATTTGATAAGATGTAGTGAACAGCATTTGTTTTTTAAGTATACGAATGTTTAATCAGGACGTTTATTTTATGGATCAAATAAGATAATTATTTGTTGAAAAGTTTCGCAAGTTCTGCTAAGTATTAGTATATGAAAATGGAAGTCTGGATAAACAACTTTTCCGAAGCGGATCACCAGGTTTGAGTTCTGGAAGAATTACTCTCCATTCGATATAGGCGTTACCTTTGTTTGAACGAGATGTAGAATGTGATGTATCCCACACAGGCATGCCTTTTCCTGGAAAAACATCGACATGTCCTATATTGCAATAAGTTTTTAAAGATTTAGAGGGAGTGATATTAATATAAACCTGATTGTACTGTATCACCTGCAAGTTTTGTTACATTAAAATAATCTTTATTGAATAGTTTGATTTTCCGAGTCCATTCTCCTAATAATGCATCTAAAAGAGAAATAGTTTCAACCCGATAAAGATCATTATTTTTTCTTCTCCAACCACTTTTTGAGTAGGGTTTTTCAATAATTATAATACAAAGATCGCCTGCTTCCCATTCTGGACTTTCATTCGCTTCATTTTGAAAAATGAACTGATAACCATAAGGTGCTCCTGGTGGAATATTTAGCGTGTATGTTTCAGTACTTTGCACAACTTTATTTCCGTCGCAAACAGTGCATGGATAAGAAAAGACATGTCCTTTTCCAGAACACTCATCACAGCTGTTTTATTAGTGAATATGTTTACCAAGAGTATGACATACATAATTTGATATGTTTGATACAATCCCGGTATTATCATTTGGCGTATAACACGGATCCCATATCCATTGCATTTGGTACATAGGGTAGAACTATGTTTATGTTGAGGATCTTTTCCTGTTCCTTGACAATGGTGGCATATCATTTGTTTATCGATATCAATAGTAAGTGTAGACCCATAATATAACTCTTCCAACTCGACTTCTACAAATTTCTCCATATTGGGACCACGTTTTGCCCCTTGAAAATGTTTTTCAAATATTTTTGAAAAAATATCAAATGGATCATGATATTCACTATCTTGGTTTCCTTCATACTTTTTTAACCCTTCCTCTCCATGCATATCATATATTTTTCGCTTTTCAGGGTTACTTAGCACTTCATATGCATAGGCAATGTCACGAAACATCTTTTCGTCTCCACCATTCTTGTCCGGATGCCATTTTTTTGAAAGACGTAAATAAGCCTTTTTTAACTCTCTATTATCTGCATCACGGTCGACATTAAGGACCTAAATATATATTATTCTTTATTTTTATGAATGTATTTTTGTTCAACCTTATAGTAATCTGTTTCAGCTAAAATAAAAGAGATAAAGAAAGATAAAAAGAAAAATAAGTAGATGAATAGCAGGTTTTTTATCATTTTTATATATTTCTATATATTTAAAATCCAAAAAGACGAATTTTTTGTTAGAAAAAATTAAGCGCTAGAATAACGTTAATGGGTTTTCGTAGAGAATATCGATTGATTCATGAGATGAAGGAAAAAATATGTTTAGCTAATAGAAGCTAATTACAGTAATATTTGTTGGAAATAACTTAATTTTAAAATATTTTAGGGAAAAAAAGATTCATTTCTATTTTTTTTTGAATAAATTAGTTGGAAAAAAGTTAAATTGCAGAAATAAGTTATTGTGTAAGTATTTAAGAAATTACTGTAAAAATGGATTCATTAGCACCACCTTTGCCAAAGGTTACAGAAGGAATGGTTCCCTTAAAAGAAGTTGTATGTTTCTTTTTTTCATAGATGATGCTTATCTTTTAACGATAATATAGATTGAGCGTCTTGTCTATTATGCTTTTTCAGAACTTCAGAATATGTTGGATATGTAAGATATTATTTAGTATTATTTTGTTTTTATATTTGATTCTATTGAAGACTTCCTTCTATGAGCAATGTTATGAAAAAACGAACAATACTTGAATATTTATTATCGACAAAAAGGCAAATGATTAAATTGTATGTTCTTATTAAATGGGCTCATAGTTCTGAGGAAGTGAAAAGATGCATTGTATTTTTTTTTTTAGAAAAGGATTGTTTTTAATTTTTGATAGGATATAGTTGCATTTCTACAAGGTCAAAAAAATTGTTTTTCAAATCTTATTCATGCATTAAAGACAATTATTAGTCAATTATCATATGCTCGGTAATTTTTTTATTATTTTTATTTATATTTACCATATTTCAGTGTAAGAAGCCCTGATATTTTTACTGCTATGGAAGTTTTTTCAACTGGAACTTTTTCTCGCCTTGAGTTTTCAGAAACATCTGTAAGAAATTGTAGCTTATTAGACTGTATTTTTATTTACTTTAGACTGCATTTATGCTTCCTCGCAATTTAAAACCTAATGAAGTTTTGCAAACTTTTAATACGCTTAATATATTAATTTCATTGAGGCTATCATTGTATCAAGTAATACCGTATCCTATGATATCTTATGTTGTAGAAAACGGAAGAGCTAAATTTGTAGTTGAAAATGAGTTTGTTATTTTTTTGAGTTTTGTTGGTGAAAATATTTCTAAAATAGATGATTTTGTATGGTTTTTAGTTGACTTTGAGTGGAATTTTGATAGAGCACCTGTTATAAGTGATAATATAAAAGATGAAATTGAAAAGCTTGCTAATGAAATCTTGAAGTTATCTGTTATTCAAAAAAAGGAACCTTTGGTAGAATTATATAATTTTCTTCGTAAGTTTTATATTAATGTTATTTTTTGTTTTTCTAATATTTTAAGATAAATTTACTTTGTTTTATAAACTTGAAGTTATTGTTGTAGAAGCAAAAGAAATGTCTTTTAAAGGATGGAAAGATAAACTTAATGTTAGTTTTGATAATTTTAAAAGAACTTTGACATTGAAATATTGGCCAGTATTGTAAAAAAAACCTTTTTTATGTTTGTTTTTAATTAATTTTAGTACATCATCAGAAAAAAATATCAAAAGTTGGCCTAATTCTATTGGAATATTTGTTGGTGAGCCTAAAAAGAAAAATATTGCTAGTTATATGTTTCCATATACTCGAATATCTTTTGATTATGATTGTTCAGTAATATCCTATTCTTGGAAAATTGGTGATGATTTTCAATGTTGTGAGGATCTTAATATAGTGATTTAAAGTTTTCTAAAAGATATTTTTTAACTTCTTTAGAATGAATCGAATATATCTGCTAAAGAGATAATACTAAAAGTTATTGGTTTTCATTCAATGATATTATTGAAAAAGGTGTGTTTGACGTTATTAGAGTCTAGTAGCTTTTCAAGTAGTTCCGTGTTTATTTTAAATGCTGATGAAAATAATGAAAATCCCATTCTAAAAATTCAGTGTTCAAAAGCAAAAAGTATATTGATTTTTGTTAAACCTATGTGTGGAAAGTTCAGACTTGTAGAATATGATTCTTTTTTATGTTCATCTTTAGTTATAAAAAATTATGAAAAGTTGATTAATATTCCGAATCAGAATATACTAGAATTACTTATTCGATTAAAATGCAAAATACTGTATGATGATATTGAGTCAAAGGCTAAGTTTTTAGGTTGGGAAGTTGTTAAGTTTCCTTCTGGATCTTTTAAACAAAAGGAGTTTAAAAATAATTTGGGATTAGAAATTAAATATACAATTTTTTTAACAAATTCTATACTAGGCTGGAAACAGCCATCCTCTAAAAGCATTTTTTTTGTTGTATGTTTATTGTCTGGGCAGAATACTAACTGGTGGCTTCTGGAAACTGCTATTTCTAAGTATGATGTTTTTTTAGGATGGAATATTTTATGGTCTGAAAAAATACGAATTCATGACGGAAAGAGACGAAAATCTAGTGAATTGGACTTTTCGTTGATTTTTGATTTTTCTCCAACTTATTCTTTACTTGAAAGTATTCACAAATATTCTATAATAAGAGTAGCAATTCTTCAGTTTTCTCGAGATCTTGATATGCGAGGTATTCATTATGGGTATTTACATGATTTTTCTATTTCTCAGTTATGGATAATACCATTCTTTCATTTTTATACTGGAGATATTTCCCCTTTAGCCAAGGTTTGGGTTTGTAAAAATATGTTTGCTCAGTTTTTATTTTCTGGACATTCTTTTGATGAATTGAAAATCATTTTTTATGGGAAGTTGACTAATCTTAAGTTTTTAATAGTTTTAATGCAACAGTATAAAAGAGACGATATTGAACTTAATGTTAAATCTAACTATTTTTTAATAAAAGTTATTTATAAAATGGGTAAAAATATATCTTTGGTTATTGATTTATTTCTTGAATTATGGTTAAAAATCGAAACGATTATTCGATTTGTTTTTAAATCAAATGAATTTAATCATTTTTTAGTATTAGAAAGTTTCAATATAGATACTGTTAGATTTTCCTATTATAAAAAAAAGCATTTTTGGTTGGAAATTGGATATGAAAGTAGTGATAAGAAAGTTAAATTTCCTTCTATAAAGTATTCTCTTGAAATTGGTGCTATTGATGGTTATATAAATCCTCATACTAGAATTAAAACTCATCTTTGTCAAATACTAGAAGATTCTCGTGGAAATGTTCGTTTGTTCTCTGAAATTGTTTATAAAACTCTTCCTTTTTTGGAAACTATTGAACAGCTGGAAGCAACGACACTTGAAAAGTCCGAGTTTCATGTATTATTTCAGTCTTCATTGCAATTTAGTATTGTATATGCAAAGAAACGACATGCACTAGGGGTTATATTAAGGTCTGCTCCTTCTCATTTATTGGATAATGATATGATTACACTTAATGAAGGAACACTTGTATATTATATTTTTGATTTAGCATTAAAATATCAAGCAGCAGATTTTTTAGAGACATCTAAAATAAAAGGGCAAAATTCTGAGAATGGTACTGTTGAATCAGAGAATATTGTGCATGCTAGAGCTAAAAAATTAAATTATTTAAAATCTACGTATAATGTGATTGAAGCATGTCAATTTATATGGAGTAAAGGAATTGATGTTGAAGAATATAAGAAAACTATTTTTCCTGCAGAGAATGGCTTATTGTGCACTTCAGATGCAATAAGCTGTGTTATTAATAAAATACATACTATGATTTTAGACTATGATTGTATGAAATAAAATAAGGATATATTTTTTGGCGGTAATTTTTTGTAAATATTTATATATGTAGATAAAAGATTGGTAGAAATGGTCTGAGGATATTAGAATAGAATTTTATTAGAAATCATATTCAAATATATTATAATATTATTTAATGTTTTGTGGTAATTATTAAGCTATTTTTGCCATTTTTATAAATGGTTTTAAAAATATTCTATTTTCCTTTAAATCGTTTTTACAATTTATAAATGTATGTATAATGTTATCAACCTATATTTTGTTTCTTTGTGTTTTGTTCGTAGATTTTATCTCGATAATTGGAGGTTCTGTAACTCAAAAAAATTAAACTTTAATTCAGCAAAAAAACATAAAAAAATACAAATATTTCAAAGTTTTTCAAAAATAAGAAAGAGAATCAGTTTTTTGTTTTATATTAGTATTAGATTTTTTTTTAAAAAAAAAGCATTAACGAAATTATTATTTATCAACGAAGTTTTATAGAACTGTTAATATGGAGCAAATGTCTGATATTACGGAAATTCAGAAAGTCTTTTCTGCTTGTATTGGTGCTTTGGTTACATCTGTTGTTGTTACGCCGTTTGATTTGATTAAAACGAGATTGCAAAGTCAAACAGTTGATGCAAATATAATGAAGTCATGTTGTCGAGATGTTCTTTATTCTTCTACACATTCTCAAAATATTGGGTCTTTTTCTTGTGCACTGCATCCAGATGTTGTACTGCATCATTTCTGTGTGGACCGTCCTACCGATGCTTCAAAATATCAGTTTAATGGGATGTTAGGGACAATGATTAGAATTTCTCGAAATGAGGGATTCACTGCGTTATGGAGAGGTTTATCACCAACCTTGTGAGTTCTGTATTCATTTTAAGATATTGGTTTAATACTTTTTTAGAGTTATGGCTCTTCCATCCACTGTTATTTATTTTGTTGGTTATGATCATCTTCGTCAGTATTTTTCTTCTCCCGTAGCACCATTATTTTGTGGTGCATTTGCTAGAACTATGTCTGCGACTGTGATTTCACCTTTGGAGCTTTTTAAAGTTCGTCTTCAATCCGCTGTACATTATCCATGTTCTACTTCAATATTTTTTACTGTGGTTAGCGGCATTCAAGATATGGTGAAAACACAAGGTCTTAAGAGTTTGTGGAAGGGACTGAGTCCTACTTTATGGAGAGATGTTCCATTTAGTGGATTTTATTGGATGGGTTATGAAAGAATTAAAAATTTTTTAAAAAATTATGTAGAGCCTTTTAAGAGCTTGGATCCAGGAACATCTGAGTTCTTTAAAAGTTTTATTTCTGGGGGAATAAGTGGTTCTATTGCTTCATTGATTACTCATCCTTTTGATTCTGTTAAAACACGTCGTCAAATTCGACATAACAGTCTTAGAACTATTTCTGTTAAAAAAGAAAGTACTTGGAAAGTTATGAATGATATCTTTAGTGAGTCGGGATTGAGGGGCTTGTTTCGAGGTGCTGTTCCACGAATGCTTAAAGTGAGTCCTGCATGTTCAATAATGATTTCTAGTTATGAACTTGGTAAGTTTTATTAGATTTGTAATGAATTGTATTAATTAGAATTAGGTAAAATGTTTTTCAGTCGTTCTTTGAATCTTTGACCTTTTGTATATTTTTCTTCAACTATTATTTTTATTTTGTCAATTAAATTTGTATTTTTTGTCAGCCATGGGCTTTAAACGTATAGATTTTCTTTGGAAAGTTAATTGACAAAAATATATTAGAATATTTAGACTATTTTGCAGCATGTATTGCTATATTGTAGTAATTGGTAAGATTTAGTCGATATCTGAAAATTGCTTGATTGCACTTATTTTGGGTCTTGGTTCTATTAATACTTTTAATTAATACAATTTTTATATAGTCATTTTTATTCTATTTTTATTTTAAAAAAGAAGATATAAGAGATATTACTTGATATTTACTATATATTTTTAATTTCTGATTGTTAATATTGTATTATTGCCTTCATTTCCCTGTTACTTAACATGTTTTATTTATAACATGTTTTCATTGATTTATCAATAATTTATCAATATAATATTTATCTTTTATGTTTTATCTAGATTCAGATTTCATTTTAAAAATGAGCCGACAACTGCAGGATTCGAACCTGCGTAGGCAAAGCCTATTGGCTAACTAAATCGAGATAGCAGGCCAACCGAGTAACCACTGTCGCAAGTTGTCAAAAACTTTTGGTAGATAAAGAAAATTATATTTATATGGTTTTTATTAGTGAATAAATATATTTGCTTATGTATTTATGTATTTTTAAAAGTTAAAAAATCTATTTTTAATATGTATCTACAAAAAATAGTCTATCAAGCTATTACATGATAGAAACAATGTTTTATTGGCTTTGAAGAAATGATAAAATGTAAATTTGTTCATATAATCATTTTTCTTTAAGTCCATGTGAAGGCTGGTAGTTATTAGATGACATAGGAGGCTCGTATGGCGGCACAGGTTGCTCTTCATGTGGCCAATGGTGATTTTCTGTTGTCCTTGGCGGCACATATGATGATACTGGCTGCATAGGATATCCATACGGTTGTGGAGGTGGAGGTGGAGGCGGGGGATGCTGATGTACAAACCCTGGTACAGTCCATCCTGTATATCTAATAGGCCTTGTACCTTGAGAAGCTCTGCTCCAATTTGTACAGCTTCTAGGATTCAGCTTGCCTTTATATAATGTTCTCAACTTACCAGATACATGTAAATATTATAATACCCATAAGTAACATACTCAGCACAACCCAACGTCCCCATTGATTCCAACGACTATAACAGTCATATCTTTCCTGGAGCGTTGATTTATAGTCGCAATAATGTCGTTTCCAAAGCACTTGTGTAACATTTGCTGTTACCAGGTTTCCATGTCTAATCATAATGATATTTTTAAAAACTGAACAAAAAAACAAACTTTAAAAAAAAAACAATAAAACTCTTCTCTGTTAGTAGTTATATTAAAAATATTCTTTTTTAATAATTTAGAAACTTTGTTCTATTTTTTTAGTAATGCTGGATAGGTCGTTCCTAAAGTCTGACACGAACGCGTTAATCTAATAAATTAAATTAAATACGTGTATTTATTGGGAAATTATTTTAAGGATACTATTTGTATTTGGAGACTGTTTTAGAGAGAGACTTTTAGGCAGAATATATTAAAGGAGAATGTGTTTGGCTAAATGTTAAGGAAACAGTTTTAGAAGGTAATTATTGGATATTATTTTGATTAACTGAATTTTTGACGATATTTCAGATATATTTTTGATTATAGTTTTAATAGTAATTTTGATGACAATGATATTGATAGATGAGTTATATTTATGTTTTAGGATTTAGTGGTGCTTGAATGATACTATCTACACTTACACATTTATGGTGCTATTGATTTTTTGAAACTATTTACTAGTGTTTGATGGAAGATATACTATAAACGCATTTTATATAGGTTTTTAAAAAAATGCTACAAAAATACTGTCCAAGGAAATAGCATATGCAATGCTGCATATTTAATATGATTTATATGTTGAATACTTAAACATTAGCTTATTTAGCATAAGGCTGATACATACCTAGACTCTGGATTTATCTAGGTTTTCAGCAGAGTATATGTTTTAATTATTTTTTATTTAATGGATGTTTTACTGTTATGTTTTTTGGGCTACAAACTGTTGTAAATTTGGCACTGTTTTTTCTTGGTTTTTATATTGGCTTTATCTTTGGTCATTTTTCTTAAGTTCTTTAATTTTTACTTTTATTTTTATTTAAGGAGTGGTTTTAATAGTAAAATATGAATTGTTGTGAATACAGCTTTGAAAGATGTATTTTGCATATTTAGCTCTAATTACTAGCTTTATGTTTAGGGTAGGGCTAGGACAGCGTGTTGGAGCATTCCCGACATCAAGATTTTGCGTGACTCGGCACGCGTAGTGTTAGTTAAATCAGAAAATTGATTCAGAGATTCTGTAGGAAGCTAGAAAGGGATAGGTAGTTTAATCTTTTCTTTTTTCATATTTTTCTGTGTATTTGGTGTGTCTTTGGGATCAGTTTTAAAAGACAATTTTTGGTGATTTAAAATGAGCAACTCGACTATGAGCAACTCGACTAAGACAAATATATTTGAAACTGCGTATCATGCAGGTGTAGAGGTTATAGAGCAGATTAAAGTTGCATATTCGACGCCAAAGAATTGTGTTAGTAGCTATTGGTGCCTAATTCCAATGATTTTGCTTATTTTGATTGGGATTATTATGTGTAAGTTAAGCAGATAGATGGTGATAGGTTGATATGTGGTTTAGTGTTGTCTATTTATTACTATTTTATGACTATTATACGTACATGTTGTTGTTGTTTTTTATGCAAGCCTGTGGGTCGGTTTGCAAGAGCAGAGCCGGCTGTTGTTGTACAGCCGACTGTTGTTCCATCTTACCCTGTGTATTCTTACAAAGATTATGGATATAAGGATTATGGGAATGGTGACTATTATCCTAAAAACTATGTTTCTAGAGATTTCCCTTCATGGAAACCACATAAAGCGGAGATTCGTCATAGAACAGATGCTTGCTATGACTCTTCTCCAAAGTGTATGTTAGATCCGATGCTTCCTCAAAAGTCTCCACGTAGGAAGAAATTACTTGAGTTCGGCAAGCAGAAGTCTCAAGTATTACCTGCTGATGTTTCATGTGATGAGATGTCATGTCATTTTTCTTCAGATTTGCCTCTGGAATTAAGTAGTGTGTATGATAAGGAGAATTCAAGAGATTTTTGGGAGAATTATGAAGTAGAATCTCCTAAAGATGCTGATAAGCAAGTTTCTCATAGAAAACATCTTTCAGAATTTTCTGTCAATTCGATTTTTGGTTGTTATAGTGATATTAGTCAACAAAGTTCAAATAATAGTGTGAAAAGAGTAAATTCTGGTCAATATACGAATAATGCTGTATCTCGTGTTGGTGTTTTAAATGGGGTAGAGAATACGTGTTATTCTCCAGATATTTATGGCAAAACTAGAGGTTATTCAAGATTCTAGTTTTTGAAGATTGTTTTTAAGGATATTATATTATGAGATTAATTCGATGTTATAGTAAATGGTTCTTTATAGGACAGGAGAATAAATGTCTTTTTATTGTATCTTGATTTTTCACATATATGAATATATCAGTATAGGTTATTTAAAGAGGCTATTGATTGGATCTTACATATAATTATATAGGTTATTGTATTTTTTATAAAAATCTAGTATTTATGGGCCATATGTTTTTAGAATGTTATTTATTTTATTCATTTCGATTTTTCTTTTTTTACATTAACTGCTTTATATGATAGATTGTTTTTTTAGTTCTGTAAAGGTTTTTATATTATTTTGTATTTAGAATATTCAGAATGATAAAAATATTAAAATTTAAATAAATATATAATCTTGTGGAAATCCAATGTTTATTTTGGAAATAAAGGTATTCCATAATGTTTATGTTAAATGTATTATTAAATTATGTATTAGGTAGGCTTTTTAGATAATTTTGTTAATTAGAAAGTTTAATAAAACTGATCATTTTTGAAAATATTTTTCAAATTTTTTACAATTATAAAATATAATAAAGCATATTGTTATTATTGTATTGTTTATGTTTTATGTTGGTTTATGTTTATTTGGAATTTATTTTGTAGAGTTAATTATTTGAAAAACTTTTGATCCTTGTTGGTCGTTATGTATATAAAACCACCTTTTTTTATCTTCAATAGACTCTATATTAGCAAATAGTCTTCCATTTCTATTCTCTTTTAGTTTTTTTGAGTTTCCTATCCATATGATTTTTTTTCCTAAAAGATTTAATGTTTCTATTTGAAATTTGTCGTTTGAATATTGCATTCTTGTAACATAGGGTGATAAAACAAAATGTATTAGAGCAGTAGAAAACGATGTTGTGCTAAGTGCTATAATACGATGAGTATAATTTTTTGAATGCTCAAAGAATACCAATAACTACCATAATAATTCTAGCTGAAAGATCTATATTTGTTTCAGCAAACAAAATAACTGGTGAAATAAGATATGTCAAGCAGAGTGATCCTATTGAAAAGAATTTTATAGATCTCAATGAAGAAACAAGATATCCAGAATATGTTATTGTACATGATTTATTTGTAGAGGAATTAGAATATATACGATAACCCTGATATAAATGTTGTTTGCTTGGAATTTTTTGAAAAACCTTAGTAATTATATTTAATTTATGAAGATTAAATGTTTTTAACATTAAAAAAATATATTTTTTAATATTAAAAATTAACGGATTTAAAATTTAATAAAACTTTGTGCAAAAATTAGTGGCTAATGTAAAGTGTATTTGGTATCTTGAAGGAAAATATAGATTGTTGTATTAATATCTTGAGTTGTAGATGTTGGTTTTTTTAACGTAAAATGCTTATTTCTAAAAAAAATATCTAGTTTTTAAATGAAAAGTATATTTTAAGTTTGTATAAGATATTTACATAATGAAATTTAAAGGATATAATTTATTTTTTTAATTTGTTTCTACTTTTTTTTGAATAGTTTTTTAAAGATTTTTATAAAATAATTTGTATAAAATTATGCTATTTATAATATTTTTGTACTATTTTTTAAAAATAATATTTGTCAATGTATAAAAGTTCTTTTTTATTTAAAATATTTTTTATTTTTTTGAGGTTGTAAATATATGGAGATTCGTAGATGATTAACATTAATTATGTATGAAGGGTTTCAAAAATTTGCAGAAAAATGTAGGAAATATGTTTTAATTTCTATGGATCATGGTGGACCATTGTTTTCTTTTATGGATGATTCCTATGAGTCTAAATTAGATGGAATTATTAATGATTTAAATCAGAAAATTCTCTGGCAATCTGATTTTCTTCAGAAAGTAAGCTTTTTTTGGAAAAGGATTTAAAATAATCAATTAAGGTTAAAGATTCTACTGCTATTAAGTCTAAACCGTTATCAGATACTAAATCATTGGATTTTAATCAGGTTTGTATGAATAGAAATGTTTTAAATGTTTTTATTGATTGTTTACTGTTTAGCATGAAAAGACCTCAAGAGAAATATTTTCAGAGATAAAACATCGTGTAGATGTATATAAAGAGTATTCTCGTACTATGGATTTTACAATTGATGATACCCTTGTTGCTAACTTGCTTGCACGACGTAAGATTCAAAAAAATACGACAGAAGCGCAATTGGCGCTTGAAATATTGAAAAAGAAGTTGAAAGATACACTTTTTATGGTTGAAAGGTACATTATATGATTTTTTTTTTAATGGTGACGTATTTAAGAGAACAAAAAATATTAGAAGATACTAAAATAATTGCATTTTTATTAGATAAAAAATTAAAAGTTCTGGAAAAAAGAAGTCAAAGAACTTCTCAAGAGATACTAAAGTGGGTATTTTTCGATAATATTTTATATTTTTTGACAAAAAGTAAGTGAATGTTATATGGGCGTGAAGGAAGTTGAACGATCAGTTAATAAGTTTATGCGCGAACTTGTTAGGTTTATTGATGAGCAATTGGGTGACGTATTGCTTGCAGAGCAGTCAGGCGCATTGATTAGACATGCGGATTTGACTGAGAAAAAACATGTTAACTCATTAGCAGAACCAGGTCAAACAACACTGGATATGCATATTTCTGTGGAACAGAAAGACAGAATTTCCCTTTGCAACAGTACAAAGGAGTTGCTTGAGGTACAAATGGAGGTTTGGTTTTGCTAAAATGTTAATATGTTTTTAGAACTTAATGAATCGATCAGTTTTGCCTGATGCAGATCCGTATTTAGTAGTAGAAGATTCAGTAGTAGGAAGGGTTCTATTACGTTCAGGGCTAGTGATGTTGCATAATAAAGATGCAACAAAAATGCGATTGGTTGAGTTTCACAAAGAGATTGATGAATCTTCTTTTATCTGATGTATTTTTTATTTAATGTATTAGTAAAAAAGCTTTTTATAATTTTAGGATTTAGATATTATTTGTCAATTTCCATTTCATCAATAATATCTGAAATAATAACATATTTTTTGACATCTTTTTTAATAACTGCAGTAGTTCCTCTTTTAAATTTATATGATTGTTCTTTAGGTACCCGTTCGTTCGGTTTAAGATAGTTGCGATAAAATTGTGTCTAACAAATTAGTATGTAAATTTTAGAAATAAAAAATAACCTTTTCTTTTTCTATGGTAGCCATGTCCACGTTGCTTCCTGACCCTAAATCGTTAAAAATACCTGCCAAAATAGCATCTTTACAGAGGTCCATTGCTTCTTGTTTAACCATATCAGCTTTATATCTTGTTTCAAGAACAGACATTGCTGCAAGACTACCGCTTCCCATTGTAACAAATGGGAGCTTGTCCGTACTTCCTAGAGCTCATAAATATGTGTTTAAGTCAAAGAAGCAATGCTCACCATGTGCAGAAACAGTGAATAAATGGGATCCTGTAGGATCAATACCAGCAACGATAAGATAAGCGCCTATATAGCCTTGATATTTGAAAAGATGTTGTTTCAGCATTGTTAATGCTGTAATAACACGTGGTTCCCGTCCTGTATATAATGCATGGAGTTCAATTTGTGAAGAAATCAAAGAAGTGACAAAGTCAATATCTCCTGCTGTTCCTGCTCCTGCTGCCCATATTTTTTGAGAAATTTTATGTAGTTTCTATATTAAAATTTGTAAGAAGTGTTTAAAATATAAAAATATATGGAAAACCTTGCAATTTTTATCCATCACCTAAAAAATAAATATTTGTAAATAAAATATACAATAAAAACGAGGAACTTACTATAGGACCCATTGTTGCTCGTGTATCTGCAGCAATGCATACTTAGGAAACATTAATATTGAAAAACAATTTTTATATAAAATATACCTCCATTTTTGTATGAAACACCGACAATTGTTGTTCCTGTAGAAATAGTAGGTGGTGGAGTAATTCCTTCAGATAGAAGATAATTATTTCGTTGGTAATTGCTAAAATCGAACCCTTTTTTTGGGATATTAATTTTAGATCCAATCATTTAACGTGCTGGGATGATATAGAAGTAGTCAACGGAAAGTTGAGACGCCGTCAAAAAATCATAAATGAATTATGATCAATAATAATATATATATATAAAGACAAGATTTTTTGAGAGAAAAAGTGTTTAAAAAATCTATTGTTTTTGATATAGTAAAAGATGTTATGAAAAAAAGAATTTGAATATAAAGAATATTTGACTTAATAATTTGAATAGACTAAATTTGGATTTTAAAGATATGTTTATTGGATAAGTAATATTTTTGGATTATGTCTTATTTTAATTATGTTAATTATGGTTTATTTTTTTATAATTAATAATGTAAAGAAAATAAGTAAAATAGTTACTTTGGTTTGCTTTTTATTGAATATTTCTTGCTTTTAGAGATTTTTATATTGTTTTTAGTTTTTTATAGTCAAATATTATTATGAATTATAATTAATCATTTTTAATGTTTTATATGTTATTTTTTGAAAGATAATTATGATTTAGAACTAAAACGACAAAAATTATTAAAGTTGAATATGAGAATACTTTGGAACAGTTTTATTGTTTTTGATGTTTTTTAAATCTTATTTAAATAAAAATTTACTGAATTTTTTGTTTTATTTTAGTTAATATAAATATTTATATAAAATGCACTAATGTAGAATTGATAGTGCTGTTCTTTTATATAATGATGAATATGGTGCTAACTTACTATGTTTATGAAAAAAAGAAAAAAGATGTTTTGAAATTATTTAAATATTTAAAAATATATATGTGAGTTTTATATGAAACTTATAATTTTGAGTATAGTTTACAAATATTTTGTAATTTTTGTTTTTAAAAGTATAAATAGTACTAAAAAACTATAATTTTATTCGCTATCTTTACAGGTTAAGTGTTTTGATAAATCCATTTTGTTTTAAATTACTTATTTAAATATAAATTTATATTTTTAAGTTTTTAAGTTTTTTGATTAAACTGAGACATGAAATTTGAGATAAAATAAAGGTAATTATATAGTAAAATATAATGTATTGAATACTTTTTCATTCATCTTCTTATATATTCTTATATATTAAAATATTTTTTTAAAGTTATGACTTAGTGTTTCTTGATCGTTAAATTACCAGTTATTTGAAAATATCGATAAGGTAAAATATAAGAAAGCGTTTTTATAAGTGTTTTTGTAGGTGTATATTAAACAAAAAAGAACTTCATAATGCCTTTTGTTTCACCTGTTGAAAATTTTGTTTTAAATCGCAAAAAGCGGTCTATAGATAGAGTTAAAAGTAATTTTTTGATCACTTTTAAAATAAACTAAATATGCACTATAAAGTTATGACGATAGATTCTAGTACACAAATGAGACATATTAATCGGCATCTTGCTGAGCTGGAGCGTGACAATTATAATGATGTGAAAATTGAACTTGCAAAGAATGAGGGTATTGTTATATATTTTAAAGATATTTTTTTAAATCAAGAAAGAATCCCGTTCTAAAAAAAGTAATCCAAATGTAAGAAGAATATTGATATCGAGGAAAACATTTGCAATGCATCTGGATGAAGCGGTATGACATAAATGTTCCGTATTATTTTTGTTTAATATATATAAATAAAAGGGTGTAAACGCAGGTTATCATTCAGCAGCTGTTGGACCTTCAAATAAGCCACCTATTCGTTTATGTATTATATGTGGGTACTGGGGGAATTATACATGCAATAAGTGTGGTGAACGGTATTGTTCTAAATCTTGTGAAGTTATACATTTAGAAACTAGATGTATGAAAACATATGCTTAGTTATTTAAGAAAATATATCGTACTTTATATTATTTTTTGGCACTTTAAATTCAAAAAAGTGAATATATTTAAGAATTATTATTTTGGATCATTTGGGAAATTGTTCGCAACCAATCGCTTTTAATCATAGATACAATATGGACGTATGGTTTGGTTGTAAAAATCTGATATGCTGTTAGATTTTTGTTACAAAGTAATATATCATTACTAAATTGTTATATAAAATAGCTTCGACTTTTCTATTAAATAAAACTGATGAAGGATGAATATGAACAATCTTAAATAAATTGTAAGCGATGATATTACAGTATTATAATATGTATACCGTGTTTCCTATGGTTGTATAGTAGTTTCCGTCTGTTTGCAGCAATGCTGTATTCATAAAAAATCCGGTAAGAAAACATTGAAGAATAAGTTCTGTATCTATCTTATTTGAAAATTCGACTTTCATGTTTGCATTTTTGCAATGTTTTGTTAATTGTTTTCTAATCTCCTGAATATTTATGAGTATAAAAATTAAATATTAAAAATATTACTACCATGATAGTTGTTATTGCTCTAAAATTTATGAAATTTTGATGACACCATGTTTTTGCTATTGATTCGTTTTTTCTTATTTCTATGAATTGCCTTATTATGTTAAGATATGTTATATGATCTCCATCTCTGGAGAAAAATTTCATCCTTGCTTCATTTGCTTCATTTTTTTTGTTTTGGGGTGATATGAAAAGGTTTTCTGTTGAAATACACGCAATTATATCAATAATGCATGATAAACAATTATAATCATTTGCCGCTGCAATTAAAACTCGTGCAAGTTGAGGACTTAATGGAATTAGTGACATATCATAGCCAATTTTTGTAATTTTTCCATTTTTGTCAAGAGCAGAAAGTGAATATAAGTGTTCTAAAGAACGCAACACTACAAAAATAAATATAAATTCATATTTAAAATGAATACAAACATGAACTGTGTGAAGGAGGATCTACAAATTTAAAATTCATGAGATCATCTTCACCTCTAGCTTTTAGAGTTAATACAGCAAATGACAAATTTATTCTTTTTATTTCTGGCGTAGATGTGTTTTTTAATTTTTTAAATTCTGATTCTGTATATAATCTATAGCATTTTCCAGGACCCTTTGGAAATATTAAAGATTTTCTTATTGTAGCATTCTCTATACTTCTCTTCCTGCTCTTCCTGCTCTTTGGCGTGCAGATGATTTACTTACTGGTTCAATATGTAAAGCCTCAATGCCTAATATTTTAATTAATATCATCACATTTTGTATTCAATACCAACCAAGCCTATTATTATAATGTTTTACCTTTACTAACCCTGTATCTATAACATATTTAACACCTTTTACTGTAACTGATGTCTCTGCTATATTTGTAGCCAATATAATTTTCCTGGTATTAGGAGGTGTCTTGACAAATGCTTTTTGTTGTATATTTTGAGGCAAAGCAGAAAATAATGTACATACGAACATCTTAAAAAATATAATTCTGTAGTATTTTTAAAAAATAAACATACCTTTGGAACATTTTCTTGTAATTGTTTTGAATAATGAGAAATAGATGTTTCTAGTGATTCAATTTCATCTTGACCTATGATATAATGAAAAACAGTGCATCATATTAAAAAATATTTTTACCTGTAAGGAATGCAAGGATATCACCTTCTGGTTCATTTATATGAATTTGAAATATTGTTCTCAAAACAGCATCAACATAATCATTTTCAGGTTGCAAGGTATGGTGAATGTCAACTGGATATTGTCTACCTTTTATAAAGCAAACTTTTGCATTATCAAAGAAAGTAGAGAATCGTTCCGCTTCTAATGTCGCACTCATAATAACTATGGTGAGCGTTGGACGTAATTTCATTATTTTTTTTAAGAATCCCATAAGAATATCTGTTATAAGTGTTCTCTCATGTGCTTCGTCAAGAATAATAGTTGAATAAAGAGACAAAAGTGGATCACCAATTAACTCTCGTAATAACATTCCATCAGTCATATATTTGATCTGTGTATGAGAAGAAGAACAATCATCAAATCTAATAGAATATCCTACTTTCGAACCCAGACTCGTTCCCATTTCTTCAGAGACTCTTTTTGCTAAATTTACTGCAGCAATTCTTCGTGGTTGCGTGATAGCAATACAGCTATTTTTTGTATAATTAGATTTTAAAAGAAATTGTGGGAGTTCTTGGACATTTAAAAGAATGAATAAACAAACACAATGTCTTACGTGTTGATTTTCCTGATCCTGGTTCCCCTAATAGAATTATTACTCTTGAATTTTCCATTTCTTCTATTAATTTTAATCGAGCTAGAGAATGAAATTATATAATTGTTTGAATAAATACATACCAGACCATATAGGAAGCTTCATTCTATCCTTAAGGAGCTCTGTGCGTCTTTTATCCTGCTCTTTTTTCGATTTTTTCTCTTTAATTTGATATTTTATTTTATTGATTATTTTGTTTTCTTGTGTTTGTAGTAATAATTCTGATTCTGTTTTAAAAAAATTATGTTTTTTAATTCTTTTAGTTTCATCTTTTATTATTTTATCGTATTTTTCTTCATAATTAACTTTTTTAGTTCTTTCTTTTTGTTGATTATCGTATGTTTTCTGCTTTTTGTCATTTGTAATGTTTTCTTTAGCATAAAAATCATGTTTTTTGCTTTTATTGCTTTTAAAATATATTCCTTTTAAGAACTTTAAATGTATTTTTCGATTTTTGTTCTTTTTAATTTTCTGCATAGTATTCTTTTTATATATTAGACGTAAAAGACCTTGATTTGTTGCTATGGTAACTATTATCAGAGACGGTACATTCTTAAATGCTACCAAGTGTTTTTTTGACTAAAATTTAATTTTATATTGATAAATAATGTCTATAAACAATAAATTGTTTTTATAACCTTTTTAAAGAGATTTTATATAATTTTAGACTTTTTATTACTCAAATATTTCGGTGAAATATTACTCTTGGGTGTTATATTTGAGCATAAATTAATACGCGTCGATTTATGAACTATAATAAATGAGTATTTTTTTATATTTTTTTTGTAAATGGGTCTGGTGAAAAGAAAAAATAATTTGGACGTTCATCTTGAGTGGTTTTATAAAGAAAAACCTCATATTCCTATTCGTTTTGTTAGGAAAGATTCAATATGTGAAGAAAAGTAAGTTTTAGTTCTGTATTGTCGATATGTTAATGAGTTGGATATTAAGGTTGTGTCAAAATATTGAAAACAGTATGGCTTTGACTTATCCCCATCAACGTTTTATCTCAGGACTTCAATTGTCGAATCAATGTGATGCGGAAAAAATGGATTTGGAATCTGCAAGTAAAATCTCTTCTGATTTGAAAAAAGGCTATGAATTGCTTACCAGTCTTAAAAATCAAAGTGAAGATATGGATACGTTAAATATAAATGATGTAAATTCTGGGAACCTTCAATCAGTCGTTTTAATTGATTTAACATGTTCTGATGATGAAAATAAGAAAAAAGATGAATATATAAAACGAAAATCCGAGTTTCATGATACTCATAATCAAAAAAGACATAAAAGTTCTTGTGGCTCTGTAAGTATAGCAAAAAAAGCAATAAAGTTGTAACAGGAAAAGGATGGATTATGTTTTGAAATTTTCGATGATGTTTATGGATCTAGCGAGGTTGATAAACGAATTCAAGTACTCGGTTGTGAAAATATGAGTACAGAATTTGATAGATTTTTAAAAGAAAACACAAATTTTATATTGAATTGTAATTTTTCCATTAGCAAATTTAGAAATAATTCTAATTTAATAAAATTAGCTTCTTCTAAAGATTTTTTTTTTAAATCTTTAGCTTCTGACGATTTGGTTTGATTAATATTTAATTTTTTTTAAATGGAAAGTCTAATTTTTTATTTAGCTATGTCTTTTGAATATTTATGAAAAATTAAATGTTTCTCATAAATATGAAAAGACTATTTTAGAGGAACTTCTTAAAATCGCTTCTAATTCTCCTGTATCGTTAATAAATAAAAATAAATTATTAGAACAAAGGTTTAAATAGATAATATATTTGTTTTGTCTTAATTTTTTAGGAAAGAGATACAATTAAGGATACTGGAATTAGAGGAGATGATTAAGCGGAAGATTCAAAAATCTTTTAATACTAATGTAAGAAATTTTGTGAGTCAAAATATTAATATTAATAATTTTAGAATAATGATAAAACACTAGGGGAAGGATCATCTAAATTTAATAATCATATTTCTTTGCTTGCTTCAAAAGAAAGTAATTCTTTACATTCACCTGAAAAATTAGTAAATACTTTCTCCACAAATTCTACTTTTGAGTCTCAAGAATATGATTTGTTTTCAGAAGAGAAGGAAAATGTTGATGAATCTAAACATCTTTTTTTAAATTCTTGTCAAAATAAACAGAATTTAAAAAAAAAAATAAATGATAGTTTTCAAAATTCTATATCTACTGGTGTTGTTCATGATGCAGATACAGATGAGTTTGATGAATTATATGGGATTGAATGTGATAGTCCTTTACAGAACTATATTGATATAGATTGTGAGGCCAATAATGTATTGGATTTAAACAATCAAGGAGAGTTTCAAAAAAAAGTATCTTCTAATATTATTACTGGTCTTCAATCTAAATACTTTGTGCCCCTTAATGAATGTGATAATATGTCTAGCAAAAAATCTTGTTCAGTTGAACATAGTGACGCATTGTTAAGTTATGTTTCTGAATTTAAAAAAACAGAGCTGTTCCCTGAAAATTTATCCTTGACATCTAAATCTAAAATAGGTTATCCATGGTTAAATGATGTTTTTATGATTTTAAAAAATGTTTTTGGTTTAAAAGAATTTCGAAATAATCAATTAGAAGCAATTAATACAACATTAAGTGGGAAAGATTTGTTTTTGCTTATGCCTACAGGAGGAGGGAAATCACTCTGTTATCAGCTTCCTTCATTGATTGATTCAGGGAAAACTAAAGGGTTGACTTTAGTGGTTTCTCCACTTATATCTCTTATGCAAGATCAAGTGGAGCATCTTCTTGATATTAATATTAACTCTGCATCGATAAATGGAGAAACACCTTCTTCCAAGAGAAAAGAAATAGTGAAAATGCTCTATTCTAATGATATATATATAAAATTGCTTTATGTTACTCCTGAATTTTTAGCAAAAAATAATTCTTTTAATCAGGCTTTAGATCACATTTATTCAAAAAATAAATTTGCAAGAGTTGTTGTAGATGAAGCGCATTGTATTAGCCAATGGGGACACGATTTTCGTCCGGATTATAAGCAGCTTGGACAAATTAAGCAAAAGTATCAAACCGTTCCATTCATTGCTTTAACTGCAACAGCAAATGAAATAGTTAAAAAAGATGTTATTCATAATTTAAACATTAATAATTGTGTGGTTTTATCTCAGAGCTTCAATAGACCAAATATATATTATAATGTAGTGGTTCGAAATATTTCTGTATATTCAGATATTCGAGATATAATAACATCCAAATATCCTGGAAAATCTGGGATAATTTATTGTTTTTCTAGAAAAAATTGTGAGGATACTGCACGTAAATTTCGTGATAAATATCATATGAAAATTCATCATTATCATGCAGGAATGACTAATAAAGAAAGGTCACAAGTACAAAAGGACTGGAAAAAAGGGAAATATCATATTATAGTTGCAACTATAGCTTTTGGAATGGGAATTGATAAGTCTGATGTTCGCTTTGTAATTCATTTATTTCTTCCAAAATCTTTAGAAGGTTATTATCAAGAAACAGGTAGAGCTGGAAGAGATGGAAATATTGCTGAATGTTGGCTGTTTTATAACTATAAAGATAAAGCAAAAATAGAGAGAATGATTGATAAAGGAGATGCTAGTTGGACCCAAAAAAATCGTCAAAAGGCTTCTTTGCATCTTGTATTGCAATTTTGTGAAAATAAAGTCGATTGCAGACGAAAACAGTTATTGGCATATTTTAATGAGAAGTTTTCTGAGAAAGAGTGTAATCAAACATGTGATAATTGTAGAGAAAGCACAATTGTTGTAAAGAAAGATATGTTTGATATGGGGAAAGAAGTCGTAAAAATTGTCCTTGCTGTTCAAGAAAATAAATTTACTATATTGCAGTGTATAGATGTTTTTCGAGGAATAAAAAATACTAAAGTTGTTAATTTTGGTTATGAAGCATTACCTTCGTTTGGATCTGGTTCTTCATTATCAAGATTAGATGCTGAAAGACTTTTTCACGTTCTTATTTTTGATGATATTATAAAAGAAGTGAGCGATGTTACTAAAATGGGGTTTGTTGTAACATACGTTCAAGTGAAATTATGACTTTTTTATTTTTATTTTTAATTGTGTTTTAGATCGGTAAGAATGGGATGGCTTTTTTAAATGGAAACAGAAACCTTTTTATGTCGTTTAAGCCTTCTAACTCGAATTTATTTTGTCAAAGGCTTTCATCAAATCAAAAAATAACTAAATCCTCATCGAATATATCTTGTATTCGGAAGTTAAAGACAAATAGGAAACATGTGAATAAATTATATAACTCAGTTGTTAATAATAATATAATTTAGTTTGAATCGGGATATTCTAGAATTGTACCTATTTCTAATCTAAAAAAGGATTGATTTCACTGTTTTGAAGTAATACCAAATAAATTTTCAAAGTTATGATGAATAAATTCTCGTAAATTTTGAATTCATATGAATTTGATTATCTTAAAGATTTTATCAAGAAATGTATTGGCTTTATAATAATTTTTGTTTTATTTTTTGAAATTACAGAGTAATTTTACACAGCTAATAAAAGAATGCCTAGAGTCTATTTTTTCTTAACAAGAATTGCTAAATACTGTTATTATATTTTCAAGAAACAATGTCTTATATTTGGGTTGTTTTTTATTAGTTTTTTAAGGATTTAGATTTGGTAATTTGGATAGGGAGCAGTAATGAAACATTTAATATTAGATTTAAGATTTGGCCTTCTATTATATTTGATATTGTTGATAAATATAGAGAAAACACGTGCTTTTTATAATAATTGCATTTTATACCATTTTATCGTGGTTAAGAATAGAGTCTTTATATATATATATATATATATTTCAATTTTCAATATGATATATATGTTTTTATGAAAATGCTTATTTTATTTATATTTTACGTTTAATGATAAATACAAAAAAACTATATTCCAGAGTTTACCATTATAAATTTGGGTCTTTTAAAAGTAAAATGAAGATCAAGACTTACAGACAAGTGTTTATGAAGTTTAGATTGATATATTATATCTATAATTTCATGTTTAATAGGGTATTAAATATTCGAAAGATCGCTTTTCGAACCCTATATTCATAAAATAATGACTTTTTAAAAGAAAGGTACAATGCAGAAATATTTTTTATCACTCTTTTCTTTGAGTACTCTTGATGGGGAGGATAAATTTATGGAAGGAGTTAAACCTTATATTGATTATAGGAAAGATACTCTGTCTATAGAAGAATTAAAGTTTAGCTCGAGATGGAGATCTTGTGAATTTTATATATATTATTGTATTATCTTTTTTGCTGCAATTCTCTCTTTAAAGACGACATATGATATTTCAAATTGTAAGTACTTTAAACTATATGTAGAGTAATTTAATAAAAAACAAGCATCTCATCATAATTATAGTCGATTTTCTAAATATTTGCAACGAGGTTGGATTGGTGGACGTAAAATGGTAGTTTTATTGTTTTTTTAAGTTCGTAGTATTGAACACTAAATTGGTTAGGACAATACAGATATACAATATGCTACATTTCGAAATAATATTCCTAGTTTAGTTTTTGCTTCAGTTATTCACCTTTCTTTAGGCTTTTTTTTTGATTATTTTGTTAAATATTTTAAAGTTTTAAAAGACAATATTCGGAGACGTACTTTATATAATAATATTTTTTCTTTTATTTTTCTTATTATTTTGCATGGCACAAGCATTATTAAAATTTACATTATAGCATGTTTTAGTTACAGTATTTCTTATATTTTTCTAAATAGTAGGCTGAATCCTATATTGACTTGGTTTTTTAATATTTTTATTCTTTTTTTGAATGATATATATAAAGGATATTCGTTTGGTTCTATTTATTATAAATTGTCTTTTTTTGTAAAGATTGAAAAAAATGTGTTTAAAGTCTTATAAGATTATAGGATCGTTATAGTGGTTTGGTTCCTCGATGGCAAATACATTTTAACTTTACTATTCTCAGATTAATATCTTATAATTTAGATCGTTATTGGTCACGAAAGGTTGAATTTTTTCAAGTAATTAGTGTTTTAAATTATAAATTTTTATTTTTATTGCTAAATTGAAAAATAGTTGCCTGATTCTCAGTTAACGGAAAAGGATCGTATTGATATCCCATGTCCAGATGCTGATTATTGCTTTCGGAACTTTTTTGCGTATATATTCTACGCGCCTTTGTATTTTTCTGGGCCAATTGTGTCTTTTAATAATTTTATTTCTCAGGTTTTATTATTTTTATTATTGTTTAAAACAAATCAAGAATTAATAGATTTAGCTACGATATCCATCAAAAAATATTTCCAGTTCATGGTTAAAGAAATATTTTTTAAGATTGTTGTTTTGTTTTTTTTTAATGGAAATAATGCTTCATTTTTTTTATGTAGTTGCTATATCTAAAACAAAAGCCTGGGAAGGAGATTCTCCATTTCAAATAAGTATGATTGGATTTTTTAATTTGCAAATGATTTGGTTTAAGGTTTATTGTTTTTTTTTTTTTGTTTTTAATTATTCTTTAGTTATTGATCATTTGGAGATTTTTTCGTCTTTGGGCTCTTTGTGATAAAATTGATTCGCCTGAAAATATGATTAGGTGTATAAATAATAATTATTCGTTTTTGGGTTTTTGGAGAGCTTGGCACCGAAGTTTCAATCGTTGGATAGTAAGGTAATATTACATTTTTTTGATAATTTTGTTTATATTTATAGATATATATATCTTCCTTTGGGCGGTTCTAAGTTATTAATAATAAATATTTTTGTTATTTTTACTTTTGTGGCTTTTTGGCACGATATTTCTTTAAAATTATTTGCATGGGGCTGGCTAATTACACTACTTATTCTTCCTGAGATTATATTTGGCTATATCTTTCAATCAAAAAATGTATTTTTATTTTTTTATTTTTTATATATTAATTATGTTTTTAGTGGGATAATTGGTCGCTTTATCGGCATTTATGTGCTATAGGTGCTGTAGTTAATATAATTATGATGATGATTGCTAATCTTGTTGGATTTTGTGTTGGTATTCAAGGTACAAAAGAAATGATTAGTCGTATTTGTACTAGTTATAAAAGTTAGTATATTTAGAATTTATAATCTAAGATTAAAGATTTATAGATTTCTTTTTTGTTTTGTCTGTTTTTTGCACTCTTTTTGCTGCTGTTCAAATTATGTTTGAGATAAGAAATTATGAAAAGAGAAATGGTATTTGCCTTCGCTGCTGAATTTGTGTATATTATCTATATTTGATAGAATTGTAATATTTTAATTATGTTTTATTTTTTTGTTTTGAATGACGATTTTCATTTTTCATGACATTTTTGAGACTCCTTATATGTCAGAGAAATTATTTAAATACTAGGAGCTATCTACATACTCCTTCTTACTTCCTTAATGGGTCTTATGATCCTGTTATTTTTATCTTTTTAGTGAAAAATTGGTTAATATAAAAAAGGTTATGATAGAGAAAAATTGGTATAAATGGTGGCAAGAAAATCATCTTTTTTTGCCAAAAAATACAAAAGATAAGTTTTTTAGAGACAATTATGTGATTTCTATACTTCCTCCGCCAAACATTACTGGTACTTTACATCTTGGTCATGCTTTAACTATTAGTATTCAAGTAATAGAGGAATTCTAATGTTTTATCTAAATGTATAGGATGCATTAATTCGCTGGGAGAGGATGCGAGGAAAAGATGTTATGTGGATTCCTGGGATGGATCATGCAGGCATTGCAACTCAGAGTGTTGTAGAACGTTTTCTTTTAAAAACACAGAATGTAAGTTTTTGAATGATGTAAAAGATTTGACATAGAATAGCTAAGAAGAAAAGATATAACTAGAGATGCATTTATAAATGAAATTTGGAAATGGAAATGTTTACACACAAATCATATTTTTCATCAGATTGTATTTAATACTATATTTTTTTGGAGATAATTAAATTCATAAAGGCTTCTATGGGCGCTTCTCTTGATTGGTCCAAAGAATTTTTTACTTTGGACGCACCTTTGTCTAAAGTAGTAATGGATTGTTTTATTCAGTTGTTTAATGAGGGTTTGATATATAGAGATATAAAGATGGTTAATTGGTCGTGTACATTGGAAACAGCTATATCAGATATTGAGATAGAACATAAGGTTGTTCCTAAACCTACTGAAATAATAATTAGAGAAGAACCGTAAGACTTATTTTTTATTGAATTTTGTTAATATCAAAGTAGTGTTGAATTTGGTGTATTACATCAAGTGGCATATCGATTGGTTAATTCATTTGATATTGATGAGATTGTTATTTCAACATCGAGAGTAGAAACAATTCCTGGAGACAAAGCTATATCAGTTAATCCAAATGATATGAGATTTTTGGTTGATATTAATTATTTTTTTTCTATCATATTATAACACGTAAAGGGTTTGCATGGTAAATATTGTCATAATCCACTAAATCCTGATATAATTATTCCTATCATACCTGATGAAATGGTTGATCCTAATTTTGGAACAGGTGCTATTAAAATAGCACCTGCGCATGATCCTAACGATTATAAATTTTCTATTCGCCACAAGATACCAATTTTAAGTATTTTTGACACTGATGGAAGAATGAATGCATTATGTCAGCTTCCTGAGCTACAGGTTTTATTTGTTTTTTATTGAAACTAATTTTAACTTACTTTAGCATCTTGATCGTCTTAAATGCAGGAAGTATATATTGTCGAAATTAAAGGATAAAGGGTTATATCGTGGATTTCAGAGTTATAAAACATCAATACCTCTGTGCTCTCGTTCTGGTGATTTAATTGAGTATTTTTTGAAACCACAGTGGTTTGTTTTGTATTTATTTTTCTTTTTTTAAATTGATTAAAGGTATCTTAAAACTAAACCTTTGGCTTTAAATGTATATAATAATTATAAAGTTGGAAAATTCAAGATTAATCCATCGCATTACAGTAGTCAATGGATAAAATGGTTGGAAAATATTGAAGATTGGTGTATTTCAAGACAATTATCTTGGGGTCATCAGATACCTGCTTGGTATGTAGGCTCTAATAATGGATATTGGATTGCTGCTACATCTGAAGAAAATGCCTTGAAAATTTCGGGCGGAAAAGAAGTTAAACAAGTAAAAATTTATTATATTTCTGATTTTTTAATTTTATTAATAGGATCTTGATGTTTTGGATACTTGGTTTTCATCTGCATTACTTCCTTTGTCTGTATTTCACTGGGATGGTAAAAATATACCTGTTGGTAAGATTATATGATTATTGGAATTTAATTTTGAATATTTTATAGAATATCCATTAAATTTTATTGAAACTGGATCTGATATTCTTTTTTTTTGGATTTTAAGAATGGCTCTACTTTGTACACATTTTACTGGCAAATTACCTTTTAATGAAATTATTCTTCATCCATTGGTATTTTAACATAATGTATGTGTATTATAATTTTATGTTTTAATAGATTAGAGATTCCCAAGGAAGAAAAATGTCTAAATCTTTAGGAAATGTTATAGATCCTTTATGTATTATAAAAGGGGACTCTAAAACTCTAAATGATATTGCTATCGACGGAAATGTTTTAGAACAGAATAAACATGATATAAAAACAATAAATTCTGGGTTATCTGGTATAAAGGCAATGGGGGCTGATTCGCTTCGATTTGCATTGATAGATTATACAAAACATGTAAATATGGTTTTTAGATAAATAATTTTAAAATTTTGTAGACTCGGCAAATTAATATGGATATTGCGAATGTATCTTCGGCAAAACATACATGTTTAAAGCTTTGGAATGCTACTAGATTTTTCTTGTATCAAACAAAGTATTATGGCTTAAAAACTATAGATATGAATTTAAGATCAACACATATTTTTGATAAATATATAGTATCTAGACTTAAAAAGGCTATTGATGTTTGCAATATGGGGTTTGAGTTAAGAAAATTGTTTGAAGTTACAGAGTGTTTGAGAAAATTTATTGTTTATGACTTATGTGGTATTTATTTGGAATTTATTAAACAAGAACTAAAAAAAAATGATAACGAGGTAATATATTTTGTTTTTTTTTCTTGTTAATATAAAAAGCGAGCAATATATGCTTTGAGTACTCTTTATTCTGTGTTATATATCGTAGTTAAACTGCTTCACCCTATATCACCTTTTATTACTGAAGTTAGTTGCACTTTTTATTATATTTGATGATATTTATTTATAGGAACTATATCAGTATTTATTGAAATTTGTACCATGTTCAGAAATAAGTATAATGATATCAAATTATCCTAATAAAGATACTTTTTTTCATTTAGATGATGATTCTTTAGAAAGGGTAGAAAACATTATGATATTAATACATGAGTTTAGATCTATGATATCAAGTATCAAATATATAAATTGTCCTGTATTTGAAGGTTTCGTTGAAATCAATCATAAAAATAATATATTTAAGGAAGATGTTAAAAATTTTAGGAATATTATTCGAGATATGATTGGAATTAGTGATTTAAGATTAAATGTAAGTATTTTATATTAATCTCTATTAAAATAATATTTTTAGGATATAAATAATGATTTAACAGATATGTATTCTAGAGTTGTTAATTCTGAATTAGTTCTCTATCTACACACCAAAGATTTATTTTTGGATAATTCAAAGCAAATATCTAGGGTTAAATGGCTTCAAAAACAAGAAGAAGCTATTTCTAATATATTAAAATCTGAGAAATATATTCAAAATGCTCCTATATATATTCAAGAAAAAAACATAAAAAAATTAGAAGATATTCAGAATGAATTAAGACTTATTTGTAATCGTCAAAAAGGAGATAAAAACTAGTGTATATTTTTAAATTTATATAGATTTATTATTTAATTTAAAATGATGTATAGACTTAAAATGTAGCTCCGTTTTTAATAAACAATCTGTATTCTTCTTTTTTTATCCATTTTAATACCGAATTAACATTTTTAATTAAGTGTTGTTTGGTTGTCTCTGGTTTGGCTATTGTAAAAAACTCAAAAATTGATGTTATCTTAAAATGATATTAGAGATCTTCTAATTGTAAAACTATTTACCCATGCAATTGCTATATAGTTTTTAGTAGAAATAAATTGAAGTCTGCTATATGATTTTTTCTGAGTTAGAGAATGAAGTTTATGGTAAATTTTCATTATTCTAATTAGAAGCGTTAGATTTACAATAAATAATAATAGCTTACTTTTGTTTTTGAATAATATTTTCAGATGTTTCCCACTGTGGCATAGTAAATTGTACATCAGCCCTTGATTTGTATATAAAATGATAGAGATAAGGTGCATTGGTGTCAGCTGTACTTGTTAATGATATAAATGTAGATTAATTCTTACATGTTGTATAAGATGTCTCTGCAAATTTTATTACGTTTAAAATATTGTGAACATTAAAATCCTGCGGATGTTAGATAAATAGTTTTTTTATAATATATTTATATACATTAATAATTTTTTGTTTCATTTGTCTCATCTCAAAAAAAGTATTTTTATCTGTTGAAATTAATACAATTGCAGTTGATTCTGATATAAAAGTTATATAACAGTATGTAAATCCTTTAGGATCAAATTTAGGGAAACATAATGGTATCCAGTGTTCAGTTCCATCTTTAAATGATGTGGTATTAAATATCATAGAAAATAGTAAAAATAATTCTATTCTTTGTTAATAACTTTTATAAAAAAATCAATTATTTTCCTGAAGAATGAATAGAATGGTTTTTCGGCCGTATTATACTAATTATGCATAAGTTTGATACAATTATTCCATATAATAATTTCTATGTTTTTATAAGATATTTTTAAAATAATATTTTATTTATACTTTTGCCTTTGCTTTAATTAAAATAGAGTCTATTTTCATCCTAATAGATCTTCTGAGCCTTAAGCATTGTAATCCATTTAATAAGATAGATGGTTCTCCTTCAATGATTACATCAGAAAGTGCATCGAGAAATATTTTTGTATCTAATGACAATAAGATATAAACTAAATGGATTGTTTTGTACTTCCAAGGAGTCTTTTTAAGTCGAAATTTTCTTTATGGACAAAAATATTTAATAATTTGTCTAGTGTAAGCATTGTTGTTATTTGAGTATATAGTATGTTAAGTTGCGCTTTAATCTTGAAAATTTTAGTATTTTTTTTACTTATTTCTTAAGCAACCTGTGTTTCAGATTCATGTAATTTTGAAATACCTACTAAATATAAAGGACCTTCTAACAAGATAACTACTGTTAAATTTTTTGATGCAAAACTTCTAGAAAAATATTTTTAGAATTGATATAGGTTTTAATATTTCTGTACCTAAGATTGTCTTCTTTACTATGAAAAAAACTTATAATTATTTGTATAATTCCCATGTATTCAGATATAATCATTTCATCTCCATATCTACTATAGACTGGCTTACCAGCTCTAGAAAGTATAAAAAAGTGTTTTTTTCTAGATTTCCATGCTTCTATTTTATCTATTAATTTTTTAGTGCTTTCTAGAAAAAAAGGTTGGAAAACTACCTTCATTTTTAGAATCCTCATTACATGATCTTGAATTATGAAAAACATTAGATTCTTCTTTAAAAAATGCTTTATCTAAAAATGGTAATGTTCCTTTAGATTTTTCTTTTTGGTTCTTTAATGCTTTTTCTTCTTTGAATTTGCTCATAGATATAATAACTTAGTAATATAAGTTGAAGATTGCAAATTCGCTTATAATAGTTTATATACCGATTATAGATACAGCGTAAGTATAATTTTTTATGATTTTCGATTTTTGATGCTTTTTATATGTATGTATAATACTTAGTTAACGTTGGCTTTTGTAGAAATATTCTTTAAACACTCAAGTAACTTGTGTTTAAATTTATAATGACTATGTTTAAAAATTTATAATTGTTTTATAATTTTATTTCATATTTCTTTTTAGTATTTTCTTTTTTCATAGATATATGTTTTTATGAAATGTTTATATATAGAATATAGAAGTTTTTTTATCTTTTTTGTGGGATAATTGAAAGTCTAACGACTGACATTTTATATGGGATTTCGATTATACTAGTTTTTTGAAAGAAAATAAATGCTTTTAAAAGTATGAAATAATCAAGAAGAGTTTTTGATTTATTTGTTTTAACGAAAATGAAGGTCTTAGAAATATTAAGTGTCTTTTTTTTGTATGTTTAAAAGCTTTAAATTATGGAGAAAAACATAAGAGAAGACTTGCAAAAAGAAGGATTATCTGCGGTTTCTCCTAAAACAATACAAACTTCTCTTTCTATTAAAGGTATATTATTTTCTTTTTATGGGAAGCATTCAATGCTTATTTTAAAAAAAAAAAAGATTCAGAAAATTCTCAAAAATTTAAAAAGTATTCTGGGGGGTTGGACAAAATTCTTCAATCATTCGATAATCTTCATGAATGGGCAGACTATATATCATTCCTTTCAAAGCTTCTAAAGGTTTTTGAGACTCAGTCACATATTTAAAAGTGGATTAAGAATTTATTTAGACTCTTCATTCATATCCTACATTTGCTATCGTTCCTTATCAAGATCTTGTCGCATGTAGGTTGGCACAATGTTTGAATCCAAATCTTCCTTCTGGTGTACATCAAAAAACACTTGAGGTTTATTCTTATATTTTTTCTTTGATTGGGGTATGTAAATATGTTTTTATATAAAGTTAATAGGATTCAAGAAAAATGGCCTTTCTGAATCTCTTCCTCTTTGGAATAGTGGTTTAGCTCCTGTTTTGATGTTTGCATCTACGAAAATTAAGGTATATAGTTTTTTTGGATAGTTTTTTTAATGAAAATAATTAGCCTTATTTTCTTGGACTTATTGAAACGTTTTACTTGCCATTAGGCCCTAGTCTTCGGCCTTGTGCAAAGTCGTTGATTATGTCATTGCTTCCTGGTCTTGAAGAAGATTCTGGAGAATATTTTGATGAAACTTTTAATGTTTTGGATTCTGTACGACAAAAATTAGAAGATGATGCTTTTTTTTGGCAATGTTTATGGCTTTGCATAATTACATCTCCTCAGCAGAGGCAAGGAGCTTTGAAGTATTTATTTAAATGTTTTCCGGTTTTAAAAGATAATTCTAATGGTAGGAATTTATATTTATTGCTAGCTGTAGAGTTTAACTTTCTTAGATATTCTTCCAATAATACATCCTGATTCTGGTCTTTTTATAAGAGCATTTAGCTCTGGACTTAATGATGAACAGTTATTAATTCGCCGTGGATTTCTTGAGCTTTTAGTTCAAAATGTTCCTCTGTCCTCAGTTATTTTTCAAGAGTATTTGGACTTACTTTTTTTTTTTTTTAATATTATATTAGAAATATTGTTTCTATAGATGCTGAGCTTTTAGTAATGAGTGCTATTAAAGTCGTCATGGGTAAAGAAATATCTCTTAATCGGCGTGTATGGTCATGGCTTATGGGTTCTGATTTTGAGCAAAATCCTGTCGAAGATTCTTATTTTAAGAATTACAGTATGAAATATGTTGTAGGTTGTATAAAAAATTGCTTGGATATAAGTAAGAATGATCCTGTAAAACTTCAAGAAATATTTAATATTCTATTATCTTTGATGGAGAGATCTATAATAGGGAGTATTATTGCTCCTGAAGTTTTTTTGCCTGCTTTAAGAACTATATACATGTTTAGTGGATTTAATAATGATGATTTATATAATGATGTTCTATTTTCTGCTAGAGCATTTTTTGACGCTGTAGATTCAAAGTTGATATGGAGTAAACTATTGTTTTTGCTTGATAAACTAGATGTGGATGTCTTTGATTTCTCAGATTATGATTTTGCATTGTATATTATTTTAAATTTTAATATTCGTGAGGGAGATATGACTTTTTTTCATATTCCTATGGTTTTGTATGTTAATATTTTAAATATTTCAAACAAGTCAAGGAATTTAGCAATTGAGAAGACTTTGTTGTTGGTAATACACAAATTGATATCTTTTGTTCCGAATAATGAATTATCTAATGTTTTATTTGGTGAATATAGTTATGAGGACAGAATATTTTTGAAAAATAATATTAAAAAATATTATCAAGATCTTTTAGGTGATGAAAGTAATACATATTTATCTAAAGAAATGGTTATGGAATTTATTTTTTGTTTACTTATCGAAAATATAGAGCTTTATCTTGATGATAGTTTTTATTTATTTGAGATGCTTTGGCTTACATATGAATTTATTCCAAAAGCTTTACGATGTTCAAAAACTCAAAAAAAAATGTTATTGGATGATGTAGTATCTGTTCTTAGTTCTAAAGACCTTACTTTTGATCATGTTTATTATATAGTTAAAATTATTGTAGAGTTATTAAAAAGAACATGGATTAATATTGATGACATTAACAATAATGATATACTGATTCCTTTGGTTCTTTATGTATATTTTTGAAAAAATGAAATATTTAGAGCTTATTTGTTTTAGATATGGGATTGTTTTTCTATTGAAAATTCAAAGTATCATATTGATGCATCTCTATTGTTATGGACATTGCATAAAATGCTTAATGGGTCTTTTATCGAAACAATTATTGTTTATGCAATGAATATTCGTGAAATTCCGTATGTTGCTTGTCTTAAGTTTACTATATTATGGAAATATAGCGGTAAGTTTCATTGATTTTTACTATGATAAAATTAAGTTAAAGTGGATGAATCTCTTTTTGCTCATGTGCTTGCCAGACCGTCTTTAATAATGATAGGTTTCCTTCATTCTGATGATATTCATACAAAACTTTTAGTGAAGGCTTGGATTGAAACTTTGAATACTTCTTTCATTAGGTTCGTTTTTTTTTTTTTTTGTCATTATTAAAGAAATAAGGCTGTTGGATATTGTGCTTATAAAGTTGTTATCTTTAGGATTTATTTGTTCTCCTAAAAGTGAAGTTGCTCAAGAATTAGAAATTTCTCTATTGCAATTCAAAGAAACTGATGATATATCAATGTTTGTTTATTATATATCTGTATGTGTAGAAATCATTGAATCCGGAGGAATTGATCTTTTAGAACATGCTTTCACTGAACTTTTAAATGTAGATACTAATAAAAGCAATTTGTTGTCTAAATGTGAGTTAATATAATGGTTTTAATGTTTTATAATGATAACTAATTTAGATTGTTTAATATCTTCTGATATGAGCTATATTAGTATATTAGCAAAGATTGCAATTAGGTTAATAGAAATTTTTTTAGTTGATAAACTTATAAAATTAGAGTTCTTCATATGTTTCCAGAGTCTGATTTTCATAATTTAAGATCAATGGTTATTAATCTTCATTTTTTAGCAAGTAAGCTTCTTTTTTATATTGTTTCTAAATGCAATTTATTTGATCATGAGCTTATTGAAGTACTCTTGAAAAGACTTATAGTAAAAGGTTTTATTTGTGAAAATATTTTTGACAAATATATTCTGGATATTTTATATATTATTTTGAAGCGCAATATTAATCAATATGAAATAGATTATAAGGATTTTTTCTTTAATGGTGTCCATTCTTTATCTATAGATGAAAGTCTTGGCAATAATTCTGAAAAAAAAGTGTTTCGTAATGTTTTGTTGATGTTAGTTAAACTTTTTATTACTCGATTATCAACAACACAAATTCCTTCGAATATTGAAATTTTAATAGATTTTTATAAACGTTGCTTAGGATTATTTACTAATGAAATGTTTCAGATATTTATACCATTTATAGAGACATTATGTAATCAAGTTAACTTTATAATTGTTGGATTAGAAACTGGTTTTTCGGATTTGAAAATGGAAGGCTTACCACCTTATGAAATTATTTTATATTGCTTTGAGGGTTTGAAATATACAATTACTTGGGCATTTGAAAATCATGATGATAAATTGAAAAATTCTTCTCGGAAGTCTTCTGAAAATGTTGGATTTTTTGGGAATGTTATGTCTGGTGTGTTTTCTTTAGAAGCTCCAAGTTCTGTTAATTTTTCTAAAGATGTAATTTTTTTTTTTTCTGATTATTAATGATATTTTTATAGAATCGAAATTCTATAATACTGTGTTTTCGAGATATTGTAAAATTAGCTTTTTACGTTTGGTCTTGGATAGAATGTAATATGATTGTTAGTATAAGGAAATTAGAAACATATAAGTTTATAAATATGAGACTTAAAACAGCAAGTAGACAGTTAATTTATGCACTTTATGATATAAAACCTATAGAAACATTAGAAAGTTTGGTAAATTCAGTAAACAAAACAGATATGAAGGTAAAATGTGTTTATACACGTTAATTAGATTGATTTTTGTAGATCAAAGAACATGTTTTTTATTTTTTATCTAAATTTGATGATTCTAGAAAACAAGAAATAATTCCTTTTTTAATTGACAGTATTAATTTTAGAATAAATTCGACATCTGTTGTTGAAAAGCATAAATCAAATATAATTATTTCTGTGTATGATAAATTTTTATTTTTATATTATTTTTGATTTTTATAGAACGCCAAATTCAATTATTAGTTTTCTTATAAATTTCGTTGAATTTTCTAAAACGGATCTTTTAAAACAAAGTTGGCCCGTATGTTTAGCTTTTTTTCGAGATGCGGTTAATAGTCCTCAACAATATCAAATAATTGATACTTATATACTTCATTTTGCTACATCATTGATTAAAAAATTAAGTGAAGTAAATATCAATAACGAAAAACGTGAAAAAAAAGAAATGATAGTAATACTTTTGTTATTATTTATTTGTTTATTTATTTGTTTTAGGATATTTATTTACGAATTTTAAGTTTTTTTACGTCGAAATCGCTTAAGTTCTGTGATTCTAGTTCTGTATTTAATAAGGATATTAATTCCCAATTGTCTACTAATAGTTATGGATATTATAGATTCATTTTTTAAGCTAAAATATTTTTAGATAATGAAGAAAAAATGAAATTTTTTGATAGTAATGATAAATCGAGCAAAAATAATGAATCATTTTTGTCTTCTGCATTTTCAAATCGTGAATTAAATTCTGTTTTACTTAAATATGTAATTCCTTCTCTTTCTAAAATAATAACAGATAATGAAAAAATTGTTCATGCATGTAGTATTATTATGACAAATGTTATTGGATCAGAGCATCGGAATTCCCAATTGTATAATCTTTTATTTCGATATTGTGATAATTGATTAAAATAGATCTCGAAAATATTCTGAAGATAATCTTATTCTACTAGCTAAGCTTGTTGAACTTTCTGGGTCATCTAAGTTCTGGAAAAAAGAAGTTATAGATATCTTTAATGATAGTTCTTTTTTTACGATACCATTTAATGAGGCTGTGCTATGGATGCCTATTATTAAGCAGCTATATAATAATGATAAAGATAGGTCGCTTGAAATATTTAGTAAATTTTCCTTTTATTCATCGTCTAGTATTTTTGTATTTAGAGAATCAGAAGTTGTTTCTCGAAAATATCAATTAAAGCGTCTTATTTTTATTATAATTTCGTCAGGTAAAGATAAATATGCTGACAAAATTAAAGATATAGAAAATGTTATTTTTGAATATATTAAAGGACCATTAAGGAAGATGCTTCGAAAAGAAATATTTTTGTTAATTAGAGCATTAATTATATATATGTCATCGATACATTTAACTTCGCTTTGGGCAATAATTTTATCAGAGCTTCAGTATTCTTTTGTAGATCTTCTGGAGAAAGACCTTCCTTGGAATCAGGAGCTTCTTGATTCATTGCATGATGCTTGTAAGCTTTTGGATGTGATTTTGGTTATTGAGCCAGAAGAGTTTTTAGTGTATGGTTTTTATTTGAATTTTATCCATTTATAAATTTTTCTTATAGGCATAAATGGGTTTTTATTACGGATACGATTGATTCTGTTTACTCTTCTGACAAATCCAAATCGGTTGCATTGATGGATAAACTTTTTCATAAGATTTTTACATTTCTTCATAAATCATTACGTACCAGTGAATCACCACAGGTAAGTTATTATATATATATATATTACATAGCTAAAATGATTGTTATAGCTTTCCCAAGCGTTTATAAATATTGATGCTCTTAATAAGAGATCACCTATGCTCATTTCTAAAACAATTGAAGATGTTTCTGATATTAAACCGTTTTTAAGTCGTATTAGTGAAATTAATTATGAAAATGTGTATAACATCTGCTCTCCAGATATAAAAGCATGTGAAATGGGGTTGTTAAGGGATCTTTTTTAAAAATGTTTTTTTATATTGTAGTTGTCGTAGCAACCAGTTGAGATTTTCTTTCGAACCATGTTATATACGTTTACGTTAATTTAGATTTTTTATAAAAATAATATTTTATTTATGATATTTCTGTTAGGGTACCATGATAACGTAGAATTGGAGAAACATGTAAAACCTACATCAAAGAAGGAGATTTTAGGATGGTATAGTTGTGGATTTTCAAATGAAGTATTTTCTATAGTTTCAATGGGTACATTTGTTCCAATATTATTAGAGCAACTTGTTCGGAATTCAGGTGTTTTGTTATCTAATAAAGCAATTCCGTGTGTATCTCATGGTTTATCGTATGCTACTTTTTCATCTCAAAGTAATAAAGATTTGAGTTTATGTGTTATCCATGTTTCTGGAATAGGCTGGGTAGACAGTTATAGTTTTTCGTTGTATGTATATTCTATAGCGTCTCTTCTTCAAAGTATTATTATTATCAGTGTTAGTGGTTTGGCCGACTATGGGAAGAATCGTAAAACTTTACTTCTTATTTTCTCAATTATTGGGAGTTTTTCTGCTATTTCTTTTATTTTTATAAATAAGCAATATTTTTTTGCATCATTTTTATTTATTTTATGCAGTGTAGTTCCTTTTATGATAATTTTGTTTTATTAATAGTCTATAGATATGTTATGGTGCGTCCACTGTACTTCTTAATGCTTTTTTACCTGGGTTGTCTAGAAATCATCCTTTGGTCATAGAAGAATGTAATAAGTCAAGTTCTCGTCAAAGTTTGGTACGTGGAACTTCTTTTCTTAGAGATGATGTTTCTGAAGATTATGATTCTTCTTTTCTTGATTATACAAAAATATCTGATTCTCGCATATCTGCGCTGATGTTGGATTTGTCTTCAAGTATTTCATCTTGTGGTATTGCTATAAGTTATTGTGGTGCCCTTGTTTTTCAAATTATATCTATTTTCATAATACAGATAATTGGTTCTGGAATATTCTCTTCTCAAATCATTATTAGTGCATCAGGTTTTACACATCTTTAATTGTTTCATTTATTTATATACTTTAGGATTATGGTGGATGGTTTTTTCTATTCCTGTTGCAATATGGCTTAGATCACGTCTTTTACCTTCATTGTCTCAAGATATATTGGGGAAACCTTCATTTATAGGATATATTTTATATTCATGGAAATCTTTAATAGATACATTTTTAGATGTGCGGAAATATAAGGATGTAGTTATTTTTTTAGCTGCATGGTTTTTTATATCTAATGGTTTTTTCAGTTTTTTTGTTTTTATTTCTTATTAGTATTAGGATATTCTTCTATTATTTCTACGACTGTTCTTTTTGCAAAGTCTGCACTTTATATCCCTCTTATAGGGCTTGTTGTTATATCTTTATTATCTACTTTATTCGGTATTTTAGGTGCGTTTTCTTGGCCTTATATTAGTCAAAAGTTTAAGTTTTCTCCTTCTTATACTCTTTTCCTTATTCTTTCTTTATCACTTTTTATACCTGTTTATGGAATTATTGGACTTTTTCCTATTTCTATAGGGTTAAAACATCCTATAGAGATATATATATTAGCTATATTTTTCGGGTTTCTTTATGGGGGATTGCAAGGGTGCGATAGAAAATATGTTGTTTATAATAGAATTTTTATTGATATTAGATATTCTCGGTCTTATTTTGGTCAATTGTGCCCTGAAAATTATGAAGCTAGATTTTATGCATTATATGCAGTTACAGAGAAATTCAGTTCGTTTTTTGGTCCTGGAATTATTGGTTGTATTGTTGGTAATATTCTCAATAAAATCTGGAAATGTTTTAAATATTATAGACATTATGCATAATATGCGTTATGCATTTTTTTTTTTGTTTGTAACTATGGCTATATCTATATTGATTTTGGTACAGTTAAAAATGTATAATAAATAATTCTATTCTTTTATATGTAATAAACTTGTTACTATTGCATTTATTTGTTTATATTGTATAAAGAATGCTTTATAATTTGGATTTTTAATAAATTACATATATTGGATTGCTTTGTATTATCTTGTATTTTATTTGAATTAGTTGACTGTTTTCAGGAATAGAATTGTATAAATCATATTTATCAATTTATTTATTTAGAGTACTTAAGTAATTTATTTTTTAGAATATTACATATATATAAATTCTATTCCTATTCTGTTTTAGTTATTTGTATATTCTACGATATTTTTGTTAAAACTTGTATGTATGTATAAATGGACTTACATTTGTTTTTTTTGAAATATTTTTTATTTTTAGTAATATAGTTTTTTTATTTGCTTTGTATATTGCACTTTTTTCAAAATTATGTTATTCCAAGAATCGATGAATAAATAATGCGCAACGAGTGGGAAACTGAATTTGAAGAAGAATTAGAGGGGTTAAAGTCAACTGAGTCCGATGTTGGATGGATGGATGATGTAGATTTGCTGGACAATGAGCTTCCAGATGAAATTCCAGGTGATTCGATACCCTTAATGGATGAAAAAGGTCCTTTAGATTCTGTAGATGATGGAGATGAACTAGCATCGATTTTGAAAGAAGGTTTAGTACAACCTTCTAGTGGAATGGAAGGAGTGCAGGTACCAATGCAGCTTCTTGGTTTTGGATGGTCTATGCCGATGATGAGTCAAGAACGGGGACGAGAGAGAATATCTCGAGAATGTATTTTAAAAGAATATTTTCCAGGGTTTCGAGAAAACGAAGTGCTTAAATTTTGTGAATTATTTGTTACAAAGAAGGCTTATTTAATTCCCGTGAAACATCGTGTAGGACGCAGTAAGTTGTGTCTGTAGCGGTGATGAGCCGTGAGTGGGTTGATAGAATTATTAGCTAACTTAAAGAGTAGCATGTTTTCCGAAATGGGTTGGATTGGATGTAGAACAGGATGATGCACAGGCGTTTGGGACATTTGGACGCCTAATACACCCTAGATGGGATGATGAGGTAGTTTATACAATGCCTTTTTCAGAGGAGAATGAGGAAATGAACGTTGATAAAGATGCCTTGGATGTTCTTGTATTTTGCTGTGAAACATCGCATAGGACTAACTAATGCGTTTCAGCATGGATCTGGGTCTAATGAAATGAATCATGATTTACATTTAATATGCTTCGATTGGTACAGGAGGGTTTTTTCCGATGAATTTTCTCCATCTAAGAATGTATCGTTTGTTCGACCTAATTCAAAAATTAAGTTTATGGGCGAGGGTTTTTTTTCTCAGTTTTATATTGACGATCGGATATTTAATGGAAATATTGAATTAGTACCATCAGTACAGCTTAACTTTAATGATCCTTTTCTTCTTCTTGATATCCAGAAAGTTGATTCAAATTATTTTAAGCATATTGTAAATGATCGTTCTTTATTGTATAACGACTTATCACGAAAATATAATATATCTAATGATGAAGTTTATGATCAGTTACGTCAAAATCAGCAAGCTCGTGTTCGTCAGACTTTAGGTCACTTGTCAATTGAACATGGATTGGTTGCTGATCGACTACAAAGTCCTTATTATAAAACGAGACTTTCAAAAACAGAATGTCGTCTTTTTCATAGGCCTGTGATTACATTTAAAATTAATCATGAAATTAAATTTGACAGAATTGGGTCACGAAAGAAAAAAGATCGAATAAAAGATCCTAAGATATTACTAAGTACAACTAAAGGTGTCACTCTTAGTGATAATTCGACTTACGTATTGATGGAATATTCTGAAGAATATCCTTCTGTTATTTCTAATCCTGGTATGGGTTCTAGGGTTGTTGTGTTTTATCGCAAAAAATCTGACGACGATTGTACAAGACCAAAAATGACAATTGGTGAAACACATATTTTAGAGCCTCAGGATCGTTCACCTTTTTGGAATTTTGGGACAGTAGATCCTGGAGAAACAGTACTTACTTTGTATAATAAAATGATACGAGCTCCTATTTTTGCACATGAACCTGAAAATACTGACTTTTTGGTTTTACGGTATAATTTTTTATAATTCATGATTAATGATTGATTATATTAGAAACACATGTTCACAAGGGTCAAGGTATTATCTTCGCAATATAAAGTATCTTTATGTTATTGGTCAGACATTACCTGTAATTGATGTTCCTGGTCCTCATTCAAGAAAAATTACTATGATCAGTAAGAATAGGCTTAAAATGATTTGTTTTCGTCTTTTGCGTCGTGAAGAAAGCGGTAAAATTCTTATTAAACAAATGGCACACCATTTTCCTGATCAAAATGAAATGCAACTTAGACAGCGTCTTAAGGTTTTATTTTGTTTTTTATATTTATTTAATGTCTTATTTTTATTAAGGAGTTTATGGATTTTCAAAGAAAAGGTGATGATCAAGGATATTGGAGGTTAAAGTCTTCTGAAGTTCTTCCTCCTGAGGTTGTTATTCGTAGTATGGTTTCACCTGAGACTGTATGTCTTATTGAAAGTATGCAAGTTGGTCTTCAAAATCTTGAGGATGCTGGCTATGGTCGAGCTGTAGAAGATGAAAATATGGATGAGACATGTCTTAGTATTGATCAACAATTGGTTCCTTGGATTCTGACACGAAATTTTATTAATGCTACTCAAGGAAAAGCTATGCTAAAATTACATGGTGAAGGAGATCCAACAGGTTGTGGTCAAGGATTTAGTTTTATAAGAACATCAATGAAAGGGGGATTTAAATCGTTAGATGAAACAATAGACGATAAAGCTGATGGAGATAAATCAAAAACAAATCACGGATATAATATAGCTAAGCAGTCAAAGGCATATGGGGACGAGATTGCAAGAATATGGAGGTCTCAACGTATTGGATTGAGCATGGCAGGAAACGCTGCTATGACTGATTTAGAATTTGAGGATTCTCAAAAAGATTTTACTAATGATAATAAAGTAGATAGTGGGTGGGATGTGTCAACTCCACAATCTACAGATTTAATTGAAAATGATGATTATTTTTCTATGAATTCTCAAATAGGTACTAATCAAACTAATAAAGTTTTAAGAATTCAAAGACTTACACGAAATTCATTTGGGCAATTACAAAGAAAAGTTGAAATAGTTCATAATATTAATGTTATACGAGCATATATAAGACATAGACAATTAATTGATGATCAAACTACGATGATGGAAAAAATAGGGCCCACTGATGATGAAGATGCGAATAGAAGGCGTAAAAAATTATTAGAAGAACAGTTGGCACGATTAAGACATAATCGTGAAAGAAGGCAGGCTCGGAAAGCTGCTAAAGCTGCTCAAAAAGCTGAAACATCTGCTTTGTATGAAATTTCTTTACCAAATAGTAAGAAAAATGCGGTTGGTACTAGTAGGCGGTGTGGAAGTTGTGGTATGTTTTTTTAATTTTTATATATCATATTGATTATTTTTAGGACAAGTTGGTCATATGAAGGTATTTTTTATTTTATTTTTGAAATATAATGTTTAAAGATTTAGACATGGAGAGGGTGTCCTATGTATGGGAATGTTTTATTTAATACACCTGGTTTTTCTGATGATGAACAATAATTTAATTGTTTTATTGATAATGATAAATTTTTATATTGTATATTAAATATTATTTGTTTTTATTTATATTTGTTTTTTTGTATGTATATTTCATTATATCTAATGTTTGTAGCTATTTTTAATATTAAAAATACTATTATGTTTATTTTTAATTCTTTTTTATTATTTGCTTTTGATAAAAGGTTAGATAATACTTTCTTTTAAAAGAGAATCTTATGATAAACTAGAAGTTGGTGTACTTGGTTGTGTAGAGATATAACAAAACAATATATGATTTTTCTTTAGCTTTATGATGTGGTCGAGTCTAAAACAACAATTGAGTGCAGCATTGCGCAGCTATAATGAGCAAGAGAACAGAACTCATGGTAGAAAAAGATTATTTAGGTTTTTAAGATTGATATTATTTAGGGTTTCATGTCCTTTGGGTAGAAGATGGTTCTGTTGCTGAAAAGGTTGGCATTGAAAGTTATTATGATTTTATATGTGAGGTTGATGGAGTTGAACTAAATGAGGATTTGGAATGGCTTCGCAGTTATTTTACTTGTGCTTCTCGTCCTTTTCAAATAGCACTATGGTCACTTAAGGGTCAGGATATACGATATGTTTCTTTAACGCCATGCAAACGTTTTGGCTTGTCATTGCGTTGGTGTGCCATAAATACTATTCAAAAAGTTGTTTGGCATGTTTTAAGTATTGAAAATGGTTCGCCTGCTCAAATTGCCGGGTTGCAACCATATGATGATTATATTATTGGAACACCAAAGTATCTTCTTCATGGAGAAAGCGAGCTTGAATTGCTTGTTGAAAAGGTATATTTGATAATATTAAATATATAAACTTTTTTATTTAATATGATTTTAATATACTCTTTAGTTTATGAATTTGCCTCTTGAGCTTTATGTGTATAATCACCATCATCAAATAACGCGCCTTGTCACTCTCATACCAAACAGGAAATGGGGCGGTTCTGGAGCCCTTGGTTGTGGCTTGGGATATGGATATCTTCATCAGTTTCCTCGTATATCTCGAGAACGTTCATTGTATATACCTGTAGAGAATGATGTGTATTCTTGTTCAGAAGAATGTGATGAAAGAGGAATTCCGTTAACTGAAACAGAGAAAATGCTTGGGGAAATGTCATTTATTGCCACTTCAACGCCACAAAGTAAGACGAAAGTATGGCGTCAACGTCAGAGTAGTCGAATTTGTGATGAAACTGTTCTTGCGCTTATGAAGGAAGGTGAAGTTAAGAGTGAGCAAATTGCTCAAAATGAGCATAATGTATATAATGCTCAAGCATTATTGCAAACAGAGAAAAACAGTGAAATAGCAGACTTGGAACAGTCTGGAGTTTCCCAGTCTGGTGAGCAAGATATAATTTTTTCTACTTTACAGGGTTCTATTGGTGAATAAATGTTTAATGTTTTAAAAACACATTTTATACGACGTAGATATATAAGTGAAATGGAAATAATAAGTATTTTTACATATTTTATATTGTTTATTCTATATTTTTTTAGTGTATGTTTATTGTATATATTTTCATGTGCTACTTTTTGAATTGTATTTGATGCTTTATGTTTTAATGTTTACTGCATTAAGAGTTTTGAGTCTAAAAATTTCAAAAAAACATTTGCATGGTATATTGTGGATGTAATTTTTCATATTTATTTAATCTATTTAATTAACTACTTATATATATTGATTTGTTGATTTACTTTCTTAATGATTGAATTACAAGTATACCAATAATTCAGTTTTAAACTATATGTATTTTTGTTTAAAGTTTATATACTGGATTAGTGTGTATAAGTTGGTACTTTTCTGTATACATTGAGTTCCTTGGTCTTTTGTATGGTTATTTAATTATTAATTTTTAGTAATATCGCAAATTTATTTCTTTTGAAATGTATTTGTTTGTTAGGATAGTGATTGCACGTTTTAAAAGCAACTGTTTTTTAGAAGGACATTTTAAAAAGAAGTTAGTAGCTTCGTTTAGTGTATTTTCAGGGCATACGTCTGAGCTCCAGACTGTATTTGATACTGTTGATCTGGCACGGTCAATTGAGCGGCCTAGTTTGATGCAGTATAAGGCAGGATTGTTTAGAAATACAGGTGTTTTGGAGCCAAATGATCTCATTTCTTTGTCTCACAATACATTGATAAATGTAAAAAGATTATCAGATAATATTGCATTACGTCAAGTTGAGAATGTTGAAGAAGCTCGAAGAATTATTAAGGATTTAGATAGGTTGAGTGATAGGTTGTGCGGTGTTATTGATCTTTCAGAATTGTTAAGGACAGTTCATCCGGATAAGCGGTTTGTGAGTGCTGCAGAGGAGGCATATCATTATATGTATGATTTTATGAATACTCTGAATACGCATACGGGGCTTTATAAGGTGAGTTTTTAGTAGAAGAAGAGGGTTAATGTGAAGAAGGTATTGAAGCAGATTTTTGAAAAAGATTGGATTGTTAAAGAATTGACGGAAGAAGAAAAAGTTGTTGCAAAAGGATTTTATCACGATTTTGAAAAATCGGGGATAAATTTATCAAGTGAAAAGCGTAAACGGTTTGTTGCTATTTCTAGTAAAATTGCTAGATTGGGGCGTCAGTTTTTTAATCAGTGTAATTTAAAACATGATTATATTGATATTCCATCTTATTTACTGGGTGATATTTCATCAGAAGTTCTTTCTACACTTCAGAGAGGAGAAGGATCAAATCTTAAATTTCCTACATCTGGATGGATATATCAGATGGGTATGACATTGATTTCTGATGAAAATATAAGGAAACGTTTGTATATTGCTGGTCAAGAATCGAAGAAATCAAGAATTTTGAATTTGGAGGACCTTCTTAGAGCAAGAGCTGAGTTAGCTCAGCTAATTGGTATGGAAAGTTATGCTGAATTAACATTGCTTGATAAAATGACGAAAAATCAAATATCTGTATTTGAGTTTTTAAAGTGTCTTGCAAAAAATAATATGCCTATTGCAAAAAAGGAACTAGAGTGTCTTTTGATGTCTAAAAGGAAACATCTTTCTAGTTATAATATATCTGTTCTTAATGCTTGGGATAAGGATTTTTATATAAATTTGGAAAAACATCGATCTAGTTTGTTTGAAAAAGATTCAATTATGTCATATTTGTCAGTTGGTGTTGTGATTCAAGGTCTTTCTGCTTTATTTACAAAGCTTTATGGTGTACGATTTGTGCATTCTGAGGTTTATCCAGGAGAAATATGGCATCCAAGTGTTAGAAAACTTGATGTGTTTTCCGATGAAAATCATATAGGTGTAATTTATTGTGATTTATTTTCAAGAGCTGGAAAACATAATGGTGCTGCACATTATACTGTGCGTTGTTCTCGTAGAATAGATGATGATATTTTAATACAAGGAGAATCAAGTCATGAGTATTATAATAATCCAGTTCTTAAAAGTTCTGGGAAATTATATCAACTTCCGATTATTGTTTTAGTTTGCGATTTTGGACAAGTTTCTGAAAAAGGCCCTGTATTATTGTCTTTTTTCGAGTTAGAGACTCTGTTTCATGAAATGGGACATGCACTTCATTGTATGTATTTTAATTTGTAAATGAGATTTTAATTTCTCTAGCTATGTTAGGGCGTACTGATTTTCACAATGTTTCTGGAACACGTTGTGCAACTGATTTTGTTGAATTACCATCAGTGCTTATGGAGCATTTTGCTTCGGATATTTCTATAACACCTAGTTTTGCTCGGCATGCGGTAAATAATTCATCTTTATCGCCTCAATATTTTAGTGATTATGTCAAAAATCATTCAATGATGCAAGCAGTTGAAACTCATTTTCAGATTATAATGGCGCTTTTAGATCAACAATATCATACATCTGCTCCTTTAGATAAGGGGTTTAATTCTTCAAGGGTGTTGTATTTTTTACAAGATAAATGGGGTTTGTTCCCATCAGTTCCTGGTACATCTTGGCAAACTCAATTTACGCATTTATTTGGATACGGTGCTACCTATTATTCATATCTTTTTGATCGTGTTATTGCTGCAAAAGTTTGGAAAGAGATATTTGCTAAAAATCCTACATCTCGTGCTGCAGGAGAAAAATATTATAAAGAAGTCTTGCGATGGGGCGGGAGTCGAAATCCGTGGCATTGTCTTGCTTCTTTATTAAACGATGAAACGTTGGCAAATGGGGGACCAGAAGCGATGAGAACAGTAGGTTGTTGGGGTATTGGACAAGTGAAATGATTGAATATAAAGTTTATTATTTCATAATTTATGTTTTTAACTGCTTAACTAAAGGTCCGAAATAACAACATATTGCTTTTATTTTTCCTGATGTTTTTAAATAATGTGCTTCTACTTTATGTGGATAATCAATTAATTTTGTTATCTAGAAATATTAAAAAATCAGTTTTATATATGCTGATTTACCGAAGCTAAAGATGATGTACGCGGTAAATACATAACGATTTTATTGCTATTATTTACCATATAATTCGCTGCGCGGAACAGTAAAGAACTTACTTCTATTAGTGTAGTTTATAGGATTAAGAAATATACGCTGGATAAGGTTGCATGGTTTCTATATTGAATACTTCTGTATTTTGATAACTTGGACCGCCTATACTATTTATATCAATTTTGTTAATGATATATATATTACCCCATGGTGGACTTAAGAAAATAACATCACCCTTTTATGATATTATTTAATGGTTGTTTAGTTTAGAAATATGCCTTTATTCTTTTTGATATTTCAAAAAAGTCTGCAAGGATCCATAAAATTTTGTGTTCCACATTATATATTCGTGCATTATGTTTTGCGCATATAAGTTTTACTGGATCATAATCAATTGCAATGACTAAATACGTTTTAGAGATGTGTAAATTGAAAAAGTAGAGATACCTGCTATTTTTTCAATTAATGCAAACTGTATAGCATTTCCTCCAGCACCACAAAAACCGTCGATTAAAACAAAATTGTCTTTATATAATTTTGACAAATGTGTTGCAATCTGACGTCCTAATGGTTCTGGTGTAACGCTATACCATGATTCTTCGTCAAGCCAGATTCCTTTATCAAAATGCTTGAAAAGCCGGTATCTTTGACCCCAGTATCTTTTTATATTAGATATTATCAAAAAACTAACATTTTTAACTTATGTAATTTTGAAGGAAAGTTGGATCGGCTGTGACGAACAATGGTTTTCCCGATTGCAATATATGACTCGCCATATTTGTCGTATTTGATAGATGCACCTATGTTAATTTCTTCTTGTTTTAATTCCTGTAATTTTTGAATTTGTTTTTTCATAAAATTTGAGTTGTCGAAAGGTGTTAAAAATAGTTGATATATAAAAATATGAAATATTATTTTTATTAATATATTTGGGTTATTTTTATCACAATTAATGTAAAAGAGAAATAAGAGTTATGTAAGAAAAAAGATGTATTAAATTTTATCAAAATTCGGAAATTAAAGTTGAAATAATAATTTTTTTGTAAATGATTAGTGGCTAAAATTATAAAATAGACTTATATATATTGATTAGTAATTAGATATATTTAAATAGTAAAATCGAAGTTTTTAAAATATTCTTTAAATTGAGTAACATCTTGACATTCTTCTTCGTTTGTTTGAATACAATTTTTCCAATCTTTTCTTTCTTTTACACCAAGAACTTGAGATATAACATATCGTGGAAATTGAAAATCAAAATATTTTTGAGGGTTTATTTTATGCACAAGAATAGATTCGTTAGGTAGCCAAATGCGAAGATAATTTTCTTCTTCTTTTCTGATATTTCTTTTTTCGAAAGTGTAATGCTTTTCATTTCCATAAGAAATAAAAGCATTTTCTAGTTCACCAGCGAAATCATTTTTTATTGGAATTATTTGCCAGTGTAAATGGATTCCAGATGTTCTACTTATCTCAAAAGTTATAGTGTTACAACCTTTAGATTTGAACATTTCGGTAATAGATATTCGATATCTTTTACTGTTAAAGAATAAATAGATAATTTAGTAGTTTACCTTTCCATTTCTTTTTTGGTTTTACTTCTGTTTATCTCTTCGATAGTATTAATTGTAGGAACATGAGCAATAGGAATAATTAAAACATGTCCTGAAAATGGAAGAGTAGATGGATTTGTTGAAGTTGTCGTTAAAGGTCCCTTAGGGAGTGCAAGATATACTTCTAATCCTATAGAGATGATTAAGTGACGAGCGATTTTTGGATTTGAAAGACAAAAAAAACAAAATTCCACTATAATATATGAGTTTTAGGTTTTTGTAATATGGAAAAAAAAATACAGTTAGGATAATTATGAATAGTTTCTTGAAAATTACGACTTTCTTTTTGTGGACAATTCTAATTAATAAATAAGAGAATACTATGATTAATAGTTTCTACCTGAATCCAGTGACCTTTTTGAGAACATATTTTACAAGTATAGCTTGATGGAATATCATTTTTAGTGGATTTTTTTGTTTTTAATTTTGGACAGTTATCTAAATGGCTCATCTTATTGCAAATGCCTTTGAAGTTAATACGTATTGTGAAGAAAGTTTATACATACTATAGACATGATTTTTTGAAATTTGAGAGTTTGTTTCTTTATTTTTTTCTTCACTTTAAATTATTAGAAATGTAAAATTAAAAACATGAATACTTTATATATTTATATGATTCGACAGATATTTTAATATTATGTTCTTGTTTTTTATTATTAGAAGATACATTTTTGTCCCTGAAAAAGTTATGTTTTGATTCTTCAAAATTATGTTTGGTTTCTTTGGAATTAATGCTTATTTCTTGCATAAAAGGATTCTCTGTTACATTTGATATATTTGAAGTGTTTAGCATATTGTACGGATTTGATTTTGTAATATTAAACGCCTATTTTCTATTAAATATATCTAGAAACTTAAAGAAAAAATCCTACATAAGACGACTAAAATCATGTTAATTATATAAACAATTAACAACATATAATATACTCTTTCTTTATTTGGGTTATTAAATGAAGCTAATGATATAAATCTTGTAATACTTGCTTCTTGTTTATCTTCAGTAAAAATATTTTCGTAAGGCTCTCTTTCATAAAATATTGAACCTTTTGACGAAAAGTGATATTTGGGCTGAATATATGATGTTATTTTGGCTATAGGTTGAATCCCAGGAACAAATTTTGATGATTTTTTGGATGAAAATTTATAGATGTCTTTAGGCCATTCATATGTAATAAGAATGTCAGTGTTTTTTCCTTCCTTCATAATGTAATTTACTTCATTTTCATAAATGTATTGCTCTGTTTCCATGTTCTGTTTGTATAAGTAATAGATAAAAGATTTATAAAAGAATTAATACTTGCTGTGGTATTTCATTGAAAAATGTATTTTCTTTATACTTTTTGTTTTTAGTTTAATTTGAAATACTTTCAGTACATACCATCCCTCCTAAATATGATATTTTAATTCCCTTTGATGTTGTTATGGTTCCTGACTTTCCTGAATATATTAGTAGAATTTAAATGTTTGTTTTTTATATTCCTATATAAAATAAATTTTTGCATATTTCTCCATTATTTTTAAATGCTTTTTCTTCAATTTCTTTATGAAGGCGTTGTTTTCCAATTGAAAAATATGTGATTATTGGTACTAATTTTCTGTAAATAAAATGAGAAAATAATATAGAATGATTACTATGTATCTTTCCTTCAACTAGATCTATAACCTCTGAGTCGTTTGTATTGAATTCCGGAAGAAAGTCGCCTATACAAAGCAAAAAATCAAAGTTATGTTTTTTGTTTAAAATACATGTTTTTTCAAAAATTTTTTTAAAGTTCCCATCTGAGGATCCAAAAACTAGCCTTTATGTTGTATAAGATAAAGTATATATATTTAACTATTTAGTTCTTACACTTTACTTGTATTTTGAGTCATTTAGATGTTTTTATCGAGAAGATTGAATCTTTAACGTTAAGATCAAGATGGGTAGGAAGTCAAAGAATATTAAAGTTGTTCATAAGAATCACCAATGTGAAAAAGATTCGGAAATTATATCGTCAGATTTACGTTCAAACATAAATGAAAAGGATGAAGAGGAAAAAATATTAGAAGCAAAAGTTTTTGGTGATATAAATCCATTTAATGATGAATTAAAGAATGCTTTGACAGAAACTTATGATTTTCATGATTCTATATGTCTCAATAGTGAAGCTGTTGATTTTTCTTTACTTCAAGATCATGAGGTTTGTTTTTAAGTAATTGTTTTTGAAAAAGTATTAATTGTGGTATAGCTTTTTTATGTTGATACTTCTGTTGACCAGAAGAAATGTGATTATTCTTTAAGCAAATCATTTGCGTTAAATGTTGTTGACAAAGGATTTGCATGGGAAGATAGTGATGATGAGAGATTGGTTATTTCTTTGACATCTATGGGAAGATTACGGAAATTACGAAGATCTGAGACAGATGATACGATTAATGGTAAAGAGTATTGTATGCGTTTGAGAGAGCAGTTGTTTATATTATGATTTGTAAATATTATTCTTATTTTTTTAGGTTTGAAAGGGTAAATCCTGTTCCCGATTGGGCAGTTTCAAAGTTTTTGAATGATCAAGATTTAAAACAAGATGAAGATAGTAATTATGGAATTTCTGAAGACTCTGGATTCGTTGATGATGTTTCCATATTTGATAAATCTTTAAAGTCATTGTTGATGTCTTCAGAAGGTTATGTTAGAAAAACAACGTCGTCAACATTGCCTCCTACAACTATCAATATAAAAAGATTAAGAGATGCAAATTTTTGTTCACCTTCAGAAGTATTGGTTCTGTGTTTTTTGGTAAATTTACTGATTAAATTAAGTCTGCAATTTTATCATTATCTTTTCATTCATTTTATCCTTTATTATTATCAGGTGGCTATGATCGTATTTTAAGGATATTTCATATTGATGGAGATGTTAATCCTCTTGTTTCATCTCTTTATCTTCGTTCATCTTCTATAGAAACTGCAGTTTTTCATCCAAATGATAATAAAATAATGGTAGGCGGTCGAAGAAAGTATTTTTATATTTGGGATCTTGAAAGTGGAGATATTAGAAAGGTTAGTAGAACCTATGGGCATGATGATACTTTTGTTACTATGGAAAAATTTTCTCTTAGTCCTTGCGGAAGGTTTATTGGCATTATTGGAAATAAAGGGTGGTTTAATGTCTTGTCTTCTAGAACTGGACAATGGATTACTGGGTTTAAGATAGAAGGCGATATTAGTAGTATTTCTTGGTTTAAATCTGGTAAAGAAATATGTATTGCTAATAGGAATGGTGAAATATGGGAGTGGGATATTATGTCACAGAAAGTTTTGTCAAGATGGAATGATAATAATAATGTTTGTACTACTAAAATATCTTTGGGTGGTTTTGATGATAGGTGGTTTGCAGTTGGGTTAGTATTATTCTAATATATCTAATAAAATTGATTGAATATAGAAGTAATACAGGTGTTGTTAATGTTTATGATAGAAGGGGTCTTTTTGGTGAATCAAGTAAACCATATCTTTATAAAACATTAGATCATTTAACAACATCTATAAATACGTTAGAGTTTTCACCTGATGGACAAATACTTGCTATGGCAAGTAGAGAGAAATCTGATTTTCTAAGATTAATACACTTTCCGACTGGATCTGCTTATAGGAACTGGCCAACTGCTTCTACACCTCTTGGACGTATTAGTGCAGTTAAGTTTTCGCCTCCGGGAAGCGAAATAACGATTGGTAATGAAACTGGGAAGATAGGGTTATGGCGTTTTGCATACTACTATTCATAGATTTTGTAGTTTTCGTGGTTTTTAGGAAATACTTTAAGGCCTTTTTGTTCTATAAATGATTTCAATAGTTTATTGTTAAAATGTATATTATTATGTTATATTTTAGAATATTTATTTTAAGTTTATAGAAAAAATATGTAATATTTTTCTGTATCACGGTGAAAAAAAGCAGTAAATTCTACGGATTAAATAAAAATAAAATTGTTACTTTTTTTTCTTTTAATAGTTATAGCAGTAATTATAGCTAAAATAATAATTAAGAGATAATATTTTTATTATAGATGATAAACCTGCTCCGACACCACTCCCATCTTGTGCACGAACTAATTTAATTTTGTCTCCTTTATTTAATATTAAAATGCTTTTCAATAAATAGGGTAGTTTATGTACCATCTGGTCCAAATATACATTTTAATGCATCACGGACATGTTCCTTAAATCCAGGATATTTGTTTATTATGCTACCATCTGTACCTACAGAACATTTCTAAAAAAAATTAAAAAAAAAAAAAAAAAATACAATTACCTTAATGTTTTTCTTCTTACAAATTGCTGCAATTCCACATGCAGAGAGATATGCAGATCGTTTTGATATTAATTTTGCAATTTCTTTTATGACTTTCCTTTCTGATATTGTACATTCTATATGAAACTGTGTTTTGAAAAGTCTAAAAGGATTATATAAAACGATAATAATCATAGATAGATATTTATACTCGTGTATTTCTATAAGATCTTCATGAGGATCACTGTTTTTTTTAAGAAAAAGTCTGCTAGAATTCTAACTTACAGTTCGATAAGACTTAAATATGGTGTTTGAAAAGAGTATGGTTTTTCGATGGTTTTAATACATTGCTTTTTAAAAAACAATTTTTTTTCATATAAATCCAATAAAATTAGCCTCATGATTTCTCCTAGATAAAATCCAGATATCATTTTTTCAAACGTTTGTTGTCCTGGATGTTTAGATTCTAGATCAAGTTGAATATCATACTTTGTACACGGAAGAACTTGTTTTTCTTTATCAAATGCACCTATGTTATTTAGAAAGAACATAAATTATTTAGATAAATTACCCCATTCACAGTTTATAACAATAGGAAGATCGGGTGGCAAATTCATGTGGTGAATTTTTGGAATGTATTTTACCTGTTCCATGTATGATGCTATAAAATATATTAATAATTATGCTTTTTTTTCAATCTTCTATACCGTTAGATCCTTGAAATTATTATGTATGAAAATATTTAATATTATTATAACTTACCTGTGCCATAAATTACACTAAGCTTTGTTTCACTATCAACATAATTCGATGCTATCAACGTACCAGCAGTATCGTTGATTAAGACTGCAACATCTACCAGGATATTCTATAAAAGTATTAAAATTATTAAATATATAAAACATATATACTTCTTTTTTAATTGCTTTAACAAAAAGTTCAACGACATCATGCCCTTCAACATTTTTTACATTAAACTCTTTTGTCCAATTTTTAAGAATTCCGTGATTAATTCTATCTTGTCTAGAATTATTGAGATTTTTGATGTTATGTTTTTTTATATATACTTGCATGGATATGAAAAAGTAAATCCGAGTTGTATATTTTCTTCAATTTTGTGTTCTTTTAAAAATTCTTTAAGTTTTTGTACTATAAAACTAAAAAACTGATCTGAATCACTTTGTTTTAACTCTTTAGACTAGATTTTTTGTTATTTTTTTAAAAAAAATTATAACATACAATACTATAATTTGATTGTACTAAATCAAACTTTCTATCTCCAAGTAAAGTAACTTTACATAGCCTAAAGTTAGTGCCTCCTAAAAATAATTAAATGAATATTAATTTTTTTTGCAAGATCACCTATATCAAGAGTTAAATAGGTGCCATGTTCATTTCCTTCAGGATATCCTACAATCCAAGTAGGAAGCATAGGCTTGATTATATTAAAAAAACTTTATAGAATATTTGGGATATATACAATGCTTGATCCTTCTTTTGATAAACCTATAATATTGTTGGTTTTATTATACCTTTAATTTAAATTACCTTTATTCATTTCTTCAATGAAATAATCTATAATATGATCTAGTTTTTTCTTATCTAATGAAAACATTTGTAGTTCATTAAGTTTTTCTAGTATTTCTTCAGGTATACTAAATAATGTTAATCTTTTATCAGAAGTTATGAAAAGACTGATTTACTTTTCTATAGGGTTCATCGTTTTTAGATAAAAAAGAAAAGCTTTTTTAAATAGATATATATCTTGAAAATCCTTAATTTTTGAATTTTTAAGGGTTTTATAAAATCATAGCAAATGAGGCAAAAAGCGGTTTATGTTATTGGTCAGCTGACTTACGATTTTAAAGTTTATAAAATATATAATATAATTAAGATAAAAAATATGAATTATTATTGTTATTAATAGAACAAATATTACAGTGGCTTTCTATAGAAAAATGGGTTTATGGTGCTGTAAAATTTTATAATGTTATTCAATATTATATTCTCGTTTAAGTTTATCAAGATTAGCTTGTCTTAATGCAATATCGTCTGCTGTATCTGTTTTTCCTGACATTTTTTCAGGTTGATGATAAAGTACTGTAAGATATCTATCTGAAAAATTGAATCCATTGAGCTTTTCGCATGCCGTTTTTGCGTCGTTATAGTCGATATAGACTACGTATGCTGTTCCACGAGTAGTATTGTCATTTCCCCTACATTTTTTAGAATTCATATTAATATATAGATTTTTTTTCTGAATATATTTATGAATTGTAATATTAAAATAAAATCACATAATTGTAAAGAAAAAGGATATACTTACAATCGAATTTGTCTGTTTTTGAATTTAGTGCTTTTAATTAGTGAAAAATAAGTTTGTACCTTATTGGACCGAACTTTCCAAAAAGATCAAAAAGCTCTTCAGTAGATACTTTAAAGCTCAAATTTTTTACGTAAAGTACTGGAAGTTGAGGTGCTTTTGATTGTCGTGGAAGATGTGCCATTTTTATGCTTTTACTGTATTATTTAATGAACCCTTAATGTTTATTTTTGCTTAAATAAAGAATATAAATTGCATTTTTACTATGAAATATTTAAAAACATTTCTTTTCGAAGTTTTTTAAGCAAATGTCGATGAGAATAATTTTAGAATTTCAATAAAATTATTTTGAAAACTAAGATTTAAATAGAGAAATAAAAAAGGTATTCATGGTGTATAATAAAATGTTATTTCATGTTTTATAGAATTTCAGTTCTAGAAATTGATTTTGAGTTTTTTTAATAATGATGAAATAAGGAATAATAAACTAATAACTATAGAAATAGTTAAAGGTTTCCTAAGGTTTTCTAGTGTTGAGTAGTTATATATTATCTAAAATACTTTAGTAAAAAAAGGAAAAATGGTGTTAAAATACAAAAATATCTTCTGATGACATTTTATCAACTAGGTTTTCAGTAAATAATTTTACTGATGTTCTTCCTATTATATCCATGTATGTTTTATGGACCGATATTTCTTTTTTAGAAATAGGAATACGCGAAATAACATTTAAAATTCTAAAATATTTAAAAAAATCCTTTTTTTAATAAATTTAATTACTTAGATCCTTCTGGTAGAATAATATTTACTGATATACTTTTATAGTGAACATTTATAGGCCCTTCTATGAAAGGTATTTTTAAAATATATATTCCATTATTCTGCTTTTTCAGGAATTTATTTAAATCTAGGTTCCATCCAACTGTACATGAATAATTCCATCCACCGAATACAGGATATCTAGGTTTGATTATAAGATGTGTATTTTTTGGGTTTGGCACAAATTCACTAGTAGAAACAATTCCGATTTCATCAATATGATAAGTATCTCTAGTTCCTGCTTTGAGGTTGATTTTTAATGAAGATATTACTGCTTGAAATGTTTTATAATATAATTGTTGACTCCATTTTATACGTGAAAAATTTTCTTTAAGTCTACTTATTTTAGACAATTTAAGTGTTTTTCATTCTTAATACCTTGTACCAGCATTAGTTATTGAGTATGTATTTTTTACTGCAATATTATTGCCCCAATGAGATATTTCCATTTCGCGTTCTAATTTTTTTATAATAATAATAGGCTCATTGTATTTGTAATGCACAAAAATAGTTTCTTTGTTAAGTGGTTCTATAGTATTATGAAAATTATAAATAAGATGTGATTTTAACAAAATTGGATTTGGTGAATTATTTTCATTATATCGAGAATATGATAAAACATCTTTGCTATCAATTCTAGTGTAAAGTTAGTTATTGCGGTTAAGATGTATTTGAATTTTTACTTAATATGTATTTTTTGTTTTTCTGTAGGATATACTGATAATGAATATTTTAATCCTTCCCAGATAAGATGTTGATTTTCATGCTGAGAAAATACTGGCGGAAGCGGCTTTAGTGTTTCTGTTATAACCACATTTATTTCTATAGTTATTAATTCTTTAGGGAGAATTGATTTAGATAATTTTATGATATATAATTTAATATCACTAGTTACGTTAGAATATTCAATGTTGGTACTATTATTTACTTAAAGGGACTTTTTTTTGCAGGAACTACATCTAGTAACAAAGTTTGTTCACTTTTTTCTTTTACCTTAATGCTACTTATTTTATTTGTTATATTGTCATTAATAATCCAGAAATATTCGTTCAAAGGAGTACTTCCTATATTTTGAATAACGATTGTAGTTGTTTCTTCAACATAAGATTTAGAAAGATCAATTACACGGTCTCTATTTGCATGAGTAGTTAAATTGAAATCTTATATTTTTTACATATTTAGATTTTTCCATAAATTATCATTATCTGTTCTTTTTGTTTTTTGTGTAATTGTATTTTTTAAAGATGTGATTAGAAATATAAGAATCAATGATATTTTCATTTTTTAATGCTAATTTGTTTATGTTTATGGATGATTATTTTTGAAAAAAATCTTTAAAATAGTAAAATTACAAAAATCGAACGTTGAAATTGAAAGTGAAAAAATTTTATTAAATATGAAATATTTATGACTTTATTTTTAGAAATTTTTACAGTTTTTTAGTGCATTTTATGGTTATTATTAATGATATTATTAATGAAATTTTATATCATTATATGACAACATGGAATAGAGATTGTATTATTTGAAAAAAATATATATTATTTATTTTATAATTGGTTTCAGATAGAAAATTATGATGAAATTTTTATAATTCAGAGTTATTTAAAATATTGATGTTTTAAAAAGGATTGAAAAAGATACATTTAGATATTTGGTTAGGAATGGAAATGATTTACAAATTATTCCGAAATTGATTGACATTTTTAATGTTATTTTTTTAATTATTTTAGATTTTAATTGATGTTTAATATTTACTCTTATTTATTAACAGAGTGATATTTGTAATGGTTATTAGTATTTAGAAAATAAAAATTAGTTGTTAATAAAATAGGTAATGTTTTTTATCATTTTTAAATGGTAATTTATGTATTATAATAATATAGTATTTCTTAAATATTTTAGTTATTAGTGTTAGTAATTTAAATGATTAAAATTGATTTAATTTTTGAATAATTTTTTTTTGATATTAATATAAATATTATGAATATTTAAGAATCATAAATAAAAAATATATGTTAATTCTTGAACTGTTATTTAGATTTTTGTTAATTATAGTAAATTTTTATATTTATTAATATTTAATAAATATTTAATTTATATTTTTATTAAGAGTTGTAAAATTAAATTAATTCATTAATTTATAATATTTTGATGATGTTTTAATTTTATTATTGGGTTTAGTTATTGACTTTAGTTCAAACTTTTTATTATATTTGTTTTTGTATTATTTTTATTTAGTATTTTATTAGAAGATATTTGTTTCATTAATTATTAATATTGTTTTGGATTTATGGCTTTGATTTTTTAAAAAAAATATTTTAAAAGTATATATGTTTTTTTTAAATTTTTATATTTTGTAAAAGTATAATCAGAATAATTAAAAAATATTTATAATTTTGATTGTTTTTAAATTTTTTTATTTTTAGAGAGTTAAATGATAGTTTTAGTTTTCATTTGTTTATTACCTAGAGTGTTTATTTTTACTTGGATTTTGTATTATTTATAAAGGATATTATAAATTTACTTGTTTTATTGTTTTTTTTGTGATTATTTAAGTTAGGAATATATTTGATAATGTTATTGATTTGTTTGTATTTTGAAAATAAATAATATTCTATTACTTAATAAATCTAAATTAGATGAATTATTTAATAAAACTTTTTAAAGTTTTTAGAACATAGGAATTGTAGGAAATATATATAGTCTGAAATTAAGCTTTATGTTTATGAATATATCATTTTTAAATTTTAAATAGCTTCTCTAATATGTCTTTATATATTTATAGTTTTTAAAAAATATATAAAAATGTAAAGTTATTTTTCAAGGGATATTTTAATAAGTTAAATATTTCCTTTCTAAATATTATTTAATTTTGGAAAATTTAATGAATTAGTTTTTTAAGTTATATTAATCATATTGATTATTTAGATGATATTAATATCTATATTATTCCAAAAAAAAGGTATTAATCTTATAATTTAGAGTATTTTTTTAAAACTAATTTGTTTAAAAATATTGTAAATATAGATTATTTTTAACGATTTTTTTAAAATTTTTTTTAATAATTTTTAAAAATATTTAAAACTAATTTCATATGTTTAATTATATTATGTATCTTCGTTGAAGATTTCGTAATTAAAAAATATGTTAAAAAAATATTAAAACCTAGTTTTTAGTATTAATTTAGAATACTAATTTTTTTAACCTTTATAAGTTTAAAATAGTGTGTTTTATAAAAATATTGTTTTTATGTATTTTTTAACAGTTTTTAAATACGATACTTTTTTATTCTAGTAATTTATTAAATAATGCATTTTATTATGCCTAGAAAGAGTAAATAAAAGAAAAATTAAAAATATTATAGAATACTATGTAATTGTATGTTGTACGATTTTCATCCTATAAATAAAATTAGTAAATATTGAGCTATTTAAATTCTCAAATACATGTCTTTGCATATATTCTCTTTCTATTAAAGATTCTATTCTTTTTTTAATTATTGAGGGATTAGGAACAAAATGTTGAGATAATTTTTTTGTAATTTCTTCAACTAAAATAGCATGATCTAAGGTTTTATGATTTCTTTTTTTATTAGAATAAAAAGAAGAAAAAGGATGATTACTTCATAATACGGATAATAGCTGCTTCTATTTGGTATTTCCTAGATTCCTCAATATTTTCTGTTATATTTTTGTGTTCTTTATTTTGAATTTTATCATTTTTTATAGTCAAAATTTTCATTTTTTTTTTAGAAAATGATATATTCTTATTAAATAAAAACCTATCTGATACTTCAATGTTTTCTGAATTTGGAAATTTTAATAAAATTTTATATTTCTCAGAAATGAGAGATTTTAAATTTTTTGTTAATTCATGTTTCGGTATTAACGTTGCCATTTGAATATCCTATAAGAAATAAATATGTTTAATACATACAAAATGTATACATTATAACTTAAAAAACCATTTTCTGAAATATTATTAAATAAAAGTAAGATTATCATTGAATATGTAGATACATTTATTTCGTAAATATTTGATTTAAGTAATATTTTTAAGTCCGAATTTCCCTAAAAAGTATTAATATAAAAATATTAAGTTTAGAAATTAATAGTACCATATTTCCTTGCCATAATAATTGCCTTCCATTATGTTTTGAAAGATAAAATGACTCAAATGTTTTTTTTACTTCTTCAATCTGTTGTGGATAAATGCAAGTTGAATTATTGCTTTCAGTTGTTATAGGCCAAAATATTGATGTCAAAATAGCAACATTTAATTTGAAAGAAGTTTTCTAGAGCATTAAATTTAAATAAATAATTAAGAAAAAATACTTTAGAGTCTAATTTTAACATATTTTTATAATCTAATGTCATGTTTTTTGAAAGTTGAATATCTATAATAAATATAATTAAATTCATTTTTTAGAATTTTAAAAAATACCTCTAAACATTCCTTCTAATTTTGTTGTAAATCTATATCCTGCTTCATATTTTAATTTAGTAATCATATATCTTTCTGTATCATTTGATATTGAATATGATCTTAAGAGACTTAGAAATATGTAAGAGATTAAATTTATTATATAAATGATTATTTGATGTATATATTACCGTTTTGCAAGATAACTTTTATAATATTCTTCAAAAATATCTTTGTCTTTAATATATTTGAACAAAATAATTGCTTTATCTAAAATAATATTTGCATCGTTTCCCTATATTCATTGTTTTAGCTAAATTTTAGTATGTTTTATTAATATTACTTTTTTATGTGTTTTTTTTAAATTTTCATTAATAAATATAGATATAAATTCTATAGATTTGGGGTTTTTATTTATATTCCTAGAAAATGCCTAATAATTTAAAATTTATCTAAATAAATAGGTATTATTATTACATCGTTGATAGTGTTTTGAATATTTTTGTCATTTTGAAATGCAAATTTTAAAATTTTATTATATTTGTCTTTAAGTTGAAGAATATTGTTGACCCATGTAAGTGCATATGTAATTGTTGGAATTTTTTTATTTATTTGATTTTTTTCTTTTTGTAATAAAAGCATATTATTAATTTTAGAATTTATAGTTTCACCAAGTTCAATAATTTTAGTCAAAATACTTTTTCTTAGTTCGACTAAATTTAAATCTACACTGATAAATAATCTATATAAACGATTTAGATCTTCAAATTTTTCATTATCTAACATAAAAAATAATCCTGAGGATTCTATCTTTTTTTTAATCAGTAAATATATTAAGTGATATTCTACGTTACTTTTATTATTGCATTCATGTTATTTAAAATCATTTCTTCTTCTACAATACGTTTTATTTTTGGGCCAGTTTGAAATGGAAAATAATTTTTAGTTCTATTGTATTCTTCTTCTAAGCGTTTTTCACACTGAATAAGATATTGACTAACATTTGATAATTCTAAAAGTTTTTTACTTTCTTTAATATAAAATTTTCGAGTTTCTAAAAGAATATATACTTCAACATCTGATTCAAAAACTGTTTTATTTTCATTTGTTTTATCAGGAAGACTATTAAATATATTCAGACATGATTTAATTGACGATTTGTTTATTTTATTTCCTTGACGTTCAAAACGTATTTGGTTTAATATGATCATAATAGCATATTTTCCGAAAGGGATTTTTTCGTATTTTATAATATAATCACGGAAAAGAATAATACATGTGTCATAAATTTTTAGTTTATTAGCTTGCTTTGTACATACTTTATCCTATTAAATGTAATAATAAAATTTTACATATATATTAAGTGTTTATTTACCATATATTTCATTATATGTGATATCATGTTTGTGCATAGAATATATTCGTCCCAAATATTTTTTAAAGTCTGAAGGTAATATGTTCCTATTTCTATAGCTTCGATACTTGTTATATTTATTTGATTTAGTGTTTCGACTTTTTTATATGCTAGTTGCATGTCAAAATTTGAAATATTTTCTAAATGTTCTTGTATCACTGATTTTATTCCATTATATAGTTTATCTTCTTGTTTATGCAAAACGGAGTTATATACATTACGATATAGTTCTTCAAATGATAACATAGATGTATTATTTTTGTATATTTCTTTAATTGCTTGCGAAAGAAAATTCCATGATATATTCCATTCATATTCTAATGCTTGTTTTTCAAGCTAGAATTAAATTAGTTTTTTGTATTTTAATATTTATAATTTTTACTTTTTTAGGTGCTTTAATTTTTAGTTTTTGATTATTCATAATTATTTTTAAATATTTCTGGAAGTATAATTATATATGCTATATTTATGTAAAAATTGTTGTATTTTAATGTTATTAACTTAAGTAGATTTGAAATCGGAATGAACTTAAATAAAATTACTCATATAGATATCTTTGCTTTAAAATCGAGACAATATTTTTATTTTCAGAGAAATTTTACAAGATATTTATTAAAAAATACTGATGTATTTCTTTATTTAAAAAAGAATAATGTGATATTAAGAAAAATTGAAAAAGGACATTTTTATATAAAAATATTAAATAACGTTTTTTTTTTTCGTCAAAAAAGTACAAATATTTCAAAATGTGAATATAGAATAACACCTTTATATTTGATTACTTTTACTTGTCAAAGGTTGTATTTTTTGTTTAATTAATGTTTTTTAACTTTGATTTTAAGGTGTTCAAATAGAACAACACATAGAATGACAAAACAAGCATATCATAATGGTACTGTGATCATTCAATGTCCTCAATGTAAAAATTATCATTTAAGTATGTCAATGTTAAAGAATTACCAGCATTTTTATATTATTTTAGTTTCTGATCATCTTAAAATATTCTCTGATAAAAATATTACTATAGAAGATATTATGAAAGAAAAAGGAGAAGAAGTGCGCAGATTTTATGGAGATTTTACAGATAATCAGAGTGTGGAATTTATGAATGATAATATTCAGTTTTTTTTATCACGACCAAAAAATGAATGATAGGTTTTTATCTTAATTTTAGTGTATTAAATTATTATTAATATTATAGAAATATTACTATAAATTTTAAGTATTTTTCTGAAATTGATGAAATTATATGAATATAAAATTAGATATTTTTATAAATATTAATAAATTTTTTTATTTAGAAAAATTTTTTAAAATTAATTTCATTTTTTTAATAAAAAAATTTTATAATTTAGTTTTTGCTTTTTTTTGTATTAATATATTTCATTAAGTTTATCTCTAATGTTTTTATGTTATCTAATATGTAGAAATAATTTTTTTGATAGATGAATTTAAAAAAAATATTTCTTATGTAATATTTTATTTGTTAGCATGATAATTTAAATATATTTTTGGAATTGAATTATTTTATTTAAAACTTTTTTAAAGTTTTTATTATAGAATTATTGATATTTTTTAGAGATTTTTTAATACTTATTGTAATTTGAAGTTATGTTTTAATAAGTTCTTAAGAATTATAGATTTAAAAAGTATTGTGAAAAATTTTTAATATTGAATTAAACATGTACTTACAATATTTTCTTAGAAAACTATGTTTTTATGTTTTTATTTTGATTTTTTTATTATTTTAAATGGGTAATTATTTTTGCAGATATTTGTAAAAAATTATATTTTTAAAATTGTATTATTTCTTAGATAATACTTAAAGAAATTTTAAAAGTTAATTTTATTTGTAATTTTTAGATTTTTAGGATATGAAAGTCTATATTTTTAATAAATTTAGTTTTATGATTACTGTTAATTGAGATTTGAATTAGTTTAGAATTTAAAATGTGTTTATTGTAATCTTACTTAAATATGTTCTATTTACATTTTTGATGCAGTTATTTTTATAAATATGACTATATTCATGAGAAGCTTATGTAATTTTTATATATCTTATGTGTTATTATTTATAATAATTTTATAATAAATACATTTTCTTATAGTTTATAAAAATTAGAATTTATTAAATATTTGTAGCTATACATAATTTCTGTTAATACTTATAATTTAATAAGTAATAATCATTGGGAATAATTATTATAATTATATCGAGTAGATAAATTTTATTTTTTTTTATTTTTAATATTTAAAAAAAATGGTTCAAGCAGTAGCATTGTGGGGCTGTAAAGTGAATCCAGGAAAACGTGTCCCTGCTTATGATGATGATGATGCTTCTGGGGCGTTTCATTTAACTATGGCAGCTATTGATTCATCTGATAAATCTTCTAAACTATCTACTATAAAAGTTATTCGTAGACCGAAAATATGTGACGATGATGATGAAAATAATCATAGTGGTGATGTTTCTGAATCTGATCTTAAAGAGCTTGAGGTTGAATTTGTACTTTGCACTTTGAAACATGGTGATCAATATCAACAAAGTTTAAACTTGACTTTTAGTGAAGATGAAGAAGTGTTTTTTACTACAAGTGGTGATTGTCCTGTATATCTCACTGGGAATTATGTTGTTCCTTCGGGTAATTTTGCTGTATATATTCTTTTATATATTTATAATTAATTAGATATTGATGATGATTATGATATTTCTTCAGATGAACTTTTTGATAAATATTCTGAGGCTTCTGATGTTAATGGTTCAGAGTCTGATGAGTTAGATGGGGATAGTCCTAAGATTGAAGAACTTTCGTCATCTGAAAGTAAGATTTCTGATTCAGAAAAAAAAATAAGTTTATCTGATGATGGTTCTGATCTGGATAATATAATATCAAATGATTCTGCTAAAAAAAACATTAAGAAAAGACCCCAGGACAATAGTGATTTAGATATGCAGAAACTTAGTAAAAAGCAATTAAAAAAACTCAAATCTACCTCTGCTAAGTTTTCTCAAATACAGGAAAAAAATAAATCAAATACTTCAATGAAACAAGATAGTTTAGTATCTTCTGATCTTCATTGTCCAAAGCCTAGTGTTAGTTTTGCTAAAGATATTGATCAAGATTCTAATAAAGCTTCTAAATCTAGAACGTTAGAAGGCGGTGTAACTGTGGAGGATAAAGTAATAGGTAAAGGTCCTCAAGTAAAGAATGGTTCCAAGGTTTTTATTTTGTTTTGTTTTATTCAGATATTAACTGTTTAGATTGGTGTGCGTTATATTGGAAAGCTTCTAACTGGAGAGCAATTTGATTCTAATACTAAAGGACAGCCTTTCGTTTTTACTTTAGGTAAAGGTGAAGTTATTAAAGGCAATTTTTTTTTTTTTGTTTTTTATGTTTTTAATATATAAAGGTTGGGATATTGGTATAAAAGGAATGGCATTAGGTGGTCAAAGGCGTATTGTTGTTCCTTCTTCTATGGCTTATGGCAAAAAAAGTGTTTCTGGTATTCCAGGTAATGAAAAGTATTTTTGCTTTATAATGTTTAATATTTGTCTTAGCCAACTCTGACCTTGTTTTTGATATTAAACTTGTAAAAATGAATTAACTATTATTTGATTTAGATACAAATTTATGTTTAAATTATTTGTATTCAAATATAGTTTCATTAATAAAATGTATTTCTGTACTTTTATATAAAATTAAAATATATCTATTAAAATAACTTGTTTTTATAATTAATATATAGTTTATTGATTTTTTGATGTTTGGGATTTTCAGAAACTAAAAAAAAGACATTTAGATAAAATATAATAATTAATGTAAAAAGCGTTAATAACTAAAAATTAATGATGGTCCTTTAACATTAGCTATAGTAATCAAATTTTGTTTTGAAAATGAGTATAATACGTATTCATTTTGAGGTATGGGGGCACGTTCAAGGTTATAAATCTATTTGGATTTTCAAAATGACTGATTATTTCAGGTGTATATTTTCGAAATTATATAGTTGAGAAAGCAAATTCATTGTCAATTGTCGGATGGTGTAGAAATACATGTTAGAATTTTGTAATATTTTTAATATAAACTAATGTTGAATAAGCAAGTGGTTCGGTTGAAATAGAAGCAGAGGGAACGAAACATAATTTAGATGCATTTAAGGAATGGTTGCAATATGAGGGCAGTCCCCTTAGCCGTGTAGATAACTTAATAGCGAAAGAAATTAGTGTTAAGAATAATGAAAAGTGTATGACTCGTCTTAAAACTTTAAAATAAAAATTTAAATTCAAACAAAACACTATTAGTAAAGACTCTAATACTTCTATAATAATATTTACTAATCATCATGGAAAACAGTAATTCCCCACGATCTTGGATCAATATAACGAGTTTTCTATAGTATATTAATATTTTTTTGATTTAAAGCAATAAATACATATATTTTCCCTAACCCATCTATTTCATTAAAATCTTCTTCTGAAAGTTCAAAGACATGAAGATTACTTGTAATTCGTGAAGGTGTTATCGACTTCGGTATTACAGAAATATTTTTATGTAAACACCAAGAAAAAATAACTTGTGCTGGCGTTTTATTATTTTGTTGTGCTATTTTTATGATGACTGGTTCCTTTAATAATGGTGCATTCGTAGAACCTAATGGAGAGTATGCTGTTAAATGAATACCTTTTTTATTGCAGAAATCAACAAGTTTATTTTGTGTCAAATAAGGATGTAACTAATAAAATTAGAATAATTTTTGTATTTTTGAAAGAAAAAATACTTCGCATTGATTAACAGCTGGTATTACTTTGGCTGTTTTTAGTAATTTTTCTAGATTTACAGTACTAAAATTAGATACTCCAATAGCTTTTACCTTGATATAGTCAATAATATATTCTTATGAATGGAGCATTCTTAACTTTTCCCGTGGAAAGGAGATTTTCGAACAATCCCCAAGTTTTTATAAAATCCCATCCTTCCTCATGATCCAAAGTACCATCAGGTTTTTTTGGAAATAAAAAATCATTTCCTTTGGGATTAAGAGGGACAGGCCAATGCATAAGATAAAGGTCTAAGCAATTATATATTTGTTATTAAGGTAATGTTTACATACCAACATAATCTAATTGCATTTTATTTAAGCTTTGATCTAAACATTCTTCCACACGGGAATGAAATGTACATGCCCTAAAGATAATTATGTATTTCTTATAAACTTAAATTGTATTACACTTTTGTTGTTACAAAAATTTCATTTCGTGGGATTCCGCTATTTCTAATACCTTGTCCTACTCCCTCTTCATTTAGATACATAAAAGCAGTATCCTATTATAATTAGTAATAAAATTATACTGAATTCCTAATAATTCCAATATGACGGTATCCTGCTTTTAAAGCTATTTCAACTGCAAATGCAGCTTCTATAATTTTTATTAATAAATATTAAACAATTATGTTAATATTTAAAACCATCTGGTTTAGATTGCCATGTTCCTAATCCTAGTGCTGGAATATAGGTGCCGTTATTCAGCTACATAGTTAAGTATTGTATTATTAATAAGACTTATGTTACTTTGAATGATGTATTAAGAACCATTATATAAAATATAATTTAAAATTTTATAAATGTCGAAAGTTAAAAATATTTTCAAATTATATTTATATGAGAAAATAATATATAATAATGCATATTTATTTTTAGAATAATTTTATAGAAAGATAATATAAAACTAATTAAAAGAAATTAAATGCTTCACTAATGCTATTTCTTCCTGGAATTCTGAAAGTGTTCTGAGTTCCCACCATATAAAAATGAATTCATACAAACTAGTAAAAATACTGGTTGATAAAATAATAGTATTAATAAGGAAAAGTAAAAATGTAATATAAATATTATGAGACCAAAAGACTGAAATGTGTAATCCAATTATGATAATAATAGATATGAAAAAGTAAACAACTCTTAAATGAGAGTATTTTTTCACTTGATTAATATAATTGCTGAATTCTTGTTGTATAATTTCCAAATCTTCGATTTTAAGTTTATTAGGACTTGAATTAATTGAATTATTCATAAGTTCAATAAGAGCGTCAATTCCGAAATGATCAGAGTATGAACAGTCTAATGAAGGAATTGTTTCTGTAAAAGCCAATTTAACATATTTTACTTTGAACCAAGAAGTATCTATAAATATATAATCCAATCTTTTTGCTTCACATTTTTCTGGATACTTTTTCCACTTTTTCATTCTCCATGTATTGATAGGTGAATCGCATGTAAGACATAATTTTTCTACAATTTTTTCTTTGCTTAGCGGTTTTTTGAGATATTGATCTTGGTCTAAGTTAATACTCCATGAATCAGAAATTGAGCTATTAAAAGAAATAATTTTAAAAATAATACTATCAGGTGTTGAATTAAAATCCCCAACCTTTATAATGATTAAATTTTAATTTTAAAATTATATAACGTACAATGATTATTAATTTTCCCGATGCAAAAGCAGATGATATTAATTTTGAAATTTCCCAGGCTTGTGATATTTTATGACATAAATAGCGATCTTTTTCTTTTTCGTAAGATGCATGAAGCTATGACAATAATTAATTAAAAAATTATGTTGAATGTTTTCTAACATGAGTATTAAAAAATTCAACTTTTTTTCCATTAGGCATTAAAAGCGTTGCCATTGCTACACCTTTTCCTACATACCAGTCACCATGATAAAAAGCATTTGGTTTTCCGTTTAAAGAGTATTTATACATGGATGTTGACTGAATAGGAAATTTAGAAAGAATAACAAGTCCTGATCCAAAAACACCACTAAAGTAAAATTTTCCATAAGGAAGTTTATGTTTTGTTTTATTTCTGAGATTCTCATAATCCGAATATACCCAAACTTCTTGAAGGCCTACTATATGATAATCTTCAGATGCAATACGTTCAGAAATAAAATTAAGACGTTTTTTGCGATAATTTGATATATATTTTAATCCCCTATTATAATATTTAGTTTTATAATAAATTTAGGATATTAAAAGCATACCAGCAATTTAATGATAAAACTCTAATCTTTTCATTCATTTTAATTTTTCGTAAGCTTTTTTCGGTATTAAGAATTTCTAAAAAATGAACGAAGGTTATGAATCTTTAGTAAAAATAAAGCCTGAGTAATAGTTTTTTAATTTATTATGTAGTATTTTAAGATTTATAATTAATTATTTTAGTTTTAACGTTTCAAGAACTTTAAATTATACATTGAAATATTCATTAATAGGACATAAAAAATCTATATCTAGCATTAAATTTAGTCCTGATGGAAAATGGTTAGCAAGTGCAGGTAAAATGTTTTAAATAATAGGATTAGGATTAATAGGATTATTTAGCTGCTGATAAATTAATCAAAATATGGAATGCATTAAATGGAAAATTCGAGCAAACTTTTGAAGGACACTTAATGGGTATCTCTGACATTGCATGGGCTTCTGATTCACAGTCACTAGCATCAGCTAGTGATGACAAAACGATCCGTATTTGGAACTTAATGAGTGTATCTTAAATTATATTTATTTTTATTTATTTTTAATTCGTTTAGGGAACAACAATTAAAGTATTAATAGGACATACAAGTTACGTATTTTGCCTAGATTACAATCCTCAGAGCAATTTGATTGTTTCTGGGTCTTTTGATGAAAGTATTCGTATATGGGATGTTAAGAAAGGTTTTTATTGTTTAATAAGATTTCTTATTTAATAGAAAAAGGGAAATGTATGAAAACTTTATCCGCACATTCTGATCCAGTATCATCTGTTCATTTTAACAGAGACGGTACGATGATTGTTTCTTGTAGCTATGATGGTTTAATGTTAAGTTTTTAAATTTTAGCTTTTATATTATTAAAAAGTGTAGACGAATATGGGATACTGCAACAGGACAATGTTTAAAAACTCTTGTTGATGATGATAATCCTCCTGTTTCGTTTGCTAATTTTTCCCCTAATGGAAAATATATCCTTGCTAGTACGTTGGATAGTACTCATAAACTTTGGAACTTCCATAGTGGGAAATATTTGAAAGTAAAGTTGATATAGTTTATATTTTAAAATACGTTTATAGTTTTAGACATATCAAGGTCATATTAATGAAAAATACTGCATGTTTGCTGCATTTTCTGTTATTGGGGGCAAATGGATGTAAATAGAACACTAGATATAGCAATATGTTCTAATAACTTAAAGTGTTAGTGGCTCTGAAGATAATTCGGTTTTTATATGGGATCTACAGTCCAAAAAAATAGTGCAGAAATTGAATGGGCATTCTGGTATATGCTATAGTTTTTAGAATATTAATTAAACGTTATGCAGATGTAGTAGTTTCTGTAAGTGTCCATCCAGATAAAAATATTATAGCTTCCGGTTCTCTCGATAAAACTGTTAAAATATATTATGGTTCTTGATTTTTTAATATCTGCATAGCTTCTTTATGATTTAGTGGCTTATGATATAATTAATTTAGTTCTATGGATTCTAGTCCTGTGGCCCTCCCTCTTTCTTTTAATCTTTTTGTAAGGAAATATGCATTTTTTATACAGTCACTGACACCAATGCCTCCATAGAAATTTCCAACAACAGAGAAACGACCTTGGTATGTATTATAAAGATAATTATGAATACTTTGAAGATCTTTGTAATGCCCGACATTGTATTGTGGTATACATTCCTTCTGGAGTTTATAGTTAATAATAATAGGTGTATCTTTTATTCCTAAGTGTCTAGAAATAACGTTCTGTGCTAATTCTGCAAATTCGTTTTCTTTAGGAAATGTGGTTTTATATTTCCATAAACTTCCTCCTATCATTACTGTTATCTTGGTTCCTTTGTATGTGTCTAATTCAGGAAAACTATTACTATCAAATATAACACCTAAAGCATTTTCCGGGTTTTCCTTTTCACTAACTGACTTTGGAATAAGATATCCAAAACCTTTAATGGGTAAAAGGTTTTTATTGTCGAAAAAAAGATTTACCACTAAAACAGTATTATTTGAGAAGCTTTTTGTTAGTTTTTTAAAAGGATTAAAAATTTCTGTAATAACTTGTATTGGTAATGCTGATATTAAATGGTCAAAAAAAAAATCTGATGTATTTGTTTTTACCTAATGTTATTAATGTTTTAATAAATGCATTTAAATAATACTTTGAATATATTCTTAAACTCAAGTGATTGAACTTTTGAATTAAAATATATATGAACATTATTTTTTGAAAAAAGATCATTAGATATAGTATTACTAAGTGTGTTTAGTCCGTTTTTAAATGAATAGATATATGTATTTTTTGTTTTTGCTATGATATCTTTGGACTCTTTTTCAATAGATGATTTTACGTTTTCTTTATTCTTATTTAGAGAAATGCTATCAAATAAAATTCCTTTTAAAATGCTGCCATAAAGTTCTTCGTATTTCCAGAAATATGGTAAAACAGATCTAGCGCTTAAATCATCGATGTCGCCTGAATATATTCCGTGTATAAGAGCACTAGCTAAATTTTTGGAAACTGATGTATTAAATCTTCTTGATATAAAACTAGAAATCGATTCGTCTGTAATATTTTTATTTCTAGTTTGTTTAAATGGTTCACATATTATTGCCCAAAGAAGTGAGCGAAAAAGTGATGTTTTTGGTAGAAATAGTGATAGTAATGAATTAGGAAGAGCGTTTAATTGATTTTGAAAATATATAAATTTATTTTTAATTAATGGTGAATTTTTTGGTATAAGAATCATTTCATCAATTAAATTTAATTTCTTTACCTATATATAATTGAGTTAATTTTAAGTTGAATTGAAATATACCATATTAAGAGTTATATACCCTGAAACTCCAGTAGGTCTAAGAGATCTTGGGCCTTCTTCAAAATATATTGTTCCTTGAGATAAATCAATTTTTTTTGTACTAAGTAGACCCCCAAGTCTATTAGATGACTCAAGGATAGTTATTTTGGTGGATGGGTGAAGTAAATAAGAAAGATACCAAGCAGTAGATAGTCCAGAGATTCCACCTCCTAATAAATAATTTTAGAATTCATGATAATAAAAAGTATAGTATACCCAAAATTCCTATAGATTTGTGTGATAACATAACTATCTTTTTTTATTATATAATTATAATAAAGTTATAGTAAAATTTAGTTATATTTTTAAAAAAAAATGTTAATTGGTTTGCAGATATAGATATAGTTAGTAAATTTGTATTTGTAAAAAATAATTAATATTTAAAGGCAAATTTTATGTTATATTTAAATATAAAAATATAATAAAAATGCTGAATATTTTTATTTTAAAAAGTAATTATAAATGTAATATTTTTTGAGAGAGTTGTTTAATAATAGAATGATGTGAAACATTGAATGTTAATTCTTTTAAATAATATATCTATTAAGTTTATTAATATATTTTTTATAGATGTGTAAAATTTAACATTTATAAAATTTACGATATCTAAATTATATTGTTATTTATATGTTTTAATGATTTAGTATGTTGTATGTTTTTGGATAAATTAATGATTTAATGTGTAGTTATGTATATATTTATTCAAAATTTTTTGTGGATTATATATAAAAACATATAGTAGAATAATTAAATTTTATATTAATGTTAATTAATAAATAAAAATATTTTTAAATACTGTATTTTTTATGAAAAAAATAGTACAAACATTGAAAAATATTATTTAAATATATAATGTTTTTCCCTAAATAAATTCAAACTTTATAGTAAAAAAAAATATTTTATATTTAGTTGTATTTTGATCATTTTAGTAATATAAAATTAAATTTATTAATAGTTAACACAACATTCTGTTTAAGGATTTTTTGTATTTGTAACATAAAAGGTATTAAAAGAAGATAATTTTAGGATTTGTTAAATGATATTTCAAAATAACGAATTACATTATCGACATTTTTTTGAAAGATACTATTGTTTTATATACTTCTAAAATGATCAACTTTAGTGCAAAATATATAATAAAAAGTAGAAATAATAATAAATTTTTGTTTTTATTTGAAAAAATTGCTTATATATTTTTAAGTGTCTTTTTACAGTATATCGTTGTCATGGTGACAACGGCAACTTCTCATAAATAATTTGAATTTATATTAAATGTTTTGATTACTTTATTAGAAACTTGATACGCTTTTGATTATAAATTTGTAACTTTTTAGGCCATCTTTTGAAAAAAATATACAATTTAAGGAACCTGTCTTTTATAATATAAAAGGAATTAGAATTTCTTGGATAATTTTTTGATTTTTTAGAAATTTTTTGCAATAATTTTTTGAGCACTATTTTTATTATTTTAATTATCTTTGGGTGATATTTTCAGTTATTACATACCTTTTATTGAATTTTCTTAATATATTTTCTATAATGATAGTCTAAGGACGGTTATTTTGTCTGCTGAGGAGCTTATAAAGTTAGTAGATATTTTGCATATGGATACTTCACCTCTTGCTGCCTTTTGTTTTTCTGGTGATTCTAATCCTTGTCGGTCTAGTACATCAAATCATAGTAAGATTGATAAGTTCATTTCAGTAATTTCTGAGAAAAAATATAATGGTAAAAATGATATCTCTAGTACTATTAATTTTAAAAAAAGTACTGAAAATGATGATAATGGTGTATCTTTTGATACAAGAACGTTTAAAATGAGCCCCACTGCATCACTTGCTGCAGAGTTTTCTGGTAATTTTTATATCGATAAAAGGTAATATTGAATTTTTGTAATTATGTTATTTAGTTGAATAGTCCTGTTCTTCCGACTCCTAGACGTTCTCTTCTACTTAAATTTGCATGTGAGCATCAGTCTACTCCTGTATTAGATCCTTCAAAAGGCCTTAATATTCCTAAGTTTGATTCTTTATCAATGGATAATATTAATACAACTACCCCATGTTCATCATCGCCTGTAGAAGCTATGGACTACTCTCCATTGCCTCATAATCAAGAAGCTTCAATTTTTAATGCAAGACAATGCGAAACTTTTATTGATAGGGATTTACGCTTTTATGATAACAATGAAGCAAGGTAGTTATATTGTTTTTAAAAAATATTAAAAAAATCTAGAGAATATTGTAATACGGTTTCTGAAATAGCGCTAAATGAAATAACTAATCGTGTTGTTTCGAATAAGACAGATAGTTCGGTTATGGTTGATGAATATGTAGATTTATTTCGTATTTAATGTACAATGATAACATTCTATAGTCGAAAATATGCCCGTCTTCTCTAGATACGAATTATAACAGGGAGAATTCGGATAATCAAATAAAAAATGATGATGAATTTTGCGATATAACTTTAAATGATCTTTTTGCTAATTCTCCAAATCCTTTGCGACTCTCATTGGATAATACTATACAGTCTAGTTTTCAGACTTTTGCAAAGCCTTTATTTTCTCGTTATTCAATTGCTTTGGAAACTTCCCCTCTTAGTTTTATAAATCATGATAATGCGGATTATCGAGCAGTAAAGTGGAGAAGGACACAGAGCTTGTATCAGAATTCATCTGACTTTTTTTCTGCAAAACATGATGGACAAGACAATAATAATATATCTTTACAGGCATCACCATTGGAATTAAATTCTAATGATTGTCGGATTTTGCCTTGTTTTAGTATTAAAGACGATCGTTTGAAAAGAATCGATATTGATATAGTAAAAGTTTATTAATAGCGCTTGCTTTTTCTGATATGAATAGTTTGTTAAATTGTTAGATGGACATTATCATGATCAATGTGATGAATATATAATTGTTGATTGTCGATTTGAATATGAATATAATGGTGGTCATATTATAGGTGCTGTTAATATTAATACAAAAGATGCTTTAGATGCGCTTCTCTTGGATAATCCTAAGACCAAAAGGTGTTTGATAGTGTTTCATTGTGAATATAGTTCACATCGTGCTCCAAGATTGTATGTTTTTTTGAAAAAGTACGTATTGTTATTAAAATGTGGATAGGGCTTTATATCTAAGAAATAAGGATAGACAGCTTAATATGCAAAGATATCCTCTTTTATATTATCCAGAAATTTATATTTTGCATGGTGGTTATAGAAGTTTCTATGAAAAGTATAAGGAAAGATGCGAGCCTCAGAATTACGTTGAAATGAGTGATTCTTTACATAAATCTGCATGTGCAAGGGAAATGAATAATTTTCGTAAAAATACTAAGTTTCTAAGAACTCAAACATATACGTATGGTCAAGCAGATGCAACTTATACTGATGCTATACAAAAAACATAATAAAATAATTTATGTTGTGATAGGTGAATTTAGTCCAAAATCTATGTTTATAAATATATTGTTGGGCATGATTTTTTGGTAAAAGATTGAAAGATACAATAATTTTGGTAAAAAGGTCTGAAATTCCTTTTTTTTAATAAATTGTGGAAATAAATGTTAGCGATGTTAAATGATGTATCTTAAAATTGGAGTTAGTGTTACTTGGTGTAATTTCAGGGTACTGGTTAATAGATATGTATGATAACTAGTAATATACTGATTTATGTGGTTGGGATGTTTTGTATTTATATGAAAATATTGCTTATATGAATATGTTGTATTTTGATAGTGGAAAAAGTACTACATTTTTTACATGAAATCCTTAGCTATTATGTTTAGAAAAATACTAAAAAGTTGTTTTCTTTTTATCGTATATAATTATAATATTTTTCTTAATTGTTTGTTTTTCAATGGTGAACTACTCTTGTATTTCTGTTTCTGTTAATCCTTTTGATTTTTCTATGTTCATTTATGTTTTTTATATATTAAAAGTTATATGATATACCTTGTTCTTTTTCCGTTTGAATATTGTTAGATATAGCCTGTAAAGTAATAATTGTTTCCGCAAATTGCGATTTTCTAGAATGCCATATATTTATATATGATTTTTTTTCTAATTTTAGGGCGTGGATTTCTGCATGCAATTTATTAATAAGACTACAAATGTTATATATTGTTAATATAAACTATTTGATTTTTACTCCTGCAATGTTTTTCTGTCTTTGGGTTGATCTGACTGAATTTCATTTGTGAGTTTGTTGTATTCTAATTTATTTAATTTAATTTTTTGAGCTTGATAAAGTTTATCATAAAGTTGATATATATTTGTTTTTGTAGATAAAATCATTTTATCTGAATAATTTAGAAATCTGTAAAATAATTTTAGTAATGAACCTAATTCTAGTTTTTCATTAGAATAATTAAATATTTCTAATTTGTTTGTTTTCCATAATGATGCTAATCGTTTTATAGTGAGTTCAAAATATGTAAAATCTATATTGATTTGATTATTTAGAGATTCTCTGTAAAATTAGTAATTGAAATTTTAGATATTATAAATAATCATACTGGAATTCATGGGTTGCATTATAGTGATGTTCTATGATAGAACTACAACGTTTTAATACTTTTTTTAATGGTCTTTCTTCAATTAGTAATCGATTTTTAATCAATAAATCTATAATATTGATTTTATTAATAAAGATATTAAACAAATACTTACCTTCATCAAACATATATAAATTTATATTTCGAATTCTAAATTAAATCTTAAATACAAATTTCTAATTATCGATTTTTTTTTAAAAATACTTGATTCTTAAAATAACTTACGGGCACATTATTAAAATGTTTTTTTATACAATTACTTATTCATCTAATTTAAATATATATATGATATGAGTTTTATATATATTATAATAAATAATTATATATATAAATATAATATAAATTCTTATTTAAAAATCTTATATGTTAATTTTAACATTTTAATTTATAAAAAATATAATAAAAATCTATAAAACTGAGTGTTATATTATATATATATTATATATATATTTTTATATGAAATAAGAATGCATAGAATTAAATAAATTGAAAAAAAAAAATGTTTTTTTTAAACAAATTGTTTTAATAAAAATTCTGATAATTATTTTTTTACTTATTTTTTACTTATATTTACTTATATAGAATATATTAATAAAATTAATATATATTTTTTAACTTCAAATTATGATTATATATTTTTTGATTTATGTAAAAAAATTGAAAATTTAATATTATTATAAATAATAATTACATTAATAAATGCATATACTACTGATATTTAGTCGTAATAATTTATATAATTCATTTTACGTTTTGATATTTTACAAGATTTGAGTAGAGTATATATAATTTTATTATTAATTTTTATAAGTTTATATTATTTTGAAATTTTTCATTTTTATAAGCGTTTTATATAATTATTTTAAATTGAATAATATCTACAGATTATTTAATATATATTTATAATTTATTATTATTAAAATTATATACGTACACTCAATGTATACATATTTTCACGATCATTATAAATTATAATCTTAAATAATTAGTATATTAATTATAGTATATTATATTATATTATATATATATATTGTATAATTAAATTGACCTATATTTTTATTGTTCTAATATAGATATAATTTTTATCTAATTTTTTTTTATATCAACTATGATATATATAATATATTACAAATAAATAAATTTATATAATATTTTTAAAAATAATCCAAATACTATTTAATGGTTAATGAATCTATAATTTACATAATATATATAAATTAATATATATAAATATATAATCTCATAATATCTAATATCGTATATAGTGAAATACCGTTTTATTAATTATTAAACATGTATAAATTTATATTTTTTATTTTTTCAATTTTTTCATTTTATTTAAAAAAATAGATTTACATAGAGATTTTTTTTTAAAGTCCATTTAAATATAATCAAGATAATTTTTCTATTAAAATGGTTCGCAAATCACATTATATTGTAGATACTTTTTTTATTATATATTAAAAAGTCCTAAAAAACTAAATAAATATTATCTAATATTTACAATTAAATATATACATGTATTAATGGCATTTTACGCTTAATACATATTAATAAAAACTTTATAGATATACAATTCCAATTAATCCATAATAATAAAGATGTAATTCTTTAAAAATTAAAATACATTAACATTATTTTATACGTTCAGTATTTATACGTTCAGTAAATTAAATTTAATATTTGAATAACCTGCTTATCAATAGTATAATTAATAGATTATAATCTTTATGAAAGATGCATTTCAAATAATTTCTAAAAGCATATATCAGCAAATATATACAAACAATACTTACAACTTACAATAATATTATTAAAAAAAGTAGAAATGTTATTATATATATATTAAATATATTAAATTAAATATATTAAATGTTATTTTTTTTTATAGATATGTTATAACTTTTTTATTTATTAAACTAAAAATACATGATACATACATTCATTTATGTTATTATGTTATATAATAGTTTGTATGAATCATCAATAACAGAGTTACATAATAAAATATTATATTTACCAATTTATCTCATGACCAAGTTCAATAAGGTCAAACTTCAAAGAATCTATATCATGTTGAAGTATTTCGAAATCATCATCAATGCAATCATATTCTCTAAGAACATCACTATTAATACCAGATTCAAACTCAGTTGTTTCAGGAAAAGAAATAGGATTTCGAATAGAATCAATCGCTAATCTTAAATGCGTCCTAAGTGCTTCATTTTCCTTTTCTAATGATAATATACGTGTTTCTTTACATTTTATTAATAATTAAATTATCTATAAATATTTTTTTACCATATACATCTTTTAAACTATTTATTGTAAATCGTAATTTTATAGACTCATATTTATGTCCTTCTAATGCATTTTTTTCAGCCTGAACTTCAGCAAGTAATCGTGTCATATCATCAAGTTCTTTTTCTATATCAGCGTTACACAAAAACTTCCTTTCTCTCGTCTCATTAACAATAGCATTGGTGTGTATATGTTTTGCAGCAGTTGCATACCGGAGCGTAGAAAGACTTTCATCATAATCAGAAGGAGAGATGCAAGCTACCATAGCAGTTTTACTATTACCGCCTAAGCTATCAGAAAGTAAGAAAGTTAAAACCTATTTTTTCTATTTAAAAAAAATCATAAAAATAATAGATCTCACAGAATCACGATATGGAATTATGCTTTCAGGTTTCCCTTCAGAAAGATATGTGATAACACGTCCTAAACTAGTCAAAGATTTATTAATTGAAGCACCTTCTTTCAATCTAGAACCGGTAGATCCAGTTGCATATGCTCTTTCAGAGCCAGCCAAATCAACCAATCTGATATCATTAATGATAAAACTAATATATATATATATATATATTTACCTAAACCGAGATATTTTCTCAACAGTCCTTTTACTATTTTTATCCAAATAAACTTGTTTTATCTTTATTGTAAAAATAGCATGTGAACGACTAGATGTATCATTCATACGTGTACTAGCAGTAATCCTTGCCTAAATTTATCAATTTTCATAACTTCTATGAATAAATCACATTACATTATTACCCACTCGAATAAAGGCAAGAACATCATCAAGACTAGTAACTTGAAATTCAGATAAATTCTCCAAATAAGGACCATCAATAGGACTTTCTCGAACTTTCAAAGCCACAGAACGCTGATTAACATCCCTAGCACGTAAAAGATCCATAGCAACTTCATTATAAATTTCATAATATGATACAGTAACAGTAAAGCATATATCCATCTTCGAACGTTTTGCAATCTGATCAAACAAATATTTACATGTCAATGGCATAAGCCCAGGATCATTCAAGCTACCAATCTTTTACATTAATTCAATCTGAATCTCAAAATAGATAAAATTTCTACCATTGAATAAGTTTTACCAGAACCAGTTTGACCATCTAAATAAAATCAATTTTTTTATTATAATAAATTAGAAACAATACAAGCAAATATACATGTATTATAACCTTCAAGAGAATGAAAAACAAATTCTTTACCCAAATAATTATATAAAGCATCTTGACCTGAAAAATGACGATCTGTTTTATCCACAGACCATAAACACTTGTCAAACGAAAATGTTCTAAACTCAGGTATTCTTCTTCTTAAAACCTTAAAATTTCCAGAATCAGCGTCATCCGGAGATTTTACAATCAAGGTTTGCCCATCAGTTGTATCAACAGATACTAAACATTTTGCACCTCGAGCAATTTCTTTAAATATTAGAAAATATGAAAAATGAAAAAAATAATTTACCTCTTTCATTAAGGGGTCTAACTCTAACAACAACCTTCACACTATTAGACCGTAAAATATCAGAAGAATTCTTTTTCATTTAATCCATAAAACAAAAGAGATGATACGGAAAGACAAAACAAAAAACACGTGACAACACACCATAGCAACGACAATAAAAGTATAGTAATAATAAATAAGATATAAAGTAAATAATATATTTTTCAACAAAAAACACACTTTTTAAATCCAAAATCAACTCAAAAGCGAAAATACAATAATCCCCAAAACAAAATGCAGATAAAAAAAATAAATAAAAAAAAATGAAACCATCCAATATTTTGTTGTTTTGCTACGCATTTCATATTTTTCATTATTCCACGTAATGTAACGTTTGTATTAGAAAATGTATCATTCTTAAAAAAAAAATTAGAACATTAAAATATATATTATATTTATTGTTTTTTTTTTTTTTTTTTTTTACCATTGAAGACAAAAATAAAGACGAATCACGAATTTCATCACCAATAGATATTGTTATCTAATATATATATTAACAAGACCATTTTTGATTATATAATCCATCAGCGATGAATTTTAATAAGTACAACGAACATCTTTAAGAGTTTTAACCTTTTCGCTCAAATAATTGATGTCAGATTGATCATAATTTCCGGAGAACTCAAAATCATCATTACTATATAACTAATTTAATAAAAAATGTTACATATATTTATAAGATTATGCATACTTGACTTTATTTAAACCAGCTTTATTGTCCCGATGAAATAAACCATCATATCTAAAAATAATTACAAACAAAGCAAAACAAAAGCTTTAAAAACCTAGTATTGCCATTCATTTTACTGCATTAAATCTTTTTAGTTTTTAAAAATAATCAAAATACGATTCAATCGAAATGGAAATCATTTTACGAAATTACATTTAAAATTTTAATTAAATATATATTATATTAAGAAAAATAGGGGGGTCAGGACTAGAATTTATAAAAGTATAAAATTCTTTTTATTAAATTATTGGACTTATTTTTATAGTTTAGTATTTATGTACTATTTCCAGTTGGTATGATGTATTATTTTGGGAATCCATATTTTTATGAAAATTATGTAAAAAAGGTACAGAGTATATAATATATATATATATATATATGTTTATTAATACTAGATAAATTTCTGGCCGAGTGAAGAAAAAACAAGTTCTATACTAACAAATAAAAATGATATTAAGAACGAGTTAAATCACTTAAGAACAAAAAGACATCAAAACAAAGAATATTCAAGTATTACAAAGTAAAATATAAACATTTAACTTCTAACACTTGATTTGCAACAAATTCTTTATATTCTTGATATTAGAAATAACAAACCATTGAAATTTAAACAATTAAAGTTTGCTCTAAACATCTAATTCATCTTTAAAGTATCTTTTTCAATTAAATGTATTATCATTTTTTCAGTTTCAAAAAGCAGGATGAATAAAAAAGTTAATGTTTAAAATCTATAGCATATTTACATTCATTATTTCATAAAAAATCTCAGATTTTTTTTTACTATTATAAAAATGCCACTATTTTTTCTTATATAAAGAATAATTATAAAGAGAAAAAAAAGACAAAATACATAATAAGTATAGTCAATTTCATTAATATTTTTAATGCTATCATTTATCATAAACAAAATTTTATTTAAAAAACATTTATATTTTAAAATAATATTTATCAGTTTTAATAAACAAATAAAATATCGTAATCATATTCTCTTACTATTTCTTTAACATATTTCTTGTTTTCATAACAATACATAAACAGTACATAATTTACTTATAAAATTTCACAACAATACTAAATTTAAAAATTCACCAACAAAAAATCAACAAAACCAGCTTTATTTTTGTTTTATAAATAATATAGCAGTCATTCAAAGCTTTTGAAGCATTTATTATTCACCATTAAGTAACATCATTAATTAATACATTTATTATATTTTTTAAAACTAAATATTCAAAATATATATAAAATACATTTTTTAATTTTGTTATAAAAAAATAAATCTGACATTATTATTCAACTAATTACATCTTACTAACACATATAAAATGTAATTAAAATATTCGATATTTTCTTATTTTATAACTCAAATATATATTTTTTTTTTTGCATTCATACCTTATTTAAAAATTCAAAAAATTCAAAAACAATATTTTTTACATAAAAAAAAATAAATATTTTTTAAACTCATCAATTTCAATAATATTTTAGTAACATAATAATTTCATTTATTCATTTTTTATATTCAATTTTACTATTTCACTAATATTAATATAAAAAAGTAAAAGCCCACGAAAGACATAATTAATATTTTAAAGTTTAAATACATTCTTTTAGAAATAACTATAAATTTTTACTTATGTTAACTCACAATTTTCGAAATATATATAAATATATATAAATTATGACTATTTTGCAAATTGATTTGACAAATTTTGAGTATACAAATAAAGAACAAAAAAGTGTTATACTTTCTAATACTCTACTGGAAATTTCAGAAAAACTAGAGAATCTAGAATTAAAGCAATTAAACGAAAAACAAGAAGAAATACTCCAAATACTTTGTCAAATTATAAAGCCAGAAATCTTAGTACCTTCAAGAATAATACGAAATCATTTAGGTCATTGTTTTGAAATAATTTTTTCAAGAGGTAAAACGTAGAATATATTATAATTTTTTTTAATAGCTGTTATCAGGAAATTGTGTTACATTATTTGATACTTTTAATAGCCTTCTTAAAAACATTTTACTACCAGAACCAAAAAGCAACAATTTACATATTAAATGGTTTTTCTTAATTTATTATTTATTTAATCTTCTAATTTCTAAGGACAATATTGGTTATTATTAAGCATATTTATTTAGCATCTGGAAATAAAGTAATTATTATTATATTTTATATAAAATAATGCTAAAAAAATGCTAGTTATCAATTCATCTCAATGATACTATAAACGTAATATTTAAAATATTTAAAATTTCAAATAACGTAATTTTACTATATAAGACTTTTCTTCTAATTTTTTAAAGATTTGTGAGCTCCGTGCATCTTGTTTTGAAACATTGTCAGAAGTATTAACTTCCTATGACGGTGTCGTAAATGAAACTAATACTAAAAAAATATTTAAATTCATAAAATCAAGCTTATCAGACAAAACAGACATAGTGAAATTAAAAGCGTTAATAGTAATACTTATTATATATTTAATAATTTATTTATAATTATAGTGTTTTAAGAATCTTATTAAAATTTGTATATCGGTTTCAGGTTACACAGATATTAATACTGTTAAAACTATAGCTATTAAATTTATCGATAAACCTAACTTTTCTATCCATGATCAAGCAGCAAAAACTATAGCTATAGCACTAATATCAAATTCCAAATTAGCTACTAAGAACGTTAATTTACCTAAAGAAAATAAAGAAACACAATCAAATAATATTATAAAAAATGACATATTACCTGCAGCATTCAAGAAATACACATATTATGATTCAGATATAGAAAAATCATTACCATTTACTCTAAAACATATATCAGATATATATGCTAAACATATAACAAATCCTTACATAGAAAGATTTATTGTAAATATATACTCAAAATTTTTAGAACATTACGAAAAAGATTGGATCATAAATCATTATAGATTTATTATTAAAAATCATATTTATGATATTGCCTCTATGATTAATAATATCAAAGATAAACAAAAAATTTCAGTAACTAGGAATATTATTTGTCATCTTTTAGATATCATGAAGAAAAAATTAGATGAAGCTTCACAATTTAAAGTCTTAAAAATACTAAATAATGAGTATTTAAGCATATGGCTTCACAAAGCAGATCTTACTCAAGCAAAAAAAGTAATGCTCACAAGTATATTATATGAATTATCGAAATTTATTCTAACACTTAACTATACTACTAGTATTATTCGTGTAAGTATCAAAATACATACTAACGAAGTTATAATATTTAAAAAAGGAATCATTAAGAAACAATCTTTTATTTACATTGAACTGCACAAGTTTGACAATACAAAATTATGCAAGCTGGTGTATTAAGTGTTTTGCAGTTTCTATTCCAAATGATATGACGTATTTAACAAATTTTTGCTTAAAATATGTAAAAGAATTCATATCTACGGATATTAATAGTATTGACTCTCTTTCAAAATTACGTATACGAGGACATGCACTGGCTCTTTCAAGATTAATTAGTCTCGGAAAACAAAAATCCTTATATATTTCTTCTAATATTTTATCCGAAATATTTTCTGTATCTTATTCTATTTTAAAACTAACAATAAATAACACAATACATGCTACAATAATACCTATACAAGTAGCATGGACATTAATTAGTTCATTAATGAAACTTGGATCATCTTTTGTTAGAAACTTTATCTCTCAGTTATTTATATTATGGGAAAATACACTTCTAAAACCATCTATAAGCAATCTTTCTACTGAAATAAATCACACAGAAACTTTATTTTTATTATACACTCGAGAATATGCTCTAGGATCTATATTTTCATTTTTACTACATAATAAAGAATTATTAACAACAGATGTCTTAAGAAAAATCAGTATCATGATAAGTGAAACTAATACTATTCTTGTTTTTTTGGAAAAAAAACAAAAAAATAACACATTTTTGGACAAGTATGTACATTTGTCTCAAGAGATTCTAGAAACTATGGTTGAAAAAAGAATACTTCAATGTTATCTATTAATCATATGGAAAAATCCAACAGATACTACACAAGGTGAGCTCATATCTCGTTTAATTACTAATTTTGCAAACCCATGCATTTCTACTATTAAAAATATGCCAAACTACCAATTTTATTATTACTTTCAATCTAATCAGAACATTAATGAAATATCGAGTTTTATTAATTTGCAAGAATTTTCTGAACATCAAGAAATATATGAAGCAACTAATAACAATATATTACAAAACTATATATATGTTCCAAAAGAGTATAGTCTTATTAATGCAAATATTTCTGTAATTCCTCCTTTAATTAAACTTTACTTCTAATATTTTTAGAATTCAGATTTTCAAGAAAATAATCCATTACAAATTCATAATATTTTTTGTTCTTTTGATGAAATTCCATCAAATAAACTATCCATTCATATAGAAATCATTGACCTATCAATCCTACTATTTGGTGCAGTCTTTTTGAACCAGTCAAACAAAATTAAAGAGAGTATACTTGAACAGTTAATTACATTTATTACGTTTTCATCATCCACTAAACCTTTTCAACAAAATAATGCAATAATCTGTAACTCAAATTTAGCAATTCTTGGAATTCTTCGTTTTATAGAGAATCAAATAAATCAAATAAACAATTTAAAAAATACAAAAACAATAAACTTAATGGAACAAATAGCAAAAGTAATTGCATATAAATTCATTTCTTTTTTTAACTATTATAGTATGGAATAAATTCTTACAATCCAGCCATCCGGAGAATTTCCTGTGAAGTTATTGGAAGATTAACAGGTCTAAGAAAAAAACAACTTATACCTTCCTTTATAGAGTTTTATCTAAAGCAAATTATTGAAATAGGTGATCCAGATATCCGTTCTGGTAATGCTCTTTGTTTAGGTAGAATATTAAATCATTATGGAAGAATCACATCCAGTTCATACATTAGTCAAATATTAGGTATTCTGCTATCTTTAAGCATAGATCATCATCCTATAGTTTGCTTCTGGGCACTCGAAAGTATAACTATAGGTATCCAGTCTTTTGGACCTAACATGTCTTTATATTGTTTAAATATATTGAATATTATTTCAAAAATCTATAACGAAATAGATTATAATATTAACAATATATTAACACCTTCTAATTTATCATTAAAATTTCCAATATTAAGCAAATTAGCAAAGTGCTTAAATGCAATCGTAAATATATTCGGTCCAGATCTTGAAAAAAATACGGAAGCAAAAAAACTAGTATCCATATTAATAAAAGGACTTCTTTTAGAAAAAGATAAAAAAGTATTAGCTACAGCTATATATTGTACACAACATATTTTGCTATTTTCATCTGATTTATTAAATCCATATTTTTTAATAAAACTCCTTCAAAAAAATATGATGTCAAAACATAAAAATCTGGCTAGAGCATCCATTAAATCACTTCATCAACTTATACAACATGATATATTAAATGTTTTTAAATGGGAACAAAATAATTTAGATACATACATATGGCTAGCCTATGACTTAAATCCAGAATGCCAAGATCTTAAAAATATCATTGAAATATGGTTACATCATACATCAGATTCTCAACAAAATTATTGGATTCAACTTTGTCTAAAAACTTTCGAAAAAAAGTCATCTAATAAAATACAAAAAGTTAACAAAAATATCTATATAAATTCGAAAGATGAAGAATTTTCTAGCTTTGCAGTAAACAAAAGTCAAGCAAATCATAATTTTAACAACGTTCAAAAAAAACTAGGAAATTTACGTTGGCAAACACAAAAATTAATTCTTCAATGTATCAATAATTTATTATCACATACAGAATCATTTTTTGAAGAATATCCGGACTCTCAGATACCTCCAAAAATTTCAATTTTATCTTCTAATATTTCAAATTTAATTAAAATAGGATTTATGGCATCTACTTCAAAAAATTACAATATCCGTCTTGAAGGTTTAAAAATTATACAAAAAATTATAAAGGTTATTAAAAATAGATTGAATCATTTTTCCCTTATTTCTAATAGATATTCTCTCCTTTGAAAGATCCATATTTTCCTACATCATCTTTACTTGAACAATACGAAGCACAAATTATTTCTGCTATTATTCCATCATTTTCAAATGACTCAGTTCCAGAGATTGCAGCATTAGCAATACATATTTGCTCATATTTTTTAACAAGCGGGATACTAAAAGAGATTCCAAAAACAGGAAGAATTATAAAATTACTTACATCAGCACTTCTAAGTTTAAAAAGTTATAATATTCTTATTTTTTCATTTTTTAAATATTATAGATTCGGAAAATGCAGTTTCAATTGGAGATTTAAAATGTTCGAATAACAATTTCCAAATTATGCTTAAACTATCTATCATTTCAAGCTGGGCTGAACTTCAAATTGCTAGTCAAACTAAAAATTGTTTAAATTCTATAATTAAACCGAATTTAATGCTTCTATCCTTTTTATGGATTACCTCATTAAAAGACTACGCTAAATTCTGTTTTGAAGCTCATGAATTATCCAATGATTTAGCTTATTTAGCTTCAAAATCAACAGATTTTAACAAAATATTCCTAGATATGAATAACAATGAATTATTTGAGGTAATTTTCTAAATTTTGATAAAATTTCATTAATAAAAAAAGATTTGCAACAAATTTAAAATAAATGTAATTTATGCTATTGCAATTCTTTCAGAATCAAATGAAGATATAATTTTTAAAACAATAGACCAATATAATTTGGATAACTTAAATATTATAGAATTAAACAAAATAGCTAACCATAAGGAAAAAATCTCTACGCTATTTTTTTTACTTTTCGGATTATGTTTCGAGGCATTATTACATCCTATTTCTAATAAAAAAGCTATAAATACAAACAAACAAAAACTTTATATACTTTTTGCTTTTGAAAAAATACTAAATATATCTTTACATAATGAAATTATATATTATAGTCCTATTTTTTCAGAGCTAATAACATTATTTAAAAAAATGTTGTTAATAGAACGTCCAATTATTCAAATTTTAATAGTAAGAATTACAACAAATTTAATAAATAACTTTCCTCTAGAAAACTTAGAACTTTTAAAAAGAAAGTACTATATTCATAAAAATTTGATATATATTAACCCAATATAGCGAAAATTACGAAAATAATTTTAGAAGTCAACAAAAAGATATATTAAAATATTCAGAACAATTGTTTGAACTTTCAGAAATTATAATACTTCCATTTATTATATATTTCAAAAATCTTAACAATAGTATACATAATGGTAATTTTCCTACTATTTATATCATTATTAATGAATATAGATTTAAAAAGTCATGATGAAAGTATGTCAAAATTATTAATATACTCATTAGAATCATATATAAAAGTTATAAAAAAATTCCCTCATATGATACAATGTAGCCTTCATGATTGCGCTTTTTTTATAATATTAAGTACAAAAACTGAAACATATATTCTAAATATACTAATAAACAGAACTATATTATAATAAAAACTCGTATAATTTAATTCCTAAGGTTCTCCCATTAGTCAGAATTCTTTGTGAAGATATATTAGCTATATCTAAGACTAGTCAAAAAAATTATGAAATTTCACAGAATTTGATAGAAAACATTATAGAACAAATAATAGAAATAATACAAAAATCATCGTAAATTTATGTTATGTATATACATATAACTAATTTTAAAAAGATCAGCGTGGAATTATGGATTACTTTTAATCACAATAATTATAACAATTACTGGACAAATTCTTTCTCCAAAAAGCAAATCAACTCAAAAATATTGCAGCTTATTTATAAAATCGCCAGATGAGGATGTAAATACATATAAATTTATCTATTTTTATTAAGTGATATTAGAAAGCAAAAATGCTTATTTACTGTATGAAATCACTTTTAAAATCATCATTTTATAATATACAACGGTACATTTTTCAATCTATACTATTTGCATCTTTCAATATTATCAAAAAAGCTCATTTAAGTTCTGGAAAATCACTTACTTTTGATATGGGAACAAATGCTTGTGATATTATAATTGATCTTATTAAAAGTATAACAGAAAATAATCAACGTATGTTAAAATAATATTAAAGATATATCTCATCATTTTTAAGAATATATAGCTATAATAATCATTATACCAATATTAATTCGTTTTGCATCAATCAAGGAACTAGAATCAAAACATAAAAAAGAAATTTCTTTTAAATTATTATCTATAATGGCATATTACAGTGAAAGTGTCCATCAGATTCTACAAATGATACCCAAAAAAGATTCTGATATGCTAAAAAAATTGTTTAAATCTACAGCATATTCTAATGTGTCAATTAGTCTTGAACATAAACCAAAGATTTCTTTAAAAAAAAAATTTATAAATTAAGACATATAAAATAATAGTAAAGAACTACTTTATAACAGTATTTAGAAACTAATTTTAATATGTATATATATATCAATATATTTATATATTTAGCAATTTAAAATATATCATACTTTAAAAAAATAAACTTTATCGAAATTTAAATTACAATGCATTAATACAAAATATAGTTTCATGAAAAATATAAGCTTTAGTTATTTAGTTTCACAATGAATCATGAATTTCCAAATTGTGATGATATTTTTTCAAATAATTCAGTGGTCGACTGTAAAGAAATTCAAAAAAAAATCAAGTATGTAATAATATTTTTCAATATTTTCTAATTTAAGGAATTATATTGATAAAAAAAAACAAAAAATCCATTTAATTATCAGGTATTTATTAAAAATATATTATTATAATTTTTAATCTCTTGGCAACTTAGAGATAATTATCATAATCTAATAAATGTTGCAGATGGAATTATTAAAATGAAAATGAATTTTGAAACTATTAATCAGAAATTAAAAAAAATTATAGACTCCCTCACAGTAAAAAAGTCAGACGAATCTTTAATAAACACAAGTATTAGAATCAAAACATCTATTGATGGTATTTATGTTTTACAAATAATTATAATTTAATAAACTTCAGAAAATAAACTAGTATATATTCATACGATAAAACTATTACTATATTTTCCACAATTAATAAGAAAATTAATATCAGATTCCGAATATTTATTAGCTTCAATACTCCTACAAAAAATTAACCATTTAAATAACCAATTTAAAAAAGTATTATATTAAAATATCTATTATTTACTTAAATTACTAGATAAGGAATAAAGATATACTCCTAAATAATATCAGAATTACAGAATCAAAACAATTTTTAATAAAAATGATCAAAACAGAAATATGTAATGCTATTCCGGAAAAAAATACTTATAAAGTTCTTTCATATCTTTCTTCTCTTAATATAATATATAAAAACACATCATTAAATACAGAAAAAATGTTTTGGGAAATTAGAATGAAAGACATTTCTAATATTCCCTTTAAAGACAATATGGATCCAAATAGCTTTCATATTACACTAAAAAAAATTATTCATACAGCAATAATTGGTCAATATATATTTCCAGAAAAATTTAGGAATTTTATGAAAATGAAACTAAAAATAGATAATCTTATAGTTTCTAAGTATTATCATATTTATAATAAATATATATATGTATTAGAAAACTATAAGCTAGAAGAATCATTATTTGAGTCAGATAAATTAAACCAAAACGACTCAGATAACATGTATATAGAATGGGGGAACGAAATTTTAAAAATTATTCAACATAATGGATCTAATTATTTAAATAAAATCAGAACTATAAATTCACTGATAGAACAATGGAATAATATCATATTATTTTTTAATGAAACAACATTTAATTTTAGTAAAGAAGATGTTAAATTAAATTCATTTATATTGAGACTTTGGGAAAGTACAAGAATTATATTTAACAAACATATGAATTCCATATTTAGAATTTCAGTAAATTCAGTTTTGGAATTAGAAGAACATATGAATAATCAACTTAAAAATATGAGAATGCAAAATGGTTAATATTTAAACATCTATTTAGGCATAATTTTTAATTTTATATAGAATCACTTGAACCATCACCTTCATTTAAAGTTGATAATAAAGTTTGGAACAATATTGAATCACTACTAAATTATCAAATTCAAAAACCAGCACTTTTTATAAAGAGTTTTAAAGAAGAACTTGATAAAATTCAAAAAAAAATTGAAACAGATTCAATAATAATCATACAAAAACAAGAACCAAATAGTGCTATATTAAAGAATTTAGAATTCAACACCTACAAAAAAAGCGATATTTCAAATTTTCACGCAAAATTAACAAAAGATATTTATAATAAATTATCTAAAAAGATAGGAAAAATTATAACAATTTTTTTAGCATTAAAGTACAATAATCTATCTAATTCAGGTAAAAATTGAATTTATTAAAAATTCCATATAATTCTTTAAAGATATTAATATTATATGTTATTTCATAAAGGTTATTAAATTAATAAGGTCATCATATCCTCTTGGTATAAATCTTGATTTTTTTTGTAACTATCATTTAAAAAAGCTTTATAAAACGCTGTCATTATATATTTTTCTAAACAAAAATGTAAAAGAAAGACTAGAAACAGAAATAAAAAAAACAATTTCAACTAAAAAACTAAAAAGTTTATGGAAAGGCTAGTTAATGTCCAAAAAATACTTAAATAACTAATATATAAATAGACAATCAAAATTCTCTTCCAAATCATCCTAGTTCTGAAATAATTGCTATTATTCAAGATATTGGATGGGGTATGATGAATATTGATAACAATATTTTTGACTACAATGGTCTAATAACTATAAAATGCTGTTTTATTGATACAATCTATTCTATTCTAGAAAATATATTTAATACTAAAATATTCAATAAAGACAGTCACTATAAAGAATATGAAAAATATGGGCACAACAACAATAATTTATATTATGAGAACCAAAGTTCTCAGTTTACTCCTATAACTATCACAGGACAACTACAATTTTACTTTGATATAAAATACTTAATGACGTTGTTTGGAAATATACCTTATAAAAACAAAAAATTAAAAAAAATCAATTATATTATAAATGTATCTATATTTTAATATCATATTCATCTGATTAATTTTTTTAGTATAATACAAATAATATCGCTGAAAATCATAATATAATAAAAGAGTTCATTATTAAATATATAGAAAGAACAAAAATATGGTTTAATTTTTTCTATTGTTTATAATCAATATAAGCATTATATATATTATTACTATTTCTATTATAATTTAAAATAATATATTTTTTAATATAAAAAATATTTCTAATTTTCATAAAATGACAAAATTAACTAGTTATGGCCCAAAATATCCAATTATTCGAGGTAAGGTCAAGAATAATTGTTATAATCTTGTAAATTACTTACTTTATATATCAGCTTACCGATTATGGTTTCTTTACCCGTTAACCAAAGATTATAAAGCTCAATATAAAATTATACATAATCAAATTAATTCGTATTTCTATCTGTGTATACAAAATAGAAAAAACACTCATGATTCAAAAAAAGACTCTATACCTTTATATTCTCATACCCCATCATCTACAAAAATATTATTAACAAAACCTAAAAATAATTTTAGATTCAGTATGCATCAATTTGACACTTACAATTTAGTTTCCACACTAGAAGCTACAGGATTTACTCACAATCAAGCTATTACAGTTATGAGGTCTATTCATGCATTATTAATTGGTAATTTAGAAACAGCAAAAACAAACTTTATTTCTCGTTCAAATCTTGAAAATGTAAGAATTTGATAATCTCATAGAAAAGTTTTATTAACATAAGAACTAGGAAATACATTTATTTCGTGCATCACAATCTGAACTTAAAACAGAAATTCAATCTATGAGAAAAATTGAAGCATCTGCTTTACGTGCAGAAACATTAGCCTTACGAAAACAATTAGAGACATTAGAACAAACACTTAAAGAAGACTTACTGGCTCTTAAAAATGATGTAGCCATAGATTTTAATGACAGAAAAAGTTCTAACAAAGCAGAAGAAAAAAATATGGAAATAAAAATTCAAGAACTTAATAATAAATTCACAATTATACTTGGAGAAATTCGAGCAATGTTAGAAAAAAGTAAATGGGATGCTTCTAAATATGGAATGTGTAAGTTTCTTATTTATGGAAAAAAATTACTTAATATTATAAAAGTTTCAATATTTATCATTGCAGGATTTGCATTAATTGTTGTTTCTATGCGGAAAACTATTCAAGAAGAAATAGAACCCATAAAACCAAACCAAAGCTGTAATGAAACATTCAATAAATTAAAAAATCATACATTAAATAATCATGCACTAGATGTTATTTCTCTAGGATAATTCATATTTTCTTAAAATGGATCATAAAATTCATTTAAAAAATATATATATTAAATAGCTTAAAATATTATAAAAAATAAAAACTATAAACAATTTAAAAATCAACTTTAAAAATAATACAAAAATTTTAATTAAAAAAACATAAAAAAACTGAATTTGAAATACTACTGTTTTAAAACTCAATCTCTACTATTATTGTAAAAAAATTATTATAAAATATAAATATATTCTAAACATTTAAATAAATATTTTCATTATTTAAAAATATAATTTATAAAAAATAGAATTATACACATTTTTAAAATATCTTATAATTTAAAAATTATTAAACATAATCATTTTCAAATAGGTGTACTATTTATAAGCAAATTAATAAAATAACAATATAAAAATTCTCGTACCTTTAAATTAAATATCTTAAAAGTATAAAAGATTGTTTAAAAAAAATTCTAATTAGTTATGTCAAAAAATAATACTTTTTGAAACATCTAAAAATGTTTTAAATCCTTAAAAATTAAAAGAAAACTCAATTCTAAACACTTTTTATACCAAAGCAAAATATTAAAAAATAACTGTCACTAAATAATTTTAAATTTACATTATTAAAATTTAAATTAATGAAAATTTCAACATAATTTATAAAATAATTTTAGGATATAAATACTTTTTAATATACAAAAAAATTACCATAAAATCTTAATACGCTTTAAAAATTATAACTTTACTAAAAAATACTAAAAATAAAAAAATTAAACAAATAGATTTAAGATTTGTTATCAAAAATATATTTGAAATCACATGAAGATGTATTATCAAGATTAAATATACGTAAAAATATTCAAATAAAAAATACATACATTACAGTTGTTAAAATAACTTTCTCAATGAAAAATGACAAAATCATTAAATTCAACATTCTTGAAAAAGATTCTATTCATTTTGGATATAATTTATGGTCACATATAATTAATGAGTTATTTACATATATTTTTTCTCCAAAATATGTAGTCATTACAGACTCAAATATTGAAAGCTTATATATTCCAGATTTCAAGAATTATTTTAAATCTATAGCAAAGCAAAGGTCTATTAATTCATGTCTTTTATATTTTACAATTCCTAGTGGAGAAAAATCAAAATCAAGAAAAACAAAAGCAATTATAGAAGATTGGCTTTTATCGGAAAAATGCACAAAAGACACTGTTATAATAGCAATGGGAGGAGGTGTTGTAGGCGATCTTGTAGGCTATGTCTCTGCAACATTTATGAGAGGTGTTCGTTTTGTTCAAATCCCTACAACTCTTTTAGCTATGATAGATTCATCCATTGGAGGAAAAACTTCCATAAATATACCTTATGGAAAAAATATGATTGGTGCTATCTGGCAGCCTGAAAGGATTTTTATTGATCTTACATTTCTTAAAACTCTTACAGAAAGAGAATTTATAAATGGAGTTGCAGAATTAATCAAGGTTACAAAAATTAAATTAATTTTTATTTAATCTAATTATATCTTAGACCATTATTATATGGGATGAATCAGAATTCATATTACTAGAAGATCTCTCAAAAAAAGTTATAAAAACAATAAAATCAAAATCAGCAACATCTAACCAATACTCAAACTTTTATGAAATTATAAAAGATCTTGAGAGATTTATTCTGTCATCAATAAAAATTAAAGCTTATATTGTTTCTATAGATGAAAGAGAAAAAGATCTTAGGAACATTTTAAACTTTGGCCATTCTATAGGACATGCAATAGAAACTGTTTTAGCATCTCATCTTTTGCATGGAGAATGTGTATCAATTGGAATGATTAAAGAGGCAGAAATTTCTAGATATCTAGGCATATTGAATCCTAATGTAGTATCGCGACTTACCGAATGTTTAAACGTATGGGGCTTACCAATATCTCTTAAGCAAATTCAAAAAACAATTTGCAAAGAAGATCGTTTAGTAGAAAATATTCTTGAAGTCATGGCTTTGGATAAAAAAAATGATAGTAATAATAAAAAAATTGTTCTCCTTTCAGCCATAGGAAAAACATATGAAAAAAAGGCATCATCAGTATCTGATGATATTATCAGGACAGTTCTTTCTGAGAATATTGTTTTATATAATATTCCATTAAACATACATAAAAAACATATTACAATTACTTTACCAGGATCTAAATCAATATCTAACAGAGCATTAATTTTAGCAGCACTTTCTAGTGGAATTTGTCGCTTAAAAAACTTTTTGCATTCAGATGATACATACTATATGCTTTCTGCCTTAGAAAAACTGAATGCAGCAGAATTCAAATGGGAAGAAGGAGGTAATATATTAGTTATTAAAGGCAAATCCGGATATCTTGAAAATCCAAAAATGGAATTATATCTTGGAAATTCAGGTACAGCATCTCGCTTCTTAACTACAATCTGCACATTAGTTCCGCCAAATTCATGTAAAGATAATATAATATTAACAGGAGACAATCGTATGAAACAAAGACCCATTGATTCTTTAGTAAATGCTCTTAATAATAATGGATGTAATATAGAATATCTTGAATCAAATAACTTTTTACCATTATTAATCAAGCCAAAAAATCCTGGATTTTATGGAGGACGTATTAATCTTTCAGCTACAATCTCATCTCAATATGTATCATCGATTTTAATGTGTTCTCCATATGCAGAAACACAAGTAACTCTTTCATTAATTGGAGGAAAACCAATATCACAACCATATATAGACATGACTATTTCCATGATGTCATTATTCGGTATTAATGTTATCAAATCTCATTTGGAAGAAAATACGTATTATATTCCAAAAGGATGTTATACTTGCCCCCCTGAATATATAATTGAAGGGGATGCAAGCTCAGCTACATATCCTTTAGCAATAGCTGCAATAACAGGAGAAAGCTGTACAATATCCAATATTGGTAGCATTTCACTACAAGGTGATTCTAAGTTTGCAAAAGATGTATTAAAGCCCATGGGTTGCGAAGTTATTCAATCAGATACAACTACATATATAAAAGGTCCAGAACAAGGAAAGCTTAAATCACTAGAATCTATAAATATGGAATTAATGACAGATGCTTTTTTAACAACAACAATTTTAGCCTCTGTTGCATATAAAGAATCAAAACCATGTATTACAAAAATTACAGGAATTTCTAACCAAAGGCTTAAAGAATGTAACAGAATTAAAGCCATGGTCATTGAACTTGCAAAATTTGGAATAGAAGCAGGTGAACTTCCAGATGGAATATATGTAAAATCTTTAGATATTTCCAACCTCTTGTCACCAAAAAATGGCATCAATTGCTACAATGATCATAGAATTGCAATGAGTTTTAGTGTCTTGGCATGCATTTCACCAAAACCTACTATTATTTTAGGTAAAACTTGTGTTAATAAAACTTGGCCTTATTGGTGGGATATTTTAAATTCAGCTTTTAAAGTTCAAATAAGAGGAGCTGAATCCACTTTAAATTCTATTTTTAATCCGTATATATTACATCATCCATCAAAATGTACTATTATTTTTATTGGAATGAAAGGTGCTGGAAAAACAACATTAGGACAATTTGCAGCTAACCTTCTTGAAAGAGAGTTCATTGATTTGGATTTAGCTATTGAAAAAGATGTTAAAATGACAATTCTAGAATTAGTTCAAAAACATGGATGGGATACTTTTAGAAAAAAAGAATTATATTTTCTTAAAAATCTTTTAGCAGAAAAAAAAGAAAATTACATTATATCATGTGGAGGAGGGATCATTGAGAGTGAAGAAGCTAGAGATATACTATTATCTTATATAAAAAATAAAGGAATTGTTATACATATTCATCGCAATATCAAAGATATCATCGAATATTTAAATACTGATAAAACACGTCCTACATCTACTGGTAATATAATTGATATATGGGAAAAGCGAAAACAATGGTATAATTTGTGTAGTTCTCATCAGTTTTATATACCTTCAACAGATTCTATAAAAGTTAGAGAAAAAGATACATTATTAGATATTAAACCATCTTTTCATAAATTTTTAAAAATAATTACAGGAGAATATGACCCATTTCCTCAAATTTTAAAGAAAGAAAGAAGCTATTTTATATCTTTAGCATTGTCAGATATTCAAAACCTTTACCATTTACTAGATGATATAACAATTGGTTGTGATGCAATTGAATTAAGAATCGATCTGTTTCAAAAACAGAAAGGAATAAATAAATATCCTAGTTTGAAATATATAGCAGAACAAATATCGTTACTACGTCAGAAAACGAATTTTCCTTTAATTTATACATTACGTACAACAGATCACGGAGGTTCCTTTGTTTTTGAAGAAAAAATAGCAAAAAAAATCATTCTACATGGTGCAAAATTGGGTGTTGAATTTATCGATATACAATTAAACATGCCAACTAAATTATTTAAAATTATACAAGACTCTTGGCCATATACTAAAATAATTGCTTCTTTTCACAGTATAGAGAAACCAATATCTTGCGATGATTTTGAATGGATACAAAAATACAAAGAAGCACAACAACATGGTCATATTGTAAAATTAGTGGGGATGTCAACGTCTTTTGAAGATAATTTTTTGTTAAAGGAATTTAAAAAAAAAATTGCTTATGAAAAAATACCTTCAATAATAATAAATACAGGTATTAATGGCCAACTATCCAGAATTATAAATGTATTTATGACACCAGTTACTCATTCATTATTATCATCAAAAACTGCACTTGGACAGTTATCAATTAAAGATATTAATATTGCCCTTCACATAATGGGGCTTTTACCAAAAAAAGAGTACTTTCTTTTTGGAAGTCCGATCAAACATTCTCAATCACCTAATATTCATAATCTAGGTTTCGAAATTTTAGGTTTTCCGCATAAATATCAATTATTTGAAACAAATTCCATTAATGAACTTAAAAACATATTATATTCTGATAATTTTGGTGGTGCTTCTGTTACTGCACCATTAAAAACAAGCATACCAGTTTTATTAGATGAATTGTCAGATGAAGCAGTATTAATTGGTGCAGTTAATACTATAACAAAAATACATAAAAATGGCAAACATATTCTCAAAGGAGAAAATACAGATTGGCAAGGAATAGTAAAAGTAATAACAAATTCTATAAAATTTGAAAAATCTTTAAAAGGTTTTTCAGGTTTTATAATTGGTGCAGGAGGAGCAAGCAGAGCAGCTATATATGCTTTACTTTCTATTAAAATATCACCAATTTATATCATAAATCGCTCCAAAACTAAACTGGACAAAATATGTTCCTTTTTTAATACTAAACATATAATTCCAATTACTGAATGTTTTAAACTAGATAATATAGACTTTAATATTCGAATAGGAATTTCAACAATACCAGCAGATAATCCGGTAGATTCTTCTATTTTAGAAATGGCTAAAATTCTTTTTAATTCAAAAACAAAATCATCAGAAAGTGTATTTTTAGATATGTCATATAAACCACATATAACAGAACTTACGACTATTGCAAAAACATATAACTGGAAAACTATACACGGGTTAGAAATTTTACTGGAACAGGGTTCTGAGCAATTCTTATTATGGACAAAAACATGTATTCCTTACAACCAAGTAAAGCGTGCTATAGTGACCCTAAACGAACATACAACTATTACTTAAACATATAATTCAAAACCAAATTTACGATTCTTCAAAGATATTAAAATACAAGCAAAAACAATTAATTTTTGCTATATTTATTTACTATTTACAACATTTAAAATACATTTACATATAAAATCCAAAGTTGTTTACAATGAATTAAAGACTAAAGAGCTTCAATCTGCTTAATTAAAAATGCTTTTTCATCATTAAATTGTTCATCATCTACAATACATAAAAATAAGAATAGCAAGATATTTCAAAAAACCTTTACGATCATTATGAAAGTTAGATAAAAAAATTAAAAGTTTATCTTTATTTTTCATAAGAATGTTTAAAACCTGTTTTGTTTTATTCGGATTTGCAACAAAAACCTAAAAATAAGAAGATTAAAAAAAAAATAAACTTACTTTAAAAACATGAAATGCTTCAAATTGAATATTTCTACTCCTATCACGTAATAAATTCATAATAAGTTTGAGATTTTCAGATGATTGAATATACGTTGTCATAATATTAAAATTGGATCGTCCAAGAAGGATTTCACCCAAAAGCTTCATAATTAATGAAAGTAAAATGCTTAGTATACCAACCTTTATAGATTGCCGCTTTGTAACATAATTAGATGATTTTAAAAGATCAGTATATTTTTGAAAAAACTAAAATAATCATTATAAAATTTCCGATATAATACAAAGGATATTACATTATCATAATTATTTTGTAAAAAGTCTGCTGATATATTTTTATGCCGAGTTATAAGTTCCTAAAGAAATTAACATAAATAATACAATAAAAGGCATCAACCTTAAAAGTTTGAAAAGCATCACTAGCTATATCAAACGTTCCACTTTCAACATATCCAAAAAATTCCCAAAATACAGAATTCCAAAGCACTATTTTTGCAAGCAACTCATGTTTAAAACATTCACGAAGTATCAAACCAGAATGAAGAGCAATTTCAGGAACTTGATAACTAAATAATTATAAACAAAAAACACAAAAATGATACAATATTACCCCCGAACAAGAATGAAAAGAGTATCTTCCTTTGTAGCAAGATAATCAACAGTAGGATAACGAGTACCAATTTGTCTTCTAAGAAAAACATTAAAAATGGATGCAACATCTTTTCTAGACTTCTATAATAAGAAAAAATTAAATAAAAATCATTAAAAATACTTCAAATTCAAGACGACCAAAATTAACTACAAATAAATAAAGTAAATCTGTTTGATATACTTGCTGAGATAGCTGTGTAACTTGATCAGGCACAGGGTCAGCATCTATAAACATAAGACTATTTTTCTAGACATTCTATACTAAAACAAAAATGCATCATACCACCATCACCGTATAACAATACTTTCATTGCTTGAAGACTTCGAGCTACTTCCTCTTGTACCTAACAAAAAAATTAACACAAATCCCTTTTTCAAAAATAAAAAATCAGAAAAACAATATATAACATACTCTTTTTTTATCGGCAGTAGACCCTAAAGTTTCTAATCTTTGAATTCCATCTTTAACTCCACGTACTACATCTTGGGCAGATTTCTGTCTTCTATTAAAAAAAAAGGACATTCTCCTTAATAATAAACACAGAAAACAAAAACCCCCTAAATGTAGACCTTATATTTATAATTATACGTTTATTCACTTTTTTCAACTAATTTTACTTGTTATTACACTATCGTGTCGACTCAACAATCAGATACGTTTTATGATAAATAAAAAGGATTTATTGATAATTTTATTAGAAAATTTCAAAAAAAAACAAAGAAAACATCTATATAATTTTGACATCAAATAAAAAATATAGTAAAAATTATACATTAATCATAAATATATTAATAGCTAAATATATTTCAAAAATATAACAAAAATATTTTAAAAAAATCAACAAATATTAAAAATTAACTATAATAATATTCTATATATTTTATAAATTTTAAAAAGGTTATATTTCTATAATTTATATACTTATTATTAATTTTAAATACCTATTAAAACAACTTATTAAAAACAATTAAATATTATATAATTATTTTTTATTTTTAATAATTTTAATAGTTTTAATAAAACAATTATATCAAATGTAAATATTCATAAGACTTTAACACTTTTAAAATACAACGTAATTTCATGGATTTTATAATAAAAACTAAATTTCTACAAAAAAAGTCAAAATTTTAAATCAACAAAACATAAAACAAATTAAAATAATTATATTCCCATAATATATCCAAAAACAGACAGTAAGCTAAAACACCAAACAAAAATAGTATCTATATGAAATAAATTAAAATTATCAAATAGAACATTAGAAACAATATTCAAAATTCAAAAAAAGTAAAAAAAATATTGTTAAAACATAATTATTTTAATCTATTTTCTCAAGTGAAGGTAAATTTTTAGTCTACTATTTATTTTTAACAAATTCACTAGTCATAATTTTATAAACTTCATTTAAATTAACTTAAAATCATCCAATATTACTAATATATCTCTGAAAAGCGCATTTCTTATATTGTGTTGTATAATATTTTAAATTATAAACTTTTAGATTTTTTTCTAATATTTAGTTTTACACTCATTACTCTTTTTCCTCTTACAACTCTATTTAGGCATTAAAAAGTGTTAAAAAGAAACAACAAATATAGTAATATTATATGTATACAAATATTTATTACTTTAAAACATTAGTTTTTAAATTATTTCCCAGATGATTTTATACCTTTTCACATTGTTAAGAAAAACTTTAAATTTATCAATTATTCTTCAAAATCAGGAATTATATTAAATAGCATTATAACTTAAAAAATCATATAAGAACTTAAATACTATTGGAATAAAATATTCTGTATTTCCTGAAATCTCAATCTTTCTAAACATTCTAAACATTATATCAAATTAACTTAAATAAGATACTGACTAAAAATAATTTTTTTTTTTAAAAAACAAAAAAATATATAATCATAATAGACATCTAAATGAAAGTTTTCCCCATTCATTACTAAAATTTAAAAAAAAAAAATACTGAACGTTTTTCTCGCTAATTTACATGATAATTACTATGATAGTAACTTAAGAAAATACATTCGAAAAATATTTCTCCAATACCTTTTTCAAATAAATAGCTTTTTCAATGCTTATTAAATTTTATAAAATTTTATAAAATTAATAAACCTATTGACAATTTTCTAAAAATTTAAATAAAAAATTTAAAACATCAATAAATAAAAAGATATATAATAAGTAAAAATAATATAAAAACTTTTATATTTTATAAAATAAATATTCAAAAAATAAAAGTCAGCAAAAACATTATGTCAAATATACAAAAACCTATTTTCATTAAATATTAAATATTTCTTTCCATAATATTAAACAATCTATTTTAAGGATTACAAAAATTTTAGAAAATCTACTAGACAATTCAGCATTATTCATAACTTCAAAGATGATATATCCTTGTTTTTACTAAATAATTTATTTAAATTATTCCCTATTAATATTTATCGTTATCAAAAACCATCAAGATCTCAAATAGAAATGCAGCAAAAAACAATCAAATATCATTTCATAAATCTAATTTTTTTAATAACACCAAAAATACATCATCAAATTTAAAGAATTCATCTATTTTTTAAACTTTCTACAAAAACATTAAGATATTACTTAAATAAAAATTTTAAAACAATTATTTATACTAGACAATTAATATATCAACTATATTCTCCAAATAATTTATTTTCATTTGATTTTACAAGGTTTTCATAAACATCGAATCAACTGTATTGAAAAATAAAATAACCATAATTATCTTTTTCATAAAACAATTCTAAAATTAACAAGTTTGTCTTCAGATGATAATAGCGGAACAAAATTGAAACAGAAATTACAAATTTCAAAAACACATAGATTCCTTAACATCTTCAAAAAGAAAAATATATAACTTTATAAAAATAAATTTAAAACTCAGAAAAACAAATAAATAAAAATTAAATAAAACATAAAAATAAAATAAAGATAAAAAACAAAAGACATAATATTATATTACAAAAGTCAAAAAATAATTTAATTTCAAATACTGAAACAATTGCTCTACAAAGAAAAAACAATGCTTAAATTCAAAAAAATGAATCTAAATCAAAAAAATTTCTAATATATCTTTTAATAATTTAAAAAAACAATGAACTTTAAAGCCCATAAAAAATCAAAAAAATTAAAAAATTTAGCATTTAAAAAGTAATATCATTTATCATTTATACTTTTTTATAATCCAAAAATTTTAAAACATTTTGCAATTATAAAAAATACCATATTAAAAAATAAACCAAAAAAAACTTATTGAAATTCTTTGAAAAACTTTTTACAGTTTTAGAATAGATAATAGATCAACTATATCAAAACAATTGATAAAAACATTATAAAAATTAATATAATTACACCTAGATTTGAATCCTATTTTTTTTAAATACAATATATTAATAAATAAAACAAATATGTAATTGGGAAACTCAATTATTTTAATCTAATTAATTTCTAAACGTTCTAAAATATCTAAAAAATGATAATAATAATAGATACTAAACATTCCTTTTAATACTTACACAATTAATTGATAAAAAAGCTAAATAACTTTTCTACTCATGAAAATATTGTTAACCCTACAATCGTCTGACATAAAAAACTAAAAAAGGATCGAAAAAATATCATTTAATAAGGTTAAGACTTTAAAAAAATTAAAACTTTGAATTTTTTATTTAATAAGTTAAATAATCATAAAACGCAATCAAAAAATTAGTAAATGATCTTCCATATCTGTATGTATTCCTATTACCAGTGTATTCATTATCTTTAAAATAAAACTAAATTATTTAAAAATTTATTTTTTAGACCTTAAATTTAATTCTTAAAAACTATATCTTTCAAAAACTATAAAATTTATTTTTCCATTTATAAACCTTAAACAATACTATTTTATTACAAAAATTAAAAAGTAAATATTAAACACAATAGAAAAATATCTAATTTTAATTTATCAGAAAATATATCAAAAAGTAAAAATGATTTACAAATTAATCTAACGAAAAAATAACTTCTAAATAACCTAAAAAATAATATTATATGCTATATTATCTAAATAAAAAATATAAAAATTCACAAATTGTACTATTAGTTTATATTTTTAACTATAAATTTAAATATTTTATAGAAACAATACAAAAGAAAAAACTAATTAAAAACATTTATACTAAATATCATTATCTTTTAAATTTTAACTAAACAATTTTAAATAAGTAAATAGAATGTCTAAACTTTAATTACAATATATATATAACCATCTATTCAGTCAAAAACATTAAAAGTAATAAGTTATGCATCCTAGAATTTATCAAAAAATTAAATGTCTATCAAAATACCATAGAACAATTTTTACAAAAAAAAAAAACAAAATATAAAAAAAATCAAACTCTTTAAAAATAATATAAGTTTTATAAATAAATTTAAAATTTACTATATTATATAGTATCAAACTAATTAAAAATATATTCCAATAATTTGAAACCATATGAATCAAGCTCAAGAATATTTAACATTTTTCTATTTTTCCAATATAATTATAGCTTTATATAATTTAATATCTTACGTTTTTTATATTTTATAAATTATATCAACTTTTTCGAATAAACTGATTTAATATAAACATACTTTTTAATTGTATGACTGAAAATGTTAGAATCAGACTACCATTTAATTTAAACTCATGCAAACTATCAAAAGACGGAATAATAGGAATAGCTTGTGGAACTAAAATCCAGCTTATTGTAAGTTCGCAACATATAAACCTTAAATTTTAACATGACTTCAAGTCATGGAATACATCATTTCAATCATTAGAAAAGAGTACTTTCCAAATTCAAGACGTAGATTTCTCTTCATATTTTGAAGAACAAAAAAAAATCCATATTTTTAATGGCAAACATTTAAACATGGTTAATTATATTTGACGATAAGTAGATAAAAAATATTTTCGTCTTTCTGAATCAACAGACGCTTTCATAAAAGAAATAGATTGGTCACCAACAGGAATTTCAGAATCTAAAAAGTTAATTTCTCTTTTTTTTTATTTTCTAACTAACCAATAGTTGTGTGCTTGCTATATTAACATCAAAACATATTGTTTATATCTTTAAACCATACAAAAATCCATATTCAAATAAATGGATACTTGTATACAGGAAGTGATTTAATTTTACTATATTAACATTAATAGCTACACAATATATCTAAAATTAATTCAAAATATTTATTTGAATCACCGAAATCAGATACTAATATAACTAATATTTTAAGATCAAGAGCACGTTGTAAATGACTCAAATAACCTAATTTATTTTCATCTCATTATTTTAAGGTATTTTATGGTCATCAGCATTTTATACTCAAGAATTAAAATGGGGAAAATGCTACCTATGTATAGGAAATGAATACGGGGAAATTGAACTTTGGGAGTAAAATAAGTATTATTTCTTACGTTTTTTAACATAAGAAGTGTATCAACTGAAGAAGCCGTTTTAAATTTAAGACTAAAAGTTTTCAAAACATGGATAACAAAACTTGCATTTTCTCCATGGAAGCAAGAAAACACTAATACATGTAATTTCAAACAGTGTTTCACTCTATAATAACATACTTAAGACTATTGTTTATTGTCAGTATCAGAGGAAAATGGTCCTACAAGAGTTATAAAATTATCAATATTTATAAATAATGAAAATAGCTATTTAATATCATCTTCCGTGAAAAAATTATATATAAACAATGAAGAATTTAAAATACCAATTAATAATGTTTTATGGTTTCCTCAATCAGTATACTAATACAAAAATGTCATTTAATAATATTAATATATTCAGGCAATGTTTTGTTTAATTCTAATACATGTTGGAATGATCTCAGTTTTCCAATGTTCTGCAACATGTGATCCAATTTTCATAAAATATTTATATACAGAAACCTTTTTGCAAGCTTCAGGTAAAAATTAACAAAAAATATCTAAATTCATATTTCCAGGAACTTCTATTATATATAGCTCTATAGATCCTGTTGGATTTCTAATAGCATATCAAGATGGCCTTATACAAACTTTTAGCCTTTCAAAATTTTCTAACGAAATTGAAATTATTACTAACGATATTTCTTTAAAACTTAAAAAACAACTCTCTGATTCCATACAAACACACTGTTTCTCAGAATTCAGTATTAGAATATATGGATTACTATCTTTTCCTCCATTTCTGTATCAAATTTTTATATGCGAGTAAGTCATACACATTTTTTATTGAATTTTTAATAGAAATCAAGGATTATACCATCAAATGAGATAAAATATACTACACCCAAACAAGCAGAAGCAAGACTAGTGTTTTTAGAGTCACCAAATATTTCCAACAAAGAAATTTTTGAAGTTATGGAACAATTTGTTACATCAAGTAAAATTTACTAATAATTTGACATTAACACCTAATTACTAATAGATATTTATTTTTCTCCAGCATGTATACTTTGGGATATAGGACTATCTAAATTTTTTAGTGTATCATTTAAAGAGACAAACTTTTTAAAATGTTTTGATTACTTAAAAAAATTTAGCAAAGAGACAATATCGTATGTAGTGGTATTCTTAATATAATTAAAATAAAAGTAAAGAATTGCTAGTGACGTAAAAAATCAAACAATATTCGATAAACTATTCAATTCAAAATTTTTAAATTCACAAAGATTATTAAACTCAATCATAAGTATGTTTAAAGTATTAACAAATTATATTGGCAAAATTTAGATTAACTGGAATAAGATGGAGAAAAACTTTGAAAACATTTCTCAAACTATTATGTTTAATCTTCAATCCCATTTAACAACAATTATTTTGTCGGAATCTAACTATTTTCATGAACATATTTCATACTCTCTTTTAACATACGAGGACAGAAAATTAATCATGCTTTACTGTTCTTTTATTATAACATATTTTCCAAATAACTATTTTCTTTTAGATCATCTAAAAATATGGAAACAATACTTTTTATCATCAGAGTCATTACAAGTTCAGGGTAATAAGTAAAATTCAACTATTTTTCAAATAATCTAATACAAAAATTTTAGATTGGATTATCAATACAGAAGAATATTGCAAAATTTGTAAATCATATATACCATTTAAAAGTATAAAATTTGGAACATGCAAAAAAAAACATACATGGCGTAAATAATACTATTTTTTAGACTCATTTTAAAAAATTTAGCAAGATGTTCTATAACCTTGTTCGCTTTAATGGATGCATCCTCTAAAACATGCCAAAATTGTTCAAGAAAACTTGTCTTTTTTTCAAATCAAAGCCATTCATTTGTATCAAAATTAATAAATGCATGCGATACATGCTTTTATTGTGGAGGAAGATGGTATTCAAAAATATAAAGATATAAAATGATCGATATTCCAATTATACATTTTTTTAATTTTAAATAGATTTCTAACTTCTATAACATAATTAATAATATAAAATGTATCGTTTTTTTCTAAAATATAAATATCATTAATGACAAATGCATTCAATAATAATAAATACTATAAACATTTCACATTGTATTCTAAAAACAAGAGTATGATAATATACAATCGTGCTTTCAAATAAAATAGAAACAAATAAACTAAAGAAATACTATAAATTATTATACAAGTTTGGCATACATTTAAATCTATACCCCAAAGTTTTGATATATATTAATATATAAAATTAAACCCAAACATAAAAATCAAGCAAAACTTATAAAAACGACTAATAAAATATTTGCAATTTTCAAAAACAAATTATAAAAAATATTAAAAGTTATTTACGTCTAACATATTCAGGATTATATTGAGAACTATATTTTCCCACAACCTTATAATCAGTAGTATATTCCCTAAAAAAATTAGTTAAAGATAGGAAATTTATTTTTTCTTATTCTCTTTAGAAAGCCAAACACCTCTCAATGCTTTACTATCTTCATTTATATCTTTATAATTTTTTTCTATTTTAGTTTAAAAATAATCTTCAAAATATTTTTATAACTCACGCTTTCTTAAACTTTCATTCATTTCAAAAGCTCGGCTAGGGTTTGATGAATAACATGATTCTTTTTTATTAAATTTAAGTTCTTTTATTTTTTTTTTCTGTTTAAGACATGTTTGTATAACTGTAAGAGGATCATTAAAATCTTTAATGCTATTCTGAATTTTCAAATTTCTCTCAATAGACTGCAAATCCTTATGTCTTTGTGTCGATGATTGTAGACTAGAATGTGAATACCAAGGAGACATTTCTACAAAAAATTATAAAACAAAGAAAAAAGGATCGAAAAACCATTTGCTGAATTATTCAAACGCATACAAATCACATCTTTCCATTTTTTATCAATATCTTCCTTTTCTTTTTCATATTCCAGATTTTTATAATCCATAGAAACTTTCTAGAAAAATTAACTCGTTTTAACTTTCTAGAAAACAAAATACTCCAGATTCTAAATCTTCCCAAAAATTGATATGCTTGTTATCCAAAGATACCTCACATTTCTTTTTAAGTTCTTTATTTAACATTATTGTATCATCTTTCTTACGTTTTTTCTCATTTTTTAAAGATAAATGATCAACATCAGCATTCTTTGCATATTCATTAGAAATAAAATGGCTATCCGAAATATCTTTTTGTATCCGTTCTTTCCAGTCCTCATTCATGCTATCTTTTCTTAATTCAGACCGTTCTCTTAGTATTTTTAAACGCCTTTCTGCATCCTAAAAAGTAAAAGAACTGTTCAAAACCAAAAAGCACAAACAGCTTCGCGAATACGCATTTCGTTATCTTCTTCTTTCTTTTTAGCAAGCATTTCATCTCGCCAAACTCTCTCAATATTACTTTTATTATAAACATTCCAACTATAGTTTTTATTAAAATAAAACTCTATAAAAATTTAAAAAATATTCACCTTTTATGTTTTAAAATATTAAGAGGCATTTTATAGAAACTTTATTTTTCTAATATTTCAGAAGCTATTTTTTAAACTCGTTTAAATCGTTTAACAATCAAAAAATCCATAAAAATAAGTTTATATTCCTATTGAAATAAATAAAAGAATAGCAATAAAAGATTATAGAAATAAAGGCTCTTGTCAAATTCTAGACGATAATATGCAACCAAACAATACTTTAAACTATGCGCTAAATAAAGAAAAAAATCAAAACGGAATATATACTGTTGTTAAAATACCTAAAACACAAAGTGAACCGATAGAACTAACTAATTGCCTAGCGGTGTCTTCCTGCGATTTCAAAGATAACACATATGTGATATGCGATGATTTTTATGTTTTTAGTACCAAGGTAGTTGCAGAGATAAAACCAGGGCACATTGGTGCCAGCCTTATACAAAGAGACTGGGCACAATGGTCTCTTGGACAATCTGTATCAGTAATACCATATGATCCATTTACTGAAGAAATCCTATATATAGGATCAATGGATCTCGAAGTAGGATTTGTCCCTGGTTTTCGCACAACAGAAGAACAATTTGATGGAGAAATAATGGGAAAGTGGTTTTCAAAGGTATAACACAAAAAAATAATATTAAAATGTTTATAATAATAGTGTTTCCAAAATCAAATACTTACATCAGATCAAAAGTTAATTTTTGATTTTAAATCCTATAACATAAAGGCAATAGTAAAAAATATAAAATGTGTAAAAATACCTATTGGTGAAGAAATCACTCAGAAAAACACAGAAATTCTATCCAACTCATATACACGAGCTATCCTCACTCTACACAGTTCTATTAATATATATAAAGCAAGAAATTCTAATATAAAAATCAAAGCATCAGCAAGAAGACCTAATGCTAATTCTATTATTCAACCTAATTTTAAGTTTGAGGACATGGGAATTGGAGGATTAGATAATGAATTTAGTGCTATTTTTCGTAGAGCATTTGCATCTAGAATATTTCCATCAGGGTTAGTTGATAAGCTGGGTATTCAACATGTTAAAGGAATTTTACTATATGGTCCTCCAGGAACAGGAAAAACTCTTATGGCAAGACAAATAGGTAAAATGTTGAATGCTAGAGAACCAAAAGTCGTAAATGGTCCAGAAATTTTAAACAAATTTGTTGGACAAAGCGAAGAAAATATTAGAAAACTCTTCTTGGATGCTGAAAAAGAAGTATTATTATCAATATATATATTTAAAAAACTTATTATTCGAAGTATAAAGAAAAAGGCGAAGAATCAGGTCTTCATATAATAATTTTTGATGAACTAGATGCTATATGTAAACAAAGAGGAAGCAGGAATGACTCTACTGGCGTAGGAGACTCTATTGTAAACCAATTATTAGCAAAGGTATCATTTTTGAGACATTTCTAATCCACTAATATTTTTTAGATGGATGGTGTAGATGTGCTTAACAATATCTTAATAATTGGAATGACTAATCGACTTGACATGATAGACGAAGCGCTTCTAAGACCAGGGCGTTTAGAAGTTCACATGGAAATTTCATTGCCAAACGAGTATGGAAGAAGGCAAATTCTCAAGATACATACGTCAAAAATGAAAAAAAACGAAGTTATAGATTCTGATATAAACTTAGATGAATTAGCAGCATTAACTAAAAATTTTTCAGGTGCTGAAATATGTGGCTTAATAAAAAGTGCAAGTAGTTTCGCATTTAACAGACATGTTAAAGTATTCTCGTTATATTTTAGTATATGTTTTTTATTTCGTTAGGTTGGAACTGTTGCAGGTGTCTCAGAAGATGTAGAAAATTTAAAAGTAAATAGGACAGATTTTATAAATGCTTTAAAAGAAGTAAAGCCTGCATTTGGTGTTAACGAAGAAGATTTAGAACAATCTATCCGAAACGGAATAATTAAATTCTCGCCATATATAGAAGTCTAAATACATAGTTTGTTGTTATATATTTTAACTAGAATTCTAGAATATTCTAAATGAAGGCAAACTTTTCGTTGAACAAGTACGTAAAAGTGAAAGAACACCATTAATTAGCATTTTATTGCATGGATCGCCGGGTTCTGGAAAAACAGCTTTAGCTGCAACAATTGCACTTGCATCAGAATTTCCATTTATAAAGTTAATTTCTCCAGAATCCATGATTGGATTTTCTGAAAGTGCCAAAGTATTAGCACTTAGTAAAATATTTAATGACAGTTATAAAAGCCCGTTAAGCGTAATCGTTGTTGATAATATTGAGCGTCTTTTAGGTATTGCCAACTATTTTTAATTTTTATTTGTCTTAATAAACTAGACTGGGTACCTATTGGGCCACGTTTTTCCAATACAGTACTTCAAACACTTATGGTATTATTTCGAAAACAACCACCAAAGGTATAAGAACAAAAAATACATCAAAATAATAGTTAGTAGAATAGAAGACTTCTTATCATTGCAACATCATCAGAAAAAACAGTTTTATCACAAATGGATCTTCTTTCTTCATTTGATGCAGATTTGCCTATTCCAAATGTCATGTATTTACGTGAGTTATATACTGTTTTAAAACATTTAGAATTTCTCTCTGATACAGAACGCCATTCAAGTTTAAAATCTATTAGTGAGATTCATCACTCAGAAGAAATTAGCATAGGGATTGCTAGACTTATATCAATAGTTGAAACTGCAAGACAAGACGAAGATTATAAAGAAAAATTTCTAGAACTAATAATCAAAGCCATTTCATCAAATCCATAAAAATCTTTAGTAATATCAATAAGAACTTTCAAATTATTCTCATAATATTATCTGCGTAAATTAAATACAGAATATTTAATCAAAATGTCTATTTATTTGATAAATATAAAACTAAAAATATAATATTCTTCCAATATATAATTTTAATGAATTATAAAATTTATAGAAACTAACATTCATTCTTTTTTCATAGAAAGTAAAAAAAACAATTAATATTTCTAGACATTTTTTACAGTATTCAAATTTTAAACTATCTATTAGTTTTAATCATTTATATTGTTTAAATTCAAATTCCATACGTAATCAGTATTTTTTCTAATTAACTTTCAAAAAAAATCCATATATTAATATTTTATTCAATAATTATCGAAATTACTAAAGTTCATAAAACTAAGTTATATCTAAAAATCTTCAATAACAAATTATTCCATATAAATATCAAATCTTATTAAAACATGAAATTCCTTTACATATAAAAATTTAAGATCAAAACTATTATAGAAAACAAAAAGAAAAATTTCATATCCAAATAAATTAGTTTTCATGATAAATTAGTTTTGAAATGCACACATTTACAGCAGGCATACATTCAATTTTACATATTTTTCTACTAACATATAATTTTAGATTTAAATTTACTATATGAAATTGTAATAGTAGCAGATGCTTCTAAACAAAAAGGTTCTTTTCTTGCAATATTTGAGGCATATGATACAGTTTTAAGGAAAAAAAATATAGATTCAGTCAATGACCGTATATATTACAAATTTCTTTTAAAGCTTGCACAAATGCAGGGACAAGGATGGGAATATAAGTTCAAATCTTTGATAAAGGTAATAAAAAAAAGAAATAAATTGATACAAACATTATTAGGACATGGGTATTGATTTTAAATTTATAAAAAACAAAATTCCTGAAAATAGCATTCTAATTAATAAATATAATGACTTAGATCACCCATTTACTCCTAATAGCGAAGAATCATCAAAAAGCTTGAAAGAGTTTTTTTATAATTCAGATGAAACATTCAGTAATTCGTTAAGTTCACAAATGACAAAAAACTCATCTACATCTACAAAACTTACACAAGAATATATTAAATTACCACTACATAATGATACTATGTTAAAAAATGTCAAGCAGGCCGAATATATTTGTAATGAACGATATATTCAAATAAAACGAGAATACTTGAGAATTTGGTTTCAAAAAACTAGGAATATTAATATTAAATTCCAGCTTATGTATTCTAAAGCTATTTTGCATGATAAATATACATTGACTTCTCAAGCATTAGGATTTTGGTTTCAAAAATCATTATATTACAAAAAAATAAAAAACAATGCACGGAATGCAGGAAACTATCTAATCATTGAAAAATGTTTTATAAAATGGACGAAAATGTTTTATATAAAAAAAAAGAAACATCAGCATTTATATAATTCTATATTAATGAAAATTTTCTTAAATGCATGGCGAAAAATATGGATAATGCAATATAAAGTGGCAGCATTATACCGCCTATCTTTTTCATTTTCTATATGGAAAAAAAAATTACTAATACAAAAAAAAAAATTATTTAAAGCAATTAAATTTCAAAAACTGCATATTTTAAAAACTATATTTCTTAAATGGCTTGCAAAAGTTCATCTAAATAAACTACAATTAAATAAAAAACTAAAAAAAAAGCATAATGCTTTTTTATTATGGAAATGGCAATTTCAGATAATATCAAGAAAAAAAAAAACTATCATAGGAAATTATTCAAAAAAACTAATAAATTATTATTATAAATTATGGTTTCAGAAACTAGAACAAAACAACAAAAACATTATCAAAGCAATTAAATTATCAAATAATTTAAACTTAGTTAAAACCTTCCAATTATGGAATGTGAAATATAAGGCAGAGATATCTAAAAAACTATTCTTGTCTTTCAAAAACATATTTCTCTATAAAAAGTATTTCTTAATCTGGAAAAAGAAAACAAAAAACATACAGATAGCATCTAATTTTTTCAACTATTTACTTTTACGTTCATTCTTTTTAAATTGGCGTAGAGAATTTTATTTCAATACTCTTTTAATTAAATTAAAAGATAATTTAAAAAGAAAAATTATATATAAATGGATTTTAAAAGAAAGACTACTTCTATTACTTCGTGTAAAAAAACATAGACTATACTATTTATTGTTTTATTTATGGAAAAAACACTATCATACATTAAATAACAATTATATCTCATTAATATCTTTTTTTAAAAACAAAATTATTCATACAATTAAAATCACTAATTTTTTTAAGTGGATTGAAAGACTTTCTCTTTTAAAAAAAAACAAAAAAAGAGCGGATGTAATTATTTAAAATATTGATTAAGAAACATACTAATAAATTCATATAGGAAATACTTTTTACAAATACAAAAAAGAAATTTATTAATCAATGGAAAAAAAAAAATAATGATATACAGAAAAAAAATATTATTGCAAAATATACAAGTAATTGTTTTTATATAAGGCATAGTATTATTCAATGGAAAACAAAGTTTAATAAAAAAGCTAAAATGCGAAGAGAAGAACACGTTAATTCATTCATCTATAATCATGATCTTCAACTTTGTCATAAAGTTATTTTAAATTGGAGATGTTATCTTAAAAGTATCATATTAAATCAAAATGTTGCTCTTAAATTTCGTGTCAACAAATTTCAATATCTTATAATACATTTTTTCAATATTTGGGCAAATAAATATAAAATTATTAACACAATGTTTTTAAAAATTCAGAAAAAAAAAAAGTTAAAACATATTAGGTATATTAAAACATCATCTTTTTTAGAAAAAATTTTATCAATTTTTTAGATTATACTTTATGAAATGGAAAGCAAAACAAAATATTATATTTATTATGAATAATTCTGCTTTAACTATTTTAATAAAAAAAAACCATATACTTATAAAAAAATACTTTAGAAAATGGGAACTATATATATTGCAATTACGAGGACCAGAAATTCAAGCACATCTTTTTCAAAAAAGACAAATTATATTATTTATGAAAACAACATTTCATTTTTGGCAACAACAATTTAAAAAAAAAAAACTATATCAAAAAAACAATACAAAAAAAAATATTAACTCTATCCTGTCTGGAAATTTATCAAATATTACATCTCTTAATAATTTGACGCTTTCACCTTTTCTAAATAAATTAGAATATACAAAATTTTAATTACCAAACTCTAAATACTAAAAGCTTAAACAAATAATATAAGAAATGTAAAAAATCATTTATATCTAATATTTACAATATGTAAGGATTGTATATTTAAATTCTTATCGAGATAAATTTTAAATTCAATAAAAAATGTTTTTCTAAAATAACAATATCGATTTAGATATGCAGAGTGTCTATCCTGGTGCACCATTAGCCTCCTATCATACTTTTTCTGCGGAAATATATAATAATATACCACTTGTGGTACAATCTATAGTTAAAACAAATTAAGATCTAACTTAATAGGCATATGTATCAGGAACATCAATATCTATTTTTATTAATGGAAAAAAAATAACCCAAGTATTGTCTATTGAAACTACAGCTACAGCTGTAGCTATTGATAAAAGATCAGGAAAAGTAAAGCATATTCACCAAAAAGCTAATAATTAAAAAAATAAGATATGTGTATCAAGTAAATCAAATATATACATATTTGATATTGCCAAAAAAACATCATTTTTCGTATGATAATACAAAAATCTAAATATTAAACTAAATAGTATAAAGTGGTACTTAAAATTAACATTCACTATTAACAATGAAACTATATCTACTTTATCATGGGGTAATAAAGAAGAAATTTTGATTGGAGGTAATTATTTACACTTGTATTCACCAAATGTTAAAAAAGGGAAAATAATATGGTCTCAAAAACTTTCTAATCCAGTTATTTTTACTTTAATGTCACCAAATGCAACATTAATTGCTACTATTTCTGAGGTATCAAAAATAACTAATAATTAAAATTATATGATTGAAAAAATAAGGCTGACCATTTTATAAAAGTGTGGGAGAAACCACTTCTATATGAATCTATAAAATCAATTAAGTTTGTTTATCTACCTCATCCTAAACCCATAACCTCTATGAGATGGAAACAAAACTCCAATAATAATCAGTATTTATTTTTTTTAAAAAAAGTAATTTAATATTTTGTAGAGAAATTAATAATATATTATACTCTATGTCACAAGACACAATATTACGCATTTGGATACAAGAGAATGCATCTGAATCATGTGCATTTCAATTATCTTATATTGTAGATATTAGAAAAAATACATCTTTATTTAAAATACCATCAAATGATCTTGGAGAGAATTCTTCTTGTTTAATTATTGATAATAATACATTAGTATTATCTTTACATTCTATAACCGAAAGCACTTCTAACAAAGAAATAAATCAATTAATTGAAATGAGAAACAATAATTCAGATATCTGTTTGGCATTTGATGAAAATGGTCAAATGTGGGTCTTTGCTTTATCAGTTAACTGAAATCAATACATTAAATGCATTTTAATGACTTTTATAGTTTTATAATAACAAAGGTAATACAAATATTGGAATAATACCAATTTCTGCTACAAAAATGTCTAATCTTTATATTCCTAAATATTTAAAACATACAGAATATTTTGCTATTCCAGCAAATAAACAAAAAAACGGAAGTAAATATCTTAATTACGTAAAAACAAACTAAAATTTTTCTAAAGTAAACATTAATTTATATTTTCTATATTTCGGAGAAAATATCGATCTTTATCAAATAAATTTTTTAAATCTTATAAATTCTACTTCTGAAAACTATAAATTTAAGTTTGAGATTACATGGACAGGTCACAGAAATCCTATAAAGTCATTAATAAAATGCAAAAATAGTAATATATTATTATCAAAAGCTTATGATAAAACCGTTCTTATATGGAAAATTAACTATTTTAATAAATCTGAAAATCTTCAAAGGTTGTGGAATTTAAAATTAAAAGAATCACCTAAACATATAACAGTAATTAATGGTATATATACATATCACTTTATTTTTTAATATTCACTTTATAAAGAAAAAAAATTTATAATTTTAGATTCAAAAAACATTTCGATTTTAGAAATAAAAGACAATTATACAAATATAATAGCTACATGCAATAATGTTCCATCTGAAATTGTATTATGTTTTATACATCTGGAAGTTCCTTTAGAATTACCTGAAAATATACTCATTAATAATACATATTTTCTAGCAGTTACAGCGACGAAAAACCTATGGATATGGAAACTATCGTCAAAAACAAAAAAAAAACAAAACAAAAAAAGCATATACATAAAAAAGTTTCAAGAGTTTTCTTTGCCACATGAAAATGATTTACATTTAGTATTATTAATAAATTCTATAAAACATAATCTCTATTCTTCAAAAGAAATATTTATTACTATTTCTATTACTGGACAGTTAAAAGTATGGTCTAAAAATTTTTTAGAAAATGGTAAACTATGTATTCTACCAAATACCAAATCTTTAGAAACTAAAATAATAAAACCGAAAATGATAAGTGAATTTTCAAAAAAACTTGCTATAAGTTCATAATTCTATATTTTCTTATGTTTTCTGATTTTTTTAAGTATGCCAAAAAGGAAAAGAACTTACTATTTGGGATATCCAGTCTTTAGAATTTTCTGATGTTGAAGAATACAGACATTATTTTTCCAATGAAAGTGAAATATCTAATTTAGATTGGACATATTTTAAAAATTCACAATTAATACTTGCCGTAGGGTTCAAATATAAAATCATTCTGATTTGTCAAGCAAGATGTAGCTATGATATAAAAAAATCATGGTTTCTTTTTAGAAGTTTTGATATATCTAAGTAAGCTTAAATATACAAATGGAATTGAGCTTAATATGATATATAGTATAACAAACAACCTAATACAACACTTAGTTTTCCTAAATAATACTACTCTAGTCATTGGAAGTAAAAATCAACTGTTTTTATATAATAAAATAAATGATGATATAAACACAACTAATATGCTATATAAGACAGATAAGGAACATATGAGGACATTGTTTAAAGGAATATTATCTTTTAATACTGTTTTGCCAGTATATCATCCTCTTTTTCTTGAACAATTATTATTAATAGGTATTACAATTGGTATCTTTTTCTAAAATTAATATATCTAAGGCGATATGAAAAATGTTAAAACTATACTAATTAACTTATATAGAACTATATATTCTTTTGAAAAAATAAATATAATAGACAAAAATAAAATTGAAATCAAAGATAGCTTTCTAGGAATACCAATTTATAATTTTTTAGAAAAAAAAAATCATGTAAATTTATATTTGAGAATTATATTTATTAACAGTTTTTAGAAAAAAAAAAACAATAAAACTCAATCTAGCTATTATTATCAACTTTTCAATATAGAAGAGAATGTAGAAACTAGAGATGAGATTATATTCGATACAATATTATCTCAAATTAATGATCGTTTATTATCATATACTATTATTAATCTTAGTCCTTCTGAACAACTCCATTTAACATTTTTAATAAAATGTATAAAAAACGTATAAAAACAATATACATTAAACGATATATATTCATTATATTAGATAGAATTTCACAAAAACTCTATTGATACTAACGGAATTCGATACTATTTATTTTTTTTAAAAAGCATATATCTATCTAACAATAAAGAAGAAGCGAATATGCCAATAAAAAATGCACTCTGGGCTTTTCACAGTGATTCTCAAGTATATTGTTATTATTATTAAATAACTTGTTTTAAGAATTTCAAGGAAACTTTATTATACCTTATTAATCAAGAATGTGAAAAGAATTTTAATTATATTCAAATGGATAATTCATATTGTTTTTTTTGGCTTAGAAATAAAGAAAATTTGGTAAATATAATAATAATGTTTTTTTTTTTTTTTAAATTAATCAATAAAGAAAATTCAAATGGAAACAATCGCACACAAAAAATACATAACAAATAGTAAAAATCCCGAATTTTGTTCATTATTTTATATTGCTCTAAAGAAAAAAAATATACTTCTTCGATTATGGAAAATAGCTACAGGTCATTCTAGCCAAAAAGTTATGGTAAACTTTTTATCAAACGACTTTTCAGAAACTCGTTGGAAAATAGCAGCTCAGAAAAATGCATATGTTCTTCTAGGGAAACATCATTATGGTTTAATAAATCTATTTATACTTCAAAAATTAATATTATTAGAGTATTCAGCTGCATTTTTTCTTCTTGCAGAAAAATTGCAAGACGCTGTAAATGTATGTATTAAGAATCTACACAACATTTCTCTTGCAATTGCTATATCTAGAGTCTATGAAGGAGATAATGGGCAAACTTTTAAAAATATTTTAATAAATCATATAATTCCTAATGCAATAAAAGTTAACGACAGATGGCTAGCTTGCTGGGCATTTTGGATGCTAGGAAAAAAAGACCTTTCCATTAAAAGTCTTATTGTAATTATTTTCTTGTTTTTAACTTTTTATTAACAAAAATCACAAGTTACCTTTATCTTCATTATTAGAAAAAGATTTTGAAGTTATAATTCCAATTAATTCCAAAGAAACTATTACAGAAGATCCAACGCTAATTATTTTGTATAAAGAATTGAAAAATAAAAATATACAAATATTTAGAGAAAATCAAATTGTCTCTCAGTATCAAGAATTTAAATTTATACTTTATATAACTCGCCTTTATATTTACATAGGCTGTGATATACTTGCTCTTAATCTTATACAAGGGTGGAATTTTACGAATCATTGGCCACAAGCTCAAGAAAAGAATTTTAAATATAACAAAAACACATCTGAAAAAAATACATCTGAAGATTCATATCAAAAAACGTATCAAATAATCCAAAAAATATTATGAACACATCAATTATGACAGAAAAATATCAATTAAACTTGAAAAGATTTTATTTTTGAATTCTAATAAATATTATTACATATTTTCAAATGCAATTAATCTATAGTATTACTGCAAATGTATTAAATCGTGACTTATATAACATTATTTCTATAACACAAGAAAACAATAGTCTCTAACTATAAATCCCGGAACATTGGCGTATGACTAATAATATATATATAAGAAACTTATAAAGAATTTTATAATATATTTTTTTACATACTTTTTCATCTTTTAAATATCAATTTTCTTTTTCAAAAAATAAACACATTTTATCATAATAAAAAACTTTCATTTCTTTGATAATAACTACAAATAATATTAAAGGTATAAAAAAATTAAAAAAAATCAAAACATATGAAAAATACTTTACATTCAAAATACTCAATTTTAAAATTTCATAACAAACCAATAATTATACAAATAAAATAACATCAATTTCTAATATTATAGGATTCACAAATTTCAAAAGAATAATTAAAAAAGTAAAATTTTTTAAATAATTACAAAAAATGAAACCAAAACTAAGAAAAAAATATAATTTTATCATGACAAGAAATCAGTACGAATCTCAAAAAGTCATAACAAGATTAAAAATATAATTAAAAGCCAAATTATCTGAAAACATTATCAAAAATATATCAGATAGAAAATTAATGATAGAATAGATTTTTATGTTCAATTTTTATTAAAAATCTTTCAAATATAAAAATCGCTTTTTTACATATCGATTAAATAGAATAAAATTCAACGTCAAAAATTAAAATGATCCGACCTTTCAAATCATGGAAAATTATTCAGAAAAACACAATGGCATATAGCAAACAATCCCTCTTTAATTATTTCTAAAAACTATTAGGAGAAAAAAATCAATTCGAAACCATGTTAAAACTAAGCGAAATGAACAATCATGCATTTCATATTCCAGGACTTTTTTTGCTCGAATCCTCAGAAAAAGACAAAAGGCAAATCTATGATAAAGAATCAGAAAAATTACAAGAATTGTGCCCTTCTACTTCAGTAGAACCAACAATTTTTTCAGAAAAAAACGAAACTTCAATAAATGAATCAATAGAAAAAGATACCGAAAAAACTTGTGAGAAAATCAATTATGATCTTATCGACAAAGCTCTTGAAAATATAAACACTACTATCGAATACGACTCGGAAAACATATCATCAGACAGTGAAGACTCATCTTCAAGTTCAGAAGATGAAGAAAAAAGTAAAAATACCTATTATCTAGTATCGTCTCTTATTGATCCAGCTAACAATGTCTCTAAGGAGGACAGTTGCGAGAGGTAAATGATTCTTATTAATGTTTTTTTCTACAATTCTTCTAGTTCATCTAGTACAAAAAATATCAAAAACAAAAGAAATCAACACAACAATCATTTGGATGAAGATAGAGTGCTCTCGGATGACGAAAAAAGTCACAATGAACATCGGTTTCCAAAAACCAAAAACGAGATTCTTTATGAAGATATAAAAATCAAAAAACCAGATGTCATAATAACCAATGACATGTCCATTGAATACCTTGGAGAAATATCCCAGATCGTCAACGATACCATCGTTATTAAGGCATCTGTTTTCGATGACTATAAAGTCTTGGACGAAGAGACTTTACTAGTCCTGGAAGACCGTTCCATTCTAGGACTCGTAGACGATCCCTGGTCCCTTTTACATTACCTAATCAATACAGATCTTTGAAACATTTGGGCGAGTCTCGCAGCCCATGTATTCTGTCAGGCTCGGGGACCAAGAAATCGACAGCCAAAGGATCTCTATTGGTAAAAAAGTCTACCTCGTGCCACAGTACACCAGATACATTTTCACGAGTGAGTTGAGGACAAGCAAGGGAAGCGATGCAAGCAATATTCACGATGAAGAGATCGATGAAAACGAACAGGAATTTTCCGACGACGAGGCCGAGATGCTCTTTAGGTCCCAGGCAAGGTCCGCAAGACCCCCCGTCCCCCCCAACACGCCCAGGACCCCTCGCCCCCTCTAGCCCTACACACAACTGCACACTACACATTGCCACTTGCCACTACACAATTGCCACTATACACATATATTATACCCTACTATACGTGCCCTACTATGCATATTTATATGCTGTACATACTACAGACAGTATACACACTATTTATACATATACATACAATACTATACATAGTACACATACTATACATACTATACATAGTATACAGAGTACACACTGTATACGGAATACAGAGTGTATCACGCCACCCCGCACACAAACATAAAACATACAACGTGCACCACCCTATATGGCCGCACGCAGCTGTACCCACACGCATACGGCACACACACTATACATTGCACAATATTATATATTGTATACACTGCACACTGCTGCACATTGCAGCGTGTGCCCACGCGGGCCGCGCCCGCTCATACAAACTACTGAAACGCTCACTAGACCGCTACTATAACCGCTACTATATACAGCCCACTCCCCCCAACTGCACCTGCCCAGACCAACTACGATCTCTCCCCCCGAAGACGGCGTGCAAGCTGCATGTCCTTAGGCTGGATGGTCACACGTTTGCCGTGGATTGCACAGAGATTCGTATCCTCAAAGAGCGAGACGAGATACGCCTCGACGGCCTCCTGCAGCGCGCCGATCGCTGACGACTGAAACCGCAAGTCTGTCTTGAAATCCTGCGCGATCTCGCGCACAAGTCGCTGAAACGGCAGCTTCCGGATCAGAAGCTCCGTGCTCTTCTGGTACCGCCGGATCTCCCGCAGCGCGACCGTCCCTGGACGGTACCGGTGCGGCTTCTTGACGCCGCCCGTCGTTGGCGCGGACTTCCGCGCCGCCTTTGTCGCCAGCTGCTTTCGCGGCGCCTTCCCCCCCGTCGACTTCCGTGCTGTTTGCTGCACCCGTTAGCACCGGCCACTCCCCTCCGCCCTCCGCCTCACCTTTGTACGCGCCATTGCCTGCCCTCTCACTACAACACTGTGTATACTGTGTACACGTTGTATGCGCGTGCTTATATACCCACCGCATCAACGATAAGCGCGTCGCCAGCGTGCACGCCTTCCGAAAACGGATAGGCGCGCATTCCACGCGCCGGCACGCGTTGATGCGGCCGTCGCCGCACAGGATAAAAGCGGGTGCGCATACACTCCAGCGCAGAACACTGTTACAGCACGCATACACTGCGCATACATACGCAACAGCAGAGAACAGAGTAAGCAATGTCTGGACGAGGCAAAGGCGGCAAAGGGCTTGGCAAGGGTGGCGCAAAGCGCCACAGGAAGATCCTACGTGACAACATCCAAGGAATCACAAAGCCGGCCATCCGGCGCCTCGCGCGTCGTGGTGGCGTAAAGCGCATTTCAGCACTCATTTATGAAGAGACACGTGGCGTCCTCAAGGTTTTCCTGGAGAGTGTGATCCGCGACGCCGTCACATACACAGAGCACGCGAAGCGCAAGACCGTCACAAGTCTCGACGTGGTATATGCGCTCAAGCGACAGGGCAGAACCATTTATGGCTTCGGAGGCTGAGCCTGGCCAGCGGGCCAGGCGAAGCGGAGGGGAGCAGGGCGGGAGTGCAGTGGGTGTTGCTAGGGGAGTGCAGAGGGAGCGTCGTGCCCGTCAGGGGCCCCTGCGGGCGCGGGCTGTCCAGAGTCGGAACCGCTGGGAGAGTCGTCCTGGAGATCTGGCGGGGTTGGGAGGGCAGGGGGGCCGTGTCTACATACCTATAAGGAGGCGGTCGTCCTGGAGGACAGGGCGGAGATAGAGGTCTGCAGCATAGTGGAGAGGGTTGGTAAAGTCAGGGACCAGGCCCCGGCGGACCTGGTCGCGGATATAATTGATGAGACGGACAGTGGCATAGAAGTCGAGGCGGAGGCGGAGCCTAAGTGCGGGAAGATCGAAGGTGTGGTCTGGGCGGTAAGCAGGGTTAGGGGCAGGGAGGCATGCCTTGGCGACAGTGTGCATAGACAAGTGAGGAGGAGTCGAAGGTGGCAGGACAGAAGAGACACAGTGCTGGGGCGGCGGGAGGCTCGCAGAAGTCGGCCCAGTCGTCTGGGGGGTCAGTGTGGCTGGCTGTGTCAGAAGCATCGGTTGAGGGGGATGAAGGGGAGTCCATTTGCAGCAGGCGGCGGAAGCATAGGCGGCGAAGGCGGGCAGCCGGGGTTGTGGGGCATGAGACAGGGTTAGGGCAGGCGTAGGAATGCGTAGGAATGTGGAATGTGCGGAATGTATGTATTTTATAGTTCTTATAGTTCTAGTAGACGTAGCATAAATACAGCACCATTGAGAGCAAGCTCCTCCTTTGCAATCTGCCTGGGGTTAGGGCCCATGTGGGGGGTTTTTTCGAGTGGTCTGCGGAGGATTTTTGTTATGAGTGGCTGGTGGCGGGAGATTGCGTCGTCGAGTCCGACGGGGTCGTGGACGATGAGGTACTGCATCTGGATGTCGTCGGTGACTGGTGGTGGTTAGGAGAGCAGGTGGAAGGGGAAGAAGGGGTTAGGAGGGGTTAGGAGGAGCTGGCATACCAAGCAGGCCGGCCTTTTTGCGGAAGCGCTGGATACGGTTGATCACTTGTCTTGCAAGGGACTCGCTTTCTAGTTCAGGGTAGATTTCAGTATCGAGGATGACAAACACGTCTTGGTCGGAGTGGGTCTGGTAACCGGGGTGTCCGGGAGAGAGTGTCCGAACGACCTGGTGCTTTAGAAAGGAGGGGAGGGGGGGAGGGGAAAGCAGACCTGGAGATCCTCCGGGGCCAGTCGGATGTTTCCGAGTGTGATTTCCTTATTGTGCATGAATTCTTTGACTTGGTCGGAGGTCACACTTGGAAGAAGCTTTTTTACTCTAGCGATGTCGTGGCGAAGTTTCTTGCCAAGAACTGGCCAATCGGCAACAAGACTGTAGCGGACGCCGTATTTCTCTTCGTCGGAGGAGAAGACAAGGTCTTTGATATTCAGCTCTTCCAGAATGTATTGTTCGACGGACTTGATGTCGTCCAAATACAGTGGATCGTGGTGTATTACAATAAGCTGTCTCAGAGGCACCTGCATTATTAGTGGTGATGGTTGAAGCGGGGGTGGGTCGACCTTTAGCCCAATTGAGTTTTTTTCCCTAAGATTGCGCGCTAAATCGACCACTTTTTGCATTCTAGTAAACTTCCTTTCAACGTCAAGCCGTAGACGTTTCTCCAAGACATCCGGGAAGCTGATAAAATGTATTGATCTGGTGTCCTCATCCGTAGTCTCCCGAATGTACTTTTTAAGATTTTGGTATATAGCTTCAGTTAGAAATGGGGTAAAAGGAGCCATTGTTCTGCATAAAGTATAAAGAACATCGAAGAGTACGTTTAATGCAATTAAAGTGTCATCTTTTCCATATTCTCCCTAGACATGAATTAGAAAAGCCATTGCCAATATGAGAACATGCTTTTAATCGTCGCCTGTTAAATCGAATGTACCAATTTGTCATATCTTCGATGAGTTTAAGAAGCCTCGGTACAACGGTATATAAACGATATTCTAAGAAATCAAAACTTGACAAGATTCAAGGGGATTTCAAACCTGACATTTCTTTTTTGACGAACCCTATAAGACTTTGACAACTGGACAAAATCCACATATCCATCACATTATCGCTTGTTTCGATGTTGGGGTTATACACAAAATCTATATTTTCTAATTTCTTCAATAACCGCACTTGCATTTCAAAAAAATTATAGCTATTCCACCATGGAATTATAACTTTTGTAACAACATCCTTGACTCCTTCTTCCTTAAATTTTAAGGGTTCAGCACGTACAACGGGAGAATTAATGAGATATAATCGTAGTGCATCTGCACCATACTTTTCCAAAATAATAGTTAATTCCGGGTAGTTTTTCAAACGTTTTGACATTTTTTTGCCATCAGCAGCAAGAACTAGTCCATTTACAATAACATTTTTGAAAGGCGCAACCCCAAATAACTGAACACCGATAACAAGAAGAGTATAAAACCAACCACGAGTTTGATCAAGACCTTCAGCGATAAAGTCAGCAGGAAAACGTTCCATAAATTTTTCAGGATTTTGAAATGGATAATATACAGATGCATATGGCATGCTATTAAAATCAATAAATCAACATATACATGTAAGTCTACCTTCCAGATTCAAACCAACAGTCGAAAACCTCTTCGATTCTTCTAAGTACACCTTTGCCTTTTCTAGAAGGTATAGTAATATGATCTATCTTATCCCGATGGATATCAGTCAAATTGCGTTCTCCAGAAAGTTCTTCAAGTTCAGCAATTGAGCCTACGCATACAATTTCTTCAAAATCATCAGAGACCCAAAGAGGTATAGGTGTTCCCCAATAGCGGTTTCGAGAAATATTCCAATCACGAGCACCTTCAATCCAATTGGTAAAACGTTTATCCTTAACAAATGATGGCACCCATGTAGTCTTTTCGACAGCATCTAGCATTTCTTTTGTATATTCTTTAACTTTTACAAACCATGATGGGACAGCCCTATATAAAAGAGGTGTATCAGACCTCCAGCAAAATGGATAACTATGTACTATCTGAGTTTGCACAATTAGTCTTTCTTTCTCCTTAAGAACCTTCTGTATAGCTTTATCTGCATCCTAATTAACGTTAAAATGTTTCATTAAATGATTAAAATCACCTTAACGTACATTCCAGCAAAATCAGTGATTTCAGAAGTAAAATATCCTCTTTCATCTAATGGACAAGGAGGGTGAATATTTTGGTCAATAATTCCATTCTCAATAGCTACGTTGTAATCGTCTTCACCAAATGCAGGCGCTTGATGAACAATTCCAGTGCCATTATCAGAAGTAACGTATTTTGCAGTAACAACTTTAAATGCTTTTCCTTTGAAACGCTCATAAAAATAATAAAAGGGAGGATCATATTCCCAATTTTTCATGTCAATACCTTTAATAACCTGTAATTTAACAAATCCAGCCTTTTTGGGATCTTTATAAAGAACTCCTAAACGATTCTCTAATAAAATAAAATTTTTCTGAGAACTTTGATCATGTATTTTAATATATTCAAAATCAGGATTCACACATAAACTAAGATGAGATGGCAATGTCCACGGAGTCGTAGTCCATGCAAGCAATAATGTAGATGGATCATGTATTAAAGGAAATGATACAACAACTATCTAATTAAAAAAAACAAAATAACCAAAAAACTTACTGGATGGATCAACAACATCTTTATAATTCTGTTGAGCTTCAAAATTACTAAGAGGCGTCGTACAAGCTGTAGAATATGGCATAACTCGAAAACTCCTATATATTCTGTTTTTTTCATAGAGCATTTTAAAAATATACCATACAGATTGCATAAATTGAGTATCAAGTGTTTTATAATCATTATCGAATTCAATCCAACGACCCAATCTTTCAATTCTTTTTCTCCACTCATAAGAATACCTCATAACAATAGAACGACATTCATTATTATACCTAATAATAGTAAGGAAAACAAAAATAAAATTCCTGCTATTACTTTTCAATTCCCATTGCTATTACATCATCTTTTCCATTAATCCCGAGCTTTTTATCTATTTCATGCTCAACAGGTAAACCATGACAATCCCAACCAAATCGGCGCTCAACATAATGTCCTGTATTATGTGCATACCGAGTTACTGTATCCTAGATACTTAGATCAGCACATTCAATAATACTTATATTTAAATTGCTGAAAACCTTAATAGTAGACGCTAAAACAATGATTAAAAAAATAAAAAAGCATAATTATATACCAAGAATATGACCGTAATGTGGGAGTCCTCTTTGTAGACGCTTAATATGAATCTCTAAATTTATTATCCTACTTACGTAGCAAAAGGAGGTCCATCATAAAAATTAAACGGTTTGCGCCCTTCTGAAAGCATTAAAGATGTTTTAAAGGCATCAATTTCTTTCCAAAACTCAAGAACTTTCAGTTCTTCCGAAATAACATCAAAATTAGTCATTTTAAGATAAAAAATATCTTAAAAATTTTTTCTTAATTAGTTTTTCAAAAATAACAAAACTTATTAAATATTAATCCTTAATCCTAAAAATGGATCTTAAAAACGTTAAAGAAACACTAATACTGAAGTTAACAGTCTTTTTATATTTTTTTTGGATCAAAAAATCTTAATTCGTTATTAAAAAATAATTAAACATATTATTAAAAGAATACATAGATTAAATTTCCTACTTTAGAATCTATGTTTTTATTGAAAAAAAAACAAAAAAAAAAAAACAAAATAAGTATAAAAAACTTTATTTAAACAAATAAAACATTTTAAAACATTTTACTTACATACAATAATATTATATATTATTAGTCATGTTAATAAAAAAAAGAATATTTTTCCTCAATCTTGGAAAAATATAATATAATAATTTAAATAATTTTTAATAAAACCAAATTACAAAACATGTCTAATTAAACAGTTATATACGTATAATTTAAAATAAACATATATTTTTAAAACTAAAAAAAATCTAATACAAAAATAAACAATTAACAAAATAAATGTGTATAGAAAACCCATCGTACATAATATTAAAAGTAATTGTAATATTACAAAAAATACAGAAAAATTACTAACCAGAACTCTAAAATAAAATTTAAAAAATAATAAATATAAACAAATTTTGTTATAAGTTAATACTAATAAAAAAAAGAAAACGTAAAAAATCATATACTCCGCAGCAATTTACTTAAATACAAGAAAATCATGCCAAAATATAAATATAACAATTAAATAAGAAAAAAAATACCGAAAGAAAAAGAAAATGCCAATATTTAAAAATAAGAATGATTTAAAAATAAGAATGTATCACACAAGACCATCATAGAGACTCAAGGCCTGAACAATTGTTGAATCCTTCTTACTTCCTTCTCGAAATTCTTCCAATGTGAGACAACCATTGTGATCCTACATGTATATCAAAAAAAAAAACTATAAATAATAACCAAATATAAACCTTATCCATCATACAAAAGATTTTATTAACACGCTAACTGAATTAACTAATGTAAAATCACACATCAACATACTTTTTCCGGAGTATCTTCATCTTCTGGAAGCTTAACCATACTTCCAACCATTTTATAAATTGCTGCCACAATCTGAAGCATCTCTTGATATGTAATAACACCATCATCATCAATATCATAAAGACGAAATGCCCCTAAATCATATAAATATAAAATAAATACAAAACCTTGTAAAAACATACATACTAGCTTTTCCTCAAGACGCCCACGAGATGTAACAGATAAAGCACATATAAACTCTTTAAAATCAATCATACCATTCTTATCCATATCAAACACATTAAACACATAGTTTGCAAACGATGACGGATCTAAATTTATTAAAACTTAAAAAACACTTAGAGACAAACCTCCAAAAGGAAAAAACTGCTTATAAATACCCTGAAACTCCTCTTTACAAAGATGCCCAGTAGGGCAGTCTTTAAGAAATCCTTTATACCTAATATTTCAATTACATATTCCACTAAATTCTGATAATACCATTGCTGAAGTTCTTTTTTATCAACTATAAACGTTATTATTTTCTTCTAAGAAGACTAACTTACATTTAGTAAGCTCTTGAAGTTCCTGAAGTTGCTCTTGACTCAACTTTGACTGCGTTTTACCCATAACGTTAATATGCTCCAAAAATGCGTGGAGTAATATTATAAAAGATAATCGATAATCGCCGATAACTTTTTAAAACAAAAATATATAATTGAACTCGAAAAAACATATTATTTAACTTTAATAACTTTATACTATCTCTTTTACAGTATTTTATCTCAATATGTCCAAAAACTTCGTAGAATTTATCAATATATTCACTTAATCTCAAATGGATTATAACAAATTTGAAATACTTGCAGCAGCAGCTACATCATTCTGTTCTGCACTTGCAAGCACATTCGATGCAACGAATATATATACACATGCAACAGCAGTTATAAAAGCAAATGCTGCATTTCAAGAACTAGTTGATCAACGTAAATCTTATCAATATGTTATGTCTACTCATTCTTTCTCAGTTGCCCTACATCAGGACAATATACAACGCATCAGAACATTAAGTAACGAAGCAATTGCACTGAATGACCAACTAGACCAATGCATGCATCGTCTTTTAGATGCACACAAACGTTTAAATGAGACGATAGTTAAGGATGAAAAATTTACATCAACACGCACGGTTCCTCATACGATGCTTTTAAATTACGCAGCAAAAATATCTAAATTTTCATCTGCACCAAATGGCTATGATCCAGACAATGGCCTTTATGGGAACACGCCAGCATACTTTCCATGGCCTCCTGAGGATGCTATGAGAAAAGGAGTTCTTATGATGCCACGAACACAAACAGAATTTTTTGGTACAAAAACATCAACACCATCTACAGAAATAGACCAACCTAACATCCCAAACGACGAATTACCAACAGAACCAATACCTTCAAAAAAATCATATATAAATGTTTTTGACGGACTTGATTTATATGAACCAAAGGACTCCGACGAAACCAATATGCAGTAATCGAGAAACAACCTTATGTTTACATTTAAATGAACAAAAAGACATATATCATCATTTATTAATATATATTAAATATATACGCATTTATCTATCATGATCAGTATTCAAAAAATAGATCTTATTATTTTATTCAATTAGAATTATCTTTAGTAGTTCATTTTTACATATACTATATTTTTAGCCTAGTATCCTAACTCATACCTCCTCTTAACGGTTTAGCTATTTTCCCAAGATTCAAATCTGAAGATGGTAAATAGTCTTTTAGTATTAATAAAGATAATATTTTTCATATAAAAAACATATTACCTCGTGTCTTTTTCAACCTCTCTTTTAATATTTGGAGTTGTCTTTCAAATGCGCGATTTTGATTGACAAGTTTTTCTTGAGCATCATGTAATAATGTTTCTAAATTCAAAATGCGCTCATCTCGTAGTGCTAGTTTACGTTCTACAATAGAAATTTCTCTCTTTAATGATATATTTTGCTCCACCAACTAATTTATTAATCTTATTAATCATATTTCAACAAAACTTACTTGTTTTTGTATAACTGTCAACTGTTCCAAATTCTTTTCCAAAGATAGCATTTTTTTTCGTTGAGTTTTAGTATTATTATTACGCAAAATATTATTATATTGTTCACGAATTTTATTAAGAGATATTTCCAATTCAACTACCTATATTTCCATAAGTAGCTCTAAAAACGAAAATCATATGCACCTTATCACGACGTTCCCTAAACTCGTTCATTAAAGTCTTGCTCATCATGTTAAATTCTTCACTTTTCAAAGTAATGTTATTCATTATATTATCTTTATTAGAAACATCACACTATATTAAAATTAAAAAAAAATATAATTAAACTATACATACTTCCTGCATCATAGAAACTTTTTCGTTAGACCCTGAATTTTCATCTTTAGTTATTTTATAAGATATTTTAGAGTTATCCTCTTGCAACAAACTATTATATATTTGCATATTGCATGCCTGATTAAACAATATTTCTTGAGTTTTTATGCATTGATTATTCTCTTCTAATAATATTTTGTCTATAAGAAACTGATATTCTTCTTCAACATATTTTAATCTTTTTTCTAATAAAATATTGTTTTTTTTAAGATTATCAGCATGATTCATTTGTTCATTAAGTGTAGATTCTAAACTAGAAATAACAGTTTGCATTTCAGTTAACCTATCCTTTAAAACTTTTGTATTATTATTAGATATTTCACTAAGATTATTTATATCATCCAAAAACTGTTTTGGACAGACAATTTTAGCACTAGTTAAATCATTTTCGTCTGTTATCTGTTTTGTTTTTTTCTTTTTTAACGGCTGTTCAATAGAATCAAATTCAGCAGACATTTTGGCCTCACAAAAATTTTGCTTTAAATTATTTAACTCAGACAAAAGATTAACATTTATACATTTTAAAGACTCCAATGTTATATTAGTTTCCTTATTTTCGAATACACTTTTCTCTAATTGCAACTGTAAATCATTAAGTTCTATAGTCAATTTTTCATTATTCTAAAACTATTAAAAGCAATTTATAATCATCAACTACAATTACCTTAAGAATTTCATTATTATGTTCTTTTAAATATAAAATTTCTTCTTTTGCATCTTTCAAATCCTTTTCTTGATTTTCTAATAATACCTCTTTTTCTGAAATCAAATCTTGTAACTCGTTCTCCCTTTTCAAAAAATCATCTTTTTCATCTTTTTCCATTGCAATATTTTGAACAAATGGTATTGATCTTTTTTCTAATACAGTAGTTTTTATAATATCATTTTTTTCATTATTCATAACAACTTTAGACTCTTTAACGTTTATAACCATTCTTGGGGTCCATTTTTCCTGAAAAACTTTTTCTCCACTTCGCCAAAGATTAAGTTCACTTTCAAGAGCAATAATATATTCAGAATAAGCAAATATTTGAGCCTTTGCCTTTTTAAGCAAATGCTTAAATTCACTAGAAGAAAGTTCCTGATTAACCTTAGCCCTATTTTTAACCGCTTTAACTCTCATCCCAAAACGAATAGTAGAAATGGTCTCTGATTCATCACTTATAGATGATGAACAGTTAATGATGAGAGTAGTACGAGAATTTCCACCAAGTGATTCTTGTAATATACGAGTGAGTTTCGAATCACGATATGGTATATGTGTTGACTTCTAGATTAGCAATAATCAAAAATCAAGTTAAATAAATACCTTTCCATCAGTTAAAGAATTAATCACTAAACCCAGTGTCGAAAGAGACTTATTTATTTTTTTTGCTTCTTCTAATACCTGTCCAGTGGCACCAGTCTTAGCCACTTTTTCAGAGCCAGCAAGATCCACTAAAAAAAGCTGACTGCTTTTTATATTTTCCGTTTCAAGATTCTTCTGAGTAATTATAATACAAAAAATAGCATGAGATCTCGAACTTTCAGTATTAACATCTAAAGCTATCAAACAAAACCCATACAAATTGATTTAACCTACTTGTTGCAGCAGCTGCTCGCACTTGATTGCCTTTTTTAATAATTTGATAAATTTCTGCCAACGACGAAACATATATTTCTCTCAAACCCTTTACATAAATTCCTCTACTTTTTTCTTCATGAATCGGCAGGTTATTGTTTTGTGCTAGCACATATCAGCATATACCAGAACCTACAAAAAACCAACGGCACAAAAGATCCTTGATCTTCTCCATATATATCTCCATATACGAAACTTTCACCGTATACTCAATATTACTCAAAGATTCCATAATATTCTTAAAGATTTGCGTAACAATCCGAGGAATTATCCCTTTCAACTCTTCGTTCTCAATATCCGGTCCCTGATTATCTTTTTTAACACCTCCAAAACACCTTTCTGCTCGTAATTACCATCATAGTATATGTTTTACCCGATCCCGTATGCCCATACGCAAGAATTGCCCCATTATACCCATTCAAAACATCTTTCTCTTTCAAACACAGTTCTACACACATATTCCACATACCATTCACTGTAGACAGTGCCGAATACTCAAAAACATCCATCTGCCGTGCTGACCCATCAAACACTCGATCAAACACAAAACATCCACTCAATTCCTTTGTCTACAACCATAAAACACCTTATTTATCCCCTTTATTCCTCACCTCTACTTGCAATGTCTTCCCGTCCCCCAAAACTCTTAACGTCTTACTACTACATTTCTGTTCTGATTTGCCTAATGGTCGAAACCGACATACTACTTTAACATTGCTTGATGCCGTCATTCATATACTGCACGGATTTGCGCAACTGTTTGTACAACTGACATTGTTTCTTTGAACAAATGCCACGCTGACCGTTACAACTGAAAGATTATTAACGGTCTTTTTATATCATTCAATATAAGTAAATAAAGTCGTTATTTACACAAAAAAATAACGTCTTAGCAATATAAATAACACATTGATTGGCAAATTAAATTAAAGAGAATAAAAAAGAAATAAATGCAGAAATAGCATATATAATACATATATAATACATACATAGCATACATAACGCATACAACACGTATACAATACACATATAATACACATATAATACACATATATAATGCATATATATCACATAAAGGACTAACAAATCAAAAATCAATAATTCTCACCATATTACAGCGTGTATGAAGTATGTCGAGCGGCAAAAGAAACAAAAAGCAAAAAAAGGCAAATAAAAAAAAAACATAAAACAAACAATATATATAAACGAAATACGTATATAAAATGCATATACAACAAATATACAACGCAAACATAATTATATAAAGGACTCTATAGACATACGAAAAACGGATACAAAAAACATTTCGGCGAACTCGGGTGCACTTACAAAACTTTGACGTAAGAAATATAAAAATTAAAACGTTTAACAATTCTTAAATATAAATAAATATAAATAGAAATGGTAAAGAAGTCAAACGCATAAAACGTCTAACAAAAAACAGTCAAGTCCAGCACGGCGCCGTTTAATGCGGGATTTCAAGGTATTTTGTTAAAAAAATGAAATACAAATTGATATTTTATTATAGAGAATGCAACAAGATCCACCAGCAGGAGTCAGTGCGTCACCGATTGCAGACAATGTTATGTTATGGTATGGAGTTTACGTGGAAAAATAAGGAATAACAACAACAGGAACGCGGTGATTATTGGTCCGGCAGAAACACCGTTTGAAGACGGGACATTCCGGCTTGTTATGCAATTTGATGAACAGGTTTGAATAAATAAAAGTGTTTAAAACAAGAATGACTTATATAGTATCCAAATAAACCTCCGGTCGTGCGTTTTCTTTCAAAAATGGTAATATCAGAAGGAAATTAAAGTCTTTGTTGATTCACATAGTTCCACCCAAACGTTTATACAAACGGGGAACTGTGTCTTGATATCTTGCAGAACCGCTGGTCCCCAACATATGATGTAGCAGCCATCCTTACGAGTATTCAATCATTATTAAATGATCCAAATAACAATTCGCCCGCAAATGCAGAGGCAGCCCAACTTAACAAAGATAACAAAAAAGAATATATAAGGTAGATTTAAAAAAAGTACTAAAAAGGGTGTTTACGGTTTCAGACGTGTTAAAGAAACAGTTGAGTGGTCGTGGGAATAATACTTAAATATGTTTGACGAAAAAACACATCCAGACCATCCAACAAGTCCAATATATTCTGAGAACTATATTCAGTCGGATTTTCTGGATGCACCTATCTCTCCGAAAAATCCTTCAAATCATACAAAAAAATCTCTTTCACTTACACCAGAATACACTCATTCACCAAATATATCTCACGATGTTAAATATACTCACATGGACAACAGCTTAACTGTAAATATGCAACTCTCATACAAAATAGACCTATTTCGACGTGGCATTACACAGATTCAAACACTTATTTCTCAAAGTATATTTTCGTGTATTTATTTATTATTAACATTATAGATGTTCTTCAAATGTGTGGTAATTCAGTCGTCCTGCTCATTTGTCATGCAATCACAAATATTCAAGTAGTAATAGCGAATGTAACAGATATCCCATGCAAAGATGCAACATTGTGCGTACTTTTGCAACAGATTTTGGAAAGGATGAATGACTGTTTACTATTGAGCACAGAAATGTTATATACATATCAATTTTCTAATGTTCCTCTTGCTTGGAGACGATTGTATGCATATGCAAGTGCATTTAAAGCAATGGCAGAGATGAGTATGCATCAAACAGAAGCCAAGATAATAGAGACCCTTGATATGGCACTAATTATGACGGGAGGGGTCGATATTAAGCATTTTTTAATGGAACTAGTGAATATACAGAATCCAAAGGCTTTGTCAAATCAAGAAATATTACCTACTTTTCATCCAGAAAAAAATATTGAACAAGTAACAATTCACTTTCCAATTCGCAGCATGCAATCACCATCTGTACACACATTTCAAAATGATATATTAGCAGTCCAACAGCCACTCATCATAAAGAATAGCATTAATCATTGGCCAGCATTATCTCAAGAAGGCTGGATAAAAATTGATACCTTATTAAACAAAACACACCAAGGTCTTCGTATTGTTCCTGTAGAAATAGGAAGGAATTATACAGATCAAGCATGGGGACAACAATTAATGCCTTTTTATGAATTTCTGAAGAAATATATTTTACAAACAAAAAAAACATCTAATACACACGGAACAGAGAAAGAGGAAATCGGCTATCTTGCTCAACATGATATATTTTCTCAAATACCAGCATTAAGAGAAGACATCATGGTGCCCGATTATTGCTTTACAACACCACCTCCTATACCTTCTCATCTTCAAGCATTTATTGAAGAAATGCCGCTCCTTCATGAACCTCTTTTAAATGCATGGTTTGGAGGGAAAGGAACAGTTAGTCCTTTACATACAGATCCCTATCACAATATTTTTTCTCAAATAGTAGGGTGGAAATATGTGAGATTATATGCGCCCGAGGAAAACGAAGCTTTATATCCTCGATCATTTGAAGGAGGCATAAATATGAGCAATACGAGTCAGGTAAATTACTGTTTATAAATGAAAACCCATTAATCAGTATAAAAAAAGATTGATCTCGATAATCTAGATACCAAAAAATTCCCAAAATTTTCAAACGCAAAATATGTAGAAGGCATTATTGGTCCTGGTGACTGTCTTTATATCCCAGTAAGCCATTAGCTCTTTAGTCTGTATTTAACAACATTATAGGTGGGTTGGTGGCATTATGTAAGAAGTTTAAGTGTAAGTTTTAGCGTAAGTTTTTGGTGGAATTAATATCCATAAAAATATATTACACAAAAGAAAAAAGCATTATAATGCATCCGAGATATCGTTACTGTATATGATTCATATTTTGAAACTTAAATTTTTAAAACTTAAAACAAACTATCCAGAATTTTATGGACAACCTCAACACCCAAGAAAGAAGCGCTATTCGCAGGAAATGATCGAAGAATTGCCGGTACAAACCCCGGAAAAAAACGAAAGATACCCCCTTGACGATATAATGTAGTACATGCTGATCTAAAACTTATATTATCTGAACCTTGTATAGTTGATTTTATCGTATCAATAGGAAACATAATAGACCACATAGCAACACCAGAAAGTCCTTAAAAAATTAATTATTCTGTATAAAATTTCCTACTTACCACCAGCCATAATAGTTGTTCCAATAGATAATTTAGAATCATCTGGCATCATATATCTTTTCGTAGCTTCATATACACCAAAATAAATAGCAGAGCCTGGACCATCTCGAGCAAATGTCAAGCATCCGCCTCTAAATACTAACAAGATTAGTCCTAATAGTTTACAAATGACAATTCTAAACATGATTTTATGCCATCTGTTTTATACAAATGCCTTAATACATCAAATACACCATTAAATCTATTTTTCTCATGCTGTCCCTGAATTTGTAATATAATTTTAACACGTTCAAATGGTGCAGTAACAAATGTAGCAGGAATAGCTGAAAGAAAGCCTGCATATACAATATGTTGAATTGTTAATTCAGAAGATACACCTGAAACTTTTCTTATTAAAAATTTGAAAAAGTCATAACCACTGCATCCCATTTATAAGCATTTCAAGAACAAAAAAAAACAAAATATACCAAAATGTAACAGAAATAATAGGAACAGTTCCAAGAAGAGGAGGTATCAAACCCTGGTAAAGTCCCTAAAAAAGTTATATTTTACAAAAAGAAGGCAATAACAACAAACAAAAAAGCCATTCTGTGAAAGGATCTTCTTAGCTACATCAAGTGATCCAGTATAAAACCCTTTTTTTGCAATCTGCAACCGTACTTTCACAATATCTAAAAAGTCTAAATTTAACATAAAAACACTTGAAAACACACCAAATGGGTGCCCAACAAGACTATAACAAAATATTAGCATCTTTAGAATAATCGTAGCAGAATTTTGACTCAAATCTTACACTGCACAAGCACCACCAAATCCTCCTGAAATAAGCCATTTTATTGATGACAAAAAAGGCGTTTCATTCTTTAACTTTGTACTTGGATGCTCCAAAGAAGCATTTAAAGTTTCGTCCATAATTTTCTAAAACTCCATAGAATCAACCTTTAAAAATTTATAAAACGGCTTTTTAGACAATATCAAACTAAAAAAATACAAAATGGTAACTTATATAATATAAAATCAAATTATTTTAATAATAAAATAAATTTAATATTCATATCATATCCATATCAACAAACTATATTATTTATTTTTCTAACCATTTATAAAAATACACCCAATAAATACCTTCTACACATTCTTATCGCTCTTTTTCCAAATCTTAAACCAATATAAATTTGATTAAATAGTTACACTATTAAAAACATTTCTTAATTACTATTCAATAATATTTTAACCTCATTTTCACTAAAATTTCACCAGAATATACTTTAATTCAGTATAAATATATTTTATATTAACAAACTTAAAATTCATTATGCTACTCGATACTAGAAACGTTTTTCTGTAACAACAGTAATATCATGAAGACCTTTTATATTTTCCTTTAAAATTTTCTCTACTTCTTGACGTATCCAATTTAAATCTTGATCATTTTTAACATCTATATGAATTACTCCAGTGCATTTTTCTTCATTATTCATCCAAAATCGAAACTTTTTAAGACACATTACTCCAGAATATGCTTTTACCATATTTAACGCATTATAAATATTATATTCAAAATCATGAGGAACAATTAAAAGAAGACTTTTGGAACATGATATAATCAACGGAATAGCAGAAATAAATATTAAAACTGCAATAAGAATTGAAGCTATAGAATCAAATCCAACCCAGCCAAACTGATGTATAAGTAATGTAGACACAACTACACCAACCGAACCAAGAGTGTCAGCAAATATATGCAAAAAAACGCTAAAATAATAAGTTTTAAACAACAAATTTCTCTATAAATACTATACCCATGAACATTAGCATTATGATACGAATTCTAAGACACAATAAATGAAAAAATATTTTTCCTAAAAATACTTACATTGATATAATTATTTACAGAATCATTCAAGAAATGAACTTTATGTTGATTTTTTTCAAAGCAATCAAAATCACCAGAAGTTTGAGTATCAGGGAAATGAGAGTGATTAGAATGATGGTGATGATGATGGTGATGATGACTAATTTAATTAAAAAAATAAAAAATTTAAAACAATCTTACCCATGCTTAAATAAAAAAATACCTACAAGATTTACAATTAAACCAATAATACTAACAATAAGAAGTTTTTCTACATGAATTTCTTCCGGTTTTAAAAGTCGAGAAACAGCCTCTCCAATAATAGATATTGATATTAATAGTAAAAATAAACTATTCATAAAACCTGAAAGGACTTCTATCTTCGAAAAACCAAATGGAAATGAAAAAGACGGAGGAAACTTGCTCATAACGGATGCTAATAATCCAACAAGTAATCTAATTCCATTATACAAGCTTCATAAATTAAAATTAAGAGTTACGCAAAACAATCAAATGCCATATGAATCGAATCGGAAATAAGGCCAAGAGAATTAGATAGAATTCCATAAGTCATTTGTATAAACATAAATGCTGAATTCAAAAGAAAAAAATAAAAAATACTTCGTGAATCACGATTTTCCATAATAAATTTTAAGCAAGTTTTTAACGTATGGACATATACATTATTATTTCCAAAAGGATAAATCACAGAATTTTCAAAATGACTTAAACTTTTATAAAGGACTAAATCATTAAACCAAATTAAATGTTTTATTATACTTACAATAATATATCAAAAGTATATTTGAAATATCAATCAAACTAGGCAATTCTTTTAAAAATAAAAGCTGATAAGACAATATTACACCAATTGTCAATGGCCAATAAAATTTAATCATAAATGTAACATCAAAAATCTTAATTGATTTTAAAACCAGATGAATAATACTTGAAATGGTGACCAAGATAAACGTAAATATAGAGCATTTAAAATAATAATACTGAAAAAAATACTCCAAAACAATCATGGGAATACAATATAAAGTAGAAAATAAAAAACAAGAAGAATCCATCGGTATATCAACATTACATGACAATATTGATGCCAATCCTGCAAAAAAATAGCCAAACATAATACTCAATTTAAAATCTAATACTGTTAATTCAACCATCATATATCTTACTACACCAATTACGTCTCAAGAGATCCACACATGCAAAAACCGCAATAGAAAAAAATAATCGCTTTCTATACATAAACTTCCCAATTATCTCATTATTCATAAACATACGAACAAAAACTGTTGGAAAAATCAATACCATTGCCCTTTTCCTAGTCAATATCATACATGCTTTATACGACCATTCACCTTAAAGCATTAAGTCTCATTGCCGTCCCATAAATCAATAAAACATAAACAAACACAGACAAAGACTTAGAATACATCATACTAAATTGCTTACAGTCCCTAAAAACCTCTTTTCTTAAAATTCTAATTCCATCTTGACGCAATATTATTTTTCTGTCTTCTAATCTCAAAAAAAAACAACTAATTGCCAAGCAAAAAAACACACAAAATAAAAGCAATCCAAAAGGAATATCATGTGCTACTTCAGACTGTTTTACAGCATCTAATCCCACTACTACCAGTACTAGACTTAATCGTTCACCTAACATATTTAATCGTTTTTCATAATGCCTAAAAATCTATCAAACACATATCTCTTCCTACACAAATATACAAACCGTTTAAACAAAAAAGAATCTTCATTTTTTATTATCAAAGACTGCATGTTGAATAACGTCTGAACACTTTAATGTGCTCAGCGTCTCTAAAGAATTGATTCGACGATCTACAGTGTCGAACGTATATTTTTTTACAGCAATAGGAGAAGAATTTTTCTTAAAAAACAAATAAAACGTAAACAAAAGGGGACTATTCCATGTCCGTTGGATGGGGCATTGCCATTATATCTGTATGCATTTTTTTTGCAGGTTTTAAATTTCAACAACGGCAAAAATCTCGTTTCAATGATAAAAAAAGAAAATCAAAGCGATCCGTATGTCTTGTAGTATTGGGAGACATTGGAAGAAGTCCCCGTATGCAGTATCATGCACTTTCTCTTGCCCAACATGGTTTTGAAGTAGATCTTGTAGGTTATCGAGGTAGATTTCATCTAACAAATAAACATCATCTGATAAGCAAATTCAGGTTCATTTGTATTTCCAGATGTAGATAAATCGAAAAATATCCGGATAAAATATGTTACTCTTCCACCAAAATTCCTGGAGACACATAGTTTATGGCTTTTTTTCCTAACAGGAACAATCAAAGCATTTTTTCAAGCATTTTTCTTATTTTTTATATTAATCTACTCAACACACTCATTTGAATACCTAATTGTACAAGTATGGATCGTCAATTATATGAATTTTCCTAATTTTAAAGAATCCACCATCAATTCCATCATTTGTAGTAACTCGTCTTGTATGTTTAATCCGATCGACCAAATTGATTATTGACTGGCACAATCTTGGGTATTCAGTCCTCTCATTAAAACTAGGGCCTAATCATATATTGGTGAAATTTCATAAATGGTAATATATGCCTTAAACAACAAACATAATACAGATATTTTAGGTACGAAAGGGTTTTTGGGAATTCTGCTGACATTCATTTTTCTGTTTCTTACGCAATGACATCTTTTCTTAGAGAAAAATGGAATTACAAGTATAATTTTATATTTTTAGATATTTTTGACTTAGATAGATCACCAATCCATACTTTATATGACCGACCACCGATGCATTTTAAGCCCCTTGATAACCTAGAAAAATCATCCTTTCTCTCTACATTTGTTCATACATATGATTTTGATATTTCAAATGAAAAAACAAAGTTACTAGTTTCTTCAACATCTTGGACAATTGATGAAGATTTTTCTATTTTACTAGAAGCATTTATTGCTTTCGATAAAGCAAACATAATTCTTAGCAAAGATTTTGAGCCACCATCTATACTTGCAATTATTACTGGTAGAGGCCCTTTAAGAAAATTTTATGAACAAAAAATTAAAAGTTTAAATTTAAAATATGTTAAAATTGTTACAATATGGCTAGACGCTAAAGATTATCCTCGTTTTATTGCTAGTGCAGATTTAGGCATATGTCTTCATACCAGTTCTAGTGGCTTAGATTTACCAATGAAAATAGTGGACATGTTTGGCTGTGGAATTCCAGTATGTGCTATTGAGTTCCCAGCGTATGCATTTATTTTCATGCTCTTTAACCATATATAACTATATTTAGTCTTACTGAGCTCGTAAAAGATGGAAAAAATGGCATTATTTTTAATTCTTCAGCTCAACTTGCAGATTCTTTGAAGGTTTGAAACATAAATTGTAGTAATAATAATAATTCTTAAAAGAGGCTATTCCATTCTCATGAAGAATTGAAAAAATTAAAAGAAGGAGCAATGAAAGAATCCCAATACCGATGGCATAATGAATGGGATGCAAAAATAGCACCGTTATTCACAAAACCTCATCACATTTCTAATAATGCATCATAATTACATTTCCATTTAATTAATACAGACAAAATATAATCTTATCAAAATCCCTTACTTTTTTTTCGTCTTTAATTTTAGTTTCTTAGCTAATGCTTTTTTCTTTCTACGGAAATCAGCACCAAAACTTCCTGCAACACCATCGTCTTGATCATCTGTTCTTTTAAGGCTTTTAGAGACTATCCCTTCTTTAATTAAAGGTGGATAATAAAGTTCACTATCTAAAATTCTCCAATCTTCACCACCAAAAACAAAATCCTGACGCTTTTTTTTATTTTTTTTATTTTCTTTTGGAAGACGTACAAAATTTTCTTCCTCATATTGCCTTTTTCTTTCAAAATTTCTTTGTTCTTGAGCTGAAGCAGAGTGAAGCCTCTTTCCATAAGAAAGAATATTAGAACCAATAGACGGCTCCGATATAGGTGCCAATGACATTTCTGAAGTAATGAAATCACGGAGCGTATGATTTGGCTGCATACGATGTTCTACATATTCAGACGGCAATGTAGAAGATATTCTAGGGGGACGATAAACATCCTGTTTATGTGAATCATCTTTAACATCCAACACATCTTCAGATACAAGACTCTCAGGATTTGGTTTATATGAAAGTGCATCTATATTTGTAAATCAAATATTACAAAAAAAAAAAAACTTACCTATTTTTTCCAATTGAGCTTTTTCAGAAAACGAGTGTTTCTCAACATTAGCCAAAATCTTATCTATCTGATACCGAAGTTTTGTTTCAATCGGCTGCACTCCTTTCTCCAATATAATTCTAAGTTCTATCAAACGTTCAACTATAGATACATATTTTCCTTCAGAAATAGATTCACCACGTATCTTCAAAAGAATTAAAAACACAAGATTATGTAAATATGACAAAAACAAATGTGATTTCAATGATAATAATGATATCCCCTTATCTATAGGTAACAAGCTCGTTAAATCTTTAAGTGACTTCTTTGACTGCTGTAATGCTATCTGAATAGTTGAAAGCAATAATGAAACATCTGAACATGACATAAACAAACAAACGCGCTCTCTTTATAAAAATATTACTTAAAATCTTAATATTTTCTTTTAAAAAAAGTTGATCGCTATCGATCAATTTATGTTTTACCCTAAGATTTGATAATCCAGTAGTTCATAACCTTTTTTAAAAAAATAATCATAATCAGCAAAAAGTCTTATGGTTATCAAATCTATATATAAAGCCTTATATTTTTGTAAAAAATATATCATTACACTATGACATTATTTCATCATGTTTCTGATAAGCAAGAAGATTTTCTCCATTTTGAGTAAACTCAGCCCATTGAAAAAACTAATATTTTGTAAAAAAATACAAAAATAAATAAAAAACACAAACCTGGCATTTTTTGCCATTACCATTGATAAGTTTATCTGTATTACAGCTCCAAAAATATTTACCTTTAGTATTCTCTTTTTTTTGAACACAACGCAATACACATGGAACACCACATTTACACTTTGGTATATATTTTGGTTGATATGTTTTACGACAAAACCTAAGTCATTAAATCTAAAAAAATAAAACAAAAATCTACAAACCTATATGTTATACTTATTCTTGCTGTCCCAGATACAGGATGAGGAGTGATAGTATGCGCAGGATGAATTGAATGTTTATAGATCTCTTGACATGGAGGATGCCTAAATAAATTAACAATAATATTACTATTGCAAAGCCATCACATAATTAATAAAGAATTGTGTGGAAGATGAATACTTTTAATGCTTTCATGACATTCAAGACTAGCACATTTTAAACGAAATTCTCGTTCAGCACCTAAAGAAATACATGCTATAGTTGGCATAGGTCTATTATATTGAGTAAAAGATTAACAAATGACTAAATATTAACCCTATATAAGACAATTCATCTGAGTGATAACCAACATTTTCCTTAGCATTAGCATATCTATATTTCTAGTTAAAAATATACAAATATTAAACTATTCTGTACAAATTTGCAACAGCAAAATTAGGATCCCACTCACTAGAATCTTGATATTCCAGACGCTTCCTACTAGATATGACCTTATTAACAATATCTTTAACAAGAATTCGAGCTTCATTCATTTCTTCAGGAAATGGTCTAATATTTATGATCTAAAAATATTTATATATTTGATAATAGCATATTAAACATGCCTCCAATCCATTGTGGAAAAACTTTTGTTTTAACAAACCATTTTCGTCAAAATGAAGATAATAACAAGATTTATGTGGAGAAATAACATTTCGTTCAAAAAGACGAAATTCACGTCTTTTCCATGTTTCACTTTCCTTCAACATTTTCAGAAGCAAAGAATTAGCCATTTCATGCGGTAGTACATTAGGAATTAAAGTGCAAAGAGTTAATTTAGCTATATCCATTAACCAAATAAATATAGACAAAGATACTACCTATTTGTTCTGAAAAATATAAATGAAGCACATGCGTATTAGTCCGTTTTAAAACATCAAGAGAATCATTCCGCTGCATTTTTATCGGCAATGAAGAAGCTGATAAGTCTTGTTTAGCTAACGAAAGACATCTACATTTATATTCACGTTTTTCTATAAATTCATCGATCTTCCTTTGCTTTTTTAACTTTGGAAAGATATTTTTATTTTTTAAACAAGAATTCAGAGATGCATTCAAGATATTCTGAACAGAGCCATCATTTTCTATCAATTTTTCAAGAAGCATATGGACTGAATCATCTGGAAAAATAGAAGCAAGAATACCAAGCTTCATTTCCGTATCATTATCATCAATATTACACGTAATCTTATCCATTTTTATAAAATTAATATACTTAACAGTATATTAATCAGACAATAGATCATTCAAACATAAATGTTTTATTTCCAAAACAAAAAATAATTTTTAAGAAAAATAGCACAAAATCCAAGAAATAACGTTTCTAATTGCTATAATTTCCGTGATATCTAAAAAGTTAAACATTAATATTATAAAGAAAACTTTATCATTTTATAAAACAAATAATTCAAATACGAAGACATTTATAAAGTTAATTTGCAACAAAAATACATACCTCATCAATTTACTTATTATAAAAAACATATGATTTTATCTTAGAGGTTAATAAAAAAATATTTTAAAAAGATCAAACATAAAAAATTATAAAAATAATCGTTATCATTTACATATATATTTAACAATATATATATATATATAATAGTAAATTAAATACATATTTTTACATTATTTAAGATTTTATCAAAATTAGTATATTTTATTTGAAAAAATAATTCATTTTTTAGAAGTAAATATACATTTAAAATATAGCAATTTTAAAGTATAAAATACTTAATCTTATAAAATAAATTGTAATTTGTTTTTACAGTAAAAAAAATATCTTAAAAAAAACCATTTACAAATTCAAATTTGCAATTTTTATATTAACAAATTATTTTTTTTTCAATTATACTTTTAATTTCAAATATCAAAAAATCAATAACTCAAATACTAAACTCCATTAATGCCAGCGTATTGAAATTTATTGGCTTATTTTAAAAATATTTTTACAAAATATTAAAACAATCTATAAAAACAAACTTTACCTTTATATCATAAATACATTTTTTTAATCTTTTATAATCAACACAAAATAATATAAAAACAAAATATAATAAACATATTATTCATTTTAATAAAACAAATTTATTCATTCATTAACTAATTAGTTAAAATTCCTAATAATTACACACACACACACACATATACATATATATATATATATATATATATATATATATATAATTATAAATCTTATAGACCATGCATGATATTAACTAATTGTTAAGACACACAAACTTATTTTTGTTCAAAGCGCTGCTCAAGTCTCTTTTTTTCCATTTCAGCGATCTCTTTTAATTCTTCTTTTGTTGCATTATATTTAGAAGTCAACTACCACGATTAATGAAAAAATATTTCAAGCTTTAAAAACACATACTTGATTCATAGGATTATCAGGATGCTTGGCAAATTCTTTATAAATCAATTCTTTATATTGCTGCAATCGCAAGCCTTTATGTTCTTCTTTCAACTGCGGAAGCCGATACTCCTCATATGCACTTAAAGCTGCTTTAAACCGTCGTTCAGGATGCTTATCAATTTCCGATATCAATTTTTCATTTCCTTTCGTTTGCAATGAAAGCAACTCCAAAGCATCATCAATGTTCGCTAAAACTATTTAATAACCAAATAAAACACCTTCTACAAAGTTACACGCCGAATAAGTTTTAGATTTTTCAAAGAGATTGTCAATTGTTGATTTATGATCCGCCTTTTTTGATGATCCACGGGAAACATTTTTTAAAGAGATATTTCGCAACTCATCTGCTTCTAAAGCATTCCTTTCTGCTTTCTACTTATATTAAGACAATAAAAACAAAAATATACTATATTTCTATACTTTTGCTGCTCCTTCTTGTCTTTTCTGTATTTCTCGTTCTTTCTTAAGATTTGATGCCTTAGTTCCAACAGACCACTTAGCATCTTCTTCAGCATCACGTTTTTCCTTCTGAGCAGCTTCTTCACGGCTTCTAGCAGCTTCTTTTTTTTCTGCTCTTTTCTTAGGATTGGTCATTATCAAATGATAAAAGATACGATCGATAAAAAGAAACTGAAGTTGAAAAAAATGGATTAAAATAGCTAAATATTAATTCCGAAAGAATATTCCAGATTATAATATTAATATAAAAATACTCTTCAAACATATTTCAAGTTTAAGTGATAAATATCGACCTTATAAATTTATCAATAATAACAAGACATTCCTTAAAAATGATTTATTTACAAGAATCCAAGACGAGCTATTTTCATGAAAGTAATAATTTAAATATCTATATTATCAGAGACAAAAATAGATGAATCATCATCTTTAGAATTATCTTTTGGGTCATCTTTTGAATCATCTTTTGGATCATCTTTAAAATCATCTTTAGGACGATATAAAGAACCAAATAAGCGCAACATTAAAACACTAGAAAAATGTAAACAAAAATATAAACAATATTAATAGAAATCACTTTCTATCTTTTTTTGAAAGCATTAAACTTTCAAAGATTAAATACTTAATATGGTACAGTAGATCACTTACTTAGCACTAACATTACTTTTCCATATTGGAACAACTACTTTAAATTTCATTTTAACATTGTCATCATTTTCGAGATTTGCTTCCATTATTGCACATCCTAAAGACATTTTTTCCAATGACGTTCTTGCCTCTCCTTCAGGAAACATGTCTATCTTTGGATAACCATAATCTAAAAAGATCTTTAGTTCTTTAAATCCTACATGTACAACTCTTTCAGGTCCTATCCAAGGAAACAAAATTTCGATACCCTCGTTTTGAATTCTCCACCTACAATTGTTTTCAGCTGAAACATTTTTAGGAAGCTCATGTTTAGTAAACATCTTTACGCCACCATGGACAAATTTTATTCTATTTTCATTATGATATAAAATATTCTTTATTTTTTTTGATAAAAAATATATAAAACGCGTAGGAACCCCATTAACATTACGTATAACGTATTCAGAAGAAGGAAATGAATCAGAAATATTATAAAATGACCTTTCAAAAGTTAAAAAAATAAAAACAAAAGGCGATTTACTTAATGTGCTTTATTTCTTCATGATTTTCCGGAAGAAACTTAAAATACTCACTAATTTTCTGAAATTTTGAATCTTTTTCTTGCATCTCCTCAGTAGGATTCAAAGGATTAAATAAATTATCATTATGTGAAATTATATTTTCTAAAATGCTTTCTGAATGTATTCTTTCATCAATGAAACTAGTCTCTGTCTTAATTTTTTTAAGTGGAACAGACGCCTCCTGTACAATATTCATTTCCAAATCATTTGACTCTCTTTTTTGTTTATTTAAGTTTTCTTCAGAATTATTACCACCTGAATCATTGAGTTTTCCAATCTTTTCAAATACTGCTACAAAAAACCCTCCAGTATTTTGAAGATGAGGATATATTCTCAAACTATATGAAATTAATTTTTATAATATTTTCAAAAAAGAATACCATCTTTCAAGAGAAAATTTCTCTACCTCTTCCTCACTTGGAGGCCATAACGATCTCGGCATTTTTTTATTATTCATGGAGATGCGTTCATCAAATTCAATAATTTCACCATTATTATCTATTACTTTCCATACACAAATACCTTTTCTTCGTTTAAGTTCAGGTAATTGATCTGAAACATCAACTAGTCTTATAGAATTGCCATATGTTCTCAAAACAGAAGATACAACTGCCTCATTTTCTATAGGATTTAACGAGCATGTCGAATATACCAGTTTCCCATGAACCTTTAGTAACTGTAAACCTCGAATCAGTATGTTTACTTGTGACCTATTACCATAAAGTTAACTACACCAATGCATTTTATTTTTCTTTTTTTATAATTTTCTTACAAATGCAACCCAAAAGCTTGCCTTACATCCCAATCTTTCCACAAATTAAGATTTTTACGAATAGTCCCATCTCCAGTACAAGGAACATCTGCAAGTACACGATCAAACTTTAGAATTCGTTTTTTTGACGTTTTAGAGGGCTCAGATAATGTATCAATCCCTTCATCTACAAAAAAATTTGGCAATTTAGATGCGTCATGATTCGTAACAATCATACAAGGAGAGTTAAAACGCTTAACCTGATGAACAAGCATATATGCCCTCTTGAAATCAACATCATTAGCGATCAAGAACCCTCTAGGATATATTTGAGAAACATTAGAATTCAATGACTCATCACCATCGTTAATATTGGCATGAATAGCCTCAAGAAGCTGTGCAGTTTTCGATCCTGGAGAAGCACATAAATCTATAACACTATGATGTGATTTTACATCAAGAAGAAGTGCAGGAATCATAGATACAGCTTCCTGACGAGATATATTGCCCTAATACTCATCAGTTATTTCTTAATTTATAACTAAATATACAGATTCTGTTTCATAGAATAACCAATCCTGAAAACTCTTAAAAGCTTTATTTTTCCGAATAACTGCTTTTGGGACATCAAGAGAATATCCAAGTTGATCTGGATACCAAGAAATTGGAATTGGGTGAGCAATTTCTTTATCTTCATGTTTAAGACCAGAAAAAAGAGGGAAATATTCATTTTCAAAATGACGTTTAACAATAAAAGAATGCCTTATACAAAATGTTATAATAAAACAGTCAAAATTAACAATTTTTACTTTTTAGATCCAGAAATCCTGAATGTAGTTGGTAAACTTGTTTTAATACAATCCATAAACACATCCCACTCATCATCTTCAAGAATACCCTGCTTTTTATAATAATCTTCCATCTTTTGATTACTATCTATTATTTAATTCAACTTTAAAATATATATATTTTTTACGTCATTATGATAGCATTGTAATTCTTCTTATAACAACTTTTATCCTAAAAAATCAGCATCATTTTAATCAAGAAAACATTATATATTTACATCACTATTCCTTGAATGATTCTTCTTTTTCTTCATGTTTTTCCTAAATTCAAAATACTTTAATACTTTATTTTAAAACATTTAGTACCTAACGACGTTCCAAATATTAAAAATACAAAAAAAAGAGCAAAAACGTTCTTTTACTACTTATTTTCTTTAAAAAGACAATGAGTACATTCTATGATGAACGAGACATTATCAAAGTTTTTCGTGTATGGAAAACTGTTCATCAAATGGTTCATGATCGAGTATTTTTCAAAGCAAAAAAAAAGAGAAATATTGACAGTATAGGGTTATTTAATGTCTCAGGAGGAACTCAATATAACTTTAGATCAGTTTAAGCAACAATATTGCACTATCAATGGCGTTGAGTATAGAGAAAGTGTTTTTTTAATGATGAAACTAAAATAAAATATCAGTCGATCAACACTTTCTTTTTACGCTAGACCACCACCTGGATCCAATAAAGAGCAAATATATGTAGCATTTCAAAGAGAACCGTCTATTGGCATCAGCGCAATGCAGGATTTTGTACATACTCTTCAAGAACACGGGCATAAGATTGGAATTTTAATCTATCAAACTTCAATGACACCTTCTGCAAATAAAATCATTGCTACAATGGCAGGGAAATTCACAATTGAACCTTTTCAGGAGTCAGATCTCCTAGTAAACATTACACATCATGAACTTGTTCCAAAGCATATTGTTCTTACTCCTGAGGAGAAAAAAGAACTACTAGAACGTTATCGGTTAAAAGAAGCACAGCTTCCACGTATCCAAATGGCAGATCCTGTTGCACGATATTATGGACTAAAACGAGGCCAGACTGTTAAAATTATTAGACGAAGTGAAACCAGTGGCAGATATGCAAGCTATCGAATATGCATGTAGTTTTTATTTAGAATTGAGCATTTCTTTTGTATATAAAATACGATAAAATTCATTATATTTATTATTAACAATCTATAAACTCATAAAAATATATATATTAAATAAATTTGAAAAACATAAACCTATTATTGGAAATAATTACAGTAATTATACGAGCAAGAAAATTTCCATGTTATTTAGCTCTATATATTTTATGTGCTACTATATAAACATTATTTTAAATAAACATAAAAATATAAAACAGTTAATATACAAAAATATAATATTTAAAATTGAAAATAATATAAAATTTATAAATTAAATTACCAAAAGCATAAAAAAATAATTTGCATGTTAATCATAATCGGAGTTATTATTATCATCAAATGATTTTCGAAAAATATTAAATTGAAATACCTTATAATACAAAATCATGTTTGTCTTCTAAAAATACATAATTAATTTAAAATTCTTTATTAAATATTAAGTATAAAATAAACTAAACAATTGAATTATTTAAAAAATAAAAAATGACACTAACCAAGAAAAATCTAGAAAAATATCATTTATTTAAACAAAGTAATATTTAAATCTTCATTTTAATAAAATATATTTAAAATATAGATTTATTATAAATTTCATTTATTTATTAAATATTATATAAATAATAAAATTATATATTTTATATTAAAAGATATTAAAAAAATTTTCAAGACATTAAACAGAGACATAAAATTATAATTAATATCTAATATATAATTCTAACCAAAAATAATATAATATTCTAAAAAAATTAGATACATTATTAAAATATTAAAAAACACTTAAAAACAACTTTAGAAATTCAAAGTATTTAAATCAATTAAAAAGTATGGTTTTGTATAATGTAAACTTTAAAAAACAAAAAATTAAAATTCTTATTATAAAATCTATAAAATTTATAAATACAAAATATTAATATGATATATATAACAAAGTTATTGAAATTTTTATATTACATTAAACTCTAAATCCAAAAAAATATACAATATAGATAAAATAAAATCATACTTGAAAATAACTTTAAATAATTTTAACATTTTATTTTTTTTTTAATTTACTAACATCAGAAAATCAATGATAAATATTATCTTTATATAAAAAAAAATAATATCAAATGAATATTTACATGATAAATCATGTAATAAAAGCAAAAAATATTATGAAAAATCAAAAATTATTCTCTTTTTCTCTAATTTTTCAAAAAAAAACTTTACAACAAAACTTATCAAGTAAGGTTCTAACATATTAAATATTTCTAAATCAATTAGCACTTCCAATGACTCCAATTTTTAAAAAACTAATAGAAAATGACAAAAGATCAACATCTATTGAGTTTAAACAATACAACGAGTCTTTTTCTTATAGTGATTTAGTTCATTGTATATTAGCTTTTAAATCTTCTTTACAAGAAATTAAACATTGTAAAGATTTGGAAGAAAAAAGAATAGGAATTTTTATTGAACCAGGATTTATGTATACAACATCAATTTTTGGAATATGGGCAGCAGGAGGAATTGCTGTTCCTATATGTATATTATATACTTTTTAAATAATTTATTAATTTTTCAAAGGTATAACTCATCCTATTTCTGAAATAGAGTATGTAATAGAGGATTGTCAGGTGGAAATTATTATTACAAGTGTAGCTCTTAAAGAGCGTCTTAAAAGTATGACAGCACATATTAATAGATATATTTATATTCATGTACTTTCAAAATCTATTTTAATACAAGAGAAAAAAGTATTTTCAAAATTAAAAAAACTATTCTAAAATATACAGGAAACTCAAAAACTTTTACCATTTAATTTGGATAGAGGCGCGTTAATAATATATACATCTGGGACTACAGGATTACCTAAGGTTTAAACAATTTAAAATATGTAAAATATTTAATATTATCAGGGAGTTTTAACAACACATAAAAATATTTCTACCCAAGTTATGTCTCTAGTTAGTGCATGGAAATACTCTCCGAAAGATAGATTATTACATATTTTACCTTTACATCATATTCATGGTATAATTAATGCATTAATATGCCCATTATATGTAAAAATTTGTACTTAGATGTAATATAGGTTTTTTAACTACAAATTAGGCAGGAGGAACTATAGAATTTTTGCAAAAGTTTAGTGCCAAAGATGTTTGGTTTAGATTTTTGGATTTAGGATCTCCTCAAATTTCTCAATTCATGGCGGTTCCTACTATTTATTATAAGCTTGTTGATTATTATGAAAAGCATGGAGTTGGAATTAGTAATAGTGAATTAAAATCTAGAATGAAAAACATACGTTTAATGGTTTCTGGTTCAGCAAAACTTCCAATACTTTTAAGGAAAAAATGGCATGATATTACTGGACAAATTTTATTAGAAAGATATGGAATGACAGAAACTGGAATGATTTTAAGTGGAGGTCTAGAACTTGAAAAACGATTAGAAGGAAGTGTAGGATGGGAATTACCTTATATTAATGTACGTTTAGTGAATACAAATGGATCAATAAATGAAGGTGAAATTTGGGTTAATGGAGATACTGTTTTCAAAGAGTATATAAATAATAGTTAAATAAATATTAATTAATACAAAATAGATATTTTAATAAACCAGATGCAACAAAAAAGGCGTTTGTATATGAAAAAGATGGCACAAAGTGGTTCAAAACCAATGACATAGCAACTAAAACAAAAGAAGGAGCCTATATTATTCATGGAAGACAAAATATAGATATTATAAAATATAGTGGATATAAAATTTCTGCTTTTGAAATTCAACAGAAAATTCTATTACTGTAATCGTTCTTAAATATAATTATTGATATTAATCCTAATATTTTTCTTAGACCATATATTCGTGAAGTTGCTATAATTGGTATTGATGATGAAATATGGACTCAAAGAGTTGCAGCTTTTGTGACACTCACTTCAGATGTATTAACATTATTAAAATTTTAAAACAATTTCTAATATAATATATAGAAAAAAGAATTAACTTTGAATGATTTAAGATCAGATTTAAGAAATATGTTAGCTAGTTATAAACTCCCTACAATATTAAAAATTTTACCTAACGGTATTCCTAAAAATGACATGGGGAAAGGTAAATAATAAACATTTATTGTTCTTTATAAATCTTTTAGTAAATAAAAGAAACTTAATTGAAGAGTTTAATTATGGAGATATACAAAAATGGTCTAATTAAAACATTTTAATAAATTATTTCAAAAACATTAATTTTCAATATAGTTTTTACAAATATATAATTTTTTATTTTTAAATTCTAATATATATATCATAAAACAGTGTCATAATAATGACAAAAGATACACAAAATGACTCTAGTTTTAATGTTTTTATGCAAAACATATAGTTTTTTTTTTTTAAATAGAATAATCAAAAATATATTTAAGATTATATAGAAACAATTGAATTTATTTATGCAGTATTCATAAAAATATGAATAACTGCAAAAAATTAAATAATTCACTCATTAAAACTATTATTATTGTATTATTATGTTTTATTTTAAACATATTTTTTACACTAATTTCTAACAAAAAATTTGAAACTTAAAACAGAAAAAACATTATTTTCATTTTTTAATAATACAAACAATAAATATAAAATATAAGCAAACCGTTTTTAAATATTTTCACAATACTTAAAAACTTTAAGTATTAAATATACAAAAGAATATGTATAATTTAAAAGCGATGCAAAAGCTAAAAATTAAATAACATCCCATATACCTAATCCTCTTTTTCTTACTAAATGTAACAATAAAGAAAATATATTATTATTCATAAAATCTAAATCATCTAAATTAATATGGTAAGAAGTTTTAAAAATTTGACGCAAAGTTATATTAGTTTTACAGAAACTATCTTTTAATTCATCAAAAACACATGAAAATTTAGCCATTGAAGAAATAGGAAAAATAAAAATGATTCTAACACTAATTATATAAGTAATTTTACCTATTGAAATATTTGCATACTTATTCTTTTTTGCAGCAGATAAGTATTCCAAAACATGATCAACAGAATACCCAATTAAATGAGTAAAAACTATATTCGAATCAGAATGACGTAAAAATAACCATGTTGGTGGAGGATATGTTTTCCAAAAAATTATATTTGTAGATAACTGATTAACTAAATATTTTTTTAAAAAAATCATAGTAGATATAATATCATGTTGATGAAAAAAACCAAAAAAAAGACCAACAAGAATATTATATATAATCCAAGAAAACATAAATAATCGTTTCTTTTTTCGTCCTTTTATACTTCCTAATGAACATAAATATACAATTAACAAAGGAAAAACTGGTAATAAAAATCTAAATTCTTGATGTGGAAACAAAGATAAAACCGTAATATATATAATACTGCTTATCAAATAGATATCAAATTTAATTTTTTTGATAATAACTGGTAAAAATATAGCAGGTCCTAACATTACAGGAATGTTTATCAAAAAATGAGTCCAATAAGCATGAATGCCATGTTTTTGCAAATTAGCATAATTGATATTATAGTTAAAATTATTTAATATTGTAAGTACAATTCGGCGACCATTTGCATAATAAAGAGAATCTACTAAAATAAGAATAAAAAATACTATTATAAAAGATTTAATTGTTAAAAACGTCATTTTTGGCCTAAAATTATATATATATATATATATATATACAAATAACAAACCTTTTAACAAGAGATTTTATAAAAAGAAATCCAAAAGGAATAAGTATAATTGGAAATGTAATACGTGAAAAAAAACCAATACTTGCAAAAATAGCTAATAAAACACATTTCCAAGAACTCATGCTCTATAAAGTATCTAGTTATTTTTTTTAAAATACACAGAATATTACCATCTTGTTTTTGCGCATTAGCAATAAGCAAGCAGACACCATAATTGTTTCAATTGAATTAGAAAATGTATGAGTCTGATATGTATACGTCACAAACGAAGACGCATAAAGCAAAAGAGCATTTCCTCTATATTTTGGACTCGTAGATGTATAAACGAACCAATCTTATCAACATAATAAATCCTTATTCTATCTGAAAAAATATATTATACCAACAATAAAAGATAAACCAAAAAAAAAAATCCTCAAAAGAAAAAACAAAAGCAAAGGCTCCATAGAACATCCTTCTTCATAAAAGAGTCAATATTTAAGCAATTCTATCGAATTAAATACTTCCAGTAATCCACTGAGCAAGTTTTACAGGTAAACCATAAATCATCCACAAAGGACCTATTGATCTAATAGGAAAAGGCCCTTTAAACTCCCATGGATATTCTACTTTAATTTTCAAAATATCACCTATTATTTATGAATTTTTTAATGATTTTTCACAATTTTTAAAAACCAGCAACAACTTGTATACCCTGAAGATACTCATCAGGATGAATATAACTTTCTGAAACAGAAAACCCGAAGCGGATAAGCAAAAGAGGGATATAAAGACCCCAAAATATTAAAAACTTCATTATACTATATCATTTACAAATTATTTATAATTAATTCACAGATACGGTTGATTGTACAAATCTATAAGAAAAAATACAAGACAAAAAAACATATAAATATATGCTTTTTAGAGTCTAGAGTGCTAAATTAATATAGCTTAATCAACGAGCGAAATATAAATAATATCCCTAACTTAAAATACGAAAAGATATAATAAAAAACAATATCATCGACTCTTCAATACAAATAAATATGTCCATCATTCAAAATTTTCAGCACTCTGACGAACTAATCTTCTCACTTTCTTTTTAAATCCTTGTGCTAATAGAATATCAATTATTTATAAAATATAAAAAATACATACGATCATCTCTCCAATGTTTTGCAGCCTCAATATTGGCAGGACTGTCAAAGTTAGGACTAGAAACTAATGAAAATTAGCTCATTATAATATAATTTAATCATATATAATTATTATGTTTATAAAAATAATACATACGCATAGAAATAACAGAAAGAAGAATAGTTTCAGGTGTATGAACAGCTCTCCATCGTTCTGATGCATCTTCGTACCCAAACTTGTCTTCTCCAGGAGGGTGAAGAATCGATATACATACAAGACCATCTGCATAAACATTGGGATGATATAATTCAGTAATAAACTAATTAAAAAAATCAACTATTTAATTCTTTTTCTTTTTTTTTTTTAAAATCATAAGAATACAACAAGATGTATGTATTCTTATGAAGATAAACAAAAACTTACCCTCATTTTTGGTGGAAGATGAGGATATTCCTTTTTAAAATTATTAGCATGCGTATGTACAGAAACTTATTATATTAAGTACCAAAGGAAATGATAATTGACATTTAAAGAATCCCCCTAAATATTAGTATTTTTTACAAAAAAATACTTTTCTACCCTCATATAAAGTATCTTCAGGACTATTATTAAACATTAAATATATGTACTATAATGCAACAAAGATACAAACCCAATAATAAGAACTAAAAAACTTCATGTTAGTCTCTTTCTTAAAAAACATAAGAATACCTTCCCACTCATACACATTATTATCGTCTATAAGCCCAGCAGAAAAACCCTGAATAGGATGTTTTTGAATCTCCTTTTCATTATTCAGAATACAAATAAGCTCAATAAAAAAGTAAAACCTTTAACTGGCGTTTCAAAATTGTTTCACTTGGATAATTTACCATTATTACTTTTGGTAGTACAACGATCACAAGATTTAAATAAACAAAAAATAACACATAAAAAACATGAAATTATAGAATTAAAAAAAAATACAACTTTTTATTAAATTAATTTACAAATCAATAGAAACTAAGATTTTAATAAGGTATATAAAAGATATATCGTTAAAATATATAAGATATCGATGCCAAGATGAATGAAAATTATATTTTATTAGTATTCATAGTTCTTTTTACTATGAAATAATTAGAAACATATCACTCTTTTTTTCTTTTAAGCTTACATCAATTTTAATAGACCCATATATTTTACGTATAAAAAAATAAGAGGATATAAAGCCTATTGTACCTTAAAAATGATTAGTAAGCTATAAAGCAATTTTTCTGTAAATAAATATATATAATATACCTGTTAAGATAAAAAATAAAAATGTTAAAAGAAGACTATATCCTAAATATAGAATATGAGAGGTAAAAGAACTTAATCTTATTCTCGAAAACCAAAATAACAAAGAATTAATAAAAACGTAGAACGAAGATGCACCTCCAACAAAGAAAGATCTCCACCACCTTTTATATTCGTTAATAGATAAAATTAAACATAATTAAAACCCATACCAATGATAATCTTCAGAACATAATTGCATATACGTCATTAATATAGTTACAGTTGAACATGTCGTAACCTTTTATTATAAGTCTTTTTCAAATATATATATGGCATTAAGTATATATACCATAATAGCATAACAAATAAAAAGAAAACCAAACATATAATATATACGACCAAACCAAATACTATTTAAAATAAAATAAAGCTCAACTAAAATAAAATTAACAATTATAAAATGAGTCGTAATAAACATACCAAAAATTGCACCAAAAGGTAGTATTCCTCCAACGAAAAATGAAGGTAAAAATTTCATATAGAAAACTTGAGTCGGAATTTGTCTTGGAATTTGATTTGTTTTTACTGGATGAACAAATGACTAAAAAAATTAGATATCTATGCTAGTTGATTATTACTTTATGTTTACCCCTGCACGAAATCCACAAAAAGAACCAAAAACACTCAATGGTACAGATATAAGAAACCATAAAGCAACAATAACAAACATGGTCCTTAATGGAACTACACCTGATGAACGAGAACCAATTAACACAAAATTAAGGAACGAAAATGTGAGAAAAACAATTCCAGGTACAAAAACAGGTGTAAGTATAAGATTTTTTAGCCTATTATATAAGTTTAAAAAACAAAAGATTAAACACATACCAAAATTGACCACCCAAACTTTTATACATACGTGCAGAAACATATCCAGAAATAAATCCAAAGAATGTATATAAAACAATAATAAAAGTACTTAATGATCCTCTATTAGAGGGAGAAAGAAATCCAAGCATTGCAAAAAAAATAGTCACGAAAGCCATTAAAAATAACTGAACACCACTTCCCAAAAAAATGCTCAATAGCATAGGATTACCTGGAATTCGAAAAACATCACCATGAACTAGCTTCCAACCACTATCTTCTTGCAATTCTTCTTGATCGAAAAAATCACTATTATATCGCATGATATCTCTATGAAGCGTTCTAGCTAGGACAGTTATCACCATTCCAATTAGGAAAAAAACAATTATTGAAGAACTAAAAAGATTAAACCAATGAATACGTGGATTATATATATGAAGATATTTATCCCAACGAGTAGCCCACGTTACATCAGACTCCTTCCAAGAAACATCATACGTATAAGTAATATAATTGTTTTGATTTTCATGAAGAACATATGGATAACTACTAGAACAATCGATATTTCCATTTGGAGCAATTCTACTTGTTCTTGAAGAAGGTTTTATAGTTACTCCAACAACACGATAAACAGAACTCCCAAGTTTATGATATTCTATTGTAATATGATAATGATTATTAATTTCAATCGCGCCCGTAGATTCCACTACTTTCCCTAAGGGAAACCCCAAACTATAAACACTTCCAATAGAATCAATATAATTTTCCCCTGCTGCAGGTAACCCATCAACAAGCCAATTAATTCCATAATTCTCCATGATCCTTTTCATCACAAATTTAGCATCTGGAGGAGGGATACTTGTTGAACACAAAAGTTTACATGATTCATCTTTAGCCATAAAAATTTCAAAATCAGATGTAAAAATTCTGTCTCCAAAAACAATACTTCCTAAACTTTCCGGCAATGGTTTAGCATCATATTTATTACAAAAATGAAACCGACTATCATAATCTAAATATAATATAAGCCATGTAGAATTCCTCAAAATTATACTAACAATCATAAATATAAACATTCTTATAATACTGAAGAACTGATCCAGATATATGTCCAGCCATTGGCCTTAAAGAGTTTACAGTTAAAGAAACTTTCTCTAGTTCTTTATAACTCTTTGGTGCAACTCCTGGAAGATAAATTGCATAAATAACACTTAAAAAACATAAAATAACACAAAAAATACGCATCCCAGAGATTTAAATACTGTCAATGAGTATTTCTGAGTATTCCTTAAGCTATTTTTATAACTTTATTTTCAACTTTGATGTTTAACAAACATCGACGATCACAATTAATAACTGAATCAAAATAATTAATCAAAATAATTAATTTATATGTAAAACATAATAAGAAAAAGGCAAAGATAGAAATATATTTAAACATATTTATATTCTATTATATTTTCTATTTAAAGCGTAAATTTGAAATCTTGGTTTTTAGTTAAAAAAATTATAAAATTGATTTAATGGAAAATGATTATTGATGATTTTTTCAATATGCTTTCACATTTTTATGATGAAAATAATGGAAATGGACTTTTGAGTCTTTTTATTTTTGACGGTTCAAACACAGCAATTAATCTTCTACAAAAGGAATTACGCCAAGTTTATTTTTTTATATTATAGTCTATTTTATATAACGGTTATAGCTAGGAACATTTGATTTTTCAGCAGAATGCCAAAGAAGATACGGGTCATCAAAAAATTTTTCAGAATTTGTAATAGCATACTTAGATTTTCTGAAAAATGTTGTTTTTTCTGATCTTGAATCATTTTATAAATTATATTATCATGTTTTTTTGTAAGTGCATTAAAATACATACTTTTTTAATTCTTATTCAATAGACAATTTACTAACGCCTTTTCACATGTTAATGCTACATGGCTTACTCCTCTTGTAAAATACATGTCTTCAATTCTTACTAAATTATCAATTCGGCTTGATGATTTAACACATAATCCGCATCAAAGTGCAACAAATGAATCTTCTAGAGCAATCTTTAGGTCATTTAACATTATTTTGAGTGATCGGTAAATCTTTTTCAGTCTTATAGAATATATATTAATCAAAATAGACATCCTCTTCCAGACTCTAAGAAAGCTGCAGCACTATATACTGCAAACCTTTTGCTTCGTCTTTATTTTAAAGTATTTTTTTCTTTTATAACTTGGATATATATTAATATATATAGCTTAATCAAACACGTCTTTGTCAGACAATCAGTGCAAATATTACTTCATCGGGTGTAGAATTTAGCTCTTATCCTATATCAGAAAGGATAGGATTTAGCTATTATCTTGGTAGATATAATTTATACCAACAACAAATTTCAAGAGCCCGGGGCCATCTTTTATTTGCATTTGATAATTGTCTTTCAATAAGTTATAAAAATAAACGGTTGGTTTAGTGATTCAATATTGAATATTATGTCTAAAAAGTGAAGGCTAATTTTAATATATTTGACAACTGCATCTATTATATTAGGAATATTTCCATCATCTGAACTTCTTTCAAAATATAATCTTTCTCAATATTTTTCGCCTATAATATCCAGTTTAATTAAAGGAGATCACAGAAAATTTTCAGAACATATAAACCATGATCTTATACGTTCTTGGTTACTGAAAAAACAGATATTTTTGATAATTCGTGACCATTGTGAAATTCTTCTATGGAGAAGTTTATTTCGTACATCGTATATGCCGTATCTTTTATTTATTTGTTTTTTACTAATAAAAAAAAGATTTTTGATAACTCGTGATCCTTCACAAAAACCTCCACGTATTAAACTTGAAGACTTGTTAATAGCTGCAAGATGGGCTAAAAATGACGATACATATGATTTGTTAGATGTTGAATGTGTCTGTATCTCATTACTAGATCAAGTTTACTCTTTTTACTTTATATGTCACTTTAACATTATATAGAACTATTTACAAGCATATATTTTACATGCTTCTAAACTTCTTGTTCTTAAACGTGACGATACTCATGGGTTTCAAAAAATTAGCAATGTTAAAGCTTTACAAGCAGCACATGATGATGATGTAACCTTTGGTTGGTAAAATTTAAGAAAAAAAATTCTAATGTTTGTATTAATACGTCTATTTTTTCATTAATCTACTAATTAATATCATATTAATATAATATATTAAAAATTTTACAGTCATTTTAATTATATCTTAAAATTTAAAAAAATTAAAATATCTATAAAATATGGTTTTACAAATAATGTATATGTCATAATATAAACTTATAATCAAAGCTTTATAATTTTATTACATAATTATTTTCTGAATATTTTGAAAACTCAACATAAAACACGTCATTGATAAAAAAGATTAAACGGATGAGCAGGTTTTATCTGGACAAAATAGTTATAAATTAGAACTAGAACTATACAAACAAATAAATTACCAAAAACACTTAAATTAACCAGCTTTTAAAGAAATTCAAAATAACATAAAAAGATAATTATAAAAATCATTATTTAAATAAACATGAGCCTTTCAAACTATTGATACTATTCTATAAACTTTTCTATAATATTAAAATATACTAAGAATCTAAAGTTTTTTTAGGCACGCCATTTACTTTTTCCTGAGCCAGTTTTTTCTCATAATTTTGTTTTTTTTCTTGGCTCTGTTGCAAAGCCTTTACCTCTAATTCCTCAATTTCCTTCTTTGCTTTTTCAACACGCTCAGCCACTGTTTTTTCTTGATTATCTTTATACCATTTCACTCTCTCTTTTAGATCTTCAATACAAGAAGAAATTTGAGAATGTTTGAGAGGAGGATTTACATTCACAAAAGAAAATTGTTGTAAAATATGCATATCGATATTAAAATTAGTAACTGCATTATCATCAGCTGGCATAAGCGTTCTTTTATTGCGTTTATTTGCTTTATTTTTCTTCTCAATACCATGAATAAAATAATCATCACGTTCAGCCTTTGATTTTAAAACAGTAGCAGTATCCATATCCGTCTCTACAACTGTACGAACATTCAATTCCGGCAGATTTACATTTTCATGTATCTGTGTTTCTAAAAGTCCAGCAGAAGGATCCAAAAAACGAATTAACTAACATCCTATTAGAACCTATCTACATACAAACAATATTTTACATTCTCACACGTGATAATCTCCTCAATAAACGCAGGCTGGCTCGCCTCTTCAAGCATCTTATTGGCTAATTGTTTACGTTTCTCTTTATTATACTCTTCTTGCTGTTGACGTCGGCGTTCCCACTGCTTTTGTTTTTCTTCTTTTTCAAACTTATTGAACTTACGTAGATCCGAATAATAATTATCTTGAAGATTCTTTTTCTTTTCATATGCTTCAATTCTCTTCTGATTTAACTTATTCCTCTCTTCATAAAGACTCTTTTGAAACTTGTAAACATTTTCCTGTTCCTGACGTAATACAATCTGCTCTGTTTTAAGTTTATCATATTGTTCTGATAAAGCTTTAGAAACAGGGTCTTCAAGATGCTTTTTAATTTCGCTCAAGCGCTTTTTATCTGAATCAATTGCCGACTGCTGATACACGAGATTTGAAAACGATTTACGAAGACGTTTCATAGTTGAAATCTCTGACAAACACTTTTTCTCATCAACTAACTTCAATACACCTGAATCAACCGCTCGCTCCAATTCCCTAGAAAACATCAGTAATCATTAGAAAAATAAGTAAAACCTACAAAATTCGTTGATCCAGTTCATCAATTGTTTTAAACGGTAATCGTTTCTTAGTTAGTTGCATCTCTGAAATCTACATTCCATTATTAGTACCATTATTTTACAAAACCATCAACGCAACATAAGCACATAACACAAGCAAAAACATCATACGGATTATAAAAACTGCTCAATAGTTTAACTATACTGTACGTATATTCATTAAACAGTTTAAAGCTACACAACACCAATAAAACACTGTTTAAATTTATGCTTGTGTCAAATTAAACAGCGCTTCCTGTTACGTTTAAAACTAAGCACCTTCGTTTTCATTGCTTCTTCAAGCTGCTTGACCTGATCCATCGTCTTCTGTTTACTCTGTTTAAATTGTGCTTGTTGCACACGAATCTCATACATCTCATGACGAATACGCTGGGACCGCTCATGCGCCCCTCCACGCTCATGAGATTGCTCTGTACGCGTCCGAAGATCATCCTATACACTCATTGTTAGCCTAAATCCTACCAAACTTTAAAACGAAGCAAAACCAATGCTATTAAAAGCACTTATAAGATCAAAGTTGTATAATGCATATATTATACTATTAATAAAAAAAGTAGAGCAAATACAACATCTGAAATAAAATCATGCAAAGATTAAGATTGAAACTATGACGATGAAACACTAAATGTAACCTCGAACAACATTAAATGCAAAATATCCAATTACTTAATGTTTGATCAGTATCTTACCGCCAAAATACAATTACTAAAACCTTATTAACACTTAGCTACTGATTAGCTGACATTAAATCAGCACTAAAGAATGTTTCAAATCTTAAATGATATTTGCTCTAACTTTATTGTAAGTTTACTATTTCACAATTCAGATGCCCACTTCTAACACTCAGCAAGGAACTGAAAAGTGACCCTACAGTGCTCTAAAAATAGACAGCTTCGTTTACTTCATATTAACTAACAATTTTTTTAGTCAAACTTTGAAGCTCTGCATCTACTTGTGCAAGAGCAAGCTTGAACGCTGCCTCATCAGGCCTAGTCGGCCTCCGTGACACTTTTGTTTCTTCCTGCATCAAAAAACAAAACTAAATACACTTTCCAAACACTTAACGGCCAAAAACCAAAAGTGCACTTAGTTTTATTCAAGAAACGCGCCTAAAATTGAACAAAAAAGCTATGTCTTATATAAAAAACCACACAGAACTCAAAACCGCTCTTAATGTCTCACTTATTACCACAACGCTAAACTTAGCACCGTGTTTAAAATTAAATTTTACACTCCGTTTAACACCAAAAACAATACTGACAAACAATAGGTCCAAATAAAACCTAAAACCAGATATAAAGCCCTACTAACACATTCTTTAATCACTATATTCTCAACTGCTATTTGGTTTCTATACTAACCAACGTTTTTCTTAAGATTTCACTTTATCTTCCACTCAACTCTCTACTTCCCGTCCTGCTCCAAGATATATATATCTATTTCATTGATTAATGTATTTCTATGTTGAATATTTTTTTCTATTAGTTACATTCAGAACTTTTTAAACTTCTGCTAATTTTACACCAAAAAACGCTTGAAATTTCGCCGTTTTCAGCCTGTTTTTTAAAAAGTATCTCAAAAATACTATTCAATTCAAAAAAACAGCGTTTTAAAGTCTATTTAGCGCTTAAAATTCTATTTTGTCGCTTTATTTATTTGCTGCTTGCGCTTGAAAATATTAATTCGCCGTCAATCGAAAAATTTCCTGCACACAACATTGTGCGAAGACTGACGATAAGCATAAACATTATGTTAAATATTAAGTTAGCAAATAATTATAACTTTTACAGTTTTTAAGCATCCTTTAAGCTTCAATTAATTCCTTAAAGTACAATTTTACCTTTAGTAAATGTTAATAATTAAATTTAGAAACTTAAAAATATCATATAGGAACCTCCAAAAACAGCATTAAAAATGAATATTTTGTTCAAAAATTAAGAAAAAAGTCAAGAAATTATTAAATACATATTTATTTTTAAATATAAAACTAAATACAAAGATTAAATATGGATTCAAACTTTATCTGAGTACAAAAAATAGGATATATATATTAAACACCTAGAAACACAATAAAAGAATGAAATGTATTAGAAATGTATTAAATACTGTACAATTGTATTTTTTAAATTATGCAGTTCAATTAAAAATGCAATTCATAAGTTGAATATTAAGAGAGAATTAAAATGTCAAAACAAATGCTAAAAATTAAACTTAATTTAGACATGATACTAATTGGTACAAAAAAAGAAAAAAATACTAAAAGGAATTAGAGAAAGCCCTGAAGAAATTTAATTTTTTCAATGTTTCATTAAAAAATAAAGAAAATACAAAATATAAAAAATAAGGGATTTTAAATATATAAATATAAAAATAATATTAAACTAAAAAAAATTGAATAGAACTTTAAATATAATTAATATACAATTAACACAAAAAAGTGCAACAGAATAAAGACATATTTGGGCTTAAAAAAATATCACAACAGGTATTAGGAATGTGGTAAAACTACAGAAAACCTAGAAGGACTAATATAGAATATTTAACAGATACAAAGCAATTAACAAAATCAATATCCTGGAAGAATAATAACTACCAAATGATGCATAAAAAACCAGTTTCCGACTTGAAAAATAAAAGTAATTTAATACTCAGATAAGACTTGAAAACAATCAAAATGTATCCAGTGGGAACATAGAAATACTTTAAATTTATGTTGCTATTATTCGACTTTACTAAAATACTAAATCATAGCTCAAAAATATACCACAATTACTTGACTTTTAACTAGTAAACCTCTTTAAGCTTAACAGGTGATTTGGACACACGCATCTCTCGCTTAAGCTCACGCCAAATGCGTTTTGCTTCATCGTCAGCTTGAGAACTCTCTTTACGATGAAGAATGCGTGCGTTGCCTTGAGGAAGTGTAACTGAGCTATAGCTGCTCGACTCACGTAATACAACAGGATCAAGGCTCCGTCGACGTGTAGGTTTCCCTTGTTTTAGCGCTGAAAGGCTTGTTGAATATTCTATTGTTGTTGTTGTTTTTGTAATATGTGATTGTGTCCTCGCAAGCGATAAATTTCGTGATGATTTGGGTGTTTCCATTGTTGTAACTGAATTTACAGAATGGTCTTTTAAAACAGACTTATGTGGACTATGACAGTCAGCAGTAACATCATTAGCTCTATAAAGAAATGTTAGTGAAATTCCAAATGTTAAAACATTAAATAAATGTCAAACATATATTAAAAAGTACTAAACAGACATAAAGGAAATATCAAATAAGCACGAAAAAAGCTTAAATAATAATTTCTACTAAAAACATACCTTTGTGGTGACTTCCATAGTTCTTTCGAAACATGTGTAGGTGAAGTTTTTGGCGAGGCGCGTAGTGGAGCAATTCTGGAACATCGTTCATGAGAAGATGGACTTACACATGTATATGCTCGACGAGGTGTTATTGGAATTGTTCTTAAACGAATTTTTGATCGTTGAAAATGAAGTTCATCTTTCAACTCACAAACTTCATCCGGTCTCCATACTTCATCAATAACTGCTTCTTCTATTTTTCCAAGAGCAATATCGATCAAACTAGCAGCAGCTTTTGCACGCCCTCGACCAACCATTTCATGAGCATTGACAATTCCTTCAAGCGCGTATTGACGCAAAAGAGCAAGAAGAACTGTTGGATTACGAGTTCTTGATGTTTCTTGGGAACATTCTGAATGACCCAATCGTTTAACAGTAGCATACCTTGTATTTAACCGTAGTAATGTGGATGTCGAAAAACATGGATGTTTATAAGACACTTTACAAGAAGCTATGTTTGCAGGAAAAGCCTTTATCATGCTTTCAAGCTCGGAAGCAAGAGCTTCCGTTGAAACAACAAAAGAATTAGACCCAGAAAAACTAGGAGGAAGTGGCACGTTTAGCGTAATAAAAAAAGATCGTTCTTCAAATGGTGTTAAATTTTCTTCAACATATATGAATAAACATAAATATAAAAAACAAAAAGACTCACCAATCATTAATTCTAATTTGTTATCATGCTTATAGACGCTATCAGCATCATAATATGCATTTTTGTCACTTCTCATCTCACAAATACCTACTCCTTCCAAACCAGTAACATTAATTTTGATATTAGATAAATTAGCCATGCAAGCGCCAGCCGCACATAATTTTAGGAAATTTTTAACCTTTCTGGTTTCATCGACAAAGATATAACATCCTCCTTCTGCTCCTAAGCTTGCCAAATGTCGTAAATGAGTCGGATCAGGACAAGGTCCAACCCCAAATGCATGTATTGAAATATTATGTCGTTTAGCTTGACAGGAAACATGATTTATTTTATCACTCGATAACGAAGTTTCATAACCATCTGAAATAATAATAATATGCCTCAATCTTCCATGTCTTTTGTTTTTTATAAGAATATCAAGAGCTTTATTTATTCCATCATCAGAATAACAACTATAAATACCCTTCATTTCTTTCAATCTTTCCCCTAAATTGGTCTGAACGGCTACTTTATGAAGATTATCACACGTATGAAGAGCAAAAATCTTATTTTTATCATCAGGAAGAGTTGTAAGTATACACAATCTATCCGTAGACTGAAGATCATATAGAAGTGTAAATACTATTTCTTTTGCAACAGAAAGTTTATTTCCATGAGCCATAGATTCAGACATATCTAAACAAATAGCAACGTCAAGTAAATATATCTGAGGCAAGTCGATCGTATCCTGATACTGCGACAATATATTAATATACATTATAACTTCTTCTTCTGTATTCTTAAGGGTATCATAATCTGTAAAAACTTCAAAATCAATCCCAAAAATAGCTGGATGCGACGGAATATCTGATATTTTTCGTGCTAAAAAAAAATCCGCTTGTGAAGGCTTACATACACGCTGTTGCTCCAGTGGTATAGTTGAATTTCTAAAAAACATACTTTTTTGCCGTGCATTTGCAAATAATTTTTGAAACATATTTTCTTGCTTTTTACCTCTACAACCTGCAACCATATTAACTGAACCCAAACACTTGGGACATATCGACTTCTACCACATAAATACACACAAAAACACTCTCAATAACACAAAATACCTGTCTATAACACTCCTCATGCCCGATATGCCCGCATCCCGGATCAAAAGGCGAAGAAAGTGCATCGATAGGCCTGTAACAAACAACACAGAAAACAGGCTTTGAATAACTTGACCGTACTGAATATTCACTCTGTCGTCGCTGCAAGTCGTGCTTTCGCAGCGACATACTTGGTATAAGAAAGCAACCTATCTCGAATGATTTAATTTTTGAAATATCAAATATCTATCTTCATTGATAACCTGTCGATAACGATATCGCCTTTAAACTTTATCAGACCTAACCCTAAGATAAGTAAGCAGTAGAAAATTAAATGTATGTATTTTGGAAGAAGGTTAAAGACATTAAAGAAACGCAAAAGCTATTATTGGGTCGATAATATTGAATAAAAATATGAATATGTATAGTAATTGTCAAAAAACAGTGTCGTATTAGCATATAAATAATATACAGAAACCAAACTAAAATTGTATAAATAGCTTATAGATAGAACATTTAGATAGTATACATATTGTTAGCTTATATGAAAACCAAAAAAAGAAAAATAAGGAAATAAAGTTTTTTATGATCTAAGATATAAGGAGAATGATTGGCAAAAGATTCATTAGTAAAAGATGTATATGTAGTAGTTGTCCAATATTTGATAGTTTCTGAAGTGTTTATGAATGAAGAGCAAGTTTCAAGAGTAAGTATGGTGGTTTGAGTGATTATTTTTGTTTCTTCCATTAAAGTTTTTTCGGTTTGTGTTGTTATAGATGTAGAAGTATATATACCGTTTCCTTCCATAGTAGTAGTGATACATGTTGTATTTACAGTATCAAGAATCTTGATGGTGGAAGTATTAGAAATGAAAACAGTTGAAATACTAGGAGTAAAAACAGTTTCTGTGATATTTCGAATAGAAACTTCAGTCGTAACTTCAGTCGTAACCTCAGTCGTAACTTCAGTTTTTACACGAACAACATCTACATAGCTGGTAACTGGTGGAGTCAGATTCTGTGGAAGTAACAATAATTGCCCTGATATTGATATATTTTGACATAATACATCAATTTCTCGGTAAACACTTTGAGTTTCATCATAACATTTATTAGGAATAGTGATGTTAAAAAATTGAGCGCATTTTTCTCCTAATTCTGCATATAATTCAAGTGCTTTTCTAATAGCTGGAAATGTATTACTATATACTAGTTTATTTCGTACTCGAACATCCTGATTAGATTTTAAAATGGAATTTGTTGGCTCAGTAGAATTAGTTCCTAGAAACTGCTTAAAAACACCAATTGCCTTTTCTTTTTCACCAGTAAATAACTTGTTTTTCTCTTTAACTAATTCAGCACTTGTTGTTAGTTCTGTTAGAGCATTTTTACATTGTTCTCGTTCATGTTCAATTGATGTTCTATAATTAGCACATGCTTTACTAAAAGGTCCACAATATGACTCAAGATCCTGAGAATAACAATTTTTCTTAAGCATATTGCAATACGGTTCCCATAGATCACAGTCTTTTAATGTGACACCATTGGAAACATCCATCCCAATACGATATTTCATAAGATTAACTTTAAATTGATAACAATGTTTGCTCATGAAAGACATAATATTAGTACATGTCTTATATTTATCTTTGCATGGATCTATAAAAGTAGCATTACTTTGGCTCCAAACAGTACACATTTTGTTTAGACGATCTATACAAGAACGTTGTCCTTTCAAATGGTCTTGTCCTTCCCTTAACATATGATCTTTCAACTGTACTATTTGTTCTAATAATCCGCATTTTTCATAAAGTCTATTGCAATAAGAATTCAATGAAGGATAATCCATAGTCATTGTACGGCATTCTGGTACCAACATATTGCATTTTTCAAGAGTAACCTGAAGATATTTAGATTCTATTTGTTTTTTTAGCCATTTACATCTGTAATATACAATATAAGCCACATCATAACATGTTTTTTCAGGCGAAAGACATAATTCAAAATGATCTTCTTTATGTAAATTCTTTGAATCACGACAAAATTCAATTAATTTAGATACACATCGGGGATTTGATGTTTTTTTATATCGATATAAACTCCCACGTAAAACATTTTCAAAAAAAGACAATGATGCATCAACACGTCCTTGGCGATAACATGCATTTCTTAAACTATCACAATTTGTTTTTGTTGTATCATGGTCACTACAGGATTTTTCATAAAAAAAGCATGTTGATAATAATTCTGCGCAATGATCATCATCCATAGTAGGCAAATCACGCCAATTATGCTCTAGACCTATTTTAGATACATGATGTTCAGTTAAATGCTTTCTAATATCACTGTTAATATTCCTACATATAGATTTTGATTTTGAATCCAATAAAACACAATCTATTACATCATTCTTATTTTGTTTGTAATTTAGACATCTGCGCTTATAATCACTATCCAAATATTCAATAGATGAACAGTTATTAGTCAATACATTTAGACATTTATTGATCAGATCAGAATTACTATTAACGAGAAATGCTAAAATCCCTTGAAAAGTAAAGTCACTGGATTGTTTAGAAACAACAACACCTACTGATTCTGCTTGATCATAAAGCTGTGGAATATCTAATACATTTGCTAATGGAAGTTCTTTTTCCATGGGATTAAAATAATCTAAAGGTGAACTATAAGTAACATTCACTGATTTACAACGTTCTTGAAGTTCATTACATAAATTCTTCATTTCATTCCCCTTAACAGTGTTTTCAGTAGAGATTTTATAATTTGGTACATAAAATGCACATTCAGGAAGTAACCAGAGACACTTATCCTTTAACATATTATTGCTATAAGTATTCCTTTTACTCAGAAGATTCTTTTTAATAACCCCTTCAATTTCACTTTTAAGAGAAGTATGCTTCCCTTGTGCGTTTTCTACAAGTTTTTCACATGTTACTGTCCATATTAAACATTTCGACATCAATTCATCACTTTCTTTGCTTAATACTATACAATAATTTTTAATATTCTCAAGACATGCATCAAGATTAAAAAGATTTCCACGAAGTGCTCTTTCGAGGACAGTAATAGCTATTATATCTCTCTCTCTTTTATAACAAGTGTTTATCAATCCATTACATAATTTATTAAAATCGTTAGAACAGGCACCTTCTAAAAGTATGCATTTCGTCACAACCAAATCGCATTTTTCATTCATTTGAAGATTTTCATCCTTAATGGCTAATTCAATTTCACTACATATAGATTTTATTTCTTTATCTTTTTGCAGATCTATACATTTTTGACTTATATCACCTGTACATACTAAATTTAACTTTGGAAAAACGTTTTTCAATTCACGACAACGTTCCTTGAGTTCTTTTATACAGTTTTCAGTACTTTTTATGTTTTCTTTCAAAATAAAAGGGTAAAGAAAATAATCACTATCTATAATATCTTGAATTTTTATTGGAGTTACAGCTCGTCCCATTGTAACCTGTGGTTTACCTACTCCATAATTTAGATTTCTCTTATTTTTTAATTTATTAAATCTTTCATCAATAAAATCTAGATAATATTAAAACCAAAAATTATCAAAATAATCAAAAATACCTATATCATTTGAAAAAACACATCTTATTGAAAAAAATATAAATAGTATAAATATATCCATAGATCTTATAATAAAAATAATAATAATAATAATATATTTTTACAAAAATTATTTCATTTTTTTAATACCAAAATTAATACCCAAAAATTTAAAGAACAGTAATTCATTTTATCCGATGCTTGAAAAATCAGATAATTTTAGTAAAAAATAATATATTTTAAATAATATAGATAAAAAATAATAAATAAATAAAAATTAATATTTTATTAACATTTTTTTTGTTTTAAATTTAATGTTTAATAAACTTAATTAAAATTTTTTGTAAAATAATAATTTTTAAATAAAAAATTTTTCTAGATTTTGAAAGATAATCTTTTATCAATATGGTTTATATTCTTATCTAATGTATTTACATAAATATATATTATACTTACAATTACTTTTATTGAATTATTTAAACATATTAATACTTTTTTTTTAAATTTTAATTTTATTGTAATTTATAATTCTCAATTTATTTATATTTGGATATTTATATAAATAAATATTATTTTTATAAAAATCAATTATGATATTTTAATACAATATATAAGAAATTTCAAATTTTAAATAATTTATAAGATTCTTTCTTTTAAGATATTTTTTTTTCAAAAAAAAAATCCATTTAATATAAAATATATAAATTCCGTTACTTATCCTCTAAATAATATTTACTTAATTAGAATTAATATTACAAAAAATATTAATTTTCAATATTTTTCTTTAATATATTCAAAATTTGCAAATTTTAAAAATCTAAATTTTATATATAAAAATATCTTAACTATTAAATATAATTCAATTTCATAGTTTTATAATCTTTTTTACTCTATTATAATTCTTATTTTGATTTTTTTATTCAAATTGTAAATTTCAATTTATAAAAATACCCTTTTTTATTCTAATATCTTATTTAAATCTTTTTTCTATTAGTTAAAAAAAATTGTTTATATATTTTAATAAATAAAACAATAATGCTAAAAAAATAAACAATAATAAATATTTCATACCATTTTTTCTACAATGGATCTTAATAAAATAAAATATACATTAAAAAATACAAGACATTAAATAATATCTAATATATTTCCTTAATTATTTTTCTACTATTTATATTATTTTATTTTTTATACTATTTTTTTTATTTTGTATAACAAATATAAATAATTATACTTTTTAAGTTCAGTATATGTTATCATACTCCAAAAATATATTTTTTTTAGTAATTTTTCTTCTTTAGAACATGTTTATTCCATATTAAACACACCAGTAAAATATTATTAAATAGAGATATTCTTAATATTTAAGCAGAAAGTTATATATGAATTAAAAGTCTGAAAGCAATCTCAGTATATATTAAATCATATTAAACCTAGTCTTTTTTTTAAAAAAAAAGAACAAAATATCTATAAATCTTTAATTAAAGATAACCTAAAATAATCTTTGAAAGCACATATCGCTTTTTCAAAAAATATTTCTTTTAATATTGTTATATTATTAATAATAAAATAAGACTCTAATTACAGATACCAAAGTCCCAATGCCAATAAAATATACCAACAAACATGAAAAAAAACCATAGTTAAAGTCCCCACTTTTAACGAATTCGCATCATTTGTAACAACTGAACAGTTTCCTTTCAAACATGAACTTTGAGTAGGCAGTTCAGTAGATTCAGAAGACAGAGTTTTACTCCGAGTAACACAAACAACAGTACATGTCGTCGCGAAATCTCCAGTCCTAGTAAAATCTGTTGATGTTGGGCTACTTGGTTTCTCTTCCGTTTTATCAACTGAACATTCGGATGTCTTTTTTTCATCTTGAATTGTAGAATGATAGTCAGGAATATCTTCATCTAATATTGTAGGCGAAGGCAATGTCTCATTCTTAACAGTTGGCTTTATTTCTTCAAGACAGGTTTCATCTGGTGCAGTAATATTTTTACAGACATCTGAGAAATATTTTGCTGAATCGAAACCTTCAGATGGCTTTGTTTGATAAACACATGAAAGAAACAAGTCCTTATGTTCTTGTTTACAAAGACATTGAATATCATATTTTCCACGACATAAAGAAGAAGTAAGTGAAGTTTGATAACATTTTTGTACAGAATCTATATTATTTAGATCAAAGATTCTCTGACAAAGTAAACACAAAATACCATACCTGATAATGAACTAAAGTTAAAGTAGTTTACGCAATTCTCTGATTCAGCTCCAAAGACACTTAAAATAATATTACTCCACAGAGCAAATATAAAAAAACGCAGCATAATAAACATCTAATTAAATATTCAGAATATTCTCCCTTAAATATGTCCTAATTAAAGAAATATATTCAAAATCCTTGATTCCAATTGAAATATAGACAGCATAAATCATAAACTTATCTTTTAATTAATGTATAAAAATAATTTTTATGCAGTTCGGGACAAATCGTAATTTAAAATAGCGTATTTCAAATAGAAATAATTTTATTAAATGTTAAATAAAAATGTAATATTATGTAGTTATTAGAAAATAAGTGTAGAATTTCAAAAAGTACTATAATCCAATTGAAATGGGAAAATAGATCAAATGAGTAAATGTATTTTTTTTCGTGATAAATTGATGTGGCTGGTAAATAGCATATTCTTTTTAGTATATAACAGAAAAATAGAATGATAACTAAAGTATATCATTCTTTCAAAGAAAAAAACTATGGATCAAATATATGAATAAAAAAATATGATGCGGATTTTTGCAGTATATAAATTATAAAATTAATAAAAAGGAAGTATGGTGATGCATTGAAGCAATATCCATGATTGCTATATAATATATATATTTCTTGGGATTTCTAGAGGGAGAAAAGGCTAATTAGAAAAAATATTAAGTAATATGTAAAAATATAAGAATAGTTTACTTTAAAAGAAAACTGTAGATAAAATCAATAAATTGATGCAAAATTTCTTTTATTTTTAAGCAAAAACAAGCAGTATATATAAAATAAGCGAGGAAAATAAATATGTTTATATGTAGCAAAAGAATCAGAAAAAACAAAAAATAATAAAAATATAACATTTAATAAAATAAATTTGCATATGTTTCATATAGAAAACAACATTTTAGTTATAAACCTGAAAATTTTGAAAATATGTCTTATAATACAAATGTTTTTCTGTAATTTAGCTTATTTGAATACATTTAATAATCTAAATCGCTGCAAAATTTGCCATTAATAATAAAAACTGAGAAATTTCTATTATTATAGATCTAAAATTAATAAAAATGTATTCTGTTAAATAAATATGTAATATTTTTTTGTGTATTCAGTAAAAATGAGTACTAAAAACACTCATTAAACATGAAGTCAACAATTTATAAAGATTCTTCAAATAAAAAGACAAGAAAAATAAAAATAAATATCAAATAATACGAATAAACATAAAAATATCATCAAAAACAAACAAAAAAAAAAGAAACGAATTAATCAACTAAAATATATAATTAAAAACAAAAAACAACATCTTTGCTCTTTATATATCCCGTTTTTAACCTTAATATTCAAAAATTGCATACATATTACGAATATTCAATCAATTGTCCCTGTTTTATATCAAGCCTTTTAAAAACAAGATAGTTTTAATAAAACAAAAAAATATACAACAAAATCAAATTATTCTTTAATATACATTTAAAAAATGCTTATATTACTTCTAAAAATGCATATATGCAGATATTACAAATTTTAAAAAAACATATAGATCTTTATCAATATATAAACTCCAACTTTAATATTAATAAAATGTATAAATAAGAGTAAAAAAAGCATAAAGCCACTATAAAAACATAAAAAACACCATTGTTTTCATTACAAAGAGAATTCAGTACTTAAAACTTTTATATAAACACGACATCTATATAATATCAAAAACACATCGTTATCTTTCTTCAACAAATTAATTAACTATAAAAAAAACTATAGCGCATACATCACACTATTAAGAAAGAATTGCACTTTTTGAAAGCAAAAAACACCTCTAATTACATTTAACAACCATTTGGTTAAATAAAAAACCAATTTTATATATAATTAAAACACACTACAAATCAAACACTATATAAATACAATTTCAAAAGGGGATCGAGTTAAAAAAACCAAAAAAAACAAACCAATTCTTAAGAACAAAAAAATAAAATAGCATATATTGCAGGCATAATGCATTTTAACACTATAATATTCACTGTTTTGGCTTTATTAAACTTAATCTCTGCTAGATTTCATGTTCTTTCACCATTAGTAGATAGTGTTTGGACATATGGAGGAAAACATACTGTAGAATGGAGAGTCAAAGATCCAGATCATTATGGGTATTCGTCTGTCAGCGTTTTTCTCGTATGCTTGCATGATAGGTCTACTCGTGTAGTCTTTGATATAGCAAGTAATCTCAGCGTTTCTTCTTCTTCATATGAATTCCGTGTTCCACAAGTTTCTGATTGTGAACACTATTTAGTTAAATTTGTTGCTGGCAATAGTTGTGGTGTAAATAGTGCCTTTTTCTCTTCTTCATTTTTTATTACACATGATGGGAAACCTCATAAAACACTTCTTACACTATGCGATACAGATAAAACAGTGCCTCCGAAGGAAAAACCAGCTACGGAATCAAAACCAAAACCGACTAAGCCTGCTGAAACAAAAACTCAAACGAGTAGTTCATCCAAACTTCCACCGCCATCCAGTCAGCAAGGGCCCGTGCCATCAGATGGTTCTCAAACATTTACAGTTCCTAAACCTACTCCTACAGCCACTCAAGAACCTAAGAAACCAGATACACCTTCAACTAAACCAAAAGATTCTTCCAGTCCATCTGCAGGTAAAGACAAGAAACCAGATGATATTGAAAACAATGGTTCTATTATTACTTACAAATTCTTTGGAATTATTCTTGGGACTATTGTCGCATTCATTTGTTCATAAAAAACAATTTTATAAAAATTATCCAGAATATACTAAATATAACATATTGGAATTCATTATATTTAAACAGTTTTGCTTTTACCAAGTCATTCATTAATACGCACTCTTAATCATTCTTAATCGCTATAGTTGCTTTAATCATTATTATTTACAATACTCAGGCTAGAATATTTTTTTATGAACCATTTAGTTTAAAAACTCAACCATTCATATAGTTATAAATAATTTATCTTTGAATCTACACACCTATTAAGTTAGATTAAAAACTAGTCGACTTAATAAATTTAAATAAGTTTAATGCAGTTATCGAATAATAAATATTTTAGTATTTAATATCCAAAAACTTAGCACATAACCCATAAATTAAGAATATAAATAAAGGCCTTTGTATTAAGCAAAGATAATTATTTCAAACCATTTAAAAGTATTCCCCATTACTTATGAATTCATAATTAAAATGAAAACTTTCGGTAAACTTTTAATAAAAAAGAAAATTATATATTTTAATATTTAAGATAATTCAATGGTACTTTTTTAAAATAATCATTAAATTTCAAAGAAGGTAACAAAGTATTCATATATTAATATTTTTTCAGTAAAAATCTATTTTTAAACAAATAAAATAATAAAGTATCAGCCAAATTTTAATATATCTAAACAAAAATAAAAAGTATAAGTAAAGGTTATATTTTAAATAAAGAAAACAATATGAATTCTTTTGAAAATTATTCATCTTCAGCTTCATTAGTAGATGATAAAGAAGAACATTCAGAATCATCTATCGATTCAACAATTCAATCATTTTCACAGCAATTAGTTCATAAATCAAATAAAACAGGACAATCATGGGCAGTAGGTTCTCTTGAGAAAGAAATTTCAGAATATTCTCATATTTTAAAAGTACTTAACACAGAAAAAGCTCATAATTTGTCTCTACATCTTTATTCTAGTTTTAAATTGCGTAAAGAAGAAACAGAGGGCCAGCATAAGCCCTTAATTAGAAAAAGATGGACAGCATGGCCTCTTCTTCCTGATCAATTCAACTTAAATGAATTCTCAAAAACATCAATAAAATTATTAACAGATGAACTAGAAGCATGTATTTTTCGAATTGCTACAAAAAAAATTCGTAATCATAATTTAGAACCTACATCAGAAGATGAATTGCCACCAAACATTATTCATTATATACTTAAAATTGTTCTTTCACGGATCGATAAACTTCTTTCTGCTCTTTTACATTTGCGAAATATTCAAGGCTCAAATAGTTCAAAATCAAGATTACGCCTTTTACGATGGGATAATGTTTTAGGATGTGCATCAATTGCATCAGCATTCCCTTTTAAAGATATTATGAATACAACTAATATATGTTCTTCTCTTTTTTCAGAAAATATTTCATGGAATGCTATAGAAACCCCTTTGGACCTTGAAAATACTCAATATTTAAGAAAAAAAGGCTGGGATGTGCTCTCTGAAATTCCTAGTTATAGCAAATCCAGAAAAAAGTCAAGAAAAATTAACGACTTAAAAAAATATTTTCCCTAAATTAAGAATATACTATATTGCATGAAATAATTAATCTACGGATGTATAATATATTTGTAAAATTTGGAATTCAAAAGCATTATCATTAAACAATTTTGATATAACAAACTGTCTAATAAACAAGGCTAAATAAATGACTGATAGCAGTTATTCTATGCAAAAAAAACTTTTCATATCATTCATTAATGAATATTGGTAATATTTTGTCTAACTAATATACGTACATTATCCACAAATAAGCGCACAATATTTTCAAAATCATTAGGTCGTCCATGGCTTGCAGCATCTCCATGTTTTTTTATTTCATCAATATTTAATAACTCTACCTCTAATTCATGTGTTTTGGGGCCATTCTAAAAATATTACTTTTGAATGTATATATCAAAGAAAATACCTCAGAAACAACTTGCGTTAAATCAATCTGACAATATTGATGTACATAGCTTAGTCTATCTTTATCTCTTTCCATAATAAGAACACCCAATGGTTGCGATTCAACTAAAAGTTTAAGTAAAATTCAAAGATATAAATTATTATTAACCGGGAGTTTCAGTATTTATACTAATTCTCCAATCAAACAGTGTTTTTGGACTAAATATATTTAAACTTGCAACTCTTGTTTTAATCAATCGTGATATCACTTGACCTGTCTTCTTTTCTGTAGTAACTCGAATTCTGTTCTGAAAATCATGGTTTAATGATACATTACTGTAAAATCTGTCTATTTCCTTTGTATGTTTATATTTCATTGGTGTTCTAGGCCGTCCGTCCTTAATCTTTGTCTGAGATTTCTCAAATGACGAATTTAAAAAACGATTAAAATATTTATGTTGAGACTATACAAAATCAATCCGCATAAATACATTTATACCCTTCTACAAACCTCTGTCATATTTGATTCAAATTTAATCTTTAATTCATTATTATCAATAACTAAGTATCCACAATCAACAATATCTTTCAAAAAAGAACATACATTCATACTTGTTTCCGTTAAAACAGGCAATCTAAGCCTCTCCCTTGTCATAAGATCTACAATTTGGCCTATTTTAACCTCAATCTAATGACAACATATTAAAAAACCAAAAAACACCCCAAAAAGCCCACTTCAATATATTTAAGTGATTCCAAAACACATTTGTGGAATATGAAGTCAGAAATCACACGGGTAAGCTCATCATAAGGCACATAATTCAAAAAACTCGGTTCTAAAGTAAGTTTCGGCATTAATATGTGTGTATTTGATATTGGTTTCAGAAACGATTGATTCACAGTATTTAATGAGTTCTGAGTACTCATATTACATGCATCCATTACATAAATAGGCGGTGTCTTTAAACGACGTTTTTTACACATATTTTCATCGCTCAACTCAGACAAATCTTGAGCTGCTATATATACAGTCATATCAGCTTATTAAAAACTAAAAAAACACACAAAACCTACAAGAATCTATACATTCAGAAGAAATTGATATGTTGCTTTTGTATGTCTGCAAACAATTTGTTTTTTCTTCATCCATTAGAAATAACACAATCAGTATTAAAAGCGTACGTTGATCTACGAACGGCACAAACTGCACGCACATTATACGCTGTAGAAAAGAGAAAAAATACAGAAAAAAACAAAAAATTAGAGGCTCAAAAACGATTTAAAGCAATGCTAGGAATCCATTCAGTTGGTACGTTTTTTTTTTTTTTTTAAAACGGCAGAATAGAAGCTAATATTGAGTCTTAAGGAGGAATACTTTCATTGCTTGATGAAAAAGAAACGAGCCTACAAATACACGCGTTAAAGAACCTAAAAGAACTAGTAGATCAGTTCTGGCATGAAATTGCAGATGAAATATCGAAAATGTGAGATTGTTTGATTAATTTTAAGTTTTAAAACAAAAAGAAATTGATAAAGAAATTAGTGAAACGCTTTATGAAGATGAAACGTTTCCTCAACGCCAATTAGCAGCACTTGTTGCTTCAAAGGTGTATTATCATTTAGGGGAATACACGGAATCGGCAACGTTTGCTTTGGGTGCGGGAGAATGGTTTGATCTTTCATCATCATCAGAATATGTTGAAACAATTATTTGTAATCTATTTGTGACAAAGATATTTATATGAATTTCTAATTTATTTAGCAAAATTCATTGATACATATATTGAAAAGAATTTTCAAAAATACGAAGATCCTAATGTTGAAATAGATCCAAGATTAATAATAGTTGTGGAGAAGATGTTTAAAAAATATCTAGAGAATAAGCAATGGAAACAGGTACTAGTAAATTGTTTTATATTTTTTATAACCTTTGTATTTTATCAGGTTCTTGGGATTACATTAGAAGCTCGAAGACTTGATATCATTGAAGATATTATGAACAAAAACGAGGATGGATCTTTAAAAAATTATCTTCTGGATGTTGGAATAAGCCTTATACAAAATTTAGACTTCAGAAATAAAGTACGCTTTTTCAAAAAAATAAAAAACATATTTATTATATTAGGTTTTAAGTCTTTTACTTAACTTATTTTTAAAAGAAAAGCAACCTGATTATTTTTCTGTAATCAAGTGTGTTGTTCATTTAGGCGATAGCCATATTGCAGCAAAAATTCTGCAAAATCTTACTTTAAAAAATGATGAGGTTATTTTTATTTTTTAATTATGCAATAATTGACTATTCGCAGAAGAGTTTACTTATTGCATATCAAATAGCATTTGATTTGAATAGTTATGCTACACAAGAATTTTTACAAAAAGTTTCTCAAAATCTTGAACAGTTATTAGCAGAATCAAAAAATGAACAAAATACTGCAAACATGGATCTAGAAAATCTCATTATTTCAAGAATCAAATCCATTCTTGGAGGGGAAGAATCCGTTAAGCTTTATATGAAATTTCTATCTCAAAACAATCGTGCTGATAATCAAATACTAGTAAAGACAAAAGATTCCCTTGATGCTAGAAACTCCATTTTTCACTGTGCTGTTACATTTTCAGTAGCATTTATGAATGCAGGAACAACATCAGATAAATTTTTTAGGCAAAATCTTGATTGGTTATCTAAAGCAATTAATTGGTCAAAATTTAGTGCTACAGCAGCTTTGGGTGTAATTCATCGAGGTGATTTATCACAAGGGATGTCTCTTCTAGCACCATATCTTCCACAAGAAGGCGTATCAGGTTCTCCATACTCCGAAGGGGGATCATTATTTGCTTTAGGTCTTATTCATGCCAATCATGGAAAATCTGTACTTGATTTTCTAAGAAATCAACTAAGAAGTACTCAAGTGGAAACTATTCAACATGGCGCTGCTTTAGGATTAGGTGTTGCTGGAATGGCTACAGGAAATGAAGGTATGTTGTTTCGAAACAGATAATTATATAATAATTGTTATAGAAATATACGAAGACCTTAAAAATGTATTATTTACTGATAGCGCTGTAGCAGGAGAGGCTGCTGGATTAGCAATGGGACTTGTGATGCTTGGAACAGCATCTCCTAAAGCTATTGATGAGATGCTGCAATATGCTCATGAAACACAACATAAAAAAATAATTCGTGGTCTTGCTCTTGGAATTGCAATGCTTATGTACGCTAAAGAAGAAACAGCAGATGTACTTATTGATCAACTTTGCTCAGATTTAGATCCTATTTTACGCTATGGAGGTATTTATACTATTGCAATGGCTTATTGTGGAACAGAAAACAATAAAGCCATTAAAAGACTACTTCATACTGCTGTTAGTGATGTTAATGATGATGTTAGAAGAGCATCAGTTATTTCACTTGGTTTTATTTTACTAAGAAATTCTTTTACTTTACCAAGAATGATAGAATTATTAAGCGAAAGTTATAACCCTCATGTAAGATATGGAGCAGGGCTTGCACTTGGAATCGCGTGTGCTGGAAGTGCTATGCCTGATGCTCTTGATCTTTTAGAACCATTATCAAAAGATCCATCTGACTTTGTTCGTCAAAGTGCTCATATATCTACAGCCATGATATTAATACAACATAACGACCAATCAAATCCAAGAGTTGCTAGTTTTAGAAAACAACTTGAAAAAATTATTTCTGATAAACATGAAGATGCTATGGCTAAATTTGGAGCAGCACTTGCACAGGGGATATTAGATGCTGGAGGAAGGAATGTTACTATAGGTTTACAATCTATTACTGGTAGTTTAAATATGGTAGCTATTGTAAGCACTGCAATTTTTACCCAATTTTGGTATTGGTTTCCTTTGACACATTTTCTTTCTCTTTCTTTTACTCCCACAGCATTGATAGGTTTAAATAAAGATCTAAAGGTAACTTTTGTTTAATATTAAATATGAAGTTAATTTAATAGGTCCCAAAATTTAAATTCATATCAAATGCAAAACCAAGCTTGTTTGCTTACCCTCCAGAAACTAAAAAAGAAACAGATAAAGGCCCAGGAAAAGTTGCTACAGCAGTATTATCAACAACAGCTAAAGCTCAAGCCAGAGCCAAAAAAACAGAAAAGGAAAAGTTAATTAAGGAAAATGAAGAAGATACTATGCAAATGGATACTAATTTTCATGATACAATAGAATCTATACCAGAAAACATGAATATTGATGAAGTAAAAGAAAGTCCAAATGAAACTATCAAAGAAAAAAATATAGTAAAAGAAGACGAACCCCAATTTGAAATATTGCAAAATATGAGTAGAGTGACCTTTTCCCAATTTAAATATATTTCATTTAAAGATGATTCACGTTATATACCTGTGAAAAAAGTAACTACTTTAAATTAAATATTTCTTTCTAACATAATACAGCCTACTGGTGGAATATTGATGATGATGGATAAATGTCCTAATACGCCGGAATCTTTTATTGATTCAGATTTTGAAGGTTTAGTCATATTTTATATTTAATATATAATTTTAATTTTAATTAGAAAAATCAGATAAAGAACAAAAAGAATTAGAAGCAGAGCCACCAGAGCCTTTTGAATATAAAGGATTTACTGACTAATAATTCAATAATATACAGCAATAATATTCTTTGTATCATATTCATTTTTCAATATGTCTCTTTTTTGATAATATAATCATATCATTTAAATATAGTTGACATTTTGTTAAATTTTAATAAAATAAGAGCAAAATAGTGAATGTTTGATTTATTTTTTCTCTAAAACATACATATACTAAAATAGAATAAAACAAAATATTTTATATACACATAAAATTAAATACGAAGTAAAAATTAAATCATTTAATAAAAAAGAAATAAATATAACTACCAAACATTCATTAATTAATAATTAATAATTAATATTTATTTTAGTTCATCTTTAAATATTTTTTTATAACTATACAAAATTCAACTATATTCTTTAAATATCATTAATATAGCTTTTATATAAACAATATCATAAAATAACACTAAATAATTAAAAAAATATTAAACCATTTTTTACTTTTTCCTTATTAACAATTTAATTTTTAAACCTCAATTTCTACAAAGCTAAGAATTGTAATACATCAACAAATTTCCTATCAAATAAATAACATTTCATACAAATTACTTAACCATGATGTAAAATTACTATTCAGAGAAAGAATTCTTTAAAATACCAAATATAAAAATGCAAAAAAAAGAACATTTTTAAACAAAAACATATGCTGACTTCCACTTAAAAATATTTTTCAAATAAATAAAAAGTAATATAACAATACTTGACGCATATCCTGCATATCCACCTATAACAATAGGAATAGGCCATTTTTGCCATATCCTATCCCAATCAAGAGGAATAGGTATTGCACCTAACCATGCACCAATAAATGTACTATAAAAACCTACTGTTAACTTAAGATTCTGCAAAACTTGTAGATCAAGCTCAAAAGAAAGAAGTTCAGCATACTTTTCTGTATCCATTCCAAAAACACATATTAAAGGCAAAATCCCCAGAGTAGTCAAATGCAAAGCACATAGTGCTGTCTCCCAAATATAATCTAGAACAGGTGCACCATAAAAAATAATAAAAATATGTACCAAAAAACATCCAAATACAAAATAAAGAATGGCAGTAAAAATATTCTTTAAAACTAAGAAAATTATTTCACAAATTAAAAGTATACCTTTATATATATATATAAAAGATATTTATGTGTAAAAAAAACACGAAAAAACATATAAATGTTCAAAAAATTTCCAATAAATAAAAAACGTACAATTTGCAGCAACAAAACTAATATAAATAGAGGTCCCATCAAAGTTTTTATCGTCTGTGTCAGAAAAAGATCAAATTTTAAATAAAGAAAAAACAATGGCATTGTAGAATGAAAAATATCGTATATTTCAAGTAAATTTTTAGCAGTAAACATGTTTTTATTTATTAATCAGAACAATGATATCTTTCTCTAATATCGTAAGGTGACAATAGACCGTTCATCAACAAAATATTGAAAAACAATTTTTTCAATATATACACTGAAGAAATAACATAAATACAAAATATAATGGAACAATCATTAGAAGGGGATGTTCCTTCATTAAATGGTTTTTTTTTTTTTTATTTAATGAAAAATAGTTTAAATATTTAGGTAAAAATGAAAAACAAGAAATAATTGAAGAAATTAAAGAAAAAGAGAAAAATGAAGACAAAAAAGACAATGAAGACAAACAATCAAACACTCATGATCCAGTAGAAAACGAAGAACAAGAAAAAAATGAAAAAAAACAAGAAAAAACTAATGAAAAAAAAGTACAAGAAACAGAAAAAAATCAAGATAATGAAATAGAAAAAGAAGATGATGATGAAGATGATGAAGATGATGAGGAGGATGAGGAGGATGAGGAAGATGAGGAAGATGAGGAAGATGATGACCAGGAAGAAGAAGACGAAGATGAAATAGAAGACTATGTTTCTGAAAAGGTATAAATGGTTTCTTTCATAAGAATAATATATTAAACACTTAAAAAGAGACCTAAAAAGCGGAGAAAAGAAAGACGTAACCAGTTCCTTGATGTTGAAGCTGAAGTAGAAGAGGATGAGGAAGAAGAAGAGGATGATGATGATCTTGGAAGAGAAGGTTAATTTGATTATTTATAAACGTAAAATCTATGTTAACAGGATGAAAAGGTTTTATTGCAGAGGAGATGGAGGAATTAGATTCAGACCATATTTTACAGCAGGATGATCGAAAACATAGGGACCTTGATAGACAACTTCAAAAAATTGAAGATGCAGATGCAGAGCGTCTTGCCGAAGAATATCGAGAAAAATATGGACGTTTATCTTCAAGGTTTTATCGTGGAGATACAGAAGTTGTCCCACAAAGATTACTTTTGCCATCTGTTAATGATCCAAATTTGTGGGCTGTAAGATGTAAACCTGGTAGAGAAAAAGACGTCATTTATAAATTGATGCGCAAAACAATTGATCTTCAACACTCAGAAACTCCGGTAGAAATTATATCTGTATTTCAGAGAGACGGAATAGAAGGATATATTTATGTGGAAGCAAAAAAGCAAGCACATATTATTCATGTAAGATTTTTACAGATATTTGCATAAAAACATATATTAATATATATATAGGCGTGTAAAGACATCGTTAGTATCTATACAAGTCGTATTATTCTTGTTCCTGTTAAAGAAATGCCTGATTTACTTAAAATTAAAAAGGAAACTTTAAAATTAATTCCAGGAGCCTACGTGCGTATTAAGCGTGGAAAATATACAGGTGATCTTGCGCAAATAGATAACATATCAGAAAATGGAATGTCTGCAAGAGTAAAAATTATACCAAGGTTGGACTATTCTACTAAAGATAAAGGATCTACTTTTGTTGGGCTTGATACTAAAAAGAGATACCATAATGGATTTTCTACAGTGTCTAGACCACCACAATGTTTTTTTAGTGAAAAAGAAGCAGCAAAATCATCTGGAAATAAAAGTCTTACAAAACGTGGAGCAAAAAGTTATATATTTAATAATGATGAATATGAAAATGGTTATTTAATGAAAGATATAAAATTAACGGGACTAGTAATAGAGGGAGTTAATCCAACATTAGAAGAAATAACAAAATTTAATTCTGGGCTTGAAGATAACCATAATTTTGATTTAACATCTCTTGCACAAAGTATAAAAACATCTAATGTAACGTCAGTATTTCAACCAGGGGATCATGTTGAAGTTTTAGAAGGAGAGCAGGCTGGTGTTCATGGAATTGTAGAAGCTATAAATAATGAAATTATTACATTTTATTCAGAGCATGAAGGTTTAAAAGGTGAAAGAATCGAAATTTCCTCAAAGGGTCTTAAAAAGAGATTCAAACAAGGTGACAATATAAAAGTAGTCAATGGAAAATACAAGGGAGATACAGGCATGGTTATATGCGTAAAAGACGATCAGGTCGTTCTTTTAAGTGATTTTTCCATGACAGAGGTTAGTTTCATTTTTATTATTGTTCACTTTTAATTATTAGATAACTGTATTTTCTAAAGATATTTCAGAGGCAACGCAGTCAACAGGAACTAATGTTGCTTCTAATGAATATAATCTTCATGATTTAGTACAACTAGATGCTAATACAGTAGCTTGTATCATAAAAATGGAAGGAAATTTATTTCGGGTTTTAGATCAAAATGGTCTTTCTAGAACAATTCTTCCAAGTCAAATATCAATGAAACATCAATCAAAAAATTCGGTTTCAACAGATAAAAACGGACTAGAAATTCATGTAGGCGATACTGTAAGAGACATCGATGATAGAAATAAACCGTGGACTGTTATACACATTATTCATCAATATGCTTTTTTATATGATCGAGAAGTTAATGAAAATAATGGTGTTTTCGTTACAAAAACAAAAAATCTTGCTACTATTACAGCAAAAGGAGGCCGTGTAAGCATATTCTTATTGTATTAAACACAATATAACTTTATAGATTACTTCTAGTGGTCCAGATTTAAATAGAATGAATCCTGCATTACAACGACCGACAATAAGTTCAATACACTCTATTCCTCGCTTTTCAGGTAGAGATAAAGCTATAGGAGAAACTGTACATATATGCTTGGGCCCATATAAAGGTTTAGTTGGTATTGTAAAAGATACTACAGAAACATCTGCTCGCGTAGAGCTACATTCAACTCAAAAAACAATAACAATAGATAAAAATAAACTCGGGTTTAAGAAGTAAGCAATAAAAAATATTAAATATTTATATTAAAATGATATAGTCGTTATACAGGGAAAATGATGTCATATTTTGAATTTATTACATCTAAAGGTGGACGTAACAATAAATTTGATACTCAAAACAGTAGTTTGGCATATAATCAATCTAGATCTAATATTCCTGTATGGGCACAATCTTCTAAAAATAAAATTGCACCATGGGTTAATTCAGGTTCAGCAACTCCCTCGTGGGCTAATACTGGTATGCAAACACCTGCATGGTCAAATTCAGGTTCCAAAACGCCAATATGGTCAACTACATCTTCTCAAACGCCTGCATATAATAGAGCAAGAACACCTGCGTATAGCGGATCAAAAACTCCTGCGTATAGCGGATCAAAAACACCTGCAGCTTCTGGATCAGCAACACCTGGTTATGAATCATCGGTATGGAATACTGGAAGTAAAACACCAGGTTATAGTTCAATGACACCAGCGTATATTGGTTCCAATATTCGTTGGACAGAAGAAGACGCACGTCGTCTTGGTTTTACAGGTTTAACCGCACCATGGGAAAATGTAAGTCATATAAATACACCAGGCTTTAGTGTTAATACGTCTGAAAAAAAACATGTAAGAATATAATATTATTACTTGGAATGCCACTAATAAAATAGGAGGATATATCAGAAATACCATCATATATATCAAAAGAATGGTCAGCATCTAATTTTAATGAAAATACCACGTAAGTTTCACAATTTAATTAATATTCATCTTATATTTTCATAGTTTTAAAGATTCATCTAAACCTAAGTCTCAAATACGTGATACAACTACAGAAACAAATGAAGATTATGAGCCTGCTAGTCCAGCATATGCCCCTCCAAGTCCATAATAAATAAACTTCCTTAAAAATATAAGATATTTTTATTAAAAAATATTTCAAATAATATATTGGAAATATTATATCAATTTCTTTATTTAATGGTATGCTAACAAATAAATTGTTCAGTTTTCAATAGTAAAATGGAAATTGCAAATATTTTGAAAAATTAAAAAGTTAAATCAAAAATCTTAATTTTAAAATTTGTCTATTTTGATTAAAGATAACATTGAATCAAAAATAAGTCATAATTTTATACAAAAATCAAATAAACTTACAAGTGTACAAATTTAAAAAATACTTACAAATATTGGAAATTTATAAAGTAATTGAATAATTAACAAAAGAAATTAACATTAATTTTATGAACATGTCTAAAATGCTATTTAAATACACTTGAATTATCTATTAATAACAAAAACCGAGTTACTATATTATTCACTAGAATAGCCCAAAAATTATTACAAAACAGCTCAACAAAAACATCTTTAACATTAAAACTCAACAAATTACTCCTAAAATCAACTGTCTAGATCATACTTTATCCTCTGTTGAAAGAATCACTCTTCTTGTTCGATTCAAAGCCTCTATTTCATATCCAATTGCAATATATAATAAATTCAAATGCTGGTTATTTACAATTCTTGTTAAATCTCTAAGCCTTAAAAGCCCTTTGTCGATAATATTTATTATTTCTGAGACCTTACAACTACCTTTTTTTGTACATTCATAAACATTTTGCTCAAGAGACTGTAAAAAAATAATCGTGCTACACCATAACTTTGATCCCTCTGATAATGCAGTATATTCAGAATGAATAAGCTTAATATCGTCGTTAATAAGAGATAATTCGGTTTCCCACATTTCGCGTAAAGCGTCTCGTGATTTCTCTTGATTTGAATGTGGTATTAACTTCTTAAATTGTTCAATAAACCTTGTTTCATCTGCACTAATTTCAGCCAAACGAGATTTTTCTTTTGAGAAACGCGTTCCAAAAGAATTATGAAGCTCCTCGATATGATTCAAGATATTTTTCAAATCATTTTTTTTCTCTGCTAATTTAATTTCTGTTTCATTGATTTCCTGTGCCAATTTATCTTTTTTCTGAACTAATGAAGAAATCAATTTAAAATTCTCGTCAGATTTCTCTTTTTCACGAATATACATAGACAAATATTGTTGCTCATTTTTCCATTGATCTAATTTTTCAAGTCCTTCAGTTTTAAATTTCAGTTGCTTATTCAAACATTGATGAATCGCATTCTGAACATCCTTAAGAGCTATCATTGTCTTTAAGATGTCTGTTCTGATTGTATTCACGTTTCCTTTACGAAAAAACAATGCTCTTGAATGTGCATAAACTAAATGCTGTATTCGCTGCTGAAGAGGTAAAATAGACTGCTTTAACTGCATAATATCACGAGAATCAATACAAATAGCCTTAGGAGAAGGTGTAGAAGGAAAACAAAGAGATGTTAACGTCTGCAAAACTTCTTTATTAACAGTTCCATCATTTTGTATATTTTCCCTGAAAAAACGTCAAAAAAGTGCCATTAAAAGCGGAATTTTTGCTGATATACTTCAAAAAAAGAGCTTTGAACGGCTGAAACAAAGATTCCTCGTCAATTTCAAGAGATCTTATATGTTTTTCTTCTCTCCATGGCTTTACTGCAGATGATACGTCAAGGCTCATCGTCGATAACGCGAATAAACTGCACAAACAGATAAGCAAAAATGAAAAAATAAAATAATAAATAAATAGATAAATAGTGAAATAAATAGATTATTCTTCGTCCTTAAAATCTATTGGCATTGGCGGAAACCCCATAGCAGAAACATGATCGTAAGATTTATAATTGAGTGAAGATGCGGGTACAGAAGTAGAAGCTGTTATAGACATTTGAGAAGTAACAGGAGAATAAGTAGAAATATGTCTGGAAACACCTTGATTGAATGTTTCCTTTATATTTTTTGAATGAACCGAAGCCTCTGGGACCGAAAATACAGATAATTCGTGATCATTAGGAAAAAAACTCGAAAGTGACTGATAAAGTTGTGCTGTAGTATCTTCAGGAGAAATTGAAGTGTTTTGAGAAGAATAAGTTGTAGATGTTTGAGACGGAGACAAAACATTATTGATAAGTGAGGAAAAAAGAGTAGTAATAATCTTAAGAAAATTAGAATTAGTAGAAAATGAAATAAGTGCTGAGCGCAATGAAAAAGGAACCGTATCGTTGAACAAAGTAAGATTTTGAGACAAATTTTCAAGAAAAGTCTGTGAAAACTCAACAGCATTAAATCCACTGTTATCAATATTATGATTCGAAAAAGTCATATTATGGCTAGAAGACGCAGTCATGGAAGATTCAAGAGAACGCTTGCGCTCCCTATCCTTACGTTTCATTTGACGCTTTAAAAACTCTGCTTCAATCCATTCTGACTTAGCAAGAGATTGTTCTTTCCCATAAAGTTTGTGTGCACGTTTATTGACCCGGCAGCGAAGATCATTGTCCTTATTCCGATCTTCATTCGCCTGACGCCAACGTTTCTTACGTTCCCTGTTTTCCTGACGGATTTTGTCTGTCAAACTGCCCTTTTGAACACTCAAAAGCGGATCTAAATCTGCTGATGTACTTGGCTTCAAAAACCCTTTTTTTTCATCATATTTCACCGCTCCAGAAACATCCTCAGTAATACAAAGAACTTCAGAAGAAATATGTGATTCAGAAGGTAAAGAATTCTGAGATTGAGACACTTTTTTAGCCATTTTTTTCTAAAAAAAACTTTAACTTTAATTCCAGTTTTATTTCTGCAACCAAAAAACAGATTTTCGCGAAAAAAAACACAAACAGGTACTATGCAGAAAGGAGAATCTGTTTATAAGCTTTTCTAGAGATATCTAATCTTTTTTCCTCTATTTAGCAAACTTTTTTGTCTTTTGTCGTTAGTATGACGTTAAAGATTAATTAAACGATAGAGCTTCACGATACCACACGATCACAATACGACAATTATAAGAACAGTGACGACATTGGCAATAATAAGAACCGCTATTTGCAATATTAATAGGATAAAACTTTATGAATTTCATGTTTCAGAAGCTTTTCAGTAAGTATTTTTATAAATAATGAGAAACTGATGGAGAAAAGGACATGTTGCGCTTTTGAACGGTGTAATATTTATATATACAGAGAAAAAAGGCTTTTTAGTAGAGATTTAAGCTTTTTTTATGCTTTCAGATCGAAAAAATATACAAAATCAGTATTTAACAGGGTTTTTAATACATATGGGATGTCATTTAGTACGCTGTCGGCAGAAAACTTGTCAAAAAACATAAAAAAAAGTTATTTTCAGCACAGAAAGATTCAAAGCTATGTTCCTGTTCCAGCTAGACCTTCTATTTCTACGTTTATAGAGTTGACAAAGCCCCGTTTGACATTTCTTGTAGTGCTTTCGGCAATGTCGTCATATGCACTTGCACCGTTTCCATCAGCCTCTATGTCAACACTTATTTTTCTTACATTTGGGACAACATTATGTTCTTCTTCAGCAAATGCTTTTAATATGTTAATTGAATCAGCATTTGATGCACAAATGTCTCGAACACGTTCTCGTCCGCTTGTTCGTGGTATTATTTCACTTCCAACTGTTTTTTCATTTGTATGTGTAACAGGTTTTCTTGGAATTTTTTTTCTTGCATGGGGTGTTAATGGAACAACGGCACTTTTGGGTATTACAAATATTTTCCTCTATGCAGGAGTTTATACACCGCTTAAACGTATCTCTATCATAAATACATGGGTAGGCGCTATAGTTGGGGCACTACCTCCTCTTATGGGGTGGTCAGCGAGTTCTAATGGAGACCTTTTTAGTCATTTAGGTGGATGGGTCCTTGCAGGCATTCTTTATGCATGGCAGTTTCCTCATTTTAATTCTCTTTCATGGAACATTCGTCAGGAATACGCACGTGCAGGCTATCATATGACGTGTATTATAAATCCAAGTCTCAATGCACGAGTATCTTTACGATATAGTCTTTTATGTTTTCTTCTTTGCTGGGCATTGCCTGTCACCGGCCTGGTGGATTCCTTCTACTTTTTTGATAGCAGTGTTATAAATATGTTTATGACAGTCTACGCATGGAAATTCTATCGGCATCAAAACGAGAAAAATGCTCGAGAATTATTTTTTGCGAGCCTTATTCATCTTCCTTGCATTTTTTTACTTGCATTAATTCACAAAATAGTCATGATATGGCCCAAAAAAGAAAATAAAATCCAATGTAAAAATTCCATACCATAGTAATTATTATTAATCATATGTTTTCAAACTCATTCAATATTATGTTACATTTACACATTATGTTAAATTGGAAAAAAAAGACGTCTGATTATCTAGTATATTTTTTTTATGTTTTAATGATTTATTCGCTGTATCATCACATGTTTCATGATTTTCCCAGCCATCAACGCCCCAATTCACCTTCCAAGCATTTATTTCTCGGTCTTCTCCACTTAGTATCCATTTAGCATCATATGTCTTTGCCAACACATCAACACCTGTTTTTTGATGCCCAATAATTCCCATTTGCCGATTGGGATGAATGTTTAAAAGCTGTATGACACCATTACTCCCACCTACGATAATTGTATCATCATTCCATGAAATCATGCTATCGACGCTTAATACACTCTTCTTTTTATACAATAAAATCTGGTCCGCGTATTTATCCCATTCTCCTTTATTAAATATTTTCACCGTTCCTGAGGCCGTTCCTATACATATCTTTGGATTTTTTGACTGAGATTTAACCAAACATGATGATAAAAAATCATCTTCATTCTCTGAAACCGCCAAAAGCTTCCATAAGCGAAAATCATGTGCCGATAATGTTCCATCTCCACTTTTTATATCAACCAATTTTAAAATACACCGTCTTGCTCACCTTGTAGATACTAAAATTCTATTGTCCAAAGACAAGAAAGATGAAATAAAATCATTGTGCACTTTTCCTTCTTTTATACACGCACCCGTTCTTGAATCCCACATCTAAGATAATCAATTAAACCCTTTTCTTTTTCTTCTGCCTACTTTTATATATCCATTGTCATCTCCTGTAGCAAGCATCATTTTAGACATAAATCCGACAACATTGATCGCATCTCTACTCTTCTTTTAGACTTGTCTACACTTAATACTCTTTTTACTCATGTGCTTCCCGTTTTTTCCATATAACTTGCCCTGTTTCACTACTTGCACATTTAATTACGCCATCTGCTCCAACTGAAACAAGTTCTATACACAAATATCCCAATAAACTCGTTCAAATCACAATCTATACCTCCTACCTAAACCATCTGCACTATATTTCAGATCCCGGCATGCTTTTCTGTGTCTTCGTGTATGCCATACTCTTTCATACTTTTTCAAATCCCCTTCATACCGATAACTATCTTATAATTCATTCTTGTCTTCTTCTAACCACTGATCTACCTTGAAACTCGTCCTGTCAATGTACCTACAGCAAAAACTGATACTGATGGGTGTGTTTCAATTGAAAAAACTTCTGAATCTACTTCAATCCCCATTAAACATAGAAGAACTAATCATATAATTAAAATATATCAAAATATACCAAAATATACCAAAATATACCAAAATATACCTTCTACAACCCAATCCACTTGTATATTATGTATATTACATATATATTACGTATATATCTGTCGTTTAAAGCCAAAAACTGACAATATCAAGAATTATTTACGTTAACACTGATAATGATAAAGTGAAGATGTAACTGCAAAAAAATATAAAATATTAAATAATGTTAAGCAATGCCAAATAATGAATAAAGAAGCACTTTTCTTCAGCAGCAAAGAAAAAGAACTAATTGAAAGACCTTTACAGAGCACTAAAAGCCACAAAAACAATAATATATCTTTTGATGAGGTTTATGAGATTGCAGATACTCAGGAGTTTATCTTAAGAGGAAAATTTCAGCGAGTATAGATATAGAAAAAAAGGAGGAAAGGCTTATAAAAACAGGTTGCTCTTCAGTTTCCAGACGAATTACTAGGAGATGCAAGTGAGGTTTCAGTACGGCTGAGTAGAGATGTTCCAGCAGCGTTTTTTATTCTTGGAGATACATCATATGGAAGGTATAGAGGAAAGTTTTGTAATTAGAGGAAAAATGAAAGAAATAGCTGTTGTGTAGATGAAATTACAGCAGAACATGTTAATGCAGACTGTCTTATTCATTATGGACATGCGTGTTTAAGCCCGTAGGCGTATGAGGAATAATGGGGAAAAAAAAGCTAATTAAGGAAGAATAGAGCGGTTGCCGGTGAAATATGTATTTGGAAGACAAGATCTAGAAATAGAAAAGTGTTTGGAGGCATTTGAAACGATATACCAGCAAGAAAGTTGGGTTATTTTAACAGGAGAACAATATTATGCAAATGCACTAGGTAAACAGGATATACAGAGCGTTTATACAAAGTAAATTAAAGAATACAGATAAAATATTGTCTGAATTGTTATCTCGTGGGTACAGTCAAGTGGTTCGAAATGAGGAGGAATACAGTAAAGAATATATGGCAAAAGTAATAAACGAGGATATTGTAGAAGCAAGGAGTTCAGGAAAACAGCTGGCAGCTATATATAAGGATTTTTCAGTGTTTTATGTTGGAAAAGAATCTCCTGCACTTACAACATTTGCAATGACATGTCATTTACATGTTGCATCATTTTATTCATATGATCCAGTGGAACATAAGGTTATTCATCAATCACCGGATACCGATGCACGATTACGTCGCCGATACATGGTGGTTCAGAAAGCAAGAGATGCATCTGTGATTGGAATTGTAGTTGGGACGTTAGGTGTTTCAAGATACCTTGAAGTGATACAGCATATGAGGAAAATGATTAAAGAAGCAGGGAGAAAAAGTTATATGTTTGTTATAGGAAAATTGAATCCAGAAAAGTTAGCGAATTTTGCAGAAATCGAATTATTTGTATTAGTGAGTTGTCCAGAAAATTCATTAATAGAATCGAAGGTTTATCTTTTTTATAAAAAACGTATTTGTTCTGATCGAAATAAAGGACTTTTACCGCCCCGTAACAACACCATATGAGCTTTATCTTGCACTTTCATCTAGTATTTGGGACAAAAAATGGATTACAGATTTTTCAAGCATACTTTCTTTAAAACCAGAAGAAAACAACTCTTTAAATGAAAAAAACGAACCACATTTTTCTTTAGTAACAGGTCGTCTTATGCAGCCGTCGATTGTAAAAGAAGAACAAGTACAGATAAAGGAGGAGTCTTCACTGTGCAATAGTCAAGATGTAATAAAATCAAGTGAACATAGACAGCTATCAGTCATCCATCGTGTTCACAGTGTATCCGCAGATTTCCATAAAAACGAAAGAAATTGGCATGGTTTGTCAAAAATCAAAGCACAAACTCAAGCAGCTCCACTTGAGATTGGCAAAAGTGGAATTGCATGTCAATATCAAAATGAACATGAGCATTAAACAATGTCTCATATTTTCAATTAGCAACATAAACCACGATTTAATTATGATTCTAAAAACAACAATATTAGTACAATAAACATTTTAACAAATGAATAATCAATAAATTAATAAACCAGTAACAAATCAATCACTATTTTAGCGATAAAACATATCACAATAAAACAAAAATCTGTATTTACAATTCGTTTTCAAATCATACTTATATTCTAATTCGGCTCCCTAACTACTGTTTTTCGTCATTTTCTCACGAATGCTCACACTGCTCAGTTTCAAACCAGATCTTTCTTCGATATCAGGAATCACGTTAATACAAAATAAATCTAGTGGTTTCATATTCCTACGCACACGCTCCTCATTTACCATCTCTCCACCTTTTCTTGTCTCTTCTGATACTACAATTGCTTCAATGTCTTTATCAATTATCGTTGCACCATAGACATCATAAATCGGCTTCACCGAACACACAAGTCTTTTATTTATAATGCTAAAAAAGGATTGTACATTCTTTATCCTATTCTCAATTGGCTCAATCCATTCCTTGTATTTCTTTGTCTCTAGCATTTTTTCCGCTTTTTTTATTAGCAACACTAAATATGCACAACTAGCACACAGATCATTTTTACAAATATATCCTTTTTTCTCCTTTCCATTCATATTTTCTACTTTTTTCCTACTATTCTGTGTGTTATACTTCTTACCTGATACTCCACACATCACCCTCTCATTACTGATCCATGCCGACATCGTCAGCAGCACTTTGTGTCCCGCATGGAGATGATCAAATGTGCCCCCAACTAAACATATTTAGCACAAACCCCCCTGTTTATCATGTCTTCTCTCCAATCCTCCCCTTACCTGCCACTTTTTTGTATCTTTGCACCTTTTCCTTTGCTTCCTGCTCTACTCCTGTCACGTGACCCAAAGCAGAAGTCACGTGATCATCCTGTTTGCAGCTGATCAGATGAATACATGTTTGCAGCCTTTCCGGGACAAATTGTACATCATCTGTATCCTGTTAGTTGAGCGACAAATATACACGTGCCTCTCGGATGCATTGTAGTCCTGTGCAGATCCCTGCAGCAGCCGGAGTCACGTGAAAGTCACGTGACAAACAAACAGACCTTCACAAAGAATATAAATATCAGCCCACTTGTATGGCTGATCAAACAAGGAATAACCACACCAATTGGCAATAATAACGAATATCTGAGGCGCCTTTGGGTAAAAAAAGGACCTGCTTTTCTCTGAAGAAGCGTATAAAACATGTAGTAACTGGTGCACCTGAGAAAAAGAAGCATCAGGAGATAAATCAAGTATATAGACAAATAAAGCAGAAGCGTTGACAGAAGAACTAGAAGTTTCTTTTAGTGCAGAATCCACTGTATTTTTTGTATTTTTTGTTTTATCTTTTATACACGCATCAAAAATAAAGCTACAACGTGCAGGATCAACAGCAACAGCACTCGACGCAGTGGCAGACAAACAATCAGAAAAACCAGCAGTTTGGGCTGCTTTAACGCGAAAAAGAAGAGCTGATACAGAAGAAAAGAACATATCTTCCGAAATGAAACAGGTGCAGTGAGTTTTAGTCAAGTTTAAGCAGAAAATTAAAAAAAAACCGAGTAAAAATTGTAAAAAAGAATTGAACAAGTCTAGAAAGAAATTAAGAGAAAAAAGACTTAATACGGGGTATTTAGTGTAAAATAGACCTTATAAAACTGTTGATAAGGACCCAAGAAGTATTTTTAGAGATTTTTAAACCGGATTTGGGGAATTGAATTGAATTTTTATAATAATTATTTAATTGGATGCTTAAACCGAATATTTGAAGAAAAATAACATATAAAGATCAATTGAGCAGAATGAAGGTCAATAGGACAATGGACCAACAAAGAACAATACATCGTGGACAGTTTGTAGCAGACTGGCCAACATATGCAGTTGACTGGGCAGGCGATGTATATGGTTGTGTACTTGTTGGTAGTTTTGCAGATGATGGAACGAATAAAGTGAGTTTAAAGTTGCAAAGAAGCACAGAGAAGTGAAAAAATTTTTAAGAATTAGAAAAAAACAAAAAACTGCATCTTAATAAATAAAAAACACCAAAACAATTTCAAAATAGTGCTAAGAAGCAACAAAAAAACATAAACATGACTAACGGCATAGATTGAAATACTGCAGATGCAACCAACGCAGCTAGTACACAGTATAGCTACAGCACAGCTTAATTATCCAGCAACACAAGTACAATGGGCGCCTCATAAAATAACGGGAAGGGACAGTGGAAATATACCTTTTAATCTCTTTGCAAGTACTGGAGGTGCATTTCAATTATGGAGTATTGAAGATGGTGTCGTTTCTGCTTTAGCAATGCTTAAACAGGTAAGTCTGATTAGATTAGCAGCTAAAAATTATTAAACTATGTTTAAATCTATCATAATGCTAAAAAAACAACGTAGAAAAATACGAATGTTTTAAATGATGTAGAAGGTTCAACAGCACCGACAACATCAATGGATTGGAATATAATACGGAGAGAAATAGTGGTAACAGGATCAGTAGACACAACATGTGTCGTTTGGAATGTAGAAAGACGGATAGCACAAGCACAGTTAATTGCACACGACCGGGAAGTGTTTGACGTGGCATTTCTTGCACGAAGTGCAGATGTCTTTGTCAGCACTGGTGCTGAAGGCAGCCTCCGTATGTTTGATCTACGGTATAACACGAAAAAAAAAACTATAGATAACCCATAGATGTATTTAAAATGAGTTTATTTCTTATTTTTTGTTTCATTTCTATATCATCTATTTATCTAGTTTTATCTTCTAATAGAAGAATATTAATGTTAAACAGGTCGCTTGAACATTCAACAATTCTTTATGAAGCATCATCAAATGGGTCTCTTCCACTGTTGCGAGTAAGTGCAAATACCCAAGATCAACATTTTGTTGCTACATTTCATCTTGATTCGAATACTGTACATATTATCGATATTCGATTCCCTGGTGTACCATTGCTTAATTTAGCTGGTCATGAGGGAAATATTAATTGTGTTAAATGGGCACCAGGAAGCCGAAATATTTGTTCTACGGGAGGTGATGATGGACAAATACTAATATGGAATACAACAGAGAATGGTACGTTATTTGATGCAAAAACATGTATACATAACCCATGATACATATATAAAGTGTTGGCTAAAACGAAGTAGCTTTATATGGAAATATGAAAAACAATACATGTAGACAACTTAATGAATCTATTTTTTTTTGGAGTGCAGAAGCCGAAGTTAATAATTTATGTTGGTCTAATGATGCTGAATGGATTGGTGCATGTTGGGGAATCAGTTTCCAAGCATTAAAAGTATAACTTTCGCCATAAAAATTCTTTGAAATTTGAAAAATATTTTATGCATGTCAAAATTATATATTATAAAAAAATAGGGCATTCTTTATTTATGTCTTTAAATGCAGCATCATGGAGAAACTTATGAGTTTTAAAAAACATTCAAATCCTGATTAATTATCCATCGTTAAAGGATATAAGTCTTTGTTTTCGGATCCAGGGCAATTAAGTCAACATTTCTTTATGGTATTTATACATACCGTTCAATTCATTAAATATACTTCAAAGTACCTCGTTAGGACATTCATTAAATGTCAAAATACTTAATAAATTACATAATTATTTACACAATCAGTTCTTTAAATTTCATAAAACAAAATTAAGCTTCTAAGAACCCCAGTTTAAAATCATAATTACATTTATAACCATAAATATATACCTCAGAACAAAAATAACATTCCGACTTTATTGAGAATTTTGAAGATCTAAATAGTAATTATTTAGTATATTTATACCATTAAAAACAGATTCCATTTTTTCAAATCTATAAAAATACAAACATACAGTATATTTACTTCATTTCAGTATTAACTTAACGCTTCATCAATCTTTTTTAAAAAAGTATTAAACGTAGTTAAACGATCTAATATACCCCATGATTCTGTCATAAATGGTGTTACAGTTTGTAATAAAGAAACAACTCCAGTCTAATACATGTTATTTCTTTTCATTAAACTAATAGTTTTAAAGTAGCAACCTTTTCTGTATATTTAGTATTTAGAGATATTTTGTTATGCAAAATCTCTATATCTTCAAGAAAATTCTGAATACTTTTCAATGCCTATAAAAAAAATATTAAAATTTAAAATCCAAGAACACATATTACTATGCCTACCTGGTTCTCGTTATTAGCATCATTATGACATTGTCTAAGATGACGCATTTTTACAGCAGTATCATTTCGCACTTTTCTTATCGTATAAAGCTCATTACGCAAATGAGCAATGTTTCTAGCAGATTTTCTAACAGCACGATCAAGAATAAGATAATTGTCAAGTATATCAGTCATCTCCAAAAACTTAACAGCAACTTCTTCTTCGAATGCATGTATAACTTTCTTAGCATATGCAGACTCTGTTTTTTTACGCAAATGTTTTAGCAGTCCTAAAACTACTTGGGATACAACATCTATTTCATTAATAGAGCCAGAACCCCGTTCAGAAAACTTATGCACTGTAATCGGAACTTTTGTTTTTGTTTCATCATAACCATAATCATGATCGTCATCGTCTGTATCACTATATTCTTCTTTATCACTATCTTGCTGGCTCTGATAATCTCTCACTGGTGATTCATATATTTTTTGACGTTTCACTATTTTTTCACCATGTACATTCTCTGTTAAAGACTTTTCCAAACGCTTAACATTTGAATGTGGAGTAATATTTTTAACCGGTTGCTTTACAAATCCATTCACAACATTATTATTTAAAAATTGTTCTTTTAAAGGTGTTAACCCTACTGATATTCTTGGAGGAGGTTTTGAAGCAGGACTTCCTGTTCTCCGAGCAAACGAAGAGACAGAAGACTTATGAAATACATGTTTAGATTTCAAAGGACTAGCTTCATGTATTCTTTCACCATGTTGATTCATTTTCTTCTGCACCTATCAGCTCGTTCTATATAACAAAAATCTTTTACATGACGAGACTCGTTCAAAGTACGCAATGCAGAAACAGACGGAGACAATGCCAATGGTCCATAAAGACGTGATGCTATATGATCATTCTTTTTCCCTGAGTGCTTTATTAATGATGATGGCTTATTTTCATTTCTCCCTGTATCGACATGGGATAACTTAGGAGAACGCAAAGAAACCGGAAGAATCTCAAATGGAATACTTTGGATTTTATGTTTACTAGAAAAATAAGCCTTTTCTAGCCCATAAATATGCTCTTACACTGCTCCTCGTTGACGCATTGCTTGTTTTTCCTGAAAATGCCGAGACATTTGATTTTCTATATATTCTTAGCCAAAATTCACGGGAAAAAAAGGAAAAAATACGGTTCCATGTCTCCTGAGACATTTCTTATATAAAATTAAGTATATTTTCTTTTCTTAAAGGAAAATCTTGCAAAATATCTTGCTTCGTTTGCTCGGAAAACTGTTGACGTTCGATATCAATATATCGAGATGTACGTGAACGGTACAAATTGTACGTGCCAGAATATAGCTAAATAGACAATAAGGCAGCTTTGGAAGCGAAAGTACTTTTTACAATGTCCTTAGATATTTAATATGTCATTAGCATAAAAAAATATATTTTAATACATATGTATTGTTTTGTCTATAAACCTATTACGTAATATATGAGTTAAAAAATGATATTAAAATAATGAATGTATTTATGTGCGATGTGAAACGAACATACACAGACACTTAAGATCAAGTGCATGCCATATAATCATCGAAAAAGATTGATCTTGGGATGTAACTAGATATTTTGCGTGAAACAGCCGTGTAATCAGGCATATTAGCAAAGTATCAATATGTAATCCCTACAGAAATTAAAGTAGTAGGATGAAAAATTTTTAAAATAAATCCATATTTTTTTTTTCCATAAAAGCAGCCTTAAAACGACTAACTTTTTTTTTAGGAAAGTTATTATCTTTATATTCTTGGTTAAAATTATTATGAATAAGATGTTCATTTTGTGCATGTATCTTTTGTTTTAGTCTATAATATTCAGCTGCGATTTCTCGCCGATGAAGTGAAGATTCAAGTTCATCTAAAACATGTTCAGTCGACTCAACCAAAGGCCGCTCAACCACATCTTTAATTAAAGGGTTTTTTTTTATACATGGTTTTTCGGGAGAATATGCGTTTTGTGTATCAGGACAATCTTCCTCTACAGTTTCTATTGAATCAGAAAAAGTAACCTTTTTAACACGTTCTGAAGTTTTTGAAGAAACGTTCTGTATACATAAAGGACTAATGAATCCACGGGTTCTTCCATATTGATCTTCAGTTACTTCACTGTCATCACTATTGTCATAAGAGTGATCCTGACTTGTATTATTTTCTTGTTCATCGATTTCATTAATAAGATCAATCATTGTCTCCATATTCTTCTGTGTTGGAACATTGGTAGACAAGTTAGTTTTAGAAGTATTTTTATTTACAAGAGACTCCTTAATATTTGGCGATATTTCCTCTAAATCTTTATCCGGACTAGAACCTTTAGAATAATCACCACTATATATGCCCGATGATAAATCAAGTTTTTTTAGAAACTCATTCGACGCCTCTACTAGCCATGGCTCTGCCAAACGGTCAAAAACTTCTGCATCTAAAATCCTTAGCAAGTCATAGACATAAAATCAAAAACTACGAGCAATAGACCCATCTTCATTAAGTTCTTCACGAATCTCCACTATTGGTAATCCTTCTTCATTATATATCTGAAAAATATCAAAATATTATCTAAAAACAGCGTATAATCAGCACTTTTCCCTGATTCATTTCTATCGTATGATCAAGCTGAAATTTGATATCTTTACATTGCCGATCTAGTATTTCTAGACGTTCTTTAACATCTAAGTACTTTTAAACCACAATTGAAGAAATAAATACTTGGAAAAGCAGGAAATGCTTACATTTAAGCCTTCGGTCAACAATATCTATTGCTTGAACAGATGACCGCTCAACAAACCAATTTTCACCAAAAAGTACCAAAATTTCATTAGTATGTATAAGAGTACCTGGAATATATGCTTTTTGACTAAATGGAACCTAGAAATGATCAACTTTGTCCTATTTCTTTGCTGAAACATACCAGATAAGGTCGTTGTGTTGTTTTCGGCAGATCCACCAAAAATGATCGCAGTTTTTCGTATTCTTTTTGATAATTCTTCCATGTATTTAAATTTTCTTCCGTTTCTTTGTATTCTTTCTGCAAAATAGAACAAATTTCTGTCCAATTTTCATCTGTTTTATTTGCTTTGTTCATCAGTGTCGTTAGTCAACTGTTCAGACTTGTACTTAATAACTGACAGGTTTCTATGACAACCAACGATGAGTGGCAATCTAACAGACAACAACCAAAAATTAGATTACAATGAAAGAGAAATCAAATGGCCAAAAAATACAGCAAAAAGGTATTTTTATGCTTAGAAATATCATTTAAAACATATATAACCTTTTTTCCAGACGAAAAATGCCCTATTTGTCGCAATGATCCATATTTAAATCCAAATATGAGGTTTTTAATCAATCCAGAGTGCTATCATAAGATGTGTGAGTCGTGCGTAACAGTAAAAGCTTCTTAAATACAAATTATGTGTTTTTTTAATTTTTTTTCAGAGGATTTTTACATTGGGGCCATCACCCTGTCCTGAATGTGGAAAAATTCTCCGTAAAGGACGATTCAGAGAACAAACATTTGAAGATACAGTTGTTGAAAGAGAAGTTGACATAAGGAAAAGAGTGTGTAAGACGTAAGAAGTATTTTTTATATTTAATTGCAAAAAAAAGCTAAAAATGATATGTTTTAGGTTTAATAAACGACCGGATGATTTTGAAACATTAGCTCAGTACAATGACTATTTGGAAGAAGTTGAAAACATAAGTAATGATAAGTAGTAAATTATATAAATATTTATTTTTCTACAGTATTTAATTTAGTAAATAATATTGATGTGGAAGAGACAGAAGCCAAACTTTTAGCTTACGAGGCTATTAATAAAAAGTCAATTATAATAAATGCCCAGAAAGCAGAAATCGAAGCACAAATTATTTTACAGAATGAAGAAAGATTGAAAAAAGAAAAAGAAATATCACAAAAAATGGCTATCAAAGAAAAAGAAATGGAACATATTAAAAAAGAGAAACATAAACAAGAGTTGATTCAAGAATTAGTAAATAAATTGAATTTTTAATGCTTTAATAAGCTAATCATACATATAGGCAGTTTCTAACAAACATGCATCAAAAATTGTTGAACGCAGTAATGCATTGTCTCTTAAACGATCGACAATTCGAAAACAACAAGCCATTCAAGAAGCAAAAATTGCAATTGCAGCGCTCACTGCTTTTCAAAGTTCAGATTCAAGCCAAAACCAAGAAAAAGATAGCGTATTTTCACCTATGGCAGGCCAGGACAAAGAAAATGTATTATATGTTGTAAAAGAAACTTATAATGATTCGTATAATTTCTAAAAACCCATACTTATCATATTACTAATTAATATAAGCTTTCTTAAACCTTTGTTAGAAAACAAAACTATTCGTGGAGGAGGATTTAATATTAATGATGTGTATAAACGTGTTTTATTTGAAGCATTTTCCGGTTTAAATTTTGAAAATTCCAATAAATCACAAGAAAATCCACCGTCTTGATCTCACTTTTTTAATTATAATATTATAAAATATTATATAATATAGAATTTTGAAGGTATTCTAAAAATTAATAATTATTTTATACAAAATTATTTACATATATCTGTATTTATACGTTATAATTATTTATACCAAAACTCTTCACTTATTAGATTAACAGTATTGTTTCTGAAAATAACAATTATTAATATAGAATGAACCAAAAAATATATAATATAAATTAAACATCCATTCTACTATTTTTTAATACTTTTTTTAAAATATCACTACCATCCTTAGTTATTTCAGCTACATCATACAATGCATAGATTTGATCTGCCTATAATAAATTAGATAAAAATAATTTCAACCAAAAAGAATACTTTTGCTTCTAATTCTTCAATAATGCTTTTAAGTCTTCCTACAAGAACTTTTCGCTTTTTCTTTCCTACAGCAGGATCTATTTTTTCATAAGATTGAATAAATTCTTGATATTTCCTATTTCAAATATTAATAAAAAATATTAAACATAATTATTTTTACAATTTCAAATGTTTAAATTCATCCTCTAATTGTATTATAACCATGGAAAGTGCATTTTGTGGAGACATAGATGGTCTAAGTGTATTTTCCTCTTCATATATATTATCAAGTTTTGTTTTTGCACTAAAAGCTAATTGATTATTGTTTTCTATAACATATTAATATTTAAAGTTATATTATAGAAAAAATACTTCGAGATGCAATTTCTTTTTGTCTTTTACGACTACAGACAGAACAACTTGTAGGATTATGGCGAGCAAGTCCATCAATAATTTTCTGAGCATTTACATCTATATATGATTTTGAACGGACATTTTGCTTAGATTTATTACCATATGTCTGTTTAGATCTATCTAATTTTGTTTTTAATTTGTTTTCGACTTGTATCCAAGCCGGCTCTTTATTTAATAAAATATCATCATCGGATGAATATTCTTTACTATAATCGTATTCAAAAGTATCATCACTACTTTCAGAGTCCGTAGTTATAGATGTATTAATTTTCTGTTTTTCTAATTGATTTTCCAAATTTGCCTTTGATTTCTATTTAATATTAAATAAATATAACAATAACTATAAAAATAACCTTGCATGATTTTTTTATATCAGATTTATTCTTTTTTTTCGAACTTTTAATAGGAGATGCAAACAAACTTTTTCGACTAGGCTGAGCAGTTTTTAAAAGTAAAGACTTTTTTGTTTTACATGAAGGCTTAGACACTTTATCTGTTTCTTCCTAAATAGAGATTAGTCCTATTTATTCTTGAAATACATTAAATAATACATTATCAGTTACAGTAAAATCAGATTTATACTCTTTTGATGTTTCATCATTCGTTTCACTACTTTGTGATTCTAGTTGATCTTTTTTTAAAACACTTTTTTTTTTCGATGATGATTTTGAAGAATGCTCTAAATTCTTTTGCTTAATATTCTCAGATTTCTTCATCTTATATGTTCTTTTTAAATTTTCAATTTCTTTAACCAATTTTTTATTCTCTATTTTCAATTGATCAACCTCAGATAATGTTTCCATTAGTTTTTTTAAAACTTCATTTTTTTCTTCTTTGATAGTATCTATTTTGGATTTGTTAACACTAAGTTCGTGTTCAAGAGTTTCAATCTGAGATTTCAAAGTAGAAACTTCATTTTTTAATCGTATGCGTTCCATAGTATGTGAAAGTTTCTCACATTCTTGTGTTTCACGAATATAATGTAAATTCTCATTTTTGTTACTGTTATTAATTTCTTTGTCTTGCTTAATAGTTACTGAACGTTTTTTCTCCGCAAGATATAATTGTTTAGCATTTTCAAGTTCTTTTTCCAAATTTTGAATACGTCTCTTTGAGGCAGATTCCCGCGCCTCAAGCTCATTTATATTATTTTGTAATGTTCTTATTGCTACTAAAATAGCTTTATCATCTGACGATATAGGTATGGATTCCAAATTTTTATATTTATCTTTAGTAATCATTTCAATTTTATTCACAACAGGTTGTGTCCCATCATAAATTAATGATGTTATTCCAGTCATATCAGGAAGTTGAAATGACTGAGTCATTTCTGAAGCCAATGGCATATTAGTCACAATATTTTTTTGATTATCATCTAATCCAAGTTCTTGCATCAAACCGGATGCAGACTTAAATGCACGAGGAATAGCCTTTGTTTTAGAAACATCAAGAAAACCCCGCTTGGATGCATTATTCTCTCCTATTTTCCAGAAAGCTTTATCCGACTTTGACTGTATCGGGTAGATGTTTTCATTATTTACATCAGATGTACGATGATGACGCAACAAAGCAGGGGACTTAGTCTCTACAAACTTTGGAGTCATTATATTTCCATCTCTTTCAACGATAGGCACATTTGACTGACGTCTTTCAGTTTTTTTTAAAGCATGCGCAAGTTTATTTCTATTTGTAACTTCTGGCGACCGCTTATCCAGTTCATAATCATCCTTGTCATGTGCAAAACCAAAATTCACATTCACTGTTTTCTTATCAAAAGGAGAATATATTTGCTTTATTTTAGCTGCAACATCTCCATAATCCGATGTTGTTGATTCAAGAGGACTTTTCATAATAGTCTCAAAGTCTCTATCTGAGACAACAGGACGATCAAACGACTTAATTGACCCCGTATAGACCTTTGAAAACTCTTTTTTCAGCTATTATTTTCTTTAATCATAAACATACAATTATAAACAAAAAACATACATTTGGTGTTCCTAATTGAAGTCCTAGCCCTTTTTCAATGCTACTTCCGTCTGATGACGCACTAACACCCATACTAAAGTCCTGGAAATGCTTGTTCAGGCTCTTTGTATCCGGTGATTCCGCAAAAAACGTCTGATTTAAATCTACATGTCCTGGACGCACTGTATCATCGCTTGACTCATGAAAACCCGTTTTACTGAATGAAAACCCATTAAGTTCCTTCTCAAGCTCTCTTTCAAGGCGAATACGGTCCCGTTCACGCACATCTGTTGAAATAGAAAGTTCTTCTGTATCCAAACTCATGTCAAAAGAAGGCATTTTTTCACCAAAAAAAAAACCAATTCTTCGCACAGCGAAAAAAAAATATAATTAGAACAAAATATCGTCTATAATCTTCAATATAGACTCCAAATATTGCTTCAAAAATTAACGTCTTATCTACATGTAAAACTGACGTTGTTGTGATTCGCGGTCGTCAACAGTGTGTCTATGACAACGGTCACGTGACACAGGACTAAGCCTGTGAAAAAAGAGAAGAATAAGATGACCAAAGTGAAAGGATAAAGAAGCAGTGTGTTTATCATGCACAGAAAAGAATGGCATGTTTGTTTCATATATTTTTTGGACCAAAGTTGTGTAAAATTTTGACATGAAAATTAAACCGGTATTTGCCATAGTTGAAAAAAAGCATTGATGATTTGGCCAGCAGATAGAGGATAAGATTTGGTTTCAAAAGCTGATGGATATGAGTTTTTAATATATGTAAAAAATTTGGTCCATATTGAAAAAGCAATCATCGATCAAGATTTAATAAATGTGATATTAATTATCTCATGGAAAACAAAATAGTATATAAGTCTTGTCTTTTAAGGACTAGAATACAAACAAAGAAAGAGTATGCTTGGATAAAAGCTTTATGCTATTTTATGGAGCCGGATAGTATTAGAATGACTATTCCTAATGAATGTATAATAAAATAAAATACCAAAACATACCCAAAGCCATCACGATAACCCTGTATAATAACAACACTATCGCAGGGTTGTACCATCCCGATTTCAAGTGCTTGTTCAATAGCCCATTTGATTCTAAGTTTTACGCTTTCCTGCCAGCCTTCTGTAGTTTGTGGTTTTGGAACAAGATACAACAATGGATATACCCCACGGTACAAATTCGAAAACCGAGCAGTCGTTCTGCTGCGCGTAACCATTATAATGGGTGCTTGTGGACGGTATTTCGAACAAAAATGAGCTGTTAATCCACTTATAAAATCAGTTTATTAATCTTCAAAAGTAGGAATAAATAACGATGATGATAAAACAATAATAGCTTTTGCAGCATGCCTCAACTGAAGTTCAACGGCAGCACAACATACTGCTTCCGTTACAGATATAGGCTTAGAAGCCAATCGCCGTAATTCATTAAAGAGGAGTTCATAGCGTACAATTGATTCGGCTAAAAGAATTGTTTCACGCATAACTGCTACTGATTCAACAGGATACAACCCTTTAGCTGTTTCTCCTATACACTCATTAAAATTACATAGATTAAGGCCCATTTAACTATATACCACTTAACATACAACAATCAACACCATCTAATATTGCCGTACTAATATCACTAATTTCAGCACGTGTGGGACGTGGGTTACTAATCATATGTTCAAGCATTTGTGTAGCACTGAATATAATTCAATTTCTTATTTATATATAGATATATATTACCAAATGCATGGTTTTCCCGCAAGATTACACTTGGAAATCATCATTTTCTTCTTATATTAAAACTTAAAAGACAATTATAGTTAACGACTTACTTGAACAATAAAAACTTGTGTTTGAGAAATTTCGATACCCATATCACCTCGTGCAACCATAATCCCATCTGCTTCCTGTAGAATATTATCAAAATTGTCAATACCCTGCTTATTTTCTATCTTTGCAATAATTTTTATCGTATCAGCAGCAACACCAAGAACTTTTTTTATTGCAACAATATCAGAACCACTTCGAATAAAACTAGCAAAAATCATGTCGACGCCATTTTCAACTCCAAATTTAAGATCTTTAATATCTTTTTCACTTAAAGTAGGAAGATCTACTTCCGTACCTGGAAGATTGACTCCTTTTTTACTTGAAATCATGCCACTATTGAGACAGACTACCTTGAGCGTTTGCGAATCGATAATTTCAAGAACACGAAGTGACAATACTCCATCATCTACATACAAAATACGACCCTCTTTTATCACACTACATATTCTATCGTAGTCCACATACATCACTTGATCATTGCAACTGTTAATATACTGTGGATCAGTAGAAACTAACATTTCGTGTCCTGCTGCAACATGAATCTACATAATATTTTACCAAACATTATAAAAATGCTATATAGCATACGTCTTCACCGCAAACTGTACTCCCTGTCCGGATCTCTGGTCCTTTCTATATTTAAAATTTCAATATATTTTCTCATATTAAAAAAATCTACCGTATCTAAAGCAATAGCTAATAAAGAACCCGGATGTAACCTTTCCACTTCTCTTACATTATTCATCACGCTTAGATGGTACTTTTGTTTACTTAAAAATGGAATTTCATACATTATATCTACAATTATACCTCATATGAACCATGACTAAAATTCATGCGAAAAATACTCGTTCCTGCTTTACGAAGCTCATTTATCATCTCCAAAGAGTTTGTCTTTGGTCCTTTATACTAATTAAACACTTCATAAAGCTCAATTAACACACCAATAGTTGAAATAATCCCACTTAAGCAAAACTTGCTTGGTGTTATCCGATTAATATCTAGAGACGATGCCGTAATATTGTGTCAGTAAAATCATATATTATTGATGAATTACATATCATTCTAACCCAGTATTAGGTTCTTTACTCATATTCAAAGTTCCAATTAAAAATTTATGCTTTGTAAAAGATCTCTAAAAATAGTGAGTTTGAATAGAAAAAAAATATTGATTATGGAACTTCTTAACAATATATATATATATAAACTATGTAAAAAACTGGAAAATCTATGTAATTTTGTACTTTTTATTGCTTTTGATTTTTAGTGAATTAATATGATTTTATACCAAGTTTTTTTTCGATGACGAAATTTTAAATATCAAAAAAATAATCTATAAATTTATTAAAAAAGGCACAGAAATAAGTTATTTTTATGCAAAAATATCATAAAATAACAGAACATATTCATTTTCATATAGAAAATACTTTTTTGCATAAAAAACCGTTAAAGTTTGGAGGATAAACAGATCATCAGTGAATGTTATTTTTTAAAACTGATTTTTGCAGTTTTAGAAGCAATTGTATCACTATTTAAAACTATAACAATTTCTGATTGTTCTTTATGAAGCATTTTTCATTTTATTTTGAAAGAGAAATTTATGTCTTAAGAGCTATTTCTATAACAAAAAAGTGAACTTATTTTTTGCAGAAATAAACATTTTTTTTGCAACAATATAAGGTTTTTATTCTCATATAATTCTTTTTATAACAATGGAGTCTTTTCCGTTAAATCAGTTAGAATCACTTCGTAACAGAGCACTTCAGGTAAACTTAAAGAGATAAAGAGGTGTTAAAACTAATTCTTTAGTTACTTCATTCTTTAACACACTTTTTGAATATTATTGATCATTCTGATCCTCTACCTTCATGGTTAGTAACATAAAAATTATTGTTTTTACATTTGCTCAGATTTATGAAAATCATTTTTTGAAATTTTGAAGTTTCATTTTAGCTTTTTCTAACTCATTTTAAGGCCCGTTCTTATTTCAAATCTCAATATTCTTTTATCTAGTGTCAATTCAATTTCTCTTTTACTTCAAGAATCAAATATTTTAAAAGAAACTCGAGTTTTTCCATCATCTAGTTTTCCAGTACGCCAACAAGAAGGATTATTAACAACACTTTTACGTAAAAAAGTCATTCCAGAAGTTGAAGAATGGGAAACAGAAGGAAGGCTTTTAGGAGTTAACGTAGAAGAGGATACATCCTTTTACGAGTGGGTTAAATATGTAGTAATACAAGAAAGAGAAAAAAGAAATTGGGAAGGGTATTATACTCGTGAGCAAGAACTAGTTGCAATTCAGAACGAACATAAAGGTTTAAATCAAGAAGATATACTTCAAGAGATAAGAAAAAATCGAAAACTAGAACAAACCGATGAGAAAGCCAGAATGAATGCTATACTATCATTTATGAGAACAGGAAAACGAGAAACTATGTTTTCTTAAGAAAAATATTATAAAAGATCATATCAATATTTCTGAGTTAAATAAAAATATCAATCAAGCCTTAAAAAACAAACATCAACGATATATGGCTTATTACAAACATATATTATCAGCAAAAATATCTGTCAAAAATATACTTAATTGTTACAATTTTTTTAAATAATAAAACAGTTTTTAAAAAAATAATTTAGAATAACATCCCGACTAAATGAAAAAATCTTATTTCTTGTTTTCAAAAAATAAAAAAACTATACCAAAATTATCTTGCAATTGATATTGTCTTTTTATATAAATTATCTTTGAATAAATATTATTATATTGCAAATAATGTTGTTAGATGAAATGCTTAGAAATATAATAAATATAGTCGCTAGTAAAATACATATTATTGTAGATTTTATTATATTTGTTCTGATCAAATAACTTTCATTTTTATATAATTTTTATATAACTCGATGTTATCTTTAGGGACGAACCTAAACCTAAACCTGTATATTATATTATAACGTTTGAACAAAATTATCCTAGTCGAACATCATCTGCTAATCACTTTATTATTTTTTCTCAGCTTTTTTAAATTTTTGCATTTCCTATACTTTATATCGCATTTATAGCATCTTTAAATACAACATTTTCATTAAATTCTTATCATTTTAATATACGACCAACAGTAATCGTTATTTTCTAAGTGTAGATTCGACTATTGAACTTCGGGCTGTTGTTTTAAGTAATATTCTTTAAATTGCGAGAATGCATCAGAAAGACGCATCAGATACAGAGCAGAGTAATGTGCCTTTTAAACAACCAGTCGAATCTATTAAACCACTTATAAACGCCCATCCTAGAACACATGAACAACTATCTATACCTCCAAAACCTGCCCGAACTATTCATTCATCACGCCATATTCATATTGCGCCTGGATATTCGACTTTAGGTAGACTTTTCTTCATATTTTATTATTGATATCTTAAACATAGACTGGGAACAATTAAAACGAACGTCTTCTTCTTTTCCTGTAAATTCTTATATTTTAGTTGAATACTGATTTAGACTTTACGTTAGAAAGCAAAAAAATCTCTTTTATATATTACATTAGCTGAACTTCAATTGCACAATCAAATAAATGACGCTTGGATTGCACTTAATGGCAAAGTTTATGATATAACATTATACATACCTTACCATCCGGGAGGAGAAGAAATCATGAAAGCAGTGGGTAAAGATGGAACAAAATTACTGAGTAATTACTTTTTATCTTATCATTTGACTAAATTTATAATTAGTGTCAGTTCATCCTTGGGTAAATTATGAATGTCTTCTTGACAAATGTTGGATTGGTCTACTAACTTATAGATAAGAAATTAGTTTAACGGAAATACTCTAACGATAATGTTTTAAAAACTACAGCTTGATGACTATGAGCGGCCCATTAATCAATAAACAATATAATAATGGTATATCTATAATAACTCATAAACTGGTTATTGTCTATAGGCTACTATAACAAATAAAATATTTTTATTATCATGCATTATTTGATTGTGTCGTTCCATTTCTTTTTTGTCGAATACTTTCTGTTAACTCATAAATAGTATTATTAAGGCATTCTTTTGAAGGGACTAATCTTGGTGTTTTAAAGAGTAGATTTTTTTGATTATAAGGTTTTGTTTGAGCATTTTCATTAGATGATATTGCTTTCTTAATATTATTACTTACTATTCAATAACAAAATGGTTAAATACTACCTTTATTAGGTCATTAAATGTCATTATTATTCCAAAAAAATCTTCAATAAGTGTTTGATTTGGGTCTTCTCCAAAATATAAAAGAGTTTCGCGTACAAATGTTTCTGTTTTTTTCGAAATACAATTAATTTCATTAACAATAGGTATAGCATGAGTATAAAAATCGCCCATTACATCCACAAACCGATCTGTATTTGATATTGCTTCATTCTTTAATATAGATATTTCTTGATGAATATTTTCAAGTCCATTATAAAGAGATTTAATTGTGTTAAACAGAGTCTGAGAAGATACTATTTTTTTTAGGTTGTATAAATAAAATTTGGTAACAGTACTTTTAGATGCAGTTGAAAGATGAGTTATTTCATCTGAAAAAAATAACGTTTCTTTCGAATAAGTTGTAAATACATTAACTATATAATGTAATAAATTTGGGATTTTTTTAAAAAAAAGCCCTGAAGTTTTTACATCTACTAGCTAATAATTCTAAGCATAATATTATGAAGATAAATGTTTAAACCTTTAACAATGCATTAATTTGAAATCCACTAGCATTCCCTCTGAATGTCGAAAAGTTAAGATAATTACCGATAACAAGAATAAACTAAAAAATAGATTAAAATAATACTACATATATGTATTTCCATAATACTCCAAGCAAACTTTGAAACTTTAAAGATTTTTTTAATTCAAAACAAGTATTATATAAAACTTCTAAATCCTAAATACATCAATAATTATCTAAAATAAATATAAAAATATATAACTGGTTGTATTTCATTAATCTCAAGTTCAAAACGTTGTCGATATATCATACAGTCAAGACGCTCACTAAGCCGTGGGATTACCATAATCTATATCCTTAAGCAAGTGTATAATAGTAACTTGTTTAACCTTTTTAAAATATCTTTCTGCATTCCCTAATGTTGATTCATCCCCTGAATATTCTTTTATTATTCTAATCTATATGATAATTAATTTATATAAATATAATAAACAAAATTACTTCTTCAGTTGTTGGTAAATTTTGTTTAATAGCTTTAAGATTATCTATGTTAAGCTTAGAATCATTCAACTCCAACAATGCATCTCTAATTTCATTATAATTTAATTTAATCCTAGAAAGCATAATTGCAGTATTATTTGCACGGTTTAATTCAATTAAACTAATGGCCGCTATTTTCTTATTATTACTAATATTACAAGAATTTGACTTTAATTGAAGTATATCTTTATAAAAATATTTTTCAAGATCATTTGCTATTAAAGAGTAGTTTATAGAAGGTAGCAAAATATCATTTTCCCATACTGTTTGAGTTATTTTTTGGGGAGATAGTTTACACCAAAATAAAGGCTATAAATTTATTAGAACTGCAATAAAAATTGCAAAATTACCTTTAATGGCTTTTTAGGCTGTTTTTGTAATACATCCAAATTAAATTCTGAGCACAAAGTTTTAAAATTCAATAGAGTACATGTATTTACAGAATTATTAAGAAATTTATCATTTGCTAATGATTCCTAAAATTGTTAATAATTATAAATAAATGTACGAATAATACATCATTAAGTAAAACAGAATATAATGAATTTGAAGTCGGTGACAAAAGCGGTGTAAAAGAAGACGATGTAGGTGGTGATGATAATGGTGATAATGACGGAGATGATAATGGTGATGATAATGGCGATGATAATGGCGATGATAGTATTGGAAAAGATATTGGAGGAAGTGGAGGTGTTGGTGGAGATGGAGATATTGATGATAATGAAGATAATAAGGATGGAAGTGGTGGTGGTGGAGGTATTGGTGGCGCTAAAGAAAGAGATACTGAATCTATAATTGAAACATTATTTAATCTAATAAAAATTAGAATATAGCATTTTTAATAAAAATAATAAACTTAGATGAAATTTCATTATGTTCTATATCTGATACATCATCAGAAATGGAAGATAGAGAAGCCTGATAAGTTCTTGTTTCTGAAAATAAATCAAGTCTAGTTTTATTCTCAAAATCATTATTAATATTGCATATTAATGGTTGAATAGTTATTTCTGTATTTTTAGGTTCAATTGAATCAGAAACATGCAATGTAGATTTATTAGATTCTAATTTGTTATTATTATATTGATCTTTGTTTAATTCGTTAGAACAATTTTTGGAAATGGAATTATGACTATCAAAAATATCAACATTAAAAATTTTATTGTAATTATTATCTTCGAATTTCGTTTCAAGGATTTTGGTGACTTCCACCTTGACTAATTAGTGATCAATAAAAAATGATAAAAACAACTTTATTATATTTTGAAAACAAAGATATTCCTTTGAAAGTTTTAATTCCAATTTTTTGTTTTGAACCCTCAAGAATAGACTTTAATTTTGCAATTTCATGATCTTTCTCATTAAAAATCTTTGAAGTGCTATTTAAGATAGAATTCTCAACAAACTTATCTGTAATTATTAAATCATTATTTTCAAAAGAAACCTGTGCTTGCTTATATCTTGTATAAATTGATTCTAAAGTTCTTTTTAAATATAAAATTTCTTTTTCTTTAAAATCTAAAGTACTTTTCATTTTTTCAATTTTTGATTTATATTTTGTTATTTTCTCCATTAAAATAACCATTTTTTTATTTCTTTCAACATAACAATGTCTTTCTTTCTCATCTAAAATATTTCTATCTGAAGTTTTCTTTGAAAATTGTTCAATTTTATTTTGCAATTCCATAACCTCTTTTTCTTTTTGAACCAAGCGTTGTATCACACCTGAAAAATATTCACAACTAGATACTTCTGTTTTTGGGAGAGACATATCAAACGATATAGAACGAAGGGTATTGATTTCCGCTTTTTTTTTTAAAAGCTCTTTTTCTAAAATATCTTTTTCTATTGAAAAATTTTGAACTCTTTCATGTAATAACTCCAATTCGGTAGTAAAACTTTCTGGAATAAATACAAAATCTGATACATTAACACTTTTTATTAATAAATATTTCCCAACTAAATGCTCAATTTTTTTAAAATAAGATAACATAAAATGAGGCCAATAATCTGAGAATTGTTTAAAAATAATAAAACCAAATTGTATAATACCTTCATTAACTTTATCCAATAATTTCAAAGACTCTATAAATATTTTCATAATATCTATTTTTTTTTCTTGTTGATAATCATCATTAGATATCAAATTATCTACAACATTTCTTAAAATATTTGATATATCATTCAAAACAACTTTCCCTTTTGTTGAACAAAATATCTTCAAGAAATCAGTAATGCATATATCTTCTTTAAATCTAGTAGTAATTATAATTTGCCGTAATTTATTCGCATCTTTCAATTCTCCTTTCTCAAATGTTTTAATTTGAGTATGAATTTTATCTAATAAGCAATTTTTTTTTAAATACTTTTAATTATGTTAAAACTAGATAACTAAAAATAAAGATAAACCTGTAAAATATTTTTTAACCCTTTATTTATCAAATTATTTCTAAAATAAATTCTTTCATCTAAGTTTTTAAAAGAATTGATTAAAGTATTAATTAAAGTTAATCCTGCCTGGATATATTCCCACTGATAGTTTGAAAATGCATTTATATCTATAGAAGAAAACGATAAATCGGATATCCCAAATGATTCAATCATCCATTCCAAAAAAAGAGTATGATAAATATGTTTTTGAGAATTTTCTAAACCTTTTTTTACTAAGGCAGTTGTATTCAAAGCATCTAATACTAATAAATATCCAGTAGGAAGAAACAATACACAAAAAACAGTAAGAATTTCGCAAGCATGAATTTTAATTAAATAATTTTTCCGAATCAAACAGTTTGAAATAGAGATTATAATATTTTTGTCATGCTTAATAATATTATCAAAACCATTCTAATTGATTAAGAATACTATATTATGTATAACACTAAATACCTTTGTATTTAGAATTATTTTTAAACATTTAATACATTCTACTTGAATTGCATCAAATAAATCGATTTCTTTATTTCTAATATATAAGCTTAAACTAAATACTATTTGGATATTACTTTTCATCAACATATCTTTTTATGATATCTCCTATATAAACTAGTCCATTTTTGTCAATAAAATCATTAGTCCACGTTATTTTTGATGTTGATAATATCATTCTTAAAGATATTAGTTTTTTATGTAATAATTTTAAAGAAATATTTCTACCATATATTAATTTTTTTTATAATTGTATTTCAATTGCATACTTATCCTTTAATTTATTAATAAAAGAGACAGGGTTATTATCAATGTCATTGTCAGATGACTTCCACCACGATAAAAATAAGTTTTCTGTACTACCAATCAAACTAAATGCTTGATTATTTTGTTTTGAAGTATAGGAAGATAACCAATTCAATAATGAAAGTCTTCTAGATGACCATGAACTACCTTGTGAGTTAGTATAAACAGAATTATTTTGTTTTAATTCTGATAAACTAAACGTTATATTTTTAATTACATTATTTTTGCTTGTTTTGTTAATAGTTATTGATTTAAAATCTTGAGAAATTAACATCTTTTTTTTTTGATCCGGTAAGGCTATCATCTGCTGATGGACAAATCCTTGAAGGTTTAAATCTTCCTAATATAAACAATTATTTCAAAATATTAATCTTTAAAAAAATATCAATACCGGTAAAAGATCAAAACTTTTAGAGGCATCATCATTACTGAAATTTGAATATCTTTCATTGTAGTTTCTTTTAAATTGTGTTTCAACGGAAACATAATTTGTTGATGTATTCGGTTGAATAGTTTTGCTAATTGGAAACATTTCATTCTCTGTACAGCATTCTAGACCCTGTATATGATTTTCAAGAGGAATTCTATTAAATTTAAGTTTCTTATTATTAAGTTTTAAAGATTCAAATACTTATTTGTAAATATTTTAGATACTGATTCATATGTAGTTATTATTGGATTTAAAATAATATTTTCTTGGATGTTTTTGTACAAGGTAGCGTTATTTGATTTTAAGCAAGTATGAAACATTGAGTGATAATTTGTTAGCTGGTTTTTTGAAAATTTCCATCTCTTGGAAAGAAGAAATGTAAAATTGTCTATTTTATTATTTCGTGAGTTAGAAACTTTAATTTCAAATCGACCGCAAGAATTATCTAAAGATGTATATTTATAAATAGGTGTTAATCTATTAAATATAGAAACTTTTATATTTTATTTAATTTTATTCAATTAAACAAAATAAATACCTTCATTTCCAGATGTGCCTAGTACATATGAAATCTCACAGACAATGCTAAATCCTGTCTCGCTGTCCATTACAGAATCATCCATACCAAGAACTTGTCGGATAGATATTGCAAATGATTCAATAGATGATTTAGCTAAAACATACCATTTTGCATCAGAATTTTTTGACATAAAAGGCAAATCAACAAATCTTAAATTAACTATTGACGGTCTATGAACAAGCATTAGGCACAAAGGCCCTGTATCCGTTGAAAACGCTTCTATCTTATCGTGAGGTTCTTTGTTCACTTCTGATTCAAAAAAAGAATATGTTTCAAGCAAAGATTCTATAATTATCAATTCATAAAGACATCTTAATGCTTCTAGGGTCCATTCTACCCCAAAAATTCAGTTTTTTTCCTAATTCTAACAGAAATGCACCTTTCTCATCGGATTTTCGAGATACACTAACAATTGTCCATTCTTCTTCCTTAATTTCATATTGACATGTTGCTTCTTTTAAAAGATTTTTGTTTTTTTTCAAAAGCAATCTAAGAAGTCTCTCAACTGTATTTTTCTCGTCAACCCATACTGTCAACACATCTTGAGATGGAAGCACCACTTGGCATCGTTTTAGTACACTCATACAATTGCTTTTTGCCAATTTTATACACTAAATCTCTGCCTATATGCGCCTAGATTATTTTATATATGCGCCCAAGTTATGATATATATGCACTATATACTAAATATATCCGTTTAAATTCCGGTTATATTCACTTTAAGCCTTATATATGCGCTTTAAAATTAAATATATTCACTGATTTTCACTTATATATCAATATCTCTGTATATATGCGTTAATTTTTGGAATTTTGTTTCTTTCTTTCCAAATATTAATATCCTTAGATATACACGTCCGCACACCAATTCCTCCGAACACCAAAGATACCTTATCCCCGTATTAATCATCGTTTGAATCGTTACCCCTGAAACTTGATTGTATATAACAAAATACAAACTGATAAGCTGATGAGTGTTATTTTTTTCTGCTATATTATAGAAAAATACTGAATTATAAGGTTATTGAATCTCTTATTCTCTATTTCTATATTTTTTGGTATTTTATAGTAATTCCTAGGATGTAAGATCGGTTTGAAAGGCTTTATATAAATTGAAATGAGGAATTGAGAAGTCTTTAAAAATATGTTAAAAATACAACTGATTAGTGTATATTTGAATGTATTTAGTTTTCGATATGTGTTTTTTGTTTTTATTTTTTAAAGTCTGAAAGCCAAAAGAAATAAGTATATTTTGTGTTTTATATAAGTATTTTGGATAGAGAAAAGGCAAAGACTGTAAAAGAATGTTGTTGAAGAAGATTTTTGAGTCTATATATATTATTTGTGGATTATATGTGCAATTTGATATAATTGTATGTGGAATAAAATATGTGCCTTTATATATTGCGTATATATTGCATATATAAAATATTTTAAAGAATGCAGACAGTGCTTTATAAAATAATGGAAAAGAAATATTGTTTTTAAAACAACAAGAGTTTATGTGCTAGTTTGGATGATTTCTATATTTACTAAAATATAGTAGTAAGTGTTATGCTCTTGAAAAAATCTAGGTAATATGAATAAATATGTAATAAACAAAAAATATCAAGATGAAACAAAGAAGAGTTAGCAACTTAAGAAGCAATATGTTGATATTTGTAAGATCAAAAGCAGGTTGATTGAAAATTTATCAAGAATTTACATATAAACATTTATATATTTAATCGACAATTGAAAAAAGTCAAAAATGTTAATTTTATGTATTTTATTAAATGCACGAAAATACTATTAAATCTATAAATAGAATATTTGAGTTATTCTGAGATCTATTGTATTTTTTTAAAGTAAAATATGAACCAGTTTAGAAAAAAAAGGAAATAGCAAAATAATTAATATTAAAAAGGACGATATAAATATATTTGTATTTATATTAAAAAAATTGGACGTTCTGATTTAATTTGAATGTCAATCATAGACTGCAAAGTATTTCAGTTTGAGGAATAATATCTAGGCACAAACGTATTTTATAGTATTATCAATACAACGAATGTATTTATTTACGCCTAACTAGTCTATTTTTTGAAAATGTTTTCTATAAGGTTCTACAATTTACATTTGGGAAAGTAAATCATAATTGTTTATAATTATATTTGAATTCTTGGTTGTATAAATGAAAAACAACAAAATATTAATTTCAACGTAATATTTGTTAAATTTTTCAAGAAAAATAAGAATTATGTAGTTTTATTTTGAGTCAAACTATAAAAAAACAAATACATTAAATCATTTCTGGAATTTTTTTAAATAATGATGCATTTAAATTCACTAGAAACAACAGAATTATAGTGAGGTTTAGTTAGTAGTTTCTTTTTCAAGCCCCATGATAAAGTTCCATTCGTCAACTGTTACAGGTTGTACACTTAGCTGAGGTCGTCTTAAAAGTGCCATATTTTTAAGAGGACCTTCTTTATATTTTTTTAATTCACGGAGAGGAATAAAACGAGAAAAGTGTCTCAAATACTTTACATCAACCATGTACCATCTTGGCTTTTCCTTTGTCGATCGTGAATCATAATACGGTTCAGATGGATCCCATGCAGTATCTATTCACCATTAAACACTTTGTTATACACAACTCACTTTATTACAATCAGGATATCCTTCTTTACATATCTTTTTATATTTTTAGGTTATTACTTAATATCATTACAATCTCACCTCCATAATACCTATAATATATACAAATCAATTTAGAAAAATATACAACAAACCTGCAATACCCGGAACCTCACAGTTGCTATGATAAAAAAATGCAAGATCTCCAACTTTCATTTTATATCTCATTGTGATACAGGCTTCTGCATTCCTAACACCATCCCATGGTGAAATATCTATCCGTTATATAAGATAATGAAAAAATACACAAACTTTCGGTCTTACTGATTTCTTTAAGGTCATCAATTGAAAATTTAACTGTTTCTGTTAGATATCTCTGCTTTTTTCACTTTGAACTTACCATCCTGACCTTTTACCATTCGTGATTCAGGCTCAGCTTTCATCAACCAAAATCTTTTTTCATCTGGTAGACGGTCCACATCATTGGGTCGATTATTTCCTGTGCGTGCTTTCTTTCGAGGGGATTCTTGGTTTTCTTCAGTCTTCATAACAAATTTATTATCTAAAGATATACCGAGATTCCGGTGAATAACTACATAATTATCTTGTGCTTCAAAAACAAGGTATTTATTCTATTAAAACAGGTAAATTAAGCAGAAAATTAAAAAAATTAACTGTAAATAGGCTGCATATTCACTATATAAAATGAAGCAGTTTTTTTTATATTTTTTTATATTAATATGGGTCCATTTTACTATAGGAAAACATATTTGGACAATTGATAAGGTCCAGGCAGAAGTTGTATCAGATTCACATAAAGAGAACAAGAGAAAGTCTATACAATCCATATATATTGTCTTTTAAAGGCTGAGATCTACTAGATGTTTTGTTTCAGGTGCGGATACATCACCATGTGTTCTGGGTGGTCAAGAAACATTAACACTGCGTTTCAACGTTAAACGTGCATCTAAACAAATGCGTCCTCATCAAGCAATGCTTTTGGTTGGCTATCCGGAAAAAGAACTTGAAAATGCACATATTATATCGGTTAATACTCGTGGTGAAGCTACTTTAACTTTGGTAAAAAGCTTTGCACAGCACCTCGGTTCTATAAATGCTAATTTTTGTTCTTTTCAGAAACATAAAAATATTCCACTTCAATTGTTGTTTGAGGATTCACCATTATTACTCACAATTGTTATTGGATCGTTTGATACAGCAGATCCTTTATTGTATACACTTGGGAGGCTCCAGATCGTCGACATTGATGCTAAGTTTGATCCGCCGGAGCCACCGCTTCGATATGGACCACTTCCTGAAATCGAGCATATTTTTTCACCTGAACAAAAGTCTTCTTCGAAAATCCTCGTCATCATTTTTTCTATTGCCATTCTATCTGTTTTTGGACAACTTTGCAAAGCCGTATCTCTTTCAGCTCATTTTTCTTTTATCTGATTCATACATCTAGTGGAAAACGATCTTTTTCACTGCTCAGACTCCGTCTTCTCTATTAAACAGGCTTTCTCCACCATACATTTTATTTTTCGCTCTGCTTTGTGCCACCGAAGTCCTGCTTTACATGTATTGGACCTGGATTCGGTTTCCACATGTATTAATTGGTCTTTCTGTTCTTTTTCCTTTGCTTATCTTTTCATGCAAACATCTTTTGTCTCAAATACAAAAAAATATCAATTCTGTCAAGCAATAGTCTTCCAATACACATTCAAAATAACACATTAAGGTATGTAGTGTATAGAAAACACCATTAATCCTTCATCAATATCCATTACAATATAAAAACATATTTATTCTTTCTCCAACATACAATACACTCCTTCAAAATGTATTTCACGTTCTACACTTTTTTCTACTTCTTTGTCTCTTTATTATTTCTTTTTAAACTTCTTCTTTCCATTCCTTCCTTCTTTTCCCTCTGTTTGTGTATTTTTTAACACTCCTTATATTTCTTTTAATTTCTTATATCTTTTAAATTTCTTAAATATCGATATTCAATAATCTCTACCAAATCACTTCAAACACGCTACAAACATATAATAAACGCATAAAACCCCTTAAAAGACCTATAAAACTATTCAAAATACATTCAGTCTTTCTCTGAACATTATATTTTTATTTAAATGTCCTCAATTCACCGGCTTTGTTCTCATTTACAGAATGCTTCTCGTGCTCATCTTGCACAAACTTCTGTACCTGCTACAAAACTCAATTTTGGCGTATGTCTTGGACTATATGCGCATGGATGGATAGCATATATTAAGAGAGGCTCTTTTTCTGGACCTGATAATATATATACTCCAACAACACGGGAAAATATTGCTACTCGGCGGCTTTGGATTGGATTAAAGTACAATGCAATGACACCGGTTCTACGGCGGCTTGTAGCCCTAAGTACGCCAAGTAGAAAACGTTGGATGTCGCCAGAAGCACTTGCAGCACTGGCACTGCGTAGAGTCTCTACAATTCCGGTGCTGCAGCCCGGAGAATGTCTTTTTGTGCAGACACGTAAAGGTGTGCTTGAAGCACGCGAGGCAGCAGCAAAGTTGCTCGGAGGAATGCTTCTTTGTCGTGTAAGCTGATATAGGCGGTGTATGCAACGCATATAACGTGTATATATATGTATATATGTGTATATAATGCACACAACATGCATAGAGTGCGCATACAGTGCGTAGAGTGTGCATATATAACGCATATATAACGCATATATGACGCATAATATGTATATATGGCATATAACACACATATACTGCATATAAGGTGTATGCAGAGTGCATATAGTGCACAGATGAGTTGGTTCTAGTGCATATACTCAGTATATGTCTGCATTTGCTGAGAAAAAACAAATCAACTGCAGTATAGATAGGCTTTTGCTTGAAACAAAAGATTTAAATACAGGAAAACATATACAAAAGATAAAAAATATATACAGAGACATAGAATGGGTATAGTATGCATAGAAAAGCAGAGTCGGTAGAAATTGGGGTTCAGTGTTTAATTTTAATCTACGGTTTAATGGCAGAGTACGGGCGGGTGTACGGCAGTACGGATGGCGGAGGATCAAACGTTTATCAATCCGAGTGCTTTTCAAAAGGTAGAGTTACCGTCGGGAACACAGTATCAATGGATGCAAACGCTGGGTGAGCTAGAGGTTCGTTTGCCGGTGCCTCACGGCACCCGGGGACGAGATCTGGATGTTGTTCTTGAGAAAAAAAAAATTAAAGTTAGTTTGCGGAAAGGAGAGTTGTTGTTAGAAGGAGAACTTTCCCGGGAAATTAAGATTGAGGAAAGTGCATGGACGCTTGGTAAAAAGCCTTTGAACGGCGCATTTCTGTGTTTTTTTGCGCTATAATTTAGAAGTGTTTACTGAGAACGATAGATAGTGCATCGGAGCTAGTTTTGCACTTGGAAAAGATCAATAAGATGGAATGGTGGTCTTGCATTATTCAGGGGCATCCTTCGATTGATACGTCAAAAATACAGCCGGAAAACTCAAAGCTTGGTGATCTTGATGCAGAAACTCGGTCGATGGTTGAAAAAATGATGGTACGTTGAAGCATAGGCGGGTGTTGGCTTATTGAGCACTACATTTGCCTTTTTATATTATTTTTTTCTTATGATTTTTAAAGTTTGATCAACGACAAAAAGAACTCGGAAAGCCAACAAGTGACGAATTAAAAAAACAAGAGATCTTAAAAAAGTTTCAAACACAACATCCGGAGCTTGATTTTTCTAAAGTATTTCATAAGTATAGCATATTTGTATATTAAATCATATTATAGGCGAAGATCGGTTGAATATTGATTGTGTAGATATCAATTGTTATATATTCAATTTAATATTAAATAACTATTTATAAATACTATATGTTGACTTGTATATGTTAAGCAATACAATTCATGTATGAGTGCTTATATTTATTTGTTTATATTTAAAAATCTTGCCCTATATATTGATATGCGTCTTTTCCTCTGTTTCCTTTGTATTCTTAAAAAGATCAATATAGGATGACACAGGTTTGTGTTTAGTTTTCGAGGGATTCATTGGATGCTTTTCGCATTTTGAGAAAAAATATCTTTAGAAAACGGATTTGTTTTTGGCTTTTGATAAAGAGGAAGCGTAGAACTGTTTGATTGAGAACTAGATTGTAAGTTTGGATCCAAAAAAGTCGCCATATCATCAAAACTTTTAGAAAATGGATTTGTAGGTCGTGAAAATGGGACTGATGGTGTATTTAAAGTAGGAAAACAGTTTGGTAAAGGATATGATTGTTGACGCTGAACTGCAATATTCATTGAGTGCACAGAGTGGCGAAAAGGATTAGTATGATCCGTGGGATAATTATTTATCTCTGCAGGTGACTGGATAACTTGATTTAAATTATAGGGCTGATTGAACATTTGATTATTTGGTTGAATAGGATATCCACTATAAGCAGTATTGGCAAAGTTAGTTTGCATAGGATATATGGAACTATAATCCTGTGTTTGACTCATAGAAAGAGATGCATGAAACGGATCCTGACTCTGGATCACTTGAGGTGTTTGCTGATAAAGATTGTTATTTGGAGATAACATTGGATGATACTGATTATACAGCCCGATGGGAACTTGCATAGGAACTTGTGGCTGTATAGGTACTTGTTGCACTGGTATTTGTGACTGCATTGGTGTTTGTATCTGTTGCTGCATTTGCAGTGACGTATTTTGAGGAAGATTAGTTAATGACTGAACCGGTTGCGTTGCTGAAACGTCCAACGGTGTCACTGATGAATAAACTGAATTATTTTTTCCAGTATTTTGAAACATATAAGTCTGTTCATTTTCAATACTTGAAAAAAAATCGATTAAATTAATATTATTTAAATTCTTTTTTTGAGAAACATCTAGCGATGGAGAAGGCGAGCCTTTTGATAAATTAATAACGATTAATACAAACGAGTAAACAAACCAGTAGAATTACTTTTCAAAGATGTTTTAATAGATCGCTGCGCTATATTTCCTTTCTTTTTGTCAGACTCAAGTACATTTTTAGTTTCTATATATTGAAGTCTATTCTTTTCAAAATTTTTGTCGTTTAAGTAATCCTGTAATGCACGAGAAAGACTTACGGGTGCCTAGACAACCATAAATTACAACTATAATTATATCAAAAATATACTACATGTTTGATATTTGGGACTTCTATACGCGTCAACACTTCCATCCTACATGCTAATGACAAGTAATCAGCGACGTCAGCAGTCTGCTTAACAAATTTTTTGTATATATCAAGAGCTCTTTCTGCATCGTAACGAGACATTTCAAAATAATGTTCTAGATCGTATAAGAAACATAAAAAACAAGTAAAACATACCAAGAACATTAATTACACCTTCATTAATGACCTGGAAAAGAGACAAAAGATCACTAATTAATAATCGAAACGCTACAACAGTTATATCATTAGTTAATCCTTCTTCTAAAAGCTGAAATACATAAATATTTAAAGAAACAAGAAAAAAAGATGGTTCAACCTTGCATCGAAGCAGTAAATCAATCTGTTTCTGAACAATCCCTACTTCCCGAAGAAGGCCTTTATCAACGGTCAATTTTCGCAGTCTTCCCTCTGACGTTTTGCTGCTTTTCATGTATACATAATCAACACGTGTATCCTTGAAACTTTGCACTTTCTGCTGAAGATAAAGACTATAATTTTGTATATTTTTGCTTTGCTGAGAAATTGCCAGCTCTCCCAAAAATAAAAGACCACCTGAATCATACGATAAAAAGCCTGTATCTCCAAAAAGCTCATTAATAGAGAAATGACGTGAGTTCCTCGATAGATATTGCAGAGTAGCATCACGAGATCCTTCTCGGATCATAATATGAATAACAATAAGACTTTTAAAGACAATCTAAGGAAAACTAAGCCTTATATACAGAAAAAAACCATCATACAGTCCAGGACGGCTCATGAAGACGGCGGAAAATAGCACCAAACACCTCAAATAGCGCTACATCGCCTGCATATGTTGCTGTCAAAATACGGTCTAAATACTTCTGTTTGGGCGGTGCAAGCTGCAAAAAAACACATCAGTATAAAAATACTCTTTAAATATTTTATTTAATCACTAACTTTGACCTTTGTTGCACCTATTTATCCTTAATATCTGCTGAAAACATTTTTCATTTTCAATCACTCACCGTTAACGGCTTTTTCATACGGAGACATTGTATATTATATCAATCAACTCCTCTCAATCTCCTCAAGTGATCTATCTACTCGGTTTTCCCTGATTTCTAACTCTCAACCACTTTTTTCCCCTTATTCAATTCTTTTGATTGTTGGTGGTTGGTTTTTTACCCGTACGTGTTCCATTTGTTGCTGCAGTGAAAAAAGAACGCCCACACCAACAAAAAATAGTGTGAGCATACGTATATATGCGCTGCGTTTTCACGCATTTTGCAGCATATATGCACTTGATTTTCCACTGGAACTACGCTTTCCCGGCCAACACTCGGCCTGGGCGCACCTGGTCCGTGGAGCGGTAAAAGGTCTTTAGGGCGGAATCAGACGCATACATTTCGATCAAGCACCGCATATAGCGGGAAAATAGGCGTTCTGCATTATTTTATTGCGCATACATCTTGTTTTTTCCTCCAAATCTGAATCTCAGAAGATTTCTGCACCGAAACATGTAACAAGGTAAAATCGGCACGGTGCTTTCAACAGTGCTGTTTTTCCTGGCATAGTTTCTTTTTTATGCCGAAAAAGCTCTTTGTATATGCATTTTTTCATCATTGATTCATTTGAATACTTTGGAAGGATCAAACGCTCGGGATTTCGGGATCGACATATTAAGTAAAAAGAAAAAATGTCTGTTTTATGGAAACAAAGCGTATATATGCGCGTCAAAAGAAGCTGAATGACGCAAATACTTTAAATAAAGGACAGGTTGTGTTTTTTTCGCGTATTTATACGCTTAAAAATGCATTGAAAACAATTTTTTTTGGGCTACTATAGAACACTGGTGCAAAGATATAATAAATAGATTAATATCTATTAAGAACAAGAGTACACGTATAAAAGCACGTAAAAACAGATAAAAGAGCAAACAATACGTTATTAGTATCTATATAGGGCGGTAAAAGGGTTTTATTCAAGAAAACAAGCAAATTACATAGTAAAATATATGTTATTTTTATTATTCTATTAAGAAATTGATATTTCAATATGCACGTTTGGACGTGTTTGAAATTTGGAAAATCAGCGGGAAAACGGTGGATTTGCAGTAGCAAACGGATCGTTTCGTTTGAAACGATTGGAAATGCAGATATCGGCAAGAAAGTGCTGTTATCTGGGTGGTTTGTGCCATATCAGCGGAAACTTAGTCACCATATACAATTTTATGGGTTACGGGATGTATGTGGAAGAATAGTGCAGCTTGTTCTACGTAATGGATCAGAAGAACTTGTTAAACAGGTTGAAAAGATTCCAGCAGAAAGTGTTATTGAAGTAGAAGCAACTGTGCAATTACGGCCAGAAAAAGATTGTCATCAAGGGGAGATAATGGAGTTTGATATAGAAAAAATTAAAGTGGTGAATGTTGCAAGGACAGTAGCGTTTTTGCCATCGTTTGCAAGGTCGGTTAATGGGGTTGTGCGGGCAAGATATCGTTATTTGGATCTTAGGAATCCTTTGAACCATAGTGCACTACGATTGCGTTCGAATGTTTCAAAACAAGTTAGGGATTTTTTCCATGAACGGGGATTTCTTGAGATTGAAACGCCTCTTTTATTTAAATCAACGCCGGAAGGGGCTCGGGAATTTATAGTTCCAACACGACAACATGGGTATGCGTATGCACTCCCACAGTCACCACAGCAATACAAACAAATATTAATGGCTAGTGGTATAGGGAAGTATTATCAGCTTGCAAAATGTTTTAGGGATGAAGATTTGAGGAAAGATCGGCAACCAGAATTTACACAGCTAGATTTGGAAATGTCGTTTGTAACTCAAGAAGATATATATTTGATTATTGAGGATCTCTTAAATGATTTATGGAAAGTGCATCTTGGGGTTGATCTTGTACTTCCGTTTAAAAAAATGACATACCAAACAGCTATGTCTAAATATGGTTCTGATAAACCGGATTTGAGATATGGTCTTGAAATATGTGATCTATCGTCTTTTATAATGCCTATTTCTTTAGAATATCCAGTTATCGAAGCGATTGTTGTTAAAAATGGATCAGTTATCTCGACTAGTAAGCTTCAAGCGATTTGTAAAAAAATATCAACACCCAATCAGCCGGTTGTTGTTGTTAGTCTTCGTTCATTGGAGAAATTGGAAAATTGGGTTTCTGAAACTCCGTTTGTTTTAACATCGAATATATCTGATATGAAATATCTAAATGATTATCTAAAACTTGATCTGAATGATGCTATTTTTCTATCATCGCGACCATCAAAATATTTAGGCAATACAACACAATTGGGGAATGTTCGGCAGCTATTGTACCATGAATGTGTTAAACATAAGCTTATGCCTTCTCTTTCTGAAAAACATTTCGAATTTGTTTGGATTAATGAATTCCCTCTTTTTACATATGATGAAGACGAGTCAAAACAAGATGGAACATTCATACTTAAATCTACACACCATCCATTTACCAGCCCTCTTGATGATGATATTCATCTTCTTGAAAAAAATCCAGAATCTGTACGAGCTAATCATTATGATATTGTTGTTAATGGTATAGAAATTGGTGGGGGAAGTATTAGAATTCACGATGTAATTTTACAGAAGCATATTTTACAAGATATTCTTAAGGTATGTCATTTGTTTATAGTACTTTTTATAGCTGTTTTAGATACCTCAATATAAAATCAATCAGTTTTCGCATCTCTTTGAAATTTTATCAAGTGGATGCCCCCCTCATGGAGGTATTGCTCTTGGTAATATGAATGTCTCTCGTCTATTTGTTTTTAATCATTTTTAGGATTTGATCGCCTAGTTGCTATTTTATTTGGAACAAATTCTATTCGAGATGTTATTGCATTTCCTAAAACAAATTCAGGTATAGATCCAGTTGTAGAAAGTCCTGGAGAAATATCTGAGGATGTTTTAAAACAGTATTATCTTTGTCGATTAAAATAAAATATATAAGTTACGGAATAAATTTGTTAAAAAAATATACTTATTTATAAAATATCAATGAAATATGATTTAACAATTTAAGAACTATGTGTTTTAAATATATTTTTCTTTTATTTTAAAGAATCATAATAAATAATTGAAATGACTTGATTATACTTTTGATAAATGTATTTTTATGCTTTTTAGTGTAGAAAATGTTCCGTTTCTATCATATTATATGCTTTAATATATTTTCTGTGTAAGAAGTATTCCATTTAGTATAGCGATATCTTGTTTAACTTCTAAGAGATAACTTGTTTTTTAAGAAAAAAATATTAATTTAATTTTAATTTGTTTTGATTTTTTATTATTTAAATATTTATTAAAAAATCAAACTTTTTGAGCTTATTGTACTTTTAAATGTTTTTACATATTTTTTAATTTATTAATTTCAAAAATTTTTATTGAGTATATAATTTTTCTATAGATTTATTGTTCAAGTGATAACGTTTTTTATATCTTATTTATTTTTAATTATCTATTTTTAAAATTATAATGATAAAAATATTTGTTTTATTTTAAGAATTTTGTATTTTTTCGTAAGACATTTAACTTTTGAAAAAGTTATTTGCTTGAAAAATATTAAACCAAACAAATACAATAACGCATATTTTATACTTTTATAATGATATTTTTTATCATTTTCTGTGTATTTTTTTGTATATATTTGTGAAAATATTTTAACTGTAAAAAATATTTTTTTTTTCATATTTCTTATCAAAGTATTTTAAATACGAAAAAAGAAAACAAAAAATAAAACACCTTTATTTTCATATATACTTTCATTATTAATCACATTTTACTTTTCATCTTTCTTTTCATTTTTTATTTTTCTTATAGATAGTAGTCTTAATTTTCATAATTCATAAACCTAAAAAATCATACTTTCTTAAACTTATGAAATACTTTTCATCCTCCATTTCCTATAATAAATACTCATTTTCATACATTTTTTTCATTTCTTTCTAATTCTCTAGATAATACTTAGATTTTTAACGTGTTGCCTGACCGCACAAATAAATGTTAATATTCTTCAAAGCTTTAGAAGCAGAATTAATACCATATTTTAAATTTATTACATCTTTAAAGAGACCTTATATGTTTCTTTTAAATTGTAAGAGATTTTCCTTTTTTTTTTTTGAAAATTTAGTATAAGATCTAGATAAAACATTATTAAAGAAAGAATCAGAAGAATGACAAATTATTTGAATGCATTAACATCTCTTGCACATTCTACATGTGGAGATATTCCTCCACCTCTTGTTGGATGTTCTTTTACAGTAATCGGACCAAAGCTCTATGTTTTTGCAGGACGTTTAGTTTCAAATTGGTATTTAACAAATGATTTATATGTTTTGGATCTTGAATCGTATATTTGGACAAAAATACAAGATTCATCAGCATATGCACCAGAGCCAAGGTATTTTCATTCAGCAGATACATATTCAAATTCAATATATGTCTTTGGAGGCATTGGTATGTCGAAAGATCCAGATAATCAACATTGTGTATTAGATGATATAGCAGTTTTTGATATACAGTTCTGTAAATGGAAAAGGGTTTCAATACTTCCATCTCTTTATACGCCAAAGCCAAGATATGCACATTTATCAGTTGTTAGTATGAATTATTTAATGATTATTGGAGGACAAGATTTAGAAAACAATTATATTGAAGAAACAAACTATTTTGATATGGATATGTGTATGTGGATACATACATTTCCATTTAACAAACATTGTGGTCTTTATCGTTCAGTTGCTCTTTGTAAAACAGAAACTTATCCCGAGTGTGCACTGAATTATGTTGAAAAGAATATATCTATGCCAGAAACATCTTCCTCTACTCAAGGATCGCCTTTTTCAACTAGGCGGAAGTCATTGAGTGTTTCAGAATGTAGCAAACGGTTATCAGGCTGTAGTGAATTACCAGGTTTATTACATCATTCACAAAGTAGAAAATCCGTTGATATTATACAAAAACCAGAGACTGAATTTACACCTTTCTATCATCAACATATTTCTGAAAATCCTGTATATATTTATTCTAATTACAACTTCAGAAATGTGAAAAATGAGCTTTACGTTATTACGTTTCCACATGATAATCAATTTAATATAACAGATATTTCTGATGAGCTTAACGGTGAGTCTAAACCACCAGGTTTGCGATTTCCATCAGGAGGTATTCTTGGCAATCATCTTGTTATTTTTGGAACCTATTTAACAAATACAACGCAATCTTACAGCATTTGGTGCATTGATTTAAATAGTTTAACATGGTCAAAGATTGATCCTGGACCATTGCTGAACGAGGGCTCTTGGAATAAGGGAGTTATAGATTATGACAAAAATTGTTTACTTATTTTTGGAAATAAAGAACGTAACCTGGTGGAGGATTACAATAGCCGAAGAATTAATTTTGATCATATAATTTTAATAGAGCTTGAAGCTTTTGGTGTTTATAGAGTAACTATTCCTGAATTGTCTCCTATGGCACAAGAATTGGGACTAATGATGCTGGAAAATCCATCTTTTTCTGATATGGAAATATTAACTCAAGATAATATCGTTATACCATGTTCTACAAAGATTTTATCTACAAGATGGCCTCGGTTCCATGGTTTCCTTAAAGCTAGTCTTAAAAAAGATAGTACTGAATGCCCAGCATTTGATTTTTTAACTAAAAACCAAAGAAGTTCTTTGGCAGTATACAGTAACATAACACAGGTAAGCAGTGGTGGATCATCATCAACACGGTTTTTTAATCGGTCTCGTACTCTTTATATTCCTCATCCATATTCTGTTGTTCATCAATTTCTTCGGTTTTTATATACCTATTCTTTAGAACCTGCTATGTTAAATGACATTACTGCATTGTTTGCTTTACTCTCTCTTTCTAAAAGTTTTGGGCCTGATCTGGAGGTAAAGGATTTAAGTCTTTATATTTTTTATGCTCTTCAGAAATGTTTAACTCCAGAAACGGCTTCTCGTATCTATGAAATGGCTATTTTATATGGACATAGAGGCTTACAAATTCGAGCATTAAGGATAATGTCTACAATAAAAAAAGAGGAAAATAAAAATAACTAAAACATCAATTCTTGATATCTTAAATATACTTCAAAGTTTCTAGTACATTTTTTCTGGTTAAATGTATATATTAATGGTACATAATTCATTAGCTTTAGAATAGACCTAATTATTTATATTCATTTTTTTAAATTGCATATTTCTTTTAATATTCATATACTTTTATCTTGTATAGTTTTCAAATATCATTATCTTTAACATATGTTACATTTATAATTATATTTATTTTAAAAATATTTATTAAAAAATAAAATTGATTGATGTTTCAAAGAATCCTATAAAATACCTTCGTATTTCAGTTAATTTTTTGATTTTATAAATGAGTTTTTGTCAAAAGCAAAAAAGATGGATTGTTGCAACATATTGGGTAAATTATACATCTATATTACAGTTTTCTTTATTAATTGGATCAGTTTTTTGTTCTTTTAGCTATTCCTATATGGTGGAAAACTACAGAAATTTATCGGGCAAAACTACCACTTAAATTAATGGATAAATGGGCAAAAGGACAAGTGAATGACATATATACAGTTATGTTTTATTATTTTTAACTATTTATATTAGATGTGCAATATTCAATTTGATATTCCTGTCATTATTGATATTACTCATAATTCTAATAATATTAAAATGATTGAAAAATTAAAACAAATAATATCAACTAAACAAGAAAAAAATATAATAAAATTACATATCAAGAGTATAGATAATATTTTTGTATTTTTTATATTAAAATATAACAGAAAAACATTTAAATATAGACAAATCGCATTATGTTGTCAAATTACATGAAAAAAAAAATATAAAATCAGTATCTATGAATATATATCGTAATAGGACCCTCTTTATTGATTATCATCCTCATATTTTTCCAAAATTACCAAAGATTATTTCAGAAACTTTATTGGATATATTTTCATTACAAGAAAAATATATAAATTTTTATTTAAAAGCGACAGAATCTCGACACAAATCATTAGAATTAGATAACAATACATATACAAAAGTAGTAAAATATTCTTCAACCTTCGATATTGTTTTTAGTCTTGTAAATGGTGATGAAAAAAATGTGGTATCATTTTGGGATATCAAAAAAGCTGTTTATTGTATATGAAATCTTTAAATTTATCTACTTGTTTTCTAATATAGGAAGTATATTTTAGACCATTATTAAGACAACTTTCTGCTCTTTCCGAATTTAATGTAGAATCTCAAATTCATTTTTGTTCAGAATTAACATTTAATCCTTATAAATCAAAACAAGGAAATATGTTTCAAATTTCTATAGACCAATTTCCAGAGTTTGTCAATTTTGCGGAATGGAATTTAGGTAAATTTAAGCATGATATTCCAAACTAAATATAACTTTATAAGAAACTACTTTTTCATCACATAAAATAATTAATTTTTTAGTTTATGTTCCCCCACGTAATATTCAACCTCTTTTTCTTAAAGATTCACATGATAATCTAATCACTACAAATTCGTTTTTAGTTCCACAGTGGGGAAGCATTATTATTCACAATCAAAACCACACAGATATTGACATTTCGCATCTTAACATTACACAACTGCAGCCAATATTTCATATATTTATCTCTAACTTTTTATCTCTTCTTGGTACACCTTCTCTACCTTCATATATTAGCATTGAACCTTTGCCTGTTTTAAATGCATGGAGATTAGATGGTCTTTATAGGCAACGCATTACTGAAAATATTATTTCTGCTTCTGAGACGTTAGGAAGTCTTGCTAGATTGGTACAACGAATTCATAATATGGTTATTCCTGATCAAGTACAACAAGACGTATCAAAAACAATCGATTATTTAAAAAAAGTAATATTATCTTTTCTTCTATATAAACCCAATCTAAAATTAATAGACTTGCCAAAGTTTAAATGATTCCAAATTTTCAAATGCGTTGAATTATTCAAGAATTGCTGTCAATTCTGCGGAAAAAGCTTTCTTCGATCCATCTATGGTAAGCATGCTTTATTTCCCCGATGAGCACAAATACGGCGTATATTTGCCTTTATTTGGACCTTTGTTTTTTCCTTTAGTGATTCCTCTCCTTCGAGAATTTTCTAACTTCCTTAAAAGTTGGAAAACAAAGAGAAATGAAAAAAAAGAACCAAGACACACAGAATAATCATCCTTTACCAAGTGACAATATTACATCATACAATAATACAGTACTTTCTTCGATACTAGTTACCCATCAAAGACTAATTCGTCATACTCTACAAGCTTGCTTCGCTATAAGACTTTTTTCCTCTTTAATTTAGGCGTTTCTTCCGATTCTTTTGTACCGTCAACCATTGATTCTGTTTGCATAAATATACCAATCATTTCCTCGCTATATGCAAAACCCTCCCTTGCCCACTGTGCAATTGTACTGTCTTCACCATTATACATAATTGCATTCGCAAATAATAATAGAATCTCCCGATGAAATTGTTTTGATGTTTTAATCTTCCCATCACGAATCTTGTTTCTAATCGACTTCATATCTGTTGGAAAATAGATCAAATTCGAATATCCAGGTGCATCTTTGTTTGAAACTGGCCCCATAAATACTGCACCATGTTTGTGTTGCGACAAACTCATCCATAAAGGCATAATCATGCTTTGAAACCGTTTTAACGATGCTGTTTCCGAGACACCTGTTTTATGCACATTGTTGCTCTGTGGGTCCGACGACCATGTCTCTGTCTGTTCCTTTTTGCTTGCCCCACGCACATTTTTCTTAATTCCATGTTTTTTCCCGCTTTTTGTCCCATCTGACGGATTATCCCGCTTCTCTGGCACTACTTTCGCTTCTTTTTCACAAACCAAGCGCTGGTCTTTCCGGGTTTCTTCAGAAGACACATCTATGCTTGTTTCTAGTGCTTCTACTGCCTCTGGCCGGCTTTTCCGCTGGATTTTGACCGATAAAACAGGTGCTGAGTGCGTTTCTACCTCTTTTTCACGCAAAACCGGCTCCAACAACGCCTCCGGCTTTTCTTCCAATACCTCCACTCCTTCTGCTGTATGTTTCTCCTCTAATGCCTCCCTGTCCGACGTCTCCTGTGCATCTGCCGCTTCTGAGCCTTCTATTTCCCCTGAAACGTCTATTTCTGCTTCTGCTGTCCTGGATGGCTCTATTTCTTCACAATCCGGGCATTTTCCTGCCTGAATACTGCTGATTTCATCGACTATACGTGCAAATGCTTCTTCTTCTTGCCGGATCTCTGCCTTAAGCTCCTCAATCCGTGCTGCATGCAAGATACGGCACAGCTCCCGTATAGGTGCTGATACTGGCTTCAATTAGACATTTTCCCCCGCATATAATACACAAAACAACGCATACATGGCACTTCTGGACCCAATACTGGCCTGAAATATCAGTATTTCCTTCATTTATCCACAATATATACTCTCGTTTCAACTTGTGCTGTCGTAGTAGTGCCTCATACTGTGTCTCAAGCTCCTGCAAAAGGTTATTTCTGTGAATATCTATCAATATTGTAATGTTTTACTGATGCTGCTGCTGCTGGCCGCTGCAGCAGTGGATGTTGGTCCAGATGGCTCTGAATTACAGAGAAATCGCTGTCTCCATACCGCAGGACAAGCTGTGCAAGTAGCAGCGATGCAGTTCCGTTCGATTGTGCGGCGCTCATTGTGCTTTTATATTGTCGGACGGAGTATATCGAGAAAAGATAAAAGCGGACAATGCGTGTATTGGCGCATATACACGCAGTGTATACGCAATGTATGCGCGCAGTATGCACCGTATGCACGCATATATGGGCATATACACGCATACACACTGCATACAGTGCGCCGTAAGCACCAGTGCATACTGCAACATATACAATGTAGCATGCACTGTGCATATACTGCGAATATATATATACACAGCACACAAAGCATAGTGTATACATAGTATATATAGCATATATAGTGTATATAGCATATATAGTGTATATAAATGTATATAATATAGCAGACATAGCATACACAATGTGTAGCATACATAGTGTATATAGCATATACAGTGATATGGATGTGTAGCATAGACAGTATATATAGTGTATATAGTGCATACAGTGTAGTGTATATAGTATGTACAGTATATATACTGTCTATGCTGTACACGCTGTATATGCAGCATATGCTATCTATGCTATATATTATATATACTATATATACTATATATACTATATATACTGTATACGCTATATATACTATCTATGCTATACGTTATATACACGTATACACAGTATACACAGCATATAGAGCATACACAGTGTATACTGTATACGCAATATATGTTATGCTGTGCACAGCACGTTGTATGCTATGCTATATATGTATGCTATACATGCACCGATAGCATTTTACATGCAAATACACCGTATATACATATGTATACGTGTATACGTGTATACTGTGTATGCACACACTGTAAGTGTATACGTCCCGGGAGTAGCGGTGTCAAACACATGCACCGCCACTCCGAACACTCCACACAAGAAGAGCACCCAACAAAGCGTCTGCGTGCAGATTTGCAGAGCAATACAGAGAACGACTTATCTCTTCTGCCTTTTGACTTCTTTGATGCTCCTGAGAGTGCTGCTGCGCCGTCCTGTGATACACCGCCGGCATCACCGCCTTCGTCGCCCTCGAAATGGGCCAAAGAACGCGTTTTCGATGACTCGTGCGACCAGTCCGCATACGATTTACGCGCTGAGCACCTTGCAGAGCGTGTAAAGCAAGCAAAAGACGCAGCAGAGGCCAAATCCCGCGCATATACTCCGCAAACACCCACAGAAACACATATATATGCGCCAGAAAACGCGGTTTCCGACGCCGAAACCACCGCGTCGGAGACGGACGACGACTGGCGCTGTAGGAGGAACACACGGGTGTCCGAAAGGCAATGAGCTGCTGTGTATACTGTACGCACAGTACGTGTTCTGTGCGGTCTGCAGTTTCGCGCATATATAGCGGTATACGCGCGCATATACCCGGGGGATCAGCGCATATACACAGGTGTATAGGCGGCAGTGGCAGCAGCAGGAGAAACGCCCAAGTGGTGGGCGCATTTTGAGCTCGGCGTGGCACTTGCACTGTATACATGGCCGGTGCTTGCAACGGCAGTTGCAGCAGAGTGGGGCGGTCCGGACAGTGCAGCAAAGCGTGAGTGGATTGGAGGAGTGGTTGCAGACATGGTTGAAGGTTAGATACACAGTCGCCTAAGTTCACACCGCATGCTATGCACAGTATATGCTATGCACTGTACTATGTATATATGTATGCTGTGTATGCGACAGTGCAGTGCATGCACAGCATGCAACGCATAGAGTGCGCATATATGACGCATATATAGCGCATACACTGTGCATACAGCGTACTGCACATATGCCGCACATACTGTCTACATATATTTTCAGTGTATACATTATACATAGTGTATACATAGTGTATACAGCTCACACATACACGCATTATATATATAGTGTACATGCATTATATGCATATCTGCTGACCATATGCTATACGTGTTGTATATATGTTATATATGCTATATACACTGACTATGCATTATATGCATTATATGCATTATATGCATTGTATGCATTGTATGCATTGTATGCTGTATATGTAGAGCGTGTGCTGTGTATACACAAAGTATACACGGTATATACATAATATATACACATATGCACACTTGCACAGCAATATAGTGTCTGCATGTTATATGCATAGTATACACGTGTGATGTTCAGGATGGATATGTAGCGTGTAGCATACACTGTATATGTACAATATATACAGTATGCGTAGTGTATGCACTGTATATACACATTGTATGTACAATATGTACATTATATACACTATATATCCACACTATACACACTATACACACTATACACACTATACAGTATACGCTATATATATACCATATGCATAGTATACATTATGTACACTGTATACACTATACACGCGGTGCACTTTGTATGAGCAGCATATGGAGCTGTTTCGGGCTCAGATTAATATATATTAGGCGATGCAGCAACAACAGAAGATCAATTGGAACTTTTACTTTTGCAGATAATGGAGGACGAGTTCTCGGTTATCATTGATGATGGCTCAGCAGCAGCAGTTGCAGCACAAATTATACAGCTGCGTCGTACATGTGAAGCAGGAGACACACAACACGTTATACAGTGGTATGAGCGGTGGCAGAGACAGCCAACAGTGGCACAAGTACCGCCAGCCAATGAGAGTGATTCGGGAGATGATTGCACAAATTAATATTAAATACACCATTAAAGGGTGTTTTATGTATATTTTTAATGAGGCTCTTAAACAGACTTTAAAGGACTGAAAACGACTCTAAAGACACTAAAAATGCTTTACAGCTGCTCTATAGATAATGTTTTAGTCTTTAGTTTGATTTTTAGTAATGTTTAAAAAATTACATACATGTTTGTCAATATTTTTACATATAGTGGTGTCGAAAAGCTATGAAAAAATGCAAACAAATAATAAATATACATGAATGAAGGTTGATTTCATAAGATGTCTATTTCTGCATACCTGTCTTTATTAAGTGTAATGAAAGATTATGTATTATCAAGGAATTATCAAGGGGTTATCAGGAAATTATCTAGTAATTATAGAGGATCTTTCGGGGGATAGTTTGTTTAAAGGTGACTGGTTCAATGTTGGGAATGAAGGAGCATTGGGTTTGCGTCCATGAACAACAATTTTCCCAGGAAGTTCTTCGACAAGCCAGCCATCAGCATTTAGTAAATGAAGTATAGCAGGCCGAAGTTTTGGGCGGCCGTTTTTGCTATGAGTGCCTGCACCAGTAACAACTTCAACAGGTTTACGTGCGTTTCTATGGAGTGCTTGTTGGTGATGCCACCATTGTGCAATATGTTCTTTGACAAATAATTTAGCTTCAAGAATTGTCAATCCATGTAGATCAATTGAATAAAGATGGCTATACATGTTAAACGACAAAACATTTTAGAGTTAGAAGACTTACATGGGCTCCATTGTACACATTTTAGCTCTTAGAGTCCACAGTTTAACTTTAGCATCATATTCTCGGCCCTAAAAATGAGTAAAAAAACAAAAAAATGTATGGTTTTAAAAAAGTACCTTTTTTGAATAATGAGTGACAATGTCTGCATAAAATCGATGTGTTTTTGCTTTTTTGTAGGCCTTGGCTGCCTCTTTAAAAGCATGATTTCTTTTAAAAACAAAAATTGATACATTTTCTTCACATTCTTCTGAGTTATACTTCATAAATATTCTATCATCAAAAACAATGCCTGGATAAAGAGTATAATTATCAGTGCATGATGGAGATGCGTCATAGAAATGAGAAACAGTATTTGGGTTTGATTCATGTGACTTTGAAACAGATGCGTGTATTGAATTGCCAAAATTTTCTGGGTGAATAGCTAAAATAATATGTCTTGCTTTTGAAACATCGTTGTTTGCAGAAAGCAGAATTCGTTCATACATGTACTCCTCAAGAAATGGGAACTGGCTTTTCAGTTGATCTAGATTACTCATGTAATCCGGTTGCAACATAACAAATGATTTATTCATCCGCTCTATCATGCTATCACTTGATAACAAAGTATATATGGATTTCGGCAAAGACATAGAGCATTGGTGATAAATAGATACTGCTTGTTTTTTGGAAATCTCAAATATGTTGGCCAGCCATTCAATATCGGGAACGATACTGCCCCATGTCGAGCTTGAATGTTCTAAACGTGGATACTCGGGCATTGTATTATATTGATCCCATTGATTTAATGGAATATTCTGCATTTTTTTATTTTTTTTTTGTTTTTTTGTCTTTAAAATCTGGGAAGATATTCCAAAAAATAAATCATTTAGGAAATCCTGATCATCTTCATTCATATTGTTCAATATTTCATCTACTGCTTTTTCTAATACATTTTCATGTTTGCAAAGAATATGTTGTAAATGATCTTGATGTTGTTGAGGAAAGATCATTTTTAAAAAAGATAATGAATCCTCATGATTTATATTTTCTTGATGTTCCAAAATATCAAGTTTATCTTGAGATATATTATTTTGATTATATTCCATACTTATATTTTCATGATTATTTATAGTGCCATATTAACTGTTGAATTATACAAAGATAATTAATAACCGAGTTTATTCTTAATAAAAAACAATATATATGTATTTATCATTTCTATAATTCATTCATGCTTAATGAAATAAACTTTTATAGTTTTTGTAATTTTTTTTTGTTTTTAGTCGTCTTCGATATCGCTAAGTTTGAATTATATATAGATAATATAAAATAAGATACAAAACTTTAGTATTCTAATTCATAAAAATGAGGCTTTATATACAAGAAAAATCACTTTATGAGTATAAAAATTCCGAAAAAGTTTTTAAAAAAATATCATAATTTTTAAAAATTCACAATCATTTATATTATCTATTCTTATCAATATCATTAACACTATCAAGAATCTTAAAAATGACAAAAATATTTATTTACATTGACTCATAAATTTCATTTTTGTATTTTTTAAATATTTTAAATAAATACAATATAAATATAATATATATTTCTTTTATTACAGAGTATAATTTAGTAAAAATATATTTTTTTAATTTTCAACAAATTAGATGATTTAAAAAACAATAATCTCTTTTAAAGAATTTAAATATAAATATATTATTATACTAAAAATATATTAAAAAAAAATATAAAATATTTATTTTAAAAACATAAAACAAAATTTAATTTCTATAAAAAATAAAAACAATTCATAATTAAAATATAATTTAAACAAAAATTAGAATAATATGAACAAAATACGTCATTACGACAATCCCTTAACAAAAATATCAAATACAATAAAAATATGCAATAAATTAAAGATTCATCATAAATATTTTTAAAATACAAAGTATAATAAAATTTAAAAAAATGCTTTTAATAAATTTTTAATATAAAGCATACGTCGTTTTAACTGAATGATTTTTATTTACTCTTCAGAAATAAGTTTCGTCACTTTTCCAATAGCCACAGTAACACCTTCATTACGAAGAATAAATCGTCCAAGTTGGCTATGTCTTTCATATGTTTCAATACATATCGGTGATGCAACGTCCAATAAAGCTACAATCTTCATACCTTTTGTTGCAAATGGGGGTGGTTTTTTGCTTCGTCTGTTTGTTACTTTATCAAGTTTATAAAGCAATTTCTAAATATATTCATTTAATTTAATTAATCCATAGAAAGTATAATATTTACCAAAAATGTCACATCTTGAACAACTGTATGAATATGAATAATACACGAATAGCCCGAAGTAAGCAAATTTTTGACCTCTAAAATAGCTATTTGAGCTTCAAATATTTTAGCAGTATGCACTGGATTACTAATTGATGATAAAATACAGCCCGACATAACATCATCTTCTTCTATTCCTCTTATTCGAAGTTTGACCTGATCACCACAACGAGCTATCTGTATTTCTTCCATTTCATTATATAATGCAGTTACTTCAATAATATTCTAAAATTTGTTAAGAATAATGTTTTTCAACATATATAAATACTTTATTTGGCATAAGAATAAGACTCGATCCTTTTTTAACATAACCACTTTCAATCTTCCCTTCAATAACTAAACCCATATCCTAGTGAAGATTAATAAAATATAACAAATATTTAAAGCTAAACTCTATATTTTGCTTGAATCGGAATCATTAATGGAGCTTTTATTTTTCGTTCGAAAGTATCCATTTGATCCAAATATTCAAGGAGAGAAGGCCCATCATACCAAGGACATATCTTCTTATCAACACGGTCTTTAATATTTATACCAGCAAATGCAGAAATTGGCATAAATACAAAATCTAAACAGTTCAGAATCATCTAACAAAAAAATAATTTCTACTTGTTTTTGGATTATATCCTAATTCCTTTTTCAAAAATCTTAAAAGCTTATTTGTACATTCATCATATCTTAAAACATTTTAGAAAAATATCAACTATGTAACTGTTTAACCTTTCTTTTGACCATTCTACAGTAGGATCGTCCATTTTATTAATCACAACGATAAGATTAGTAATACCCTGCGTTTTCGCAAGCATAGCATGTTCTCTTGTTTGACCGCCTTTTTCAAATCCAGTTTCGTACTCTCCTTTTCGTGCAGAAATAACAAGTACACCTACATCTGCTTGAGATGCACCCTCTATCATATTTGGTACATAAGATTTATGACCAGGAGCATCAAGGACTTAAAAAATTAATGCAAAAATAAATAATCATAAATAAAATACTTGTATATCGACGTTTTTCCGTTTCAAAATATGCCCTGCCTACTTCAACAGTTTTCCCTTTAGACCGCTCTTCTTTAGTAGAATCTAACGCCCACGACAAATACCTTTTTTATTAAAAATACGTTTAAACATCCTTTATTTTCATACCAACTCTCTCGACCTATATCCTTTGCATCTTTTTCATATTTCTCCATCGTTCTCTTATCCACCATTCCTGTCATATAAAGGATATTCCCTCTAATGCCTTTAGCCTAATGAAATAACATATTTCACAACTACCCAAGTGTTGATTTTCCTGCATCAACATGACCAATAAAAACAACATTCACATGCTCTTTTCCATACATGTCCTGTATGATTTCATCATCAATGTCATCTTGAAATTGGTCCATAGCATCAAGATTTCTACGTTCATCATCTGTAGACACTGGAACACGACTTTTTTCTTGATTCAGACCAGAAGACAATGTATCCACACCAGAAACCGAATACAAACTTTCATTAGCCTCAACAACAGGCTCTTCACTCTTCTTGGATGACGTTTTCATTACACTAGATGGCTTTGTAGGCTCCCCAATCTTAATCACTTTTGCAGGTGATGTATTACAGAATTTATCAACGGAATACTTTTCTATTTCAGCTATTTCAGTATTCAAAAAAAAAACAATATTAACAAAAATATACCAAAATATGGGTCATGAACATATGTCTGCATAGACTGCATATGATTTTCTGGCGGACAAAACATATAACCGGGAACCGTATGTGCTTGGGCATTATATTCCTGACCAATGTAACCATAAGACATATCATTAAATCCATAATTCATTCTTTGATCTAAAAAAGCTTAAAAACATAACATATGAAGAAATAAAGCTTTTAAAACCCATTGGTTGTTGCAAATATGTAGAACTAGGTCGAAACTCTTTTGCTTCAGCAGACATGCTTATTTTTTCCATTTTTTGAGATAAAGAGCTTTCTTCATCAATGTTATTCTCCCATGTATCGTCTAAAGCAGTGTTCTTTCTCCCAGAAACATTAATTAAATCATTTTTGTCATTTAACATCTTGTGAGACTAATACCTAATTTTTGCTCAAAAAAACAGTTTTAAAAAAGACACAGGAAAAACAAACTCAATTGAATAAAAAAAAACTATTTCCAGCAAGTTTTTATGCTTTTTTATCTAAAGATAAACAAGAATTTGATCACAGAAAAATTTTGAGGTGATAACAATCGTAACCAATGTTAACGTCATAATAAACGCTATCAATAGAAAATGACAATAAAGTGATAAAAACAAGGAAAAACAAAGGATTTTCAATTTAAAAGATTAATTTAATATTTAAAAGCAATTTGTAGTTTTTTTCTGCTAAAAAAACGCAAAAAATGGATGATTTTCTTGCAAAGTTTGACTTAAAAATATATATCAATATACAATTTAATTAATTAAAAAAAAGGGTTTCTATTGCAGCAGCAACATTTGCAATACGTAGTGGAGTTAGTATTGCAGGTGGTATTGCACTGCGTCAGGTTTCCAGATATATTAAAGACATGCCATCTCAAGCTCAGCGTCAAGCACTGGATAATCTTAGAAAACAGCTTGAACAGAAAATCCGAGTGGATAAACTCTCTATTATATTATTAAACTAATGAATATATCAGATTGTTACGCCAGCAATTGATTTGATTGAGATTATGTATATATTTTCTGACAAATAAAATCAATATTGAATAAAATAGATCTGCTCGAGGAAATACAAGTCTTGGGAGCACCGTTCACCTTACAAATTCACTACGTCGAGATATCAATGCATTTGCAAGGCGTGTAAGTGATGCAGCTGATGAACAAGAAATATCAAAACATATTAACAAAAATAATATGGGGACTATTATGGAAGACATGAAAAACCTCCTTTCAAGAATTGAAGATGTAAAAAATTCAAAGAGTGTGTTGTTTTTGATTCATTTTAGGCGGTTCCTCTTATATCTCTTGCATTAACAACATCGGGTGCAAATATTTCCTCTTCGTTACCAAATACAGTTTCACCGTCTCGATTATTACAAGCATCTTCGTTTCTAACATCAGCAGATACTTTGTTCGCAAAGACACCATCTATTAAATTTCAGCAAGTTGGACCTATTTTTATATTAAAACTTTACACTATTTTTTCAGGAAGCGCAAGAGTTGCACACATGATTTCAGCCAGTGATATTACATGGAAAGAAGAACATGCTAAATGCCATGTATCTGTTGTTCGTGTTGAATTGAGTGATTCTGAGGAATCAAAGAACAATTCAGCACGTGAAAGGATGAATGAATATGCTTATGAATTACAAGTAATTGAAGATTTAAATGATGGAAGATACCATGATGAATTAGAGGAACAAAAGATAAAAAAAAATAAAGATGGAAGCATATACGGTTCCAGAAGAAACATACCGATCCATTTGGTTTCAAGGCTTTTTTTCAATGCATCTGGAAAACTTCTTAATATCGAAGAAGCAAAAACTCCTGTTCTTGTTTTAAAACTCAATCATGCGCTTTCTCCCCCAAGAAAACTATTAGAATCCATTAAGTATGATAATACAGAAAATGATGAAGTTTATGAAAACATTGATGAAGAATCATTTTATGATAAAATTAATAATCCTGAAAATATTGAATGGATTGCATTTGAAATTTGGAATGATTATACAAGTGATAATGATGAAAGTTATAGTGATACCAATAGTGATACCAGTAATGCTAATGAAAACTTAAATGAAAATTATAACCATGATAATTATGAAAATCTGAATAACAAAAATAACCATAATAAAAAATCATTAAAGGATGGATCTATATTTCCTGAGAAAAAAACATCAGAAAAAGCTACAGCTAATGAAATTTCGTCTTTAAAACAAGAACAAATAAATGAATTTTCAGAAGCATTGAAAGCACTAAATATTAACTCAGAAAACACGAATGAAATTCTAGGATTGCATAATAATTCTAGCACTAATCTAGCCACTTTATCTCTTCTTGAATATATTATTAGATTAACTGCATTACAAACATGCGAACAAACATCATTACTTTCTGTAACTGATGAAAGAATTTCATTGTTTTTAAGAGATGATAATCATAGTTCTAGGACAAGAGAAAGGAAAGGGACCATGGAATATGGACAAACACCATTTAGTTCACCATCATCAGTGAAACTTGAAAAAGATGGAATAAAATCTCAAGAAAATCGCAAACTTAATAGACGCGATTTATTACTTGACAACCGGAATTCTCCGAGAAGTCCTCTTACCTTAAATTAAAGCATAGAATTGCTTATAAAATCTCTATATTTAGAACTAATCTAAATATTGCATATAAAAAAGTAATTAACAATTATAAAAGTTCTATACTAAAACTATCTTTAATATACTATACAGTATAAAGCAATTTAATATAACAATATTACGGTTAAATCTGATTATAAAATAGCCTAAAAATTTAATATAAATAACATAACACATACATATTTGTTTATATTTAAAAATTGATACTAATATCGATAATATAACAGTTAATCTACAAAATGCAACTACATAATATTATGTCTAAACATGCTAAAAATATAACTTATGTGAATAAAATTCCATATACCTTTTGAAATAAATAGCTATAAATTATGCAAACTACTCCTATTCCCATATTTTAAACAAAAAAAAAAAAAACCAAATTTAACCGTAAAAATGTTCCTTTATATAAAAAATCATAAAATAAATAATAAGTATTATTATAGTAAAATCATATAATTCAGTATATTTAATCATCACCCTTTAATAATAAAGAATTAGATTATTATTTAAATTCCACGTGTATATTTAAAAATATTAAGGTTCAGTAATATCTATAAAACATCAGATTGTTTCAAAAAACTTTTTATTAAATACGTGTATTTATTCCGGATACCATATAACAGCATTTCCTCTGAGGAATAATGTACCCATCAAGTAACTGTTTCTCCGGAAGTACGTTTTGCAAAGTATTGTGAACAATATTATTACCGTGAGTATAGCAATTTGTACATTGACATGCAGAAGTACACGTACACTTAGATCCTGGCCTAGAACAATCAAATTCGTAATACGTTTCTGGTATTTCAAGATTCTGAGAATCACTTATGATCGTTTGAAATTTCATAAATGATTCAGGAATATTAATATTATTATTCTGTGTTTTAGAATGCTGAATATAATCAAAGAACACAGGCATAGATGATGAATGAAAATTTTCCTTTATTTCTGAAGGTATGTATGAATAATTAGATATTGTATCAAGATCTGCATATGCTGATTTATTATAAGTTTGATAAAAATCAATATTGCTTGGAGTAGAAAAACCATTAGGACTGTTTTGTCCTATAACCTGAGGATATATATAATTATTAGAATATTGAGAATTGTAATAAGAGAGCATTTCTGAAGAAAAATCAGAACTAGGTTCAGAACTAAGATCTGGACTAAAATCGGAACTCTGAGTACAAACTTTTGAATCAGAATTACATGTTTTATTCGTAACTGCTCCAATCCCATACTTCAAACTATCTGCATTGTTTAACATCTGAAAATTACTGGGAAAATGTAATTGTTTAGGTTCACTTAATCCATTAAAATTTAATTCAGATACATTTGTCTGAAAATCTTTTATAAATGCTCCGTTATTTTGAACTGCTTCATGCATTTCTTTATTTTCAATTGTTTCCAATACTGTTTTTTGGTCTAATACGTTAATTATCAATTATTTTTAACAAATTAAATAATAATACTTTTTTTAAAAGCCTTAAAAATCAGTTTCTGAAAATCAGGCGACTCATTTGCTTTCTCTACATACTCCTTACAGAAACATTTTGTACGAAAAGGTCTTTTTATACGTGTCGACAATGTAGATAGGCATTGTGATACCGGTCTACCTTTACGTTTAATCTCAAAAAGTTGCCTATCTTTATGATCACATAATGAAGAACGATGCCCCCTAATACAACTAGAGCTATAGAAGCTGATAAGCTATAATTTGATCTTTTTTAAAAGAACACAAACCACGCGTATTTAATATTGTTAATATAAACCATAATAAACAAAAATTAAATCTATTTTCACGTAAAAAAATAAAGAAAATAAGAAATATTACGTATTCAATATGTTTAAAGGTAGTTTTTTCCTTTTAAAATACAATTATTATAATATTTTTAATAATAAGTTTTTTTAGCAGTTCAAATACATTGATCTCGATATTTTTAAGAAATCTGATTTTATAAAATAGACTAATATTATATAAAATAAGCAAATTTTTAAAATATCAAGTTTTTTGATTACTCAACTAATTTTTTAGTTTTATCTATTAATTTCATTTGATAATTAACTTTTTTATATAGGAAAAGATAGATTTAAAAAGTATAGAAACAAAACAAATTTGCCTACTTTTCAAAATAAACCCTTTATTAAGTCTTATTTTGCCTATTTTTAATTAAGTTTTATACATTTGTTTGAAAAATGTTGGTAAAACATATTTATTATAAATTATATTTGCATTTTAAATAAAAACACAAAAAAACAATACAATTAATTTCATGAAAAGAGGCAAAATAAATATCTTTTAATATATATAAGAACAAGCTTTTAACCTCTGAAAAATAATTTTCTGAAAGATTTTTTTATAATAAAAACATTATAATAAAAATATATTTAAATCCATTTCAAAAATCAAATATTGAGCAATAACAGGTTATTTAAGGATACATAAATAATTGAAAAACAAATATATATATTGGGCAAATTTATATATTTTTCTTTAAACTATCGACATCTAAATTTCCAACAAAACTACACAATAAAATATTCACAGAAAGGAATTTAAAGAAAAAATTAAGAATAAATACGTAGAAAATAAGCAAAAATCTTCTTTTTTATTATATTTAAAGTTTTATACATTTTTCTTTTAAAAAAAACACTTTAAGGAAAACAACTAAAAAAATAGTGAGGATAATAAAGATAAAAAACTTATTTTTGGAGTTTTCTTATAATTTTTGTCTTTATTTTCATTTTTTTCTCTTTTCTTGGAATTCAATCATCTATTTTATTTTTTAAGCTATCTATTTAATAACAATAAATCCATTCTAAAAACATAATGATTATATACTTTTATGTAATAACGATTCTTCAGAGTTTTTGCTAATATAGGGCTTTGACTAATATATTTTCTAGGAATATTTCAATGTTTAATAATTACAATCATATTGCATTTCATGGTACACCTGATGATCATTTCAAAGAAAATTATCAAAATAAAATACATCATAATATTAATTACGGCAACTATGAGAAAGAAAGGCGCTATTTAAATCAACATAATTCAAATAACATGTTTAAAAAAAGACACAGTCATACAAATTTTCCAATTTCATCTAATTTGCAAGGAAAAGAAACACCTTTTTCATCTTTAAATGCAAAAAAAAATCCAATATCATCAAGTCTTAATCAGGAATTCAGAGATTTACGAGCTTTACAAAAAATGTCTATGGAAACATCCCCTGATCTAGAATTACCATTTACTTCAATTATATCTATTGCTTCAAATATTTATGAAAAGAATAATATTTCAGAAGATTCTTTTTTAAAGTATATTTCTAAAAGTATTTTGCACTTAATTAATTATATTAGTCCTACTCAACTACATCTTAATATTATACCAGAAAAACATGAATATATAAAATACAAATATCAAAAACCTAAAATTCCTTATAGGATTCCAAATGCTAAAGCTAAGAGTATTAATAATCATAATAATTTTTTTGTCCAAAAACATGCTTTTTCAAAACCTGTAGTTTTTAAAGAATTTAATATTGAAAGCTCTCACATGAATTTTTTCAACTCAGAAAACGAGTTTCAAAAGTCTATTTCACAAACTCAAATACCATATATATTTGAAAATTATAAACATGCATCAATTTATCAACCCAAACAAACATTTAAAAGATCAATTGATACCGAGGGACAAATGTCATTTCAAAACAATGATTATACAGTTGAATCACTCAATAAACATTTACAAAATACTTCAATATCCTCACAAGAAGTTAATATGAATAAATCTATATTTTTTGATTCTAAGATTCTAGAAGAAACTCAAAATTATACAGAACCTATAAATACCACAAATGAACTCTTACATTATAAAAATGATAAAGTATTCTTTCCTAGTCTAACGCAAAACAGATATAATAATTTTGATTTATTAAAACATGAAAAAAGCGACATTATACTATCTCATCCAACAAAACATTGTAAAAACAATAATTTACCTCCTATTCCACATAGGGAATCTTTTAGGGGTTCCGAGTTAAATCATTATAATAGTATACCTTTATCATCAAATAATAAAAGACAGTATCACAGCTTATCTAATATTCCTTTGTCTACAAAGGACTACAAAATAAACAATAACTATAAATATATTACCGATCTTTCTAATTCAGGGACTACAGTACATGATCAACTTAATTTTTCTAGGAAATCACCGTGGGAAATGTTTTTCAATTATGAATATGATACAAATTATTTTAATAAAGATGAAAAATCAGAGGAAAATAAAATCAAAAATAGAAACACTGACAGTTTAGATGTGGTTAAAGTTAATGAAATTTCTTCTGAATATTTCAATATTATTAGAAATCATAAACCAGAATACAGTTTTTTATCCTTAAAATATGACTTTATAAAAAAAGAAAACATTAAAAACATACTTTCATCTATTTCTAATTATAAGAAAAAGCTTTTAGATAAAAAGGCTTACTTTTGTCAAATTTCAAAATACTTTTTTGCAAAATATTTAAAAGGTGAAAAATACACGAATGAGTATTATTCAAATTCTTTTCAATTCGAATCATTATATTTTACTCGATTTCCTATACAACTTGAACGTTTTATATATCATCTTGCTCGTCTTAAACTCTCAGAATCCCACCGACCTCTTTATCAACATGTTCTTTTAACAAATTTTATATATTATTACTTATCTCTACTTAAAAAGGATCAAATTATTCAACAATCTAAAAATAAGTTACATAAGAACGTTTCTTTGTTCTCTAAATACAATATTATTCCTGAAACTATACAAAATCAAATTGAAAGAAATACAAGATTTCCGATAAAAAAAACATTTGAAAACAATAATTATAACGTAATTTTTTAACATTTCAATTATTAAATTCTAAATTATATAGGAAAAAAAGACAAACGATAGAATAAATCTAAAATGTAAAATACACATTCCTTACCTCATTGATTCTTTGAACCCAACAATATTTGATTACAACGACCTTAATATACCATTTGCATATGACGACTATGATGAATTCAGCAATATTCACTCAATTTTACATGAAAACAATGATCTCTATTATAATCAATCAAATTTTAAAAACGTATTAAATTCAGACATATTAGATTCAGATATATTAAGACCAGAGATACCTATAATAGAAAATGTACATGATATATTATATATATAAATAATAATCATATGAAAAACATAATTAAAACTTTTTTTTAAAAATATACTATTTTACAATTTAAGATCATCTTTTATAAACATCAAATAATGTTTTGTTTAATTGTATTTAAATTCTGATGGCTTACGATATATTTAATTTAAATATTAAGGTTTTCTAAAAAACAAATGTGCACCAACAGAAATAACAAGAGCTCCAAATGCACTTGTTGCTAGCAAAAAAGGTATATTCAAAGGTTCTTTTTCTTTGTTTTTTTTCCTATTTTCCTAAATATGATAATACATTTTCTTTATACAAACCTAGGTATAGCAAAATATGGAGTCTGTGCAGCTTCGACTAACTAAAATAATTAGCCCTTTTCTTATATTTATAACTATAATATACTTGAACAAATAAATCAGATGTTGACATCCATGGTATACTAACATGAATAGGAGAACGAAGACATTGGATTTGCGTATATTGATCTGGTTGAATATCACATCTCTATTATGATATAAGAACAAAAAACTATTATAAAATAAAATACCTGCTGTTGACGATCAAGATCAGCCTTCGTAGCAGCATAAACACACGGAATAGAATTTATTTCAGGGTATTTTTCCTTCAAAATTTAGCTACATTCATGATTAATGAGGACTAAACCTGTAGTTTTAACAAATAACCAAAGCTTTCAGGATCAGATGAATCATAAGTCAAACATAATACATCACAAGCATCTAATTTTTTTGGATTACTTAAAACAGCATGTTCATTATCCGTTAATTCCTCAAGCTTGTATACTTAAGTTTTTATCTATCAAATTTATCATCCTCACCACAAGATATCGTTGAATACTTTGGATTTCAACGCTATTTACAACTGTTCTATGGTTTTTTGTAGGAGTATATTTCGGATTGTATGGGATATTTATAAAAGAATCTAGCAAGCAACTTTTTCCTGATTTCCTTTTGCCAACAACATAACATAAAAATACATTTCTATCTACCTTAACTGATTTTTTCCCTCTTTTACGTGCTTTTGTTATATATAATGCATCCATTGTCCCTTCTTTTCCAATTGATTCGAAACCTAAATATGCAAGATAAGCAAGTGTTGTTGAATAATCCAAAAGTGTTGTCATGCTCCACTGTGCAAGCCATCCATTATAAGTAACATAACCCATCTCATTTCGAACTGTAGACTCTGGAAATGATGAAAGAAGCCACAACTTTGGTAATCCAGGTGTAGGCGCAAATAAAGCACATAATTCGTCTGAATTTAATGCGCCATCATTATCTTTATCCATTAATGAAAAATAATCGACCAAAAAACGATATCCTAAAGGACTAAGCTCCACACTTTGGTTAGATCCTACTTCAAATCTTTTTTAATTAGTCAATAATCTCAATGACAATATGCAATTACTTAGGATTAAGAAAATCATCTTTTAAACTTAAGCTATCCGTATATTTAAAAGACCTTAAAATTTGCCAGGTTGTCTCATGTCTTCCTTTAACAGCAAATATTTTGTTCAATAACAAAAACCCAATTTCAGTTAAACCATTATCCCTTACTGCATCAAGAGATAATTTTGAAACAGAAAATTTAATATCATCAAAATCGGAAGGCGCCATTGGTTTTTCAAAACATCTTCTTTGTAATAAATCTAATTCTACATCATTTAATATACCGTTATGATCTTTATCGGATAAAACTAAATCTTCATAAGAACTATAGTTACTATTGCAAGTATAAGTTTACAAAATATCCTCTTCAAAGCAACTACTGCAGCCGGTTTCAGCTCCTACAAAGATTAAAAATCCAATATAAACAAAAAACGTCAACACCTGTTCCTTTGCATTAAAAAGAGGAGCTATAGGATGTGTAACAGCTCGTTGACACAAATAAAACACCTTCATAATTAAATATAAACATTCAAACTAAAAAATCTAAAGAAACCTCATTTACATTACGGTGAGCCTTTCCACTTGATCTAAAACAATTATTATATAAATACAAAAAGACTTGCTAACCTAATACAACTTTCAACTTCCTAACATAAAATAAGTTAACTGAACATTAAAAATAAAACAAAAATAACCTTGAATTCTTTCATAATTGGAAGCATTTCCTCCTCAATAATTAGTGATCCATCTGCTTCTAAATTATCACATTTATTGGCACAAAGTACAACAGGCAGCTAAATAAATCAATTTTAAATAAAACTACCACTTGAAGTACATTAACACCAAGAGATCTAAAAAATGGAAGCCAAAATAAAGAAACACGCTCTCCACTATAGCTGTCGGCGTAAACCAAGCAAATTACATTAGCTTTGCGTAGCTCTTTAATAAGCATTGGACGATCTGCAGGATCAGAAGACGTATCAACAATAATTGTGTTCATATTGCTGTACATATCTGGAACACTAACAGGTGGTACAACGTGTATCAAGTCAGCCAAAATTCTATTATAATTGTAATCTTATCTTTTGAATATTAGAGACAAATGTTTCCTGCAAGATATAAGATTAAAAAAAGAACTGTTTTTGCACAAAAACCTTAACAAGTGATGTAATTAAACTTGATTTTCCTACATGATCATCGCCTACTACGACAATTCTTATATCTGTCATAAATCTAATTTTTCAACCAATTTCAATGCAAATAAACACTTTTTTTTGAGTAATTCAGGCAGAAATAAGTTTTCTTTTTGTATATTGTGTTTATAAAGTAAAAATACTTAAAAACTTTGTTCAAAATATCAAATTTTCTTTTTTTAAAAAACTTATTAACATATCGATATTCATTTATTATCACAAATTCAGCGGAATATATATTAAAAAACAAAAAACACTGAAATTTTCTAATAAATAAGCGTATAAACCATAAATTCTAGAAAATTGTTATTTTTACTGTTTTTAGAGTTATTTTTTTGAAATAAGACGGTTTAATATACTTAAAACAAAGTTAAATATCATTAAACACTTTAAGCATGAAAAACAACTAGAAAACAGATTAAATATACTAAGAATAAATATAAATAAATATATACATTTTGAAGAAATTTAGTATTAAGAGGCTTTACATTGTAATCAGTGGTTGAGAATTTATATATTTTTTAATTTTTGTCAAAAGAAATATAATAATGGAGACTGAAGACTTGTCATATGAACAAAAAAAAGAATTTTCACTAGAAGAAGGTGTATACAGGCTTAGAAAACAGTTTCTTTTACAAACAGATTCTTATCCAGCAGAAAAATCAAACACAAACCCTTTATCAATCAATATGGAGCCTATGCCTAGTAATATGGAAGTAAACATAATAACAGTAGAAAGTGATGATTTCCAGCCATCTCCATTGAAATTTTCATTGCCATACAAATCAGAATCTACTCAGCACGAATCACCATTGAAGGACCAAACAGTTAAATCTACATCAGAAAACACAGATAGTAAAGATACAATGGAATCTCATTCAGAAAAAAAAGATGTGTCTGATGACGATTTTTTATCCGAAAATCTATTTCATGACTTAGCATCTTTTACACAAAACACTGATGTCGAAGAACTTCTACCTAACCCATCCTATATGCAAAATTCAAACATTTTGAGAAAAATCAAAAAACCTAAAAATAGCATAATAAAAAAAAACTCGTCGTTCATCTCGCAAATAATTTTACATGATAACTTAGCAAAATTTTTAACTTCTAAAATATCTAAGGCTATATATATTTTTTCAACAGTAGAAAAAGAATTTAGTTGGATTACTATATCCCCTCAAACTCAGGTATTTATAGGGATAACAAAATATATGTCTTAAAATTATCAGGAAGAGCTTCTCTCGAAAATTATTTTTACCAAAGGATATATTACATGTCATGATGTAAACCAGTTTACATCTAACACTGATCATATTGATGTTGTTTTTGGTTTTTCATCTTCAGATATCATTTGGTTTGATCCAACCAGTATAAGATATACTCGATTAAATAAACATGTAATCTTAAAGATTTTAATAACATTGATTGACATATTTATTTAGGGAGTCATCAATCCATCATCTGTAAACTGTATTAAATGGATACCTGGCTCTAAAAACCTTTTTATGGCAGCTCATAATAATGGAGCGCTAGTTATATATCATAAAGAAAGAGAGAAATTCAATTTTATACCAAAAGATGATAGTTCTACAAATACATCTGATTCTATTAAATTTAAAATACATGTATCATTATTAAATTCTAAAAACCAGAAATGTAATCCAGTTTCATATTGGGAATTACCTAATCAATCTCCAACTTGTATATTACAGAATAATTTTACATATCTGTCTAATATTTTATAGCTTTTTCATTTTCTCCACTCTCTTGTCATGTTGCTGTAGTGTTTTCAGATGGCACATTAAAAATAATAGATTATAAAAATGAAAGGTAGATTATTTTACATAAACCTTTAATATTCATGATTACAGGCTTTTAGATATTTATCATAGCTGGTTTGGTGGATTGATATGCGTCTGTTGGTCTTATGATGAACAATATATATTAGTAGGTTTTATAACCTGTAATATATTACTTATTGTTTCTATAGACAGGTGGAGAAGATGATTTAATAACTATATGGTCATTTTCGAATAAAACAATTGTTGCTCGTTGCCAAGGACATCATTCCTGGGTAACAGGTGTTGCATTCGATCCATGGAAATGTAGCAAGAATTACTACAGATTTGGTAGCGTTGGTGCAGACTGTCAACTATTATTATGGGATTTCAATGTAGAGGCTTTAAATTTGCCTAAAAGTGTAGGTTTTACTTATTTACTTATTTTTTAACGTACAATTTAATTAGATGAAAAACGATTCATTTCTTCAAAATAACGTTTCCTCTTCTAAAACACTTTCTAAAAATCATAATATAGAAAAAAATAATGAAAATAAACAATTCGAACCAGTTGACCATCCTTCAATACCACATGCATCAGTATCAATCCTTTCTCCTATTACGGTTAGTATAATACTACAAAAATATCAATATTTATCTATTTAGTCTGAGGTACTACATAATCAATGGCTAAATGGAATAAAATTTTTCAAAAAATCTATTATTGTTTCAGGGAAAAAAGGTCATTTTTATATTATAAATTTAACATTATTCATTTTTCCTAGATCATATTCAAATTTGGGATCGACCATAATGTTTATATATATTTTAAAATACCATTATATTCTAATACGTGAATACATAACAATTATTCCAATATATTTCATAATATTTCTATTCTATTTTTTATTTTTTTTCTTGTATGAAAAACATGTTTTTCATATTATCTAAATCTATATTAATAATATATTAAAATAGAATATTCATATCTTATTATTTAAATAAATGTAATCAAATAATCAATAAAACACAATATGTACATTAATTTACAAATCATTATCCTATTTATTTCACCTTTTTATTATACAAAAACATAATTTAAACTACACTATTCATGATATCATTTACATTTTTTGTTTCCTTATAATATATTTATCACAAAAAAATAAAATCATAGATTTTTCTAAATATGTCATTGAATTTTTAAAATATAATATCCAAGTTTTTATTATCAATATTTAAAAAAGCAAATACGTAAAGATGATCATTTAAACAAAAAGTAGGAAACTATCAAGAAAAAAACGAAATCTAGTTTATTATTGAAGAATTTTATCAGAAAAAAAAAGAATACAGACTTTTTTTTCAACAAAAATATTCATTTACACGTTCACATAACATCTAAATCTTTTTGTGCAAGAAAAAAGCATAGAAAATGAACATTTCAGGAAGAATGCCACATGTAATATCTCTTCTTGATATAAGGTTTCTATAATTCTTAGAAATGTGGTTTTTTTAGACATATTTATAATAAAAATATAGACTTCAAACACCAATTCCATATATTATTATTTTACGTGGTAATGAGACAGAAGCAGAAGATTTTATCTTAAAAGGGAGTGTTGTATTTTCATTGAATGACTCTATTACTGTTAAATCCATTATTTTCCGTTTTTATGGTGTTAATAAAGTCAAGTATTTAACAGATTTATAAATATTTTTGATTTTAAAAACAATATTAGATGGACAGAGGTAGTCATGTCATCAGCAAAAACACCAATAGAACGAAATCAGAAACAAAAATCTCTTGTTTTTGAAAAAGAAATATCCTTTCTTCCATTTCAAGGAACAAAAACAATTGGAAAAGGTATTTTATTGGAAAAATAGTATATTTTCTGTTTACATAACTAGGAAATTATGAATATCCATTTGAAATCGTTATTCCAGGAAGTATGATAGTGTTAAAGTAGAATACATTCTTATTTATATCTATAGATATTCATGAGTCCATTGAACCTTATCAATATGATGATTCAATGGGCTATCTTATTTATAAAATAAAAGTTACCATAGAAAGGCCTGGGTTTTTATCAAATATAGTTCATAAAAAGGTATTATTTTAAAAATATTTATTTAAATAGTTAACAAAATTAAGCATATTCGTATTATACGTACAATACCTCTTTCATTTATAGATTTTATTCATACAATGGTATATTACACAGAAAAATTATACATTAAAATTATCTCATTGTAATATAGTTTGTTGAAGACACATGGCTAAATAAAATAGAATATAATATCAATATTCCTACAAAAATATACGAATTCGGAGGATTAATTCCTGTTAACATGAGATTTATTCCATTAATAAAAAATCTTAAACTTGCAAAGATAAGCTTTTTTTTAAAAGAATATATTACTTTAAGAATCATATCCGGATATTATGGCATGCCATCCAAATATGATACTACTCGTCAAATTTCAAGTTTTAAAATTAAAAATTTACCAGAAAATGTAAGTGAATGGAAATTAGAGGAAACTATAAAAATACCAAATTCTCTATCTTCGTGTATTCAAAATTGCGATGTCAAACATATTAAAGTGAGACATAAGTATATCTAATTTTTATATAATATATTTCTTCTAATATTTATAGATTAAAAGTTATCATTACACTTATTAATCCTGATGGCCATATTTCTGAGGTAACGTTAAACATATAAAAAACACAAACACTAATTTTTTACTTAGCTTCGAGCTTCTTTACCTATTGTACTCCTAATTTCACCTGCTTTATTTACTAATATCGACGACTACGCTTATCCATTGTCTTTAGGACTTCAACTTCCAAGCTATAATAACCATATTTATGACCCTGTCTGGGACGGCATATCTTCTATCCATACATATCCGATGTTGAATTCTCAAACAGCTATGCCCCTTCATTCAACAAACGATTCTGCTGGTCCATCAAATCTCTACACTTCTGATTCATTAACAATCTTAAATGCCAATTCAAATAGACATCAGACTTCTGAAGAATCAGATAATACCATACAAAATCAAGAAAACGAAAATAACAGTCTCAGCTATTCTTCAGGTCAACATTTTACAGCATCTACCACACCAGATACAACATCTCCAGACACTTCAATTCATCATGCACAATCACAACAACGAGAAGATTCTGAATATCATGAGACAACCATAACAATACCTTCTATATCAAATAGACAACCTCTCGATATTACTAGAAACCCAACTGCTCAATCAACCAGCCAAGCAAGGGATAATAGTTTCATTGAAAATCTTTCTCGAGTTCCGCCATATCACATAGCAAATCGACCTATTTCTACAACAATAACTCCAATCAGTAAATCTCTCCCTACATATGAAGCATCTATATGTCTTTCATTACAGAATATAAACGAAACGTTAACTTCACAATGTCCTGAACAAACTCTACGTCAACGTCTAGACCCTTTGAAACATCATACTAATCGATTTTTCAAGATCTTCTTTATTCAACATCATGTATAATTATTAACTCCTGGGAAAAATAACCAAAAAACTTGAAAAAATAAAAATCAGAAAAACTCAACTACAAAGAATATTTAAACAAAATAATATATAACTGCCAATATATTTTTAATTTAATCAAGAAATAATGTTATACTGAAAACATTAATATATATATTCTAAAATATTAGTCTATAATCTAAGGTATATTTTTAAAAGCAAAGACATAATACAATGGCAGAATTTACAACTACTTTAGTTATCATTTTTTTATAATATTATAATATTAATTGGAACAAGTATGACCTAAGAATTACTAGTATTGTGACCATCGAAGTACTATTGGGACACTCAATCAAATATGAAAACTTCTAGCTGTATAACTTGGTTTAATTCATATTCAGGCATGAAAATTAGAAGCTTTGCTAGGTGTAGCAATTTCTATACACATTTTATTATTAAACGCACTTTTTATGGTCAATCAACACATGTAACACATCCACATTTGATTGGACCGAACGACTGTAGAAAATATTAAACAATTTAATACATAACTCACACTTTCAGTGACACCTGGAATCAGCGTAACCGAATATGCTTGTCGCCGTGCCAAACTTGCTTCATCTTTACCAGCTAATAGTCTAGTTGTGTTAATTGGTGCTTGTTTGAAATATAAAACTGTGTCATCTTTGTAAGATCTATTATTTATAAGCAATATAAAACTGCTATAACGAGTCTTATACCATCTAACTAGTTTATAGCTATTTTTTTCATCAATCTCCCAATTTTTTCTATTTAACAGGTATGTTTCTTCTACTTACTATTTTCTTATTTATTTGCAGGTGTTAATGAACCATGGACTATATTTGTTATGGGTAACATCTTTTTTCTATAATATTTTTCTTCTAACTAATAACAGAACGTGACAACAGTGCTTCTGGGTTCCAATCATATTTATTTATTCGGGATAAGGATCCAGCAATTGAGCGTTGGGAAGGATTACGTACTGGCGTTGAAGCAGCTAAGACTCTTTTTTCTATAGATAATGTCCAAGCACCTTTTTTTTATATTTAAAATTTACTCATGCTATTCAGGTATATGATTTTCAAGAAGCTGATCATATATTAGGCCAACGTATGCAACATGCATCACAAATCTATGTTGACTATCCATTGAGACCAAGTATTGCACCAGGGAAAATAGACCCTAAAATCTCCAGTATATTAAATAAATGTTGTGAACGTCTTGAATCATATTCAACTCTGTCAATTGCACCTTGGATTCACCAACTGAGAGAAATTAAAAGCCCGGCCGAATTAAAGCTAATGAAGCATGCAGCATGCAGTTCTGCAGCAGCTTTTAATATTGCAATGCAAATACCAGTAACAACTGAAAGACTATTATGGGCTAAATTACTATATGAATTTAAGATAAGAGATTGTGAAGAAGCATATGTTCCAGTAATTGCAGGAGGCAAAGTAGTGTCTATAGTATGAACGAGTATTTGTTGATATGACTCAGAATGCGTTAATAATTCATTATACAATGAATAATATGCAATTACGGTAAATAAAAATAATAAGACATCCATTAGCTAATTTGTGAAGAGAGGGGGATCTCGTTCTTGTAGATGCAGGTGGCGTAAGTTTTTTGAAGATTAAAACAGCTTTTAGACAACTTTTTAGGAATATGGAAATTATGTAACAGATATTACTCGAACATGGCCAGTTAATGGTGTTTTTTCTGCTGCACAAAAGGATCTATACCAAGCTGTATTAAATGTACAAAAAGCGTGTATCCAGTTATGTTCAGAAAAACATCGTATATCATTAAACATGATACACCAGCATAGTGTACAATTATTAAAGGAAGAATTAAAATGTTTGGGGTTCCATGTTTCATATTCGGTATATATACTCCATATTCACCTTTTTCTTTCTTATCAGCATAAGGATCTTGATCACATTTTATATCCTCATCACATAGGACATCAAATAGGCATCTTATTCATTATGTAAAAAATATATTAACAATCTACTTAGGACTAGAGGTACACGACTGCTCAGAATTGCTTAGAGGAAAACCTTTGAAGGAAAATCAAACGGTTGTCTTTGCATACTTATGAAAAATATCTGCTAATCTTCGAAGATTACAATAGAGCCTGGGATATATGTGCCAGACCTTCCTCAATTTCCAAAACACTTCAGAGGCATTGGCATTCGGATCGAAGACAGTATACTAGTAGGCAAAAAAGAACCTGTTATACTAAGCAAAAACGCAGTAAAAGAAATTTCAGATATCGAAGAAATGTGTAATAGACACACATAAAAACTAAAGTATATTTAGCATCTACCAATAAAGGCATTCAACTTTGTCTTCGATATTATGTATTCTTGCTTTCTGGCTTTTTTCTGGTTTTAATTTATTATTGTTTAAGTCGAATACGACTCTCACTTATTTCAAACTCCAACCCCAGTTCAGTAATTATTTCATTATTCTCCACCCTGATAGGCTTCAGTTCTCTCAAAATGCGTTTGTTTTCCTCATTATTTTCAAGGACATTTCTCAGACAAAATATCGCGTATTCTCTCAAATCTTACAATGTTAGTCAGAACATACAACAAACACCATACATGGATTTTCCTCGTCAATATTACACTGAGACGCTATCAACCCCACTCCATTTACCTCTCGTATCCTGTCCTGCACCCTCTTATCTTTATAACACAACATTGACAGAAGCTGCACAATATCTCTCTTGAAATACGGAAATCTCATTCTATTAAGGCTATTCTCTTCATTTCCTGGCTCTTTTATACATTTTCTACTTTTTACTCCTACAACATCCAAAACCCTCAGAAGCTCTATCAGTCGATATCAGCCACAGGACACTCTATTCCGGACACATACCAATTAAGTTTTGCACCACGTTGTTCTTGAGAAGCATTTCTTTTACTTCGCCTATGGATACACAAAGAACACACGAAATCAGTATTTCGGCAGCCTTTGCTGTATTTTTTACACCATCCATCACCCGCTGTGCATCCGCTGCCTGAATATGTCTCTTCAGCACATCGATCGTCTGCAGACACATCTCGCCTAGCAACCGTGCAAGAAACTCATCCATACTCGTCGGCAAACACGTGTTTCCATGGAAACGCAGATATGTGTTGACCAATTTCAGAAACACCAGCTGGCACTCTGCAACACCGGTCTCTCTGTTTCCTATAGCACTTTGTGTGCTGTTTCCCGCCCTTTCTCCCGCTTTTTCTGTATTTTTTGTGTTCTCTGTATTCCCTGTATTTTCCTCGTCTGCCTCTCTCTCGATGCTCTGAAAAACGTCTGCTGTCCACCCGCGCTCTATCAACTCAAAAAAAAAAACCTGTCTGCCTTTGTAAGCACTTATCGTCACCTCTTATTCTATACAGACAGCTCCTCGAAATTCTCCCCCTTTTCATACATTTTTTCTGCACACAACACCAACACCCTCAGCATTTGTCTCCCCACTTTGCCAACCATAATATCACTAATATCGTCGCTATATTCTCAGTGCTCTGCTCCGCCTATATTATATACATACAATGCACCGTCATTTGTCCTAAGAAATGCGCTCAAAAGCGCCAAAAATGCACTTGTTTCATCGCCTCCCATTGAACACAGTGCTCTGCACGTATAAGTTGTGTATAAAGATGCACACGGTCAATATGTACCGCAGTGAGCGTATATCTAAAACACGGCCTAATGCCCTGAAAAAGAGGCTTTTTCTTGCTGTGCGCGCAGAAACGCGCGCATATAGCCTACGGAGTTGCAGAATAACGCGTTTTCTACACGCTTTTCCAGCATTATGCGCCCCAAACAGCCTTTTCTCACACTCTCTCTGCACTAAAACAGCCTCCTCAATATCCAGCCGTAGATGCCCATATGCGCCAAGTACGCTGTATATTGCGTCGGCAGCAAGATCAAGTGCATACAAAGTGCGGCAGAAGCATTGCCAGGAACTGCCAGTAGGCAAAACAGCGTCATCTGGGTCATTTTGCACGCATATATCCCGAGAAAACTCAGCACAACGGCCGCTAAAGGACACAGACTGGCTTTTACGGCCAGCTATTGGCTGCTCGGCAGACATAGAATAAGCGGGAAACCGCGTCGGAGTCTAGTATGTGCATATAACACGCATAGAATACGCATAGAATGCGCATATAATGGGTAAAATGCAAGAAAAAGGGCATAAAAGGCATAAAAACGCGAAAACGCGAAAACACGTACAAACAGCCAAGAAAACAGATGGGGCAGCATATCGGTGAGGGAACCGGGGCAACGGCGGCAACGTCAGAAAAAAACGAGCAGGAAGGTGAGTATTTGTTTTTGAAAAAGAAGGAGCTAAAAGGACAGAAAAGAGAAGAAAAAGAAGATATTTTCAAGGAGAAACTAAGGAAAAAGAGAATGGACGTTTGAGGGGATTTTTTTCGTTTTTAAACGGGAGAAAACGAGGATATTTTGAAGGAGAAAAGAGATAGTGAAAAAAAAGCAGAAATAAGGGAGAAAAAAAGAAAGTTAAAGGGTAAAAAGGCAGTACGTGATAGTACATGAAGTCCTGAGACAGTTTGAGTAGTTGGAATGGAGTCATTGCGGCGTTCGAGGCGGACAAACAAAGGACACCGGCGACAGATGTTTGAGGAAAGAGAAATCCCAATGAATGAGCGTGTGCGGTGTAGATGTGGAAAAGATGATGGAGGGATAATGGTACAGTGTGAGGGATGCACGACGTGGCAGCATATTGTGTGTATGGGATTTGAAAACGAGGAAAATCTTCCAGAGACATATTTTGTATGTTGAGCACAAAAAAGGAAAAAGATAAAGGCTTACGTATATATGTAGTGTGATGTGTGCCGCCCAGAGCTGTATCAGGGGCTTCAGAAGGCACAGAAGATGAAAAATGTAGGAAAAAAGACGAAGAACCGTGTGCAAAGCAAGAAAGAACATGATTTAGCAAAAACAACAGAAAAAAGGAGTATGGGAGATATAGAAGAGGAGATACTGTGTGAAAAAGAAAATAAAGAGTTGACGGAAGAGGTGGTGGAGAAAGGAGGACTGGGTTCGGTAACAGAAAGCGAAAACAGGGATGTAAAGCAGGAAACGCCGTCGCCGGCGTCAACATCAGACTCAGATTATCATTTTCAGGAAGATCATGTAATTTTTTAGAAGGGAAGGAGTGTTTAGTGACGTATTTTCTAGGACATTCCCCCGGCAAAAATGTCGCGTGTATCGTTTGAGCAATCGTATATAAAAGCATTACAAAATCGAAAGCTTCCGCAGGCGTTGAAGCATGTAAAAAAGGCTGATACCCCGTTGGCGAGGCAAACAACAAACCAAGTACCAATCGAAGATCCTGTTGAAAAACTCGAGGAATTAAAGGATGCAACAAGAAAACATGTAGCACAATCGTTTTCAACTATTTTTGTAACAGCCATTACAACTCTTCTTGAAGAAGGGAGTCTTGTTTTGGATCATGATGAAACACCAGAGAAAGCAGGAGAGCGCCTTGCACTTACTATTGAATATAGTATGTTTAAAGATTTTTCTATTGAAGAAAAAGGAAAATATATCCTAACTCCAAAATATAAAGAAAGATTTCGTACACTTCATTTCAATCTAAAAGATGATAAAAACCCTCAGCTTCGAACTCGTGTTGTTTCAGGGGAAATTATTCCACAAGATTTAGTTCATATGACTAGTGAAGAAATGGCTAGTTCAGAGATACAACTGTTGGCAGAATCCGTAAGAGCGCAGAGTACTAAGAATTCAGTTCTAAAACAAACGGAAGCTCCAAGAATCCGTCGAACTCATAAAGGCGAAGAAATCATAGGAGATCAAGAAATAAGTGGCCTTCCTATACAGCAGAAAATCGAAACATTAATTCCTTTTTCTTTAAAGTCTAAAAGTGAAATAGAAGAAGTTCCAAAAGAATCTCCTATTTTATCTCAACAACTCAATTCTACTCATGGGAAAACAACAGTACCAAAAATAAATGAATCTGATTCAGACAAAAACAAGGCTCAAGATGATGAAAGAAATTTGGTATCTAACCAGTCTTTCGATATTCAGAATGTATGGAGTAATATCAAATCCCAAAAGGCATCTTATATATCCGAAAAGTATCCCGTTCATGCTCAGGATGCTGCTGAAATAGATTTTGACCCAGATATTGATAGAATGATTGATGATGATAATAATAGTACAAACACTCCTCCTTACTCACCATCTTATAATGCCGTTGAGACAAATATTATTCATCCCATCTGGTCAGGAAGACTTTTTATGGCCTCGGTCGCAGAGTTTAATGCTATAGCTATACATGTAGCAGGCCCCTCTATTTCTCCAGCACGACCGTGGAGTGAAATCCTTCAAGACAAAATTGTCGTAGATGGGAGAATATCAGTGGATAAATCAACGGAATATCTTTGTCAACAAAAACTTTCTTCGACTAAACATTTAATTGTCATTTCATTTAAACCGCAAAATAAAGAAATGCAGCATGGATTTGAAAAACTTTATCATTACTTTTATTCTCGAAAACGTTATGGAGTTTTGAAACCTACAACATCTGCGGTAAAAGATGCTTATATTATACCTCTTTCTCCAACAGATCAATTACCAGAATTTATTCAACTCATGGATGAAACACATATTTCTGAAAAAAAAAGAACAGAAAAATATATTCTTGGTGTATTCATTGTAAATAAAATATCCAATACTGTTCCTCTAGTTAACAAAACATCTCATACCTCTCAGGGTGTTAATGAATGGAAAGAATTAAATAGTGTGCCAATTATGCATCAAGCAGCGAATATACCAACGTCTTCAATATCACATTTACCCACTGTTCCTCTTTTGGGAGAATTAAACCTTCCAAATAACATATCACTTTCTAGTGCAGATATAGCAATTCTTCTGTCTGTATTAAATGCGAATCCAGAAATTTTGTCTAATCCAGAACTTGCATCTAATTCAAAACTTCTACAACAACTAGTTATTCAACATCAAAACCAACAAAACCAAATAAATACAGCACATCCATCAAATTCTCGACCTATGGCCTCTAGATGGGATAAAAAATGGTAAATAGTATTTATTTTAAAAATAATAGCATATTTTCTTCGTAAATACATTTTCATAATACAACATTGTATGATACTGAGTTTAATTTAGACAATATATATTGGGTATTATGTTTAGTATATTTGATCTGTTTATAAAAACCTTAACATATTTAATTTTAAATTTATGATTTATAAGAAAGTCACTTTCTAAATATATTTTTAATCTTAAATGTTAAAACACGTAATCTTAATAATTTATGTCCAGTCTTTTCTGCTTCTTCAAGAGAAACAAATTTTCTAATTAATAAATTGAAGACACCACCAAATAACATTGCAATCACAGTACTTGTTAAAACAATTACATTATAAGGCATGCTAAAATCAGGAGTAGGAAATGTTAATAAAAGACTAGTTGTTCGAATCACTGCAATATGTTCAATATAATCAGTTGATTCAGCAGGAAAAACTGTAAAAATAGAGGGCCTATTAAAACAATTAATAATAAAAACACTTATAACAAAACCATATACTTACGCAATATTAAAACCTCTATTTGGATCAGGAGGATATTCTGCATATCTTAAAAGCATCTTTTCAAATTCCCATACTATTTCAACGGAAGAATTTCTAGGGATACGTATATGTGCTTCAAAATATGAACCACGCTTTCTATCTATGGATGGTCGAAAATATATTTTTTCAAAATCTAAAGAACGTTTTGCATTAGGAAATAGAAGGTATGCACTTAAAGTATGAATAAACGGCTTCATAAACCAAGGAAGTGTTTCCAAATATACAACTTGAAAATCTGTTGATTGAGGATTCGAAATAATAACGCTTATTTGATTTTTTCGTGTTACAGTACGTTCTATAAAAAGAGGTACATCTGCAGCTTGTATAAAAGTATTAGATACATGTGATTTCATTTTTATATCAAAGTCAGATGCTTTAAGTAATTAGTAAATAAAAAATATTAAAATAAAATTTACATGTTATAATGTATTTTGAAAGAATCGCATTTTTTTCAACTAAAACAGTATCAGGTTTAGGAGATATCATCCTTTCATCAGAATGAGAAACCGTAATAGATTCTACAGGCAAAAAATCTAAATAACATGACCCCAAAATTGGCCGTCCAAACACTTTCGATATAGACCATTCTATATCTGAAAGATCATCTAAAGGAAAACATGCATCATCTTTTATATAAGGCCTTTTTTTGTCGCATATCAAATCCTCAAGTGGTATTGGTGTAGGAATAGGGGAATCTTCACTAATAATCAATCAAAAATAACAATTAAACTATTCTTTACCATCTCTACGACTTGCACGATCAATATCCAAAACCATGTCAATACCTTGAATAAGTCTTGATATTTTATTACTATTTTCATTGCAAACATGAGTAACATCCAAAAACATAGAATACCATTGTGCATCAAAAAGTCGATAACTATCCAACAATGTAGAAATCCCAGCACGGCCTTTGCAAGGCAATAGTTTTAAAAAAGGAGTCAAGTTTTCAGTACACACTGTTTCTTGAGGCAAAGTTCCATACAGAAAGTATCCTTCTGTATTTGGCCAATTCATCTTTATATAGTTCTTATTTTTAACAAAACTTAAAATAGGTATAATAGTTTTTGTAGTATCCATAAGATTAATAGAAGCACAAAAAAGCCCTGAAAGAGCATTTGTAAGAATAAGCCACCTCTCTTCAACTCTAATAAACCATCAGTACTCATAAAATTACATATAAATCATACTCTTTCATCGTATCACCCTCAATATACGCCCAAAGCTCAATCCCATTACCACCTGTCACATCACCATCATCAGGAGACATTCCCCAGTTATAATAGTTCCATTTTCCACGTGTCATCCGAAGTTGAAACTCATATGTATGTGATTCTTCCATAATATATCTAAGTGAACGTGGAAGCTTAAAATCCAACAAAGAAGCATCAGAAACTGCAGATTCCGCACCATCAAATAAAGAAATCTTTTCACAGCTAGAAGAAGTATTAAATCTAAAAGATGCAAGTAAATGATTGAAAGAAAAAGGCTTCAAAAACAAATGCTCTTGATAAAATGGATTTGGCTCTTTCAATGCTCGAATTTTTGCGCTGAAAAAAAGAAATATATATAAAAATATCAAAAGAAAACGATAAAACATGATTTGAACAGTCTTTTTCTGCACATTTATCAGTAGTTTTTATTTATTATTTTTTTGACGTTACCTTGTACGTTAATCGTACGCTGATCGTATGATATTCTTAACATCTTTCTTTAAATATAAATTAAAACTAACAAAATACATAGAAAAAAAATCAATTATGACAGCAAAAAGCTTTATTATTAAATCTGCAATAGGTATTTTAGTTATTCTTGTTTTCACGTTATTTTTTCACCATTCGAGGCCTCAGATCAAAGTACCTTTTACTCCCACAGAAAATGATATTTTTGATGTTGAAAATCCATTTTTTCTGAAAAATGAGACATCAGTAAAATGCTACATAATAGGAGAATGTAGTAAATGCCCAGATTTACTGACAGTATGTTTTTTTTCCAATAAAAAGGTCTAATAAATAATAGACATCGCCATGTAATAAAGATCCTCGATATCGCCTAAATATACATTGTACATATGACAAGATACCAGAAAATATATCAGATATACCTATTCTTCCTTCCTGGGTTGCGTGTATTCCATCAGCAACGCATGAAACTGTACATTTTTTTATGGTGCAAGTAGGATATCATTTTTCAGAAATAAATAACAATAATTGATTTATCAAGGCATTTCTTGTGGTAACAAGTGCTTTGTCTATATTCGTTATTATGTGGAGACGAAATTTTTCACAGGAATGATTTATGTATTTTTAAAGGACTGTAAAAAAGTATATCTCGTTTTTAAAATATTGTTTTAATATTTTGCAGACAAAAACATAAAATATTTGTAAGAGTAGTGTAAAAAATAGATGATTCACAAAACAGTGTATGTTTTATGCATTTTTATCTATAAAAAACTCTAAAAAGTCTACTATAAACAAAAAATTTAAAAGACTTATCAGAAAACTATTAAAAACGTCACACGAAGATAGAAATCTCTTCTTTTATCTAAATAATTACACAAAAATAATATATGTATACTAAAACATGTACTCACGGGTACAATCTAGTCTAAAATTTTTTTAAACATGTGAACATTGTATGAAAATGAGACAAATTGACACATAAACAATCATATATTAAATACATGTTAAATAAGCTTAGCTTAATCATTCATAAAATCCAAATATTCAATTAACAAATGAATATTTTTAAAATAAACTTAATTGTTTTTGAATTCAAAAAGTATTTTCATTAACAAGAATTGCTATATTTAAGTATAAAAAAAATTTTAAATATTGTATCAATCAACATCATTAATGAGGAACAGATAATAGAAATTTTGTACATGCTTAAGATTACGACAAATGAAAAGAACCTTGCCCCTCTTTGATTGCCAGGAAAAGTTTTGATTTCATGATCTTTTTTGTTGTATAATCAGGTAACTTAAGATAATTTACACATGCCATTACACTTGGTAAATAATCATTAGGTGTAAGTGGTGGCTCATGTGTCTTACACACAACGGTGAGAGGAGGATTTAAACTTTTAAAACCTAAATATTATTAATTCTAATTCCTTAGCATTATTTTCACTACATACCTCCAATAGGTAGTTTAGGACTTCCTGTAATAAATTGCAAAAATTGACGGCGTTCCATATCATTCATATTAGCTAATATATCAAGAAAGTTTTGAATTGATCTGCTATCCATATTGTATCCATGATCGGCTTTTATAGAGTCAATAAGTGCTAAAAGGAATTAATAGACTTTAATAAACCATAAAATATATTACTTTCAATAGACCAATCTTCTTTGCCCTGACCAAAAAGCATTGAAAGTTCTTCTGGAGTAAATAAAGCAAGTGAAGAATAAGGAAGAACAGAAGAAAACCCATCACGAAATGCGTTTATTTGTTCTCTTACTCCTTTGCCAATTGTAAAGTCAATTATAAGATCAATATATTCACCGATAGTATAAATAGTTACTATTTTCTCGTCACCATTAGTTATTAAATGAACATCAGGAAACCCAGGAAGCGTGAAATTTAATGAAAACTCATCAATAGACATACCCTGCACCTTGATATCTTTTAAAAGCTGTTCTTTTTCGTTTTCACAGATATCTTTATTTAGTATTTTCTTTTTCGCTATCTCAAACTGCAATAAAAAACGCAACGACTTTGCCAAATTTTCATCTATTTCTGAAATAGACTCAATAGATAGTCTAACATCATTGACATCAGATGCAATTCGAAAAAACATGGGATTAATCGAAATATCTATAATTCTAGAATCCAGTATAGACCTTGCAATAAATTTCCCCATAACTTTGAAGAGACTAATTTTTTTTCTACAAACATTAATTAAATCAAAAATCATTTATATATTACTTTTCAATATCTGAATCTTTAAAATCACAGTTTAATGGCATAGGAAAAAGTCCGTTAGGCGAAAATACAAAATCATTCCCAGATAAATCATCAACATTTCTCCAAAGACCAAGAGATTTTCGTGTGAATTCGTGAGATGCAATAGAATAAAATTCTAAAGTAGGAGCTAAACCAGTTCCAACCTCGTCAAAGTACTCGATCTCTAACAAAAATGAAGAAGTTCCATATAAATCCATTATTTTTATAGTAGATTCCATGATATGATCACGAGATATTCGAATCTTTTGACGTTGCAATCTTCCAAAAACTAATCTAGAATCATCTCTTGAATTTTGATGAGACTCATCTCTTCCATTAGTATTTTGCCATTTAGCAATTGATCTTAAATATCCAAAAAAAGTTGACTGTAAAAAAAGATACCTAGTTTCAAATGGAAATAAGAATAAAAATAAACGAGGGAATTCCCGAACCCATAGAGGAAAACACAAACTAAAACAGTTAGAATATAGACATAATAATAAACTAAATACCTAGTAACGATCAAGGGTTCCTCTAACTGACGATTTATTTTTGCAGTAAGTTTTGGATTAACAAAGTCACTTGGTGGTAACGCCATATTTATAAAATTAGAAAGTTCATTAAAATCTAAAATATTTCGAATATTAGTATTTAAAAGATACAACACTCGCAAAAGCTTAAGTATAAGAATGGTATTGGCATTATATGAAGAAAAATCATGTGTTTCAAACTCAATACTTGTATTTTTTATGGATTCTTCTAAATTTTTTCAATATTAATATAATATAAATAAAATATTTACCTTCATAAATTTCATGATTTTCTGATTTCAAAACCTTTTTAAACTTTATTGGGTATATGAAAGACCATACATCAGATGATTCACGACCATTTTGTTTATTATAACGGTGAATGGCAGAATAAATTGTTGAATCAGGGTTAATCGGTTTTCCATCCATCTCAAATATAATATTCCAATCCTCTTTCATTTGTAAAGCAGAAGAATAACTCATATGTTTTTTATCAGTAAAAGTAAATGGCTTTGACACATTCTTTTCTAATTGAATTTTTGTTTGATCCTTACTTTTCACTTTTATATCCACTTTGCTATCATTAGAAGGCTCTATACCTATTTGCGAGTCATTATCTGTTACTGATGATTTTTCACTTTTGAATCCATCTATAATCTAGAATTGTTAAAAAACTAAAACCCAACGAAAAAATTTACTTGAAATAATTGAGATGTATCTGCAGAATCAGACCCAGAATAATCATTCGAATATTCAAGCATTTCATCATCAGAGATATCACTCTTAGAATTTTTAACCTTATGTGTTTGAAAATCAGACTTTGTTTGTTCCAATAAGTTTGCTCTTGTACTACGTTTTCGCTTTTCTATAACAAATGACTGCCCTTTAATCCTATGCATCTTTTTATCTTTATTTAATGGCGTTTGACTTGATGTAGCAGCAACTGTAATACTAGATGTTACTGGAGTGCTCGGTGTTTTAGAACTATTAGACCGTGAAACACTAAATCGTTGAGACGATATTAACCGTGGACGTAAATATTCATCAAGAGTTCTAAATGTTGCAACAGAATAAATAGATACAATAAAATTTTTATAAGCCCTAGGCACATTAGAGCCTTCTTCAGCAGTAAGTTTTAATTTCAGTTGTTTAGAAAGCATAGTCAAAGGATGCTTCCGAAAATCTATAATCCTTAATCACTATTTGAAAATCACAGTAATATAATTACCTTCATGAGAACCTCCATGAACAGTTACTACTTCAAAATCTTCATTGCGACTAAGAGATTCATGAAGCTTTTGTATTAAAACAAAAAAAGGAGAGTCAGAAGCATGCTCGGGGTCCAAGTTTGTATTATGAGTATTAGTTAAAAAACTTCGAAGAAATGCTTTTCGAGCAGACTGTTTAACTTCAGCTATAACGAAATTAATATGTTGATTTTAATATAATATAAATATATTCACCATTAGGATCATTTAGTGACTCAAGAAGGGATAGAAGAAGTCCAGAACGCAAAATTTCATAACTTGTAATAGTAGAATTATTAGGAGTAAAATACTTTGATAGTTTTCTATAAGTACTTCGAATTTTTATATGATTTTTAATCCTTTTAGCAAGAAACGCCAATTTAGACATAATATCAGAAGCCTCTTCACATATAAGTAATCTATCTTCACATTTTTCATAGACAGAAATAAATGATTTTGCTCTTTTTACTAGAATCATAAAAAAATCTGAAACAGACATTCTACTAAAAATTGATGAAGTATGAAATGACAATGTTTTATTGGAATTAATATATTTCTACTTAACTATTAAAAAAAAAGAAAGAAATTAAATGAAATTAACCAAATTAACATCATCGAGATAAAAATCAGAAATTTCGTATATTGACTGTATAATGCCTTCTCGAACAAACATCTCAAGATATATTCTAGAAAGACGCCGTAATAAAAGCTCAGATAGTTGTAATGCTCCTAAAATAAGAGAAGGATATTCATGTTGAGAAAGAACTGCTGCTAAAAAAAAAGAAAACTGAGAATGCTAGTTTCACATTAGTTTATAAAAAATATACATATGTAGCATAAAATTACTTTTATAGATTCATATAAAACATTTTCTTTTAGATTAATAACTATTTTCAAAAGTATAATCATAACTTTCTGACGAACATTGATGTTTGTTGCACTATGGTAAATATCAACAAGAATAGGTGTGAGAACTCTAGAAAAATGTTTCATTTCTTCTTGACAATCTTCTAAAAGTCGCAAACGTCGTTCATCTAACATTTTATATTTTGCTAATTTTGAAGGTGAAATTTGTAATTGAGAATTCTCGCCAACACAAACATTAAACACCTCATCTATTGCAATCAATTTTAGTTAAAATAGAAATAACAATAATTTAAAATACCATCTCTAGGAAGATTAGGTAAAAGTTCGCACATTAAATTTAGTGTTTCATAAATATGTTCCCTTGGCCTATGAATAAGAATATATAAAGTATTTGTAACATTTTCTTCTGAAACATCAATATCATCGTTTGGAAATTTTCCAATAAGAATATAATAAATAGTTTCAACTACTTTGAGTTTAAGTATAGAAATAGAAAGATTAGGCGAAGATTTAGCAGCAATAGCCAAAACACGTAAAAATTGAGTATAAGTAGATAAAGAAATTGCATTAGTAGATGTATTTGAGAGAACTGACATAATTATCTGTAAAATGTCATTCGACAATAATTGTTCAAGCTTATCAGGGTAATGCCGAAAACTCTCTACTATACGCGTAACACATAAACATGCTTGCTCCAACACTTTTCTATCATTGTTTCTAATAATATTTTGTAGCATAGTCATAACATCACGTGCTATAGCAAAACAATCAGAAGGTATATTTTTACAACAGTTTGCAGCAGTAATAATAGCAGTCCTTTGTACATTTGTAGAAAAAAAATCAAAATAAGTAAGACATGCTGTTAGCCCACCGTCTCTTACTATAGCAGTAGGATGTTCAGTTGAAATTTTTTCAAGAGTCTAAAAAAATAAGAACAAAAACAGAATAAAAAAACACAATTACACTAAGAGCTTGCTCAGCAAGATCAATGTACTGTATTTCTAATAACTTTTGACATAATATAGGAATTGCTCCACCATAAACAACATTAGAGATTGAAGAAGGCAATACTTCCATTAGATTTGTAAGACATCGACAAGCAAGAAGCACAGTTTCTGGATTTTGTTCAGAAAATTCAGAACCACTTGCCTGCATTATAGCAAGAAGCTCTTTTATAAACAAATCAGGAGAAAAATAACTACTAAGAATATCTTCTGTAGATACAATCAATAACTCAGATAATCCCTGAAGAGCAATAAGTTGAGTAGAGGGATCATCCTTTTGTCTTAAACTATTAAGAATATTCTTGAATCGTGAAGCAACACCCGAGAATACACCTGTTAAAGCAGTGTGTAATGAATCAGGAAGACTTCCATAATCAAAAAGTTCTAATGCATCTTCACCAAATGCATGAGAATAATGATTATCACTTTCATTATAATATTCATCCTCATAATGCTCATCTGTTTCATCAAACTCTTCATTATATACATGTTCTACAGTTGACTTATGATGACTGTAGCGGTTAATATTTTTGAAGAACCAAAAAAGGATTTTGTATCCAACCTTTTTTCTGCAACTTCTGCATATGATTCTGAAGCACAGTCACCACTTGCATGTCTTACCAAGTTTTTTTGCACCAATTTTTGGTCAACATGCGAATCATCAATATAAGCTGAAAAATCATCTAAAAACTATTAACAAAAAAACAAAAACTATTTTCTAAATAAAAACCAGATGATCCCCCCTTCATTCTAACATGTATTTTTCTTGAACTTTCTGGTGTAGATTCATGTGACGATTTTTTCTGTCTAAAACAAAAAATTATTAAAAATACAAAAAAAAAAAAGAACTCTAAATCCTCACCCTGACTTTTCAACACCTTCTTCCTCTCCCATGATCCATACAACTTCACTTTTCTCAACGTTGTCTGACAACGACTCTTTTATGCGTTTTTTACGCAATGAGCCCACGTTTTTTGAAGAATACAGTCTATGTTTTGTTTTTCTAAGCAGAAAATCACCCGTATTAACTGCTGATGCTCCACAATTCGTCCTACTAGGCCTTTCAACCCACTTATCAATTTCTCTATTTTCAAAATTTACCGTAAAAAAAAGCAAAAAAAAAACACTTATACATACCTATGCAATTCTTCCTTCAAATATATACAATTCCACGTATTTTTGTTTGTTTTTCTCCTCTTTTTTTTTAAGAAAATACTCATCAACACAGAGCCTCCATTTTTTGATGGTTGATGGCTGTGATGGGGTCGATGAGTAGAGACATCAAGGATTCATCAAAAAAAGACCTCATTAACTAGAATATTTAAAACTTGGCATTTTTATTATGCAAAGAATATGAAAAAATCTATTTTTTTGATTGAACTTTTTTTTTTTGTATTTTTCCCTAAAAATTCTTACTTGTATAAAAACCATGTTTCAAAACTATTGTTTAAACGACATTTGTAGAATCTGAATCTTATAGAAAACGTACTTCTAAAAAGAGCTATTATTCTTGTATACATTGTATACGCCATGTATATGAAGTATTGTTTTTATAGCTTACTCTTGCTCCGGGTTAGTTGCCTAGGCAACCCTATCTATTAGTGCATTTGCAGTTCTTTTAGATAAGCAATATATAAAAAATTATCTAAATCTAAGTATAAATAAGCATTTAATTAGACAAATAATGTTTAAATAGTATTATATACTAAGAATATATTAAGAATAAGCAGCATTATTGTGAGATTTGGATTTAAATTTTTGTTTAAAGTGGTTTTAGAGATGAATAGAAAAAAATAATGAGATAAAGACAAAAAATCCTTAAAAACTCTGAAAATGCAAGAAATTCTACTAAAACACTATATTAAGTATATAAAGCAGATATATATAGTGTTTTTTTGCAATAAATAAAGAAAACAGTATTAAAACAAATGGACAATATACAAAATGCATTAAGACGCATGTAAAATAGATACAATAAGCAATTTTGATGAAAAAAGAAGATCAAATATTGGAAAATTGAATAAGAAAACATTTATTTATAGCACATATACAATACTATTTTTATTTGTAATAAATGACTATTCTATATTCAACAGCTTCATCATACAGTATAAAAATTAAAATCTATATAAACAAAATTAATAGTTTTAAATTGGAAAAAAACTTTTAAATTTGATATATAATATGCATTAGATAATTTGGATGCTTGTATATTTTTATTATGATAGTACAACTTGAGTCATATGAAGATGGAAAAACAGGAAATCTTTTATAAAGCTTATGCTTAATGGCAAGTATAGTATTTATAAAAAATATATGACGATATGTGCCTTTTTCAACAACTGAATGATAGAGAGCTAGATTAACGATTATTTGCCAGAATTTACATAAACATAGTGAAACAATACATAATAAAACGACTATAGATGAACGAAAGAAAAATGTTATTAATTAGATTTTTGAAAAATGATAATTGTAAAAAGTAAATTGAAAACTGTTTTTATAGAAAATATTCATTTAAGGTAATATTTTGCAAATTTTAAAAATTATATAAACATAATTTATATATAATTGGTATCAGAAAACTTAAAAACAATAACAACAATGAGATATACGTAGAAAATTAATAGACTAAACTAAGCCATATTTGGATTATCAGATATAATGACTAAAGCATAGTCATTGTGGATTAGGAAGTGCTTATAGACATTTATAACGCATAAAAAAGCATTTTGTTATTGGATTCATAAAATTATTTTTTGCATAAGTTTTCAAATAATCATTTAGGATATATAATTTGAACTTATGAACTCAACACTGTCTTCAAACCAACTGTTATTCATGTTTCTATCTGTTATTAGCAAAAGTTTATAACAAGAGTACTGAAATAAACTATCCTTTGTTCATTTTAGTGTCATTTTTAATACTTATTACTAGGTATTTGTATTATAAAATCTCGATAGCCATTTTTTATTATTATCTTAACAATATTCAAATTTATAGCTCGATATCTTCATCATTATCTTTTAAAGACATGTGAAAATATCTAGTCCACTGCAAACAAGACATTGCATGTTTAAAAGTTTTTAGTTTATTATAAAACAATTTAATAAGGCATAATTTATAAATACTAGTTCAGGGAATTACTTATAACTAATATACAATAGATATAGAATAGAGAAACATATTTATATTGAAAAAAATAATATTAAGAGCTTATTTCTTAAAACTATTTTAGATATTAAAGACAAATTGATATTTAAAAATTAGAAAAAAAAGTTTTATAATATCTTTTATCAAACAAAAGCACATGCAAGATATATTTTGGATAATATTTACAAACCATAAATTATTTAAGCATAATTTAATATTAATTTAAAATCCCTTTTATGCTATACAATTTAACCGCTTTAAGATATCTATTTTAAATTTCGTTTCAATAATGACATTTTGATCAAAAATTATTCCTAATGTTGGCAGCCCAATAATATTTGTATTAAATTCAACAAGAGGAACCGTGAATTTAGTATGTCCTTTAATCGTTTTTAAAGAATATAGTATAGTCTTTTTATACTCTGTGTTAACAGCATTTACCTTTATAAACAATGGTTTTATGTCATATTCTGCTAAAGGCCTTACTGTAAATTGCTTAACTGTATCATTTTTTGAAAGAATTCTAATCCACCAACGACCATCCCATAATATCCATGTATCTTGTGGATTTAAAAAACTAGTCGGCTGAATAGATACAATAGAATCCACTTTTTCTGCTTTTGAATAGGGTTGACGTGTTAGTCGTATAAATAATGTTTCAAAACACCATGTTGCATGTATTAAAACACCACCAACTGTATATTGTTTTATTTTTTCTAAATTCTTTATAAATAAATTAACAATTATTCTTTGTACTACTGTTATCCTTTGTCTAGGTAAGGGTGAGATCAAAGAGATAAGGTGTGCCATCCATTTTGACAGAGTAGACACTTTTTCCTCACAAATATCTTTACTACATCTAACTTCTAGTGATCCAGTCGCTTCAAAAAAAGTGATATGCATTTTAGATAACAATAATTTTACCCTTTTTATTGTCTGCATTCTTTTCTTAGTCATTATCTGTGCAATATTTAACATATTAGATGGTTTAAGGGCATCAGGTAACTGATTTGGATCCTGAAACAGTTTTCGAACAACATTTCTCCTAGAAAGATACATATCAATATTCGTTGGATCTTCAAACCATTGAATATTGTTACTTTGACAAATATCTTAAACAATTATAGCAGTTCATTAAACATTTTTACATACTTTTTAAAACTATTTTAGGAATATCTAGAAAAGGACGGCATAGAAACACATTTTCTGCGTACATAATTTTTCCTATCATAGGATTCAGTGCAAGTTTTTGCATTCCAGCAAGTCCATCTGGTCCGCTTTTCTCAATAAATCTCATAAATACTGTTTCAGCTTGATCATCTGAATGGTGACCTAAAAAAAGCACACGTATATCACTCTCTAAGCATGCACGTGTCAAAAGAGTATAACGTTGCTCGCGTGCTGCATTTTCTATTGATTTTATAGGAATTTTCTCCTTTGGCCATTTCATAGACAATATTTTATGTTGGAAACCTCAAAAAACATAAACAGATATACAGAAGCACACGTAATTACCCATTCCAGAGACTATACGGTGAACAGCTTCTGCTTCTTCTCTACTTTTCTCTCTCAATTCATGATCAACCGTAAAAACGCACATTTTTTCCCTAAAGTGCTGGAATAAGACACAAATAGCCATACTGTCACATCCACCAGATACAGCTGCTCCTAAAAACCTATTTAAGCACCCTAAAACATTATTTTGTGTATTTTTTCTACCCCATTTAAATCTAGATAACTGCCAAAAAGGCAGCAAAATCGATTTCAAAGACAATTTGAATAACAAAAAAACCCTTTTTCATCAATTAAAATATGTTTAAATAAAAGCATTTTTCTTTATACTTTTTCTTATCTTTTTAATACAATATTCATGGTTTTTTGATATATTAATATCTTATCAAGTAGTACGATAGACGATAATATATAGCGATGCACCAGTTAGCAGAAGCAGCAGTTGTAAGTTTGAAATATTTATAAAAAATACATAAAAATTGTGAAAAATTCAGTCTAATATAGATAGGCAGGCAGTATAGCAGGGTTAGTAGTTGATATTTCTTTGTTTCCGCTTGATACGCTTAAAACATGGCGACAACAGAAAAATTATTTTTATGGTTTTTTTTCAGGAAAAAAGTGGGATTATTTGAGCAAAAACAGGTACAATGTGCAAAAATCATGCTATTATAGTCATTCCTTGCGTTCTTTGTACCGTGGATTAGCTGGAATGGCTGTAGGAAGCATGCCATCGTGTGAGTAAAACTTAGACAGTTAACGCCTAGCCAGAGAAAAATAAAATGAAATTTAAATGAAATTCAAAGAAAATATGAAAAAGAACACTGAATATGCTAAACTGGCGTTTTCTGGAACTTATAAGATGCAAAAATCAGCTAATGAACGACAATAGCACTTGTCTTTTTTATGGTTTATGAGACAGCTCATTCAATAATACACAATAATATCCACACGAAAATCAATGAATCCCTTTGTGAAAAAATGAATAACTTTCCAGAAAAATCATTCAGTCAATCTTTGAATAATCGATCAAAAGATTATTCTGAAAGCAGATTTTTAATATTTTATTCTACAATAGCAGCATGTTTAGGAGAGCTTGCTGCTTGCTTAGTGAGATTTCCTACAGAGCTTGTTAAACAGCGTACTCAGGCTGGTCAACATCGTTCTTCGTGGGAAGCATTGTGTCATATTTTGCGTGGACAATCTAGCGGATTTTGCCGGAGCTATGCAAGTATAGTGATCAGAGATATATCATTTTCAGCTTTCCAGTTTCCTTTATGGGAAGTTCTAAAACAGAAAATGAGAAACATATATGATTCAAACAATGAAACAGTACTCTCAGATGCAGCATCAAAAAGCAAATCATGGCTTTCCAATACATATGCTCAATCAACAATTAGCGGTTCGATTGCAGGAGGAGTTTCAGCAGCGCTAACAACACCTTTGGATGTTGTTAAAACACGAATTATGCTCAATGAGACGGTATAAGTCTTATTATCTACTTTTAAAACTTAAACATTAATAGAAACATGGCTGGGTTCAATGTATATGTCAAATCATCAAGAAAGAAGGCGTACACGCACTATTTAAAGGAGTTACTTTCCGTGTTGCATGGATAAGTTTAGGCGGCGCACTTTTCCTCGGAACATATGACGGAGTACGCTATTTGATTCACAATCTGTCAAACTAAATAAAGTACTAATGCTAGCCAAAAACACTTAATAGGCTTCCTCGTATTTATTGTTTTTCTTAAATGCTAGGTTAAGTTTTTATATAAGACTTCATGATTCAAACATAATTTTATTATGATTTCCAAGGATTTCTCGCTGTTAAAATTGTCTGTTGACATATTGTTTGTTTCCTTGTAAACTTTCGAAGTAATGAATCAATTTTTGTCTCATCTGTTGCAAGTCCACGTATAAAAGGTAAAATGTCAGGCAAATTCCATTTAGGTTGAGCAAGAAACAATTCTTGAAATCGTATAGCAGGGTCTATAGATAATTCATTAGCAGGAAAATATTGAATAGTTGATGATCCAGTTAAAAGATATTCTCCCTGTAAAGATTAATTCAGTTAGAGTTAATACGATATAAATTCTAGACAAATATGAATTAGAACATACTTGGAGCAATGATAGATCAGCATATTCAGAAAAAGGAGACGGAATAGTAGACTTCCAGTCACGAATAAATTCATCTAGCAAAACGGAACTTCCCTTGGAAATTTTTAATTCATAGTCATTCAATAAGAATATTACTTTGCATTTAGCCAACATTTGAATACCAATCCATTGGGCAATAGAAGAACCATCAATAGAATATGCTAAATAATATAAGCTCTGTATCAAAAACAATAAAGAGACAACATTCTGTTTGAGTATGAGAAAATCGGCGTAAAACCAATTCTACTACATCAGCTGGCTCTTCTGAGTCAATATAAGTCATAAGGAGATCGAATTTCAATTCATCTAGAGACATATTTTCAACTTCTGCATGTGCTAAGATCAATTGAAGTACACGAAGAACATAATTGAAACTCAGCCGTCTCAAATGACCTAAAAACCAATGGTTAGATAAATAAACATCTCGAAGTATCAAACCATTAATTACCAAGCACATAGAATGAATAAGTGCATAATGAATTTCCTCATCACTTGCAGGTATTCTTCGTTTAATTTGACTGAGCGTATAAAGCGGAACGGTCTATGTCTAATCAACACAGGCTTCTATAATCTAAAAAAATTACATCAGGAACATGTAGATCATATCCATCGTAAACAGGTGCTAAGTGATTAAAATTGATATGAACTGTGGCTTCAGTAATTTCAATATAAGACCTGGCATCTTTCAATAAAGAAAATCCATCATCTTCTTTTTGAAAAAGAAGCAAAGAATTAGTCTGGGTAACATTACGCAAAGAATACGTTTTTGAAGGTGAACAAAGCACTGTGCTTTTACGGCTATGATCTGCTTTAAGAGTCAAACTATATAAAAAAACGATAAATGTTAAGTGTTTTCAGCACAAAATAACGTTACCAAGGCTTTTTTTCAGACGTTAAAAACCCCATAAGCTCTTCCGGAAACTCCATAAATATAATTTTTTCTCCAGATTCCTGATCTTCATCTTTCATATATCTTAATTCTATATTTTCTAACATATTTTTTTCTACAGATGCCATTTTATTAAACTTTTATCCAGGAAAAAGAAACAAAAACAAATACATATTAAATATTGAAAATTTCTTATGTTTGTTCTGTATTTTTAAATAATTTCATTCATAATCAATATCTTAATTTTTTAATATTTCAAAGTTAATGTCTCCGAAGCGATTCGCGATAAACCAACCTCAAAATTGTTCTATATATATTGATTTTCTTGATTTTTAGAGGATTCCAGGAATATATTTCTATAAAAAGCACTATTGTTTAAGGTTTTATATGATTTTACTTTTTTTTTTTGGTTAAAAATAGCAACTTAAAGAATAATTCTATGAAACAATTATGTCTTCAACAAAATATAAAAATAGACAAAAATTAATGCATAATACCCGGAAAATAAAAAAAAATAACACCAAAACATCAGATGAAAGCTCAAGTGATGCTACATGTAATTTTCCATTGTCTAATTCGCCTGTTTTTCGACGAGATATGACATATCAAGAAATGCTCAAAACAGATCCTTTTTTTCGAAAAAGTAAAGTTTAAAATGAAATAAATGCATATTCTTAGTTTTTACAGATCAAATACACTATGTTTCAGATGATTCAGTGCTTGGTTTCTTAATTATTTCAGTTGCAGTAGACAAATTCAACATAATTCATTCTCATGTTTTTACGTGTTGTGGACCTCTTTCACTTCCTCTTATAACTCCCAAAGATCAAGATGTTCTTCGTATTGTTGTTTCACATCTTCCTTATAACTGCAGATCACAATCTTTCCAAGTCATTGCAATGGTTATATTGCAATATTTTATTTTCATACCATTACATGTCAAGAAAGAAGTTTTAAGACAATATAATGTGTTTATAGAGAATTCAGATCAACAAAGAAGGATTGCATTTGATGAGATGCATGCAGGAGACATTGCTGGACATTGTCAACTTTTGAAACTTACAGATCTATCATCCATTCTATGTTCTATGCTAAAAAAACGAAAACTCGTGTCTTTTAACATGGATGTTATTTTCCCTGATGATTTAGGATGTAAGAGATAATTTTCTTTATAAAATTCTATTTAATTTTCGTTATAAAAGCTACACCATTATTTTCTAAACTTCAAGAAACAAAAGATGAGCATAAATTGGAAGATTCTTCTTTTAAAAAAATAGTTATGCCTAGGCCTGTAATAGATAACTATATAGTAGCATTTTCTTTCATATTTTGTATCATTTTAATAGTTTATAGGAACAGGAAAAAAAACGGATAAGCATTCTTGATGAAATCCTTCAAACAGAGCAAAATTATATTAATAGGTTACGCCATTTGATTCTCGATTATGTTTTACCACTTAGAACGCATGCCAAAACATCAAAAAATCCTCCTTTGGGACTATATGATGTTAATAGAATGTTTCCATTATCTCTTAATGATATTGTATCAGTGAATTCAGCCTTTTTACAAGATTTTGAAAAAGCAAAAACAGATCTTGAAAAAGCCAACTCATGTGTTACACATGTATGTTTTATTTACAAATGCCATTTTAACTAATTTTTCAAGTTTTCTCAATTTAAAAAGGTATATGCTAAATATTTAGAATTAAGTGTAGACTTTGAATCTATTCTAAGACATAACTTACGTAATCCTAAATTTAGAGACTTTGTAGACGTAAAAATATTCTTTAATAATTTTATATATCTTATCTAAAATCGTTTTAGAATCAAAAATATAAAACAGAGCGGAATATTAGTATTAGGGAACTTATAATGGAACCAGTTCAACGAATCCCTCGTTATTCTTTATTTCTAGAAAGTTAGTATTTTATTAATGTTTTTTCATGAATAAAAATATTAATATTTCTAGATATTATTTCAAATACACATCCAGAAAGTCCAGCATTAGTTCCATTTCAAAAAGCGTTATCAATTGTTAAGGATATTGCACAAATGAAAATTATGGAAGCTGAAGAAAGGTCAAAATTATTTCGAAAGTTAATGGGGCATGTTTCAGGATTTCCTCCAGAACTTATATCAAATTCTCGTTATTTTATTACTGCTATAGATGCTATAGAGATTTTACCACCATATATAAACTCATCAAGTAAAATATATTGTACATTGTTATTATTTTCAGACTGTTTGGCAATATTGAAAAAATCATCGCATATTTCTATTGTAGAAGAGCTTATATCTAATGTTAGCGAGATTTCATTATCTAGGTCTCAATCTAAACAAAGTTTATTCAAGTTCGCAACTTCAACTTCTAGAAAAGATATATTATTTCAAGGATGGGCTAGTACAAATGATCTTGAACTAGAAATTGATGAGGATAGCGATACAGATATTTGGATAATTGCATCTACACCTATTAAATCTTATGTAGGAAATGAAGCTTGGGGAAGCTTTTCTGAACATAAAATCTCTGTAACATCTGAATCGAAACATTGTATAATAAATTTTATTGAAAAATTCTATAAAACAAAGGCTAAAAATAAAATTTCTGAAAATTTTATTTCAGAAATCGAAAAAAATAATATTAATATTATATGCAATGTTTTTAAAGCATCTGAATACAAAAAGGAACCAAAAAAAGTAAGATATAATTGTTGTATTAGATTATCGTTTAATAAATAAAGTCGGAAATCGCTATTCAATACACCCATCAAAGTTTTGCTAATAGTGTTAATAAAAAAAATTCGGAAATGGATATTTCAGGATTATTTTTAATAGAAGCATCGTCAGAAATATATAGGTACTTCATCATATATAAAAATAAAATAATGTTTTTATATAATTTTTAGGCTAGACTTTTATACCCCTCTTTCTTGGAAAATATCACCACGAAAATTTCAATATCTAGATACCCTTTTAGAAGATTTATTTGAAAAAGGTTAGTTGTATATAAATTGTATTTTGGTTTTTAATTTTTAGCAATTTTATTTCAAAATTTTTTAAAATTTTCAGAATCTCCTAAAAACGTTTCAATTCTTATATCGAAGTATAAATTCTTTTTATCATGTCTTCTTAGCGTAAGCTTAGAATCAAATTCTTTAAAAACGAACTTTCCAGCAATTTCATATTCTAATTTTTCTAATAAATCCATAAACTCAACTTCAGGAAACAAATATTCACCTCCGAAAAACTTAACAACATCGTTTCTAATTAATAGTCCTACATCCAAGACTTTTATAAAAAAGGATTCATTTTCACAATTCAATTCTTTAATAAAGTCTGATAATGAAAATAACATATCAAAGATTGGAAATAACAATTCAATATCATCGATAGAAATAATTAAAGATAAAAATATATTTCGTGGTATCGAGACGTTTGTTTATACTCTTTGTTGTATTGAAGGTATTTATAAAGATATTTTAATTAGTTTAATGTATAAAAGACTTTGATTCAATGTCTACATTAATGTATTCAGAGTCTGAACTTAAAGATTCTATTGATCTCTCAAATGAAATTGGTATTATATAATATTGATATAATGTTAATTTTTATATATTATTAGCAAAAAATCCTCAAAAAGATTATGCGGTTTTAGGTTCTCCTTTAAAAATAGGTTATGCAGCTTTTAAACATTATATAAAAACACATGTTTCTAAAAAAATTGGACCAGTTTTACCATATGAATATATTAAGTCTTGTTTAAATATAATTGGTATGTTATTTTTCTTTAATATAGCAATTTTATTTATAATTATAGAAGGGTTTGATTCTATTGATGAAAAGATACATAAAATTCATAATATTTCTCTGGATTTACCATACGAAAGTCATGCTGTTCTATGTTTAGTCATATATCTTACTTTACAGTATGTTGATGTTCTATAAAATACTTCATTTTTACATGAATAGTGTTTTGAATAAAGCTTATAAAGAAAAATGTTTAAAGATTTTATTACTAATGATTTCAGAATGTCTTGTATCTGTATATGATGTACCTGCTTTTATTCCTGTTTTGAAGCTCATGGCACGTAACTTTTCTCAAATATTTTATGAATTTGCGAAAACCAATTTTTCTACTTTAACAAATAAAATGGCATCCATTCTTACTAAGGACTTCAATCAATCAGAAATTGTGCCATCATTTACTAATTCGTATTATGATAAACCATTTATTTTTCCAGATACGTCCATTTCATCTTCTGATGCTGTTGATTATGAAAAACCTTCTTTATTACCACTTAAAAATTCATTATCTTTGAATTCTACTCAAAGAGATACGTCTAAGGATACTTTTTATAATACAACTTCAAATTTGTCTATTAATACAGTTATTCCACAGTCAACACATTCAGAAATGACTAAATCGTTATCACATTTAGAAGATGTTAATCCATTTACTGCTTTGAATACTGATCAGCATTTAAAGACTTTATTTTTAAATCCAAAGGAAAAATATTATGATGCGTCCGATAATATTAAAAAAAAAGAGAATTTTTCTATGGTATCTAATAACTTCAAAACAAATTTAACTGAAGAGGATTTTAATGAATCAAATAATATGGTATTATTATAAATAATTTGTTTTTATCTATAATAATATGAAATATAGAACGATATACCCCGGTTTGACAAACATTTAATAGTTAAATCTTTTTCTGAAAATACTAAATCTAATGATATTTCCAAAGTTATTCTTTCTAGTGATTCTTTTAATAATAAGTCAAATTGTTTAAAAAAACCATCTTTAGAGACATTTTCATCTTTAGAATCAAAAATATTATTTCCACATGATAATTACATAGTATTTAAAGATTCAAAATCAGAATATGAGAAAGTTGATCCAAAAGAAAATTGTGTTCATTTTTACGATAAATCTTTTAAAAATCAAAGTTACCGTAGAAGTTCTGATAAAAAAATTAATAACAGTAGTATCACTCAAAGTTCACGAATACCACAGTTCAGATAAAACGGACATAGACTTTGTTTATAAATTTATAATTAATGTAATTATTTATTTCATATTCAAATACAAAAATAAAAATCTAATATAGCTAGACCAAATATTTGACGAAAATATAAATATTTCTTATAAGGTAACTTTAGAAAATACTTTAATTTTTTTTTTAAATTATATAAGTTTTAAAATTAAGTTTTAAAAAATTACTTTTTCACATTAATTAGGGGAAATACAAGTTTATGAGCAAAATTAAGTAAATCATGAGGCCATGCATTACATTTTTTTGTGCATTTTATTTATGTTTTATTTAAATTATTGTTATATACTTTATATACACTTATATTTAGAAGAAACAATTTGGTTTAAATCGATTTAATTATATATCTTACATATTTTTTGTCTTTATATTGTTTAAAACCTATTGAATATTATAAATTAAATTAATTATATTCATTTTATTTAGATATATAAATATGCTTAAAATAATTATCGAAAGTGTTTAAAATTTTTATCTACAATATTACTCTTTTAAAGTAAAAAATTACACAGGAAAAGCTAATAAAACAATTATTTTATTATTAAACAGTATAGTTGCACTAATTCATTATTATTTCAAGTAAAAACAATATATAAAAAGGACGATTCTCTTCAAAAATATCAAAGTTTAACTTTTTTATTAAAAATAATTATTTTATATATTAAAACAGTTCTTTCTTTCTTTAAATACATATATTTAGGTTCTTATGTTTATAATAAGACACTGTTTTTTCATTTTTTCTTTTTTATGAATTTAAAAAAGTAATTTTAATATCTAATACTTAACTATATGATGGATCCTCTTTATGAACCTATTTTCTTTGAAAAGAACTCTAATTCTTCAAAGTTGTCTTCTAAAAAACTGGATCATGAAAGCAATCTTGCTTTAGATATGTTAAAACAAGGGTTACCTGATGAATTAGCTGAATCCTTATATATAAACAAAGTTAAAAACAAACCTTTATTAATTCATCCAACAAATAAGCATATAAATAATATACAGGAAAATGACCCTCGAGAATCTAGAAGATTTAATTATTTATCAAAGTTACATAATAAAGGTCGTAAAAAAAAACCAAAACCTCTTAGTTCTAGAGAAAAAAGAGCAATAGGAATATATGATATTTCAAAAGATTCTTGCAAGTATAATACACATCTAAAATATTCAAAAATGTATTATTAAAATAATTTAGATACAATATTTGGATCCCTTTATATAATCTTTGGAAAGAATACATTAAAGAGATTATTGGATCAGACCATGTATTCTCCATATCTCAAAAACTTTTAAAAGCAGATATGCATGGTGCTAACATCAAAGTTGTCCGGTCAAAATGTCCTTCAAGAGTGGGTATTGAAGGAATATGTATCAAAGAAACAAAAAAAACGTTTGTTTTAATTACTAATAAAAACCAACAAAAAGGTATAATTTATATAAATATAAAATAACTTATAATATTTGTAGTTGTACCTAAGGAAAATTCAGTATTTAGTATTCAAGTAGAACAAATACTTGATCACACAAAATCAAATGCATCACAGATTGAAGAAAATAAACATATAATGGTATTTGAAATTATAGGATCACATTTTATATGCAGGGCTGCAGAAAGAGTTGGGAAAAAAATTAAATCTAAACCATGTTTAGAATTATAAAATTAATTTACAATTATCTGAAATATTTTTAAATACTATTATTTATAACCAATGTAAATATATTCTAAAATATAAAACAAATGCTTTTAAATTATTAAATACAAAATTTTCAAAATATTTTATTTATTTATATGAATAAGCTTTCTTTTACATTCATCTATAACCCTTTGAGCATTTATTAGCATTAATTGTAATCTTTCAGCACATTTTGTGACATTTTCTTTTATATCCTCTAAATATTTTTCGTATTTTAATGAATCTTTTCCAATATTCTCTGGAATTGGTATAATATTTGCACCTAATGGATAATCTGTGCTCAACAATTCTACTATAGATATGACATTTGGTCGAGCTTTAGATAACATATTACTATTATTTTCATATGGTAAATTTGATACTGATTGTACACTCATTGCCCTAAATATTTTTATATTAAAAAATATATTTAAAATAACAGAACTAACTTATCGGGGTTTACTGAATAAACTGGATTTGAAAAGCATTTATTTTGCTGACAGCCTACTTTTTGATCCAAAAATAGGTTAGAAAACATTCCGTTTTCATGGGTTTCATTAGAATTTATTGTACTATTTGAATACGCCATTGAATTAAATGATGAAAAAGGGTTGGATTTTTGACAGTCTGGTTCATAAATATTTTGATTTCTGTTTCCAATTTTATCTTGCATTTCTGCTAAAGATCCTGAAGTGCCGGTAGTAGTATGAGATAAAGTTACAAACGGTCTGTTGCTTAATTCTAGTAATGATGAAGTAATATTCTCAATATTTTGATCAACTGCATCTGGTTTAGTTGGTATATGATTTCTTCTTCGTCTTTTAATCGAATTTTTTTTCATACTAATTGGTCTATGAACAGAATGGAGTTTATAATATAAACCTACATAATTAAAAATACTTATTTCATAGATAAAACTTACCACATGCATTACATATAGTGTTTCCAGAGTTATCCCTTCTCCATAAAGGAGTTGTTGCTGTACCACAGTTTTGACAAGTAACAACATGCATGTTATAATTGTCCAATGTTAAGTTAAAATTGTCAGATTTTTGTTCACCATTTTCTGACCCAGAAACAGCAAACTTCGTTGTTTTAGCTATTCTGTTGTTGAAAACAGGACATCCATCACAACTTTGTGAACCGCCTGCACCATTACATTGACCATTACCCGTACATGTTCCGCCATTTACTTTTAATAAAATAGCTGCTTTTTTACGCATACGATGAGAAACAGATGAAATCATAACTTTCTTTAAACGAATAGGTCTTGACATATTTTTTGTCTTTGAATAAAGCCCACAAGCATTACATACATATTGTCCCATAGATGTTCGCCTCCAAAGAGGCGTATAAGATATTCCACAATTGCTACAATAAACACCTCTAGAAAGCTATAAAATCCTGAGCATATTCCCGTGTACTCCTTTAAAAAACTTACTTTTTTTGATCCATCTTGATCATTAACTATATTATTTTCAGGAAATGTTTCTGATGTTATGTGATGCAAAAGTTGTTCATCTAAAGATGAGAGGTCTTTATTAATAGAATTACAAGAAATTGCGTTCATTTTTAATGTGTTTTAGTCCTTTTTTTCCAAAATTTTTCCAATTAAATATTGATACCAAAAAACCTCAAAAATAGGGCTAAAAATACCGTTTTTTTTCCCTGTTTTTTATAGAAACTACTTACATAAATATCCTTATATGTTTATTCGTATATTTCTGCTAAATATACACTTTATTCCTTTATTCTTCTCAAACAGTTTTTTTCAAAAAGATATTTAATATTTGACGTTTCTAATCGTGATAAATCGGAAATTACACTATAATGATTAGTAATCAATTTGGTTTGAAAAAAAAGATTATAAAAATACAAAAAAAAGATTCCAGGACACAAACAAGATATTTCTTGAAAATAGTGCTCTATTGACATGCTGTTTTACAAGCAAAAAATCCTTCATATATAGTTACTATGACAACCTGTTGCCATAACAACCTATTGTCAGAGTTGTTATGACGACGTGTCACGTGAAACCTGCTAAATACATCAACGTAAACAAAAAATTTGGAGAGAAAAAAGCCTATTTTTTTTTAGAAAAAATGACAAGCAATTACATATTTCCTACACTAAAACCTCCTGAAATCCTTCAGTGCATGACAGGTATTTTTTTCGGAAAATTTCTATGAAAATTTGAAAAATTTAACGTTAATAAGAACTGGGAATCCCATTTTCTGAAGAAGACCTGAGCAAACCGAATACACAAAGAATGAAACTTGTTTATGAAGCCTTTTCTGACATATTAATGGGTATTACCTGGGAAAACTATGATAATGCTGTTCGTGCATGTCATGATGAGTTAGAACATTCTGTGCGTTTATAAAAACACTTAATTTTTTGCCGACAATTTTTAGGAAATATACATGGATTCTTTGAGTCTTATTATATTTTACCAAAAACTGTTTGTTCTTGTGCAAATTTGTTAAAGATCTATATTTATAGTATATAGAGTAAGACTGATGACAGAAGTTGGTATTGATGACTTTTCAATCCGTGATCTAGTGAAGCCAGAATCAGCACGTGTTAAAAAGATACTTTCTGCAGTGATTAATTTTGCCAAATTTAGAGAAGAACGTATGCCTGTTTTTGAAACACATGCACAGAAAGCGGTATATATGAAGCATGATGATTCATAATACTAAATTTTTTAGGATTCTTATATCTCTAGACACCAAGATCTTGTTTTTCAGAACCAAGATTTGTCAGAACAACTTAAAAAATTAAAAATAAAACAAGAAGACGAAGTATCACTAATTAAAAAGTCGAAAGAAATCAATGTTGCACTTACAAATGATCTCCGAGAATTAAAAAAAATACAGACTAGCCTTACAAATGAAATTGATGTTTTAAAAAGAGAAAAGGCAGAAATTGCTGAACGTTTGGTACTAAATAATCCTCATTTTTTCAATGCTTAACTGTAAAAGACAAACAATCAGTTTATCACAGTTAACACTAAGCAAGAGTGTATGAAGCTTCGATCTAGAATTGTGCATTCTCCAGAAAAATTAAAACAGCTTATTTCAGATATGGGAACATCATTAGCTTCAGAAAAAAACTCTATAGCATCATTAGAAAGAAAGTCAAGAGAACTTCAAAATAAAATAGATGCAATTGGAATTGTTGAACAGGTTTTTTCCATTAAAAACTTTTGATAGTTCTTACTTAGTATAGGATATACTAAATTGTATAAAATTAATGGAAGAATGTGAAGTTGAAATTGCTCGGGTAGAAGAAGCATCTCGTAAAGTTGCTAAACACCAGGAAATGGTAGATCAAAAAGAGTTGGAAGTACATGAAGTAGAGATTAAAGATCAGGTATTTTTAATAAAAATTTATTTATTGCTTTTAATATATAATAGCAATTAAATCGGCAATTAGCAAATGCTGAAGATAAGCTTGCTAGAATTCAACGGTCTGCAGAAGCCAAGCGTGAAGCCGCTCAAAAAAAGATGGAAGAAATACGAAAAGAGTACAACATTATAACAGTCGAAAGAGCAGAAAGAGCCCATGAAATGGACAGAAAAAGAGCAATGATTGAATCAACAGAAAAAAAGATATCTGAATTACGTTCTCATATTGAATCGGAGGTAAACGCTGTTCAAAGAGAATATTCAAAACTTAAAAGTCATATCGAATTATATATGGATGAAATGAGTCGGTGTATGGAAATAGCTGCCACTTCATAATTATATATCATTTGAAATATTAGACAAAATCGATATAATATCTCAAACTTATTCCAGTATTGTTTGTTTAGTTAAGTTGTGTATGCTCAATATCACTTATTTCTCCATTTTCTATATTCTTCCAAGATACTTTATAACATTTTCCACAGTATTTCCAAATACCATATCGTCTTCCCTGTTCATCTAATCCTGCAATTTCCCAAAATGCACTTATCCATCTTTCAAGAACAGTTGCAACCGTAATTTGCTTAATTACCGAACAAACGGAAATTCCAGATATTTTTACACTGCTATTAAGAAGTTGGATCGGTGACAATATAGAAAGAGAATCACAAAATATAAGATTTTTATTTCCAGAAGCCTCAATGGCTAACGCTATTGTTTTAGAAATACCTTGTGCTGAAAATTCACCCGATGCTTCATGAATTTTTAAAAAAGGCCAAATTGCCAATATATTTTCTGACGAGTAATCAGACGAATAATGATAATCTGATAAGATAGCCCGAAGACCTCGTAGAGATGGAACATAAATAATATCAATATTATCTGCTGCTAATATCCAAGAACCAGTTGAAAACTCATCATTTATCCAAAAAGATTCTTCTGTTTTTATAGATGTTTTAAGTTCCTCTTTTTCATTCATATCTTCCCATGTTCTCTGCTTGTTTGCAGTATATGAAAATATTATTTCATGAATAAACTTTTCTCTTTTATATCCACATAAAATAAGCATTGATTTCTTTTTTCCTTCTTTAATATTAAAATTTTCTGATGCTAAAATGGATCTTTCTCGTCCAAGAATAATAGAAATAAGTACTGATACACATGAGCTTTGAATATAAAGCGGTGCTGTAAAATCTAGATCAGAAGCTCCTATTACATCTGGTTTTCCTTTTGGAAGAAGAAAATTTACAGGAAATTTCATAAATTTTTATAAATTTTTATAAATTTTTATAAATTTTTGTTTTTCTTGGATTCAGAAGTTAACAAAATCTTAAGAGTTAAGATATAAGCGATAAAAAGATATATAGAAAGTACAGAAAAAATAAAATTAAATAAAAAACAAATATTTGAATCTAAATACAAATATTAAGCAATTAAAAAATAAAGGAGCCAGCCTGTAATGAAAGAGTGTATAGATAACAAGAGAATAAATTGAAGCAATTAAAGGGAAGTTTTATAATGTCGAATCGACTAAACAAATACGCATTCCATCATATGCAGGTGCAACCCAAGTATCTTTAAGGATGCCACTTTGAGCTTCTTGAATAAGTCGTTTTTCTAAAACATCGTGTGGTATTGAATGATCAAACCCTATAAGAAAGATTTTTTTAGGCAAATCAGGACTCAAACGACATACGAAATCAAGTGCCTATGTAGGAGGTTTTAGCTATATTTGAAAAAAAAAAAACAGGAATTACTTGAGAAATTGAAAAATGAGATAAATGAGGTCGTTCTCTTAGTGAATCCTAAAAATCGTTATTATAGATTGTAAAAACAGAACTAATATTTTACATACCAAAACTAAAAATTCAGTCCCCCTAATAATATTAACCGTTTCATCAGGAATGTCATTTGCATCAGAAATATAAGATAAATTATCTATACGATATCCAAGAATATAAAACGGAAGTTTTATACCGTGTTCGTTTTGAAACATACCATGCTGAACCCTAAGTGGATATATAGTTATATTTCCACAGGATTCAACGGTAAAAGGGTGGATCGGACTTATAATATGAAATTGAAAAGATGGAACATCTCCTCCGCCAGTTGCTTTTTCAGAATATACGCAATATGGAAACCTATACTGTTAATATAAATTTCGAAAGGAATGTCATACATAGTAGAAATAGCATTCATTGTTTCTGATGTAAGATAAATATCAATGTAGTCTTGAATTAACCCTCCTAATGTCCATCCTAAAAGACAATTAAATACACATTTTGGTGTATAAAGGTTTTTATTAACCTCTTAAATCATCTAAACCGTTAACGGCACTATTTTTATTAATCATTTATCATTGTTTATTTTTGAATAATACTCTGCATGTGCCTTATGAATTAGCATGAATTTATACCGAAAGAAGGATTTACATGAGTAATTAACAATGCGTCAATTTTTCTTAAAGAATATCGAGGAAAATATTCCAATGTTGCTTCTGCTAAGTGTCATGAAAAACACATTTTATCTGAAAACATCAAACCATGAAATGTTTTTCCACAATCAATAACAAGCGTTTTACGATTTCCACTATAATCTTTAATAAGGACTACAGCACCTGTATTCCTTCGGCGGTTTTTAGACTGAGAATATGTTGCATCGATACAAACAGAACAAGTCGGCGGGTTCTGTGTCAAACAATGAATAGATGGTACTGAACTTGACGTACCTAATATGTAAGTACAACTTATATAGCCTTAAAAGATTTTACATACCTGTTCCTAAAAAAATTAACTCTACTGCCCTACTCTGAGCCATAAAGAAAAATCACGATCGACGATGTCTTTTATAATAGTATAAAATTTTATCATATTTTATTAAAAAAAGTAATTGTTTCATTCCCCCAGTATCCAAAAATAATGTAATAAAGTTTATTATGATTTTAATTTTTAACAAAATGTTTTGAAAAACTCGTTCCAATTCATACAAATGCTTTTTTGTATAGTCCAAAAATATTTAAAACGTATATTATGAATAAATAAAAACCGTAAAAGTCCTCTTAAATACTATTAAATTCGAAAATTTATACTGAACCATGATATTAGCAAGTAAGGATATTTTATATGTTTTTTGAATAATCTATGGAATATAAGGCTTATATCTATAACTTGTACGTTGATATCAACATCCTTAGGAAGGTCTTTTTGTATTTTCAAAAGAAGTGTTCTGCATATGTTGATCATGAAGAGCTGATAAGTAATATAGTTCTGTAGAATTATTTATATTTTCATTTTCGTTAACAATATTTGACTGATAGGAATGTTTCTGAAAATTGTCATACACTGGTGTATTATATTCCTTAATAGAAGAATTATATGAAGATGTATGACTAAAATGTGTCATAGATTTTTCCATAAGAATTTCATAATCTTTTATGGCTCTAGTAAATCTTTCATTAAGAGATATAATATCATCTATCAAATTTAGACAAAAAATTTTCGAATATATCCAAAAACCTTTTTTTTGAGCATATTTCTTAATAAGTTTTACAAGTTTTGAACGAATCGTTAATGTTAAATGGTAAAGATTCTAAAATTTTATAAAATTTAAAAATACAACTTTTAAAATTACCTGAAACTGATCATTTTCTATAATATTATTATTTTCGATTGAGTCGACATTGCTTAATATTTCCAATAATTTCTCAATATTTTCTTCAAAAGACAAAACTTTTATTTCATCTTCCATTTCTTTTCTAAGTTCATCTGGAGTAGGCTCTAGAAGTTTTTCAACATAATTAGCAGGAAAAATCCCCACCATAGTGTCTAAAGATCCACGCCACCAGTCTTTGTATGTTGTTTCTAAAACAGTAATTATATTTCCTTTTCGGAATGACAATTCACCCGGTTCAGCTGCTTGAAAATCATACAAGGCTTTCACTTTAAATATGGGTGTTGGGAAAGAAGACTGCTTAGGTCTTGTAAAATGTTCTTCGTTATATTTTATGTTTTTTTGAGGACTTTTACATTCTACGGCTTTTTCTAAAGAAAGAGCCAATGCAAGTTGAAGTTCTTTTTCTTCTTTCTCTCTAAGCTCATCCATATCATCTTTTACTTCTATGTATGATAAATTTTATATAATTTATTCATAAAAAATTATCTACCTTTTTTGATATATTTATATTCGGATTTAAGTTGATCATATGTTTGCCTTATAACTCGAAAAAATGGATCAGATACAAAATCAACTGCCCATTGCTGAATCAACGACAATATACGCTCTTTGACCATAGAATGTGTATGCTATATATTTAGACATGAAAATACATAAAACATAGCATACTGAATCTTTAAATAGCTTTAAAAGCGTCTCTATAAATTCTTGAGACCCTATTTCTCGGTGCAAATCAGGTCCGCAATTTTTTACGAGTGCTTCTACCAACTATATCTTGTAAACCTTATTATTCATATAAATCTTGCATACACTTAAAGAATATAACTGAATATTTGTATTTTTGTATGAAAAACGTTTCTGAAGCACAAATATTACAGATTTACTAATATATATAAGCATTTTCAGCCTTCTAAAAACTCCTACATACATATCACCTCCATGATTCAAAAAGTCACACACATCCATAATATATGCCCAGTTTTCTTGTGTTAAATACTCATCTGTAGAACGATCTAATTCAACATGTTAGATATATATATTTTCTAGCTTTTTTATACAAATAAGATTCTCAATTGTCTCCATTTTTTGCCCCATATTTTAATAACCAAATTATACTATAAAATACTATAAAATAACTTAATATTTATCCAAAATATTATGAATATGTTTATAAAGGCCTCCTATGAATAAAATCTATATAAATATTAAGATTTATCTTATAACTATTATTAATATAACTGTACCAACTTTATACGGAGTTTTTAAATATAGATTTTAAGTGATCGATGACGTAGATTAAGGCTTAAAAACCAAAAAATCAACAAATTTTAAAGCAAGCTTGTATTAGCAAGAGAAAAGCATATATTATACAAATAAACAATCTTTTTAGTATAAAAGACGTGATTATGATTTTAAATGAAGTTTTTTTATTAGTAATAACATAATTTAGATAGAAAAGAGCAGTTTTTTACATTTGCCAAATAGTTATTAATTGGATATATTTTGAAAACAAACATATATATTTGAGGAATAAAGACATACAGTACATCAAATATATCTATAATCTTGTATTATAAATATAAAATTGGGAATTTTACATATATATTTTAGTATCAAGAGTATAAAAAATTGTGCTGATTATGATTTGTTATAAATTAATATTAAAAGGCCTATAAGATGATTTTGAAGTCAGAAATAAGAGGAATTTTTTTAAGACGTTATACAGGATCTGTATATAATTTATTTTTTGTTAAAAAACTCATATTGATGTAGATTTTTCAAAGGGCACCATTAGGTATCCGTTGTATGGGAACGGTAAGTTAGAAAAGACTTATTTTAGTCTTTTTTGAACTAAATTTGTTTCTATTTAGACATTAAAAACAAAACTTATGGATATTATTCCCCAAGAGCAGGAGAAAGTGCGAGAATTACGCATAAAACATGGAAAGAAATCATTAGGTGAAGTGACATTGGATCAAGTGTATGGTGGTATGCGTGGCATCAAAGTTCATACTTTTTTCCTCTTTATTTTCTCTTAATTTTTGACTAGGGCCTTGTATGGGAAGGATCTGTTTTAGATCCTGAAGAGGGTATACGTTTTCGTGGGTTAACTATTTCAGAATGTCAAGATAAGCTTCCGAAAGCACCTATGGGGAGTCAGCCATTACCTGAAGGTATATCATATATAAAACAATAAAAGAGTGTTTATTTTATGAATAGGGCTTTTTTGGTTGTTATTAACAGGTGAAATACCTACACATGAGCAAGTAAAAGAGATTTCAGAAGAATGGGCAGCTCGTTCTGACATTCCAGAATTTATTGAAGAGCTTATTGATCGATGCCCATCCAATTTACACCCAATGGCACAATTTTCTTTAGGTTATTTTTTAAAATCTTTTTTTTTTATTTACGTATTTTAGCTATTACTGCACTGGAGCAGGTTTCTTCTTTTAGTGCAGCGTATGCAAAAGGGATTAATAAAAAGGACTTTTGGCTATATTGTTTTGATGTAAACTTGCTCTTTTTTTATATTTAAATTTATACTGTTTTAAGGATTGCATGGATATTATTGCGAAACTTCCTAATATTGCTGGAAGAATTTATCGGAACATATATAAGGATGGAAAGGTTGCTTCCATTTGTAAATCCAAAGATTACAGTTGGAATTTATCTAACATTCTTGGATTCTCTGATAATGAAGAATTCAATGAGCTTCTTCGACTTTATCTTACAATTCATTCAGACCATGAGGGCGGAAACGTGAGTGCCCATACAACTCATTTGGTAGCAAGTGCTCTAAGTTCTCCAATGCTTTCATTTAGCGCTGGACTAAATGGTCTTGCTGGACCTCTTCATGGTCTCGCTAACCAGGAAGTTTTAAATTGGATTTTAGATATGAAAGAAAAGATTGGAGAAGATGTTACAAAAGAAAAGATTAAGCAATATTTATGGTCTACTCTTAATGCTGGAAAAGTTATTCCTGGATACGGTATATATTATTCATTATATTCTTTTTTCTTATATATTTTAGGTCATGCTGTTTTAAGAAAGACAGATCCCCGATATATGGTTCAACGTGAATTTGCTCTTAAATATTTGCCAGGTATCTACTTGTTAATTATTATTTATTTTTTTTAACCATTATAGATGATCCTATGTTTAAGCTCGTTTCTATGATATATGAGGTAGCACCTTCTGTTTTACTTGAACATGGGAAAACTAAAAACCCTTATCCGAATGTTGATGCACATTCTGGAATTTTATTAAGATATTATGGATTAGTTGAACAACAATTTTATACAGTGCTTTTTGGTGAGTCATTGGTTATTATTTCTTATTACTTAATACTTTTTAGGCATTTCTCGTGCACTTGGTGTACTTTCTCAGGTATTTTATTTTTAAAAGTAGTTTTTTTCTAATACATTCTTTTAGCTCGTTTGGGATCGTGCATTAGGTCTTCCTCTTGAACGCCCTAAATCATTTAGCACAAATGCATTTATTAAAATGTTTTCTAATTAATTTTTAAATTTTAATTTTTAAAATTTATTGTATTAAAAAAATAAGTTATACTTTTTTCTTGTTGAATTTTTTATAATGTTTTCATAATTTTCAATATTTTTAGACTTTTGATAGAAAAACATAATTTAATCTAGAAATTATTTGAGACTTAAAAATATAGTTTTAAAGCCAGCTGATTTTATATTTAAAATCTTGACTAATTAATTGATTTTAAACCAATACATTTATAGATAGGTTAATTTCTTGGTATTCGTAAAATATATGAATTAATATATTATAAATGTGTGTTTTGATTAAGATTTAAATTTAAAACAAACAATTTAAATAATGTTTTTAATATTCAAAAATATATTTTACAAACTTAATATCATACATATGCTATGATCGCTTTTAAGTATAGCATGTACAAAAACTAATATCATTTAATATTCATCTAAATATATAATTATGAAAAAATATTTTTACAAAAGAAAATAAATTAAAATTGATTCGTAAATTATATCTATTAAATTTCACAATTTATATTTGTCAAATTTCACAAATTATTTGTATTAATCCCCAATATATAATAATTTTTAATATTCAAGATTTTTTTAGATTAAAAATACCAAAAAATATTATTGTGGAGGTGAAATAATAGAATTAATTAGATCTATAGAATTCTCCTCTAATCCATTACATGAATTGGTCAATAGATTTTTGTTTTCCTGAATAGAAATATTTGTAGATGATAAATCTTCGCTCTTATTTTCTTGAGTTAAAATTTCTAAAGGCATATTATTTTTTTCATCATGTAATACATCATTAGGCTTTATTAAATTGGTATTAGAAGCAGAAATTTCATGTAAAGGTAAAGTTCTTAGAGGTGGTGCCAAAACCCATTTATATTCAACTTCATATAAATCACTAAAAATATTAGAAATTTGTTATAGATAATATTTATATAATACTGAGAAGAAATTTCAATTAAAATTATATTTTCATCAATACGATTTTCTCTTACAATTCCGGAAAATATATCACCTTTAGTATATTGTGCCTGTATAACATCACCAATTGTAACTTCTGTAGCAAACTTATGAATATGAGCATCGCTTTCAAGTTTTTCTAATTTAGGTCGCTTTGGTCGATGAAATTTACAACTAAAAAAAAACTGTTGACTTAAACCTGATTGAAATGTTTCTACTAAAACTCCTGCAGAAGCAGCACATGTTGCATGATAAGATCGAACACATTTTGCATAAGAACATTGAAAACACGCACCTTTTACTGAACGACAATACATACACCTCTGGATAAAATTAAACCATAATTTCATTAATAAAGTACTTACTAATCTAAAACGTGCTTTTTCTATCATATCTATCCCATGAACAATATCTTTTGATAACGTTGTATTATATACAATATACGTTTCGGGAATATATAATGCACAAATTTTATGAGATAAATTTCCACAATTTGTTGATATTAGTGGCTCTTCAATAGATTCATTAGGACAAAGAATACACTAAAGTATTATTAAAAAATAACTGATATAAAGAAGAAACATACGCAATTTATTTTCTTGTTATGGACTTTCTTATGCTTTTTTAATTCTTTTATTTTCATAGATACCTTTTTGTTGGCTTTACGTTTTTTGGAGCTTTCATATTTTTCTTCTGAAATATAGTTAAATAGAATAAATAATTTAGCTATATTTTTACTACCATGATTAGCAAACATATTCTCTATTGCATCATCTACATTGATATGAACAGAGTCCGGAATACATTTACATCTTTGTGCATTTCTGCCAATACTAAGCCAACTATGAGGAGCAAAATTTACACTTTCAGCACAATTATAACCAAGATTATATCCAGAATGGTAACCATATGGAAATGTTATTACAAATTCTCCTTGATGTTGTACAAGACGATTCACATAAATATTATTTTGTGCTAAAACAGAGGGCGATACACTAAACGTTTTGTGTCTTAAAAATTGAGAACATACTTTATAATCATTTGGAAAAATTCCTTTGTAAATTATATCAGTTTAACAATTAAATAATAGATAAGTAACTACTTCTCATAATATTTTCAAATCGAGAAGCATCTTTTTGACATATTGAATACCATTGTTTCGGTGCACCAAAATGAAGATAGTTTATAGAATATAAGTCCATATCCTATATACTAATTAAACCCGATAACGTATATTTAATAATTTACCTCTACATGCCAAAAAAAAGTAGCTTTCCACATTCCTAAATAAAGGTAAGAGGAATTGACACCTGGCAAAATTATGCCCATTTTATTTAAAATATTATCAAGATTAGCTACGTTCCATTCTTTAACAGATTCATCAAATAATGAACCTAAATTAAAACAATTAATGACAAAATAAAATGGTGCTTATTTCTTTACCAGGCATATCTGCTCCATACAATGGATTATTATAAGTTATTGTTTTCCAATAAATGCGCTCAAGTTCTTTACATCTTTCTATTGTATATTCTTCTGCATTTGTAATTTTATAATCAAAACCATTAAAATCATAATTATCAGTTTGGTTAATTTTATTCATATTTTTTAATAATACTGCTTTTTTATTTTTTTTCTTTGATGTTTGCAAGTCTTCAATTTTTGATTTTTCTTTTAACTCTTCCATATTATTATCAATATTCACTTGTTCCAAAGAATCATTAAACTCTGCATTATCTTTTTTAACAAAAACATCACAATGCATAGGCGTTATTAATTCATTTTCATTCTTAAGAGTACTTGATATTCCTTTTTTTATTTGTTCCTTTTCTGATAAACCATTAATTGGAATCTTATGAGACAATTCTAATGTAGATGAATGACTAGTTGAAACCATATTTTCTTTTTTTTTAGACTTATAATTACTGTATATCGTTTTTCTAATTTCACCTCTACGAGCAGGTGGAAGATGATCCGGGCTTTCGCATAGTTTTCTCCATTTAGGAAGATTATATGTTTGTCTTTTTTCAAGATTTGTTTGTCGAAAACAACCATTATTTCCGACAATATGTTGCTCAATAGGATTTCTTAAACGTATACTTTTTATTTTTTCTCTATAATCAGGAAGTTTTTCTAGCCTAAAATATATTTTATAAACTAATGAAGTCAAAAACAAGATTACCATTCATTTGGAGGAATAATCTTAACAATCCCTGTCGTCATGCCATAAGAATCAATAGATTTTACAAATCTTTTGAAACAATGGAATTGTTCCATTGTCTACATAATTATTATTATCTATTTTCAAATTCTTAAAAATAGGTTTATTTACCGGCTTAAAAACAGGGATTTTCCCATTATCATAGTAATGATCAGGAAATATGTCTTTAAGCACTTCTTCACTTTCATCTTCTATTTTTTCCTTCAAAAAAACCTTTTCATCTAAATTTTCTGCTTGATGATAGTTATCTATAACTTCTTTTTGCTATTTCAGTCAAAAATCGTTGAATTTTTTTAGTTTTTTTTTAAAAAAAACCTCTTCCATGAACTTCTTTAATAAAAATTATGAGTTCTATATAAATCTGTTACTTTTAACCGTATTTTTTTTGAGAAATTTATTAATTTAAAATTAGTCGATACTTGTCGAATCCGTGAAAATCCAGATATCATACGTTATCAGTATTTAAATATATTTAAATAATCAAATTTTAAAATTTTTCATAAAAAAATTATAAACTTAATGAAATTATTTTTATTTATTACAATTTTTTTCTAGAAGAAAAAAAAACTAAATATTTACCAATTAAATTAAAAAATAAAAGTAGCAATGAAAATGCATAAAAATAAACATTTTTGTTAAACTTAGATATTTTCCAGGAAAAATAGGCTTTTTTTCATATATAAAAGTACAAGAAATATTTGACTAAGCAACTTTTCGTTTGAAATATATAATAATTAAATATTAAAATTTAATTATACTATTTTTAAAAGTCATCTATGAAATGTACAAGTCCTATATGTTTTTTTTAATTTTTAAAAATATTCGTTTTACTACTTCTAAATATTTTACAATAAAACATAAATTTGAAAGAATCTTAAAAAACTTGATTTTAGGGTTAATGTGTTAGAAATTCTAAAGAATCATCGATGGAAAAATAGAATTTAAAAATGTTTCTATCTAATATTCTATCTTCTTTAAAATCCTTAAGATACTTCTATTAAAAAATATAAGCCATAGTTTTTTGTTTTTAAACAACTCCGCTGTATTTTTCCAACCAAATACAAAACATAACAAACTACAACGAATATTTAAATATCTTTGAATTCTTAATTCTTTGTCAATATTTGTTAAAAGCAAAAAGAAAAAACAGGTCATTCTGCTATAGCGTTTCCATCCCAACTCATAGCATCTCCCTCATCTGTATTCATCCCCAAATCAATCTCCAGAGTCCTTTGTCTCGAATGCCCAAATGGACTCATCATAATACCAATGCTTGATTCTACTAGCTGTCTTCTTTGGTTGCGAGACTGCTGAAAACTCTGAAAACTACCCTCAAATTCATCTGATTCCTGCTCAGAACTCACTGCTTCAGGAATAGCCGCATCTAAATCCACCTCATCAACATCTTCTAGTCCTCCTTCTCCAAGAGACGGGTCTTCCTGGTTGATTTCTTCATCTTCGTCTACATCTTCATTCATCGCCGATTCAAGCTCTTCCTGCTCATGAATCGTTTGCTGTATCCCTACTGGCCTTATCCATGTAGATCCAAATGATCTTATCACCCTTTTCTATTCTTTATAAGCTTTTTTTCCTTTTTTTTTTAAAAAAAAATACCTTGTTTTCATATTCTGCTTCATCAAGATCTAATTGAGATTTTCCACTTGGATTTCCTGATTCTACCAACAAATGGCACGGTTTATACCATAGAGAATGAAGATCTTGCGGCAAAAATGATGGCAAAACCAGAGGACCCATAGAGATTCATAGCAATGTTATCATGCTGTGCTCTGTGATTTTATCTACGGTATCACGTGACTTTCATGTGACTTAATACAGAGGAGACGAGAAAATATAATGGAGATGCCTACTGGGATGGGTTAAAAGAGTTTTTATGCGTCTAAAATATAGATATACATATATATTGTGCAATAATTGTATATTTTTTAATATTATGTGACCCGGGTATAGTAAATGTGTACTGAGAGATAAATACAAGTTAGATGAATGGATGGTGTTTAGTAGATGTATTGTAGAGATTTCTTAATGAAAACGGTTTTTTTTTCTTGCAGCCTTTTACGTCTTTAAAACAGAAGCTGTTTGCCGTGTTGCTATAGGCTTAACCGTGCACTTAGAAAAATTACGGTAACATTAACGTCTAAAAATCAAAAGGTGCAAAAACAAAGGGAAAAAGGAGTATTTTAGAGGAAAATGAATCCGGAATATGGTAAATAGAAGTACAAATATTGTATAAAAAGATCTTTTGACAGTTTTTGCTGTAGATTATTTATTTAAACTGTTATTAATTGGTGATTCGGGTGTTGGAAAAAGCTGCTTGTTGTTGCGTTTTGCAGATGATACATATACAGAGAGTTATATATCGACTATTGGAGTAGATTTTGTATGTTTTATTATTTTTCAAGTGAAAACAAAGGAATATTAATATTTGTAATGTAGAAAATCCGTACGATTGAGCTGAATGGAAAAACAGTGAAACTGCAAATTGTATGTTTACTAGTGGTATTTTTTCTGCTTGCAGTACTTATTTGTTTTTTCCTTTAGTGGGATACTGCTGGACAAGAACGTTTTCGGACTATTACATCATCCTATTATCGAGGAGCGCATGGGATTATTATTGTTTATGATGTGACAGATCAGGGTGAGCCTTTACAAAAACAACACTTATTGTGACGTGTGTAACTTTTTAATGTAGATACTTTTAATAATGTCAAACAATGGCTTCAAGAGATTGATCGTTATGCTTGTGAATCAGTAAACAAGCTTCTGGTTGGAAATAAGTCTGATATGTCCGATAAAAAGGTCATCGACTATACTACTGCAAAAGTACTCTTTTCTACTAAGCCGTCTGTTTTATTTCTAATTTCTCAAAGGAATATGCCGATGGGCTCGGCATCCCATTTCTTGAGACTTCCGCAAAATCTTCTGTTAATGTCGAACAGGCTTTCCTCCTCATGGCACAAGATATAAGGGTATTTATTTCTCCACGTTTCTTCATATTGTCGCTGATTTTTGTTCCTGTATAGGATCGTATCGGCGCAAACGTTACTACTTCCACCGAAAAACCTTCTATCAGAGTCGGTCACGGAAGTAATATGCAGCAAAATGCTTCTTCCTCTTGTTGCTGAATATACTTCATTCTGTTTGGAAAATCTTGCATATTTCGTTTCATAACTTGTTTTTCATCATTCTTATTTTATCAATGGTTTATGGACATTATTACTACTTTTACTGTTTTTATCAAATTACCATATCTCTTTCTTCCACTTCTACCCCTCCTCCATACATTCTAATTTCCTTGTTCTCCTTCTTATTTACTCCATTCTCTGTATTTTTATACGTTCCCTCTCCTTATACACTTCATTGAATATTCTCTCCTATCTATCGGAATTACAGTGGCTTATTTAAAAACCCAAGTAATGCTTGATTTTTCGTATAAATTACCAAATAATAAGAAACAAAAAGCAGTTATACAAGATGATGAAGATTCTTTGCTTGAAGCAGATTTAAATGCACGAAAATCAGATAAACGGAAGGTTTGTACTGAAGGTATGTGTATTTCTGTTTTTGAGCGATAAAATAAGGATTTATATTGACATATAGATAGGATATGACTCAGATTCATCAAATGAAGGGTTATATAGGGAGCCAGAAGGAGCAGGAACTGCAAATGCAGCAGATAATGGAGATATAGACATGTTTGAAGAAAATACACATATCCACCCGGAAAATGAAAAACTAGACGCAAACAATGGGCGTATATACCCAGAAGATAAGCCAAAAAAAGCACCAAGATTTATAGAATTGCATGAAATTGAAGGACAAGACTTTACATCCACGCAGGAGTTTATTGATATTCTTGATGAAGATGATGAAAATGATGATGACTTTGATCCAGAGTTAGGTGCAAGTGGACGCAAGAAAAATCCACCGAAAATTGAAGCATTTAATATGAAGACGGATTTTGAGGAAGGACGTTTTGATGAAGATGGGAATTATATAAGAAATGCACCAGATTTGAATTCTAAACATGATATATGGCTTGAAGGAATTAAACGATCTGATATTGTTAAAGCACGAGAAGCAATGGAGAAAAAAGAGCGAGAGCGGCAGCAGCAGGAAGTAGAAGAGGAATTGACACTGGAAAATATGTATGAAGAGTTATTAAAGCTTCTCGAGACGGGAGAAAGTGTTTTGGAGGCACTGCAGCGTCTGGGCGGGGGGATGACTCAAAAGAAACGATGGACGAGTAAAAATAAGAGGAATGTAATGCAAGAAGAAATAAATGAGGAAAAATGTAAAGAAATGGAAAAAAAGCATCAGGAAATTGAGAAGATTACAGAGCTGGCAAATAAATTGATGCAACGTGGACATAGTGAGATATATGATATGACACGTGAAACAATAGCACGTGAGTATCAAAAAGAAACAGGTAATGCATGGAAAAATCCGAGAAAAGAAGAGAAAGAGGACTCGAAGTATGAATACAGATGGGAAGGAAAAGACGAGGTGTATGGACCCTACGAAAGACATCAAATTAAAGATTGGCATAAGCAAGGGTTTTTTACAGAGCAAAAAATTGAAATACGGAAACAAGGAGACCAGGTCTTCCAAAGCTTGGAATATTTTGGGTTTTCATCTACAGCGTAATATGTTTAATGATTTTTATGATTAAATACAATGGATATATTGTTCAAAAAGTAAAAAATTACTAATTTTTTTTGGAAATGTTTAAATTCTAATGAGGAATTTAACAAAAATAATACATTGAGATAGTCATGCAAATGTTTTTAATAGTGCATTACACATATTTCATGTTTACGGGACTTAGATGTTCATTGGGCTAGTTTGATCTATTTCTCCAATAAAATCATTTTCTGATATATATTGCTGGGCATATTCTTCCAAATACTGAACGCTTCTCGCCTGGTCCAAAAATAATGTATAGCTTTTCTGGATGTCTTCGATATCTATCTGCAATGACTTTCTTTTTTGTGCTATAAAATGTGCAGTAGCAATCAAATGAATGCTATAACGGATTGAAGTCTCCTGTCCTATTTTTGTCAAAAGACTTAACGCATCTGGAGTAATTTCAACATCTTCTTCTTGGCATCTAACATTATATGAATCAATTACTACGGATAAACATTTTTTATACCTTATATGCAAGATTTGTCTAATTTCATCGGCTGTATACTGACGGGTTGAAATAATAAGCATCCTGTCAAGAAAATCCAAAGGAATACCATGAGGGCTCTTGTATTTTGTTCCCCGGATACGAGCAATGCCTCTGTTACTCGCCATAATAACAATGGGCGAAAGATCATCTTCTAAAGCCCTATTCAAAAAGGAAAAACATTCTATGTCAAGCATGTGAACTTCATCAATGAAAAGGACACCTGAACATATCTCGGCCTTTCCTTCTTCTTTCCATTCGTTTACTTTTGTATTTATTTGGTCTCGGACTTCCGACGGGATCTCACCTGTGTCTCCAGAAAATAATGCAAGAAACCCTTGAGATCTTGAATTGATCACATCTATTTCATGCAAAGAAACCATATGAACAACTTCTTTTCGCTTCTGAAGCTCTCCTTCTGGGCACTGGACAAATTTGGTGTCCGATCCCACTGCATCATAGTCTCTTGCTCTTGCAAATGAACACCCAAGCTTCGAAATCTTACCAGACGCTTTGTCAATCATAATAACATCCCCTGCAATTACTTTTTCCTTTGTAAGTGCATCAATCATCTTATTCCCCAAATCATACACTGTCTCCATATCCGTCGTCTTCATAATCATCTTTCCACGTTTGTTACCCTACCATTCATATTAAAACTCTTTTTTTATATTTTCTGCTCTGTTTTCTCTTACTCCCGTAATTGATCGGTCAATCTGGATTTCTACCACCTCTCCTTCAATAATTTCGGATTCTTCTTTAATTTTTACACCAATGCTTCTACGGAATGCCTGAACTAACGCCTCTGTCTTACTCATTTCCAGTGAAAAGATCTCTGATGCCGAAATCATCGTAAAAGGGACCTCTGATCCAAGACTTTGCGCCAGACCTCCTCATATAAGCTTTTTCTCAAAAATAACCGCAAAAAACACTAACCCATTGCTATAGCTGTCTTCCCCGTGCTAGGAGGACCTGAAATAAGGATGGCCCGCCCTGCAATTTTCCCTTCTTTGATCATCTGTAGCAAAACTCCTGCTGCTCTACGTGCACGCTCCTGTCCAACCATTCCATCAGCGGATGCCCGGGCTTCTAGGCAATCATCCAGGCCTATTCCTCGTATATGAGAGTGTTCTCCTACTCTTTCAAGCTTTTGAAGGACTTTTTCAGATGAAAGAGTCATATTTTGAATATTTTATATTTTTTGGAGGTTAAGAGGTGAAGAGAAGTCGAGATTAAGAAAACGTCAAGAAAAGGGAGAAGTTAAAAAGAAGTATAAAGAGATAAAAGGAATAGAAATAATGGAGAAAAAAAAGAATAAACAGGTTAGAAAAGACTAGATTAAGTAGTGTGTGTTTTTTCCGCTTTGAAATACGTGATGGATTTGTGGCAAACATGCCCAAATATGTTTTGTGGAAATGAGATGCAAATAGTCTTTGATCGGGGTTTGTGAGCACCAATTTAGACGTAGAAACATTTATCTGATGAAGCATTAGCAAGGGTTTCTACATTGGATCTTTTGACGCTTGATCCGATTGAAATTTCGAGGAAAACATCAATGACGGTGATGGAGGCAGAAGAATTGATATGTAGAGTTGTAGAAGGGTGTATTCCGAAAGTGCAGAAGTTTCTTTTAGAAGAAGAGAAACAGTTTTTGACGACGGGAGACCGAGTAATTGATGGAGTTCTTTCTGGAGGTATACCGTTGGGCCATGTTATAGAAATTGCGGGAGAAAGGTAGATCAGTGTGAGGAGGAGTATATATGTATGACAGAGCTATAGTGGAACAGGAAAATCTCAGTTCTGCATGCAGCTTTGCTTGACAGTCCAGTTGCCACGGGTGCTTGGTGGGCTTGAAAGAGGGGCAATCTATATTTCTACTGAAACAGGACTTTCTACAAAAAGGCTCTTTGAAATGGCTCAGGGACTAACAAACCGGCTTAAACAAGAATATCCAGATGTTGATCTATGCTTGGATGGGGTGGGTGATCGAGTATACTGTGCAACATGTGTTGATCTTGAAGAGCAAGATCATATTATTCATTTCCAGCTGCCAGTAGCGTTAGAACGATATAATGCTGGACTCGTTGTTTTGGACAATATAACTACTCATTACCGTGCAGAATATGATATTTCAAAAGTATACAGTCAAACAAAAACAACAAATAATACGGCAAAATCTGGTTTAGTTGATCTCGTGAATCGAAGCAGAGACTTAGTACGGTTAGGAGCCCATTTGAGGTCGCTTGCAAGCAAACATCACTGTGCTATTATTGTTATTAATCAAGTTTCTGACAAGATAACATATAGTACAGAGACACTTTTGGATCTCAATTATCAAGGTGCATGGTTTCAGGGCTGGAGTCATGGAGAATACCCATGCAAGGTACCATCTCTTGGCTTTGTATGGTCGAATAATATTCATTCTCGGATTTTATTGTTGCGTTCTACACTTTATGAGATTTCACATATGTCTCCATCTCGTGCACTGCGGATTGTGTTTTCACCATTCTGTGCACCAGCACAAATTGATATTGAAATTAGGTACGAGGGTATATTTTCAATTCAAACTGTTATGCAATAATTATATATTTATATATTTTTTTATAAACATTCTTTTGAATTTGGTAAATCCGTTTCGCTGAGAGACCGACATGTCGACGGTTTACAAATGTCATATAGGAAAAAAGGCAAAAAAACATGTTAAATTTAATTCTAAGCATATAAAAAACAATGGATATGATGCAGAAAATGAAGATGTTTCTAAAGAAGCAGATGATCTGTCAGGATTTAAAAAAATTCGGCAAAAAGTGCTTGTTTTATCATCTCGAGGAATTACTTTTAGGTAGAAAATGTTTTTTAACATATAAATATTCAATAATTTAATAGACAACGACATCTTATGAAAGATCTTGTAGACATGTTGCCTCATTCAAAAAAAGATACAAAATTTGATATGAAATCGAAACTTTATCATTTGAATGAAGTAGCTGAGCTTTACAACTGTAACAATATTATGTTTTTTGAAGCGCGTAAACACCAAGATCTTTATATTTGGATGACAAAAGTGCCTAATGGACCTACGGTTAAGTTTCATGTACAGAATGGTATATTTGTTATTTTAAAAAATAAATAATTTATTTTATGAAAAAGCTCATACGATGGATGATCTCCATCTTACCGGAAACTGCTTGAAAGGTTCACGTCCTATTCTTTCCTTTGATGCTGGCTTTGATATGGAGCCACATATGAAACTTGTAAAGGAATTATTTTCTCAGGTATGTGTTTTTGTATTTAAAGAATATTGGTTGATTTTGGCTTAGATTATGGGAGTTCCAAAAGGTTCTCGGAAGAGCAAGCCATTTATTGATCATGTTTTAACATTTTCTTATGCTGATCATAAAATATGGTTTAGAAATTATCAAGTACTTATTATTTATATTGACATGTTCGTATTGATTTATTGATTTTACAGATTGTCGAAAAAACACCTGGAAAAAAGGTTTCTTCATATTCAGATACAGATATATCACTTGTTGAAATTGGACCTCGATTTGTGTTAACTCTTATTTGTGTTTTGGAAGGCTCATTTGGAGGGCCCGTCATTTACGAAAATAAGGAATTTATGTAAGGAATTTCTGAAACATTATTTAGTTTCGCTTATTTGTCTTAGAACTCCTTCAAAAATGCGTTCATTTATAAGAAAAGAAAAATTAAATAAATATCATAATCGTCAAATTGCAATGGCAGAAAAGTCCATAAAGAAAAAGGAAAACGTATTACCAGTAAACCCTTTGAATAACAATGTTTTGTTTAAAGACTGAAATTGGTATTAAAGTATCTTATATATTAAGGTTTAATTATTTAATTTTATTGTTTTTAAACTTGATAAAGTATTTAAATGCCAAAAAATGACTTAAAATGATTAAAATAATTTAAGAATTATAATTACATTGTTACATTTTAGAAAATATCATGCAAAACTTTTTTTTGAAAATCAATTTGTTTCTGTTTCATCATGAATACCTCTAACTACTTCCATAGATTTTCGTAAAGTTACAAGATCAATAAATTTATATTGAACAAGGTTAAGGAGATGTTTCCAAAATTCATTAATTAAGTTTTCTGCTTGAAGAATATTTTTATGAGAATATACGAATCTCATTATTGAGTCAGGAAGATGACAACGTCCAATAGGTCTGCATAATTAAAAAAAAAATTATATAATAATTTATATACCTGTCGTTGATTATAAATCTATCCCAAAGTTTCATAAAAGCTTTTTCTGATACTGTTATATCCATAAAATCATCCAATATCTAAACTAATTAAACTATGATGGAATATGTAGTAAAGATTTTACATCCTCATGTCTCTGAATTAACCATGTTTCGTCAACATCGTCTTCGGATTCGGAAAGTATTTCTCCTGGAATGATTTTTCTTTTTGATACAGATCTGTAAAGATTATTTAAATTAGGTGTTACGAATCTTCGTCTAATCTTATTTTTAGAAGGCCAACGTAGCTGTGTATTTCGTTTAGGTTTTACGTTTATCGGTACTGATTCATTTTGCTCAACATCCATCCCAAGCATTATATTATGAAATAAAATTGATTTTCCATTATCCGATAAAATGTTCTCTACATCATGTTTAAATTTTACATGTCTAATCCATTGAAAAACTCTAAAATCTACTTTTTGTTCACTTATTCGTTTAAACGGATATTCACTTGCTAATTTTATCTCAAATTGTAAAAAATTAGACCGATTAACCTCAAGTTTGAAAGAAAAAAGCTCATGATTCATTAAGAAATGAAAATGAAGTCGTTGTCTTGTATGGAAATTCTTCCCTCGACACCATGGACATTGGAAATCTTCCCGCATGGAAATCCTCACAACTGTTTCATTATTCTCTTCTGCCTTGAAAATATATGAAATTTTAATTTTTTCATCAACATTTAAAGGCTGATGCTTCACCATAGGTTTTGACCTTAAAGATATTTTCGAATTCAGATCTAATTTCGTATCTTGAAAAATCTCGCCAATAAAGCACATATTCAAAACATAGTCTGTTTGTTGATGGTCCCCATTTCCATTGAAATACAATACATTGAAATTATTAGTTATTTTGTCACGTGGAATATTAAAAGTAACATAAAAAAAAGTGCCTTTTTTTATCTCCTCATGACCCAAAACATTCTGAAGCTCTTGAGAAATACTCTTTGATTCATTTATAACATCTCTAACACCCGACATAAAGGCAACATCATTGTCGCTAATACTGAAAATCAGCTGCCCTTTACAAACACGATTAATTGTGATACCGCCTTTTGTTTTTTTAAAAATTGAATACGGCATCTTGAAAGGCTCTTCTGCATGGAATTGCAAATTTTCCAGAGTGTCAATAATGCCGTTTCCATGAACTTTTTTCTGGTACAAACGTTGCCCGTCTAAACAAAATATAAAAAGTGTTGCATAAAATGAAAAAGACATAGAAAATCCCCACTTCTTCGCTCCCCCCGCTTCATAATGTTAATACCGTTTATTTAACATCATCAAATATACGTATTTTCAAATGGCTCATGTAAATTCTCCATATAGCAGCATTTTTCACATTAATTTCTTTTTCAAACACAAATGAGTCCAAATGCCTTCTTTTTTGTGTCTGAAACAATGATAATTCTTCCTGAGACGTACTCTTCTTATGCAAATAATTCAAATTTCGTGCAAGATAAAGAGGCTTATTTATTAGTTTTTTATGATGAGTTTTAAAATGCTGAAAACTTCTACCTGGCGATATTGATGCAGAAAAAAATATAGGGACGTATTTCCTTAGAGTTTAAGAGCTATTTCCATATGATTTATGCCATTTACCTGTGAATTGCCTCGCAAAAAGTGATGTTTCATCATCCATTATTTTTTTGTCGTTACTTTGACGTTAATCGTTGCACGATTCTCCAACGCTCAGATACTGTTTATCTAAAAATATATACTATACATTATACATATTATATATGTATTATATATATAATGTGTATAATGTATATGTAATATGCATATAATACGTATATAATGTACATATAGCACGCAAATAGTATATATATAACGTGTATATATACGCATATAATCGTGTATATCACTGCATGCTCTCAGTCCATATATACTGTATATAATACACATATAATACATATATATAATATGAATATATATTTGTATATATATACTGCAGATATATATTGCATATAATATACATTTTTCTTGTCAGTATTTGTCGATCTCCGGTTTTTGTGTATATATTCCAGCGTACTCCGGTGTATACATTTAGTTTTTGACGCATACATCTTGTAATTTCCACGCATATATTCAGTATTTCCGTGCATATATCTAGCGTTTAGACGCATAGTTTCTGTATTTTCACTTTTTACGCAGTTTTCCACCTCCCATGTCCAAACTATATCCACGTCGGACGCTCAAGGCAATTCTCAAAGCGCATACTCCACGCCGGCGACTTGCAAAGAATATTGATGTTTTGGTGTGTTCTGCCTGTTTTATTTTTGTTTTTGATACATAAAAGGTTTATCTCGACTATCTTTTATTTCTCAGTGCACTTGTCCGTGCTGCTACAATGCATGCACGACAAGCTGGCGAAAAGACTTTACGTGCACCATATATACAGAAAACTGCTCAGGTATGACTTTGTGTGCTTATATGCGCTAATCTGTGAGCAGCCAATTCTCGACAGATTTCGCGGGTAATCTTTAGCAAACAAAGCATTCACTATAATGTATATACTTTTATATTTTATACACACGTTATACATGCTTATACGTACTTATACACATTTATATATGTTATGTATGCATTATATATGCTATATGCATACACTATATATACACTATGTATACACTATCTATGCCTTTATGCCTTTGCATTCTATAAATGTTATACGTTATATATACACCCTTATGTACTCTGCACTCTGCATAATATGCTGTGCTATATGTGCTGTGCTATATATGCTACGTATATTATATATACTATGTGTATTATGTATACTACATATACTATGCGTACTATCTATACTGTCTATGCTATGTAACTATATACTCTATGTATGCTATACACTTATCTATGTTGTCCATGCTATATATACAGTATACACATTATACTCGTTATGTGATATACGCTGTACATGCACATTGTACGCATACGTATGCACGTATATATATACATACATATATATACATAGATACACTAATACACTAACACATAGATACACAAATATGCACAGATACATACACACATAGACGCATATCCATACATAGCTAGACATATCCATGTATACTCACGTATATCCTGTCTATGCTGTGCCTCGCTGTATAGAGATCTGCTGTTGCGCCAGAATATACACCAATGTGTATTGTGTATATAGTATATACAGTGTATGTACACTATACATACTGCATACACTTCACTGCATTGTATACACTATATACAGCATATACACTGTATATACTATACGCGCCGTATATACGATATATACTATATATACATTCTATGTATACTCTATCTGTATTCTATGCTCTGTATGCGTCATATATACGGACTGTATGTGCTATATATACACTGTATATACTGTATATACAGCATATGTCTGTTATATGTCTGTTATATGCATTATATATGTTATATATACACTATATACACTATATATGCGTTATACATGCACTATATACACCGCATACACTCTCTTCATTTATTTTCTCTACAACACACTCACTTCGCTAGCAAATATATATATTTCCGTTAACTCGCTTTTTTCCTCAGCTTCGCTCAAACTCGTGCAATGACGAGCGATGCAACAGAAAATGAGTATATTACAGCAGTTTACCGGCGATTACGTGCATATCTTAAAAAAAAGGTCAGTTCTTTGCGTTAAATCTGTATTACTACCATATTTCATCAGTATAATGTCTTTTGAGCGGCATTTCCCCGTGCTTTGTGTGTTTTTGAGCATTATTTTTCAAAATCTTTCAAAATCCATCAGTAATATTGATATCCCAATAGGCACGTTTAGATAGAACACAAGAGCAACAAGCAAGCGGTATACAGTTAAATGATGATCAACTTGCTCTAGTTCGTAATAAAGATCAAGTTCTTGCACCACTTAAAGAGCTTGAAGCACTTGCAGCACATTTTGCATCGCTTTCAGCAAAAGAACAAAAATTAAATGATAAAGTAAAAGATATTGAAGCTATTGATGGCTTAATAGAAGCCCAGGAAGCCCAGAAAATAGGGCAAAGCATGTTTTTAGAAGAAATAAAAAGCCCAGGGGTTCCAGAAGGATCTGGACAGTGTATTGGACAAGGAATTGGAAAAGAGTTGGTATGGATGTTAGTACGGTTTTTACGGCATGCAAGTATTACACGACATGTGCCAACTGGACAGGCAGCGTATGATGCAGCGGTAGAACGAGTACTGCAGCAAGTTTATGAAGCAGATTTAATGGCAGTGAATGTGGTGGAAAAGTTGTATATGGGAGTGGATGAATGTATTGACGAGAGTGAGACGGTGACGTGTGCGTTGGAGGAGTGGTGGGTGTGTGGCTGATGCGGGTAGATCGGCAGATGCGACAACAGATTGAGCTGCAAACGCAGCAATTACAACAGGAACACCAGGAACAGATGAATCCGGAAACGAAAGAGGCATTGATGCAAACGAAAGAGCAGCCAACACATTTACCATCGCATACCGTTGAATCGGCGCTGCAACACCATTTATTAGGGCCATCACACCCACCACAATCGTTGCAAGCCATGTCGATGGTACCAGCGACGTTAACGACTTTGGATAACAATACATATGGGATGGAGACACCTCAGGTGTCTTCTATGCAGCAAATGGCTTACGGTAAAACGACAGTTGGTGCGCCAGTATCAGCGATGAGTGCTACAGCAGCGATTACACCGGGAGCGGAAGGTGTTGGGTTGGTTGGCGGTGTTTCTATGGGCGTAAATGATAATAAATTACGAAGACCGTATGAGCGGATTAGTTTTTTAAACAAGAGTGAAATTGAGGGTGGTTTTGTCGGATAAATGACTGTGTGGTGTTTCTAATGTTTTTAGATATGCCGTTGAAGGATTCAATCGAGACGAATTATCCACAAGTTCCAATGGACACGTTAAAAAATGTGCTTTATAACCATTATCCGGTTGAGGGAGGAGTATTTTCGGCACCAATGCACTATGGAATGCCGGTTGCGCCGTCTTTATCCTCTGTATCGTGGGAGGAGTCGCATGCAATGAATCATCCTACAGCAGTACATTGGAGTCCGGAAAAACATACGCCATTAGTGAGTTTTGAGGTTCCACCAACAGAAAATACAGTCCGAATGGATGGACAGAATAGATCGGTCCCAAAGAACAAAGGTAGAGGTCGAGGACGTGGTCAGGGACATGGAGAAAATCGTTTGAGGGGTACTTTTTATGGTAGAAATAATGAACATCTTGGACGAGGGCGTCGGATCAAGGAAGGGTTTGAACACAAAGATCAAATGAATCTCGGTATATCTAAGAAGGATACATACGGCATTGAACAGAATTTTAGAAACGGATAAGTTGCTAATTTTGTGTTCAATAAGATGTTGTAAATATATGAATAAATAAAGGATATTTAACTGTTATTTTTGTATACAATACTGGAGTTTTGGTATTTAAAAAATATGTAGATAGTTATTAAATACAAGGGTTTCGGTTCTTCCTATCTAATCTTGAAAAAAGACATGGTATTTGTTTTATTTAGAAATATTAAAATGTTTTATAATGAAACATTTTTCAAATTATATAAACGGTCAACGATGAAACCAACGTCAATGGTTTAACAAAAAAAATAATTAATAAAAAGTAAAAAAAATGTTTAAAGCGTAGGAAAAAACATTTAAATTTAACAGGTTCATATTTTTTTCATTTCTTTTACTATTTGGATGCTTTTTTCCGTTAAAAATAATGGGAAATTCGGATCAAAATCAAAAAAAACATGAACGAGTTTTGTTTGATGAGATTGATTATGAAAATAAAGAAGGTATTTCTAAATTATATATGTAAATATGCTTTTTGATTCATATTTTTTTGCTTTAATAGCTTTAAACGCTGCTAAAAACTATGCAATTCGAGAAACATGGATTCGAGCGATGGAAATGCGATTAGTAAGAGAAGAACTTGACAAATGTTATAAAATAGAAGGTGTTAACCACTATGAGAATTGCCGTGAGCTCTCTGATCGCTATTGGAAAATGCTACGGCAGGACTATAAAGTAAAAGGATATTTGGCAGATGAACGAATGATCAAAGATCTTTAATCATTTTACAAGTATTAATTTTATATATTCTTTATGGAGATTTATCACTTCTTAAATTGTAACTTAGAAAATAACATCTGAGTACATTAAGATGTTAAGTTCTATAGATAAAAGTAAAATACTGTTATACTTGTATTGGTTGCGTTGATTCTCCATTAGTTGTATCCTGATCTCTGCGAACGTTTCTACTTCTAGGACCCTGGTATTTCCCGCGTAATCCACCTCTTCCTTTTCCACGTCCTTTTCCGTATTTTCTTGCTCCTGGTAATTGAAACTGCCCAAATGTTTCCATATTTTGATTTCTTTCTTGATCACGTCTTGCTCTACTATTTTCTTTTTCTTTATTTTCAATACGTTCTTTATTTTCGCAGGATATATTATCAAAGAAAGACCTCTTGCTGTCATAGTAACTCTCTTTATGACAAACAACTGGATTGTTTGTATCATTAGTTTCCCGATCGTTTGAGAGCTTTATTAACTCTTCTTTGTTGAATTTAGAATTCCAATGTGTAAAATCAAACTCTTCCTTTGGTATATTGATTACTTTTGACGGCTTACGAACATGCGTATGTCCATTATCACGTCGTTTTCCATAACGATGTGTTAAATGAGTGCCTGTATTTGATAATTGATTATTTTGTGATTCTAAAGATTTCAAAGCATTAGAATATGATGCTAAACTCAAAACTAAATTTACCTGTATCCAATTTTGATATCTTGTCTGTTATGTTCTGAATATCAGAAAATATTTCATTATTCATCGTAGAAACAGTAGATGTAGATTGAGCTTTAGGTGAACCAGCAAATGACGTTATATTTTTGTGATTTAGCATTCCGTTTTTCTTAGAACTTGTATCATGTGCAACTGAACTTCTTAATCGTGTTGGTAGAGGCATAGCAGGAGCTATAGATTCTTTTTTAGGTAATTTAGCTGACAAATGACTGGCATTGATTTCTACACTAGATTGTGTTGCTGGGAGAGAACATAACCGTGTATTCATTGCTGCAGAAGAAGTTTGAGATATCGGCATTTGCAAAGATTGATTAGAAGAATGATTCGGATTAATTGAATGTTCAGAAATATTGCTAACATTATCGTAATAAGATGCCATAGATGTTCCTGTCTGAAGACCTGAAGGCATATCGTATCCTTGATAAGAAGAATATCTTTGGGTATTTGGGTAATGTTCGTTAGAAAAAGAATATCCTTGACGTGATTGAAGTGACGGGGGTGCAGTTGTCTATATTTAGTAAATTTATATCTATAAAAAAACTACTTGGAAATATTTCTAGGTATTTCAGATCCCATATCTTCATTTTTTGTGTATAAATCTATATTTTTTACACCGAAGAACATGGTTCCTGTTTTCCGTCCGTTTCATAAAAAAACTTTCTGTCTATATTTTAACTATCAAAAGTACATACCCTAAGTATAGCAGGATCGTTTGGTATCTGAAGAACAGTTTTAGGTGGGGCCGGTTCATCAATTCTCAGGTCTTTAACATCTGAGCCACGAAAAACAATATATTCAAAAATATTGTCTGATGGTGGAATTTCTTCCTTCGGATTTCCTCTACGGCCTTCTGTTCCATAAGAACGAACATTCTGAAGTGATATTGTAGAGTCTTTTGAGTTAATACTATGAAGAATCCCTGTATATCTGTCAAAATAATTTTCGTCAGAACTCCTTTTTAAACTGGCTATTTTTCGCCGTTCAAACGACATTTTCTACTTACCGTATATCACTTCGGCTTATTAATGAGATTTTACTGTCTAAATATTCCATTTTCTCTCTAATATATATATTTTTTTAAATTTTTAATGTTAAGAAATGACAGAATTTAAACGTTGGACGATTCGAAAAAATTTACTAACGTTATATATAATAGATAAAAAGAATTTCTTTCTTTTGAGAAGAATAGAATATTTTTTTGTATTAAATGATAAGAAATGTTTCTTTTTTGAATAGGAAAAACAGTATTTAGTGAAAGAACGGTTCAATGACGTATATTTTTGGAGATAAACGAGAAATAGTAAAAAGAAAGATTTGTAAAAATGTCCATTGAAATAGACACAAAACAACTGGATAACGAGTATTTCAGACCTTCTTCACCTGATCTATCTTCTAAAAATGCTATAGAGCATGAAGAGCCATGTTCTTTACAGGTATATTCATTAATAGGCCTCAGTTTTTATAAATATATTTATACACAATTTGGGGCAATTTTATGTAAAAACAGTCTCTGATTTTTGTTTTTAGTATCATTTTGATAATTTTTTCATGTGTTATACTTTAAAAAACCAATTTATTAATTATTATCGCTATGGTCAGCGTCCAGATTGTTCATCAAAATGGAAAGATTTTGTTTGGTGTATACGCACAAAAAACAAAGCTTTTGATGAACAACAAAATATGCTAAGAGATAAAAGGCTTCAAAAACATGCTGCTCTTAAATTGGGCAGAAATAGTGAAGAAGTTTGGTCATTACGCACTTCACCTCTTAACTCTCTCTTTGATCGCACTGATACATCTTCTTGTTCTCCCACATCCTAACAATTATTTCATTTATATATTATATATTTTGTTTTTATGTTTTTATGTATAATTTTTACTTTATGTTTTTCTTTTTTCTTACTTTTTCTTTGGTCTTCAACGACGTGCAATCTTTAAAGATGGAGAATAACCAGCAATATGATTTTTTAATTTATGGAACGGGCATATCCGAGTCTATTCTTGCATGGAAAGTGTTTTCTTTATTATATTTATATTAATTATGTTTCAGTGCTCTTTCAACAGAAAATAAAGTACTTCATGTAGATTCTAACAAGTATTATGGAAGAGATTTAGCAAGTTTAAGTTGGGACGAGCTTAAGAAATGGGTGGAAGTATTAGGGTCAAGTATGTTACATTTTCTGTATTTTTTTAAGGTTTAATATAGTTAGTCCGAGGTAATTTGAAAGCAATTACAGAAATAATGTTTAATGATATAAGATTCTGTTTACAGAGATGCAGAACTGGTTATAAATGATGAAGAATCTATGGATACATCTAGATCGTATTCTTTTAGTCTTTCCCCGTTTCTTATTTATTCTAAGTCAAAGATAATTGATTTATTTATTCTTTATAAGCTTCAGCCATATCTCGTATTTAGGTCATATAATTCTATGTTTATCTATAACAAATCTGCTGAAAACGTCTTTTTTGAGGTCCCATACAACAAAGAGATGATAGCTTTTCGTGAAGATATTGATTTTATATGGAAACGCAGGATTATGCGTTTTATTGAATTTATCTCAGATACAACATCAGCAAAAAGTCAAGAAATATTAAATGGTAATAATTGTAATATTCTAAAGTTTGTGTTAATGGCTTTTAGGTCATGATGATGACTTAATTATTGATTTTCTTTCGTCTGAGCCTTTTGCTTTATCTCCGTTATACATTGATATGTTTACATATGGTATTGCACTTTCTAATACGCCTAATATTACCGTTAAAGAGGCACTTCCAAAGGTTAAACAATTTTTTTCATCTTTAGGGATTTACGTGGACTTTTCAATATTAAATTGTTCATATGGTGCAGGATCTGAAGCGGTTCAAGCATTTTCAAGAAAAGCTTCATTGAATAATGCTACGTATATTTTAGGGAAACAAATTACGTCTTATAGTATTAATAATGAGGAAGTATATCCATTAACTGTTATTTTGGATAACGATATGGAAATTAAGTGCAAAAAACTTATCACATCATGTCAGGTAGGAACTTATAAGCCAAATTCTTTACTAGATGATCAGTTGTGTGTTCGTTCTATATGTCTTATTAAAGGTGATTTATCTCGAACACTTCAAAATAACTGTACTGCACTGTTTTTTTTTCCTCCTCAATCTTTAAATTCAAATAAATATCCATTGCAAATGATGATACATGGAAACATTTCTGGTGATTGTCCTAGCGGTCAATGTAAGTTGATTGTATTTTATATATTGGAAATGGCGTTAATCATGATAGATGTTATATATACACGAACTTTAGGCAACATTTCTGAAGAAAAGGATTCTATTTTATCTGCTATTCAAATAATAATCCATTCTGCTTCTATAAATGTTGAGGAAGGTTAAAAATCCTTTTTTAAAAATCATTTTTTCATCGTCTAACATTACCAGTCCCTAAAATCCTTTTTACACTCTTCTATTCTCAATGCGCTGTTGAAATTGTTTCATCTGATTCTCAAAATATTATTCCTGTGCAAAATATATCTTTCGATATTGATTTTAATCAAGAAACTGACAATGCTAACCAAATTTACAAGCTTTTATTAAATAAAGATATCTTTTCTTCATAAATAGTGTCTGATACAACATCTATTTATTTATATTTATTCCTTTTTTTATTCGACTTATTTTTCAGCTATTTTTTTACTCTACGGAAAAATAATGTTTTTGTTTTGATTCTTCAAATTCTTAAAAAATAGATGTTTTTCTTTTTTGGCATTGTTTTTTCTTTTTTATATATTTTTTCTTTAGGTTTATAGAACTTGCTAGATGTGTAAGTAAAAATTGTCGATTTTCGAAAATTTAAAAGTAAAAAACCTGATAAATTATATTCAAAAAACTCAAAAATGAATCATCCTTATTGTTCATTAGGCCTTAGAAGAGGCAAAAGGTTGTTTCATTTTATGAGACAAAGAATCAATCAGCAAAGGCTTTATTCAACAAAAGAATTAAAATTTGGACAAGATGTACGATCTTCACTTTTGAACGGTGTTGAAGTATTAGCAAAAGGTTTCTACATGGTTATATATTATTTCTTGTATTTATAAAGGGGTATAGCTGTTTCTGTTACATTGGGACCGAAAGGACGGAATGTTCTTATTGAACAAAGTTTTGGAAGTCCTAAAATTACAAAAGATGGTGTAACTGTTGCAAAAAGTATTATTTTAAAAGATAAATTTGAAAATTTGGGTGCTCGGTAGTTATTTATTGCTTTGAAAATGTCTTTGATTGATATTATTAGTCTTGTTCAAGATGTAGCAAATAAGACAAATGAAACTGCAGGAGATGGAACAACAACTGCAACAGTTTTAGCTCGTGCAATTTTTTCAGAATCTGTTAAGAATGTTGCAGCGGGGTGTAACCCAATGGATCTTCGCCGTGGTGCACAAAAAGCGGTTGATGAAGTTGTAAAATTTTTACAGAAAAATAAACGAGATATTACAACCTCTGAAGAAATTGCTCAAGTGGCAACAATCTCTGCAAATGGTGATAAGCATATTGGCCGTCTGATTGCTAATGCAATGGAAAAAGTGATTTTTTGTTTTTTTTTGTCATATCTAATAATTTTAGGTTGGTAAAGAAGGTGTAATTACGGTAAAAGAAGGAAAAACAATTGATGATGAGCTTGAGATTACAGAAGGAATGCGTTTTGATAGGGGGTATATTTCACCATATTTTATTACGGATATTAAGACTCAAAAATGTGAATTCGAGAAACCATTGATTCTTCTTTCTGAAAAGAAAATATCTGCATTGCAGGACATTCTTCCATCTCTTGAAATAGCAGTGAATCAAAGGCGACCACTAGTTATTATAGCTGAAGATGTTGATGGTGAAGCTTTAGCAGCATGCATTTTAAACAAACTCCGTGGTCAACTTCAAATAGCAGCTGTCAAAGCACCCGGTTTTGGCGATAATAGAAAATCGATTTTAGGGGATATTGGTATTCTTACAGGAGGCCAAGTGTTTACTGATGAATTGGATATGAAGTTGGAACGAGTTACACCTGAATTATTAGGTTCTACTGGAAGCGTTACAATTACTAAAGAAGATATTATTTTATTGAATGGTGATGGTGAAAAAGATTTAATTTCTCAAAGATGTGAACAAATCAGACTTGCTATTAATGACCCTACTACTTCTGAATATGAAAAGGAAAAGCTTCAAGAACGTCTTGCTAAGCTTAGTGGAGGTGTTGCGGTTATTCGTGTTGGTGGTTCTAGTGAAATTGAAGTTGGTGAAAAAAAAGATCGATTTGTTGATGCAGTATGTACTATTTTATAACATTTAAGGTTTATATAACATTTTAGTTAAACGCAACCCGTGCTGCTGTTGAAGAAGGTATTTTACCTGGCGGTGGCACTGCTATTCTTAAGGCTGTTTCTATTTTGGATGCTATTGCTGAAAAAATGGATACATTTGATGAGAAACTAGGTGTAAAAACAATTCAAAATGCTATCCAGCAGCCAACACGGCTTATCGTGCAAAATACGGGAATTGCTGATGGTTCTGTTATTATTGACCGACTTACTAAAGAATATGGTGACCAATTTTTAATGGGTTATGATGCTGTTACTGGTAAAATCTGCAATATGGTTTCGGCTGGTGTGGTAAGTATATAATACTTATTTTAAATATATACAAAATTGTTCTACAGGTCGATCCTTTGAAAGTCGTAAAGACCGCTTTGGTTGATGCATTTAGTGTTGCTAGTCTTATGGCTACATCAGAATGTGCAATTGTAGATGCACCTGAACCCCCTAGCACCTCTGGAGGACCAGGTGGTATGGGAGGTATGGGCGGTATGGGAGGCATGGGAGGCATGGGAGGCATGGGCGGTTTCTAAATATATTATTGACAACAAAACCTATTGCCTATATAATAGCCATGTTCTCATTTTGGTATTTTTTGATTTTAATATATAATTTTTGTATTTTAAAATAAAAAATTTAAGTTTTAGTATTTGCATATGCTTGTTTAAAAATGTTATATAATGCATGGCAAGTATTACTGTCTAATTTTGTTGAAAGAAATGCCTTTAAGTCTTCCCAAAAAGATGTATCTAGCTTCAATAACTATTGACATGAATGCTGTATCTGATATTGTAAGAAATACTTACTTGAACTGTTTCGTTTTGTGTTGTAGTTGTTGGTTCAGTTATTTTACATGAGATTTGTGTCTTCTCTGCTGGTACCTTCTTTTCCATAATCATAAGTTGAAGCAGTGCTTTTGTTTGATTTGATTCTAATATGTCTGATACTAATTTTGTATCCATAAGCACTTTTCCCTTGTTCAAAAGCCGAATTTGAGATAAATCAACATTAAACGCATTTGAAACACTTTTTTTGATACAATATATCGTATCTGAGTGTCGAGCTTTAATATTAGTAGTTTTTTTAGGTCCTCTTAATGTTTTAATTGTAATATCAATCTGTTCTTCAATTCTAAGCTTTTTTACCAAAAAAAAAAAGAAATAGACCTGAATCTCTTTTTTCTACTTCATTTAAACCGTCCCATTGAGGAAGATTTATTTCTGGTAAATTTAACTGTATTTTTGTCAATTTTTTTTTTTCATTCAAAATTACCTCTTGAGGTACTATATCAAGGCGTGAAAGCGGTGCAATGAATTCTTCTGAAAATTTTACTGGTTTTTGCTCTAATTGCTGCAAAAAACTTCGTGCAAAACACTTTTCTGCTTCCATTTCTTGTTATTTTTTATTGTCGTACGATCTGCTCGTCTGCTTGATGTATCGTCAAATTATCTATTTTTTCTTTTTCATTTGTATATACGCAAATCTTGAAAAAATAGTTTTTATTGCTGCTCCTGAAACATATCAAAAACAATCTTTATCAGTTTTATCTATCTTATATACTTTGTCAAAATCATCTAGTTTACCTGCTCCTCCAACTTTATCTTCAGCACTTTTTCTTAATAACCCTCTTTCGTTACAGACACAATTAGGATTTAATGAAAATCAAACAGCTATAGTAACAACACATTGGTTTCATACACAATTACATATAGGTACTGTATATGAAATCCGTGTTTGTTGGCCTGCCAGTGTATGTTTTTTGTTGTTTTTGTTTTATTATTTAGTTTTTATCAGTCTCCTGCAAATATTGATATTGCTATTTTTCACGATGTAAAAAGTATAAAATCATCTGTTGCTACATTTTATATACAAATCACTTGTAAGGCTGCGTATTTTTCACTTGATCCCGCAGTGATGAATAAACATCTTCTTCCTCTCCATATTAGTAAGCATTATCTGTGACAAAAAGAACAGAATGTGAATATTAAGATCTTTTTTCTTGTTTTTATATTCTTTCTTTTTGTCTTTTTTTTTTTTTACTTATATCTATAGCACTCGATAAAGTTATCTATGGTATACCATGGACGTTGCGCTGGACGTTATTATACAGTTTCATTATTGGTTTCATTGCTTGGTTTTACTTTGGACCTTTTATTTATTATTTTATTTGCCGGCAAATCAGGATATAGTGATATATAAAAACATTAATTTATTATTCTCAATAAATTTTATTATCAATGGTACATATATTCTAAATAATATAAATCTACAGTAGCAGACGACAATACATTCTTTAATTCTCTTTAGTTATATTCTCTTCACCTTTTCAATACTTTATGTGCTTTAATCAACCTCCTCAACTGATGGACCATGATCATCATTTGCATTAGGGAAACCACCTGGTTGGCCACCCATGCCACCCATGCCACCCATACCACCCATGCCTCCCATGCCAGGAATACCATCACCTGTTTGATACATCTTGGACATAATAGGTCCAGCAACTGTTTCAAGCTCTTTCTGTTTAGAATCATATTCTTCTTTTGTTGCTGTCTGGTTTAGCTCTACCCATGATGTTACTTCGTTAACAGATGTCTGAAGTCTTTCACGGTCTTGAGCAGGAATCTTGTCTTTACATTTTTCATCTGACAATGTGTTCTTTAAGCTATATGCATAAGATTCCAATGAATTTTTGGCAGAGATACGTGCTGATTCAGCTTCATCTTCAGCTTTATATTTCTCTGCTTCTTGAATCATACGCTCAATTTCTTCCTTTGATAAACGACCTTTTTCATTCTTGATAGTAATATTGCTTGTTTTACCTGTCCCTTTCTCAACAGCAGAGACATTAAGAATTGAATTAGCATCAATGTCAAAAGTAACTTCAATTTGAGGAACACCACGAGGTGCAGGTGGAATGCCTGTTAAATCAAATTGTCCAAGTAAGTGGCAATCTTTGGTACGTGCACGTTCGCCTTCATATACTTGGATAAGTACACCAGGCTGGTTATCTGCATAAGTAGAAAAGACTTCGGACTTTTTAGTCGGGACAGTTGTATTCCGTTTAATAAGTGTTGTCATCACACCGCCTGCAGTTTCAATACCCATTGAGAGAGGCGCCACATCAAGCAAGAGTATGTCTTGAGTTTGTTCCGATGTGTCTCCTGAAAGAATAGCAGCTTGAACTGCCGCACCATAGGCAACAGCTTCATCTGGATTGATCGTTCTATTTGGCTCTTTTCCATTAAAAAAATCACAAACCAATTTCTGAATACGCGGAATACGCGTAGAACCACCAACCAATACAATTTCATGAACACTTGATTTATCAATTTTAGAATCACGAAGAACTTTCTCAACTGGTTCCATTGTTCCCCTAAAAAGATCTTGACAAAGTTCTTCAAATCGAGCACGAGTAATAGAAGTATATAAATCAATTCCTTCAAATAAGGAATCAATTTCTATACTCGTCTGTGTTGATGATGAAAGAGTCCGTTTAGCACGCTCACATGCTGTTCGAAGCCGACGAAGAGATCGTGCATTCCCTGAAAGATCTTTCTTGTGTTTGCGTTTAAATTCAGCAATGAAGTGGTTTACAAGACGATTGTCAAAATCTTCTCCTCCCAAATGGGTATCGCCTGCGGTTGCTTTGACTTCAAAAATTCCTTCTTCGATAGTTAATAACGATACGTCAAAAGTTCCTCCTCCAAGATCAAAAATAAGCACATTCTTTTCATTTGATGTCTTCTTATCTAGACCATATGCAATGGCTGCTGCTGTAGGTTCATTGATAATACGTAAAACATTCAATCCTGCAATCAATCCTGCGTCTTTCGTAGCCTGTCGCTGTGAATCATTGAAATATGCTGGGACCGTGATAACAGCATTGGAAACTTTAGTCCCAAGATACGCTTCTGCCACTTCCTTCATTTTTGTAAGGACCATTGATGAAATCTCCTCCGGCGTAAATGTTTTAATATCCCCTTTATATTCAACCTGAATATAAGGCTTCTGACCTTTGTCTATAACTTTAAAAGGCCAATGTTTCATATCTGATTGCACTTCTGGATCCCCGAATTTCCGTCCAATCAGACGTTTTGCATCAAATACTGTATTGCATGGATTCATTGCAACCTGGTTTTTTGCTGCATCTCCAATAAGTCTTTCTGAATCTGTAAACGCTACATATGATGGTGTGGTTCGATTCCCTTGATCATTCGCTATAATCTCTACATGTCCTGATATCCATACTCCCACGCATGAAAACGTGGTTCCTAAATCAATACCAACTGCAAAATTATTAATTACCTTTATATTTTAAATATATTATTTTATACTTACTTGCTTTATCTACTCCCATGTTATCTTATTCAACACAGCAATTGCTTTTTTATTTTGTCTTTTTGATCTTTGGGGCAGTCGGTTGCCTTTATATCTTTATTTCATGGAATCTCGTGGAAGGTTTTTAAGGTTCGCGAAGGTTACGCATGGTAAAGATGAATAGAAAGGTATGGAAGGATGAAAAAAAGAAAGAAATATACAGCAATAAAAGAAGAGTAGGTGATTATTGAATGGAAATAAAAAGTATATTTATTTATATTTATTGGAAAAATAATGTTGGTGAAAGGATGTTTTTACATGAATGAGATATGTATAGTAGACTGAGATTGTATGAAAGTATGAAATAAAAACACATGGAGTATGTGTAATGTATGATTGAATATATTAATAAAGTATAATAGAGAATAATGTGTATTTGAAGAAACAGATTAGTGGATATTAGTTGCTGGAAAGTAATTTGATAATTTTTTATAATAAAGTGTTTTATTATATTGTTTTATGTTTAAGAGTGTATGAAGTTGTATAATGCTATTGTGTATTGCTAAATTTTAATATATTGTAGTTTAGAAAAAAAAGGATGCAAAAAGTAAGTGATCGAAATTAAGAATGAATGATAAAAGTCTAATTGATTGTTTCTGGATTAGTACTTAAAGAGGCACGTTTATCATCGTTAAATTGGTGAGAGAATGATGTGCAGTCAATGCTTACCCAATCATTTTTTGTTTCTTTAGAAAAAGGTTCAGTAAAAAAGGTATTAAGTTCGTGATTTTGGGTGCAAAAATCATTCTCAAAGCCGTTAACTTCTTCTGCTACAACAAGACCATAAAACGTATCTTCGTTTTTTTCTTCTGTATTTTCTGGGTATAGTGTAATATTTGAGGCTTGAGCATTTTTTAAAGACAGCAGTTTCTCAGATTGGTTTTTTTTAGAATTATTTCTTGGTATCTTATTTGTATTAGAATCTACCGTATCCTTTTCATTTGTTGCGATAACTTTTGTTTTACAAGAAAAATTATAATCAGAATCGAATATGGGCATATTAGTAGCCGAGTCTTTGTTTTTAACATGAACTGGTTAATTTTTAGAATTTTTAAAATAAAATAATAGAGCTAATTACCATTTGAATCATTAAAACCATCTATATCAGTAGACTCTGATGAACTATGAAAATTGTCAATTGGCGGGAATTTTGATACAAAACTATCATCGTTAGACGAATTTTCAGGTTCTGCAACGAAATTTGCAAATGCTTCATCAAAATCTGCTTTATTTTTTTTAGACGTATTGTTGTCTTTATTTTGGGATAAAAATAAATTAAAGATAGCACTTTCTGTTTTTTTATTTGTTTTCTAATTTTATTCAATAATAAAGAAAAATAAAAATGTATACATACATCATCTTTTTCACTCTTTATCTTATTGGTAGTTTGATAGATGTCTTTGTTATTTATTATTTGATTATCGAAATCTATTGGAAACGTCCCTGGAAGTGTCCCTGTTATGTTTTCCTCCTGTGTAACTATATTCTGGATAGCTAAGTATTCTACGTTATTTTTTTTATCTAAAACGTTACTTAGTTCAATACTTGTACTTAATGAAGTAATTTTTTCACTCTCAGATGGATGTAATAATGCCTTATTTAAATTATTCATATTGAAAACTACTTTTTTGGATTCGGTATCATTTAATAATTCTTTTGAAATCTCTTTAGAATGAGTAGGTGTATCTATAGCTTTTAGATTATTAGATGTATTTTTCTTGTAAAATTCGAGTTTCTTGACTGGATCTTTTAAAAAAATATTATCAGATTCAAAGTCTAAGCAAGATTCATCACCTGTTTTTGGTGAATTGTTTTTATTTATAATCCATGCTGTAGGAGTTCCAGGATAAGAACTTATTCTAGATAATTTACCAGGTGTTGATTCTGGAGGCTGAACAACAACGGATGAGTCTAGAGATTCTGTTAAACTATTTTGTCTTTTTAAGACTCGTAAATCTATATTTGATGATAAATCTTTTTGAATAATATTTTCCATAAAACTTGATGTGATCAAAGATGGAACTTCAGAATTGCATGGTTCCGATAGTTGGTGGTTTTGTTTCTATTTAAATATTAAAGGAAACTGTTAGATAGAAATTTTTTAAGTTACCATATGTATATATTGATCATTTATTGTATTTGAAGATTCCTTTGGTTCTTTATTGCAAACAATTTTATTAAAATTTTTAATAGAATCATTTTGTGCGTCTGGCTTAGTTATAATGTCTGCATTATTACAAATGGGAATAAATGTTGGTGACATTGATTCCGTTTCATTAAAATTTGATATTTGATGAAATGGATTTGATAACTGATTATTAGGAGACAAAATAAAATTCGAGTTAGTATCCTTCAAGATATTGTTCATTTTTGTATTATTTTCGATATTAGTTTTCAATTGTGCATAATTATCTTCAAATGCGGATAATTGTTTTCTGTTTATTATCGTCATGGTTTTTTGGTCCAATATATTTTTTTCTATTTTTTCTAGTTCTTCTTCTAAAGCAAATATTTGATTAGTCATCGATTTTATTTTTTGTTCTAATTCTATGTTTTCATTTGTACTATGTTCTAAATCCTGAAGTTGTTTTTGTTTTTGATCTTGTAAAGCATATAATTTTTTTTCAAGAACTACACATTTTTGTTTTAATTTCTGTTTAGATGTATAAGATTCTGCGAGATGCTCCTGTATTTTTTGAACTGCTTTTAGTTCTTTATTATATAAAGTATGAATTTGTGATAATTTTTCTTCAATATCGCGCTTTTGGATATTAACTGCATCTAAATCTACTTTGATAGAGGTATGCGTTTGTTTTAATTCTTTTATTTGTTTATTAAGAGAAGAGATTTTGCTAGAAGGATTATCTGATTCATTAGTCGTAGCTTCATTTTTTTCGGAATCTTCAGTATTTGTATCGCTTAATAAATCTATCATTGTAGATGACTTATGGTGTAAGATCTTGGGATTTGGAGTAACAGATGATACGATTGATTGTCCAAAGTTAGATGTAGGAACAAAAGATGTTTTATGAATTGAATGAATAGAAGGTGCGTGCGAATGAGGAGACGTCATTGAGAATGTATGAGTAGGCGAAGATATAACTTTTGGAGTTTCCATATACGAGTCTGTAGATTGCTTAATTGAAAAAACTGACGATGGAATAGATGGAGATGTAGCGTGTGCTTGTGAAGAAAATGAATTATTTAAATCGAGTGACTCTGATATTGTAGAACTAGAAGGATCCTGATTATACGATGAAAAAAAAATTGTATTTTCCTGGGGAAAATCTTTTTGTAAAAGAGATAGGATAAGTTCTTGTGGAAGAGATGCCGGAAGATCTGTACCTGCTAGTTTTTGCCGTATTAAATGCATTGCAATGATAAATTCCTCTGTATTAAGTTTGCCACTTTTATTTATATCAGCCAGATCCCAAATATGTGCTAAAGTTTCTTCTGGTAATTTTGATGACAAAAAGAATGATACTGCTTCATCACCTGTTACATAATCATCATTGGCTTTATTAATTGATTTAAATAAATTGATATATTGAGATTTTTCGTGTGGCTTTATATTCCAGTCATTCGTTACATTCGAGTCAAATTGAGAAAAAATATTAGATTGAGTAGTTATATGTTGATGTTTATTATACTTTTGCGAAAAATCATTAAAATTATTTAAATTTAAATTAACAGAATTTTCTGGACTTAAATTACTGGAAACAATTCTTTGAGAAGGTTCACGGTTATGTGTTTTGCCAGATGCCATTTTAAAAACTTCAGGAGATAAAACAGAAGGAAGAGTTTTTAATGATCCACTTATAAGTGAATGAATTAAATGCATAGCAACAGTAAATTCCACAATATTTAAAGCACCTCGATGCTGAATATCAACCAAATTCCTATAGTATTATATAATTAATTTTTTTATAAGGTATATATACCATATTTGACCCAATATTTCATTTGGTAAGTGTGTTCGTAAGAATATTGTTTTTGCGCGTGATCCTAGAAATTTGATTTAAATATATTTTCCTACAAATACCTTTATATACCTTTTACAAGACCATTAGTCAGTTTAAGGCTTTTAAACATGTTTTGATAGCGATTCTTTTCTTCCATTGTTATTAAGGGAATTATATTTGATACTTGAGAAGGCATATTCCAATTTATCGCCTTTTCACTATTAAATTTCGGTAATGAGCATTCTTTAAAAAATTAAGAATACATTTATAGCATAAAATGTAATATACTTGAATTAATTAAATCTGAACTTGGATGGCGTCCTTCTTGAGCATGTGCAATTAAACGAAGTGCAATATTGAATTTTTTTTGCGTAAGAAATCCCATGTTTTCATTATCTGCTATTTTCCATATCTAATTAAGGTAAATTTTGGAAGAACAGCTGCTGGTTTTTCACCTCTTTAAGAATTTGAGGCGAAAGCCCTGTCTTCTCAAAAAAACTGATTGAATGTTCTCCTAAAAGAACTCCAATATTTTCTTTATCTGCTTCATGAAAAAGCTTTTCATATACCTCTTTTTCTTCTACTGAAAGATTGGCTTCTATCTCTATTTTATATCAGTTTTAATTAAATTACTGATATTTCAAATAAAAACCTTGTTTTAATGTTTCTTGTGTTTTTGAGCCCATTTTTTTACTTTAGTCTCTTTGTTTAATAAGAAAAATATGAAAAATTATTGTTTTTTGTGTTATTAATTCTAATATTACTTTAACTAATTTATAATAAGGTTTTAATAAGGTTTTCTAAAGATTATTCGTTTAAACGGGGGTTTCATAATCTTGATAAATGTCAGAAGTATATAAAACAGAAAAAAATATGAATAATGTATAATAATGTTTTTACATGATTCAAATACTGTTTTTTGTCTTTTTGTATAAGATTTTATACTTTTTTCTATGAAATTAATGTTTTTAGTATATTAAACAATTTAGTATTAAAGAATAGTTAAATACTCCAGAAATACATAAATATATTTTAATGAAAATAGATTTTTATATATTTAAGTAAATATATGTATTTTTACGAAAATCATTGTGTTTGTTATATAGTATTTTATAATTTTATATATATCAAGAGTTTTAAAATGTCTTTTAAAGGAAAATTTTAAGATTTTCAAATGTTTTTATTTGTCTGGTTGAATATTATCTATTTATGCTTTTAAGTTAACCTTCGGAAATCTTAAATTGTATTAAAGGAAATATAGCTTTTAAAGTTGTAAAAAATATGGTAGATGAATATTTTTAATGATTTTATATGTTTTAATGATGGAAGTTTGAGGATGAACAGTTTTATAATGCTATGAATGATGATGAATATGGATTTGATGAATGGTCGTTCTCTGGACTATTTCAAAATCAGATATTTAGAGGATATTACAGGTGCTATAGTGTCTCTATGATGGAAGGTAATGAACGGAATTCTGTAAATTTTGGTGGAAAAGGTTTTTTTTTATTTTAAAAATTGGATATTTGTTTATAGAATGAAAGTTATACTTCCTCCGAGCGTTTTGAATAAACTTAGTAAAAATATCCTGTATTTGACATATAAAGATTGCACTAATTACACTAGGCCGCTTAAATATTTCTTATCCTATGCTTTTTGAGTTAAAAAATACAGAAAAGGATCGAATTACACATGCAGGAGTTTTGGAATTTATTGCAGAAGAAGGAAGAATTTATTTGCCTTTATGGGTATTTTCGGAAAGAAATACGTTTTAATTAATTAATGAAATATAGATGATGCAAACTCTTTTACTTGAACAGGGAGATCTTTTATCTGTTGTTAGTACAAAACTTCCTCTTGGATCTTATGTGAAAATTAGACCTCAACACCCAGATTTTCTTCAAATTACAGATCCTAAGGCTGTGTATTTGTTAATTAATTATTTTGAAATGAAATTAATGAGCATTAGACTAGAAAATGCATTAAGAAATTTTTCTGCGTTAACTAAAGAAGATATATTTCAAATTAATTATAATGAGCAGATATATGAGATAGAAGTATTAGATATTAAACCGGATGATGGTAGAGGGAGTATTTCTGTTATTGAAACAGATTTAGAAGCAAGTTTTTTTAAAAAAGAAAGTATTGTTTCTAATCATTGATTAGGTAGATTTTGCTCCACCTCTTGGTTATTCTGAACCTGAACCTGTAAAAAAGCTAAATAAATATAATCATAATAAAATTTGTGGTAATGTTGAGAAAAGTGTAATGCTTGGAGAAGCACAAGCTTCTAGTACTTTAAAACCAAAGCGTGATAATGTTTTTTTATCTGTAGGATATAAATTAAATGGAGAATTTGTTGAAAATTTTTCAGAATCTACTGCATTTGATTCTAAAATATCTAGAAAAGTTGATGATGATACACTTCCTGCTCCTCTAAGAGTTCCTTTTGGTACTCTTTTTTTTGGTTATAAAATAAAGCCCATAGGGAATAATGAAGATGATAAGTTCAATAAAGCTTTTTCTGGTGAAGGGCGAACATTGAAAAATAAAAAAAGAAAGTAACAGGTATTTTGATTAACAAAAAAAGTTTTTTATTAATTTTATTAAAAGTTTAGATGGATAAATTTATAAAAGTATTTTTACTTGTCATGTCATTGAAGTTGGTTAAGTTAATTTTATATAATTGTTTATTATTAGGTTTTTAAAAGTTACATTAAATATATACATATCTACATTTTGATTTAATTTTAAATAGCATTTGTTCTACCCTTTAAAATTATATTTGTTATGTAAGTAGCATATGAATCATAGTAATTATATTTAAATATATATATTTGTAGAAAACTAACAAAATATTATGATTATATATATATATATATAGGTATAATTATGAAATTTTATTTGTAAGTATTTTATACTGATGTAGATTTAATCTAATGTTTAATGTTTTATAGAAAAGATAAATGTGTATATATGTGTTCTTGATAAATACTATAAGCAAAAAAAACTATATTATATTTTTTAATAACATTTACAACGTTATGTATCAATATTCGATGCTATTTTACTAGAAATAATAAGTATTAAATAATTTAGGAAAAAATATTATATTTGAATATAATTAATTTTAAAATACGGAGGCGGGAGATGTTTTATACTTTAGAAATTATTTAATTTAAATTATTTCCAAGATTGATTATTTCTATAGAAAATATTATATATATTGTGAGAAACTTACAAATATATAAACATAGTATTTCAAAAATATAGTATATATTTTCATGACAAATGCATATCATATTCATATCTTGTTCATCAGGAACTAAATCATATATATACTCAAACAATATATTCAAACATCAAGAAATTAAAACTTAGAATTACGACGATAAAAACTGTATATTCATATTTAGGTATAGCAACGAAAATTAAAAGTATACACAAAGTTTTATCCACTCTAACTCAAATTCAATCAAGTTAAATACATGTCTATTTCTGTGAGACTTTTTTGTTCTTAGGTGGTTGAAGTAATGTTTTATTAATGTGCTAACATATAAGTCATTATGAATCATATGACCCAATTACTTACCGGCAAAACACCGCCACCTGCAATTGTCGCACGAATTAATCTACAAATTAGCAATATACCCACAAAAACACTCTCTCTACTCACGAATCCAGCTCTTCATCTCCTCTAATTGCTGTCCACATTATTTCTAGACATTTTCACCAGAAAACCTACCAAGCTGTAAGTGCCGTGGCGTAATACGTTTTACTTTAAGATCTTTTGATGCATTTCCTGCAAGTTCAAGCACTTCTGCCGTAAGGTATTCAAGTACTGCAGCAATATACACGCTTGCTGTTGCCCCTACACGCACATTGTTTTGCATACACGCTCTCATAAAGCGACGAACACGTCCCACTGGAAACTAACCATTTTAGCCCCGTTTTTGACCGGAAAAAAAACTACCTGAAGCCCTGCTCGTGCTGAATGTGATACTTGAGCCCTCCCTTCCCTTCCTTTTCCCCCGCTTTTGCCTTTTCCACCAAGTGATTTTCCTTTGCCCGACATTTGTTGTTAGTCGATTCTTCGATACACACGTATTCTGTGTCCACGAAGTCCACACGAAACCACACATGAATATAGGCAAAATCTCTTTAAATACAAAAGACATAAAAGACGTGTTTTATCTATTTATTTTTTATAGAATGAATCAAATATACCTATTTTCACTATTTTTCTGTATTTTTCCTCTTCCTTCTCTCATCCCTAAAGTGTACCATTCTCCAGACTGAGTTGCATATATACACTTTACAACCTTTATTACGGACATTTTTCCAAAAATTTCAATTCTGTAGAAAACAGGACAAAGAGTTGATACAAGACAAGAATTTTCTTTATTTCTAAGATAATATTGTTTTCTAGCATTAAATATTAACGACTGCTGCTAATTATTTTTGCTAGGTATCATGTCAAATATTAATATTGAATATTAGGGCTAAATTAAGGTTACCTGAAAAACCGGATATATTGATAAATATTGTATCAGATAAGGATTTAATGCTTAATATAAATCATGAATACGAGTAAAAATATAGGAAAAGTGTATTATGGGTAAAATAGACACAGAAACCACATATATCTTGGCTGCACTGCATCACTATATTTATGCACAGGGTTAGGGTTTATTTTTGAAGGTCAGGTCAAGGTTAGGTTTAATGAGTCAAGAAAATGGTTAGGGTTTTATGACTTAGGGTTAGGTCTGTGATTGAATAAATAAAGAATATTTTTGCACAAATTGAAGAGAAATAAAAGAATACAAGTGATTTAAAGGCTTAAAGAACGGATTTAAACAAAAATCAAGAAAAACACCGATAGTTTGAAGGGAAAAATAGAAAGATTAGGGATATATAAAGTATTTGTTGAAATTAAGGAACAAAGAAGAAAGAAAGGAGAAAAAGAAAGAAATTAAGGGTTTTATTGAGAAAAAAGGGTTATATATGTTTAGAAGAATCTAATCATATGAGTTGTTTTGATGATTGAAATCGTCGATGGGGATTTACGAACGTTTTGGTAGGCGACGATGAATCTACAAACGAATATTCGGAAAATGGAGAAGCACAATGAAGGAGTGCAGGCACAGGGAATGGGGGGAATGGGGGGAGTAAGGATTCATCGGAACGATATTTCACAATCACGGCTGTTTAATGGATATTCAGTGGCAGCAGAGAATGAAAACTTGCCACTTCTTCGGTCGTTTTCATCACCGACTTTACGGCCTGCTGAACTTGGTAAAAATTCGTTTGGAGCATTAGCATCGACATCAGCGTCGTCAGTGGAATCATCAGCAGCATCAGCTGTCTCAATAACACAGCCAGCAATGCCATCGCCAGATGTCCTTTTTTCAAAGCATACGCCAACAACGTATGCAACAGTGCATGCAGGAGGGCGTGTTGAAAGGACAAACGCATCGAGACTTGGATACAGGGTGTATGAAGATTCGTTTTTGCAAACTTCTTCCGCAACAGCGTCTGCTTTTCATCCACCATCTACACAACAAACGATTTCATCTTTTTCGTATGATCCTTCAGTTGTGACGCCGATGACGTATAATAATTATGGTTATATGGCACGCAGAACCGTGTTTAAACCTAGAGAGAAGCAACCCAATGTATGTTTCAGCTTTTTATGTATTTTTAAATGGTTTAACGATTTATAGCAGTGGTTGAATGAATCAGAAACAATACCAACAGGATCTGTACAGAACTCAAATATAAATAATACTTTTGTTCCTTCGGGTGTTCCTGCCTCTATATCTGATAGTCAAGAAAATTCTTTACAAGATAATTCTTTCCAAGAACCTACAATGAACACGTTAAAAACGACCAACAGAGCGGAAGATGGTGTAATTCCTTCTGCAATTGTTGTTAAGAATATACCATTTCAGATTAAGAAAGAGCAACTTCTTGAACTTTTTGTACGTTTTTTTTTTGTTAGTGAAAAACTTATACGTTATAGGATACTCTTGATATTCCCAAACCATATGCGTTTAATTATCATTTTGATAATGGAAACTTTCGAGGTCTCGCTTTTGCTAACTTTTATACGCCGGAAGAAACAACACGTGTAATTCTTTCGCTTAATGGGCATGACATTATGGGTAGAAAACTTCGTGTTGAATACAAACGTGTTTTGCCTGTTGGAGACCGTGAAAGACCAAGTCGTGAAAAGAAGGAAAAAAGAACCCAATATGATGAACAGAATAATTCAAATAACCCTGGATATACTAAAGGCAAAGGGAAATTCAAAGGTGGTATATCTTTTTCTTTTTTTTACATCTATATTTATTATTTTAGACATTGATCTTAATGATGAAGCTACATTGAAAATTTACTCTCGTTTGTTACTTTTTCGTAATGATCAGAGCCCTAATGCTCCTAATGAATTTATTTTTCCCCCGGATTTAAATCCTCAACAACGTCGCATTGTTCATCTTGTTGCAGAGAAATTAGATCTTGAGCATACATCATGTGGAGAAAATGACGCTAAATACATTGTTGTTAAGCGTTTAAATGCAAATAATATTGATAATATGAATAAAAATTTTTGGAATAAACCGGATTTTGGTGTTCCTGGTCAATCAGCCAACTTTGTCCCATCTTTATTAACAACCAATTCAGCAACCCTTGGGATGACATCAACGACACACGATTTTTTTGGTAATTCTTATACAGATTTTAGAGTATGGCCAACAAAAACATTTAATGATATTAGAAATATAAATACTCAAATACCATCAAAAACATATTTACATAAACAAATGCAACCGCATAATACACTTCTTAATACATCCTTTGAATCGGGGCTTCCCGCTACACGAAACGACCTTGGCGCTATGATGCAAGACTTAAATCTTAATGTTACTAATAAACAACTTAAAAATACAGAATGGGAAACGAAAAAAGGATTCCGAAATATGGCCATAAAAACTAATACAGACTAAACCAGCAATCAAATACAGCTTTGTTACCGAAAGTATATATAATTTGTACGTGTATAGACATGTTTATAATTTTAAACATTTTTAAAAGTTTTTTTAATATTTAATAACAATAATACTAACTTTTGTATTGATACTTTAATACCCAGTATCTATATTTTGTATTCTTAATTTAACTTTTTGAAACTTCATTTTAATAATAAATTTCTACAAATCTGTATTTAAAAACATGTCACTAACATCAAGTGGCTGCTGGGGTCAAAACATAGTCACTGCGATAAAAATATATTATTTTTTAACTAGGTCTACCGATAACTACAGGCTAATTCTCATGTTTTGAAATCTACTGCAAAATCCAATCTAGTATTCTTCTTCCATAATCTCGCCCTCAATCGAGTCTTGGCCAACCTGAACTGGTCAGTGCCCCTGCTACCCCTCCCTGTACACTCATACCTCTTCATAGTCCTTCTCCAGCGCCGCAAGATCTTCCCGTGCCTCGCTAAATTCCCCCTCCTCCATGCCCTCCCCCACGTACCAATGGACAAAGGCCCTCTTGCTGTACATAAGATCAAACTTATGGTCAAGTCGGGACCATGCTTCTGCGATTGACGTTGTGTTGCTCAGCATGCAGACCGCCCTGTCCACCTTTGCAAGGTCTCCGTGGGGCACGTGCTGCGGCGGCTGGTAGCACACGCCCAACTTGAACCCCGTCGGACACCAGTCCACAAACTGGATCGTCCGTTTCGTCCGGACCGCCGCCACCGCTGCATTCACATCCTTTGTCACCACATCGCCCCTGTACAGCAGACACGTCGCCATGTACTTCCCGTTTCGCGGATCACATTTCACCTGGGCTCCGTCAGCCCCCTGCCTGCCTTCCCACTCCTTACCATCTGGTTGTTTGGCTCGAAACACGCATTCGTGATCTCCGAAACCGAGTTTGCCTCATGCACCGCCTTCGCCGCCGAGATCACCGGCGCATACGTCACCAGAGGAAAGTGGATCCGCGGATACGGCACCAGATTCGTTTGGAACTCGTTCAGGTCCACATTCAGGCTCCCGTCAAACCGCAGGCTCGCCGTGATGCTGCTCACCACCTGCGCAATCAGCCGGTTCAAGTTCGTGTATCCCGGGCGTTCAATCCCCAAGTTTCGCCGGCAGATGTCGTAGATCGCCTCATTGTCCACCATAAATGAGCAGTCCGAGTGCTCCAACGTCGTATGTGTCGTCAGAATCGAGTTATACGGCTCCACCACTGACGTCGACACCTGCGGCGCCGGATACACCGAGAACTCCAGCTTCGACTTCTTGCCATAGTCTACTGACAGCCTCTCCAGCAGCAGCGCCCCAAATCCCGACCCTGTTCCTCCGCCAAACGAGTGGAACACCAGGAACCCCTGCAACCCCGTGCAGTTGTCTGCCACCCGCCGGATCCGGTCCATTACATGGTCGATGAGCTCTTTACCCACTGTATAGTGTCCCCGTGCATCTGGGGAGGCCTGTTAGTCATGCTTCTGCTCCCGGGGCCCTGTGTGCTCACAGTTGTTGGCTGCGTCCTCCTTGCCAGTGATGAGCTGTTCCGGATGGAACAGCTGCCGGTACGTACCCGTCCGCACCTCGTCAATCACATTCGGCTCGAGGTCCACGTACACGCTGCGTGGCACGTGCTTGCCGTTGCCTGTCTCGGAGAAAAACGTGCTAAATCCGTCTTCACCGCCCGGTCGCCTATCCGGCGAGAACCGCCCGTCCGGCTGCCTCCGTCAGCGTCGCTGCGCAGGTGGCGGCCTACCTCAATGCCGTGCTCCAGACAGTACAGCTGCCCCTGTCAGCGCGAGTCCTGCGTTTGCACTCCTTGCCTCCCAGCACGCTACGCCGTCAGCACCGCACTGCGCTGTGCGTACTCACCGTTGCCTATCTGCGTTCCCGCCTGTCCGACGTGGATGGAGATGACCTCTCTCATGGCTTCCGCACGACGCGTCGCTGGGCGCGCGGCCTTCAGGCATCCTAAGCCCTGCCCTAACCCTAGTCTTGTATTAACCCTAACCCTAACCCTAGATTAGCTTGCCTGACAGTGGCAACAAGGCTGTCCTGCCCTAAACCTGACCCTGAAGAGTGCCCTAACCCTAAAGCGAAGGGTTCCGAAAGGTACTAGGCAAGAGCAACCTAGCAGAGGGCACCAGCGGTGCCTCGAGACGCGTCTCCCCCGATACGGGCACCCTTACATTGACGGACGCTGAACGAGGTCCCGACTTCCCCTTTGGGTACCCTAACCCTAACCCCGGCCCTACTTTTGTATTCTAACCCTAACTTGATACAACCCTAACCCTGCCACCGGTTGCCACCGGTTGTGTGAGGTTGTGTGATTGTGTCGGCACGATGCTGTCCCGTGTCTGGGCTCAGCCTGATGTCTCGGCAGCGTCGGCAGCGTCTCCCAAGCTCAATAACCCTGGGGCCCCAGCCTAACCCTAATGCCGATCCCCCGATGCCGGCATGAAGCCCTGTTCAGTACCCTTCCCAAGGAGCACCCAAACCCTAAATGCCTCGCGATGCCTCCTGTCGCGCCAGCGCTAGGGCAAGGTCGCGTTAGTGTTAGTATTAGTGTTGGTGTTGGGGTTGGGTTAGGGATTCCATACTAGGAAATGGTTAGGGTTAGGGTTAGGGCTGGGCTGGCGGCGCCGCATCGGGAAGGGTGGTGCGGTGGGCGGTCTCCGCAACGATGGTAAGTTGAGGCACGCGCGGGCGGGCTGACAGAGGCAGTCCAAGTCGGGGGTCCAGGTGGGCGAGGAGTGCCTGCAGGCGTTCCAGGACCTGAAGCACCGGAAGCACACGAGGTTTATCATCTTCTCGATCAATGCAGACAGGACGCATATTGTCGTCGAGAAGACATCGGCAAGCGGCGACTACCAGGACTTTGTGGAGAGTCTGCCGGAGAGCGACTGCCGGTACGCTGTCTATGACGTTGAGTATGAGCTGCCGGGCGAGGGCAGACGCAAGAAGGTGTGTGGAGCGGTGCAGCGGCCAGACGTGTGGTTGCCATGGAGACTGTTGTCATGGCAACATATAGATGGCTGCAGGCATGGTACTGGCTAACGAGGCAGATGTGTTTTTTCATATGGTAAGATAGGCGAGGAGCGGTAACCGGATAACCGGCGCAGGTCGCCGGAAAGTTCGCCGATCAAGTCGAAGATGCTCTATGCATCGTCGAAAGATGCGCTGCGGCGGACGCTGACAGGGGTCTCGGCGGAGATCCAGGCGACGGACCTGAGCGAGGTTTCATATGAAGCAGTGCTTGAGAAAGTTGGGAGGCGCACAACGGCGTAGAATAGATCCATAGAGTATCCGAATCGTATATATTGCTGCATGTTATTGAGATGTGTATTTCAGCCCATGTGTCAGCCCATGTGTGTCACGTGACCTATCCAAAAGGCGGGTTGCAGAAGATGCAGGGCTTGCAGAGCAAGCTGTGTATACTGTGTTGCAGTGTAGTGTTGCAGTGTTGTAGTGTATACGCTGGGAGGTTAGAGTGGGTGTATTGTGTGTATTTGTGTATCGCTGTGTATTGTGTGTATCGTACGATGAGGCATCGATAGCTGAGCCCGTCGATAACCTGTGGAGGGATCTGTAGAGAGTGGTAGGGGCTGAGGAAAAATGGGGGAAACAGAGAAAAGGCAGAGTAGCAGAGTAAAGTGTTAGTTTAGTCATTACCAAATATTTACAGTGTTTCATATCCAAAACGAGTTGGACTATGGAGCATGAATAAATGAGCACTATCTGTATGAATTGATGTAGATAGCTAAGGATTCGAATGAGTCAAAAATAAAACAAATATGCATGTATTAGAATATAAAATGTTTTGCAAAACATTTTATAAATAAACCCGAAATTATTCCAATTGCAGAGATATATGTATTATAATGCGTAATTAAAAGTGGTGTAGATTGTTACAAGATTCCTCATGTTAATTTAAAAGGTTAGTAGTCGCGTTTTCTCTTAGAACCACATATTAGAAGATTTTTGCCCATGTTTAGATCTTCCTTGAGCTCAGTAGTATCCTGGAACACAGTAGAATCATCTTTTGCAGATGAACTAGAGTGAATAGAGTTGCTTTCATCAAGAATGTAGTCATTGCCTGTGCAAAACTTAACGTTATTTTTCTTTTTCAAAAATACACGTTACCATACTGGTTTAGAAATTCATCAATGTCGACGTTTTCATAATTACGTTCTTCATTAGGAAAATACCCGATTGAATTCTTTTTTGAATCTAGTGAATAATTTTCATCATTGATATTTTTTATAATTTCAGTATTATCTTCAACAGGAAGCCCGATATTAATTTGATTAATATCCATTCCTAACAAATTTGCAAGTGATTGCAGATTTTCACCCTGAGAATTTAGATCTAATTGTATATTTTTAGCAAGATCATCATTCGCTTGAATTCTGAGCATATTATCTGAATATGGATGTTCTATAGTTGAATTTTCTTTTGGGCAAATATGAAATGTATGAGTTAATAATGACGATGTATTTAAATAAGGTAAAGTAAATCGATTTTCATCATTTTGCGAAACGCCTTGTTCTATAAGATATGGCAATATAACTTCATTAGATGGCAATTCCTGAGAGGGAAAAAAGCTCTCATGATTAGTTATAGAATAGTTTCCTTGACTTTTTTGTTCTTGCTCAGGAAGTGACCTTTCTTCCAACAACAAGCGTTTTCTTTTTTGAACTATATTTCTTTTTTCTGGAGAAAATATAGAAACCAGGAATTTTAAAATTTTATCGATTGTTTCTTGATGATGACGATGTTTTTCTCTTGAATTTAACGCCTCTTGCCAAAGCGCTTGATTATCCATTTGAATACGTTTTAAATCCGATGAAATTGTTAATTGGTGTTTTTTAATAGATTGGATTTCAGATATAATAGCAGAGTAATCTAAAGGCGAGTTGTCTTCCCCAGGCTGAGGCCCTTTTTTCCTTGTTACTAAACAGAGAAGATCTGGCTGATCACGAAGAAAATTAGGATTAGAAAATTCTAAAATTTCATTTGGAGAATCAGACTCAAGAACTCCATGTTGCAGATGGGGAACTTTATGAAACCCGTACACTAAAATTCCTAAGAAAAAGAAAAGCACAACACAAAAACAAACTGTTAAGCTGACGAACAAAACTTGAAAAATTATGATGCTTAAAAAATCGAGGAAGAATATGCTTTGCTACTTGTTCTGGCCGAAGAACTAAAAAAGACTCCCCAGACGCTGACCACTTTATAAGTGTATCTGATGCAGAATCAGAAACCATGCTATTCAGCTCTTTAGACTTAAATATTTGCCAATTTATACGTACTTGTATAATTTATTCAGAAAAGCTGGAACATTTTTGGCTTGAGGAAGCGGTATAAAGTTCCCTGAAATAGATGCTGATTTAACCAAGTCATTCCCAACAGATTCATCTATAGACATCCTTAAATCTACTTAAATTTTCTTTTATTTTAAATCCTATAAAATATAGGTACACGTCGAGACGATTTAAAATCGTTTTAATACTAATAAAACTAGAATTATCTCTAGTTATTGTGAAATTATAGTGACATTAAGCCTGAGTTTCTTTATTTTCAATAATTATAATAAATATCTTAACAATAAATTTATTAGTATTATTTTAAAAATATTTTTAGTGCTTTGAAGATTTATATTCAAAATTTTTAATCGAGTATATTAAAAAATCATGAAAAAATCTTTAGTCTATAAAATCAAATAAATAACACATTATTAGAATATTTTTTAATATATTTTTGATATTTTTAAGATATGAATAAGGATATTGAAGTAGCTAAGGCATCTGTCTTGGTTTACTCTGAACCTATTTTAGACAATGCAGTAAAAGTGATAGGACTTGATCATAACAAATATCCTACTCATAAAGACACAGGAATGACTAGTCTTACTATAGAGGATTTAATAAAGTCTATGTATACTACAGGATTTCAAGCAACTAATCTTGCATTAGCAGTAGACATTATAAATCAGATGGTATATTATATGGCTTTTTAAGATATTTAATGAGATATTTTGTAGAGGAACTGGAGACCATCTGAAGAAGAAGAAGAAGAAGAATATTTTGAAAAAAAAGAAGAAACAAGATGTACTATTTTTCTCGGTTACACGTCTAATTTAGTTTCATCGGGTGTAAGAGAATCTATTCGGTATTTGCTTCAGCATAAGAAAGTTTCATGTGTTGTTACGACAGCTGGAGGAATAGAAGAGGATATTATTAAATGTCTTGATGATACATATTTAGGGGAATTTGAACTTAATGGATCTGATCTTAGAAAAAAAGGAATCAATCGGATTGGAAATCTTTTAATACCTAATAACAATTATTGTAAATTTGAGGACTGGATAATACCTATTTTCGATGATTTGTTGGAGGAGCAAAAGAGTAAAAACAAAATATGGACGCCATGTTCTATAATTCATCGTCTCGGAAAAGAAATAAATAATGAAGAAAGTATATGTTATTGGGCATATAAGAATCAGATACCTATCTTTTGCCCTGCATTAACTGATGGTTCTTTGGGAGATATGATATATTTTCATTCTTTTCAGAATCCAGGATTGATTGTAGATATCGCTGCTGATATTAAACTAATTAATACAATATCTGTTAGGGCGAAATGTACGGGAATGATTATTCTTGGTGGAGGAGTAGTTAAACATCATATAGCAAATGCTAATTTAATGAGAAATGGAGCAGATTATGCTGTTTACATAAATACTGGGCAAGAATTTGATGGAAGTGATAGTGGTGCTAGACCTGATGAAGCTGTTAGCTGGGGGAAAATCAAGCCAAATGCTAAGATGATAAAGTTATACACGGATGCAAGTATAGTGTTTCCTATGATTGTAGCTGCCACATTTGCAAAAGATTGAACATATTTTTAGAATAACCATTTTGCCATATATATATATATATATATATCATATTAAAAACTCATAAAATCGAAATTTTTAATTTTTAAGTACAAACTAGTATATTCAATGGATTCATTTAAAATGGTATAGTAACAAAATTGATTTTTAACGCTTTTATTTTTTTTATTAAATTTGATAAATTTTTATAATTTTTGGTAAATCTTGGTAAATCTTTTTTTTAATTTTTTAAAGAAAATTGATAATTATTTAATCAAATAATATTAAATACGTATAAAAATATTTTTAAAAAAATAACCATTAAAGAATATAAAAATTTTAATATAAATATATTATATGAATATCTAATACAGAATTTGTAAAAACTTTCATTTTTTTCTAATAAAATATATTAATAAAATATATACTTAATATCTCTAAAGATAAAAATATTTAATATTTTAAAGTTAATTTTTTTTTATAAATATACTTAAATTTACTTATTTTTAAAAACTAAAATAAATTAACAATAGCTTATAAAATAATCATTTATTAAAATTATTTAAAAATTAGAACTATTATTATACATTTATATTTAATAAGTTTCAATATTTTAAACCACACTTTAAAAACTTATGAAATCTATATTTTCAAAAATTAACCTTAAATTTCAAATATTTCTCATAAACTAAATTTATACTTTTTAAAAAGATTATATAATAATTTTTTTAGTATTTCTAGACTTCTCAAATGCTTCAATTTTTAATTATAATTTTAAGCATTCTAATTCCTTTAATATAAAAAATATTTTACAATTTCATATTCTTTTTTAAAGTAGTTATATAGAAATTATTCTCTTTAATCATCATCCATATCATCGTTTATTACACTAGGCTGAAGATCTGCTAAGAGAGAAGATGCTTTAACTTTCTCCATTTTTCTTGACGAACGACCTCTGCCTTTTCTTTTTGCTTTATCAGAATTCCTTGAGATTACTAAGCTTTTATAATTTTCTTGTTTTTTTGTGCGATAATAATGCAAAACACATTGAGAAATAGTCTTATTTGGAATATTAGAAGCAATTAAGCCAAAGTTTTTTTGAGGATATTTAATAAATAATTGTTTAAAAAGTTCATGCTCTTCTACTGTCCAAACATCTATCCATGTGGGATAATGGAAAGAAGAAATAGGATCTTCTACTATTCCATTTCTATCATCATATTGATACTTAATAGTTTCACTAAGATTTGAAATCATAGGAGGTATCACTGCAGCGCGAGAAACCCGATCATCTTCTACTCCTAATTTAGCTATAATATCTTCGAAATCTGCATCCGATCTAACAAAATCACCATAATTTAAACCTTGTCCTCTTCTAAAACTTCTCAACGATAAATTATCTAAATGTGCATCAAAGAATCCAGACCGTTCGTTTTCTTGTTTCTTTGTTTTCTTTATATTATCTAATTTTTCTACTTGAGATTCCCAAGAATTTTGATATTTTTCATACTGTAACTGAAGAATTTTATTTCTTTCAAGCATTTTTTTATTTTTTTGCGAAATATATAAAAACAATAATGGACGTAAACGTTCATGTTTTAATTCGTTTTCTTTAAAAAAAGGGTATTCTTTTAATGAGTCATTATATATCTTAATGTATGAAAATTTAATACAATTCTGCTTCGCCTTTTCCTTGTTTTCAGAATAGATTTTTGAACATAAATTCGTTTCTACATATAAAAAATCACTAATAGACAAAGATCCAGGAAATTTAGTCATAGAGAAAATTGTTTCTTTTTTATCTTCATTATTCAAATTAATAGTTTGCAATTTCCTATTTTCAATTTCATAAAGATGATTTTTACATGTTAATATTGCTTTATCGATTTTTTGTATTTTATTATACACATCTTGAATTAATCCTTTATCATCCTGAGTTAAAAAATCTTTAGATATAATATGATCATTTATTTTATCAGAAACATGTAAAGAAACATTATTAAAGTCAGCCTTTTTTAAATCCATAAATTGAAACCTTTCTTGTATTAATTCGTTAATATTTTCTTTATTTTCAACATGCATAGTTGCAAATTCTTGTGTTTCAGAAAAAAATTTGTGATTATTAGAATTATATCTATTATAGTTTTCAATATCATTAGAAAAAACAGGCGGAGAAAATAGAGGAGATTTAGCCTTATCTTGAAAAGAAACATCTTTAAATTTATGCTCCGAAAACATATCTTTTTTTCCTTCAGAACTTTTATTTAAAGAGTTATTCGAATCAAAAGAAATAGCATGAACATTATTAGGATTCTCAATCATATTCTTTCTTTCTGCTGCACTTATTTTCGAAAAAGCACTTCCATCTGTCTCAATAACTGGACTATTAATAGAAATAGTTTTTAAATCATAATTATCATCTTTTTTACATTCAGAGTGAGATAATTTTTTTGTAGTATTTTTGCCATAAAAACTCTCTTTTTTATCCCAATCTTCCTCTCTAGAAATACCTTTACAATGCATAGTTTCTTTCACAACTCTATTCATTTTTGAAGACTTCATTGGTATATATGAGTTAAAAGGTTGATCATAATATTTATGTACAGAAGTATTATTATTTAAATAAGACTGGTGACCAGAAAATTCTTTTTTATATTCATTTTCATTCATATTTTTTTCATATTTATTCGAATCATGTATATTATTTCTTACTTGTTCTGAAAAACAATCAAGATCCAAATGGTTATGTGTTTGATGTAATGATAAATAAGGATATTTTTCAGGACAATAACTATGAGAAAACGATGAAGAGATACTCTTTCTTTTTCCATGCTGATATAACGGAGCATACGAATATCGTGGTTCTCGAGGAATTGTATTTGGACATGAACTAAATCGTTGATTATGTTTTTCTAGTTGATAACTCTGATGTGATAAAGACCGATGTCTTTTCGAAAAAAGTCTTTCATTTCTTTAAGAAAAGAATTTAGTTATTATAATAAATATTGAATAATATATACCTATTTTCAGCCGTTCTATTTTCTCGATTATACAATGTATTGTTTTGAAAGGATTCATGGTCTTTCTCTGATTTTTTCTCCATTACATTGCCATTAACCATGTAGATTCATTAAGAATACTAAAATTAAGTAAAATAATATTTTTTAGGTTTTTTTTTCCATTTTTAATTTTATATAACGTATCATCGAAAACTTTTTAAGATTTATAAAGAACTTAAATAATATTGTTACAAATATCTAAAAATAATATATTTTTATATTTTTATTACATTTTGACTCGATATTTAAATATTTATTTGAAAATAAATTTAAAATAACCGTAAGTAAAATTTAAAAATATTAACGTGTAAATTATTATATTACAAATATTTAAATAAGTTTATTTTAATATTATATTTTGAAATGAAAATTTTCGCTGATTTAGATATTATGAATAATATTTATTATTTATATTTTATTTGTTTATTTATAAGATAAATTGTATATTAAATAAATTATATAAAATCAATTTTCAAATATTAATAGTTGAATAAGACTTCATATATGATATATAAAAGTTAAGTTTGAATATATTTTCAACATATTTTAACATAAAAAAATTAAATAAACCCCATTAAATATAATATTCAAAATTAAATTATAACATATTCCTACAAATTAATTATTCCGTATCTTTAGCTAATCATAAATAACTATTTTGATTAAGTCTAAATCCTTTTAAATTTTTAAAAATTATTAATATGTATATGTGTAAAATAAATTCTATATATTAAAATTAATAAAAAATTTCAATAATATTTTAATATAGTTGAGTATAAAGTTTATTAAAAATGTAGATAATTTATTATAATTTTTAAAATTTATTTTATAAATTTGATTTATAACCTTTATAATTTAGTTTAAAGCTTTTTGATATTTCACTATTTTTTTTTTTCATTTTTTCTTCAGATATAGCCTTTTCTTTCCTCTCTCTAGGATCAATTATTTCAAAATCTTCTTCTGCTTTTTTTGCACTATATGTATAATCCTTTCCAAGTTTATCTTTAGCAAAAACAAGTTTTTTTGCAAACCAATCACTATTATTTTCTTCAGGTAAATCATTGTGCTCTCCTAATCTATCAAAGCATGAAAAACATCCAGGAATGCCATGTAATTCACATGCATCCTTTTCTTCATCATCTTCTTCTACTTCAATGCAGTCTTTGGATGAAATCCTAGACTGAAACAATGAAAGCTTAGCAAGAGTCTATATCATAATTATATTTAAAACATTATTAATTAAAGTTGTTAAATACCTCTTCTTCTCTTCTTTTTATTGATTTTCCTTTTCCTCCAACAATAGCTTTTTCTGAAGCTTTATAGCGTTCTCTTTCTTTTTCTAAGTAAGAAAACAATTTTTCCTTTTCATTTTTTTCTTTGTCTAAATACTCATTTTTTTTTTTTCCCATATTTTTAATATCCTTCTTTAGAATTTCTATTTGCGCTTGAATTTCATCTATTTTTATTTTTTTAGAATCAGATGATTTTTTTTTTTCTGATAATTCTGCAATGAAACTAGATAAATTTGAAGAACCTACTGTTTTCGTTTCAGAATTCTTTATATTAATAACAGGATGTCCATTTTTTTCAATTTTATCAGATGAATCATGTCTTCTTTTAATACTTGTAGTAACTGCAGAAAGCTCTGATAATTTTGAATCATTTCCTATATCGTGGCTACTTTTAAGTTTAAATTCTTTACATTCACTAGTATCAACTTCATCTTCAAAGCTCAACAATGTTTTGTTCCTTAAAAAAATTAGTTATATTAACAAATTTATAAATATAAACTTTTTTATTTTATTTTTAGATTCTTGCTTTGATGTCATAAGTGATTCTATTTGATTTTTCCTTTCTTTTTCTGTAATTCTAGGGAAAATATTATTAAATGGATTTAATAAAATTTCTACAGAAATAATTTTAGGAGGATATAAGGGTCTTTCATTTTTATCAATCTCTAATTCTGCCATTTTCAATACGTTATATATACTATCCCCAACAATCCTCCCAAAAAGAGTATTTTTCCCTTGTAATTCAGGCGTGGGTGATAATGTAATAAAAAACTGAGAACCATTATCATTTTTACCACTATTAGCCATTCCAACAAGACCTCTTCTATTATATCTTAAGCGTGAATGAAATTCATCAGAAAAAGGTTCATCCCATATAGACTGCCCACCCATACCTGTACCCGTTGGATCACCTCCCTGGATAATAAATCCTGGAACAAGTCTATGAAAAATAGTATTATTGTAATATCCTTCCATACCTATTACTAGTAAGATAGATTAAAAATATATCAATTTTACATAGTTGAATGAAATTTCTGCATGCTTTAGGGATCTCTTTACCCCATAATTCAATTTCTATATTACCTTTATTTGTATTAATACAAACTTTACCACTATCAAATTAGTCTCATAGTTTAAAGAGATATTGTAAAATATACTTTGTATATGGTTCTTGACTATAAACTTGCTGTTTTAATTAGTCATTGGTCTACAAGAATTTTTGGAAATATTTACAGCCATAATTTTTTTAATTTTCGAACAGCTTACAAAGGATTAAAAATTAGAAATTTTTATAATAGCAATGCCAGTAATAGCAATATAAGTATCTTTGATAAAATATTTATAAAATTTCAATAGGCTTATCATTCATCATTTATAAATGATACAGACTTTCAGCAAGTATGTGGATTTGCTATTCTTCCTTTAAAAACAAGGTTTAAAGGACCTTCACAAATTAGTAAATATAAAACTTTTTTCTAATTATTTGAATTTTCTAATTAATTTTTGGTAGTTAATGAACCTACATTAGATATCATTGATGAATCTATTGAACTTTTCCGTGCAAATTGTTTTTTTAGGAATTTTGAAATCAAAGGACCAGCAGATCGTACACTAATATATGGAATTCTTTTTATTTCAGATTGTTTAAACAAACTTTCTCGTACGAATTGCACTAAAAATGATGCAATTAAATTACTTAATATTTTCTCTCTTGAGAATTTTACTATACCAGGGGATTCAGGATTTCCTTTCAATTCTTTATATGCATCGCCTTCAAATGAATTTGAATCAGGCTTATATTATACATATTCTTTATTTATAATAACTTTACTAGATTTTTTAAGGCAATATCTTTCTCAGTTTCGTCAAGAATTAGCTTTAAGACTCATAGATCGTGTTTATATAGACTCTGATAGACCAAACAAATGGTGGCTATGTTTTAGTAAAAGAAAATTTATGAATAAAACATTATCTTGATTATATTACTACAGAAAACAAAAGTAATTTAGTTTTTTATTTTTATATTTACATAAAAAATGATAAATATATTATCTTTTTTTACTGAAAATATTTTTAAGCTGTTTACAAAAATATTTACTTGGCATATTTTCATAAATACTAACAAAAATGAAAACAAATACATTATATATATTTGTATCTTATTCTTTTAAAATTAGTATAATTATTTCCTTTTAAATTCCATATTTGAGAAATATTATAACATATATTTAATAAAAAATCTATAGAATCTATTTAATGTGCGTTGTATTGTAAAGATTGGCAATGTGTTAATCAAAAGTTTTATTGTTAATATATCATATTTTATTTCGATATTAATCTTTGCGAAAACCTATTTTAATCTTTAAAAAATAAAGCTTTTCTATATATCTCCCTGTTAAAGTCTAGGGCTCTATTTTGAAAAATGTTATTTCGGAATAATGATGAGGAGCAAAATAACAGCAAAGAAAATACAGCAGAATATACTCTTCAAGGTGTTATTCATTTTTTACAGACAGAAGCGCATCGTTATCAACGAGATAGAAACAATTGGGAAATTGAATATGCAGAAATGAAAGTATATGAATAGTTTTTAAAGATTTATTCCTAAAAGTTTTATTTTTAGGCAAGAATTGCAAAGCTAGAAGGTGAACAAAAAAGTTTTGACAAGTTAAAAGATCTATATTTAAAAAGAATAAAAATGCTAGAAAATTCCCTTGAAAAAGAAAGGTAGTATTTATGTTCCTCTAAATTATTTAAGTAAATTGTTAAAATTATATTATTTTGCTTAATTTGACCAAATAATTTTAAAATTGATTATTTAAAAATTTATATTTAATTTTTTATATATTTTGATTCTAACAACAGTTATAGAGTAAAATTAAAAATTATTTCATCCTCTGTTCGCAGTTATACTTCACATAATGTTCCGACTCAAACATCATCTAAAACAAAAAATAATAAATCAGGAAGTCAAGAGAAAATAGCTGAATCAAGTAAAATAGCTGCATATACGGATACTGAATTATTTTCTAAATTATTTTCTGATACCATTCAAGTGTCTCAAGAAATTTTACAGCAATCAAATAAAAGAGCAAAAAGTTTACAATTTTTAGAGAAGTAGGTATTTAATTTTAATAATACAGTATACTTATTTCTACAGATGTCTTCAAGAAATCAATTATCTTATTAATTCTCAACCAAATATATCGGAATATATTCCTGTTTTATGTCAACCAAATTCTATTCAGCCATATATTCCATTGCATAATAATCATGCACTAGCACCAATATTATCATCAGTAAATACAGAATTACCGTCTCGGCTAGATAAAGATATTTTATCTACTGAAAATATAAAAATATCGTCAGATCAGTCACAAAAGCCGCAAAACAAATTATTTAATATCTATAATAAAAATAACATAAATAATTTTATTCAGGATAATTATCCATCTAAAATTCATTTAGGGTCGACTATTTTAAACGAACATATTTATGGGGAAGAAAATAAAAAAAATATTTATAATTATAATAACGAATTATTATTGCCGGGTTTAGTATCTACGCCTTCAAATAAAGCAATTGAAGTCAATCAAAAGGAAGATATAGTGTGTCAGAGAAATGAGGATCGAACATCATTTGATAAATCTAAGTCATCTTTCAATTTACTATCATCTCGGGAACATATGCTTATAAATACTAAAAATAGCAGCTGGGATTTTCATGATAATAGTGTACTTGATGAAAAAATCGATGAAAATAACCAAGATAAATATACTAGATGGAAAACTAAATTTGCTTTAAAAAATCATTTAGCTAGTATAAGATCTGTTTCAATGTCTAAAAACGAAAATTCAGGTTATGCAAGTATGGCAACATGTGGTGATGATTCACTTGTCAAATTTTGGAGATTGCCAATAAATAATAAAAAAACTCAAAAGTATTGTTTTATTATATTACTATAAAATACTTATATTTTTTATATTAGTCAAGATATTGTTCCTCAGATTACCTATAGAGGTCATTCGGGAATAGTAACTAATGTTTGTATTGCAGTTGAAGTTAATAAAATTTTCAGTGCGGGAGTTGATTCTACTATTAGATGTTGGAAAATACCTGAATTACAACGTAATATTTATGCACCGATAGGTATTGTGAAAAGATTATAATAATATGGCTATAACATATTAAAGATGATTGTATTTTCCCAAACATATTTACAGGACACTCAAATGCTGTTTGGGATTTATCTTTTCAACCCATATTAAATATATTAGCGTCAATTTCTGCAGATGGAACCATTAAACTCTGGAATACTAACTGTATTGATTCATCACCTCTTCTTTCTACATTAAACTTTTATGGAAATGATTTAACTAAATCATCTTCTATTGTTCCAACTAGTATAACTTTTTTAGATAATGATAAAAAAAAAATTGCAGTATCATGGAACAATGCAGTGATTAAAATATATGATACAGAAGTAGGAAAGAGTGTATTAGAATTAAAGAATGATGAAATTTATGGTAAAATCTTTAATGTCAGATACCTTTAACTATAATTACATAGATGGAACTAATAATACTCAAATTAACAAAATCATAACACACCTTAAAGGAAACGTGTTAATTTCTGGTCATGAAAATAAATATATTCGTTTTTATGATATAAATTCTGGTATTATAACATATTTATCTCAGGCATCTAATATTATTAAGCACAATGTACATATTCAATGCTCGCACATCTAGATGCAATTTCATCTTTAGATATTTCTCCAGATGATAAAGTTTTAGTTTCAGCGGGTAATAGTTTTGTCTTATGTACTATAAAAATATTCATATATAATAGGTCATGATGCTTCTGTTAGATTCTGGGATATGCAATCACCTCAAACTTGTATTCAAGAAATTTCAAATCATCATATAAAAGCGCAAGAGGGCGTTAATGATATTTCATGGTGGTATGGAAATGATAATACTAATCAATTAGAATATATAACAAGTGTTGGTGGAGATGGCATAATAAAAGTAAATACAAAAAGTTAAAATATATAAAATAGTGTATTTGTAGAACACGACGAAATATTGTTTTATAAATCATTATATTTTAAAAAGGTAATATTAATGAATCTACTTTTAATTGAGAAATATCTTCATCATCATAAATATTTTATTCGTTGATCATATATATAATAATGACAATAACAAAAGGATTCGATATCGTACCTATGAAAATACTAATATGAGTTTTCATTTTATGTTTTTGCATTTAAAATATAATGCATTTTTTTTCTTTGTGTAAATGTTCATTTAGCTCTTGAAGAGATCCAGAAGAGTTTCTTCTTTTCCAGTTTGGTATTAAAATATTGTCTGATTTACTTTTTTTTTGCTTATGTTTATTTAAAATTTTAGATTTTTTATATTTTTGTGATCTAGAAAGATGATATACCCAATTCTCTTTTTGTTGGTCTTCTATCAACTGCATATTTAAAGCAAAAGCAAAACTTTAAAAATTAGATATTATTAAAATTGAGTTTAGAAAATTACTCATTTTCTATTTCAGATAGGTCATTACATAAAAGATTTTGAGGAATAAATTCTGAACTAAAATATGAAAACGTTTCTAAAGATTTCCATACAACTTTGTCATAATCTTTATAGTCAAAATCCGTTACAAGTGTATAAAGTTCTCCTGTTTGATAATGTGAATATAATAAAGAAAAATGTAAATTATAAAATAGTATAGATAATTTTCCTGGAGACAAAATTGATCGTAAAACTGTTAGGCCATGAGGTGTTAAACAATTGGAATATGAACATAAAAATCGATTTAATAATTGACCTTCGGAATTTTTTTTTTCATCAAAAAATTCTGAATTTTTATTTCCCAAAAATTCTTTCATAGAAGTTATTTTTTCTAAAGCATTTTTATATGTCTCTACTTTAATAACACTATCATAAACATCTTGCCCATCTTCTTGAATACTAGGAAGCCATCCATGTAAAAGTTGTATTTTTAAAGCAGAAAATATCTTAGTTTCTTGACTGTCAAATTGTAAGGAATCTTTGAAACAAGGATTTACATTTAAATCTTTATGCAAATATGGCAAATGAGAAAGAACATCATCCAAGTTCTCTTCAGAAACGTTTGAAACAATATAATCCGCAATAATACTAAGTAAAGAACTTGCAAAAATTTGGGAATTATTTGCTGAAAGATGACCGGGTAAAAGATCCTTTAAAGAATTTTGAAGGATAATTAAATTTGCTAAAGCAATTATTGGACATGGACCACTTTCTAAAACAAAAGTATTAATTGTTATTATTATTTTTAAAAAATTACCATTTTGACAAACAATTGTTCTTTGTATAGTTAACCCTGTCATTACATCATACCAATTAATTATTTTTGTATAATAATATATGTTATCTAAATTACCAAATTTACTATCATTTACATCATTTTTTTTATTTTTAGTAGAATATACTTGGTTTGAAGTTATTTCTAAATCATTTATTTGATCAAATTTATTTATTAATTCTTTATTTTTTTTTAAAGTTTCAGAGTTTAAAGCTTCAATCTCATAACTTCCTATATTTTCATCATCACTTTGAATATTAGTTTTAGAGTAATTATTTCTAGAAATCATTGAAAGTTAAAATCTCGATAAACATAATTTAGAAACATAAAAAAGTTTTAAAGAAATATAAAAGATAAAAACATTTAGTAATTACACTTAAACATAGTTCTTAGTATGTAAACTATTATACTGTAAATAATACTTAAATACGAAAAATATTCTACAGAAATATTATAAAAATCAGTATAATTTTATAAAACTTTGTGCATAAATTTAAATTTAAAACAAAAAATACACAATAATAATATACCACCTATGAAGATAAAAAATAAATATAACTATTTATATGTATTGAAAATGCAAACCAATATTATATTTTTCTATTTATTATTTGTTATTCATATAAATCAGAGCCACCATATAATAAAAATGAAACCTCTCCAACGGGTAAATCAATAACAGCATCACTTGTTGATTTTATATTTACGGTATTTGAAATCTTAGCATAAGAATCAGTTATACATTCTATTTGATTAAATTTCGGTGTTAACACTTTAATATTATAGCCTATTAGAGCAAAATAGATATAAATAATAGTAACTATAAAATATGAGGGAAGAGTCAAAGACCATAACCTTATTGATTCAACTAAGCTTAGTACAAATGATCCATCTACCTTTCCGGATAATATGTAATTCCAATAGCATCAAGAACTGATACAGGAAAATAGCTCCAAATAATATAAATACCTAGTACACGTAAGGATAATTTTGAACCATATGATTAAAATTTTTAATATAATTTTCAATCACTTAACATGATTTGCATACCAAAAATTATTGTGCTTCCCAAATATAAAGCAAATCCATAATATTCATAAGTCGGTACTTTTGCTGTTAACGGATATTTATTTACAAAGCCATTTCCTTGTATTCTATTTAAACTTTCATTATCTGAAGATTCTGGTGTGGTTGATAAGTGTATTGATGTTCGGAAATGATCCCTTGTATCATAAATATTTTAATGAATAAAAACATATCGTATTTACATAAATGATAGCGGTGCTAATGGTACTAAATGCTGTTCATATAGTAATGGATTAAAAATTGAGTTTTCAACTGCTGTTATAGGTTGTAAAATTGAGTTATATGAATGTGATCGTTTCAAAAAAAACCTATATCTTTTTAGAAATCAAAAACTATAATTATAAACTCTTATTCTAACTGCTTGGAATGCCGTCTCCCGTCTATCTTTTTCATTTCTCAATTTAATTATATAATATTGTTCGATTTGATTAGAAATATTAAAATATACCAATAACTTTTTTCTTTTTTATTTAGCTGTAAGTTTTTTAATTTTATTAAAATTGTTAAAGTTAATCAAAATTTTAGTATAATTTATTTTATCATTAAATATTTGATAAATTCTTATAAATTATTAAATATATATTATTTTTAAAATAGGTTCTATTATGGCTTCATGGTGTAGAGGTAGCATACATGCTTTGGGTGCATGTGGTCGGGGGTTCGAACCCCCCTGGAGCCCAATATTAATTTCTGGAACGGTTTGAATGAAGTTTTATATTTTGAAAAAAAAAAGTTTTTAGATAAAATTTAATTAGATTGCTTAAAGGAATTCTTATTAAAGCATTAAGATTTCAGTTTTTCATTAAAATATTATTTCTTAATGTTTTAAATAAAAATTATTTTTAAAGGCTTTTAAAATTTTATAAAATCTACTTTTTATTTACTTTTTATTGAAAAACCTTAGAAAATAAGAAAGAAGATGGGTAGAAGGCAGCGTAATAAACAAGGTGTACCATCATTGAATGAATTTATTAAAGAACATAAAGAAACTCAGAATAAAGAGAAAATATACAATAATAAACGTAAATTTAATGATCAAAAAGATGAGAAGTTTATATGGAAAAAGCAAAAATCTAAAGCATCATCAGAGTATGGGGATGGTGGAACAAAAAAAAAATTATTACAAAATAAAAAAACGAAAAACAAGCAGAAAAAGTATTCAAAAAATGAGTCATCTGTTAGCGATTTTACTAATACTTGTAATGATTTTGAGAATTTTTCACTTGATTCCAAGGTTTCAAACTTAGAAGAAATAGAGGATTTTTCGAATAGTGATAATAACGAAAATTCTTATCAGGAAACAGCATTTAATAATTATAAAAATGAAGTATCAGATTCTTTAGTCACCCGGTCTGTAAATATGATAATAAATACTGAGAAAGAACAAGTAGTTTTTGTTTATTAAATACATATTTTATGTTTCTGATAACTATAAGGTATTAACAAATGGATCGGTTAATGAAAAGCATCATATTTTCCCTTTAATAGATGATAAAAATGATGAAGCAAAAGAACATCATTCTAATCCTCAATTTTTACAAACTAGAATTCAAGAAATTGTTCATATTTTAAATAATTTTAAGGATCTCAGAGAAGAAGATAGAAGCAGGTCTGAATATGTAGAACAGCTTTTAGAAGATATATGTAAATATTATGGATATTCAAGATTTTTAGCAGAAAAGCTTTTTAATATTTTTAATGCTCAAGAGGTAAATATTATTATATGGTGATAAATTATTAATTTTTAGGCTATTGAGTTTTTTGAAGCAAATGAAGTTCCACGACCTGTTACTATTCGGACCAATACATTAAAGACTACTAGGCGTGACCTTATGAATGCGTTGATAAACAGAGGTATGAATTTAGAAGCTATTGAAAAATGGTCAAAAGTTGGTATACAAATATTTGAAAGTCAAGTACCTATAGGTATTAATGTTTTAAAAACGAAAATCATTTCATATTATCTTTAGGTGCAACACCCGAATACCTTTCAGGAAAGTATATGATTCAAGCAGCTTCATCATTTCTTCCTGTTATGGCACTATCTCCTCAGATTAATGAACGAATTCTTGATATCTCAGCTGCTCCTGGAGGAAAAACAGCATATATTGCTGCTCTTCAAAAAAATACTGGAGTAATATTTGCCAATGATTCTTCAAAAGATAGAATAAAAAGTCTTGTGGCAAATATTCATCGTCTGGGGATTAAAAACACAATAGTCTGTAATCATGATGGAAGAGAGTTTCCGAAAGTTATGGGAGGATTTGATAGAGTTTTATTAGATTCCCCATGTAGTGGTACTGGTATAATTTCAAAGGATCAAAGTATAAAAACAAAAAAAGTATTTTCTTTTTTCAAGAAAATTAAATCTAATTATTTAAGACTGAAAAAGATTTTGATATTCTTTCTCATCTTCAACGCCAACTTATTATATCTGCAATTGATTCAGTAGATGCAAATAGTAAAACAGGTGGTTACATTGTTTATTCTACGTGTTCTGTGACTATTGATGAAAATGAAATGGTAATTGATTATGCTTTAAAAAAAAGACCAAATATAAAGCTAGTTGATACCGGATTAAGTTTTGGAATAGATGGTTTTACACGTTTTAGGGATAAAATATTTAATTCTAAAATGAATTTATGTAAAAGATATTATCCTCATATTCATAATTTAGATGGGTAAAAAGTTATTTATAGTTATTTATATATATTTACAATTTATAGATTTTTTGTAGCTAAATTAAAAAAAATAAGTAATAAAATACCAGAACCAAATAAAAGTATAATTAATCATGATAAAAAAATTGTACAAAAATTGGACGATAGTATTGGATTTGATGAATTTAATGAAGAAGATAATAAATTAATAGAGCGAAGCAGAATCAGGCTACTTAAAAAAAAAGGAATTAACCCTAAAAGTAGAAAAAATAGATTAAAATAAAAATTGTAATATTACTTATATTAATATAGTTTTAATATTTAACAAAAACATTAACAAATAGAGAAATATTAACAACTAATACACTATAAATATATATAGTGTACTACAGAAATCCAATCTGTGTATAATATAATGCTGCTTTTTTTATTGCAAATGAGAAATATATTATTCCCTTTTTAGTTCAAAAATTAAGCTTAGGCTTCAGCCATTTCACGTAATCTTCGAATTGTTGATCTAACACTAGCAGCAGTAGTGGTCCTAAAAACATGTAAATATTCTATGTTTTATTCAGAAAACATACGAAATTGTCCATGCTCCTCCAGAAATAACCTTAGAGCATCTTAAACATTTCCATATGCCAACACATTGTCTTTTTACGCTTGTTTTTCCGCAAAAAGTACATAAATATTTAGTATGTTGCTGAATTTCCATTTTTTTAATATCTTTTCGCAATGATGATCCATATCGGGTTCCATATTTTCCAGTAACTCCTACCTATGTTAAAAGTTACAAAAAAGGTTTTTTATAAATGTTATTTATATAAAATTGTACCTTCTTTGTTCTTTTTGACATTTTTTAAAAAATGTTAAACGATAATTTAAAATTTTCTAAAATTACAAAAATTTAGGGCAAATCCCTAAAATTTAGAAATAAAATAATCTATTACTTTTTTTATATAAAATTTTGATTATATTAAATACTATTAAGTTCAACTCCATGCTTAAATATTATATATCAATTTACATTTTAAAATTATTTTTTTCCTAAAGGTTTAAAATTTTCAAAACATGGAAGCACTTTTATTGTAGATAATACGTATCCCATGAAAGCTCTAGAAGTCATAAATGGATGAATTCTGTTACTTAGTGTTTGATATTGTCGATGTCGGATTTCAGAAATTATAGGAGCAAGGATATCATGTGTATTACGTGAAGAAATATAATGAGAAGTTGAAATAAGTACTTCACGATAAGGTGAATATATAATAATAGGACAGGAACCAGCAATAGACGGAATTAAATGTGGTAATATACTTGACGGTTCATATGTTGATGCAATAAAAAGTCTAAAATTTTTAAAATTTGAATTCATAAATAAAAAAATTACCCATCAAATTCACCTTTAGTAAATACTTCAATATTATACATAAGACGTTCATGTATTTTTTTTTTTTTTAAATATTTTTCAACTTGTTTTACTTTCATCATATTTATATTTTTATTTTCAAACTCTAGTTTTTGGTTACGGTCTATAATATCTAACCAATTCAAAGTTAATAAAATATTTTCTTGAATAAGCTTTTCAGGGAGATAATCTTGTCCAAAATATTTGCAACTGTCTAAATTTGGATGTTCGTTCGTATGAATATATATAACCTGACCTGTACGATTCATTCGTTCTAATATTGCTGCCACTAACAATCCAGATGTTTCATCTACAACAATGTATCTCCCATTTGGCTGAACATTTCCCAAATTTAAGATATACGCTATTATTTCGGCTCGTAAATCCATTATTTTCATAAAATTTTTCATTAGTATATGTTCAGAGATTTCCCATATTGTTGGAAAAATAACTGTAAATCCCTTTTGATATTTTTGAATTTTTTTACGTATATATTTATCTTTTGCATATGCTGTTTTTTGATCATATGTTTTGTGTGAAGAAATAATTTTATTTATAATATCCTGTTATTATTTAATAAAAACATATAAAAGAATTTTATTTATACATGCGAACTTAGACATTTATCTTGCTTTAAAAGCATTATTTCATCATAGGTAAGTTGTTGATTAAAAGAATCATCTATTGTTTCTTTATTGTTCGTTATTTCATCTTCTAAAAAATATTAAAAAAACAATGAATAAAATTCTTAAATAACCAATTTCATAAATCTCATTACTTTTTATAATTTTTAATTTATGGTTATATATTTCATATGTAAATCCATATGGATGTCCAATAATATCATTAGTAGAAAATGTCCCAAATTTCCCTAAATTAATTGTCCTAAAATCTCATTAAAATATATTTTAAAAATTTAATATACCATATTTACGTATTTGGTTTTACAACAATAAATTTCAATAATTTTGAAGGAAGCCTTAAAAAAATACATGAATTTGGTTGAATTATTTCTCGTCCAGGATTTTCTTCATCAATAATTGTTTTTAAATCTTGAGCATTTTTACAAACCACCATATATACGAATAACTAATTAATCTCTTAATATCTTTGTAAAATCAGTTGGGTTAAAAACTTAATTCTATAACTACTTTTTTGAAAGTAATCGAAGATATAAGTTAGAGATTTATAAAAATTATAAAAAAAACTTTATAATAAGATTAGATATTTAGAATTAATAATATTATAAATCTAATGGTATGACTATTTTAGATGAATCAGTTAGTACTTTTTTTCCAACAGACATATTACATAGTTCAAATAAATTATTTACACCTCAACAAATAAAATGTATAGTAGATATATATATTTGATAAAGCTAATGTTTATTCTCATAGATATATGTATAGTCTTTGCATTTATATTATTAATAAAAATAACTTCATTTCTTACATATTTATAGGAAGTAAATAAATTAAATGCTAAAAAAAATTTAGAACGACAAAAACAAATTGAAGGTAAGATTAAGAAATATATATTTCAGAAAATTGAAGATTAAAAGGGATTTCTTCAGAAGGTGTAAGAAATCAAAATGAATTTTCATTTTCGAAAATGTTAGAGAATTATATAGAATATGGTATTTTTACTACTTATCAATTTAAATTATAATTAAATATTTGTAGATTTAACAAAAATAAAAGATTATAAAGGAGGGTATATTGTTGAGGAAAAATCTTCTAATGAAGCTCAAAATTCCAAGTTTAATCATGCTATAAGACATAATATTATATTTGATCCACGTATATATTGTACTTTTAATTTTTTATATTAATTACTACAAGCTATTAGCCTTGATCCATCTGAAAATATTAAGTGTGACGAGTGTGGAAGTGTTGAATTAGATTTTCAGCTTTTAAGAGTTTTTAATGCGAGAGTATGTTTTAAATGTAAAAAGGCTTTACCGGATAAGTATAGCCTTTTAACAAAGACTGAATGTAAAAATGTATATTTATAATATATACTATTTTATATTAATTTATTTAGGATTACCTTCTTACAGATTGTAAGTTTTAAAATTTTAATATTTAACATACTGGATAACTTTCAAGCTGAACTTCGTGATATAGAAATACTTCCTCATATGAAGAAAACCAATCCTAGGAAACCTGAATGGGGTCCAATGATGCTTTTTTTACGATACCAAATAGAAGAATTTGCATGGAAAAAATGGGGAGGACCTGAAAAATTAGATATAGAATGGGAGCGAAGAGTTAAAGAAAAAAAAATGAAAAAAGCTTTAAAATTGCAAAAAAAAATAGAAGGTATAATGAAAAATTTAATAAATGCGGACTAAAAATTTAGATCTTAGGAAACGTACCAGAACCAGTCAATATATTGAAAAAATTAAAGGTAAACAGGAAAAGCATATACATAATTTTTCATTACCTGTTACGAATTCTATGGGATTAACGATAAAGAAATGCTCTTGTGGGTTTGAAATAGAAGAAATATTTATGTAATTCATTACAGTATTTATTTACAATTTTATAATATCTAATTTTTTATACTATAAATTTAAATATTTTTTTCCTTAAAATTATAGTTATTATGTTTGAATTTTTAAATTTTCTTTTAGAAATTATATTATTTTTTTCACTTTTCGATAAATCTTAAACCATTTTTATCTGTTATTCATAAGTAATTGTAATTAAATTTTTGATTTTATAATTGGATCCTGTAGTTTTAGTCTTTAATTTTGGACTTAGAAGTTTTAAAGTATGAATAATGATCTTGAATCTATGATCATTGATAATAATATTTCAACTCAAAATAATGTATTATACAAGAGTAAAAAAATATTAGAGTCTGACACTAAACATGATGGTAGTACGCTTCCATGGTCTGTAAGAATTCTTAAATATTCTATATAATTGAATCTAAATAGGGTTGAAAAGTATAGACCAGAAGATTTAAAAGAAATAGTTTCTCATCAAGATATTATTCTTACTAGTAATTACAAATATAATTTATATATTATTATTTATTTTCAATTAGTTGAAGAATTTATTAAGAAAAATAGGATTCCTCATTTATTGTTTTATGGACCTCCTGGAACAGGGAAAACATCTACAATTTTAGCATGTGCTAAGAAAATATATGGTCCAAAATTTCGAAATCAACTTTTAGAAGTTTATATGAAACATTTTATTATAAAATTAACATGTTTTAGCTTAATGCATCTGATGAAAGAGGAATTGATGTAGTTAGAGAACAAATTAAAAATTTTGCAAGCACAAAACAAATATTTAAGTTTTATTTACATCTTTTTAAGAATTTTTTAACATAAATAGTTCTGGGTTTAAACTTGTTATTCTTGATGAAGCGGATGCTATGACTTTAGCTGCACAAAATGCTTTAAGAAGAGGTAATATTATTTTTCATTAATTTATATTAAAAAATAAAGTTATTGAAAAATATACAAAAAACGTGCGATTTTGCATAATATGTAATTATGTTAATAAGATTTCATTAGCAATTCAATCACGTTGTACTCGATTTAGATTTCAGCCCCTTTCTTCAAAAGAAATTTGTCTTAAACTTGACTATGTTATCAAAAATGAAAATATTAATATTAGTGAAAAAGGTAAAGCAGAATTAGTAAAACTTGCAGATGGCGATATGAGGAAAGGATTAAATATTTTACAAGCATGTCATGCAGCTTATGATTTTATTGATGAAGATGCAGTATATAACTGTGTCGGGAATCCCCATCCTGAAATTATTGAATTAATAGTAAAAAGTTTATTTAATGATGAATTTTTAATATGTTTGAATAGTATATATATATATATATTATTCTTAATTTTACTAATAGTTAATAGCTATTATAAAAGTAAAAACTGAAAGAGGATTAGCTTTGCTAGATATAATAACAGGAGTATACGAAGTTCTTGATGAACTTGAACTACCTATAAATTTACAATGTCATGTATTGGATAATCTTGCCATGATAGAGTAAAGCTAGATATATTATATATGTTTTCCTAATTAAGATAGGTATCGGCTATCAAATGGAGCATCTGAAAAAATTCAATTATCTGCCATGATAGGAACTATTAAAACAGGAATAGATTTAGCTGAAAAAATGAAAAAATAAGTTCTAATACAAAAATTTTCTGCAATATTAAGATTTATATTATATTTCTTCAATATAATCAATATTCTACATCAATAAATGCTATGCAAAAATTATTGTATCTAATAACTATAAAACTTATTCTTCTTTCGCACCAACTCTAGCTTTTTCAGCCTGTTCAATACTTTTCTTATCTGTTTTAACATCATCACCCATAGAAACACCGAAAAGTCCGGATGGCTTTTTAAAAGGTCTTTTAAGTTCACCAGTTGCAGGTCTTCTCCATAAATGCAATTGCACAATTTTCCCTTCTAATACGGTTTTAAGAGGAAGAATAGATTGAACAAGAAGAGGTTGGGAAAACTTAAAATATAAATGCATTACTAGTATCATGCCTTTAAAATGAATTACTACGTCAAAAGAATATAGTTTAACTTACAGAACCCTATAAGAGATTGCTTTATTGCTTTCTTTAGCTCACTTATATCATATTCTTTAATTGTAGTTACAACAAGTTGTTCCTCAGACTGACCGCTCATAGGATTAGTCGGTCTAATGTATTTCAAAGTAGTAAGATCTACTGGCATTAAAAAATATAATAATAAAATAATATTTACCATTTTTTCTTTTTATAGAAATATAACATATGTAATAAGTTAATGCAATAATTATATTTGAAGCAATGCAAAGAGATCTAATGTAAAACAAAACTTCAGGGTCATCAAAATTAATTCTTTTTGAAATTTGCATTGCACCTAAAATTATCATAAGATTTGTAACTTGAGGACCTAAATATTCAATTTAACATACGTATTAAAGACAATAAAATTAAGGAACATACTCATTTTTTATAAGTTAATCCTAATACAAAAATTGCTAAATCTCGTTATTTATTAACACTACCCTAACCTGACCTATATAAGTTCTAAATTTTTTACAATATATATTTTTTATTTATTATTTTTAATATATATTCATACTTATAAATATCTTTATAATTTATTATATTAGGATTTTATGTAAAGACATTTTTTTTAAAACTTGTTATTTTTTATTTTTATAAAAAAGTATAAATTCTGATTATTTTTTATTTAAATTGTAATTTATTTTATATATTATATTAAAATTATATTAAAGTATTTTTTAGTTAAAAAATTTCTTATTATTTTAATAAACTATTTAAGACAATTTTTATATTTTTAATTTCGATATTTAACCAATTTTCTTTCCAATAATTAATGTTCTAAGAAATCATTAAATCTAAGTTCTAATATTTATTCTCTATATTTTCGTATTAATTTAATAATTTTGACTATACATTATATTTTAATTTGTTATTTATAAAATTTATATATAATTATAATTACATACAATTATAAATTTTACTAAAATATTGTTTAAACTTAGTTAAACGCGATGACATGATTATTAATTATTTTTCCTGTGCTTCACTAATCTTACATATCAACTTTTTACTTTATTTGTCTAAAAATATATATTTCCCAAGAAACTGTTATTAATCTAACTAATTTAAGTGACTTATCGAACAAAGGTACTTTGAGTTATTATATAAAACATATGTTTTAGTAAGTTTTTGATCAAAAAAAAAAAAAATTATAAGTTTGTGTAATTCTTCTAGAAAAATAAGATGTTAAATTTGTTTATTTTTACTTTTTATTATTCATTATTTTATTATTTTTATAAATTTATTGTTTCGACTTATTAATACTAGTTATTTTATAAAACGTTAAAAATTTAGCTCTTTCGATTTTAAAATATATAAAAGCTACATTAAATAATATATTAAATCTTATTGTTTAGTGTTTACAATATTTTTTATATTAAATACAAGATATTTATTAAATATAAAATATTGAGAATGATAAATACGTTTACTTTACTTCGTAGATTTGATGAACATTTAGATGATCATGATCATGATCATGATCATGGTCACCACCATCACCATCTTGGTTGTGGAGTTAAAGAAGATTATGATGGAAATATGGGACTTAGAATATCATCAATATTTGTGATTATGCTCTTTTCATCGCTTGGTAAATAAAATTAACATAAAATATTTTCTTAATGATTAGGTGTCTTTTTCCCGTTAATTGTAACAAAAGTTAAACGTTTAAAAATATCTCAGCCATTAACTCATTTTATAAAATTTTTTGGTACTGGTATTATAATAGGAACAGCGTTTGTTCATGTAATTAGTTGTATGATATTATATTTGTTATTTATTCGTTTTTAGTTACTTCTACCGGCTTTTATGGAACTAGGTTCTTCTCCATGTCTTTATGGTATATGGGAGACATACAATTTTGCTCCAGTACTGATTATGGTTGGAATGCTTACTATATTTTTATTGGAATTATTTTCCTTAAGACATATTTCTTTAAAGTGTGCTGCGAATTCTATAGATATTACATCAACCTCTCAAACAAATATTTCTACTGATGATAAAAATCCTTTGGAGGTTCAGAAATCTTTATCTTCTGGTGCAAAAAATGACTTTGAGAAACAAAATTTAATTAAGAAATATATGTTAAAAAAGGATTTATTGACAGTTATTATACTTGAATTTGGGATTATTTTTCACTCTATTATTATTGGTTTTACTTTAGCAGTTACTGGGAATAAAGAATTTATAACTCTTTATATTGTAATAAGTTTTCATCGTAAGCATTTTGTTAAAATTATTTCATTATTTATTCTATTAGAAATGTTTGAAGGACTTGGTCTTGGTGCTCGACTTTTTGATATTGCTCAATATAATAATTTAAGTTATAATATACTTTTTGCATTTATTTATAGTGTAATAACATCTGTTTCTATTGCTATTGGCCTTGCGGCTAAAGCTCTATATAATCCAACATCGCCTACTGCTGTAATTATTTCTGGAATTTTTGATTCACTTTCTTCTGGAATATTATTATATGCAGGATTAGTAGAACTTCTTGCTGAAGATTTTATTATCAATTCAGAACTTCGAAATGGTGATTTGACAAAATTATTGTATGCTATTTTTTGTGTTGTATTAGGGTTTGTAACTATGGCTATTATTGGAATATGGGTTTAAAATAAAATTAAATATTAATCTAATTTATAAAGCTATTTATTTTCAATAATAATAAAATCAATTTCCATTTAACTTGTGATATTGTTTTTACAAATATATAGAAAAATTTGATAAAAAAATATTAAAAATGCTATAAAATTATAAAAGAAAAAAGTATATTAGTTTTTAAATTAATATTTTTTAATATCATTCAAAATGCAGTTAGATATCTAAGAAAATTAAAAGTAATGATGGTTAATAATGAGTTTAATTATCTTTGATATTAAAATTACTATTAAGAAAAAGGTAACGTATAAAGAAAAGATACGATGGGATTTTGAAATTTAAATTTGATAGAAATAAAAGAGGATTCCTTTATATTAGAATGCAATACCTAAAAAGTGATATTTAAAAAGTGATATTATAAAAATTATAGTGATTATTAAGACAAATTAGTTAAATAAATGAATGTGTTTTAAATAAATAATTATACCTTTATATTGAATAGTTATTATAGATAGGGTAGTTAAAAGTATATTATACTTAAAAGTTATGAATAAAAATAACTTGTTTAAAGTTTCATTTTTAAAATATTTTTTATAAAAATCTAAATAAACTTTTAAAAATACAAATTTAATATAAATTATTGAAATATATAATAATAGTGAAAAATTGTACTTCATTTAATCATCACATTATCGATATTTCTTTTATTTCTTGATTGTTTTAAAACGTGAAGTTTTTTATTTTTTATTATAAATGAAAGTATTTATATTGCTTTACTTTCTTGGAATAATATCTAATTTCTTAAAAAACAATGATATTTTATTTATTTTTTTTTTTAATTTTTTTTAGAATTTATTTATAAAAGATTTATATTAAAACTTAATAGGATATATAAAAACATTTATCATTGAAATATCTAAAATTAAGACCTTTTATACAGTAAGGATGAAATTTTGGCTTTTATTCTAAAAAATAATATACAAGATGAAACAAAACGTAAAAAAAAGTTCAATAAATATTATGAAGCATTAAAAAATGTAGAAATAGAACTAGATAAAATTTGTAAAAAAAAGATAAAAAGTGCACTTGGACTAAAGTTGAAACGAAATTTGATAAATTTTTTGAAAGATTAAATGATGATTTATAAGGAATATTTAATCTTAGATTTGATCTTAGATCTGTGGAAAATCAACAATGCCTATTTTTTGAAGAAGCATATTCTTCTCTTTCAATTAATTGTAATCAGTTAAGATATACGTCTTATGAGGAGAAGTGTAATGAAGCTGTAGAAAGCGTACTTGTAAGGGCGCTTAAAGTGAGTTTTGAAATAAATACATATAAAAGTTGAAGTTTGTCCGGAGCTGGCTCGAGAAAGTGGTGAATTGATGAAGTTATGTCTTGGTTTTGAGAAGACTTATATGATTCTTATGAGTAAAAAATCAATTAAATCTTATTTCAAAGATTGAAGTTGAAAGCCTAAAGGATAATGAGTTAGAAAAGAAATCTCTTTTTTTATTTAAGGGATGTTATTTTATGAGAAAAGTTGCAACGAACGATCTAAATTTGATTGTAAAAAGCTTTTAGAAAATTAAGAAAAAGACATTATTTACACGCTATTAGGTTCAGATTTTAGTCTTATAAAACTAGAAATTACATTGGCTGAAAAAATAGGCTTAAAAAACTTTATAAAGAGGCAGCGGAACAGTGTTTTTATTAGGTCATCATACGAAGATACAACTGCTTTACGGTACTGTTACTTTAAAATGGAAGTTTTATGAATAGTAATAATAAATGTGAAAAAATTCTTAAAAAACTACGAAAATTTTAAAAATCATGAGATTTTAATATATGTGATAATAATATTAATAATAATACATATAAAATCCAAAAATACTAAGAACTATAAGAAAATATAAAAAATTATTGAAGTTTTTAAATCAAAAACAAGAAAATTATCTATTCAACAAAAAGGATTTAAAAACTAGTCTGAATTGTATACATACCTTGTTGAAGTCTCTATAAAACAGCAATCAGGCAGTCTTTATTCCTAAAGTTTTTTGAAGCTTTATGTAATAATATAATATTAGCATGTTATAAAAAAGACCTTGAAGCAGTGGTAAATAAACTATTGCAAATGAGAATGTACGGTTTATTTTATGGTTTAGGTAAAGAATAGTTTAAAAGATTATATGGATAAGGTAGTAGAAGAATGTCAAAAACTTAGGACAACAAGTGATCTCTTATTTTTTCTATTTATTCAATTATTTAAAATAATTCGAATATTTATAGCTGATGTCTAAATGAGAGCTATCTTTTTATGAGAAAAATTGAACAAAAAGTGAGATTTTTTGATAGAAGACTGCGGAAAATTAGAAAAAAATTATAAAAATCTAAAAAAGATTCAAAAAAAATTGAATAATTATATCATATCTCGAGTTAATATTATAATCGATTAAGAAATTTAGGAAAGTTGGAAAAAGAATTGTTGAAAGAAAATAGAGAATATTTTAAAGATGAGAATGTTTGTAAAGAACTTAAAAAGAAATGTAAAAAATGGTTCAAAAGAGGAAACAGCGATTTTTTTTGTATGTGTTATGTTAAATATTACATGCGAATAATGGTTAAGAATGTAAGATCTAAATGCTAATCATTGAAAAGACATATAGAAGTTTGTAATGTTGTCAATGATGTAACTTATGAAAATAAAATGGAAGAAATCTGTAGGTTTTGAATCCTATATTGTAAAAAGTTTGCACTAAATTGTAGAGAGTTTTAAGAAAATGAGAAAAATAGAGAATGTAGGAAATTTGAAAAGAATTGTAAAACATTTTTGAAGTTTGAAAAAAAATTGATATATAAATTAAGACAGTTTATCAACTGGTGCAGAATATATAATATTTTTTAATAAATATTGTTCTCAGTGAAAAGAATTGAATGATAATACATTTATAAGTTTATGTTTAAATATTATTAATAAAGAAAACATTAAGAAAAAATTTTGTTAAGAATTGATTAAACAAGTGAATGGACTGTGTTTGAAATTAAAGGTTGATCTTATTGGTGTAAGAGTTAGGAAAAATAAAAGAAAATTATAAGAAAATTAAAGAAAAGGCTGAAAAAGCAATGGAAGAAACTTATTTTGTTTTCTTAACGAAAATAATTAGTGATGAATCTCTGTATAAATTTGTCTAATATATTCGATAGAGCAAAAAAAAACATAAATATTTAAACTTGTAGAAAGTATAAAGATAAATGAAAGATACATGAAAAAAAAAGAAATAATGATATTTGATTTAATATTATAAGCACTTACTTTTTATAGAGTTGATAGGGATGTATCATTATTTGGAGGGATATTGTGGTTTAAAAAAGAATGTAGTTATGAGAATGAATCTGAAAAAATAAAAAGCATATGCGTAGGATTAAGGTTGCTACATCTAACGTTGCAAACATTAGAAACAATAATTAAAAATATAACCATTAAAAAGACAACTGTTATAATGTCAGAAACAGATGCATCAGAAAAGATATTGACAAAGGGAGAAAAGTATGTATCGACCTATATAATAGATATGTCATTTGTATGTATGTCAATACATACAAAAACGCTGATATATTTGAAAATATTGATGCTGATATTCAAAATAACATTGACAATAACGCTGATATCTACAAAAGGATGTAAGCCTGTCAATTGTATCATAGAAGATGAAGCAGGCCATAAGGTTAAACAGAGGTATGAAAATGAGCGGCTGGCGTATTATAAAAGGGATAACATTAATAATTATTATTTCTGTTATGATTTAGAGAAACGAATAGATAAATAGGGTCCAGGATGGTATATATGTATTTAAGAGGGAAATTAAAAGCTGAATAGATAAAATAGAAAGGATAATAGAGATTGAAAAGGGATTGTCTTTTTTGTATCAATTTATTCTGTATTTATTAAGTCAAATGATATTGATTATTTGTTTGATGCGTGTTTATTATTCCCTTTTTATAATGTATTTTCTTAAATTTATTTCAAATTTTCCGAAAATTTATTTCGCATTTTTTTCATGTCTTTGATTTCTTTATAAAATATTTAGGTGCATAGCAATTACGGTGATGATGATAGAAAATATTTTAAGAGTGTTTTTTTTTGATTTAAAAAGAATGTTTCTTTTGAAATTTTTTATTATTTATGTATAAAATCTGTTTATTTAAAAATTATTTTTAATTTTATCATTTTTATTAATTTAATATAAAAATTTTAATAAAAAATCTAAATTTAATATTAAGAAATATTTAATTTTTACATATTTTATTGATCCGTTCAATTTTTTTAACTTTAAAAAAAAGAAAATTAGAAAATTAATATTTGTTTAAATTTTGATATTGAAAAGTTTTATTGAAAAATAATTAAAATAGAAATTAATAAAAAAATAAAAATTAGCTATGAAAAATAGAAAGAATAATAATAAATTTATATAAACTATCTGGAACGAAGAACAGAACAGAAGAAAATAACTTTAGGGATTTAGAAATCTTTATTCGTGAAAAAATTAATATCTAGAAAAAAATAATAATTGATAATTTAGTTAAAGCTAGCAATGATTAAAGTATAGTGTTTTTTGGCAATATTAAAAATTTGTATGTATTTAAAGATGTCTAATACATCTGTATTATATTTTCTAATTGAATATAGAATTCACTTAAAAATGAGTTATTGCTGCAATTAGAATTATTTAAATAGGTAAGAAAGTAGTTTTTTTTTTTAATATATTAATATTGCATGGTTAATTTTTTCTAAAAAATATTTAATAATATCAATTATATTAAATATCTTAGAAAAATTAAAATTATAAAACTAATATTTACTAATTATTTATATAATACATTTATTGTGAAGAAATATTAATGTATTTTGTATATTTATGTATTTATATATTAATTTAAATATTTTTTTAAATTCTAAATATTTTTATAATTTTAACTATTAAAAAAAGAATTTTTAAATGAAACGGTATTGATTAATTTAAGATATTTTCTCTGATGAATTACTCATCAATATTATATTTTAATACCCAGACAATTTTTAAGTGTATTATAAAGTTTTAAAATTAAAATTTAATCTCAATTTTGTTATATATTAAATTTGAATTTATAAATGCATATTATAAAAAATTAAATTTTAGATTTTTTTTATTTATAAAATTAGTTTATTATAAGGAAATTGTTTATTAATAATTTGAAATATTATTTTATTTGTATATGTAATTAGTTTTTATTTAGATATTTTATAAATTTAAATTTTAAAAATTAAATAGTTATGAGAAATAATTAAATAAAAATTTAGTATGTTACTATTCATTAATACTGATTTTTAATTAACTATGAAATTGTTATACAATTTTTTTTTAACCTAAATCCAAAATACTTAAAAAATTTTGAAAATATTTAAAAACAGAATATAAAAAAATTAATATTTAATTTTTTTATATAAGTTCATTAATATTTGTTAATCGTTTTCTAAAAATATTATAATTTATTTAAATATAATTCATTTCTTAAAGGTTTTTATACTATAGAATCCTGGATTTCATTAAATATAATTAGAAATTTCAGTATTACTGTGCATATTGTAAATAGTTATCTTTTCAAATTCAATTTATCTTTTTATAATCTAAATATTTTAAATTATTTTTTATTTTATTAAATTTAATTAATATACATAAATTAGGTTTTTATATTTTTCATTATTTATATATTTATAACTTTAACATTGAAATCAATAAAAATAATTGTAATACAATTTTATTAAAAACTTAAAAATATAAAATTAATATACTAAAAAAATTAATATTTTAACCATAATAAAAGTGATTATATTCTAGAACGAAACTATAAAAATATATTAAAAGAAAAATAATTTAATATTAAATATATATATTAGAATGTTTATTAAATAGATTATTAACAAAAATATTAATATCTACTTTAGTAATTTATAATAATAATTTTAGAATAATTTCATAACCAAAAAATACTATTTAATCAATAAAAGTTATTGATTATTAAAATTGTTTCAGAAATATTTATAAATTTATGTATTTAAAAATATCATTTTTAAAAAAAAATATAAAAAAATTCAAATACAACTTAAAAATTTTTAGCAAATATTCTTCTAAATTGCTAAATAAGAAATTCTATTTTAAAAATTTAAAAATATAAATATAAATGAACTCAAGTTATAAAATTAAATTTTATTTTCAAGTTTACTAATGACTTTAAATTTAATAGCATTAATTCAAATTTAAAGATAAACTTTTAATTATATTTTTAGATTTTTTTTAAAAACATAAACATTATTAAAAAAAATTATAGATTTTGTTTTTAATTTTAAAATACATTTTTAGAATTGTTTATAATTTTAATATCATAAAGATATTTAAAAAACTAAAACCATTAATTTTAGAATTAAGATTAATAAACAAAAAATGCGAATTAAAAACATTAATCTTTTTTGTACATTTAAAATACAATTAATGATACAAAAAGACATTTCATAAATTTATTTATCTAAAAAATAAAAGTCTGTAAAAATTAATAAGTTTTCTATTAAAAAACAATTAAAAATGTAATTTTAAAAATAAACTCAAATGAACATAATATATAAATATATATGAATCTAGAAAAATATTTGATAATATAAATAAATTTGAAAAAAAAAAAAAAAAAAAAAAACGAAATTATATATAGTTTTAAAATATTAAAGGAAATCTGAATAACCTATTCAACAAGCTCATAAAACATCCGATTTGTATATTAATGATTTTCATATATATTAAAAATTTATTTTAAAATTTAAAAGTAATAAAATCTTTAGAATCTATTTTTATTGGAGCAGAATACATTATTAAGAAAAAATATATAGATTGATTAAAAATACTATTATAGTATTCAAAATTATCTATGTATTTGTTCTATGTGTTTATTCTTAAGAAATAAAATGTTCTTATGTTATAAATCTAATACTAAATAGAATGATTCTATTCTCTCTGCTAATATTATAAGTACAATAAATTCATTGATCATATAATTATAAAAATTTACACGTTTATCAAAATCTTTAGCAATATTATTTAGTGGCCATGCAAAAGGTTAGAGCTAAAATAAGAAAATTTTAGAGAATAAACATAATTCAGACATTTATAAAAATGTTAGTAAAATTGTGGATAACTATTTAATATTAAAATAACATTTGTTTGTCCATTAATATTTTTATTAAATATTTTTAATTAATTAAAAATCAATTAAAGAAGTAAAAAATTCATTTAAATATTTCTAAAAAAAAGTTATGAATCTACCAAGCTATAATTGTTAAATCATCTAATAGATTACAATTTTTGGAATACTAACATTTTATTATTGTAATTTAAAAAATAATTTATTTTTTCATTCTTAGATTACAAAAAATATAAATATAACAAATATTTTAAGTAAATATATTTAATTATTATAATTATTATTGAAAAATATTATGTTTTTTTAGGAAATATAATAACATTTTTTGATAAATTGAACTCTTTTAAAAAATTTAAATTTCATTTTTAAAACACACTATCAATTTTTTGTATATCAAAAAGAATTTCAATTAAAAATTTATGTTATTCGAGAATTTTTTTCATATTGATATTATCTTTATAAGGATGTTAAGTATTTTTGATTATTTAAATTAAGAAAAGAATATATAAAAAATTCAAGGACTTTTGTACATTTGAAAAATAAAAATATAAATCTTTAAAACAAAATAATTTAAGAATCTACTAATTTAAAAACATAATAATAAAAAGTAATAACCTTTTCAAATGATAACTAAAAATAAACTAAAATATTGATTCTTAAAGAAAACATTTAATATATCATAAAAAACCAAAATTAAATATTGCAAGAAATTAAAAGAATAATATAAAATTCTTTTAAGAACATTTAAAAATATTTTGAAAGTTATGATTTTACAAACTAAAACTGAAGTTAATTTCCTCAAAGTTAATCAAAACAATATACTAAAATTTATAAATGTAAAAGATCTATGAAAAACTTTTACATAAATAACTAAAAAATATACAAAATTTTTAAAACCAAAAGTTAATCAAATGCATAAAAATATTAATAAATTTCAAAAAAAATAACTATTATTACTTAAGAAACATTTTTATAATTTAAATTATGTTAAAAATAAAATTGATAAAAAGTTGAAAAAAAAATACAATATTATATACATAACTTTGAAATTTACATTTTAATTCAACAAAACTAAATATAAAAATAACTAAAGATGAATAAATGTATGGAATAGTTTTAAATAAATAGTAAAAAATTAACTGCGTTATATTTCCAAAAAAAAGTTACAAAAAAAGTAAACCTAAATTTAAAAAATGAAAACAAAAAAATCAGGGTAATATTTATATATATAAAAATACAACAGAAGATAAAAAAACAATAAAAATATATAAGCACTAAGAATCATAAAAATTATATTTAATAAACTTATAATTATTTAAAACTTTTATATTTTAAAAATAATTTTTTATGAAAATTTAAAAACATAAAAATACAAACTCAGTAAGAAAAACATATAATTATAATAAAGTAATATTTATGTTTAATCATTTATTGTATAATTTGTTATATATCTATTATTATTTAGTTATATCGGAATTTTTTTTGTCGATATTTTTCAAATATTAAATGATACTTTTTTTATAAAATTTTATATGTTGTTTTCATTATAAATGAAAAGATTTACGCTATTTTGTTTTCTTAGAATAGCATATACTTTTTCAAAAAATAATGGTATTTTATCTTTTTTTTTCTTTTTAATTTTTTTAAAACTGATTAATAACAAAGAACCGACCTTATTAGATACATCGTTAGACTCATTAGATTTAATAGGGTATAAAAACTTTTAATTAGTGGCAAAACATTCAATTAACATTTTTTATCTAGTAAAGATAAGGTTTTAACGCTACTTCTAGGAAAAGAGGCAATAAGCGATCAATGTGTACCAAAGCTACAAGAATACTGCAAAAATTTGAAAAATATGGCTTTAGAACCGAAGAATGTGCATCCAGCATTAGGGGGGCTTTGCGGTAATGAAGATGAGGAATGTAATAATTATAAAAATAGAATTAATACTATTTTAACTGGTATCAAAGAATCTCTTATGCGTATTTACGAAAAGCTCAATACTGACGGATCTACTTTGGATCAAAATGAATGTAATTACTCTTATTTTCGATGTTTTTTTTTCTGGCATTTTCCTGATTTTTTAACTATCTGTAATCTTATAATTGAAAAATGTTATGAAAAAATGAGTCAACATCTAGCTTATAAAGTTCTTTTTAAATCTCTTACCGGGAATTTAAAAAATCAGACTACTTGTGAAATTAATCTTAAGGAACCTTGCTCAAAATTCAGTACTGAGAGTTATTATTTAGCGTGGTATTGTTTCTGGAAAAGAACTACATGCATGACTCTTATCAAGAAAGCACAAGATAATTGTAAAGCTCTTAACAATAGTATTGAAAATGCACTTAAGGATCATACGTTAGAAAAACAATGTCATTCTCTACTTCAAAGATGTTATATTCATTTTCCAGATTGTGAAGAAACACTGAATTGCGAGAACTTTAAAAAACGCTGTGAAGAGAAAGGCATTACATACTCTCCTTTTCATGATGGTCTTTTTTTTGATCCAATAGGTTTACCGCCTACATTAGAAAAAAGAATAGGTTTTCAACAAATTTTTGCTAAAGCAGCGGCTACTGGTATTTTAGTCAGTAAACCTACAATTACGAAATCCTATCGTTTTTTATTATTATCACTCCATAATAAGCAGATAAGTGCAGTTGCTGGATGCGTTTATTATTTAAATAGATGTGCTTTTAAACAATTGTCAGAAGAATTAGCAAATATGTGTAACGCAACTAACATTGTTGAAATTTGTGTGGAATTAAGTAAACAAGTACCAGAGGAATGCAACTCTCTTGAATTAGCTTTGAAAAACAAAGGACTCTTTAATATGAGTGCTACTGATAAATCTGATCTATACACTTTACATGGACTATCCAAGATAGTTCCTGAAGAAGATTATGCGAGTCTTGTTCTAGATTGTTATCATCTAGAGTCACTTTGCAATCAGAGTATTATGGATTCATGTAACAATTTAAGACAAGTATATCATAGAAGTCAATTTTATAATATAGCAAAAGATAAATTAGAAAAAGAATTGTTTGGATTATTTCGTAATTTAAGTTCAAGCGGGGTTAAGGAATGTGCAGTCAAGTTGACACAAAAATGCCAAATAGCTAGAAACAACACTATAGATATACTTGCATTATGTTTGAAGCCAGAAGAAGCATGCAAAATATTTGCAGAGGATGTAAAAAGAAAGAGTCTTCATTTACGACATGTTTTAGATAAAGTGAGAGATTATCCACAAGAAAAAGATTGTCTCGTTCTTGAGGAAAAGTGTGAAGACTTAACAAAGGATTTCGAAGAACTTAATGGTCCTTGTACCACGCTAAAGAGGAATTGTGCTCATTTGAGGAACGCGAAAAAACTAAAAGACAGTTTGTTAAGTAAAAATGCAGATATTTTAGCAAACGTCGATAATTGCACAGCATATTTAAATATGAAGTGTCCTCGATGGCTTAAAAGGGAAACAAATCTGTTTAATCTTATATGTATAGAACACCACAAATCGTGCATTATAATGACTGAAGACATGCAAAATCATTGTTCGGCATTTAAAGAAAATATGAAAAGTCAAGATGTTGTTAAAAAATCAGAAGACAGTGAAAAAAGGGGTGATATTTGTTTTTTTTGGGGTGGATACTGTGAAATGTTTATGAAAAGTTGTCCTCATAAATTAGAACAAAATGATACTGACATAAATGGGCTTTGTGCAGAGCTCAAAAAAAATTGTAGGACATTTTATAAAAAAGAACTCTTATTGAAAGATCTTATGTACATTATGAAAGGTTTTTTGACTGATAAGAATGTTTGTAGTAAACAATTAAGTAGTTATTGTTCGAACTCAACACAATCAAATAAAACTCTTAAAAATTTATGTATAGAATATAAAGATGAAAAGGATAAGACATGCGATAGACTTGTCAATCGAACAAAAATATTCTGTAATATATTTCTAATTAGGTTAGATAAAACTTCTAGTGACTTAGAAAATAGAGCATATGAGTTTAAAAAAATTAAAAAGCAAGCTGTAAAAGCTGTTAGTGATTCGGGTTTACTTTTAGCAATTCCTCAAACAAAAGACAAACAAAATCATTATCCTACTAATACGCATAGCAATATTACGGCTTATATTAGGCTCATGCGTCGTAAAAACATTCTAAATTTACAACCGTCTATACGTCAAGGACTAGCATTTGATTTGATGTCTTTAGTTATAGAGCTGTATCTAGAAGCTAAAGGTATCTGCGATCATTTTATCCGAATGTGTGTCTTTGAGAATGATTGTCCTAAGTTTAAGGATTCATGCAAAAAAATACACAATTATTGCAAAGAATTTGAATTACCTAAAGCTACACCTTTTGTAACAACATCTATATCAACAATAACAATGACAGAATCAATAATAACAGGTAAAGGATGTATGGTATATCATGTAAGGACCAGCCTAGTGATGCATAAATCAGCATCTACAAAAACAAAAATAAATACATTAGTGGCAACAGTTACACAAAAGTGCAATCCAGTACCATGCATAATGGAAAAAGAGACACAAACAAAAAAAGTTAAACCTAGTGGGGAAACAAGTAATAAAATATTAAATAAGGGAATAAAAATATCTGGACTGGGAATAATAAATATTATTATTATATGGATAGTGGGGATCTTTGCTATAATTTAAATAAAGGAACTAATATCTATTTATGCTAGATTGTAATGCGGAAAATAAGGAAAATTAAAAAAAAATACGCTAAAAAAAATACACTAAAATACACTAAAGACATATAAAGGATTTAAAAAAGGTTTTGATGAAATATCTAATTAGGCATATAAGTAATATAAGAACTTAAAAACATAATGAAATTTCTATCATAGTCATTAAATATTATATAAATACTAAATAATGTAGTAAATGAATAATTGAATAAAACTGAAAAATTTTAAATTCACTTAATATCTAGATCATAAAACACCAATAGGAAAATAAATTATCAAAGATTGATCAGTATCTAATAACTATTTCATATCTACTACCCCATCTACCCCACACTAGTTATGTACCTTCCTAACTTGCTTAGAGATAGCGAGGAAGTAAAATATAGAAAAAAAACATAGTAAAAAAAATTATTGAGAAAAAAATATTAAAAAATGATTTTATAAAAATATGAAAAAATGAAAAGAAATAAATGAAAGGATTTATTATAATTTTTTAAAAAAAATAAAATATTAATTATTTATTATAATTAAAAAAAATCGTTTTAAGCAAATTTATTAAAAATAATATCTATAAATATAAAAAACAGAATGTATATTTAATTTTTAAAGATATTTTTTAAAAATAATATTAGCCTTTTTCAAAATTTGTTTTCATTTTTCTAGATAATTACTATTTTCTAATAGTTTTTTTAAAAGTTAATTATACTTTAAAAATTTTATTTTAATCAAATTTTTAATCTTCATTTTGTCAAATTTAAAACATTTAAATCGTTTTTATTCATTAAATATTTTTAAATTTTGCTTATTAATATCAGGAATATATAGAAACAGTTATTAATAAAAACAGTGTATATTTTTTAGGGTAAAAAAGTATTTTTAAAAACTACTCTATTTCTTAATAATATTACTAAGGGCTGTATACAAAATAAAAATATAACATATATTAAAGATTTACATACACTAATAATCCAGCATAACTCTTCATTTATATTAATATTCTTTAGAATTTGTCGTGAATAATTAAAAAATGGTTACTACAAAAAAATAAGATTGAACATCTTTTTGTCTTGATTATAAAAGTTGATTACAAGAATGTTACTGAGTAGAAAGAGAAGATAAAAGAATACTATAGGACATTAATTAATATATCATTAATTTTTCAAAAAATATATAAGGAATTAAAGAATTTTTGCAATAATAAAAAACAAGAAAATAGACAAAATTAAAAACGAGTATTGATACTAGGTCTAATGCATTTAAGAGAAAATTAGAAACAATACTAAGAAAGAATATTTTAGTGTCATAAATAATGACTATGCAAATTAACAGTCATGCCTATTTTTAAAAAAAGTATTTTCTTTATTCTTAAAATAAACTCAATGAATAAATGTTATCAAAAAAATCTAAAAATTTACTAGAAAAAATTTCTTTAAGGAAACTGAAAAAATATAACTTTAATCAAAATACATAAGCATCACTAGAACAAAAACAAAATAAATATTTCTTTAAAGGTCATAATAGAAAAAATATTTGTAAATATTATTATTAGAATATTACTAAAACATTTCTCCTATTATTTGACAAGTGTTATTTTTGTAGAAAAATCTAAAGGCATAAACTAGTCATAAACTTGTTAATGAATTTCAAAGGAGAAAGCCTATTTATATTACATCAAATTCTGATTTTAATCCTACAAATACGGGATTATTGATATTATTTTTCTATAAAGAGAGCTTATAGGAACAAAGAGACTAAAAAATAAAACTGAAGATGCTAAGAAAAGACTGAAGAAGTTATGAAAGTAATAAATTTTATTTTATCGAAATTAGAAATAATAGACTATATCTACAGATAAAATTATAGACAATATTTTAGTTACACCTAATGAAGTAAAAAATATAGTACACTTCAAGTTTATAAGCATAAAAATTTAAATAACGAAAAAAAACTAAAAACATTTAGTTCTATAGCGAAAATATCTGATATACATTTAGGATTGAAAGAAACATGCTATCATTTTAAAGAAAATTATAGATTTGAAAAAATGTAAATCTGAAAATAGGTCTAATAAAATATATGGAATGTTCTCAAAACTAGAACCACTGGAAATAGAACAGCATAAAACAAAGACAGTTATCAAAAATACAACTATAAAAATAATAATTATTACAAGAGAAACAGAAGACGTATGAAAAAGGAGTATGAAAAGGGAAGAAAATATACCATTACTCATATAACAAATATAAAGATTACGATTTTTTTAATTTTTGTCTTAAAATCAAAAGAAAACTTAAATTTATTTAAAAAAAAATAGGAATTGTAATCTATTGACCTATTCTAAATTAATTTCCTATCAAAACGCTTACTATCTTTATCTATGTGGTCTATGGTTTCGGAAGATGATGTTTCTATCTATAATCCTATTTTAGAAACTTCTATCACAGCTAAAGTTAACCCAAATATATAGTTTATAAAACAGTTGAAATTGAATGATTGTGGATTAGTATTTAAAATAAATTTGACTTTGTTTTTTTCTGGAAAAAGATAGTGTTTTGCTACTTTATAAAAATCCGTATCTTCTAATATTTACATTTTCTTTAGTGCGATCTAGTTTTAGTTTAAAGGAAAGGATTTCACTTAAATGATTTTTGAAAAAAATTCAAAGAAAAATTATCTAGTGATTTTTTTTACATAATCACCGTTTTCTTGTGATCTTAATTTGCGCCAGCATATTTTAGATGCATATGCTAAATTTGGATGAACTAACGAAGTCTTATTTAGATGGTGTTTGCACCCCACCCCTAATCACCCCCCCCTCCCCTCTGTAACTTTCCCAGGTAACTTATTTGATAGATTATTTCATGATTTTTTAGCAAGGCGTGATGATTTAAAAAGAGGCTTATTATATGTAGGAGAACCTCCTAGTTTAGCAGAATGTGCACCTTATGTTTATGAATGTCATAACTTATTAGAGATTTTTAAAGATCTTACTACTAATTGTACAATACTGGAAAATGAATGTTATAATGGGTACAAAGACTATGATAAACTTGAAAATTCTAAGCTTATTAAGTCGATTTGATGTTAATTAAAGTAGTTTTATCTTTGACTCATAAATTATATTTTCTAAACAGAATGTAATTTGAGTTATTACTTTTCAATTTATATGATTTCGATTTTGATAATAATGTTATTATAAAAGTTATTATTTTTTACGAATATATTAATAGGACATAAACAATATTAAAAGCTAAATAACTATGGAAAATAAAACAGTAAAACTAAAATTTAATTATTAGGAACCGGGTCAAATCATAAGGCATTATCATTGAATCATGTAAAGTATTGGTTTTTGTCATAAATATAATCTAGAAAATAGATAATAAGAATAATTTTATTTTTATAAGCTAGTTTTTTCATAAAAAAGTTTATAAAAAATAAAAATACATTAAAATTAAAAATTATAATTTTTTTAAAAATAATAAATAGTAAATGAAATCCTATTTTTAATATTTTTGCATTAAACCAGTTATTCAATATTAGTTTTTAAAAAAGTCTTTAAAAACAAATTATATATTTAGAGATTTTTATACTTGTTCTCATTATTTACATAAAATGTATTATAAAATATGTTGTATCAGAAAAAATATATTTTAGATATTTTTTATTTTTTTTGAATTTTTATTTTCTAAAAATATTTTAACTGAATAAAATTTCAAATATCAAATAAAAAATTTTTAAATTAAAACTTATTTTTAATTCTAATTAAAAAAATTATATTTAAGCTAATAAAAAACATTTCCTAATAAACGTTTAAGAAATGTATAAACAGAATTTAGAAGAAAGTATGTATGTTTAGATAAGCAAGTAAAATGACAAGAACTGCAAAATAAATTAAAAATAGTCTTTTCTGTGTTAATTTAGATCGATTTTTTTTTAAAAACTCTATTTTCTTTATATAATTAGCCTATATTTTTCACTAAGCCATTTTCTTACTAGCCATGCTTTTTATATTATATTTTCTATTCGTTTTTGCGTTATCTATATTTACTCCTGATTTACTCCATACTACTCTAGAGACATTTGAACATAAATAAAACTATAAAACATATTCTAAAATTAACCATTATTGTGTATTTTACTCCTAATTTTATTTATTTTAAAATGTATACTTTTAATTCCAAAAAAATTCAAATGAATGGATAAATATTTATATAATTGTTGTCATTTCTAAAAAGAACATTTAAAAAGAATATTTAGAATAATAACTTGTAGAATAGAATAATCTATATTACAGTAATATCTAAAAATTTGACTGTATGAAAAGCCAAAAATATAAAATTAAAAATGATTTATGAAAAATATAAAAAATGTAAACTAAAAATTAATCACAAAAACAAATGTTTGAGATATTTATAAATTCAAAAAATTATAAATATTTTTTAAAAAAATATGTCTTATACATCAAAAACTAAAAAGAATTAAGTTTTTTAAGGTTGATGAATATAAAATTCTTTTTAAATTCCAAAAAAGTTAAAGAACAAGAAAATTTAAAACAAAAATTAAAAAATTTAAAGTCAATAAAGCAATATAATGGAATTTATTATTTAGAAGTGTACAGAACTTGTACGAAATAAGAAAAAAATAAAAATCCTAAACCAAAAATTGAAACACACAAAGGTATAAATAAATTTTAAAAGTCATAATAATTATTATTTAAAAAGCATTTTTGTAATTTGAATTATTCTAGAATAAGGAAAGTCAACAAAAAGTTTAAAAAAACAAAAAAAAGCCATATAAATAATTTAAAATTTGTATTTCAACTCTAAAACCAAAAGCAAAAAATAAAAATGAATAAATTTATGAAATGGCTTTAAATAAAAAATAAAAAGTGAAAATCTTGACTATATTTTCAAGTTTTTTAGAAGCACTCGGAAAGTTAAATTCAAAAAATAAAGCAGATGTAGAAAAGATCAAGACAATACTATTTATATCTATAAAAATGAAATAAAAAATAGGGAATAATAATAAAAAGAGCATTAGAAAGTAAAAACTATAAAAAATATTATTAATAAAATTATGTTATTTAAAACGTTTATTTTAAGAATACTTTTTTTATGAGAATTTATATATTAATATTAAAAACCCAATGAAAGTTAAAGCATCTAGGTACAATACAGAATAGTACATATTTGCCTATTTACTTATTATATTTTATTATCGTTTATCACTACTTTTTTTGTAAGAATGATATTTTTTCTACGTCAAATATGAAGCATTTTTTATAAAAATTATTTGTTGTTATTATAGATGAAAGCATTCGTATTAGCCAATTTTCTTGGTATAGCGTATGCTTTCTCAAAAAACATTGGTACTATATTTTATTTTTCCAGATTTTTAACTTTTTTTTAGAATTCGTTTATAAGAGATCTATGTCAGATCCATCTCAAGATCCATCATTAGATTTATCATTATATTTGTCATTGGATTCAATAGGGTACAAAAACCTTTAAGCAATACTAAAATATCTAGAGTTAACCTTTTTTCAGTAAAGAAAATATTTTGGCTTTGATCCTAGGGGAAAAAGCAATAGATAATGAATGTAAAACAGAACTAAAAAAATACTGCAATAGTTTGAGAAATAGCGGCTTAATTCCAGAAAATACGCATCCAACATTAAAAGAACTTTGTGAAAATATAGAGCAGGAATGCACAAATCTCAATGATAAAATTAATACCACTTCGAATGATACCTGGAATTCTCTTTATGATATTGTTACAAGTATTTCAGATAAAAATTTTCATTTAGAAAAAATTCACTGCAACTATGCTCATGTCCAATGCATGATTTTTCGAAAATTTTCTGGTTTTTCTTCTATATGCAATGAGATAACTGAACAATGTTATCATCAAATAAATGAAGATTTGGCTTATGAAGCTCTTTTAAGGACTCTTCCTAGGGATTTGGAAAGTCAAGCAATATGTGAAAAAAAAATTAAAGAATCTTGCTCCAAGTTAAATAGAGAAAGTTATTATTTACTCTGGTCTTGTTTTCTCTTGAAGGAAACATGTGGAATTCTCCTTAATAAAACAAAAGATAACTGTGAAGATCTTAAAAATCTAAAAAATACATTGAAAAATGTTAATACGTTGGGAAATGACTGTTATCCTTTACTTAGGAAATGTTATTTCCACTCATCAAACTGCGATGAAGAGGATAAACAAAAATGTGCGAAACTTAAGAGTCTTTGTAAGGAAAAGAACATCATATATTCCCTCCCCCACCACGATCTTCCTTTTAACCCATTAAACTTTCCACTTACATTGCAGGAAAAAATAGATTTTCAACAGCTTCACACAGAAGCGTTAACTTTTGGTATTTTTCTTGGAAAACCCTTGTCGACAAAGTTTTCTCATTTTTTGTTATTTTCAAAACATTATGCTGGAGAAAATGTAGATAATTTAGACAATGCTAAGTTATGCACTAAGTCTCTGAAAAACTGCGCTTCCTTTGAATACATAACAGAGGAACTAGCAAATATCTGCAAAAAAACTGACCAAAATAAGGTCTGCGAAGAATTAAACAATGAACTAGAAGAAGAATACATGTCTCTCAAATTAGTTCTCTATAACAAAAAGCTTTCCAACGTAAGCGATGCTACTAACTCTAAATCCTACTCATGGAGCGAATTACCAGGGACAATTTCCAAGGAAGACTGTACAAGTCTTAACTATAAATGCTATTGTATGGATCCATATTCTAATAATACTCTTTACAATGCTTGTAGAAATCTAAGACTAGAGTGCTTTAAATCGGCAATTTATGGACAGGCAAGGGATGTGTTGGAGGAAGGATTGTTTGGATTACTTCACAACTTAGATCCAAAAAGAACTAAAGAGTGTATAGCCAAACTAGTAGAAAGGTGCCAAATGGTCAGAAACAATAATATAAATCTACTCTCAATGTGCTTAAGACCAAAAGAGACATGTGAAGCACTTGCAAAAGATGTTAAACTCAAAAGTCACCATCTGCGACGTATTTTAGATAAAGCAAGAGACTATCCCCGAGAAAAGGATTGTCTCGTTTTGGAGAAACAGTGCGAAGATCTGACAAAGGATTTTGAAGAGCTTAATGGTCCTTGTGCCACGCTAAAGAGGAATTGTGCTCATTTGAGGAACACGAAAGAAGTAAAAGACAGTTTGTTGAGTAAAAATACAGATATTTTGGCAAACGTCGATAATTGTACAACATATTTAAATAGAAAATGTCCTCGGTGGTTTAGGAGGGAAATAAATCCATTCAATCTTACATGTGTGGCGCATCACAAATCATGCGTTATAATGACTGAAGAGGTGCAAAATCATTGTTTGGCATTCCAACAAAATATGGAGGATCACAAAGTTATTGAAAAATCAAAAGAAGATGAAGAAAGAGATAATATTTGTTTTCTTTGGGATGGATACTGCGATATGCTTACGGGGAATTGTCCTGATAAATTAAAACAAAGCTATAACGGCAAAAATGGCCTCTGTGTGACTCTTAAGGAGAACTGTAAGGTGTTTCGCGAAAAATTGCCTCTATTAAAAGCCCTTATGTACAATATAAAAGGTTCTTTAACAGAAAAAAATATTTGCATTAATAAACTAAATGATTATTGTACAAAATCAGCACACTCAAATAAGACTCTAGAAAATTCATGCAAAGAATATAGTGAGAACAAAGAAACAAGGGCTAAAACATGTGATAAACTTATTAGCTGGATGAAAATATTATGCAATACCTTACCAGTTAAACTGGGTAAAGCTGCTAAGGACTTAAAAAATAGAGCAAATGAATTTAAAAAAACCAAGCAAGAAACTGAAAAAGCTATTAATAATTCTGGTTTATTCTTGGCCATTCCTCAAACAGCAGATGGGAAGCAGAATCATCACCTTAGTGTACGTAGTAATATTTACAGCAATAACACGGCTTATGTTAGACTTGTACGTCGCGAGGATGTCCTAGATATAGAGCCATCAGTGCGTCAAGGATTAGCATTTGATCTGATGTCTTTACTTGTAGAGTTGTATTTGGAAGCCAAGGGCATCTGCAATCATTTTATCCAAGAGTGTATCTTTGAAGATGACTGTCCTAAGTTTAAAGACTCATGTAAGAAAATACATGAATCATGTAAGGAATTTGTGTTGCCTAATGCCAAGCCTCATGTAACAACGTCTATATCAACAACGACACTTACAGAGTCAACAACTGTAGCGGATACTCAATCGGAATCTACTGTAGTAACTACAATGATAGAGGGAAAGTGTGTTGCGCTTCATTCAAAGACCACATGGGTAACAAGCAAATCAATATCTACAAAAATAACTACATCAGTAACAACACTAACACAAAAATGCAAGCCAGTACCATGTACAACGGAAGAAACACAAACAAGAAAGCCTGAAACTAGAACTGAAGCAGATCATACAGTGATGCCAAATGAGGGGATAAAAATATCTGGATTGGGAGCAACGAGTATTGTTATATGGGTAATAGGAATTTTTGTTGTAATTTAAAGCGAATATTTGAACTTCTCGGGTTTTACAATCCAATGCAAATGCTTATTATTTTTTAAAACCATAGCAAAAACTTTTTTTAAATCATAGCAAAAGAATCCTAAAGAATGATCTGAAGGAAAATTCCCTAAAGATATGGGAAACTCAAGAAGAACTTTAGGAATATCCAATAAAAAAATGTTCAACATAAATATTAAACAGTGCATAAATATTTAGTGCTGTAACATGAAGATCAATCAGACCTGAAGATTCCAGATTTGCCTGGTATGCAGGTCACAGGACCCTGTATGGCAAAAAAATAAGCCAGCAAAAACTGACCAGTGCCTGATAGTTACCCAGCTTATATCGTGCATCTGTTCAGTACCAGCTATGTTCCTGTTAAGCTGTCTTTACACGTGTTAAAAAAGTATAATATAAAAGGAACAGAATGGTAAAAAGATGAATGATGAAATATAAAAAAACAATTTTATAAAAATGAATTAGAAAAAAAGATGAATATGATTTCAAGGAAGCAAAAGAATTATTTATTATAATTGAAAAACAATGGATTTTTTCATATCAATTTCTCAAAAACAATATCAAACATGGAAAACAAAATATGAATTTAATTTTTAAAAAAATACTTTTGAAAAACAATATATTCACCTTTTTTAAAATTCATTTTCATTTTTCTCAACAATTACTATTTGCTAGAATATGCAATCTTATCGAATTCAAATGCAAACCTCAATTTTTAAGTATTTCCAAATTGTGCTCATATTATTAATTGAAAAGACACTTTAAACATCGTCATTAATACAGAAATGACATAGTTTTGTTCTTTTTTTCTCAAAAAACTGCCTTTAAAAGTTTCAATATTTAACATCTCAAAGACAATATAAAATAGAAACAGCTTTAGAAGTCTGCCCACACAGCCAGCAAGCACGCTTTCTCTCACATTAATGTCCTCTAGATTTTGGCGCGGGCGGTGGCGCGGGCGGTTAAGCGGCAGGCTGCAGCTCCACAGGGAACAGGAGCAAATGATGAGGAAGTGCGTCTTTTTGCTTTGATATTAAAAAAGAATGCACTAGAAGAATCAAAATGCGAAGAAAATTTAAAAAATTATTTGGAAACATTAAAAAATGCAACATTAGAACTAAAAAATGTTCACAAAAAGCTTAATAACTTAAACGAAAACGAAAAAATCAAAGCAAAATGTAAAGAAATAAAAACAAAGATTCAAGATAAGTGCACTGGATTTGAAAAAAAAATCGAAGATGAGGTTAAAAAACAAAGCACAGAATTGACAAATGATGATTGTAAAGCAAATGAACAACAATGCACGTTTTTGGAAGAAGCATGTCCTAATGATCTTACTAAAAATTGCAACAAACTAAGAAATTTGTGTTATCAGAAGGAACGTGAGAGAGTAGCAGAAAAGGCTCTTTTAAAAGGACTTAGTGGTGCTCTTAAAAATAAAGACACATGTAAAAAAAAAATAGAGGACATATGTATTTTTTTGAAACAAGAAAGCGACGAATTGATGATATTATGTCTTAATCAAGAAACTACATGTAACACTCTTGTAGAAAAGGCAAAGTCTAAATGTAGTTCTCTTAAGCAAAAGATTGAAAACTTATTAACTAAAGACAATGAATTAGAAAAAAAATGCTCACAGTTGCTTAGTGAATGTTATTTTTACGGTCAAAATTGTGAAAATGATCCACCGAAATGTGATAATTTAGAAAAGAAATGTAAAAAAAAAAGCATAATCTATACAGCAATGGACTTAAATTTTGACCCTACAAAACCAGAAACTACACTAATAGAAAAAATAGGCCTAGAAGATCTCTATACTGACGCATTAAAAAAGGGGGTTTATATTGGAAGGCCGCCTCCAAAAGGGGAGATTGCTTTACTGGCATTATTAACCTTAGATTTGAGTGATTCAAATAAAGTTGATAATAGACAACAAAAATGTGAACAGCTCCTTGGAGAAGTATGCAAAAATCCGCAAAAGCACAAGGTTTTGCAAGAATTATGTAAAAATAAAGCAGTAACCGAAGAAGGAAAAAAAAAATGTAAAGAACTAGGTAAAGAACTTGCGAAACATGCTCAAGACGTTTCTGAAAAGATAATCAAATATCTTATTATAAGCAACCCAAACAAACTTACTAGTTGGCACGAATTATATACATTTATTAGTAAAAAAGAATGTGTAAGATTGCAGTCTGACTGTTTTTATTTAAAAGGCCAAGATTCACTTGAAAAACTCTGTGATAACCTAAAAGCAGCGTGTTATAAAAAAGGACTTGAAGCGCTAGCAAATAAAGCATTACAAGATAAGTTACGGGGAAAGTTGCATGGATCAAATGGAACATGGTTTGAAAACCTTCAAAAAAGCTTGGTAGAAGTATGTAAGGAGCTAAAAGGAAAAAGCGATGAACTATTTGTGTTGTGTGTGCAGCCAAAAAAAGCTGCTCTTGTACTTTCAACAGATTTGCGATTTAGAGCTATTTTTCTACGAGAACAATTGAATGAAAAGCGAGATTATCCGACGGGGAAAGACTGCATAGAGCTTAAAGAAGAGTGTAGTGTTTTAATTCAGGATTCAGAGGAGATTAAATGGCCATGCAATACACTAAATGAACACTGTATTCGATTAGAGGGTATAAAGCAATTAGAAAAAGAATTGTTAGAAGAAAATAAAGGGTATTTAAAAGATGAAAAGAAATGTAAAGAAGAGGCTGGAAAACGCTGCGAAAAATGGCTTAGGAGAGGAAATAACAAGTTTTCTTTTGTATGTTCTGTTTTAGAGCTTGCTTGCATGAAGATCACTGCAAATGTTAAATCTAAGTGCAATGCATTAAAAGAACATATGAAAGCCCGTAATGTTATAACTGAAGCAGCCAATAAAGCTACAATGGAAAAGACATGTAGGTTTTGGACACCATATTGTCAAAAGTTTATTTCCAACTGCGATGATCTTAAAGAAGATGGAGGAAATGACGGTGATTGTAAGAAACTCAATAAAAACTGTGAGTTATTCTTTGAAAAGAAAAAGATAGAAGATAAAGCAATTGATGAACTAAAGGGTAGTCTATTAAACAATACGGGTTGCGAAGAAACTCTTAAGAAATATTGTACACAATTAAATAATGCAACCAATGGACTTGAAACTTTATGCAAAGAAAATGGTAAGGACGAAGCTGATGTTAGAAAAGAACAATGCAAAAAACTGGTTAAACAAGTGCAAGAAAAATGTTTAGGATTAAAGAATGAGCTTACAGAGATAAAGAATGACTTAGAAATCAAAGAAGAAAAGTATAAAAAGATTAAAGAGGAAGCAGAGAAAGCCATGGAAAATGCAAACCTTATTTTATCGAGAGCGAAAGGACCTGATAATAATAATAAGTCAGTAAATAAAGACTCATCTAATGCACCTAAGGAAGGGAAAGGCACAACAGGATTTAAACTTGTAAGAAGAAATGAAAAAGTGCATGTAACAGAAAAAGAATTAACAGCATTTGATTTGGTAGCAAGGACATTTGATCTCTATCTAGAATTGAAAGAAATATGTAATCATTCACTGAAGAATTGTGGTTTCAAAAAAGAGTGTGACTGTGAGGATCCATGTAAAAAGATACAGGGAATATGTTCAACATTAGAGCCACTAAAAGTGAAACCACACGAAATAGTAACTAAAAACATAACAACCACAACCACAACGACGACGAC